GGATGACATGATGATCTTCCGGTACGTCCACTGTGGTCCATGTTACCCTCTTGAGTTCTCTCGATACATCCACCACAGTCCCTGCTCTACTTAGAAAGAGAGCATCCACTGAGATCCATGTGTCCTGTTTCCTTGGTTGTTCCATTCTGCTTCTTCTGCCATCACATCCGTCGCAGTCGTTGCTCTGTTCGCAGATAGAGCTTCTACTAAGGACCATGTCCCTCTCCATTCTTTGTCTTTTCCTTCCTTTGTTGCTTGCTTGCTTTACTTTTTTCTTTCATAGTCATCATAAAAATGCAAGCCACAATTACTCGCCCTCAATGACAGCGCGGATTGAAGACAATTACAAAAGGTACTATCATGCATCTTGACCACGTCGATTTTTGCTCTGTATATTCCAACGTGATAACGAGGAAAATTCGCAGGATGATTGGACATTTGGAAGAGACGGCAAGCATGAGCGCTTGATCAGCTTGATCAGCTTGATCGAAGTATCGGTGCTGCATAGAGTTTGGAAAGAGTCGCGAGAACCATGCATGCCTGTCGAAGTCATGGAAGGGCTCCTCACAAAGGAGAGACCTAGAGACTATGAGTTCACATTTTGGGGTTTGATCACAGATTCCGCGTTTGAGATGGGACTTGGAAAATGCTGTTTATTCTCTGCAAAACGCAGTATCCGATGTTTCTTAGCTGCCATATCATGCATGTGATCATAGAAAGGAACGACACTCTAGAAAAAGGCGTAGTATCCAGTGAGAAGCGCCATATTGTGTCACCAGAATCCAAAGCTCAATCGTAGACCATTTCTTGATCTCCATCACCTCCCTTGTCCTGACTTTCCTGCTCTGGGTCACTTTCTTCATAGTTGCTGCTTCCGCTGATCTGCGTGTACTGCGGGACAAGCTTTACGGCTCCAACCGTTCTAGCGAACTTCGTAACTGAATCTATGATCTTCTGCGTCTCTCTTTCTTTGTGCTGCAAGTACTTCTTCATGTTGTCGAGATCTTTGTTGCAACGTTTGGCGATCTCTTCGATGTGATGATCGTCCACAATGTCTTCAAGGATTTGGTCAGTGTTCTTACTGAGGCGCTCGATCGCAGAAAGCTTTTCAAATCGAAGCATCTTGTCCTGAGTACGGCAAGTCAGCAANACATTGGTATATCTTTCTAGGCTTTGTTCACTACGCTGTGGACTCACCTCCATCTTTTCGACTTTCTCTGTCAGCTCGTCAACCTCACTTCTGATGTTGTCTTCCATGGCAACTCCAGTGTCCTGATTTTCACGCGCCATCTTTCGCCACTTGGTGTGCCCAAAAGTCTTCGCACTCTGGATCTACATGCCTGCCTGATTATAGTTCAAGCCACCATAGGCAGGGTAGCCACCGACCAGATGAGTAGCGATACCCTCGCCATACTCACAATGCTCAACACAGAATGCCTGGAACAGATACATAGACTCGAGATGGAACTTCTTGTTCGGCCACAAAGCATTGAGCACACATCTGGCCAGGCGGAAGAAGTTTGCGGAGCCTTCGAGCTTGTCGTGAGTACGACATCTCTCGTGAACGTTGATGGAGAATCCTGCTTCTCCGGGGAGTCTGATCTCGGTAGCGCCTTGTGCCTTTGCGTCTACGATGAGGGCTCTCTGGGAGACTTTGGAGTCTTGGAGATTGGTAAACTTGGTGCAGCTCGCGCGCATATCGGGGATCTCGGTTACTGTCTTGCCGGTGTAGTTGTGGAAGTATGAGGTGGCCGCCTGGTCGATGTCGAAGCCCGGGCGATGTGATTGCATGAGTCGGTTTTCGATGCAAGCGGTCATGCCTTCGACAAACTCCTCGTATTCGTTGATTGTGAGACCTTGACCATCGGGATCTAGAAAATAGTTGATGTATAGACCACAGGCGACATCTTCAGGGGCTTGGATGGCATGACTGATCTTGAATCGTTGATCCAGTACGATTGTGCGGTTCTTGATGTCCTCGATCAAGCGGTTTTGCAACAAGCTGGTCAGCACTCTACTTTCATGCTGGCTGAGAAGCATGATCGCGTGCGGCATATACTGAGTCTGATCGACAATTCTCGAGTGGAAGATGTTGCGAGAGTAGTTTTTCTCCATCTCCAGAACAGCCTTAGCCAGGCCACAGTATCCCTTCTGAGTCCAAGCGTCGAGCATTCTTTGCTGCTGTTGCGTAACATACACCGTCGACGGAGAGGGTGCCATATTTGCGACTTGTTGGTTTTCTCAAGACGTGAGAAGTGGATGTTATTTGGAAGGGATGTTGTTGTAATCAGGGGTTTTTATGTATTGCGAGAAGAGACCCGGCGCGGTCTTTGTACGAAACGGTCCAAATTCTTTTGTGGTGTGAAAGCCAATCTCTGGTTACGGAAAAGAAATGATGGGCATTTTCGACCCAGGTTGCTGCGGAGACACAGAACATGATAGTCAAGCTACATCCCTCTATGATCAGATGGCGATTAGTACAGAACTCAAGCTGCATCACGTAAAATGGCTGGGTTCCAGCTGTCTAACAAACAAACCGCTTCTCAAACATATATATTCTTTGATTCAACTTTGTTTGAAGAGCGCAAGATGACGTCTGTCATCCTCTGTACGTTAACAAGCAGGCGGTGTCTCTTGCACACCATTACGGGCAAACGACTTTTTACAAGGACAAGATAGAAGGGAGGATCATGCATTTATGTAGCTTTTACTACTGCCAGATAGTCTGAATGCACTGGATGTTAACGAAAGTGGAAAAGAACAAGAACAAAGGGCAAGAGCCATCTGAATCCCGTTGCAACTAATAACGCTTCTGAACAAATAGTGGCGACAGAGAGGACAGAGCTAAGGCAGAACCTGACAGGGAAAATGAGCCAAAATCAAACACTATACCTCTGAGGCAACCAATCCTTTTCACACCAGTACAAATCTCTGGTCACCGCTTGGTCAAACGATTCCGTCGCATCTTTCGTGCGGAACTCCTTCAACCATCGAAAAGTCTCCTTCCACGCCTCTATCTACACCACGCATCCTCGATCGCACAAGATGGGCTACCACTACATGGGCCGCCCGCGCCGTCGTGAACCTGATCCTGTTCGCACCATCCCCCGCCCTCCCATGCCTATGGACACCCATGGTTTCAGTTTTCTGCCTATGCCTTCCAATACCGCGAGAAGCCATTTCCAAGCCCCATCACCTCCTCGTTACATCACTCGCCCTCCCCGTGATGAGTCAGATGACGATCGTTTTCAATTCTGGACTACCCGTATCATCGCTGGCTCTGCCAACCACAACTCCAACGTCAGTCATCAATCTGACAGCGCCTCAACAACCCTTGGCCCCGCTCTTCTGGCACGTCTCTCGAGCTCCTGGTCCATCTCCTGCTCTTTCTGGTCTACCTGCTGCATCCGTTGGTCGACCTTCTGGTCGATCTTCTGGTCTATCTTCTGGGCCGGCTATTGATCTCCAGTCATCACTGTTATCGCTCTTCTAGTAGATGTTGGCTCCAAGTGCTCACGGTGTTTCATCGCCATTACGTGCAAGGATAGCATCTCAAGAGGAAGGTTCCGGACATTCATATATATGATGAAGATCGTGATTGTGTAATTCAATGGATGCCATACCATTGGCCACTGGTGTCTTTTGCCAGAGGGGTTGGTCGAGGGAGTCTTGCTGCCCGAAGATCCCGAGGGCAAGATGTTGGAAGGCATGGCTTTGTCCGGCACAAACTCAATTGACCCTATCTCCGACCTATTTGTCCAGGGCAGTCTCGCACTTCTCTGGGTCCCGGCTTTCCACTAGAGGAGTGGTTGGATGTGGGAGTCTGATGGCTCAAATACTTGGACAATGAATAGTTGGATGACATCCGACTCCCTTTTTGCTGAATGATTGCAATCTTGACATTCCAGATAGCGACAGTCTGGATTCTTGGTTCCAGATCAATGTTTGCTTGTATATACGGGTAGTGGAACCAGCAGGGCGAGCGAGTGGGACATATGCTAGTATGCTCCTCTTCGGCAGTATACAGCGGACGGTCTCCGAAATTCCAGCTAATGAGTCGGCAGTGGTGGTACTGGCGGGAAGGCGCCTCTGGGCTGAGTTCCTGCTAGCTGCAGGTTTTGGACAACCGCACCAGCCAAGATCTGAACTGAGATCGTTCACGTTTTGATTCCTTTGAGACGGACCTGGAAATAGGGAGGTCCTGATCTGCTACCGGCTGAATCTGTCATACAAAAGTTGGCAGTTGCGTTGTTCATATATCCTCAGTTTTCCAGGCAGGTCCCACATTCCTTGTTGGCTTCGCTCAAGCCAATGAATAGTCAAGATGGTGAGGAACTTGTCACTCTGCAGAACAGCCCTTTGTCCTGCAGATTTAGGATGATGTGAAGCGCGAGTGACAGCACATGATTACGATTTCGTGTCAGCGGCAGTGGCGATCGCCCCTGAGAGTCACATGCTAGTTGAGTAGTGTCAGTCCAAGATCTGGGTGGCGAATATATCACAAGGAACAGGACAGTGATAGATGGTCATTGGCGATGGCATTTTCTTGCTGTAGAGCTAGAGTCGTGTGACGATACGGAACTTGCACAGCGGATGCACAACAAGGAGAAACTGATCGGACACTGATAGGTTCAGGAAAGTTGAGCTTGTAATGGATTTGTGAAATGTGTGTATTTCATTTGAGCAATAACCCTTGAAACAACTGTCCACAACCGTTACGAGATGCGAATAGCAACCTTCAGGTGTACTGACACAGTAGACTTGAGGAAATTCTCCACACCTGGATGTGGTCCTCCTTGTGACTTGGTTCCATAGCTGAGTTTCCGAAAACCTTCTTAACACATGGTGGACAGAGCATAACAAGTTCTCTATGAGCACAGCGACACCTCGTTTTCTCCTCGTCGTACAGCTGAACACATTGTCACCCTTTCGCTCCGGCCACTTGATCGTTCAAGGTGGACTTTCGGCACGAGAGCGTTCAAGGATCTAGAAAGCGGTCAGCGTAGATGCCAAAAGCAGGGAACGAGTGCATGCACACGGACCTTCTTACCATTCGAGCGAGCAGCAATTTCAGAGACATGATACTGGCAACGGCTGACAAGACCCCACTGCTTGCGGGAAAGGCGTTGGGACTGGAAGCCATCCTCGTGGCTCGCGGCTCGGTAAAGACGCTTGACAAAGTCTTGAATGAACTCGGGGTGGAAGCCGTCTCCGAAGCGGGACTGGCCGTCAATCAANGCTTCCACGTTTTCGTGAGACAGCACGACGACGTCGGCGACGAGTCTGCGAAGTGAAACGCCGAGAGGGGTGAGTTCGTAGATCTTCTCAATGGTAGAGGCACGAGGGAAGACAAACAGCTCGTGGAAGAGGTTGATCAACTCATCGATGGCAACATTNCGAATGCGTGGGATGCTGTACTTGTTGCCGAAGATGTAGAGCTCAGCCATCAAGTCCCAGTATTTCCAGGGGCTGATGGAGGGNTTGTCAGAGCCGACGCCGTAGCCGCCAACTCTGTGGTCGGTGATCCAGCGAATGAATCTACAGGGAAAAGCAGTCAGTCAGTGCAGTCAGGATGTGGGTAAAGTGACGCACTCGCGAACAACATCGGGCGAGTCCCCAGGCATTCTGACGACATTCTCCTTGGACTCTGTTGACCATGTGGCTCTGATCGCGCCGGCGAAGAAGGATGAGTGGAAGGAGAGGACGTCTTTGACCAAGGTGAAGTGAACCTCCTCCTTTTCGACGATAAGAGTCATCATTCTCTCCTGCATGTCTGCACAAGTGGCAGCCTGGAGCATGACATTGCTGTACAACAGTCAGTGATGGGGATATGTAGTGGCGACAGTGAGCAACATACCGAGGCCAAGGGCCACCTGATTCATTGAAGTAGAACCTTTTCTTGGGCTCCACGGTCTCGATGGGACGAGCCTAAGATCTGGGAGTGGGAGCATCAACGGCGACAGTGAGAGTGGTGGAGGTAGTCGGCGCAACTGCGCCTGCGGCAGGAGGGACGGCAGCCATAGTGACTGAGGATCGGCAGATTGAAGGAGGTAGGCGGTGATGGGAAGGGAAATTGTTGTGGTGGGAACTGTGCGATGGCGCGCCGCAAAGAGGAAGAGGAGCGTAGATCTCGAGCCGAACGAGGAGCGTGAAAGTCAAGCAAGCAGAGTCTCGAGCAGAAGACGCGTCGTTGAGGTGTTGGGAATGACGAGTGCAGAGAAGGAGAAATGCGAACCGAGAGGAAGGTACTGACTCCTTCGTCGCTGCCTTGTGCTGTGAAATCTAGCATATGGAAGCCTGAGTGTTTTGGCAGGAGCGACTTTGACAGACCATGTGCACTTACCTCCTCAAATGCTGCACCGTTTTTTCCTTTTTACCGACCTGAGTGTTTACCATAGTCCTGTCTGGAACACTCTCATTCTCTTGACTACCATTCTCACAAATCAACCATCGACTGAACAGCATGTGAAACACCATTCAATACATCCATGCTACGCTTACAAACAGCAAACGCCTGTTATATGCTGACATGACAGGCACATGGCCGCTAGAACTCCTCAACTCCACCGAAGAAAGGGTATCTTGTTTGCCCTCAGAACCCACACAGAACCAGAAAGACAACGAACCTCTGCCAAATACTGAAGCCACATTTATGCCGCCTCTTCGACTTCCTCCAAAACTCTTTCTCTTGCTTCCCGGACTTCGCTATTAGCAAGACTGACTTCTGAAGTACTGCTGTTATTACGGCTCAAGATTATGGGTCGCTTGGGCGATCTCTCCAGTCCAGTCGGGGAGTCTGGATGAGGACGACTCAATGGTTTCATTGATCCTTGGCTATGCCAGTTTTGCTGTGACTGAGAGTGCAACGTCTGCTGCGATGACGAAGATTGCGAAGCAGGAAACTTGCCACCGTTACCTGGACTTCCGCCCATCAACATTAGCGCATCCATGGCGTCTTGTTCGGCTTGCTGAGTTGGCATTGTGGAGCGCACAGGTGGCGGCCGAGATTTTGGTGTCGAGGGAACCTGTGCAGGTGGAGAAGAGGCCGAGGGACGTCTGAAGATGTGGGAGTTCTGTGACAAGCCATTCATGCCTGGACTCGAGTCTGACAATGACCAAGTGACCATACCCGCTCCGGAACGTCGTTTCGAGGGTGGTGAGCGAATATCGATGGGTGCGCTCGATGCTGGTGGTGAGGCAGCCATACGTGGGTTCAAGGCGGCAGCCAATTGCTCGACTTCGTTGATGTTGCGATGTTCCCAGCCATGTTGGACCTTGACCATTGCGTACGCCAGTCGAGTTTTGAGTTGAGCAGCAACCTGGAACGACGATTTAGCAAATGCTACCCCAAGGACGCGACATGATCTCACCTCGCCAGCCTTGCTACCAGCCGAGCTCACACTTTCGGCGCGCGGTCTTTGATCGTTGGGTGTGTCGACAGCCTTGAGAAGGCCGCTTGCAGTTCTCTTATGTCTTGTCGGACTGTTTATCGAACTGGTCTGAGATTGCGACGCATCTTCTGGTGTGCGAACTTGGCTACTCGACTGCGACGCGACATTCTGGCCATGCTCTTGTGGAACGCCCGGTACAGTCGATTGTGACTGCTTGTCGGAGAGTGATTGGGTACTTGAAACGGAGTCTTCGGTCTGAGACGGTTGCTGAACTTGTTCTCGAGTATGCGATCGGTCCTGTCCATCCTGGGTGGTAGATGGCGGTGGTGGCATGCGCGTCGCGGGGTTTACGGATGGGCCTGACGGATGCATTTCGAAATGTTTACCCACTCCAGGAACCGGTATACTCAGATCTGGTCGGGAAGGTGCTGTCAGCGTCTCCATGGCTTCGTGTATGAGTGTTCTGGTTGTCGAGAGCCGGAGATCAAAAGGTCAATTCAACATTGTCGCGATATGCCAACCCATTGGAGGAGACGCGACCTGCTCCACTCTCCATCACCACGCGCCGTGCAAGGGACGTGCACACCGTTGAGTCCGCCCCGACTTCCGAGAGTCCCTGCGCGAGTCTGCCAACCTTCTTACCACGGTGCCACCACAAATACACGGAGAGCCCTCCTGTAGCACGACTTGAGAGCCGCCGTGGCCTATCAGCTGTCACAAACATGTCTGGGACCGGACTGACATGAAGGAAGGCTCAACGCATCACATCAAGGTGCTACCTTGGTGATCAACCTCGGGGTCACATTCTCAGTGCATGTGCTATCACAATCATTATTGGCGGACGGATGTTTTGACATTGAACATATTGATGAAATCACAGCAAAATTGCCGCTTACTAAGAGCATCAACGACAAACAATTGATCTATCCACTTTTTGGTTATGAAGTTCAAAAATCTGGACGACATATCCCACACCTATCACATTTTCCCATGCAACATTGATCACTCAAATCAAGACAGTAGTGTCCGTTCTCAACCAGCGCTATGCCTGGACCATGGGCTGCAGGGATGTACAAGGGATATTGTCTGCTGACAGGATATCCAGCGAGAGTTGTAGGCGCATAGCCCTCTGGACAATCTGCATGCCATGCTGGAGATGGAAGAGGTTGCTCATGGAAAGATGTAGGCCAGGATGTCGCAGCATTGTATTCTTGCACGGGCTGGAACATTGCGAGCCATATCTCGTCTTCGGGAAGAGGCATGGAAGGAGTTAGGCCGCAGGGAGAAAACTCTTCTCGCGGAGTCAGACGTTGTTCTCGAGGTTTTGGATCATGAATTGGTGGAAAGTCTCCTGGATCTTGGTCCCCTTTGGTCAGCGTCTGCGAGGAGCCACCCTCAGGCCCAAGAGCACCACCATTCTCACCACCGAGTGTACCATCCTTTGTTCCTCCTCCACCAGCTCCTCCCACCTGAGCATCATCAGATGCATTTTGACTGTCTTTTTCATCATCAGAAATCCCACCAGAGCCAGAAGGACCACCCTCGCCCACATCAGAAGATCGACTTGTACCATTTTTCAGATCTTCGAGGAAGTCGTGGAGGCTTTGGTTCAATTCGTGTTGGGTCAAGGTGTGCTGGGGTATGCTGCGTTTGGACGCGTTGCGAAGTGACCACGAGGAAATGGAAAGTTGTGCACGTCAGGTATGGAAGGTGCAGCAAGAGTTGGACAAAGGTTCGGGGTAGGTCGAGCTGGTGCAGTGTAGGGCGTTTAACGCTGTTCTGGTGTTGCTCGCTTTGGTCTACTTGACTTTGGTATCGGTAGGTTTGGTTATTCGAGGAGGTGGAATCTGTTGCGGTTTGCGATTAAAGATGTTCTGGCATGAAGATATATTGTTGTCACTAGGTGAGTGCGCGGGACATTTCTCTGTTGTTCGACATTGTCTCGGATGCAGAAAGTCGCAACTGTCTATCTTCCTTTGTCTGTTTCTACATGCAACAAAGTCTGACTTCCCCCAGCTCTGACGAAGAGACATTTCGCGTTCTTGACCACGGCATCATCGTCTACCAAAGCAACTTTATGGTTCGATTCGAACTGAATCATGCTCTCCTTGTTCAACAACTCTGACGACCGTTGTAAATGTCTAGTATGGCATCTTACTGTCTCTGTCCCACCAACATCGATCTCAGAGAGGATACGTGTATGGGACCAGTATTGCTCGAGACCTCTCGAAAAGTCCTGTCCTCAAGAGTATTGTCCTAGAAGTTAAGGTGTAGATTGCTTGCCAAAAACAACACACAAGTCGTAGATAGTGGTGACCATGCTTTGCCATGGAATAATCCTGATTCTTCTTTCCCAATAATTACACACATTACTCTGGTGTTTGGGGATGGTGCGTCTTGATGCGTGTGATGGTCAATACTCCCAAGGTCGAAAAACGCGAAGTAATGCCATGGTGATGTGTCCATTGGTCGGGGGAAAGAAAGAGACATAGACAGTTTGGGACACGACGTCGATGTCGGTGATGAGTATTGCTAGTGTGTTGGTGAGCTTGTAGATGTTCTTGGTCAGTTGTTTCTGTCGATGGTGTTTCGTGTCGGAGAGCTGTTGTCACGCAGGATATGCTTACTTCTACTGGTAGCGAGGGGATTGTGCAGAAGACTGGATAGTAGCTTATTGTCGACATGACTTTGGAAGGCTGGGAGAAGAATAACAAGATGATGATATATTGGAAAACTGAGTTTGTGGTATGTTTCTTCGGATACAAGGAGTCGAGGGATATGGATGAAGTGTGCGTGTTTGAGATCAAGTTGCTGGCCTGACTTTCCAGAACGCGCTCTACACTACTGAACCGTGCAATAAACCAAGGCACTAGTGCAGAGGCCAGACACAAAACGAGACTGACGGATGTGTACTCTCCTTACTCATCACCAAAGACGAAACTCTTCCAATTGGCAGCCAACTGCTTGACTCCATGCTCCAATTCCCATCCCTTGATTTCACACAACTTCCTCAAAACCTCCTCGAGATATCCATCCATCCTTTCACCAGCAGTGTGCAAATCACTTTCTATCAGAATTCTGTCAACAGGGACAGCTTTGACAGCATCCTCGGTCTTTGCAACTCCGGCATGCGAGAAGTTGATGACGGAAGAAAAGGAAAAGAAGATCTTTGCAGGAATGCGCGGGTCCAAATATTGTTTTATGGTTTCTGGGGGTCCGGAGTATGAGTGTAGACAGATGCGTGGCGGGTATGGTGTTGGCTTTCTTTCTTCGTTTGCAACTTGGTCCTTGTCCTCGGTGGTCGTTCGATTGGCTGCCTCTTGCTTTCTACGCTCGCGCTTGCTGGGCACTTTTCGCTCGTGTCCTTTCCAGGTTTCTTGCAACGTGTTAAAGACGACGCCATGAGCTTGGACGCCATGTACAGAAGTTGCACGACCTAGTTCTCCTGCTACATATAGTTGAGCCAGCAAGACTTTNTTCTGGTGGTCCATAGATACGCGATACGGTGAGAGATTTCTACCTTCTCTCCCGCCTGGTGTGAGTCCATCATCTCTTTCTGTATTTTGACCGGGAAGCCAGGCTTCGGGAATGCGGAATTGCTTGTCCAGGCCCACTTCACCAATCAGTGCCAGTGGGTATTTCTCGAGGTAGGATCTTGTTTCGTCGAGGAAGACTGAGAAGGGCCGGGGGTCGGGGAGGGCGAGAAGGAAGTCGCGGTCGGTAGGAGTGGGCGTGAGAGCTGATTGGTAGTGCTCGACTTTCTGGTCTGGTGTGAGGGTTGTTGTGTTGGGATAGGTCTCCTCGTCAAACATTTGGTGTGAGAACCAGGGGTGCCAGCCGAAGCATGGTATTACTTTCTGCTCGGAGCTGTGTTCTCTTGTCAGCTTCTTCTTCGGCAACTTAGCAGCAATGGAAGGAGCAAACGGGAATAAGAGTGTACCTTGCTACTTTACCTACCTCCAATCTTCATCGAGCCTACTCTTGACGCCTAGTCTGTCGGCCGTCTCAGCTACTAATTGCTGGTCTTGTGCACGTGTGGCCATGATGGTCAAAATTCTGGCGTGCATGTCCGGGATTGACGAGATATTGGCGACTGTGTCTGTCGGATGACAGTGCGCGTCGAAGACACCCAGCTCCCATGGGAACGACTGGTTTGATTTGTCTCCCATTTGGATTACTTCTCTTTGGTGTGTAACTTGAGGTGTGACGGCAGTCAAGTGCTGTCAACACTTTGGAAGGAACGATGACGTGAGAGGGACGTCCAAGTCGACAGTCGCAGAGCCGCACCTTCTTTGTGTCGCCCCAGCCCTATCTCTACACGCGAGCAGTCGCACAACCTCTTCTTCACGACTTGAGAACTTCACAAGACTCAGGCACAGGAAAATCCATGACGCGTCGACGGTCACACCATATCATGTTATATCCATTTCTGCCAATGTCGAATAAGTGGAAGAGCTTGGGCTCGAGGGTTCGGGAGATGCGACCGAACGCTGCGGCCAAGGGGTAATTCTAAGATTTAGCGCGGCTAAGGCCGACGGAGATTACATTTCAGCAAATCGGAGGCCTCGCATCCGAGGATTCAACGCGAAAATGGTTCGATTTTGTTGTCTCTAATAATCATCGCTCAGCGCATCTTTCGCCATTGTCGCTTTTGCATTGCGGGAGGCGTATCTTCCATTCCTTCTCTTTGACATCGCCCCTCTTCCTGGGACTTTTGTCTGTCGTTCTTTCTTCTATTCCCTTTTTTCTTCTCCCCTATCTCTGCTGTTTCTGGCGGACAATTCACAATGTCTGTCATGAACGCGAGCTACGCCTCGCCCGTCGCGGACGCGGCCTTCGCAAAAATCACTGCGATCGCACCTGCTGGTGTGATGCAGCGTTTGCTTGCTGGAGTAAATGCATGGACTGTCGTCTTCACCTTGCTGATTGGCGCTGTTCTCTACGATCAAGGTGAGTTTTCTGGATGAAACCGCAAAGACCCGACTGACCCAATCGCAGCATCATACCTCTACCATAAGGGCTCAATCGTGGGCCCGATGTTCAAGATTCCCTTCATTGGCCCTTTTCTCGAGTCTGTCAACCCTAGATTCGAAAAGTACAACGCAAAATGGCAGAGTGGCCCCCTGAGCTGTGTCTCCGTTTTCCACAAGTTTGTCGTTATCGCCTCGACCCGCGACATGGCCCGCAAGGTCTTCAACTCTCCCACCTATGTCAAGCCCTGCGTCGTCGACATTGCCTACAAACTCCTCCGTCCTACCAACTGGGTCTTCCTTGATGGCAAGGCTCACGTCGACTACCGCAAGGGTCTCAACGGTCTCTTCACCCGCCAGGCTCTCGAGCTCTACTTGCCCGGTCAAGAGGAGGTCTATGATGCATACTTTGCTCGCTTCCTCAAGGTCACCAAGGATGCCGGTAACAAGCCCGTCGCATTCATGTCCGAGTTCAGAGAGCTACTGTGCGCTGTTTCCTGCAGAACTTTCGTCGGACACTACATCAGCGACGAGGCCATCAAGAAGATTGCCGACGACTACTACATGATCACTGCTGCTCTCGAGCTGGTCAACTTCCCCATCATCATTCCCTTCACAAAGACTTGGTACGGTAAGAAGGCTGCCGACATGGTTCTCGAAGAATTCTCAAAGTGTGCCGCAAAGGCAAAGGTCCGCATGAACGCTGGTGGCGAAATCCGCAGCATTCTCGATGCCTGGGTAAAGCAGATGATCGATTCCGAGGCCTACCGCACCAAGCTGGCCAGCGGTGTCAAGATGGACGATTCCGAGAAGCCCGCCATGCTCATCCGCACTTTCACCGACTACGAAATCGCCCAGACTCTGTTTACTTTCCTTTTCGCTTCCCAGGATGCCACCAGCAGTGCCGCCACTTGGCTGTTCCAGATTGTTGCTGACCGTCCCGATGTCATGGAGAAGCTGCGCGAGGAGAACATGCGTGTCCGCAAGGGTGACAAGAACGCTCGTCTGACCATGGATATGCTCGAGTCGATGCCCTACACCAGAGCAGTTGTCAAAGAGCAGCTCCGCTACCGTCCTCCCGTACTCATGGTTCCTTACCTCGTCAAGAAGGACTTCCCCGTCACCGAAACCTACACAGCCAAGAAGGGATCCATGATCATTCCCACGACATATCCCGCTCTTCACGACCCTGTCGCATATCCCGAGCCCGAGACTTTTGATCCTGAGAGATGGATCAGTGGTGATGCCGAGAAGCACCCCAAGAACTGGCTCGTGTTCGGCACAGGACCTCACTACTGTCTTGGACAAACATACGCCACACTCAACCTGATGGCCATGATTGGCAAGGCTTGTGTCGAGATGGACTGGAAGCATGAAGTTACGCCCTTGTCAGAGGAGATTAAGATTTTTGCCACGATTTTCCCCCAGGTGTGTATCGTTGATCACGTTCACTTGAGACATCTGCTAACATTGATTTCTAGGNATGACTGCCTCCTTACGTTCAGCAAGACAGATTAGATGAGATTATAATCCTGTGCTTGAGAGTAAAGATTACATGCCAAAGAAAGCAGCTGTGATTAGAAGTGCAGGAAGACGATCCCTAATTGACCAATTGATAGACTAATTATTTTAATGTTCTTGAAACCATTGCTTTGGCCCTATGTGTACTCTGATTAAGAGTATGTTTCCCTGTGACTTTGTGCTTGTGTGACAAGCTGATGGAACATGATGCTGGACGATGGCAATGTTGAACCTCGGTCTGCGGAGAACAAGGCCGACTTTCGCGATGATGCAACCTCGAATTGTTCTTCCACTTCCACCACATCCAACTTTTCTTACACACACCACAATCACTCACCATGTCGCTAAAGAGCGCCACCACTCTTGCCGCAAGAGCAGCCATTGCCTCATCACGACCGGCCAGATTCCAGGTTCCATGCCTGCTGCATTCCACAACACCCAAGCTCCAATCCAGTGCCATCCAACGATCAGCAACATGTCTTCTACACCAACGCTTCCATTCTACTCAAGGCAAACCCGACAACAAAGTCTGGGACTTTGAGTCTGTGAAGCAACTCACCGAGTCTCCCGACGCATCTCTTGTCCTCATCGGTGTGTTTCCCTCCACCTCTGCCTCTGCACCTCTTACCACCTGCTAATCATATCTTCCTTACAACANNGATGTCCGCGAGCCCACCGAGTATGAAGCCGGCTACATCCCCGGCGCCATTAATATCCCCGTGGGCTCAGCACCAGACGCGCTGTTCATGCCCGCGCACGAGTTTGAGGACAAATTTGGGTTTGAGAAGCCCACGGCGGATCAAGAGTTGGTGTTTTATTGTAAAGCTGGGGTGAGGAGTTCTGCGGCTGCTGGGTTGGCGAGGCAGGTTGGGTATCAGAAGGTTGGGGAGTATAGGNGGAGTATGCTTGAGTGGAAAGGTAAGGGTGGTAAGGTGGAACAATTTTGAGTGTGGGTTTGATCAGGGACGAGAGGAAGGGATGGTATAGAAGAGGGACACGGCCAAGTTGCGCCGCTCAAAGGTGCTACGAAGAAGGGTTGGATGCTGTGACTCTCATAGGGCTTCTTGTGGTTATGCCTTGCCTGTGATAGAGACATGTCTGTTGATGTGTCCAAGTCCCCTTGGTATTAAAGTCTCCATCCTTCTTGCTCAACCAGCAAGACTCCAATCAGAGCAGTATGGAAAGCATCCCGATGCGACCTTATCCGCATTATACATGCCAGCAAAGCAGCAGCTGGTCTGTGCTTTCCGGATGCTCTGCGATCTCTCAATCATCCCAAAGCTTCAAACCACATTTCCACCACACAACTCATCAAAGCTCGCCTCTCCCCTTCTTCTGTGCCGAAATATAATCAAAATGTCTGGCATCAACATCAGCACACTTCCCCGCATGTCGCGAGAATCCCTGGCTTCTCTAATCAAAGACAAGAATCCCTCCATGGCCGTCATCGACGTCCGCGATAGTGACTATATCGGCGGCCACATCATCGGAGGCCATAACATTCCCACCAACACCCACGACTACGCGATGCCTGAATTAGTGCGCACATTGAAAGATAAAGAAACCGTGGTGTTTCATTGCGCGTTGAGTCAACAGAGAGGTCCATCAGCAGTATTGAAGTATCTGCGGGAGAAGGAGAGGATGGAAGCGAGTAATGGCGAAGCGGAAAAGGCAGAAGTGGTGGAGGGGAAACAAGGGAAAGAAGGTGTTAAGGTCAAGGGGCAGACTGTGTATGTGCTTGAGGGTGGGTTTGTCAAGTGGCAAGAACTGTGAGTTTTTTCCTTCGTTTTTATTGTTTTCACCTTCGATCGTGGGGTGTTTTGCTAACATCGAACAAAATAGCNNTATGGAGAAGACAAGCAACTTACAGAAGACTACCAAAAGGATATTTGGGAGTTTGGATACTAGAGGGAAGCTGTTTCCAAAGTTAACTTGACACTCTTGATGAGCAAGGAGGTCATATCTTGTTCGAGCTCATATCAAATTTCACATAGCGAGGGGTTCTCCACGTCCAGGGCAAAGAGTAAAGACATGATTCGTACAGACTTTCTGGTGGTTCGTCGTTCAGTCATGATCTCCGATACAGAAGTCGCATAGACTAAGTCGCTTTACAACCATAAATTGTTACCATGAGTCCATAGACGAGTCGAGCAGACATCCCCTCAACACACTTTCCACAAGGTCGTAGAGTCGGGGAGTAAAAGCAACAGTGTATTGTGTTTATGCATCGTGCCTGCCTAGCCACAGGCCTCGCTTCCAGCTTTGCTGGTTTGCGAAATTCTTGGGACGAGTTGGAACGTCACTTCCAGTCAAGCATGAACACTTGCAAGACATCAGGTCCATCGACGACTCTTCTACGTGCAACTAACCCAACAAAACTCGTGCGTGATCGAAGGTTGACGTCCACACTAATGCTCTAGTCGTCAGAACCGATGACTGCTAGTCTCAAGGACGTAGAAGCAAGAGTGCAGTTACGAGCACAAGCTGCTTGACCTTGTCGACTGGAAGGCCTGGCCCGAAAGACACTGTCAACCTGGGATATGACAGATGAACTCTTCATCTGATTGATGGAGAATCAATATTCCCGATCATAGTCATGCATACTGATCCAGGTGCCCGAAGGTCACCCTGCCCCTTATGTACACAAAAGCTTGCAATACGCCAGCAACATCCGGCCTTCCAATCGAGAGCCTCATTCAGGGCATACCATCGCTACGCGAGAAACATGAGCATCTCACATGATCACCGGCTGGCTGCTGCCACTCAGCCCTGTCGACACTTCCATAAATGGCTTACGCGCGCAACTTTACTCCCCCCGAACTCGACCGCTGCCTCCAAATTAACAGTGTATCACACAAGGGCTGCAGGGATAACCCCATCCGAGCATGGCTGCCACTGCGTGGCCATCAATTTGCACCGACGCCCACTGTCACACCAGTCGCCGCTACAGCAACGTGCTTTGAATGTAGCCGAACAGCATCATCCATCGAGACACGAAGCTCCACCAATGATTGAGCTCGATGCTCGCTGTTCGCGAAGACTGGTGGAAATATGATTCTGGTGCTCATTAGCAATCGGACAGTTTTCGTTGCCTTGCACAAAGTTTTGATTGAAGACATGGCAGGTCTCGCCAAACCAGTTGTCCAAGATGGCGGAGGCGCTATCGAATTCTTCACGGTCATCTCGGAGGGTCATCGTCTGGCAGACGGGTATCGTATCTCTGATGCTCGATACGTTCTGCCTCGCACAGGAGCGTCATCTGCTATGAAGACAGCACATAGCAAAGGGTCGCAGTGCCTTTGAGCGCTTCCCTCATCAACGCTCGATTGCCTGCAAAGGCATCGTCTTCCCAGAATCGACGTCTGCCAGCCACGTTCCTATGGATGCTTCGGGATTGCTGGAATCACTCCGCAGAGGTACAATCGCTCAAATGGACCGGACCGCGATCCAGAAGCGATGGAACAAGCCCATGTCGAGTTATTGATTGATATGAAGGATACCGAGGAAGTCTGGCCGCTTGAGCTTGACGTGTGATGACACACAAGAAATCGCCGTAATGAACGACGCTTCCAATGGCAGGTTGCCTCTACTGCACCAGTGCTAATAGGATACGACACATGATCTCACCGCATTGTCTCAGGTGCCAGGCATGCACATCAGCTATTCACCTATTTGTGGAACCAAAGGGGCCGCTGATCAACAGTATGCTGCAGCTCTAGACCCTTAGAAGGTCTTCTCAGAACGGAGAACTGAGCCGAGTAAACATTCAGATGAGCCTCTCGGTTGTGGAAACTGCAATATTCAGAACTCGAGCGGCGAACCGCAAGGAGGAAAGACTGGTTTGCAAAGCTTGGGCGTATACTGACTGTCGATTTTGGTTCGGTCTCTCGACTGACAGCTGTGAACGCCACGGTTCGATGGTCGTCGCGGATAGTCGAGATGAGTGCTTCCCCAGACTATCCACTCTAGACTGCGGCTTGGTTGTTTCAGCACTTCGGGTGGAGGTTCTGTACTACAAGGTGACTTCGGTCCGTCTGCTTCACTCTTCTCACCACGTGGACTTGGATAGATGAACCTCCGGTGGGTGTTTTGCCGTTGTCTCGTCTGAGAGTCACCAATGTCGAGCCGTTGCGACCATCTTAGGTATTATAAGCCTCTATATATACTGACGAACTATATCAGAGTAGCTCGGTTTAGGCGTAAGCCACACGTTATAGGACTACACACAGCCACGTCCGTGTATAAATGGCATATCACTAGTTCTCGAACACGAGCCTCGCATCCTCGCGTTTCGAACACATGGAGACCCCCTACTTGGACGAGAAGGTAACATGCCGCTAGGTTCGCCTCGATGCAAAGTATGGGTTTCAGTACGACTTTAGCCAGACGACCCTCGGATCTTTGCAGGCCAATCACCGTTCGTACTAGATCGTTTAAGGTGGGATTTAAGCATCATGTCGACATCAAGCTACCTATTTACCCCACACTCTAAATGCACTCCACGTTTCGTTCGGCTATACAAGAACAAATTCATTCAATCATCACTCAGCCTGAAACCTGGACAAGAATCTAATGATCGACAGCAGTGATGGCAATACATACTCGCCCGTTCTCACGCGTGGATGCAAAGATATAAAACATGGAATCCACCTGCACTGCTGGACAATTCTCATCCGCCATCCACCAACTTTCCATTCACTCACTACCTTTCTAACAACTCCTTCAATATGAAGTTCTCCATTGCTCAAGCCGGCCTGGTGTCGGCTACCATGCTCCTCGGTTCCGTCTCTGCTCAGACCTGCGATATTCCTGCCAAGCCCCAGTGGTCTTCCACCGGTGCTCTCGCTCAGCCCAAGAACGGCTGGGTCGCCATCAAGGATTTGACCACCACCTACTACAACGGTCAGCACATCGTCTACGCCTCTTACCACGACCAGAGCAACTATGGCGGTATGAACTTTGGTCTCTTCGGCGACTGGTCCCAGATGGGCAACGTTGCCCAGAACAAGCTGCCCCAGTCTGCTGTTGCTCCTACTCTCTTCCACTTCGCCCCTAAGAACGTTTGGATCCTTGCCCACCAGTGGGGACCCACCACCTTCTCATACCGCACCTCGCAGGACCCCAGCAATGCTAACGGTTGGTCTGCTGCTCAGCCTCTGTTCACTGGCACCATTTCTGGTTCCGGCACTGGCCCTATCGACCAGACCGTCATCGGTGACAGCAAGAACATGTACCTGTTCTTCGCCGGCGACAACGGCAAGATCTACCGCGCCAGCATGCCCATTGGCAACTTCCCCGGCAGCTTCGGCAGCGCCAGCACCGTCGTCATGAGCGACACCACCAACAACCTGTTCGAGGCCGTCCAGGTCTACACCCTCAAGGGCCAGAACAAGTACCTCATGATCGTCGAGGCCCAGGGTACCAACGGCCGCTACTTCCGTTCCTTCACCGCCACCTCCCTCGGCGGCACCTGGACTCCTCAGGCCGCTTCTGAGAGCAGTCCCTTCGCCGGCAAGGCCAACTCCGGCGCCGGCTGGACCAACGACATCTCCCACGGTGACCTTGTCCGCACCAACGCCGACCAGACCTTCACTGTCGATCCTTGCAACCTCCAGTTCCTGTACCAGGGACGTGACCCCAAGTCGACTGCCACCTACGACAAGCTCCCTTACCGCCCCGGTCTTCTTACCCTCAAGAACCCCGTCAAGAAGTAAACCATCCCTGCAGTGGATTGTTAGCGTCTTTTTCATTCTATGTGAAGTCGCTTTTCGAAAGGAAAAAGGAGAGATTTGTTTGAGTGTATGTGAGAGGATCTTTGGCGGATCGGACCATTCTATTCCTTCTGGGATTTCTTATGTAGCGTTAGCACTAGTGTTCGAACTGGCTTCGAGCTTGTTGTCAATGCAAAGGAAAATCATTCTCAGAACAACGCTTCTCCTTGAATTCTCGTCTTGTGATAGCGTAGTAATTTAGTTACCCCATGTGCCTGGTAGAAGTTCACCGCAACCACGAACAGGACAACTCCAGGGTGAGCTTGTAGTCGTTGACGAAATTCTTCATTTCGCGACGTACCACTTCAATGTCGTGGAGCCTGTCTCCGTAATCGAGCCCCGGATGTTTCTGTAAGAACCTTTGAACCCTCATCACCATAAACACACACCTCGGTAGGTTCCTGACGCTTCCCTGTTCGAAACGTCAAACACGAATACGTCAATCCCATCGCTCCGGCTCTTGCTGAGAAGTTGTTGTTGTCCATGACGGCGCTATGCTATATGCGAGCAAATCAGGCAGGATTGTATCCCCTGGATCCCGGATTGTGCTTGCGTTCCAACTTTTCCTTATACTTTTCCATTTGTTCTCTTTTCGGATCCCTCGCGCCGACGAGCTACACCGCATAACTTGCCCATTGCCGAGTCCAAGCTTCGATCAATATGCCTTCTCATTGAATACGACCACAACATCCGTCGTTTCCGACTCTTGGGGTCTAATATAGCTCCGAGTGACGGACGTGCTGAGTCCGAAGACAACCACAATCTCATCTTGGACTCGAGATGTTCATGCTTGCATATCGAGCCCCTCGACATCAATCAGGTGCACCGCCCGACAGATGCGGCTATCATAGGAGTAATTGGTGGTACGGTTCTCAACACTTCACATCACGGCGAGATGGCCGAGCGGTCTAAGGCGCCAGCTTAAGGTTCTTCCAATACGCTGGTCCGAAAGGGCGTGGGTTCAAATCCCACTCTCGTCAATATTCTTTTGCTCGCAGGCCCATCGTCATCACCAACAGCAGGTGATGGCATGGTCACAAAGGCAATATTTTGACACTCGGACATGGAGTTTGTGGATTTTTCGTTTCCTCGCGAAGCCTCGCGTTCGGAGATGGCTTGGCGAACAAAGCATGCATAAATGGGAGAATTGTGCGAGTGGGTTATGCAAGCGTTCTAAGAATGATTCTTATCGAATGCGCAAGAAACAAGAAAGCTGCTGGTTATGAGAAGGAACCACCATAAGAACTCACCATTGGCCTCTCCGAACAAGTCCAGGGAACAAATCTGATCACAAAGAACAAACACACAGATACAACATTAGAAAAATCATAACATATAACTCATAACTCACATTACATCCCTTCCCTCCGACTTTTCCTTCTTTCGTATCTCTTAGACCAGATACCTATACTCCGGGTTCAAATCACCCAACTCCGTCTTCTCGTATTCAGTCAAGCCCACATCCGTTACGGTCTTATCTCTCTGCCTGTTCTGCGCAACACAGGCAATGTAATAAGCAATACAGCTCAACACACTCAAGCAAGTAAATGCAATGCAGATACTATAGCCCTTGGTATATAGCGGCGCATCCGTCTTCAAGAAACAGTACACGGCGATGATACCGCCGATGTTGCCGAACGCGACTTGCCAGGCTGAGCCCACGCTGCGGCGATGATGGCCACCGAGATTCATGTCTGTGAGGCAGCAAGGTTAGCAAATGTTGCATGGGGGTAGATGGGGCAGGTATGGGCATAACGTACTGAACCAGCACACAATGATTGGCATGGCGGAGTAAGCTCCCATGGCCACGAGGAACAGAGCTGCGTATTCGAGAGGTCGGTTGTCGTGTACGGAAATCAAGATCGCGAAGCCGACGATGGCGACACAGATGGCAAAGACGGCGAAAGCGAATCGATGGCGTGTTTTATCGGAGATGTAGGCGAGAATCATGGCGAATGCAAAGGCGGCGGCCCACGGAGGTACACTGTGCAACTGTGTTTGGATTTTTCCATAGCCGTAGCCGTTGATGATTGAAGGTGAGAAGTATGCGTAGCTNGCGAAGGTGAAGTCAGCAAGGGAGGATCTTTGAGATGAAAACTCGGCAGTGGCTTACGAGTAGGCGGGCACAATGAGGCCAAAGTACATGAAACCTCCGAGGAAGACTTTGTAATCTTTGAAGACGTTGCCGACATCTTTAATGCCCATCTTGCGTTCTACGGCTGAGGCACCTTGTTCGCTTCGAAGGCGGTTGATGACAAAGGTCCTCTCTTCTTCAGAGAGCCATTTGCTGTCTTCAGGAAAATCGGGAAGTACGAAGAAAAAGGAGGCGCTGACAACGCAAGTGAGGATTCCTTCGAGGATGAAGATCTACAAATTTCGGTCAATCACTATCTCAGTTTCGAGACTTGTTGCTGAACATACCCATCTCCAGCCGTTGTAGCCTGCGATACCGTCCATCTTTCCGATTGCTGCTGCGAGCAGGCCGGCAAAGGCACCAGCAAGTGTTGTGCTTGAGAAGAAGAAACTGTATCTTCTCTGTGCTTCTGTTCGCAGATACCACGACGAGAGTAGATAGAAGCATCCTGGGAACATTCCTGACTCGAATACACCTGGAGATGGTGAGCTTCTGGAACGTGGCGACATAGCATGCAGTATGCAACAAGGATCGGCCATACCTAGGAANAAGCGCGTGGCCAACAAGCCAGAGTAATTCGTAACGACTCCTTGCAATGTCGTCGTAAGACCAAACAGGAACATGCATGCCGACAACCACACATGCGGCTTGAACTTCTTGAGCAAGATATTACTAGGGATTTCGAAGAAGATATAAGGCGCGAAAAAGATGACGAGAGCGTTGTTGTACTCATGACCTTCCAGGCCGAGCTCTTCGGACATGCCTGCGACATTGGCATTTGCGATGTTGACTCTGNNAGGAGATGCCTAGTCAGGTTGTGTTCTTCTGCTCTTTCCTTGGCTTCGTCGCGCGACTCACCTGTCCAGGAAAGCGAGCAAGTAGAGAATACACAAGAACGGTACGACGTGAAAATCGATCTTGTTGACTAGTTTGCGCTCGGTTGTGTGTGGTGGGCAGACAAGGGTATCGTCGTATGCGGTTCCGGTTTCGACGCGATCGAACGATGTTGGCGACCCGCCATCAATGTCCTCTGATTTCATATGGTCAGTCATCTCAATGCGCCTCGCAGTGTCAAGAGCCTTGTCTTACTCTCTCGATATACCATCTTGGATGGTTCTTTGCGTATGTGTTGCTTCTCTCAAGGTCTGCTGCGTCTACAAACGGCTCGGTCGCAAAGCGAATAGGCAACCGAAGCACACCGAGGTAGTTATAATCTTGTGATGGAGCGAAACAAGAAATTCAAGAGAGAGAAAGATCAACAAAGAAAGTGGAAAGAAGACTGTACTTGACCGTCTGACTCCCGACACATCCGTAGGAGATCTCCAATCCTACCATGTGGACTAATCGTTTGTGACTGCGAGCCATCAACTCGCATCGTTATTCGTCCCATTCTACCAGTTCCCCGCGAAGATCTGCAGGTGTGAATGGGGCTGCTCTTGGCAATATGACGGCGGAATCCTTCCGAAAAATCAGATCCCTGCCACATCTCGGCAACGCGTCTGAGCAGATCAGTGTGGTATTCTTCATGCCTTCATCTCTTTCTCCGTTGTCGAAGAGCCCTTTTAGTCGGGTAGGTATGATCAAGCTTGGGAACAATCCTCCTCTCTGCATCCTGACACTTTTCGGAAGGATTGAGATGGTGGCTTGAAGAGCGGCGGTGTTGGCCGACCAGAATATGAATGATGCCGATCTCGGATGTCCAGTCGTGTAACAACACCTTCCTCTTTCTACCTCGGGATTCTGCCCTCTTGGAGTGGTACAGGTAACATATAAACGTCTTGACGCAGCGCCGGAGTCAGCTGTCGGTGAATACGAGTCTTATAGCGGCCACGTTCCGCAGGACAAACAGCAAAGTAGACCGGCCACCTGTGAAGTTATTCGTGCGTGTATACCATAATCGACGCTGTTGATAAGGAGTCCGAAGTCGGCGGCTTCATCTGCGACACACCCTGATGGTAAGATTGCTTTGATGCGGATGAACAGATGAGTCACCGCCGAATGACTGTCCCATCAAGAGTGGTTACAATCAGTGTGGATAGTATTATGGTCGGCCACTGCAATATGCTGGCAATCGAGTCTGAAGAGTTACCCTGAGAGTTTTCCGCTTTGGTCTCCATAACGTACTGGAAGATGGACAATACCAGCCTTGGAGAATAAATACATGGGTTCAGTCTAGAGGAGATGAGTGGTGTTGAAAAACTTGAGAGGCAGCGAGATCAATGGTGTTTATAACACTCGCGCTCGCCATGATCCACTCTTACCAAAGGTCATCTGAAGCGGCTTTGTTGGCGCACCATTCTGCTGACCAGTACACGGGTCGATCTCCCCACTTGCAAATCGTCTTGAGAGATCTGGTCTATTGGTGTATTGTAGGTATGAGATGCATGACTAGAATCTGTCTGTGTTTGAGCCTTTAAACTCTAGATTGATCAGGTGTTGTCGCAAAGAAGAGGCGACCCCAGCCGACGTGGTAGACGCGATTCGTTCGCTGAAGTCTAGATGCAGAGGTGATATACGGGGCGAATAACAATGAATCGATCATGATGTGCATATCTGTAAGAAATATTCGATGGCGTTGACGAAAGACGCCATCTTGTCGCAGCTCGATGCTGGTAACTGAACGATCCTCGAGAAAGTGCAATGTTCGCATTCGACACAGGACGAGAAAGTTCATGGCGAAAGCGAAGCGACGATGGCCGTTTCAAATGCAGGTACGCGCGATGCTCGGTTTCGCGGCTTTCGTCCTTGCGCGGCGGAAGTTGCCAGCAGGTGGAAGGTTCGACCTGCCAATCAAGGAACACGCGTTGCAGCTTTACCGGTTGCTCCATCAAAGTCTTTGTCAACAATAAAAAAAATTGGATGGCAAACGCCGCGCATCGTGAACAGTTCTCTGCAATCGCTGCTGGCCTGAGTCGAAGCAACCAGAACATGCCTTGGTCTTGAGGCCTCTGTGCTTACGCGATGTAGGGCAACGCAGCGATTACCATACCGAGAGCCGATATCCAGAGATAAGACCCCGATGGTGGGTCTGGATGTTGCCGTCGGGAGTGCTTTATCGAATCAGGGCGAAGGCTTTGACAACTTTCTGTCAGCGACAGTGAGTTCCATGGCCCATGCGCTATCAGATCGCGACGGTCCCATATATTGTTGACAAGTCGCCGGGAAATCTACAGCTCCCTCCTGTCCCTGTCCATCTTTTCTTCCCTTCTTTGTGATACCCCCGAGTGTGTTTGTCCTTTTCTCCTCTCTATCCTAATACTCCTCGCACATTCACAATGGCTTCCGCTGCCAGATCTTTCACCCGCGCTCTGCGCTCGCCCGCCACATCTTCGTTGAAGAGAAGCGCCACCTTCGTCCCTCGCACTACCTTTGCTCAGTCAAGCCGTCGTGGCTACGCTGATGCCGCTGGCGCTAAGAAGGGCGGCAATGGCCTCTTGATCGGTGGTCTCGTTGCTGCCCTTGCTGGTGGTGCTGGATTTTACTACTTGAACGGCGCTGAGCAGGCCAAAGCTGCTGGTGTCTTCACCCCCAAGCAGGAGGACTACCAGAAGGTTTACGACCACATCGCTAAGCTTCTCGTTGAGCACGACAACTACGATGACGGCTCCTACGGACCTGTCCTTGTCCGTCTTGCATGGCACGCCAGTGGCACCTACGATGCTGAGACCAAGACTGGTGGCAGCAACGGTGCCACCATGAGATTCCCTCCTGAGGGTGACCACGGTGCCAACGCCGGTCTTCACGCCGCCCGTAACTTCCTCGATCCCGTCAAGAAGGAGTTCCCCTGGATCACCTACTCCGACCTCTGGACTCTTGCTGGTGTTGCCGCCATCCAGGAGATGCAGGGCCCCAAGATCCCCTGGAGACCTGGCCGCAACGACCGTGACGTCTCTTACTGCACACCCGACGGCCGTCTCNCTGATGCTTCCAAGGAGCAGAAGCACCTCCGCGCCATCTTCAACCGCATGGGCTTCAACGACCAAGAGATCGTCGCTCTCTCTGGCGCCCACGCTCTCGGCCGCTGCCACACCGATCGTTCCGGTTTCTCTGGCCCCTGGACCTTCTCCNCCACCACTCTCACCAACGACTACTACAAGCTCCTCATGGAAGAGAAGTGGGCCTACAAGAAGTGGGACGGCCCCAAGCAGTTTGAGGATGTCTCCACCAAGACCCTGATGATGCTTCCCACCGACATGGCCCTGATCAAGGACAAGAGCTTCAAGGCCTACGTCGAGAAGTACGCCAAGGACAACGAGGCCTTCTTCCACGACTTCTCCAACGTCGTCATGAAGCTGTTCGAGCTCGGCGTTCCCTTCCAGACCGAGGAGCGCATGACCTTCAAGCCTTCCGAGTAAACCACATCTTGATACCCCAAAACACCGACCATACAAAAACAATAAAAGGAGGGATTAGACACAATACAAGGGCCATGGGGAATACACTATAGACGGCCAAAACGCGCATCTGCATGAACTAGATACATTAGACCTGCGCTGGAGCAGCACATCCTCTTTCTTCGATGATACCTCGACTTTTTCTGTTTTGTCAATTGTTCATTTAGCGTTCTTTTTTCTTCCTGATTTAGACAAGAATACAATTGTCTTTACAATCCTTGCATCTTCCAAGACTTGACGTCCAGATTACCTTTCGCATGCAGGCCACCGACATCCAATAACCTTAACTCTCTCCTCGGTTCTGTTCCGCACAGTGAAGGATCTTGTTTATGGGAGGCGCCATGACCCCGCTTCTCATATTGACAAAGGAGGACCCAATCGCGGACATGCTGTGTTTTCCATACTGGTGTCACTGAGGACTGGAAGTGGCACTGATCCCTTGCCATGACCGTGATAGTATGGTGCATTGGATGGTGATAGATAATCCGGTCAAAATGGTCATGTCGGAATGAATGTGGGACGACCCTGGTCAAGTAATCCTCCCATTCGGGAGATCCTTATTGATCTTCTTCGCCATGCGATAAGCATTCGAGCAAATTCTGAATATCGAATGTATACTCATGCGCGCCTTCTTTAGGTTTTAACCTTGCTGCATGTGCTATCATTGTGCATATGGAATGGTTTGCCGATATATTCAATCTTTGAGCTTTGTTCGGTAATCCTGCTAGTCAGTGAGTCGATTGGAAGAACGAACAAAAGCAACAACAGTGCAGTCCGAACTAGTCGTGTCCAAAAGTATAGTGGAGCAACAGCATGTATCACAAACTCGTATCATCCGAATGTAAAACGCTGATTACCATCTGTGAGGCTTATCTCATGCACGTGTGACTACGACACCATCCTGAGTCACATCCCAGAGCCTCGTCTCGTAAAACCAACGACCAAACCCATCCATCACTCCTCAAAGCACCACATACATCACCAGAGTTTCCCTTGAACCAGAACTATCTACCAATTCAAGCCTTGCAACTACAACCTCAGACCAGCATAATGGCCAACCCCACCTCACCAACCACACCAAACCACCCTTCTTCGCAACCACCAATAATAAAGCTAGCCACCCTCTCCGATGTCAACGCAGTCTCCTCACTCATAAACCTGGCTTATACACCATATATCCCTCGTCTCGGCGGCAAGAAACCAGCCCCCATGACTGCAGACCATGCCGCTTGTATAGCGTCCTCTTCTTTATATATTCTGTGTGCTTCTCCATCTTCACCCACGTCCACCACTGACACCACAACTCCCAACACCACTGCCTCGGCCTCCACTATCGTTGGCTGTATATCCCTAACCCCCTCCTCTTCCTCTCACGCCCTAGAAATCAACAATCTAGCCATCGCACCCTCCTCCCAAGGAAAAGGCTACGGAAGACTCTTGATGCAATTTGCCGAGACCAAAGCAAAGGAAAAGGGATTAACAAAGACGGAACTGTATACCAATGTCAAGATGGTCGAGAATCTTGCGCTGTATAAGAAACTAGGGTATCAGGAGGTGGGCAGGTGCGAGCAAGATGGCTTCGAGAGGGTGTTTNTTGTAAAGGAGTTGGTTTAGACGGTGGAAGTTTTGGCACAAGAGACAATGGTTGACATGGAACGTGAGGTATCTTTCTGGTTCGGGAAAGGAAGGTTGACAGAGGCAAGGACGACGAGAAAAACTTATTGAAATATTTGAAAAATAATCTGTTGAGGGTCGTGAAACATCGCTATATCGCTACATCGCTACTAAATCGCTGCTAAATGAAATAAGCACGAGATGAATATATAAAAAGGTTACTTTTCGTCATAGAATCATCATGAGAACCAGTGCCAGAACTTGCCAAAGAAAGTCGTCGGCACCGGCTCCTCAAACACCTGCTCATCAATCTCCTTTCTGCCAGAGTCAATGTCGGCTTCCGAAGGTTTGACGAATCTCGGTCTGACAATCGCCTTGTGGCCAATGTACAGCACAACGAACAGGATCAAACTAATGTATGCGATGAAAAAGTTTGAGGTGTTCCAGGGGATGAATGCAGTGAATCCCTGGGTGAAGATGATCAACACCCAGAAGAAGAGTCCGTAGTAAGTAAACCACGGTTGAAGTATGGCCTTGTAAGGCAGAGTATCTCTGGAGATGCCACGGTTCTGCAGAATCTTCATGAATGCCAGGTGAGAAGCCAAGATACATGCCCAAGCAATGAAACCTGCGACACCGGAGATCTGGATGAGCCAGTTGAAAGCAACACTTCCTCCAGATGAGACGTTCATGAAGCCGAGAAGACCAAAGAGGGAGGTGAATGCGACAGCGTACACAGGGACCTGTCCCTTGGTCTTCAAGAACAACTTGGGGGCGAACCCTTCAACAGAGAGTCCAACCAGGATTCTAGACGCTGAGTAGACGTTAGAGTTGGCAGCGCTCAACACAGTGCAGAGCAAGACTGCATTGATTATGCCCGGAAGAGTCTTGACACCGGCAAGCTTAGCAGCAATAACCAGAGGCGAAGCAGTGGCGTCACTGCCTCCAGCGCGCAGTTGTTCGTTGTCGTAAGGCACCAGGAGACCGATGAAGAAGATCGTGAAGACGAAGAAGAAGAGGATGCGGAAAAAGGTCTTGCGGATAGCCGAAGGAATGGTCTTGCGAGGGTTGTATGTCTCGCCTGCAGCTACTGCAACCAGCTCGGTACCAGAGTACGAGAAACCAGCTTGAATCAAGACCGACCAGAAGCCAACGAACTTGGCCAGAGCAGTGCTCCTGCCACCATCAACAAGGTATGGTGCAAAAGCGCCAGGGTGCCTCCATGTCTCGAAGCCGAGATATCCGTGCTGACCGGCTCCAGCGTCGATACAGATGGCGAAAATCATGAAACCGAGGACAGTGATGACCTTGATCAACGCTGCATAGAACTCGATCTCGCCGTAAAACTTGACGGGCATGAAGTTGGCGGCCGTGATGACGATCCAGAAGCAGCCAATGAAGATGGCTTGACTCAAATCAGGTCGCCAGTATTGGATAATGATACCACTCGCGGTGAGTTCGAGAGCGTAGCATGAAGCCCACGCCCACCAGTAGATCCATCCCATGGAGAAACCGAGCGAAGGGTCAACGAAACGGCTGGCGTATGCAGTGAAAGCTCCAGTGACAGGAAGGAATGCGCACATCTCTCCCAATGACACCATTACACTGTAGACTAGAGTGCCTACGAATGCATAGGCAATAAGAGCTCCGGCGGGACCTGCATTGGCAAGGGCGGTTCCTGATCCGATGAATAGTCCAGTACCAATGGTACCACCTNNGATTGTTTGTGGTTAGTGGATGGTGGAGGTGCATAAGGGTCGGTCAAGGATACCAATGGCAATCATCTGCAAGTGTCTAGACTTGAGCTGTCTAGAAAGCTGATGTGTGGTTCCTCGTTCGACAGCATGGTCCAATGAGCCTGAACTCGAGTCCCAAGCATTCTTCTCGTTGACATCAAACTCCTTTGGTGGTTGTGCACCAGCAACATGTGCGCTGCTGTCTGCCATGGTATATATCGGCAATCGACTTCCTCGACTTGAATTGGTGGTATGGGATGAAACAGTCACAGAAGGCAAGTGAAAAGCGACGAAATCATCGTGCAGGCCGACTTGGCCCAGCTCGGGCCGTAAAATTTGCCTGCTATGCTGTCAGACGTTCCGAGTACGTAAAATCTCAATTCTCAACGCTGGGCGCCCCAGAAATTTTGCCAAAACCAAGCTCGGTCTCTGCTGAACGACAGCCGAAGTCGCCGTCTGGACCGGATATTCATGTGGAGGAGTGAGAGAGGAAGGCAGAAGAGAAGAATGCTGGGGTGAAGAGATGAAATGGTTGAGGAAGGTCATGTCCGACCAGTCGCGACGTCAAAGAGAAGTTGAGTCTCTGGATGAACGAGCGAGCGACAGTTTCTACTGTGAGGATATATAGGACACGAAGCATCTGCAGCATTCGTTGCTAACATGCGAAGAGGCGAAGATGATAAAATCTCAGAGCTCATGCGATGCGACGTTAATGACTTATCATCGAGAAAAGATGCGAATTGTTGGTTGACTGACGACGGTGGTGGTGGTTGATCTGATGAGGAGGAAGGATGGAGCGGTCGGGAGGTCCGCGCACCTGCCTTTGTGTGTCACGAGTCAGGAACCAGCTTCGTCATCGTTGGCAAGCGCGTCTACAGATGGAGCAAGATGATTGATGGTCATGATGCTTTTAATGCCAACGAGTTACTTTTGTAGGTAACGCTTCTGTTACCATCGACATGAAATAAACCTCCCTTTTGTTTTCTCCAGTGCTTAAGAATCATCTATGAATGCCACATTAAGTCTTCTTGACCTTCTTGTTAGCAGACTTGTTCTTCTTCTTTTCAGCCATCTCGAGGAGCTTCGCCAGTCAGCGCGGCTCTCTTCCTAGTTCCTTCCTCGTGGGAACTTCAGACATGCAACCTACATAACCTTCTCAACGTCCATCAATTCCAACACAGCAGCGATGGTCTAGTGGTCAAGACGCTACACAAATGTGTTTTGCAAACACAAGCATGAAGGTAGACTGAGCGGTGCCATGGCGCTGCTGAAATGTCGCTGGAGTTGTAAAGACGTGGGTTCAAATCTCACTCACTGCATTATCCTTTTGCCCCCAAACCAAATCCCCTATCGCCAAACCCTTCGCCACTCTTCTTCAACCCTCAGCCATACCAGCCAAGCGACCAACGAAAAGCTCTGCACATGTTGCATTCCAAAATTTCCCTTTCGACGGTGCCAAAAGGAGCAGTCAGTTGATAGTTTTCAACTAGCAAAATCCGGTCTCAGACGAGTCTTCAGTGACGCGGATATTGCCCTTGCACTGGGATGAAGAAGAAGAGAAGGATTTGGCAGGGGCTGAGGGGTGTTTTATGTGTGGCAGGTTTGGAGTGAGTCATGGGGTTTAGGCAGCAGTGGGTGGTGTGACTGTAGGCAACCACTGCAAGTGAGTAAGCTTCAAGTGTATGGTCGCTCATTGTGTAAGCATCGGAGAGATAGTTGACAGTTGCGTCGTCTTGTGTGTTCACTTCGTCTTCGCTTATCTCCTGATCCGATACCACTTTTGCATTCACCACTTTCGCTGCTTATAGTATGGACATGCGAGTAGCAAAGCAGCCTGGAGTACAGTAAACCTACATCAATCTCGACACTCGCAATGCTATATCCGCCATCTCAGCATCTCCCTGTAAATCGCCTCCCAAAATCTCAAATTTGCTTTTCCAAAACGTCCACCTGCGTCCAACTACCTGATCCGTACCATCTTGATCCTGCCAAAGCTTTCCAGCCATGGCTGTCCAAGGCTCTCCCTTATACCCAGTATCCACAGCCTCTCTAACAACATCTCTAGCCACCAATATCCAGCGACAAGCAGCGGAAAGATGCACTATCGTGTTTCTGTCCAATCGCGAATTTGGAGGATGTTCAAGTGCAGATGACAAAGTCATAAAAGCGTATGTCACACAGCTTCCGAACAGAGTTGGAAATGCAGTGCCATGGTCGCGGACTAGAATAGCTACAAAGGTATTCATATTTGCCCATTTACGTGAGGCCTCTGAAGCGTGTTCGTTTTTGCTGAGGTAGGCTCCTGGCCCTTGCATTCTTTCCGCCAGATTGAGGGAGAAGAAGGGAAGGTCTGCCCAAAGACGTTCTCTAAGGAGTATAGGTTCGCCTGGCTGGATGAAAGTTCCTAGACCTTCGATGAACATGGGCTCTTGGTGGGTGTTTATGGCTTGCGGGAGGCTAGCTAGACACGCCAGGAGATTTGAGAGAGCAGACAGTGTTTCGATGCTTGAAAAGTGTTCGACGGCGCTGAAAATACAACCCCACATGTTGTTGCAGAGGGTCTCGATCTGGAAATCTGTTGTCGACGATGTAACATTCGTTAGGCGTTTCGCTGCCTCCTGAGCTTGACATTTTGACTCCAGAAGATCTTGGAATGTTTGGATGGTATGCCATTGAGGAGATTGAGGGTCTGGTGTCGGTTGTGGAGGTGGAGAGTCGAAGTTGTTGCCTTGAGCTGGATACAGTCGACCTAGCCATTCATGCTGTTGTCTGATATACTCTTCTACCATGATTTGCGACAGGGATGATACAAAGAGATGATGGAAGAGAAGTACAATATGGCATGCCGAAATTGATTTATGCAGCAGTGGCGTACGTCATTAAGACTTCAAGTCACGGCGAAGGATTGTCATGTGGAAAATCCAATCGTTGATGAGATCGGAAAAGGCATTGGCGAGAACGCGACAAGATGTAGACCATGTGGGTGCTGTTGTTTGAGACATGTGTCTGAGGGGCGAGAACATGAGCAGAAGCAGAGATAAACGAGACATGAGGTAAAACTCACCTCAAGACATGTAGACCTATTATGGAACGCTGACACAAAGATGTAGGAGGAAGACGAAGACATGTTCCTAGCGCATGGGCTGCACTGGTGGCAAGCAAGTCAAACCCCAGTCAATAGCTACCGTCACTTCACAAAGCATTGAACATGAGTAACAAGATCGACTTAATGATAGAATGATTCTTTTATACAAAACTGCAGGAACCTGCCCGCAATGATAGTAGTCTTTGATGATGGGGGAAGCGCGCGCGATCGTGTGATCATAAACTTGGGCCTGATAAAACTGCAGCATTTGTATATCGAACAAACAGACAACGGGGGGGGGGGGGGGGGGGGAAAGGATGTGCGATGGAAAAAGATCAGCGTGGAAAAGAAGCCAAACGAGAAGGGATATAACTTGGTCGCAAAACTCTCCATCAGTATAAAACACAAAAAAGATAGAGGGGGTCATCAAGAAAAAAAGGTATAAAAAGGAAGTTTTTGCTACATCCAGGAAAAACAACCTGCCTGCCAGTACCCAATGGTGGTAAACAACAATGAGATGCTTAGCGGCGGGGTGACCGCGGACACGGCGGTGCTCCTTGCCAACGTGGCGGCGAGCGTAAGCGTTGGCAGTCTCGACGGCGGTGGCGGTGACAGTGACGTCGACCTCCTCGATCATCATCTGCATGACCTGGTTGCCAGAGGTGGACCAGGAAGTGGCGATGATGTTGCCGGCGGCGTCAGTCTCGGCGTCGGCGAGCGAGGCAGCGGCAGTGACGGTCGAGGCGGACTCGGTCTGGACGTACGACGAGGCGGTGTTGGCAAGGAGAATGCCGCCACCGTACTTGTCGGTGACGGACGACGTACCGGGAGTGTAGCTCAGAGTGGGGACAACAGCGGATGAGGAAGCGGCCGAAGTGACCTGGGCAGAAGCCTTGGTCGAGGTGGCAGCAGCCTGAGTCTCGTCACCAGCAAGGACAACGGGGTAGCTGGTGGCGTAAGAAGGACCGGACTGGATGGGGACAGCGATGGGGAGACCGTCGCGGGGACCAAGAGGGTTGTCGTCCTTGATGGCATCAACGTCCTTGAATGTGCACTGCTGCTCCTGGGCCTCGGTCTGGATGTTGAACAGAGGGCAGTCCTCGATCTCGCCAGAGGCGTTGGTGCAGGTGTCGACGGCAGACTGGAGGAAGTCGCTGCTGTCCCAGCCCATCTGGAAATCACCGTGGTATCCGTAACCAGTAGGGTCGCCGTTGGAGAGGACGAACTGGCCGTCAATACCCTTGAAGGCATAGGTGTTGAAGATGGTCTCGAAGAAGAGCGAGGGGAGCTTGGTGCCGAAGCCATCAGGGCAGGAACCGCTCATGACAAGGTCGGGGAAGGCGACGTGGGACTTGTGGTCGTCCGAGTCGACATCCTTGCCGTTCCAGCACGAAGGAAACATAAGCTCGAGACGGATACCATCGAGGCAGTTGGCGTCGAGGTACTCCTTGTCGGGCAAGAAGTGACGGTAGAGAGATGCCTCGGGGTTGGCGGCGTAGTTCAAGCAGTTGAAACCGAGAGCCTTCTGGGAGAGAGCACTCTGGGTCTTCTGGTTGGCAGTCCACGAAGACTTGTCGTTGTCAGGAATGGGGTAGGGGAAGCTACGTTGGCGCTTGTCACCAGAGATCATCTGGAAACCCTCGGGGAAGGCAGTGATGTTGCCGCTGGGGTTGGCAGCGTCAGTGTAGAGGAGGTAGTAGGCCAGCATACCGCCAACCTGCTCGACCATCTCGGCAGTGCCGTTGGAGTGGAGGAAGTAGAGAGGAGGGGTCCAGTAGGCAGACTTGTCCTGGGTAACAGCACATGAGGTGCAGTCAGAGTCGACAAGGTCCTGAGGAGTGTTGTCAATGCCAAAGNNTCTAAGGGAATGTTAGCAATTGGTAAGCCAAGACAGCATTATCAAGAACATACTGCTACCACCGTGGATAACGTGGACGTGGTCGGAGACCTTGCCAGGGTCCATGATGGGGTCAAGACGGCCGACACCAGTACGGCCACGGCAAGGAAGACGCCAGAAAGCATCGGCGCTGCCGGCAAGCGACAGAGCGCTGACTGCCAGAGACAGCGCGGAGGCCTTGTTGTTCACCATATTGAAGGTGATGTTTATCGATTGGATGAAGTAGGGTTGATCAAGCTTGACAAGACTGACTGCTTGGCCGGTCGATTGTCAGATGAAGGCGGAGAGGAATACACAAGCCACGAACGACTCGAGTTGTTTTGCTGCTGCGACTAAGGAATGTGGGAGAGAGTCTGGAAAACGAGTGTGAAGATGGTGCCAAGATTTGGGCTGCAGCGGATGCAGGTAGATAATGAATGATTTTTGACCGAAGGGAGGCCAGATGAAAAGAGTGACGGTAGATTGAAGCAGCAACAGAAACAACAGACGAAAGTGAGGTGACCAAGGCGAGCAGGGGAGACAGAGGGGGATGGGTGTTTAAGGAAATGAAGCTGTTTCCAAAAGGGCACGGTGCTCCTACACGCGCCGCCACAATTTAGAGCGTTTCATCTCGCAGCACCCCCGATGCACTCTGCGGCATCTGCGTTCAGAACCGTGTTATTACCTTGCCTTGACTCCGCTCCTATCGATTGTGCGAGGCGAGCATTGCCATGTCGCACTTCAACACTGTCACTGGCAGTGCAAGTCCTCGTGTTGGGGTCCCAGATTGTGCTCTGCGACCTGCCTTAATATTGCGCACATCAGGAGGCCCCGGCCGGCTGTGGTCTTCGCGCGTGTCCTTGGGATACCGATCTGCATGTCGGAAATGAGCCTTGTCAAACAGTCAAGCCAGTGGTTGTTGACACTTGCGAGGGAAGAAGTCACAACATGGAGCTAAGCTTTGAGGCTTGCCGCGAAACCAAAATTCACAACGGCCGGCCGGCGGCAGAAGAGGAGCAACAGGTCTCCTCCAAAGCACAACAAGATGCGTGTCATCCTGCATCCTTTTCTTGTTGATGTGGGATATGATTGCAACGAATGAAACGTCTGCTAAACACAACGACCAACTCCTTCTTCCACAGCAACAGTACCCGCGGCAAAAGTCTTTTATTATTGCGACCCCTTACTTTGCTCACATTCTTTGACAGGCGCACATGACACTGCCGCGCATGAATCGACCATGCATTGAAGCGCAATCTTGCAGTGACGAAGCTGTGGTTATTGCCAATACACTGGGCGCCTCTGGGCAATTGACACTGCGGCACAGTGCGGCCGGGACCTTGTTCTTACAATTGTACTCCCGAGTCCCAAGAGTCGCAATAGCAATCGATATGATTGCGTACACCGTTCTTCCAGAATCTCTACCGGTCTGGCATTGCCGCCGCATCCAGGTGCGACCCCTTATGCAACAGTCGAGCCAAGTCCGGACGTCGGGACCACTGTACGGGGAATAGGTGGCGATCCGCATACAATCACAAGAGGCAATGGCCTGCTCTTGGTCACCCCTCGTGCGCAGCTTGCCATTTTTATCCCTGGGCACGTCGATCGTTTCGTGTCAAAGCACTGAGAAGACCCGCCGCAAGAAGATCTCATGGCAACTGCTCTACCATGACGTTTCTGTGCTCAAGTCGAGGCTTCCCTTCGGTGCAATCGATTTCCCATCCTCCCGTCCTGCTTTCCAACTGGCAACGGGCGGTTCCCTGGCGTTCACCTGCACTGCCCCTACTAACAAACAACCCCGCTTGTGCAAATCGGCAGGGACCTTACCCGGAGGCCAAAGGTTTCAATGTGAGTCGGTGACATGGCATTCCGCATTTCAGTATAGGGATGCATTGATTCAAGCCACAGGGTTTGACGTTTTGTTACAAGTATCTGCGACGAACCAACAGTTTCTGTCTCTCCTCTACTTCATCCTCGCACGCTGTACTTGACGTAAATCTTGTTTTTNGGCTTGGTCGCGGCAAAAGTGTTAAAGTCACTCTTTGGCACTCCCTCAATCTTGTTGCCATGCTTGTCCGACAAGGTAAAGTCGAAGTTGGCGAGGAAGAAGGCGAGGATGATGTTTTGCTCGAGTTTCGCAAATCGCATGCCCAGACATGGATGTCTGCCTGCGCCCCAACCGATGAATCCAAACTTTGTCTTGTGGTCCTCTGCCTTCTCTGGCAAGTAGCGTGATGGATCCCACTTTTCGGGATCGGGATACACCTCGGGGTTGAGATGAACATCGGCCATTGGGTATGCTGCAAAGGCGCCTGGCGGAATCTCCGTACCGTCTGATACCTTGACGGCCTTGCTTGTCTCGTTCTTACGGAACATGGACCCAGAAGCGTTCAGACGGATGCTGTCTCGTAGGCACAAATCAATCGTGGGCAATTCATTCTCCCACGCCTCGAGGGGAGCAGATGCCAGTCTGTCTGCGATCGACTTTGATGTGTCATTGTCGTACTTCTCGGCAACTGCCTTGACCTCCTCCCAAACCTTTCCGCGCCAGTAATGGTCATTTGCAAGGTATATGATAACCCAAGCAGCGTTGATGCCAGAATTGAGTTGGCCCGCGTACAGCGCACCCAAGACGAACGTGAGAATCTCCTTGACATTATCGCCTTTGTCAATCAAGAATTGCAGAGGATCCTCCTCTTTGCGACCAGTCTTGGCACGGTCCTCGATAATCCCCTTGAAGATCATGTAAAGTTTACCACCATACCAGAGTCGTCTGAGCTTTCCAGGNAAGGGGAACCANGGAAAGATGATAAGCTTGGCCGAGGACGAAGCCTCTATTTTCTCGAACATGTCCAGTGTTTGGTCCAACAGAGTACGATTGTTGGCGATCTCGTTGCACGCGACCGTTCGCATGGTGAGTTGGTAGACGATGCCGTAAATGCTCTCGAAAGGATCGGTGATGCCGTTGGGGTCTTTTGCGAGTTCATCCAAACGCGTTCGTGTGTCCCTGATCAAATCCTGCAATCCTAAGCTNAAATGTGAGCATACGGTAAGTCAATCGCAGTTCCTAATCATACCTTTGACAAAATTCTCCTTCTTCAACATGGCAAGAAGACGTCTGGAGAATCCCTGACCATCAATCTCCTCTTGACCAGGATCATGAGTTTTGGGTACTGTTGGTGCGCCGGCAAACAGAGTGGCATANTCTAGATTCCAGAAGCAAGCTTCAGTAATCATGCATAACCCAAGCAAGAGTCAGTCTGCCACTCACCCTGAAGACGCATCCAGCTGCCTGCTCTCCATGAAAGCTCGTCTACCGTCATCTCCAGACACTCCCACGACCACATGCTTGCCAACGTGGAACGTAAAATTGCCATTGACCGATGCCTTTGTCGCCTCCTTGAAGAAGTCCCATCGTCTTGTCCAGAAGTCCGTGGGGCCGATCAGAGGCCACTCGCCTTTNACCAATGGAGGTGCTCCTTCAGGTAGATACCGGCCAGCAACGTAGAGGTACACAGCGATGATTCCCAGCGCAAGGGAAAGCACAGTTAGCAACGCCTGCGAGGTACCGAGACCCTGTACCGCTTCCGTCAACGCCATGATGATGATGTCTCTCGAAAAGCCAGAGGAGCGAAGAGAGTCAAACAATCACAGGCAACAGGGCCTTGAGATAGATATAAAGCCATGACCCCGCTGATAAGCGCCATTGGGACCCGCGCTATGCTACGAGTACATCTTAGCGATGTTGGATCCTGCTTCAAGTCGAGGTCATCGCTCTCCAATCAGGTGGTTGGGATGTGACGGAGAGGCACAAGCGAGCCTGCACGTTGCAGCCGGCCCTACCACATTCCGTGCAGATCCTTTCAGATCCTTTGAGAGTCTAATCGCGAAGTAGCTTTTACGATGTACGCCTCGTATGACGATTCAAATCGTTGCTGTATGTAATTATGGTATATGCGTTTAGCAGTATCTTTTCCTTGCATTGAGTATTTTTGGGTCTGTCTGTGGTTGCACAAGTTAGCAGATGATGGATTCTTGGTGGCCAGATTCTGGCTGCAACTTCCAGGCCGCGGGGTCATTGATGCGGGTCACTTCGGATCCTTATGTTATAGGTCAACGAACATTTCAAGGACCTACTCAGTACTCTTGTCAGTCACATGAAGTTGCAGCTTTCAGCTACCCGATAGACGAGTCAGTGATGCCTACTATGATCCTGCAGAGGCTTCGTCTTTTGTATCATAGTCGACCAAGGTTGGTCAGATTTGTGGCGCGAGAAGTTTACATGTTAGGTACTTGTAGCCTACACAGTCCGGTTCGACGAATCATGGCGTAAATCACATCACATCCAACTCCAACACCGAAGGATATGAGAACAAGTAGCCAGTCATGTTCTGTGATATATATCGGCAAGAAGGCGACAATGTACGCGTCTTCATAGTCTTATTTTATCCATGATAGTTGAGTGTGCAACTCTGACTTAACACAAGGTGGATCCCGGCGGGCACCATAACGGCCGCAACAACTGTAGTTCGATGTAGGTAACTCAACTGATGGTTAACGAGGCCATTGCGCATCGCTAGCGGTGTTCAAAGTGGCTCCTTTAACTGCCGTGCGTCTGATATAGTCGACGTGCTGGTTCGCTTTGACTTCCTTTTTCGGAGCGACAGCACGTGCATGGGCAATATGGTATCTAGGTAGATAGGGTCGAGAAGTTGTGCGCAGTAAAAGACGTGTTCAGTGCTTGGTATAGATACAAATGCTCATGTGAGTAGGTTCGTAGGTGTCATTGCGACCTCTTGGTCTTTTCCGTCAACGTCATCAAGATCGTGCCTGTGCTTCTCTCTCTTGGGTAGTATGGTATCTGTCTTCTCAATCCATCTACTTCTTGTCGGTCCTGGCTCCGAGACCCTCCTTTCCACCCTTGACCTCGTCGACTTCTTGGAAACCGGTGCTTCGGCTGCTGGGCTTCTGGGGGTCGGGCTGCTTTGCAGGGTGGTCGTCGCCAGACTTGCTTTCAGCGGAGCCTTTGGTGGAGGCAGATGACTTGTCGTCGTGGGCAGGGGAATGAGTGTGACCCTTTTGTTGTCTGCCAGGAGGAATGTTTGGTGGTGGGGGCGGGTCTTTTTGCAGGCGAGAGGTGGTGCTCAGAGGGCGCGTTGAGGCGATGCGGCTTGTTCGCAAGAAAGAGGCACGTAGAGACATCATGGCGGTTGTGTTTGTGTGACTTGTTTGTAGGTTTGTAGAAAAATTGGGTTAAAATAACTTATTGGAGCTGAGGTCGAGTTAAGAGTAGACTTGAGCAATCAAATCGAACCTCTCATGATATCATCATGATGGAGATCAGTCCGGTCGGGAGAATGGATTAACATCGATCATATCAGATCTTGGCCTACTTTCTTCGTGGAGAGCTCAAACAAAGGCCATCGCTTGAAGGAACAGTGATCCGCGTACAAAGTGTGTGGCAGCATCAGCTTGACTTCAAACAATGAGCTTCGAGTAGGACTTCAAGTCCTGCCATCCAAGACCAAGATTGATGCACACCTTAGTTGGATGTATCCCCCACACGAATGATGAGATTACCCAGTGAGCAGCGAGCAAGAGACTCGAGTCGGCGTATTGAGAAGATGCAATAGTTCCGTGAGCCCAGGTGATAGCTGTCGTCGCCATCGAAGGAGATGTCTGGTATTGGTCGGGCAGCTCCCGGGGAACAGCCGGCCGCGATGGACCAAAATCTTGGCATTGCCGACTCCGANAGTGAAAGTCCACCAGCGTTTATGGGCGTGCAGGGTATAGACATTTGATATCACATACAGTCGCCATGGCCTCCACAAGAACCTGCTTGTCGCAACTGACACGAACCACGCTATCACGACCGAATCTCTACGTCCCTTCAATCTCGATACAGCAGCGTGGTGCTGCACAGAGTGCCAACGCCCAAAAGTACAAGCGCAAGGAATTGCCCACATCGCAGCGCAAGAAGAAGAGCAGGACCACCTTCATCAACCATGACCTGAAAGACGCCATCCAGTTCCCTCTGGTCGATGCCATGCGGTACGAATCCCACATGTCTCACACCATATCCATTTCATCTTTCTTCGGCTTGAATCATGAGAAGGGCGCATACTGACAGCATCCANGATACCTTCGCGCAACAGAAGTCGGTCGCGTGCCAACATCCTCCAAGTACGAACTGCACCTTCGCCTCAAATCCCTCAAGAACGGTCCCGTAGTCCGCAACCGCATCCGCCTCCCACATCCCGTAAAGACCGATCTGCGCATCGCCGTCATCTGTGACCCCAACTCTTCCACCGCCGCTGCTGCAAGAAAGGCTGGAGCGACTTTGGTTGGCGAGGAGGCCATTTTCGACGCTGTAAAGGAGGGCCGTATCGAGTTCGACCGCTGTCTGTGCCACCAGGACTCGCTCGCAAAGATGAACAAGGCGGCGTTGGGAAGAATTCTGGGTCCCAGAGGCTTGATGCCTAGCGCAAAGACAGGAACAGTCGTCAAGGATGTTGCGGCAAGTGTGCAGGACATGGTTGGTGCAAGCGAGTACAGAGAACGTCTGGGTGTCATTAGAATGGCCATCGGACAGTTGGGCATGACCNCCGAGGAGTTGTCGAGGAATATCAGAAGCTTCATCGAGAATGTCAAGAAGGACATGGCTGGTATGAGCGACAGAATTGCCAAGGATATCCACGAGGTGGTGAGTTATAGCGCTTCTCTATGTTCTTTCCATGCAGAAGGACTGTATACTGCAAGAATCGTAACTAACAGGATATAGGTTCTCTCATCAACCAACGGACCCGGTCTCAGTCTGAACGGCGACCTCAGAGGTCCTGACTCGATACCCACAAAGGACCTCGCAACTGCCATGTAACAAAAGCAAGCAGGTAAAGCATTGTACATATACCCGACTTTTCATGTGCCCTTCTTCTTTCTGTATCAACTTGTATCACCATTGCGAAATTCATGACCATGTTAAAAATGCTCTTGCACTAGAATGAGCTTCGCCTCAAGTTCGGGAGCGATCACTCTGCCCACATGTGGATTTCACATGTGAGCTGTGTTTGCTTTGGAAAAGCGCGTAAATCACCACCAAGAGCCTTGTTTTTGCACTTGCTCTGCTCACTTATCCCAACACACCACCGATTCACCACGGTCTTATTCCCCAAACCATCACTCCATCCGCTTCACTCAGGTCTGGTCTGGTTAGAGTGTGCATTCTTGCACCTCTGTTCCACTTCAGGGCTGCGACATTTGTCCAATCGATCGAGCACACTGAGATCGCAGGGTCTGGTGAAGTCCATTAACCGCTTCGCCCTGTTCACTGCTAGTGAAACCGAACTCATCTCAGCGCACAGCTGGAGTGCACGACCGCATCCTCGCTGTTGTCGTAGGCATACGTTGCTCTGCGCCAGCTGTTTCGATTCTCGCAACCTGACTCTGACTACCACAACGCCGACAACCTAGATCACCCTCCTTGACAGATGACTCACTTGTAAGCTGGGATCTTCGTCTCCTTGGTCACAGCTCCATCCTTCGGCCAGCGATCTACTGAACTGTTCAGACGAGCCACTCCCGGACTCCAACACACTCCTCATTCTTCTCCCCAGCGACGATCTAACAAACTTTCGTCAACACTATCAGCGCAAGGTCATCGCACCATTTGCGCCAAAAGCTTCACCATGTCATCACAGAATCCTGGATTCTTTGTTTCCCTCCCATTATCATCGAAGCCAAGTGGTAAGGTCTTCTCTTATTCAACTCCATTCTCGCTCCGAATTAACAAATGTGCAGCAGAAAATGTCCTTCCCCGAATCCAGGATCACATAATGCAGAAACGAAAGCGTGACCGTGAGGATGCGCTCGGTCCAGAGTCCTCTGCATCCAAATTCCCTAAGAGAAGCCTTGTAGCGAGAATAACGGTCCGTGATCACAAGCCTCTGGATCCAGTACTTCGTTCTGTTATTCCCTCACTTGCCGAGATCACCGAGCGGATCAACAGCTACCGAAATGCCAAATCGGGTCCCGTCTCTTCCAAACAGTTCGTTAGCCGTATGTTCGTTGCTCGCGGTATTCCTCGCGAAACTCTCGAAAGATATGAAGCCGAGGACCAAGCGAGGGGCTTCAACAAATTTCATAGCCATGGCGGTCTTCATGCGAAGAAGAGGACCACGTTGAATGGTACTTCCACCTTGCAACCCGACAATACCGAAGACGAGTCCAAGAAACGCAACGAGGACGAGATCGAAAAGCTGCACAACGAAACCAGAAAACTCCAACAAGAAATCGAAGACCGCCAACAGCAAGTCGAAGATCGTAAAGAAATCGAGGCTCGCCGACAAAAGCTCGCCATCTTGACAAAGCAGAAACTCTTGACAGAGATCCAGGACCTGGACACCGAAGACGTACGTCTCAATGGTGAGATAATCGAACTGGAAAAGCAGTACACATTACTGGGTTCAAAGGTACAAGACCGCCGTAACGAGATCGAAGCGCTTGTCCCTCAGCGCGAAAAATTCGAAGGAGATAACGTGCGCCACAAGGAAGAAGAAGCAAGAATCTGTCAAGAACAGCAGAGACTCCAGCAAGAAACAGAGAGAGTGCGTCAGGAGAAGGAAAGACACTGTCAAGAAAGGGAGAAATTCAACTCAGCACTTGCTGCACACAATCAAAAAGGTCTGAGGCTTGAATCAGAACGAGACAAGTTTGAGAAGGAACGTGTGCAGGTCTTCGAGAACCGCGATCAGCTCAAAAAGAGACGCCAGTAGCTTGAAGAGCAGCGCATCGCTGCAAAGAAGAAGATCGAAGGACTGAGCGATACCAACATGTGATGTGAATTCTAAGATGATCACGCACAAGCAAGCTCAACAGCGGAGGTCCGAAGAGGAAACCAAGAGATGGATCAAGAAGGAAAGAGGGATTTGGAAAAGATGATCATGCGGTTAAAAAATGAAGAGTAATAAGATCAGGAAAAGAAGGAAGAACACAAGGGAAGGAAACAAAAAGTAATCACGAGCATTCGAAAACTCAGCAAGAGACAAATCGGCAGCTCGAAGCGTGTAACAACGATGACGAATACTCAGGCTTTTTCGATCGTGTCATAGGAGAAAGGTCTCTTTCCTTGCTCATATCTCATGTTTTCTCTGTATCCCCTTCAGCACCTTGGAGCACTGCTGGTAGAAAAAGGATGGATGTTGCTGAGATCAGCCAGTTGGTACGCAAGTGGCATCTGAGTACGAAGACCGGAACCGTAAGATGAAATCGAGGTCGTCCGCACATAGAGCGCCTAAGATTGCTAGTCACAGGTCAAACGTATCAGTACCCTCTTTCACGAGACACGAAGAATTCTCCGCTTGAAAGTTCTCGGCAACCAAGATCTAAAGGTGGCCAGGGCATCGATTGCTTTCTGCTAAGAGACAGCTTGCGTAGCTTCGTGTCGTCCCTCGACTTTCAAGTCTCATCTATCATGCTTTATGAATTAGGGGCTTGATGCCATAAGCAGTTGGTTCCTCCTCAATGAGACCCATGCCGTACTTTTTAGACCCCTTTCAGTGCCGCCACACCTCCTTCCGTCTCTCCCAACTCCCTATATATGACCAAGAAGTCGAGTAATTGTTTCCCTGCCACACCAGCCGCTTGTGCCTGTTTGACAGCCGTCCTTAGATCCAGTAGCAACGTATTTCTGACGCGCAAGAGTCGAGATTGTTGGACTATGACAAAGGGATGATCAAGGACTTTTTGCGTGAGATGTGTGAGCAAGAGATATGCTTGTGCGTGTTTCCTTAGTCGGGAGAGTGTAGTCGAGGTAGCCGTATCTCCTTCTTCGTCATCATCGTCCTCATCATCCGAGTCTTCGTCGTTAGCAGAAGGGTTATTTGCAGATAGTGAGTTAGAAGGTTCGACCATGAGACGAGCCTCCAAGTCTTCCAATCTCTCTTCAATCTCCAATAAGCGTCTCCCCACCATGACATCTTTTCGGATTCTCTTTTTCTCTTCCAACAAATCACCCACTTCTTGTGTTCGCGAAGCAACGATGTCTCGTACTCCACCCACTTCTCTCCCAAAACCCAATACACCCACCCTAACCTCTTCAATCTTTTCCTCTCCACCTTTGAGTCGCAGTCCCAGCGACAGAAATTCCTCATAGTTGCTGTTTACCAAGTCCAGAAGTTCTGTGCTGATGAGAGAAGAGCGGTGGCGTAGGTCTGAGCGCAAGTCTTCGAGGGTTTGGTGTCTGTTGTGAAGGGTGGAGAGGTAGGCTTCGGGCGTAAAGTTTTGGGTCAAGAAGTCGGAGCGGGGGAGGCTTGGGGGAAAGGGAGGGGTATTTTGTCGTCGTCGTCAGAGTCTGAGGAGTAGAGGTGGTTGTTTGAGGATTCCAGGGGTCGGATTTGGGGGATGGTGGGGAGGTGAGAGGGAGGGTGTTGCTGTTGTTGCTGTGGAGGAGGGGAGCTGTGGCAGGGCTTGGTTAGCGGGTTGCTTTTGGTTGAGGGTGGGTGGAGGGATGTACGTAGAAGGCACTCATGATGGTGGTCTTGAAGAGGATGTGCGGCAGCGAGGTGCAATGCGATTGTCGCAAAGGATGGGCTGGTGGTAAAGAAAGGTGTTGGTATACAGATGGATCAGATTAGATTGGCTTTTGCTATCTCCGCGATATGGCTTACCAATAGCCGAGGCCCCGGTGACGACATGTCTGTCTTTGAGATACTCGAACAGCAATTGACATCTCTTCCTCCTGCAAAGTCCAAGACGAAGGAGTGAAAGCAAGAAGATGCCTACACCTGCCCTGCCTCAGCCCGCCCACCCAGAGCTCGATTCAATGCTGACGAGGAAGTTTGGCCGCGAAGTTGCCAACTACTTTGCTGGTATGCTCAATTGCTCGCTTCTTCCTCAGCATTCCAACTAAACAATGNCAGGCTCACCATTGAACCGCTTTGGCTTCCTCCGCAGCGACAATGTCTTTCTTTCTGGAGCTCTCAGGCATCCGTCGACCAAGTTCCTTGCTTGCAACAACCTGCAGCCATTGACCAAGGACAAGGCCAACCTCGCCTACATCCAGTACAAAGATGTCCAGCCCATCATTGGCGAAGACCCCTACGCCACGCCCGAGGCCAAGATGATCGAGACATACAACTCCAAGACGTTTATCCCTCAGATGATCTTCCTCGGCCTGGACGAGTCGGTCAAGGACAACTCGTTCAGCTACGAGGCAAAGAATGCCGTCCACAAGGGTGCTCCCTACTTTGCCATCGACGTCACCCCCAAGGACCCTCTGACCCAGCAATGCAACGACTTGATCAAGGCCTGCGAAGACAAAGGCCTCACTTTCCAACAGGGCCGCTCCATGGACCTAGTAGCCGGCGACGCAGCAATCTACGCCGAAGCCCGCCAACTCCTCGACTGGAACATGCGCAACCCTTTCTGTGCTCAATGCGGCCACCCTACCCTCTCCGTCAACGGCGGCTTCAAGCGCACCTGCCCACCCACAGATACAGGCTCTCTTCCCTCCACCGCCCTCTCCACCTCCAACACCCCCGCCTCCAGCATCGACCGTCCCGCCTGCGCAACCAGAAAAGGCGTCTCTAATCTCAGTNTTCCCCGCACAGACCCCACCATCATCGTCGCCGTCGTAAACGCTGCAGGCGACAAACTCCTCCTCGGCCGCAGCAAGCGCTTCCCTAAATACTGGTACTCCACTCTCGCCGGCTTCTGCGAACCCGCAGAGTCCATCGAAGAAGCCACCCGCCGCGAGGTCTGGGAGGAAGCAGGTATCCATCTCGGCCGTGTAATCATTCACTCCACGCAACCTTGGCCTTACCCTGCAAACCTCATGATCGGCGCCATTGGCCAAAGCGTGCCCGACGGCGAAACCATCGATCTCGGAAATGATCCAGAGTTGGAAGATGCAAAGTGGTTTACCTTTGACGAGGTGAGGACGGCTTTGCGGGTGGGGACGAGTGGGCTGGACGAGNGGCCCCAGCCAGAGTACAAAGAGGGTGACTTGAGGTTGCCGCCGCAGACGGCCATTGCCAATCAGCTCATCAGTGCTGTTGTTGAAAAGGGCTTTTTGGCTGCCGAGCCAAAGATGTAGGAAGAGTGTGCAATTAGAACATGTTTTGGCTTCTTGCAAAATATTTGGCTAGCTTGATAGAAGATCTTGGTGATCTGGAAGTGAGGAATGGTATATACTTACTGAACACTCAATCTCAGTTTCCCTCTGAGGTCACTCAAGGATGTCGGTCGCTGCATAGATGATCGAAGGGTCAATGGTTAAGCACATCCAAAGTTTCGAAAACACCATGACCCCCTGAGATCGTGCGACCAGCACATGTTGTAAATTCCACTGACGGAGGAGCGCATTCATCAAAATGAAGGATATCATAGATCTGTTCTACACACATCCCGATCTCTCCAATGATGATCCTCTGTCTCAGAAGAAGCCCAAAAATGCCTTTTTACAACAACCCCTGTTTCTGTAAATCATAGTAGACCTTTTCGGGCATGACATTACCCTCTCCATCCTCCATCTGCACGACCTGATCGCTCGCCGTGGATTCTTGCTTCTTGTCCACTTGCAACTTACCCCACAACTCTGTCGCTTCCTGGATACCCGTAACATCTCTAAACATGCTGGAATTGGTGATGCCCAAGCGCTTCAAACCGTACAAATGGCGGGCTTCGCCAAAGTGCTTGTCGAATGCTCTTCTACCCATGTACACGTAGTTGCCACAGATCTCGCAGGGAAACTCGACGCCCAAGCCGTGTAACTTGTAGAGCCAGAAGGGGATGGGTTTGTCATCCCAGCCCAGGGGCAATTTGAGTGGGTTGTAGACTTTGCCTTCTTCGTCTTGGTCTTCGGTGTCGCCGTTTGCGGTGGCGGAAGGGTCGGCGGATTGCAGATCGAGGGTTTCGGCGTAGAGGGCGGCGAGTTCTTGTTGGCGTTCTTTGTCTGTCATGCCTTGCTTGCGTTCGACGTTGGCGCGTGTGTCGGAGCGTTCGGTCTGCATTGCGGCGGCGAGTTTGCGGATGCGGTGTTCGCGTTCTGCTACGGCTTTTTCTTTGAGGCGGTGCACTGAGGTTGCTGCGTTGGTGGTGCTGCCGTTTGTGGATGTTGTTTCGCCGTCTGCGGTGCGTTGTTTTCTTGCTTCTGCGTTTTTGATGTGTTTCTTTCCTGTCAAGTGGGCCTTGTAGACGTTGTCGTTTTTGAATTCCTTTTCGCAGTCCGGGCACCATATGCCTTCGCCTGTTCCTTCTGTCGCGGGTCCATCTGTTGTTGATTTTGTGTTGAGCTGCCAGCCTGCAATCTCGTCCTTCTCCCATGCTTTTAANAAGTCCTCGTCGAAGCTGATAAATAGCCTATCCAGATCTTCTAAAGGCTTGATTCGGCGCATAAAGCTCTCGAGATAGGTAGCCAGGTTTCCTAGATACTGGAAGTATTGATCCTTCAGCTTGTCCGGCCGGGGCATGCCCTCAAATTCATCAAATGTGTCCAGATATTGCAGATATGTAATGCGTCTTTTTGAACCAGGCAAATTGATGTAGTCTTCGTGCAGGGCGTTCATGTCAAAGTAGCGGCCAAAAGCCTCCTCTCCGGTAAACATAGTGTCGATCTCTGAAGCGAAGGGAGTGTCATCGCCGACAGCTCTACGCTTGTATGCGCGCTCCAGGTTTTCGACAGGCTCATTCGGGTAGCGCTTGTGGAAGTCTTTGATGTTGTTCAGTTGCTTGTAGAACTCGTCAAATGTGTCGCCAGTAGAGATGGACTGGATTTCGCGTAGACGGCTGCCATCGTTGTCTTTGTAGAGGTCGACTGCGCGGTTTGATTGTGACTTTATGCGATCGAGGAAAGCAGCGATTTGGTGGTCTCTTGCTAGGCGGTCTCGAATCNNTGAGCTACGTTAGTACGCTATGTGCAGACGAAAGAACTCTGCATCTTCTGTTCTCGTCTATTGAGATGTCGTAGTGGCGGGCAACAGCAAAGGCTCAAATGAACAGAAGCGCAGCTATAAGGAGATGGTGAATCGCGAAAGAATGCTTACATGTTTGGGATCTTCCAGTGAGCGCTCGGCTATGGCCTGCTCGAGACGCTCAAGGTCCTCTCGTGTGTTGCGCAGGTCTTCTAGCAACATGACTGTGGGTATGTGTAATTGAAAATGGAAGAAAGATGATGGCTGGTATACTTTGGCTGAGCGCGGCGAGCGATGGAGGAGGTCTGTGCATGCTGCGTCGTTCTTGCCCTTCGAGCTTTATTCCTCTTGCACTTGAACATCACTGCCATTTTCCTTCATTACGACTCGTACCTTCCGGATCTTCTCATCCATCGCGCCTGCCATCTAAATCGTCCCCATAAATCAATCAGGAACACCCACCATGGCGGAAGGAGGAATCGACCGCAAGATGGAGGAGCGCATGGAGTTTTCGACTTCCAAGGAAGTGCGTGTCGCTCCAACTTTCGAGGCCATGCACTTGAAGGAGAACCTGCTCCGTGGAATCTACGCATACGGTTATGAGTCTCCCTCTGCCGTCCAGTCGCGTGCCATCGTCCAGATCTGCAAGGGTCGCGACACCATCGCCCAAGCCCAGTCCGGTACTGGTAAAACTGCCACCTTCTCCATCTCCATTCTCCAGGTCATCGATACTGCTGTGCGCGAGACTCAGGGTATGTTGGATACTATTGCAGTTGTCTCTCGGTCCAATACTGACTTTCCCANNGCTCTCGTCCTGTCTCCCACCCGCGAATTGGCAACTCAGATCCAGTCAGTTGTCATGGCCCTCGGCGACTACATGAACGTTCAATGCCATGCCTGTATTGGCGGCACCAACGTTGGCGAAGACATCCGCAAGCTCGACCACGGTCAACACGTCGTCTCTGGAACTCCTGGACGTGTCGCCGATATGATCCGTCGCCGCAACCTACGCACACGCAACATCAAGATGCTCGTTCTGGATGAAGCCGACGAGCTGCTCAACCGTGGTTTCCGCGAGCAAATCTACGACGTCTACCGCTACCTCCCTCCCGCCACTCAGGTCGTCGTTGTATCAGCCACCCTCCCTTACGATGTGCTCGACATGACCACCAAGTTTATGACTGACCCCGTCCGCATTCTTGTTAAGCGTGACGAGTTGACTCTTGAAGGTCTCAAGCAGTACTTTATCGCTGTCGAAAAGGAAGAATGGAAGTTTGACACTCTTTGCGACCTCTACGACACCCTTACCATCACACAAGCCGTTATCTTCTGCAACACTCGCCGCAAGGTCGACTGGCTTACCGACAAGATGCGTGAAGCCAACTTCACTGTGTCATCCATGCACGGCGAGATGCCCCAAAAGGAGCGTGACAGCATTATGCAAGACTTCAGACAGGGCAACTCAAGAGTCCTTATCTCCACCGATGTCTGGGCTCGTGGTATCGATGTTCAGCAAGTTTCTCTTGTCATCAACTACGATTTGCCCAGCAACCGTGAGAACTACATCCACAGAATCGGCCGTAGCGGAAGATTCGGTCGCAAGGGTGTCGCCATCAACTTCGTTACCAGCGAGGATGTGAGAATTCTTCGCGACATCGAGCTTTACTACTCTACCCAGATCGACGAGATGCCCATGAACGGTAAGTCGCCAAACCTAAAATTGTTAAATGATCTTTCTCTAACGTGCTGTAGTCGCCGACCTTCTTACCTGAGCAACCAATTTATGCATTACGTTGTTTTTCATGCGTGACACTGGGTTGTATGATTTGGCCGGAGTTGAAAAGATTGCCATCCAGAGCATATAGTCGGAGGAAATGGGCCATGTAGCCAACACGGTGAGTGCCATTCACGACTTCTTCCTACACTGAGTCAAAACTGACAAGACACGGATCTAGTCAATGCCAGAATTGCCATTACCCACTACCCGAGTTCGAAGACCGCTTTGACGCTGAAACATACTCGAGAGAATCCAGTTTACTGACACTACAAGCCCACCGGTATACACGACTTGTACGCCTCACAAGTAGCCACTGATGGCAATCGGGATCGCAGGTCAGACTGGCTTCTTCACCTAGCGCTGCGCTGCGTCGAGCATCTTCAACCAACCAGCGAAGGGAGTAAGGAGGCATAGATGATCACACAGTGGGCGTTCCAGGACGAAAATCCATGAAGCCAGCCGGTGCTTGTGGTTGGGACAAACAATGCACAAGGTTGGGTGATGGAAAGGATGTACATAGTCTGGGACTCGATGCAGTAGGTAGAGCCATCTTTTCACAAGCCTTTCTTGCAGCAACTTTGGCTAATGAGAGCCACAAAAGTTACAACAACTCACTTCCCGATATGTGCCAATAAAGGCTCAAAATCCAACTAAAGAAGACGTCAATTGCTTTCACAGTGGTAGTTATCACTTTCATTGCGAAGTTTCATCTGATCACTTTGCTCGCTTCTCACTGCGACATCCTTCTTTCACAACAACCACGATCAGATGAATCCACCAACACTTCTCATCCACCAATTCTTCCATCAAAATCACCAGAAGGCTGACTACGTCGCCTACGCTTCTGTTCTCGCACAACATCACAACATCAGCAAACCTTCATCCTTCCTTCTGATAACCACAACGACCTTCTCGCTTAGACACACGTCTGGTCGTCGCCCTGTCTCGCAAGCGTAAGTGAAGTTCTGAATCTCATCATAGATCTTTCTGCCTTCCGCGCGCATCAATCTGGCATCATCTTTCGCTCACCATTGCTGACCACTTCAACAGATGGACGGTTCAGCTCCTCTCGCCGACCCAAACGCCATGGCAAGCTTAATTCCTCCAAAGCCGACACTATCAGCTCTTCCGCCAGAACTGCTCGACAGAATCTTCTGGCTCGTTGACAGACCGGATCTAGTCAACCTGCGCTTCGTCCCCAAGTCTATCTGCGCTATTGCCAACAGGCCATTCGCTGTTCGCAACTTCAGCAACAGGAGCCATGTCATTACCAAACACAGTATCGAGACACTGCTCGCAATCAGTGCGCACGAAACATTTGGCGCCTACATCAGAGCTATGGTGTTCAATCCTGCTCGTAAGATCCTCAAATTTCTTGATCCTGATTTTGACGAGGAAGAGAATACTGTCGTCGACAATCCGTTTGTCGACTCTGGCGAATTCAGTGATTTAATGCAGCAGATTCTTGCCAACACCAGGCGCTTCTCTCCTTCCATGACCATCGGGGTCGGAGATAGCAGTTGTCCAGGTATGATCNTCGGCGGCAAACAATACCTGGAGCTTCCTGGCTATGGTCGATTCCTTTGTCGAGGTGATCGGTTTTACCTTGTTTATCGCGACGGCGAAGAAACATTTGAGATTCATGGCGACAATGTCTGCGAAGAACTCGAGGAATTGACATGCTACGTGGCCGCAGCAGAGACACAAAAGATCCAAAAATTCATCAGGGATGGTCTCGTGGATGATGATCTGGTCGGTCTATTTGATCAGGCCTGATGTTCATTTCTCTTAGCACTCACTTCAACTTGATGGATCTGCTTCTGCGTTCTGATGGCATATAATCGTTCAAAGTGTCAAGAGCAGGAGAATGGTCCAGGGAATATATCAACGGGGGTGCAGCCACTGGACAACGGATGAGGATGAAGATCGGATCGACATGGATTCACTAAGGAGTGAGAACAGTATTCGTATTTCATCATAACAGAGCCATCAAGGGCAAAGAAGCGTACTACTGTCTTTCAATGCTGATTTTCCATCGAGCAACCTTATATCGACGGAGAAGCCTCCGGTGACCGAGCGCTGATGTCATTGATATAGCTTGGAACTGCAAGCGCTCACACCACCACATTTCTCTAATCACAGTCAACATTCATCTTTACCATTCTTTCCTTGTAATATCGACAATGGAGCAACAGCAAAACATCGTCGAAGATGTCATGGACATAGCAGGCAGAAGAAAGGGCTGCTGGCGAATCCAAGACTGCGGCAGCTGCCTCAAAAGCAAGCACGGTTGTGGATGGTGTCCAAGTGTAAGTTCTCCCCTTCACAATTCATCTCTCATCTCACCTTCCATGCCATAACTTCCATCTCAAACCCCCATCTCAAAACTCGTAACCAAAACTAACCAAACACCAACCAGANGTTCCACCTGCGTCCCCACAACCGGAAACCTGCTCTCCCCGCTCAATCACCCAGTGTGTCCTTTAGCCTCCGAGCGCTATGAACTGCGCACTGCATCTTTGGGCTGCAATTGCAGTACCTATACTTTGGTCAGCATTCTCATTACTGTGTTTGCCACTATTGCTGCTTTGGTGTTGTTGTCGGGGGTGTTGTGGTTGTTGAAGTGGTGGGGTAGGTTGATGAGGAGTGGGNGTTGGGAGATTGTGGTTGAGGAGGATGGGAGGGTTAGAGAGGGAACTTGGAGGAGAGGGNGGTGGTGGCCTAGGTGGATGGTTGCGAGGAGGTGAGGTGGTGGGTGGAAGGGAAGGGAAGGTATCGTTTGGAGGGAGTGGATTGGGACAAGGGCTCAATACTGGGCAAGTAGGTTATGAACAACTGTATTCATGTGTCTGGAAGAGTTTTCTACAATCTAGCCTTTATCTCTGTGCCTTGGTCTGCATCCCTCTTTGCCCACTCACGCAACACAACCCTCTGGATCTTTCCACTCGGACTCTTGGGCACCTCATCAATAAACTTGACACCCCCAGAAAGCCTCTTGTGCTTGGCAACCTTTGATGCTATCCACTCCACCACATCCTTCTCTCTGACCTTGCCTCTAGCCGTCTCCTTCAGCACCACATACGCTCTAGGCAAATCCTCATGATCTTTGTTGAGCGCGCACACGGCAGCATCGGCAATGTCGTCGTTTTCGAGCAATACGGCTTCGAGTTCGGCGGGGGCGACTTGGAAGCCATTGACTTTGAAGATTTCCTTTGCGCGGTCGACGATCCAGAACCAGCCTTTTTCGTCGTAGATGGCCACGTCGCCGGTTTTGAGGAAGCCGTCGCTGTCGAAGGAGGCTTTTGTGGCGCTGTCGTTTTTCCAATAGCCTAGGTGGGTGATCNNTTTGGAGGCGCGATTAGTAGGGATTTGTGTGAAGGCAAGGAATATACATACGTTTGGACCGCGCACAAAGATTTCTCCTCGTTGGCCTGGTTTGGTGACTTCATTTCCGCTTTCGTCGATGAGTTTGATGGTCGAGTTTGGGTCGACTAGGCCAACACTTCCGCTGCGATCGTCCATTCCGCCAGGAACATGTAAACATGAGCAAGTCACTTCGGTCATGCCCCATGTCTGAACGACTTTGAGATTGAACTTTGTGCTGACCTCGTTCTGCAATTCCTTGCTGAGGGGCGCGGCACCGCAGAGAATGTTGACTAGCGATGATAAGTCGTACTTCTTGGTCTCTGGTCGCTTGGCCAACATGACCAGAACTGGAGGCGCTGTTTGGATGTGAGTAATACGGTGCCGCTGGATATGCGATAGGAAAGGTTCGAAATTGAAGGCTCGCATGTAGTAGCAAGGCGTCTGTGTAATCGCGGCGGCAGTGATCGACCATAGCTGTCCGTAGGCGTGGTANTCTTTCTGGGTATTAGCTCTATTGCTACATCAGCTCTCGACATCGACAACAACTTACAGTGGCAGGAAACCTAGAAATCTCTCTGGTTGCTTCTGACCTGACGTATATGTTTGTGACAGCTCTCTCATGTATAGAGATTGGCAGACGTTGGCAATGATATTTTGATGAGCAACTTTCACACCCTTTGGTAGGCCTGTAGTCCCTGATGAATAGTTCAACACTGCTGTAGTAGAACCTGATTCTTCGGCTGACATGTGGTGCCATCGCCAGCTCTCTGCAGCCTCTTGAGTAGGAAGAAAAGAGCTCCAGTCCTTGATACCTTGTTGAGCTTTGCATGGTTTGTCCAAGAAGAGGAAGATGTTGTCACGAGGGAATTTGACTTGGTCTGCAGCCTTGAGGAGATTGTTTAGTAAACTAGGATCAACCAGAATGATCTTGGCCCCAGTATTGGTGATCTGGAAAGCAATCTCTTTGACAGTATAGGCAGGGTTACAACCGCTGAATACGCGACCGCTTCCAGCGACACCCAGATAAGCGACTGGACAGAATATATGGTTGGTAGAAAACATCATGACTACTTCGTTCCGGCCAATGTTGAGATTCTCGAGACCCAAGCCAAGCCTCTTGATCCAGACCAAGGCTTGTTTGGGTGACAGGGAGTTTCCAGTATCGTCGGCATCGATCCATATTGGCTTGTCATAAGGTTCCTTTCCNTCGGGGTAGACATAGGAGAGTATATCAGTGGCCGGGATGTCAATCTGGTAGGGCGACTGCTGAGGCATGGTGTCGGCGTTGACGATGCGAGTGGAACATGGTCCAATTCGTAATAACAGTCATTTTGTGTACAGTGTACAATGAGGGGTATATCGTCGAGGACCGAGGAAGACGACTTTGACTTTGACAGTCGAGATCGCCCACGTTGTGACGTTCCCGGACATGCGGGGAAAGCAGAGCCGCATCAAATCAGTCGATCAAACCTTCCAAGGGCGACACTCCTCGTCCCTGCTTCAATGTGCAGCAACATGCATCACTATGCATCACACTATGGCGAACCTTTCCAGACTGAGACGCAGTGCATAAGGGGATCCGAAAGCGACATGTGTGCGTGATGATCCGCGTGTCAGAAAGATGAGCGAACAGCTTCATATACTGCCAACAGCTGGGAGGATCCCCTGTTCCGAGGCAAGTGGTGCTTGATGCTTGTGACATTTTCAAAACATGTCAGATTACGTGAGCGAAGACCATCGATTTCCTTCTCAGCGACTTTTTCCTGCTGTCTTCGTGCTCTCACACACAATCGAAACACCTAGGTGGTCGAGTTATTGTGGTGAAACGCAGCTCCGACACTGGCGTTGGCTCTATCCGTCTATATCCGTCTACACGGCCTCAAAAAAGGCCAAGCATCATTTTTTCCTGGCCGAAACGTAGGACTAGTCTGATACCTAGCACTCCGAATATGGACAGCATGCAACCTTTCGCTTTAGGCCTTCCTTCAAAAAGCAAGCACGCGACGCGCGCTCGAGGAATCCAAGCCGCAGCTTCCTTTCCTTCGCTTCTCCCTTTCCTGCGCCCGCCACTTTCTAGAACAGGGTAATACTTTTTGAAGAAAATGACATATCCTGGATGATATCTCTCCTGTCGTACTCTGAATAATCTCATTACTATCAGCAAGTGTCGGCATGGAGACACCTACAACACAAACCACCAAATCACGCTCTTTTACGAATCTTTTGNTTACGATACTTCTTCAACTTTTGCTCTGGTCTAGCCTTTTTCCTCTTTGTGTTCAAATCTCTCTTTTCGCTCTTTCCAAGGTTGACAAATCCTTGTTTCTAACCGATGTTATCTGCATGGCAGCGGTAAGTAATCAATCATGGATACGTGGACAAAGAAACATCTGCTAACACAGTGTATAGGCTGGAACGTCACTTTTCGTTATTCTTTTACACAACCTCATCGTAAGGCTCCAGCAGAGCGTCTTCAGCAAATGGGCCAAGGTGGTCGCAACGTTTTGCAGAGTCTTAGTCCTCTTCCTGTCATGTACAGCAGTGCTGTTGTGGATTACTACAGTCGGGCTGGGGGTTATATTCACTCTTGCAAGGCAGCCGACATGTCGACCAGCCAGTTTCGACACTCATGATATGTGGAGAAAGGGTCAAGTGTGTTACGTTCAAAGAGCAGCTCTAGTTGTCAGCATGCTAGCATTGTAAGTGATTTCTCATGCTATGTGACTGTCCATGTAACTAACTCGCTTCGTACAGTNNATTGTTTCCTTCGTCTTATGTTTCACCTATAATGTTTCGCATGATCCGTACGCAGCAGGACTGTTCGGATCAGGACAAGCAAAAGTCTGCTTATCGCCATCGGATCTCGGGAGAAAGACACCAAGGGTCACGAGGCAATCGAACCTCTCTTTCAAGTGCCGTTCATTGCTATCTCCGATCGTTGCATCGTCGCCTCTGATGATCTCGTCTCCCCTACGCATGACAATGAATGCCAGCGACGAGAAGCCTCATGGTCTCGGCATCTCTTCACCTGTTTCGGAGATCGAAAAATCACCTCTTCTCGCCAAAACTCCAAGTCTTGCATCATTTCATTCTCGTAACGATAGTGTGGACAGCTCGAACCAGCCTTCGAGAGCATACTTGCCATCGGGTCGAACGTATCAGCCCTCGCGAGTCCCAACAGCATATGTTCCCTCGCCTCATGGAACACACCTGTATTCGCCCAAGCACCTTCCAAAGAATATCGTATCTGCTATGTCGGAAGAAGTAGCGAAGCCGCCGGCAGCAGCAACTTTGAACACACCACAACGTGGTCTTTCAATGCTGAAACGAGCTCCTTCGGCGCCGAGACAAGCACCTCCTATTGCGCCGCCACGGCCGCAGCGGGGTCCTTCCATATCGCGACACATCCCTATCGTGCCGCAAAGAGTCCCTTCTCTGACACGACACGCCCCTACTGTGCTGGAAAACACTCCTTACGAACCGCAACAAGCTCCTACTCTGCCACAAATAGCACCTACCGCACCACAGCGAGGCCCTATCGCAGAACTTCCGCCCATTCAGACGACAGCCCTATACACATCACGGCGGGTATCTTCAATGTTCATGACTCCCACTTCCGAGATGGTGCCCTCAATAATGGCCAAAGCCCATTCTCCCGAAAGAAACCTCGACACCTTCCCAGCCTCGCCACCAGTCCATCTGCCTTTGACCAAACNNCCAGAAACCTATACCAAACAAGACGAGCACCAACACCCTACAACCCCTTAACTCAAACCACTGGCTCTGCTGCGCCGAGAAGATTCCCTGTCGCATACGCACCTTCGAATCTTTCCAATCCCACACCTGTTTNCTGTTTCAGGACACTCGCGGTGTGCATCGTCCATGGCTTTGCCTCCGTCGGTTTTGGCGCCGCCACAGCCTTCGTCGTTATTGGCGCCTCCGCCGTCGATTAGACAGCTCAATTCAAAGCTTAGGAGGNGTGTTAGTTATGCTTCGAACACGAGCAGTATATACAGTCGGCTTCCGAGTGATGACAAGTGATCTCGAAGGCTGGAGATGCGAGAAGAGAAAAAATACATATACTTTTATTTACCACGTACGACACATATTTCCCGATCAAACAATTCAACCATCAATCCTGACTTCGTTTTGTGTTTCCATTCGAGTGAACATTTGTCGGAGATCTTGCTGGGAGTTTTCTGGCAGTCTTTGTGCTTTTAAGTTATCTCGTCTCGAGAGGAGACCGCCTCTTTGGGATTGCGACCGGGACGACAGACAGATGATTGGCTACGATAATCGCTGATACAGATCGAAAGGACAGATCCGGTTGCTGCCGCTGCTTGGACTGACGACTTGTTTTATTGCAGTGCTCAGTTGAACTACTATACATAGTTTTTTACATACCAAAAACATCTTGATCAATTTTCTTTCTTTCTCGTCCTTTTTGTCGTACGTGGTAGAACACAAGATGTTGATATACACAACTCTATTGCACAGATCTTCCTCTGTCCTCCTCCTCAATGACATCTTCAAAATCTTGCTCGTCGTCATCCTGATTCCTGTAGATGAAAAACTGAGCAAAGACGCCAAAGTCAAGGAAAAGCGTGCCCAGGCTTCCGAGCAACCAACTCAGGTTGACCAAAATGTATCTGCCGTAAATGGCACTGGCCTCTCCCGGTCTGCATTTCTGGCCGTGTTTGCCGTGGTGGCAGATGGGGTTGAAGGCAAAGATGCTGAGCACATATGTCAAGTTTCCAATACAGGCGAAGAGGAAAAAGAGGGCATTGAGGCCTTCGGTGCTCTTGCGGCGGTAGTTGAGCAGGAGTTGAGGTACACGGCTGCCGAGGTAGAGTGCGGCGCACAGGTAGCCGAACACCTGGCCGACGATGTTGAAGTGCAAGCTGTCGTTTTGCTGTTCTTCGGTTTCGTTGCCGTTGCTGCTGGACGAGGGACTGAGATAGTAGCCTGCAATGCCTGCTGCCACGACGAGGACAATGCAAGTCAGATTGAAAAGCAGTTTTTGCATAATGGAGCGTTTGGCAGAGCGCGGTCTATGCACTTTGGGGGTTGGGTGCATGGGGTTTGCGGGCGACATGTGCACGCCGTCGTTCACGAAGCGCTCGCCGAATGACGATGTCGAGCGTGTGCGAGGGAGATCGCTGCTGCCGTTGCCATTGGCTGATAGAAGACCAGAGCGCTCGGTGGGGGTTTCTTGCTCCACATCCGAAGGCTTGACGGGCTTGGGATCTCTGAAGTGGAATCCGCGATAGTAGAAGCATTGAGCCAGCAAGACGATATCCGCGAATGTGTAGTAGATGGCCAAGATGATNCTAACGATTTCCATTAATTCTGGAATTAATCCCACCAGACCGAGTACCTGTAAACTCACCATTGTAGGAAGAACCCTTTGCATGACAGCACCGATGATATTGGCGAAATCTCCAAGAAGCCATATGATAACAAACTCTATACTCAACCCCTCGGCGCTGCTGCGTCTGAAGTTTTCGATGATCTGAGGAGAGAAGACGACCACCCAGCAGGCTATGATTGAGTCAGCAATGGTCCTGGAGAAGAGAATGAATTGCTATATTGGGTAGCACCCACCAATTGAGATGGAACCCATAATGCCGCTGATGGCCTCGATATCGAGGTTGTACCCTGCCGACGGCGGAAACATGGTCGCGCAGATATCGAAATGCGCAGATACAATTGGAAGAAAAACAGCAATGAGCGAACACTACTATTAACAATGTGAGGTGGTGGTAAGTTTGGCGAGATATAAAGTCCGATGCAGTCTTGTGGTTGGTCGTGGGGAATTCTCTTTTCCTTTCATGAAGAGTGGCTGGCTTGAGTCATAAAAATGACGCTGTTTGTGAATCTTGCACAATTTACGTAACGGTTTATGCATGCGTCCGACGTTGTTTGAGCGTGGGATCAACATCTTCTTGTTCACAAGAGTTCATGTTATAGAGATGCGAAGGTCATGTCCGGGCGGAGTATTGAATTTGCAAGTGTCAGGATGCTAAGAAGATAGTATGCAGTATAGATTAACAGCGCAGGCGTCATGAGATGTGACAGAATTATTCTCCTTTTTCTGCTCATTTTCCTCCGCTATCAGATGTCAACCCCGCGCATTTTCATATGCCTCTCAGGAAAAACTTCCTGATCACCTTGATAGCTACTGTTTTTGTACCACTCCGACCAGTCTCTCGCAACGACAATTTTGGGCCATCTTTCAACCACAACTTCAACAGACTGTCTCACAATATACGCATCCTCTACGAACAAATCAATTCAAACATGGCATCTGGAAAAGCAGCCAGAGTGCAGCTCAGCGACGATGAGGTCGACGACATCCTCTACCTGACCCGTACAAACGAGAGCACCGAACTCCAACAATATCTCGGTCAACTGTCACAACAACACAACTGCAGCATCGCAGCTCTGCTCGAAAGCAGTGTCGACGAGGACAACGGCAACACACCTTTCCACTACTGCGCTGCAAACGGCTGTGCTGGTATGACAAACACCATAAGAGATTCATAAATGAACACATACTAACGGAACAATACAGACCTCCTCAGAACACTCTCATCACAACTCGACCCCTCGACGAAAACCGAAGTCTTGAGCCGCAAGAACGAGGCCGGCAACACTGCACTGCACTGGGCTTCCGTCAACGGCCATGTCGAAGCCGTCAAAGCCCTTATCGACAGCGGCGTAGACGTCTGGGTCAAGAACGCCGCCGGACACCTCCCAGTCTTTGAAGCCGAGCGCGCAGAAAAGGACGAGGTGGTCGCAACACTGTTGATTGCCGGTGGAAAGGAAGACGAGGAAAAGTCAAGGGCACAAGAAGGCGAGGCTACCGAGGAAGAGAAGGCAGAGGTGGATGTTGAGGCTGCGACGAGCCAGATGGGCGAGTCGAGTCTGGAAAAGTGAACGACAACATATTGAGACGTGTCAATGAAGGCAGCGTTCTCGTACTGCTCGATCAAAACATTTTGCAGACATCGGCATCCTAGCTTCGCTCCGCAGGCTCTAAGAATGTGCAGAGATGATTGCTGATGTCGGAAGGCATATACCCGCGACCTGGGCGTAGATCGAAGAAGCCTTGAAGCAAAGAAGCGAACGCCGAGGTCTACTCTCTTGCATTTGATACAAGACTGTAGCTCAACACATACATAGATGCTAACACGAGATACCAATGTCATTCACAACGCCAGTTGCTGCTCCTTTCACAAATTCGAGCCCCGTCACATTTGGCTATCACAGTGCATAATACTTTCGAAAACAGAATATTGTCTATAACAGAAAATAGTCTCTTGCTCCGTACTAACATGAGAGAGGACCAGAGGATGTGACTGCCAGACAGACCTTGGCACAAAACGATGCCAAAAGCTGCCAAAGACGACAAATCGCATTGCAGGTTTAGAGGATCATATCAAGAAATCCTAATACCCACTAAACACACTTAGATGTATCTCACGACATTCCGTAGAACACGACCATGAATCAGAAACTTCAGTCCTCCTCTTCTCCTCGCTCCGCCAGAAACCCCATACGCCCATGATGAGCATGTCTATGCTTTCTAGACCTCGTCTTCTTCTCACAACTCGCCTTTTTCTTCTCCCTCTTACTCACCTCAGCAACATCCTTTCTAAGCCCCACACTCATCCAATTTTCCCTGCTTTCCAACTCCAAATTCTCCACTCGCAGATTCGCAATNCTGATATTTTTGCCAGTGCTTGCCTGTCTTTTTCTCCATTCTTTTTCGCGCTTGCTTTCTTCTCTGATACCTTTGTAGCGAGAGCGTTGATTGTAGAGCTGAAAGCACATGTCGGATAAAAGCATGGGTAGAGAGTTAAAGGTATACAGATTTTTGATTTGATGCCAGCAATCATCGAAGATTTCCTCATCATCGGCAATCTCTTTGCTCATAAACGCTTCCGTCCTAATCAACTCTACAACCCTGGATTCAACACTCTCAACGCGGTACTCGACTGCAATAAGATATAGTTGCAAGTACCACTGCAAATCCACTTCTAGATCAACAGGTTCTTCATAGGGAAGTGAGTAGATGTGTTTGAGAAGGGCTTCTACGGCTTGAGTTTCGTAGTCTTCGGATAAGATGGTGCAGGAAGTGGATTTGGCAAAGGGGCCTTGGAAAGCGGAGAAAAAGACTTCGGAGTGTTCGGAGAGGATGGCTGTGTGTGCGTGGATGGAGTGGCCGCTGAAGTGGATGGTTATGTCTGAGGTGGTGGGGTTATTGTACATGCGGGATCTACGGTTTCTTTCGGTCCAGAAGTCCTTGACATTTTGACGTGCGGTGATCTTCATGGTGATGGTGTTGGAGTTGGTTGATGTCCTGGTGGGTTGGTAAGCTGGAGAAAGTGCGATGCGAAATGTTTTGGGTTGGAGAACAGTCGAAACTGCACGATGAGGACCATTATAGATGGTGAATCACAGTTGCTAGCTCGATGTTATCGCTCAGATTGGTTGGCAGCCATCTCGCGCAGAAGACTCATCGCTGAGACATGTTGAACACGATACCATCTTGCACCTCAAGAAAATCGAGATGACTGCTGAGAAAAAACCCTTCTTGGATATTCTAGACTCACATCAGCATATTCTTCTCAGTGACATATTCTCCATTCCGCCGTCATCGTGATCCCACCAAGCCAAGGGCTGTATAAATCGACCAGAAACTCACAAAATCATGGCGTTCGATAATGTAGGCCCCAGTATCCGCGATTGGTACAACAACGACTATGGAGCAGATGTCGTTTTACGATTCGGCGATCGAGAAGTCTGCGCGCACACAGACTTCTTGTCTGGATGCTCGAAAGTCATGGCCGAGATACTTGATTATAACAACAGCAATGATGCCTCGGGTTTTCTGGACGGCATTTATCTGGAGTCTAAGATGAATCAGGGTTCGCCTGGATTAAAGCATGCGTTGGAGCCAGTGAGCGGGGAAGAGGAAGATAGCAGTTCCGTCATGGAATATGGCTACGACGGCGATGTCGAAAGTGGGGCGGAGAACTGTGAAACCAGCAAGCCGGGCAGGACGGCGATGTTGCGTGAAGGTAGCAGCATGTTCGGATCAGAAAGACGTGGACGGTCGCTACTTGCGTCGCGAGCTTGGTGATAGTATCCGGTTCGTCGGTGTGGCGCTGCCGGAGGTGTATGCGAGTGTGGATATCTAGTAGGGTGCTCAAACCTAGAACACCTTAGCCAAGCTCAAAATACATGTATACATAAGTTCAACAATCTCAGGCTCTGATCATGGTTGTTGATGATCTGTCAGCAAGCTCTCGACGATCAGTGTTGCAATGTTTGGAAAACGGCAGATTCAATACCAGAATGAAAAGGAACAAGGGTTTGACACAATGTACATTGCTGCAGGTGAGGTACACAAGATCCAACAAGGAGCCTCCCCGTTTTTGGCGGCCGTCGAAACCAAGGAAATAACACACTTCATCTTTCGTCTTCTGTAGAGTTTCGGACCTTTTCAGTGGAATGGCGTTGATGATTTCTCCTCTATCGACAGGTTGGGGACTTGATTAATTTACGAGGACTCGGGGTACATGGCCTCTCTGAGCTCGACACCAAGCTCTGTCCTGAGGCTCTCAAGCTCGGTGAGGTACTCGTCGTACTGTGCCTGGTTCTCGACCTTGGCCTTGATGCCNTGGATGGGAATGGTATGTCAGCATATCGTTCGCGTTGTCGAGTTGTGGAGTGACGCACCCTCGAAGATTCTGACGGCAGTGGGGAAGTCATTGACTCTGCGGGCGGCCTTAAGGGCGGCAACGATGACCGAAGGGGCAGGGACGAGATCGTAGGCGAAGGCGTTGTTCAGGTTACGCTGTTGACAAGTCGGTTAATGACAGATGCGGTCGAACGGAGGATAGCTAGGTGGAAGTACCTGGAGCTCGAAGACATCCTGGACACCCTCAAATTCCTTCTCGTATCTANNGATTGAAGATGGACGTCAGCAATTGACAGGTATCGGACCGTGTATAGAGGTATGTGGGAGCGGAGGTTCGGAAGCAATTGGCAGTCTCCGGTGGTCTCATGGCGGCAGAAAAATGACAGAAGAGAAGCAGACGCACCTGGCGGTGAACTCCTCGAAGCTCTCCTCGTGGTGAGGGTCGTGTGCGTCGACGTCGGCACGCTTGACGCTGGCGACGCTGAAAGTTCTGGCCTGGTTGAGACGCTGGATGCGCGATGCGACCTGGATACGGGGCTGTGCGGGTGCGCGGACGGCGCGAGCGGCGATGCGGAGGAAGGACATGTTGGTATGGGTAGAGTGCGAGGATCGAGGAGGGTGAATTGGGTCGACGATGGTGCAGGGCTGGCAGTCGGAAGCTGCGAACATGACCAAATCGCGGCCGCTGTGAGTCCTTGGCCCGTGCCCCTCGAGAAGAAATCATGACCATCACCTGATGTTACTGCCCCGACCCTGTTCACTCCGACCACCCCCTACATAACTTAAGTAGTTCGTCAATTCACCCTCTGCCTTCTCTCTAGTCTTGTAGTCGTGTTTCCGGATGTTCTTCATGCATGCACCTTTGCTGTGCTGCACAGAAACTGCAAACAACAACTTCGAGCAGTGTTTATTTTGAGAGTGCCGTGTTTTGGCTGTCCATGTTGGTCGGTACCTGCATTGCCATGCAATACTAGTCTCACATTACAAGCAACATCTAGCTACCTGTTGGACCCCTTTCACAGGAAGCCCATAGCAATCTCCAAAAACGGAATTGCTTGCGATCCAAGTACCAAGACATCAATAATATAGACCTCCTCCGAATGACCAAACCAGCGCCAAGACTGACCTCGGCTGCCCCAAGTTGTGTTGAAAGAATAATTTCCCCGACCCCTTATAATGCCAGCTTCCTCTCTCCCACCATCCTCCACCCTGTCTCCAGGTCCAATTCTTCTCTTCTCCACTTTGGTAGTCTTGTCATTACCAAGTCCGTCGCTCCTTTGCTGGCCGCCGGCCCTGTATCTGCCTTTGTACACCACTCTGAACACGTCTCGAGCCGCCGAGTCCCGACCACAACAATGTCTACCCCCGAATGGATCCGCTACGGCGCGCCCACCCTTGACCGTCCTNTCGGTCTCGAGCTGTGGCCCATCTTCGAGAAGGCCTTCACCTCGATCAAGGGCTACAAGCCCCAGGACTTCCGCTTCGTCCCTGGAAAGACCCCTATGGCTACCTTCCAGGAAACTGCCACCATGCTCGTTGCCTACTACATCATCATCTTTGGTGGCAGGGAGTTCATGCGTGGTCGCGAGCCTTTCAAGCTCAACTTCTTCTTCAAGGTCCACAACTTCTACCTGACCCTGATCAGCGGTCTCCTTTTGGTCTTGTTCGTCGAGCAGCTCCTGCCCGAGATTGTCAGAAACGGCATTTTCCACGCTGTCTGCGCTTACGAGGGTGGCTGGACCGACAAGCTCGTTGTCCTTTACTATGTACGTCCTATTACATCTTTGCCAGAAAACGCTTACTGACAGTTGGCAGNNCTCAACTACCTCACCAAGTACCTCGAGCTGATTGACACTTGCTTCCTTTTCCTCAAGAAGAAGCCCTTGAGTAAGCGCGCACCATTCAAACAACCGATTGCACCAGCTGACTGGTTTTCTAGCTNNTTCCTCCACACTTACCACCACGGTGCCACCGCCCTCCTCTGCTTCACCCAGCTCCTCGGCCACACCGCCGTCTCATGGGTTCCCATCACCCTGAACCTGACCGTCCACGTCGTCATGTACTGGTACTACTTCCAGGCCGCACGTGGCATCCGCATCTGGTGGAAGAAGTACATCACTGTCATGCAAATTCTCCAGTTTGTCATCGACCTTGGCTTTGTCTACTTTGCCTCGTACACCTACTTCACCTTCCGATACTTCCCCAACATGCCCAACATGGGTATCTGCGCCGGTGAGGAGTTCGCCGCCTTTGCTGGTATGGCCATCCTCAGCTCTTACCTCCTCCTCTTCCTCTCCTTCTACGCCGCAACCTACAAGAAGCCTACAAAGAAGGGTCGCAACCGTGCCACCAGCGCCCTGGTTGAGATGAAGGACGAGAAGGTCCCCACTGTTGGCGAGGCTAGAAGACGTTTCAGTGGTGGTGAGGCTCACTTCACTGGCCGTGATGCCCCTACCCCCAACGGCCGCGTCACCAGAAGCCGCAAGGCATAGATGCACCAAGCAGTGCATGCCTACGCCTGAGGACACTCCAGGTTGGATGCACTCGGCCCTTTCGAAATGCGTAGGTGAATATACGACATCTCGAACACGTATCGAGAAACAGCCAGAAACGGTTGTTGAGGGATGGAGGGCACGACTGCCAGGGGTTGCTGTCCCCAGAACTGTCGTTGCCGACTCCTTTTTGGCCTTTGAGGTGTTTGGCCGCTTCTTGAGCATCTTGCCCTTGCAAAGCACGCTCATTTTATTACTTCTTTGTAATTTCTCTAGGGCCCCGGTTTTAAAAAGGAGTATTGGGCGGTACAGGTCGACATGATTGTTGTAAGAAAGGATGCAAGAACAGAGAGACAAAGGTCAACGCGTCATGCTCGCTGTATGATAGAATCATGTAATTCAAGAACGAGAAAAAGAGTTATAGATCATATTACAGTCCCATCTTCGTGCGTGTTTCACAATACTGTCAGCGATGGTGCATAGAAGTTTGGTCACGGTGCCGGGTCGGGCTGGACCAGACTCCGAAGACCAACTCTCCACGTCCCTTCGTGGAGACCCTTGCAACAGCCGCTGCATATGGTGGCTTGAGAGGCCAACCTTTCGTACGTAGTTGCTGCCCTTCCAGACGTGTTGTCCATAGGCTCTCCGTTGCCGGCGTTCCTACACTAGTATAGATCTAGTTCGGCGAGCCCATGACACATGTAAGTTTGACGACTTTTGATTTCACAAACACAATCCGGATAATGTTGAGAGTTACAACAAGCTCCAGGCCATCATGGACATGAGGCGTCTGTTAGGTGTTTGAACTGCAAGTGTGGCATTGCATCAGGTTAGCTGGCCGAGCCTTCACTGTTTGTGCTAATCAAGCTGCATTATCCTGACAAAAGCCAAGATATCAAGGCCGTTGAGAAACACAGAATGCCGTTCACAGCCAAAAGATATGCCGTTTTGAAGGGCATCGGGACACGGGATGTAGTCGCTTCTAGCACTGAGACAGATCCCAACACCAGAACAATTCTGGAAAAGGTAATGAGCAAGATGAGGGTGTGACACACGGTGTCCACAAGGCGGATCATATGTCTAAGATGCAGCGTTTCCAGTCCATCGAGTTTGAGGCTTGAGACATGATGTGGAATGAAGCTAGAAGTTCTACAGAAGAAGCGGAAAGATTCGAGGAAGATGGAATGGAACGGCTTGTGGTCTTTTAGCGTAGAAATGAAGACATGAAGGCACTTTACTGAGGGGGTGCATACCTACATGTTGGTCGATAGCACATGCCGGCTGATATCGGCGGTTTAACTTGAATGTTTGATAGCCATAATCCTTGCAACTGTTGGCTCAAGACCAACGAACGGCTCGAGTAAGGAGCCCTAACGATTATAACAGAAGTGGTTGGTTCGAAAGGACGCGACAATCTTGTATGTGGGAATTTGAAAGTGACGGCGAGGCTGTCTGTTTGCGTGAAGTGACAAGGCCCAATGCGGAAGTCGCTTCTGAACCCTAAGCAACTTCTCGCCGCAAACCGGACTCTCACATCCCACAATCATCATCGTCACACATCGCGATTCGCGACCACCGTTGCACATACCTGCTGTTCGCTGGTTGAATGCCACCGTGTCATAGCATAAACAACATCTGTCAATACTAACACCTCTACAGCATAGCTCTATTCGCTAGTCATGGCAGAATTTCAAGATCACACATCTCCAGCTGCGCCCGCGACGGCGTCTGAGCGCAGCACACCGCAAGAAATACCTGCCGCCACATCGCCCACGCCACAGCCAGAAAGATCGCCATCTCAAGAAGGTTCTGAAGAAGGCGAGATGGCCGACACTGGGACTGCTCCTACAACCGACGACGCGCCACCATTGCCTGACGAGCCATTACCTGAGGATGCTCCACCTCTTCCCGATGAGCCTCTGCCTGCGCCAACTGAGGAGGATGACGGCTGGTCCGCTCAGCTTGACTCTTCTTCTGGCTGCTGGTACTTCCTCAATCGCTTCACTGGTTTGTCGCAATGGGAGAATCCACGAGTCCCCACCACTGTTCCAAGCCAGCAGTATGCGCCAGGCACGGGTCCAACCTCACACGCTCCTGGTACCTCTGAAGCTGTCGCACCGCCTTCGTCTCCTCCGAGAGAACCATACCTAGGCTACAACCCCAAGATACATGGCGACTTTGATCCGAACGCAGACTATGCCAAGTGGCACCAGGAACACCAGACGGAAGAATGGGCCGCTTCAGAAGCTGCTTTGGCACAACCTATTGCAGCGTACGAACAAGCAGGCACCTTCAATCGCTTCACGGGAGCTTTCCAGGCCGCCGACAAGAGCGCAGAAAACCACAATGACGAGAACAAGTCAAAACGCCAACTGAACGCCTTCTTTGACGTAGACCGCGCTGCCAATGCTCACGAGGGTCGCTCTCTCAAAGCTGAGCGCGCGAATCAAAAGTTGAGCAAGAAGCAAGTCAAAGCCTTCAACGAGCAGCGACGTGCCAAGAAGGAGCAAAAGCGCCGCGATTTCCTCATGAGTTGACGAGCTGAAATGCGCCGAGAGGATGTAGTGAGTGTCAAATTACGTGACCTTTTTGTGCGTGTACAGTACTATGTACGGAGCAGGTTCTGCTCGCCTATAACGGCTGTCTTTTGCTATAATGACTGACATGACACTCAGCAGGATGTATTCATGGTCAGAGATTTCCTCCTTTGCTTCTAGCAAAACGGCGTCTCGAGGCTAGGACGAGCGGACAGGCGTTGGAAACCACTGCAGACTTGTCTGGTTTCTCTTTGCCGGATTTCGCTCTTGCACCACGCGTACTTGATTGCATATTTCCGCGTCGGTCGACGTATATCGCAATCCTTTGCTGCTTTTGGTCGAGCCTCATCTCGGTCACAAGCGCGGAGTAGGAACAGCAGAGCAGAGCATAATAGATTCAAGCCGGTTGGGGAAGAAGAGCATCCACATGTCATGCGATTTTCAAGCACGCTCGAGCCTCTCTCTAACTTGACCTCGCCAAATACAAGACTTCGACCTCAACGCGTAAATCCAATCTATATCGGCACCCGAAACCGTGAAACGACGAATATATCTTCAAGACGCCATCCACCTATTTTTCCCGTCAACAATAAGCTGCCCGTCACTCTGCACAGGTGTTCTTCCGGGCTCGGTAGAGCACACTGGATCCATCGTGTTATATTGAGAGGCTTTCACAATTGCCCATTCGGCGCATGTGCCATTTTAGCTAGCGTCAACGGCTCGCAAGCGTGGAGAGGAAGTAAAGGGTTTCGGTCGTTAGTCTCGGCACTGAGTCAGTCTCAGAAGTCTACTTTCTGTAAAACAGCTCGTACGGGTGAGGGGCAGTTGCAGTCGTTAGGTGGCAGGTATGGAGGGGTGCCTTAGGCGTGCAGCCGTCAATGGCAGATCTAGAGGCAGAACCTCAGCCTGCCTATGGTTATGTCTCTGGTGGCTTTGGGTGACCTGCATGGTCAGAGATCATCAGGTACATGCAGGGAGGGCACGCAGAGGTCTTGCCGCATCGCGTTAAGTAGAGATCCGGCCCGCTGCTGCCGAGTCACTCGTGGGCCCGTCCCCCAAAAGCCAATCCTCGCTCGCAAGGAGCAACATCTGCGCTCTGCCCCTTCCCTGCCGAATGGTAGTAGCCGGGCCGCGAGCGATCAACGGGTGTGGAAATGTCTCGATGAGGATCATTGCTGGGAGGGTTGCGAGTACTCGAGCACTCTCGTGGCTGCGAGCTGGCAAGAGATACAGATATGCGGCCGCGAAAAAGGCGTTGCTCGCCGAGCTAGCTCTGGAACGGCTGGTCAGTATCCATATGCTCGCTCGTGCTCTCTCGCAGATCCGGGAGCCAGGTCGTTGAAATTGTTACGGGCAGCAATAACGTGAACGCCGCAGTGCTCTCTAAAAGACGCCACCAGTGAAAAGTCCCCGCGGGCGAGGCACTTGCGACTGGGCAGTAGTCGACCAACTAGCTCCACAGTCCACTGATTTCTCTTTATCCCTACTTTCTACTTTTATCGCGAACGTCCCGTCTTCTCTTGTCCTCTTTTTTCCGCTCGCTGGTGCCCGTCATCATACCAAGCATTCGACGTAAAACCTGAGATCTACCATTCTCCGTAATTCTGAAACATCTCACCACCCTCGATCGGCTTGCTTCTTTTCCCTCCACCAGCCGACCAAGACCAAGCAAGCCATCTCGCGCCGCGAGCTGCACTCTGCACTCTCCCGCCTTGACAGTAGCGTTGCACAGAGACAGTCGACGCAATGGGTCTCTTCAGCCGCAAGGACAAGAAGTCAGCAGTGGATGCAGACAAGGCCGGATCGGACGCTGGCTCCATTCACAAGTCGCCAGCCAGCAAGCCCATGAATGGCAACCCCTCGGCCAATGCCTCTCTGCCTCATGTCCCACTCCCCAGAGCTCCCGACCCGGCCCTCAATCCCGCCGCCTACCTGCGCAGCATCTACGCCGTGCGCGAGAGATCCAAGTATGTCTTCGAGTTAGCTAAGCGCAACAAATCGAAGCACTTTGACGTCGACATGACCAAGTTCGCCGACACAGCACGCTTCGTCGTTTCGATCATTAACGTAAGTTTTGTCAATCCTCGGGCAAACGTGAGTGTTCTTCAATCTAACGCTCGCCTGATAGNNAGAGATTACGCTCCCGACTACGCTTCGATCCCCCCACATGGTCGTTGGCAACACTTTGATGTTGGTGGCAGACCCAGAGTTGACCAGCTTATGGCAACATGGCCAAAGTCGGTCAACGACCAGGAACGTACTCGCAGACTCATCGACCTGTTCCTCGTGTCTGTTTTGCTGGATGCTGGTGCAGGACAAAAATGGACATACAAGAGCAAGGAGTCCGGCAAGATATACAGGCGTAGTGAGGGTCTTGCAGTTGCCAGTCTGGAGATGTTCAAGGCTGGCGCATTTAGCAGCAACCCTGACGAGCCATGCCAGGTCGACAGTGCCGGCTTGAAGAAGATCAACGCACAGTACTTGGCAAAAGGCCTGCAAGTCACAGATCAAAACCTTCTGGCTGGTCTGGAAGGCAGAGCAAGTCTTCTCGTCAAGCTTGGAGATGCCTTGCAGAACCAGGACATTTTCGGCATCGAGGCCAGACCTGGCTACCTACNNTTGGTGAGTCCAGGCCACTCCTGAGCATTCTAACAAGAGCTAACATTCTGTCTCGCAGACTACCTCCTTTCTCACCCATCAACTCAAGCCTCATCAGTTCCCGTAGTCCCAATACCAACTCTCTGGAACGCGCTCATGGACGGTCTCGCGCCCATCTGGCCTTCAACACGCACTACGATCGACGGTGTCTCGATTGGTGACGCCTGGCACTGTAACGCAATGCCCGCAGCGTCGAATGCCCCCTGGGAGAAGATTGTGCCATTCCATAAGTTGACTCAATGGCTCTGCTACTCTTTGATGATCCCAATGACTAAGCTCATGCACGTACATTTTGCCGGCACCGAGCTTCTTACTGGACTGCCGGAATATCGCAACGGTGGTCTCTTGATCGACACAGGACTCCTCACACTCAAGCCCGCAGACGCCAAGCGCGGTCTCGAGCAATACCAGATTAATGCCATGAAGCAAGGCCAACCCAACATGGAAGTGGTTCCAATGTTCAGCGTCGACGATGACGTGATTGTCGAATGGCGGGCCCTGACAGTTGGCTTCTTGGATGAGCTGTGCTTCGAGGTCAACTCTCAGCTCGGACTAGTAGGCAGCAAGAAATTGAGTCTGGCGCAAGTTCTCGAGGCTGGCACTTGGAAGGTGAGCAAGATCAAAAGACGACGAGGTGACTGGAGCACTGGCTAACAAGTACAACAGGCAGGCAGAGAGATTGCAGAGGTCTCGCGACCCAACACAAAAGAGCCACCGATCATGATTGTGTCGGACGGCACCGTCTTTTAATGATACCCCACACGGCAGGCCTGGTCGTTTTATTCAATCCGATTGTTGAGCATCATCACATTTTCCATTCTCACGGCGGGAACATTGTATCTTTTTTCTTTACCTTCACTTCTAATGATTCCCTTTGTCCCCATTTCAACCTCTTTTTTCTTGTTTGTGTCTTGTTCTGTTGCATGCACCATATCCACTCCAGTCTTCAGACAGCAGCACTCTGTTCATAGACTGCTTCTTCCCATCACCTACCTACTAACCCTCACAAGCTCAGACGGAAGTTCGCCGATAGCGAGAAGGGGAAAGCAACCAGAGCCCGAGGACAGAGATCTTTGAGGCCAAGAAGCGTTGATACTCTGCACGTAGATAACGACGAAATCAAAAGTGGCAGGTTTCAATACTGATGCTTTAGCCAATGATTCGGTGATCGATTCTTTCAAGGGCCTGTCGGCTTGGCTGGCCGATTGTAGTGGTTCAGCCCCTGAGTGTCTCGGTGTGATGATCTGGTCGCATGTGTTGCCAGATAGTGGTTGAAATAGATGGGCTCGAAAGCTTAAAGTGAGATTACAGATCCACGAGATGTCTGTTTGCATGGGTCTTGGCGATGAGGTAATAATGGCTTGGTTGCTTATCGGAACTCTCTCGACCGAGGCAGCGCGTTGCGACTCGGACATGGTCACTTCCACAATCGCACGACAAAGGTCAAGATGTTGAGCTCGGGGTCAGCACGGAGGCAGAAGCAGCGCAAGGTGCTGCTGATGGGCAAGTCGGGCGCGGGCAAGTCGTCGATGCGCTCCATCGTCTTCAGCAACTACGTAGCCAAGGATGTTCGCCGACTGGGAGCTACCATCGATGTCGAACACAGTAACATTCGCTTCATGGGCAACCTCATGCTCAACCTGTGGGATTGCGGAGNNGGTAAGGTGCTGATGCATTGGCCCACACCGAGCTTCATAGTCTGACAAAGTCGCAGCCAGGACGGTTTCACCGAGTCGTATCTCACCAACCAACGCTCAAGTGTCTTTGCATCCGTCGCCGTCTTGATCTTCGTCTTTGACGTCGAGTCGCGCGAGTTCAATGCCGACCTCATCAACTATGCCTCAATCGTCCAGGCCCTCCGCGAGAACTCACCACAAGCCAAGATCTTTGTGCTAATCCACAAGATGGATCTGATCATGTCCAACATGCGCGATGTCGTCTTCGCCGAGCGTAGCGACGCAATCCGCCACATCAGCATCGAACACGGCTTTGGAGGAAACCAACAAGATGCAGGCAAGGACGTCGACTTTTGGGGCACGAGCATCTGGGACCAGAGCTTGTACAAGGCATGGACCCAAGTCATCTACTACCTCGTGCCCAATGCCGGCGCAATCGAGAATCTGCTGCGCCAACTGGCCGAGGTCATTGATGCTCACGAACTCATCCTCTACGAACGCACGACCTGCCTGATGGTCACGCACGTCTCACGCCCTTACGAAGCAGACGGAAACCCACATCCCGATCGCTTCGAGCGCTTATCCTCCATCCTCAAATCACACAAGCACTCTGTTGCCAAACACACGGGCATGCCCGCCGGATCAGCCAACTTTGCCGAGCTCCAGATCAAGACTGGCGAGTTCATGTTCTTGATCACTCGTCTTAGTGAGAACACAAACTTGGCTGTGGTCATGGGCAGCGGTGAGGCCATGTACAATGCAGCCAGAATAAACATCGCCAACGCACGCGACAAGTTCGTCGAGCTCGACATTGCGAGCAAGAGTCGCGAAAAGGCCGAGACTAGAGCCACTGATGACGCCGCAAGAAATGCCGCTTTTGCTCACTGAAGAGGCTCGGAACAACCACAACTGGATTTCGTTCCCGTCCTTCCATCGTGCTGTTGCATTTCCATAACCGCCTTCCACGTGCGTCTGGACCTGCCAACTGCTTGTTTTTACCTTTCACGTTTTGCTTGTCCCGTTTCTGTTCAAAGATACCCACAAATCTTCCACCTCTGTTGGTTGGCTCTTCTCGCTACCTGTAACATACCTAGGAGAAAAGCATAACTCTGTTTCTCATAAACTTTTGTCTTTGTTCCACGCCGACGGCGGCCGTTTTTCCTTCCGTCTTCCACCGCACGCGACGAAGTGTGTCTTGAAAGTCTGGTTAAAGTCCGGCAATAATCCTTTGTTCTAGCCGACTTCGACTGCCGCAACTTTGATGTTTGCTGTCGGGCCTAACACAATTTGGAATCTAGACTTTTCTTACTAGATGTACACATGGGCTCTCAAATAGGAAGTCTGTCGTGCTCGGCCTGAAGTGGAAAGCGGGGAGCGGACCTCAGCCACCAACATGTCAGCGAGCCAACGGACTGGTGTATCTACTCGAGTACACCACAAGCACAAGGTGAGCTGCATAATCGACATCCGAGCATCCAACCATAGTCTTTCTGTTCAGATGTTCCTGCTGCGCCTTGGAAGACAAGCAACTGCATGCACGTCTGACATTGCTCAATTCTAACACTATTCGTGGTGCTTAGCTTAGCTCGACATTCTGGCAGGTCCCGTCTTACTGATGGTGAGAGCTGAAGATCAGAAGCGTCTTAGCTGATGTTATACCAGATCTTAGAAGCTGAGCACGTGGCTATGCTCATGGAAGGGCAGGTTGGTGACTCGTATGCTGTAAACGCTGTGGTATAAGGAGTATGGATATGCTGCTGAAGGTAGGAATATCATCAACCAGCAAATCATCCAGTCTACAGTCAAACTTTCATCTTCCATCTTCTCAAGCATCTCTTTCATCCGTTCACTATCATCTTTTCAAATTCACAGTAAATACTTTCATCTCAGCAATGGCATACCATGCGACAGCTCTCCTGGCCCTCTCTGGCCTTGCATCTCTGAGCAACGCCAAACCCATCCACCCTTACAGCTCCACCGATAGCAGCTCCGATCACCACGGCAGCATGACCTCTTCTTCTTCTAACTCCACTTCTTCCTTCTACCAAAGCTTCCCCACCCAGGTCGCTTCCAGCAAGAATCTGCTCCTCAGCAACGGCTTCCCAAAGCTCTCTCCCTCAGCCCTCACAGACGTCAACAATGCCGCCCACGGCACCCTCTCCAACGCCACCGGCAACGTGACCTTTGCCCCCGACTCGCTTACAAACTTCCAACTCATTGCCTTTAACGAATTCTTCGAAGTCGCCTTCTTCACCTCTCTACTCACCAACATCACCACCGGCGTTCCTGGCTTTGAAATCCCTGCACGTCTCAACAGCACCTACATCATCGACACTTTGATCGCTGTGCAAGCCCAAGAAGAACTACACGCCATCAACGCAAACACCAAATTGCCCGTGCCGCTCCAGACCTGCGAGTACAAGTTCCCCACCATCAATTTCACGGATGCCATAGGACTTGCAGCCACTTCTACCGATGTCGTCATGGGCACTTTGCAAGATGTTGCGTTTGTTTTTGCCGACGATGGCAATAAAGGTGTTGTCAATGGCATTGTGTCTGTGGTTGGTCAGGAAGGAGAACAAAATGGCTTTTACCGCTCCCTGCTCAACAAGATTCCCTCTGCGCAACCTTTTCTCACGGCATCAGCCCGCGATTTTGCTTTCTCGGCACTGAATCAGAACTTTGTGGTTAAAGGCTCTTGCGATATTTCTGGTATCCCGCTTAAGGTGTTTGAGGTGCTTACTCTTGTGACTCCCAATGTTGAACTCGGTGATCAAGTCATCAGTTTGAGTTTTGATATCAGCAATTACCGTGGTACTGCTGAGGACTTGGAGTTTGTGCTTATCAGCGGACAAAATGTTCCTATTGTGCAGGAGCTCAAGAATGTCAAGCAGGAGGGCAAAAAGGTTACTTTTGAGGCTGAGTTTTTGCAGCAGACTGATCTTCTCTTTGGTCTTACCATTGGTGCTGTGGTGAAGAAGGGACAGAGCTTGGCTACTGTCAAGGATGTGGTTGATGCTACTGTTTTCGGACCTGCGCTTATTGAAGTTGCTTAGATGGAACGTATGGTGGTTGTGGGTATAGAGGAGTGGGCTACCTTCGGTATCTTCGGGGTTGATTTAGTCTTGTTTTATCTCTTATCTCTTTTTGTCTGTCGCTTCCGAGTCTTTTGGGCTTGTCTGTCTACTTTTCCGGTTTTCTACATAGCTTCTTTTGCTATGGGTAATACTGGAAGTCACAGGAGTTATGGAGTTTATAGCAAGCTTAGATAGTATATTCGATATTCACTTTATCCATCGACATCGCTGCTTTTCCTCTGCTACAAAACATACATAGTAATCTCTCTTGTCAACAAGGAATACGACCCAAAACTTGCACTGGTCGATCGCGGTTTCTTCTCCCCGACATCTTACTCACACAAGATCAGGAACTGAACAAGCAATTCTGCCTCAGGCAGCGATTTGCCATGCATACCATGTATCACGCAATCGATGAGACATGCGGCACTTTACCTTGTTTAAACAAACCCTAGATCCTACACGCCTATTTATACCCACCAACACTGGATGCCAAACACTCGTGACTATCAAAGTTCAACTGTGAGAATGCTTAATACTCTCCAGAAAGAAGTGAAATCCACAGAGACATCACCTCCAAGCATTTCTCATAGCCACACTTCTAATCCCAAGAACAACTGTGCAGTTCCATAGCTTCAGGATCAACATATCACCTACAGCAGAAATGTCAGTTGTACGTTATCAACAATCTTTTTCTGTCATCAAAGCATACTACAAGTTTCATCTCCGACAACTTATCCAACGTGACTTTATAGCCAGAGCAACACTCTTTCACCCCCTTAAGATGACACATCATACATTGTCCTCAAAAAACAAAACACACCCACCTCTGCCGCCATCAGAGTCACAAAGCCAACGATATATCCTAGGATAAAGTCATCTTCATAGTCTTCTTGCTGGACGGCTGGTATGCTTGTCCAGTGGGAAGGGGTGCTAATGTGTTGCCAGTCTTCGTTGTCGGAAGCAGCGGTCTCGTCGTCATCGGCCCAGTAAACCGAAGACCAGTAGTCTTGCCAAGAGGTGGTGTGATAATAGTCATCTCTGCTTTGATCGGTAAGGGATTCTTCGTCGTAAGCATAGCGGTTAAAAGTAGAATCCCAGGATTCGGCTTCATGGTGTGATGAGAAGAGGGTTGAGTCGCTGCTGTTGCTTGACTCTTCTTCTTCTTCGCTGCCTGAGAGCATGTCTTCGCTATCGTTCTCACTGTCTGAGAAGATGTGCTTTCCACTCCAACCAATTCTGTCGAGTTCGGCGCGGTGCTTGGACCAGAATGTATCGCAGTTGTTGGGCTTGAGGTTTGACATTATTGGGGTGAAGATGGGGAGGTTATGTCGCATGGAGTCTCTAAATACGATGATGTTGGATGCTGGAAATGTGAGAAGAAAACCAGAGACGAGGGTCAAATTCTTGTGCTCTTGTAAGATGATCTGAAGCGCGCGTGACTCAAGATGGCACATCCAGTCACTCGTTCGGCGAAAATAACTGGAATTACCTCATATTTGAGAAACCGTGGTAGATGATATGCATGGCGAGTTTCTGCCTCATGAAGAGTGCTTATATATGTATACGCTTGTCAGCATTCGGTAAAAGCGAGATCTGATGTTGACCACATGTTTGATGTAGGCAAGAGTAAAACTCCAAGATCCTTTCAAAAAGCACTTTGGAATTTGCGCTCCATGTTGGTTTTCGTGCCACGCCGCGGATGAATCTCAAAGATGACTCGATGTTGGCTGCATGTGTCTCCATCCAATCATCAGAAAATTCCGAGGCCGAACAGATGTTGCAACAGGCAGCATCGTATGTCACCAAGATATCGAGAAATGTCACTTCTGGATGCAATATCATCGCACGTCAGCACATGAGGGATGATATAGAGAAGAAGATAGAAGTTGCGCCAAGCAAGGCTTCGCTACCCGATATACTCCCCTTATTCCAGTCCAACCACAAATCTTCGGCAGGAACAAACAACCGCAAAAGCGCTCACGCCTGTCTGTGCCTAATCCTCTCGACATCGTCCAAAGTACCCACCGAATGAGTCGTGCTGCTCGAACTGCTCTGTGAGTTGCTTCTCGAATTGCTCCTCGACACTTGTGGGGTCGACCCGACACTCTTCGACGACGTGCGACTTCCGCTGCGCTTTCGAACATGATTTGAACTCGAACCGCTCGTGTTGCCGACGCTCGACGATTGTTTGTGACGGTTGTGATGATGATCTCGTTTCTGCACGTCCTCCAAAATCTTCATGTTAGATTGAACTTGTGGCATTTTTGTTTGTAGCAAGGAGGTAATCTTTTTTGGGAATCGCCCAGGCGACAGGAAAAGAAACATGGAAAGAAAAGTGCTTTGATTGGATACAGGGATCAAGAAAAGAACAAAAAGTTGTGGGAGCTTGAAGATCTCCAGAAGTTCAAGGCAACAGATTCTGAAGAAAACGCCCAGCGCCAGTATGGAATATATTCGCCCGATGAGACCCGATGGCAGAAAAACAAAGAGGATGGTGTGACACAAAGAAGATGTGATAAGGGGGAATGTGAAGGGGATGATGGTGTGTTTTGAATGTCTAACATATACTCATTCACAGACCCAATGATCGAGAGGGAGAGAAGATACTCGCACTTGATCAACGTACCGAGCTGGTCTGTCTCTCAAACTCTTTCGGTCTCCTCTCCGAGTCGTCCTGTAATCTGAGTTGCTCCAGACGCAGTGGATCCGTATCGTCCGTGCGTGCGGGTGTGGCGCTCTGTGCTGTACTTGTGTTGACAGCGGCTGATGGNGGAAGACCACTCTTCATCGACTGAGCAAGAGAAGCAAGTCTATCCCACTTTTCTTGTCTGGTTCTCTTGACTTCGGGCGCATTGTTCTGTTGCTCAGTATAATCGTGTGAACAGTCGTCGAACAGCTGAGGGTTGACCTCCATGAATAGCTTCATGGCATTGTATACCATGCCGTGGATCGTTCTGNNTAATGAATTAGCCGAAAGGACCAGAGAGCGGAAGCCAGTAGTCACGTACCTGTTCCAATGCCCCTTTGAGTTCTCGTAGAGAGGAGCAAACATTATCGGTAAAATGACATCTACATTGTCGCTGACAAGATTGCAGAAATACTCGTTGTTCCAGAAGTACAAGGCACGTTCGGCCACCTGTNNAGACTTGTCAGAGATGTGTTTTGCGAAAGCCTGCAAATATATGCATACCTGGAAGTGTGGGCTGGCCACTGATTTGGCAAGTTGACTGAACAGAGCTTCCTGAACCTTTGCAAACTCGGCAGGATCCATGACCTCGAAAATGTCTTCAACCTCGTTCAAGAACATGACTTCTTTGGTGCTGTTGACTTTGGGCCAGTATCGCAAGAGGCCGAGCACAACCTCCTCTGTCAACGCAGCGTCTTTCTCCAGGAACTGCACGATACAGTATGCAAGTTGCGGGTGGTACATGCTCAGACTCTTGACTTTGTGTAGAGGGATGAGGACACGGGTTAGGAAGAGCTTGTGTTCCTCCTTGAGAGGTAGGGCGAAACCGTTGATAATGGAGCCCAGTATCTCAAGAAGTTCAGCAATTCCATTGAAGCGCTCAGTCTCGTAAATAAATTGGAAGAAGACGTTGTTGATAGAACGTCTGATGAATGATCTCAAGTTGAGGAACTTGCCATAGATGCGGTGGAGGGTCGTCTTGAGGAAATCGCGCTCGCGAGGATCTTCGGAATCGAACAGGTCGAGCAATGCCAGGACAAAGCTGTGGTCAATATATTGCTTGGCGTAGTTTGTGTTGAAATCCGGGCTCTCGATGAAACGCAGGAAGAACTCGTAAACGACTTGAATATGGGGCCAGGCGACTTCAAGGACTGGCTCATCTTCTTCAGGGTCGAAAGCGTCACCCTGGGGGTTCATGGGAGGAGGAATTGGGCGGAACAGGTTCTTGCTGAACATCTCGACGACTCTAGGGTACATTGGCTCGGAGATGACCTGACGGTTCTGAGCGACGTAGTCGAGCAACTCGTGAAGCGCAAGGCGCTTGATTTCCTTGGACTTCATGTCGGCGCTTGCATCATTGAAATCGAAAATGATGTTGCACTGGTCGAGTTTCTGCATAAAGAGCTCCTGGCGTCTGTTGGGAGGGACCTCGTGGAAGCCAGGCAGCTTTTCCAGCTCGCGCTGTCTCTGATCTGAAATGTCGAACCTCGACGAATGTTGGCGCTTGGGAGTGCGCACGCCCTCGGGCACTGTATCTTTGGGAGTGGCCTGCAGTCTATCGAACAGCAGCGACTTTTGGCCAGCCTTTGGCGGGGCTAGGTCGTGAGGCATGGTTTCGGCGGCGCCAGGAGGAGGGACATGCTGCGAAGAGTGAGTAAAGGGGAGCGGCATGTGTTGCGGAATGGCTTCACTTACGGGAGCACTTGGGCTAATGACGACACTAGGGTTCACGCCCTGCTGGTTGTAGCGGTTGGGGCTTTGAGTGCCGTTAGCACCCTGGTGTTGCTGAATGTATTGGTGTTGCGACATTGCTGGCTGCTGCTGGCCGGATGACAGGGCATCGCTTGATGGTTTGCGGGTTTCGGCGAGATTTTGGGTCGAGGACGAGGGNGTGCCAGCGGGCGACTGGGCGGCGCCGCCGTGAGGAGAAGCAGTGCCGGAAGATTGTTCTTTGCTCGCTTTCTTGGAGATCTTGTTACTGTCCTTGGCTCGCGAGAGCTGCTCATGCTGAGGTCGTTAGCCATGGTGTGTCTCGGGCCGTGTTGTTCAATGTAGCTGGGGGACTGCCTACCACGCGCTGTCTGAAACCCTTCATCATGGATGGTGACGAGTGAAAATGTGTTGGCCCTCGGCCTGGGAGCTTCTCGCTGCGTCACGGCGTCGGAGGCGTGGTCGTGCGGTCGACTCGTGGGTGAGGGTGGTCGCTTGGGTTGGACTGCAGGGGATGATGATACGGCGTCGTGTCGGATTGCTAGACGTCGGACCTAGGGACACGGCACAGAAGTCTGACAGGGTACCGAGCTTCGGCAGGAGCTAGAGCAGCAGTGGCTCTCGGATTGGAGTGCTGGTAGGAGAGTGGTGAACAATGGCTTGTCTTGTCGGAAGCAGGACAATTAGCTATGGCTGATGGTTGTTGACGCTCCGGATGCCTACACCCAGCACGCTTTAGGTCCAGTCTTGGCAAGCCACCCCGCCCGCAATTCCACTCTTGAACAGATCAATCTCGCAGGCGTTTCACACCATCTCTCAAAACACAACCCATTCTATCATGACCGATCAACGGCCAGATCTGGCCTCCAACCGCCATCAATTGGCTAGCTGGTTGACCGTGTCTTCTGACAGAGTCGTCACTGTAGAGCATCCCTCCATCATTCGAGATATTGACAAGGGTCTGCATTCTCTTGGCGGAGAGCATCACATCAAACATGTAGGTCGAATGCTTTCGTTCAAATCATCTTGCCATGTCTTCTGATCGATCTGTGATGATAGCNTGCTTGCTCCTGCTGGTCAGACACTATCTGTTGGTCTATCGTTGCGCCCACATGATCCCCTCGTCAAGAAGCTCGTCTCGAAAGAGATGCCCGTTCAAAACCTTCTTCTTCGCGTGACTGTCCCAAGACGAACCGGTCGTAAAAGAAAGCGAGGTTCTGATGATTCGTTTGATTACCATGATGGTAGACAGGAGACGACAAATGGAGACACCGAAGAACCTCCTACTTCGATGCCTGTGACGGCCGAACAGCTACGACGTCGACTTATGGACAATATGGACAAATACACCATCCAGCCTGTTGCGACAATCAAACAGACTCACAGGTTCCGTGCATTACCAGATTTCCAGTTACGAGCTGGTTCCCAGCCGGTCATGCACCAGATTGGCAAAGGTCTTATCAATCCTACTGGTCAGCCCCTCCTTCTCGTCGAGACCCAGTATATGATCTAATGAAAANCAGTATCGAGCATCAAGAATTTCAAGGTTGACATGACTCCCGGTCGACCATCGGACGAAGAACTCATCGCACCACCAAACTTTACTTCGTTCGAGCAGTCTCTGAACTATCTCTACAAACAAAACCCTGGTGTCACACATGTCACAGACGAGAAGGGTCGCGTCAAGACTGTCAACACCCAAGCTCCGAAGAAACGTCAAGTTGTTTCCGTGGCTCACGATATCGAGAAAGTGCCTACAAAGCCACCCAAGGGTCTCATCGCTATCGAGAAACAGTCTGAAGCCCTTCAGCAATGTGTTAAGAACCTGCTGGAGCTTCTTGAGACCAGACCTGCAGTCACTCGCCGGGTAGCATGCAATCTCGTTGATTGGGGCAATGAGGCCCTCTTCAAGGAAGCTACGCAGTACGTCGGCTACAGCTTCAAGTCTGGTCCCTTCCGAGACACACTTGTCAAGTACGGCCTTGATCCTCGCACCGATCCGAAGTACCGCTGCTATCAGACATTCTCCTTCCAGCTTATAGCAAAAGACAAGGTTATTGCTGCGGCCAAGAAGATGCGAGATGGCAAGAACCAGTGGATCAGAAGTGATCGCTACAAGAAAGACGAAGAGCCTTCGCACGTTTTTGATGGTAAAAGCATGACCACAAACGGAAAGACATGGCAAGTCTGTGACATCAAAGAGCCTGTTCTCGCAGGTCTGCTGGCCACAGAGAATCTACGATCTGAGTTCGATGTATGTTGTCAATGCCCACTTCTGACGCTTGTCTTGCTAACATTTGTAGNNCCCGTAAATTACGGCTGGTACCTCAACGGCACGGTCGCTAAAGCACGTATAATAATGCGTGATATGATTGGCATGATGCTTTCTGGACAGGCCCCTGATACGGAATCATACAAGACGGTCTCCTCTATACCCGATGAGATTGACAAGACGACGTACCCTCAGACATACTACGAAAGGAGCGCTCATCCTGAAAAGGTGATGCAACTGTCTGGAGAGATCAGAAATCTGGTCAAGACGGACATTGCTCAAAGAGTCAGAGACAAGTTCAGAGGCGAAGGAGAGGTATATGGCGAGAATACTCAAGGTGGTGCAGAAGACGACGACGTCGAAGGAGATGGAATGGAAGATGATGGGGAGATGGAGGGTGACCTCGAAGACTTCGGAGGCGAGACAGAGCCTTAGTCCAGTAGCCACTGAGTGAGCAAAAAGTAGGTACACACGGTACCTAAGAACGAAGCCGTGGTTGCCTTAGTGTCACTCCTTCCGCTTTTGCTCTGGTTGCATCGTTTTCTCCACTTGGCGTGTTGCTCACTGTCAAGCGAGTGAAAATCAACACGAACATCATTTGCAGAGTCATACTCTTCACCGCAACACTTTGTTGCCAGGCAACTGGTCTTCAGTCACCTTGACACAGCATCGCTCCAGTCGACACCACTCTCCTCCACTCAAGCAGATCCAACACTTGCTGGCATACCTTGGACTGGAATCATCAACCCCATTGCTCTGAGCAGTCGCGCGCGCAGAACAAAGCTCACCCTCTGGGCAAAAAGCCTTGAAGCAACCCATAGGATCTCAGGGACAACCTGATCCTCAGCTTCACTTATTGTGTCTCAGCAACATCACAACAAATCCGATCACAACATTCAGAACTTGACTTCACCCACAATCGCTCTTTCCACGCGCACTTTCCACGCGCACTTTCTCCAGAAGATATACTACGACACGCAGCCCTCACTGCCCATTTCTCGTCTCGGACTGTTGCAAAGGACTTTCATCACGCATCTCAAGAGACCCTAACTGAACAGCGGTCATCATCATGGTATGCAGCACTCCTAGTCCATCGATTAGACCCATACTGACGCAGTCTCCAGACACCTCTCGATAGCGATGGCGATCTCTCGCTGTCTGGAATGCCTGCTGAGATCCTCTCAGCCATCATCAAACTTGCCGGTTCTGGGGCCCTTCCAGCCTTGCGTCTTACAAACAAGCGCCTCTGCGCAGTCTCGAACGATCGTTTCGCACTCCAGCACTTCTCCGAGCGCAGGCATGTTGCGTCTGCTTATAGCATGGATGCTCTTATCGAGATCACCGCACACCCTTTCTTCGGCAAGTTCGTCAAAACAGTCATGGTCAGCGGTTATCGGCCAAAGCTACTGACGCCGCAAGAAAGTTCTAAGAAGTGTCTTGGCTGTGGTCAACCTCAAAGCCAGTCCTATTGTACCAGTCCTGCCGTTCACAATCTTACATTGAACCAGGTGCAACTTGCGGAGAAGCTTGAAGAGGTGTTCTCCAATATCAAGCGCAGCTCATCCTCAGTAACCATCGGAGTTCGCGACTGCAGGGAAGATTGCTATGGCTCTTCCGGCTACATGAAGTACGATAGGTGCAGCGAATATGAGGAAAGCGAACTGGATTACAAGAAATTCGCCGCTATCTTTCGCGTCCGCCGACGCCAAAGAAACGGATCGTATGATATTATCGGGACTTTCAAAGCAATCCTCCAAGCGGCCCAGGTGTCTGGATGCGAGATTGAGGGCATCAAGCTTGACATCTCTGGCGGTCGCATGCCACGGATCGATAACATTGCCCATCGAAAGGAGATCCTCACCATCTTGAGCCATTATGTCGATCGGCTACCTCAAACGCTGAACTTTGGGTTGAGCTTCCGACCGGAATACATAGGCGATCCTCAAACAATATATCTGAAGTACGATCGCAGTGGAAGTCGGCTTGGACTGTCTGGATACAGCTTCGGGTGGACTGGTGACAACGATACAGTTCCCAGCACACTGGCCATGCTCGTTCGACTCCAAACCTATCCAATTGTTTCAGTCAAGCTCGAAAATTGCAGCTTCAACGAACTGGACTCGTTGTGGATATCCCAAAGTCCTACACTCAGAAGGCTTACACTGCGTAGTGTGGCTCTTTACACAGGATTCTTCGAGAAAAACTTTTGGAGCAGCCTCCTTGACAGACTCTCTCGCAAGAATCACCTGCAGCATCTTGAGCTCCACCATGCTCGTTATATGTTTTTCCACCAGGGAGGACACTCTATGCAATTCCAGCTTTCAACTGGGTGGTACAGACTCAATAATGAATTACAGTGGGACCAGCCTTGGTTCACATTGGCACCTTCAGGAGACGTGAATGAGAGCATGATCTTGACGGACCAAACAAGCATCTCTGTTCAACTCAAGGCATTGGCAGACCAAGTGGCACAAATGGAGGTCGACAAGGTTGCTGAGGTCAAAAGAGACGGGTTTCTTCGTACCAACATCGTTGGCATCTGTCAGGATGTCCCACCAGACAAGAATGTCATGTCTGAAGAAGATGACCGTGACGAGGTGCAAGATGGCGAGAGCGGTCGGACCACTGACGCTCACCACAGACACAGCGAAAACGACAATCATCACGAGCTCGAAAACAACCACTGAGTTGCCTGCAATCTCGACTGGACACCTGAGAGTTGGTTGCATTTACTTATTCCTGAATGGGAGCTGCTGTCGGAAGGAAGAAGGCTTATACGGCGCTAAGATGGCGCGCAGGAACGTGGCCTATGCATCAGCTGAGAGACGATGCAACCAAGGACCAAGCACAAGGTCGAAAGCATCACCAAGGAGAAGATGTCTTTCAGGACGCGAGAAAGAAGTCAGGAAGGATTGCAAACGAGGGCAGACGGACTAAACAGAGGAGGAACGCTCGAAGTGAGCGGCAAGACACAGTATCAGGGAAGCTTTTCAGTCAAAGTTTTTTCTTTCAATCCCTTTTCCTACACCAAGGTTCTATCAAGAATGTATCTCCCCTCGCCATGCTCCTTGTTGTATGCTGCCACTTTTGGCTGTTCTGGCTAAATTTACCGCTCATTCTTCGATCAACCTCTATCATCTTCCATCGCCCAGTTCGAGTGCAAAATCGAAGACTTCTCAAGCAGCATCTTCCCTCAACCCAATCACCCCGCCATAGCCTCCNNCCTCAATAACGGAGCGACCTGCTTCCTGCTAGCCGAGAGATTGCCTTGTTTCCAGACCCTGAACCAATGCTCACCACTCTCTTCGGCATCCTCTTCATCCAATTGCAGCTTTTCCTTTCCTTCCTCGGCGAACTTTTCGCAAGCAGTAAAGCCCCTGTCGTCTACTGCCAACACCGCGACTTCTCTGGCAAAAGTCCCCGGNGGGGAGGATTCATAGGCTGTCATGATGGAAAAGATGCAGAGGTCTCTAGAGGCAGCGAAGGATTTTGCTGCGTGGAGGAGAGAAGAGGAGGAGGAGGAGGAGTTGTCGTTTTTGTCGCTGCTGAGTTTGGATTTTAGGAAGGAGATTGGTTGGACGACTGCACTGGTGCCAAGATCGAGTCCGTTCTCTGTCCATTGTTTATAGTCTTTTCTGAGTATCTCGTTGAAAGAGAGGGAGTTGAGATCTCTTTTTGCTTCATTAATTTTGTTGAAGAAGGTGGTTCTGTCGAACTGAGTGGATAGCTGGGGGCATTGGGTTATTTTTGCGAGGAGGTAGGTTATGGCGACGTGATCGTGGTGGGTGGTCTTGTGTTTGTCTTGCAGGTTTGTGGTATCGATGAGTATGGAGGCGAGGGCTAGTTGCGCGACCTGTGCATCCCAGAGTGAAGTCATGGTTGCATCTTCTTGTAAGCTGCCGCCTTGTGCATTTGCTGCTGCTGTGGTGGATGTGCCCAGAGATAGACTGTCCCAAGCATTGCGGCAATGGTTTATGATTAAACTTGTGCAACTGCCACTGGTTTCTATCACACGAGGTTCTTCGCCCGTGTCTGCTGGCACTTTGTTTTCGTCGGCGTGGTGGTCGATTACGCCTACCACGCGTGCGCCATAGATTTTGCCGAGTTTGCCTTGCAGAGCGTTATGGTCGACCAAAACCCATCGTGTAGATTCTGGCACTAGCGATTGGTTGATGGAAGAGAGGTCTGGGAGGTCATCTAGTGTGATGAGATGGTCTTCTTGAATGTTTGCGTGTGGGAGGAGGGCTAGCAGTTCAGGGCGTAGAGATATGTCTGCTGCGGGAATGTTCAAGAGGGGGATGTGGAGGGTGGGNGATGTTTGTGTTGAGTGAGTAATGGATCTTAGATATGCATAAACGATTGAACTTGTGATGGAGTCGAGATCTNNTGTACGGGATGTTAGCTTCGAGACAGTAAAAGATAGAGTGTGAGGAAAGCTACCTGCTGATTCATTGCCGATGACCAGGGTGACTTTTTGTTTTTTGTCGATGGCTGTTTTCAGAGTAGCTTTTGCTTGTCTAAGGAAGGCTCCGAGAGAGTTTCTTGGGATGGCCATTTTCTTGGTGAGAAGGTTGTGACTGAGCACTCTACCTTGGTGGGTAAATTTTGAGACAAGGGACGAAGCGTGGCATGTCGTCAACGATGATGATTGCGGGGTGTGACAGGTGCTCGTAAATTCGAATTGACCTTGTCCCATCTCTTTCACGACATGTTCTCAAGAAGACTGCTATCTACTGCAAACATAAGAAACCGTGGATTCACGACGACCTCAAGAATGGCTGCAGAAAGACTTCGCATAGGATACATTCCTGGTGAGCAATTGGCCATTCTCCGAGATGGCTCTATACTATACAATTATAAAGCTAACACGGGAACAANNGAACACTTCTCCACACCTCTACATTTCGCCATCAAGCACTTTGGCCTCGAGGCCGACATCAAGCCTTTCCCTACCGGCACCGGTGCCCTCACAGCATCTCTCAAAGACAACACCATCGACGTTGCAATTGGCTTGACCGAAGGCTTCGTAGCAGACCTGGGAAAGACAAATGCCGGCAAAGAGACACCCGCCTACAAGCTCGTCGGCACCTACGTCGAGAGTCCACTCTGCTGGGCCATCAGCGTTGGCAACAAGAGCTCCATCAACAACGAGAATGACTTGAAGGCCACAAGAGTTGGTGTTTCTCGCATCGGCAGTGGATCTTATGTCATGTCCTATGTGCTCGCCGATCAAAAGGGCTGGCTGGAGAAGGAGAAGTCGCCGTTTGAGGTCGTGCCATTGGGAGACTTCAAAGCTCTTCGCCATGGTGTCAACGAGGGAGACAAGGCTGACTTTTTCATGTGGGAGCACGTAAGTTCCATGCTGTCCAGAATCAGAAGGGTCTATGCTAATGACTTTCGTTCATCACAGTTCACGACGAAAAAGTTCTACGACAATGGCGAGTTGAAGCGAGTCGGCGACATTTACACACCCTGGCCGAGTTGGATGATTGCGGCAAGAGATGCTCAAGACAAGAAATTGGAAGTCATGGCCGAGAAGCTGAACCAGGGAGTCACGTACTTCCGCGAGCATCAGCAAGAGGCGGTTGAGCACATCACCGGTACCATGGAGTACTCGCAGGAAGATGCCAATGCGTGGCTTAAGACGGTCAAGTTTGCAGACAATGTTCGAGGTGTGGAGTCAAGCGTGGTCGAGCACACCATCAGCATCTTGCAANAAGGCGGTGTTCTAGACGATAATAATGGCGGCGTAGATGGTATGGTTGCCATCTCTCGTTCGCAAAAGGGTCAATAAAGGCTCGAGCAATGTAGATACGAATAATGCATACTCATCAACAAGGTACAAGAATGCATATTTGAATGTTTGACAACAAAGCGGGTATCGTAATCTAAAACTAAGCCTGTAAAGAAGACAGACTTATCTAAGCCTCTACAGCAGCAGGCTTCTTTCCTCCAGTGGCGATGAGGTCGAGGAAGCCCTTCTTGGACATTTCGCTGACTCTCTCTTCTCTTTGTGAGATACCGACCACACCCTCCTTCTTCGCTTCGCTTCTGGCCTGCTCTCCCTGCACCTGGGCAGCGCGAACAGCATTGAAAAGCTTGACAACACCACGCTGAGCAGTCTTTTGCAACCTCTTCTCCGTCTCTTGGATGTCTGCCGTGCTGACCTCAGGTGTGTTCAGACCCAAAACATCCTTGACACGACCCTTGTCCAGCGCCTCCCTCTTCTCAGCATGCAGCTTTCTCTTTGCCTTGAGCTCCAGCTTCTGATCTGCCAACTCCTTGGACGCGGCGGTGGCGGCGGCACTCCTCGACAACACGGGATCTTGTCGTTTCGAGGTGGTGAGTTTTGTGCCCAGGATCTTGGACATGGAGGTGGCGAAGGCGGTGGGGTCGTTGCGCTTGCGGGTCTTTTTCTGCGTGCCGTCCGTGTCGCTGAGGTCGAGTTCGTCGTCGTCGTCCTCGAGATCCGAGTCGTCCAGCGCATCGAGGTCTTCAACGTCGTCATCGTCGTCTTCTTCATCTTCATCTTCCTCTTCGTCGTCTTCGCTCTCTGACGGCGGGTCGACTTTCTTGGACTGTTTCAGGGCCGATTTGAGTTTGGGTTGTGCTGCGGCGGGTGCGGGCTCTGACTTTTTCGGGGCGGCGGGCTTTGGTGTCGTCTTCTTCTCAACGACGGGCTCAGGAGCAGGTATCGGGGCTGTCGCAGCAGCAGGAGCGTCCTCAACTTCCTCATCCGAGTCTTCCATGTTGACGGGGTTGAAGGATTGCTCATTGTCGCTCTCGCTGTCCGAATGGTATGCCTTTTGCTTCTTGAATTTCTTGACGAGCTTCTTGGGCTTACGATAGCCCATGCCCTCTGGTCTCTTTCTCTTTGCGCTTGGGTTGCCCATTGTGATTGATGTGTTGTGATGTATGAGATTATTCGAGATGGATCTGGGATTTTTTTGAGAGGGACTTTGGCCTGCAAAAGAGCGTCTGGGGTAACAATGCGGCTCGGTGGATTTTTGGCCGACTTGCCGGCTCGCCCCGCGATCTCACACTCCGCCGTCTTGCTGGCTGCTTCTCTTCCATAGAACACACACACACACGCATAGCAGTTCGCGCTCACGACCACTCGCGCCCTTACCCACTCCCCTCCCCTCCCACTGCAACCATAGCAACTAGGCTCGATCTCATCGCAGTCAACTAGCCAGGATGGTTTTGCAAGATCTCGGACGCCGCATCAATGCCGCCGTCAACGACCTGACCAGGTCCGCGACTCTGGACGAAAAGGCCTTTGATGGAATGATCAAGGAGATCTGCAACGCCCTTGTCGAGGCCGATGTCAACATCAAACTGGTCGCTGGTCTCAGGAACTCCATCAAGAAGACGGTCAACTTCAGCGAGCTCGCCCCGGGTGTGAACAAGAAGCGCATCATCCAAAAGGTCCATCTCTCCACACCAAGCCTTGTCCTGTTACTGACCACTTTGTAGGCCGTCTTTGATGAACTCGTCAAGCTCGTCGACCCCCACAACACCCCATACCAGCCCAAGAAGGGCAAGTCCAACGTCATCATGTTCGTCGGTCTCCAGGGTGCTGGTAAGACCACGACTTGTACCAAGCTCGCCCGCTGGTACCAGGCGAGAGGCTTCAAGACTGCCCTTGTTTGCGCCGATACTTTTCGTGCTGGTGCCTTCGATCAGCTCAAGCAGAATGCTACCAAGGCAAAGATCCCCTACTACGGCAGCTTGACCCAGACCGACCCCGTCATTGTCGCCAGAGAAGGTGTCGACAAGTTCAAGAAGGAAAAGTTCGAGATTATTATTGTCGATACTTCGGGTCGTCACAGACAAGAGCAGGACCTTTTCGATGAGATGGTCCAGATCCAAAAGGCTGTCCAGCCTCACCAGACTATCATGGTCCTTGACTCTTCCATCGGTCAAGCTGCCGAGGCTCAGTCCAGAGCTTTCAAGGAGACCGCCGACTACGGTGCCATCATCATCACGAAGACTGACGGTGCTGCCGCTGGTGGTGGTGCAATCTCGGCTGTTGCTGCTACACACACTCCCATTGTCTTCATCGGTACTGGTGAACACTTGCTGGATCTTGAGAGATTCAACCCCGAGTCTTTTGTCTCGAAGCTTTTGGGTATGGGTGACATGGCTGGTCTGGTTGAGCACGTCCAAAGCTTGAAGCTTGATCAANAAGACACCATGAAGCACATTGCCGAAGGTCAATTCACCATCCGTGACTTGCGCGACCAGTTCAACAACATCATGAAGATGGGTCCTCTCTCCAAGATGGCTGGTATGATTCCTGGTCTCAGCGGTCTCATGGGACAGATGGACGACGACGAAGGTAGCATGAAACTGAAGCGCATGATCTACATCTGCGACTCCATGACAGCAAAGGAGCTCGACTCTGACGGCAAGATCTTCGTCGACCAGCCATCACGCATGATGCGTGTTGCAAAGGGTAGTGGTACCAGCGTCCGTGAGGTCGAGGAACTCTTGTCCCAGCAAAAGGTCATGGGCGGCATGGCCAAGAAGTTCAAGGGTGGCATGCAGAACATGCAGAAAGCACAGGGTGCCATGGGTGGCAAGAACAACCAGCAGCAGATGAACGCCATGCAGAAACGTCTCCAGTCCATGGGAGGCGGCAGAGGTGGCGGTGGTGCTGGTGCTGGTGGCATGCCAAACCTCGGCGGTATGGATATCGGTGCCATGATGCGCAGCATGGGTATGGGTGGCGGTGGTGCCGGAGGTGGTGGCGGTATGCCCGACATGAATGCCATGATGAAGATGATGGGTGGAATGGGAGGCATGGGAGGCATGGGAGGTATGGGTGGCGCTGGCGGCGCTGGTCGCGGTGGTAGAAGATAAGGTGTTCTGGTATACCCATCCGCCTACTTTCTTTGATTCTTTGCATAGCGTCGGCGTTAGGTTGGAGCTTGCCTTTGGATCTGAGAGATGCGATCTGCATAGAAAGACTATATAATGCCCACAAATCCGATATCATGTTCACATTGTCAGCTACATAAATTGGGTCCTTTCCTCCATTTGGAGCAGCAGATCTGTCAAGATGCCACAATTCTCCTCAATTCTCCTGGGAACAGAGGTAAGAGTGTCAGTCTGCCTACATCTCAACAGTACCCAGACCTTGAGGAAAGGCGCACGTACGTCGTAAGGTCCAGCACGCGAGAGGTCGCGTCTCCCCGGTTCGGACTTCTCTCCACAAAAACGCAACCCCTCCAACGCAGCAACAAACCCACTTCACACGCCGAACCTCGGAACCTCCAAAGCTCTGTGTCTCTGTCTTTCTACCTCAATCAATCACATAACTTCTTGATGTTTGGACTTCGACAAGCTTCCACTTTGTTTACACGACGCAGCTTTTCCACAACCTCTCGCATCATGTCTCAGCAAAAGCACGAGTGGATGGTTATCCTGCCCGACAACGCAGGTGCCTTGGAGCAGAGAATGGCTGTTAGAGAGTAAGACTTGCCCTTCCTCGTCATGATATCGCACTTGCAAGCACCGCAATGTGCAAACAAGATTGCGGACTCTACGCATTGCTGAATGAAAGCAACTCTCTAACACAAAACGCAACACAGACAACACCTTTCCGCCGTCAAACCTCTTGCCGAAAGCGGCTTCTGGGTCCTGGGCGGCGCAATGCTAGAAGATGTGCCCAAAGAAGGCTCACCGCTGAAAATCAAAGGTTCAGTGATGCTGGCATTGGCGAGCTCCAAGGAAGAAGTTATGGAGAAGATTAAGAAGGACATTTATGCCGACAAGGGAGTTTGGGATATGGATAAGGTGAGTTTCTTTGATGCCGAGAAGCGTTTTGTGCAGAGGGAGAAAATTGCTGATGTTTAATGCTGGAAACAGATTCAAATTTTCCCGTTCAAGAGTGCTGTTAGATCTGCTTTGTAGAGTGAAGGAGATTGGTGAGGAAAGATTGATATTGGCAATGTTTTGAGATTCACCTTTACGAACCGAACCAACTCTACCTGAAGCAGACACACTGAATATAGTGATCCTCTCTATACTTCGATGAAGTCAGTGAAGGTTTAACAAAGTCACGGATACCTTCTCTTTGACAGCCCCCAGTTTGTATACAACACTACTCGAGTAGGGCTTGCAAGGAAGGTACACCTTGCATTGCCGGAGATGCCCCGTTCAGCCACCTCGGCGAGAGCTGGTTCTGTCTAGCATCTCTACTGTTCGGTGTTCACAACATCACAACAACTCCATGACTTCTCACTCCCTGTTTCCGATGTCCGGTACCGGTATCATCTTGCTGCCGGCATCTGCGCGCATTTGGCTTCCATCACCATCATGATCGCTTTTAGCCTAATCTTCCAGCCCTGGGTTTCCACGACCCCGATCATGCTGCAGATCAGAGGTGGAGAAATCGCGGGGATCTTGATGTCTTGACATCTCATCACCGCCATCCCGTCCTCTTAGGTCGGAGAAAGCTTGAACAACATGGCAAACCATGCTTCTCTGCCGTGTCAAGGAATGCGAGGGCTGGCTGGACTAGTGGAAGTATGCAGTTCTTGCCTGTACGGTTGCCGTAACCGAGACAGCCTGTATGAATGCCTGCCCATAGGCTTTTGTGTGTCGGAGAGCATGGAAGACTATAAGAAGGTAGAGTCGTCCTCTTGATCCTTCTTGTCGTTGTATTATCTTTGCAATTCGAAACATCATGCCTACCTTGTCACTATCCGCGTTGTTCGCTCTATCCTCTGTAGCAGGAGCATGGCCGCACTTTGGTCCTCCTGGACCTCCCCTCCACTCTGGCGCACCGCTACCTCCACCTCCGGGTGGCCCCAAGCAATCTTCCTGGGGCCTTAAGAAGTTCACCAGTCTCGTCGCTTTCGGAGACAGCTACACTGACGACTCGCGTCTCGGATACTTTGGCTCCCACAACGGCAGCGCTCCCCCGGTTGGTTGGGTCGACCCAGCAAACTACCACTCGGCAGATGGCGGTCGCCCTTGGCCTCAATATGTGGCTCAGTATTCTGGCGCCAACATCTACAACTATGCGGTTTCTGGAGCGGTTTGCAGTAACAACATCACTCCTCGCACTTTTTCCAGCATCAATGCCGACTTCCCTGACGTCGAGGGCTATGAAGTTCCTGCATATCTCGCAGACAGCAAATATGTGTACCCCAACGGCACGAAAGCGCTGGATGTGCCTGTGAACAGCACTGTCTACTCAATCTGGATCGGCACCAACGATCTCGGCAACTACGCTTTCATCGACGACAGCCAGGTCGCGGGTAAAGTCATCCCCGACTATATTGATTGCGTCTATCAACAGTTCTCCACCCTCTACAACTCGGGAGCCAGATACTTTGTGCTGCAGAATGTGGCTCCATTGCAGTTGAGCCCGCAGTATGGGTTACCTAGCAAGGGAGGCTTGAACGCTACTCAGTACTGGCCCGATAAACCCGCCAATACCACAGAGATATCGGGACGTATGCTGGAGACCACGACTACGGTCAATGATGTCTACAAGTACCGTACACCCTATGAGGTCCTTCTCGCCAACAAGTACCCTGGCGCACACTTTGCCGTAATGGACATGTATGGTCTCGTGAGTTTTCTTCTCTGCACCTTCTCATACTTCTCTAATAGTAGTTACAGANTTACCGATATGTACAATAACCCTGCAGAATACTTGAACGGAACCAATCCTACTGTGACTGGCTACGTCAACCACTGCACCACTAACGGCACAGATTGTGTTGCTGCTACCAACCCTGACTCGTACCTTTGGTATGATCCTCTGCACCCTAGCGAGCAAGCCGACCGCAACTTCGCCAAAGCCTTTATCGATGTGGTGGGAGGAAACAGCAAGTGGGCTACTTATTACTCTGCCTAGGAAAAAGGACTTTGAATTTCTGTGTGTGAGTTTGGTTCTAGTCGAATGTATTGTGAAGTATATAATTCATTCTTTCTGTGTTTTTTCCGAGTCACTTAGTACGATATTTCCACATGAATTACCGAAACAACATTGCACGATAGCCGAACAGGCAACATTGTACCGCTGATCTGCATTTGGTCGTTTAGGCTCGAGATGTTTGCACGCATGCAGCTTGGTTACAGGTTGGGTGATTGCAAAAGATGGGTTTGGACGCGTGCCTTTCCATCGGTGGTTTTGTCGTAAGACGTGCCATTCTTTAAGTTTTTTTTTCAATGGGTTTTTGGCATTGTATGCTGGAACTTGTAGAAGAATCGTGACGCTTTTCCCTATGGTTCTCCTCAAGACTAGTGGCTGGTGTAGTAGATGATGATGGTATGAGCGGATGTTGGGAGTGCTTTGCTCGTCATGTCGATTGCATTGTGAGAACATGTTCAAGTGTTGAGACACAGTCCAGGGCGATCTTGTCGCTGTGCAGCGTATATGCTCGCGTTCAACGTACATCGCGTCACTGGTCTACGTCTGCGAATGCGGATGGCATCAGGTGTCTCGGCGTGTCAACCAAATTTGTCCAATCTCTTGCATCGAGCTGTCGCTGACTCCTCCTCCTACCAACCACCAAGATGCTTTATGTCACCAAGACAAGGGAACAGCCATCGAGTCTTTGATGATTTAGAAAGGCAATTCGATGAAGTTGAGATGAACCGGCTTGCCATCCACGTTCCTGACGTTCAATAGGTCTCTATCGCATATTCACTCTCCAAGTTATCTGCTGCTGACAGACTGTTTGTTGTGACCCAGTCTTTGTATAGGACGAAGAAAGTATTGAAATTAGCATTACAAAAGGGCTAAATGTAAAGAGCATTCGAGTTTGTGGCTCGGTAAATGTGACCGAAGCTTTTCATAACCAGTTCATCTCTCCAGCAACGATCTTTTCCGATCCAGCAGAAACAGAGCTCAGCGAGTTGTTGCTACGTACGCTGCGAAACTTCTTCTCGAAGGGCGACCATGGTAGGTGCGAGGGGAAATTTAGAGGGGATCTTTTTGGCCGATGTCTAACGGGTACAGCTGGCAGAGGCAGATCCGGTGGTGGTGTCGGAAGGTCGGGTATAAGAGAGCCGATTTTGGTGGGAGAAAGGTCTAGAGGGGGAGGTACGGGAGCTTTTGGTCGTCTGTGTATGAGTGAAAAGTAGTCGGCTTTCTGCTTCTCGGGGGATCGCGGTGGTGTGATGTCTTGAGGTGATATTGGATGAGGTGATGTCGCAGACCTTGCGAGTTGGGGCTTTTGAGATTGCTCATGGCGAGATGTTGAGGTTTGCGCAGGGTGTCGGCCGGACAAGGAAAATGATTCGGAGGGGTCTCGAGGGAGAGAGCACCCAGGCTCCGACTGCTGGGATTGAGCCGATACAATGCGGCGTGTTGGCGACACTAAGGTCGGCAGCTTGGGCTGAATACCATTGGATTGATTCATTTGGCTGACCGAGATCGAACGAGGAAGCCTTGCAGTAGTCGTTCTCAAGGAGAGTGGGAACTGCTCACATTCCGAACTCAAAGGCGGTGCTGGTATGACATTAGATGGCAGTCTGCTTGTGGTCATGCTTCTCGCACGTGGAGGTATCGGCGGTGGTAAAGAATCAACAATGTTCCTTTGTGACTCTCCTAGTTGCTTCTTAGACCGGGCGACGTTCAATGGATGTGGCGTCAAATCAATGCTCCCTGCTTGGTTTCTTCTAGCCGTTGTCCACTCCTCAAACCAAACAGGTACCATGTAATCAACAGACTCCCATCCATCCGGTCTCTGAAAGCGCGGCCTGAATTTCAGTAGAGGACAGCACTTGTGGTCAACAGACATAAAATCTGGCTGCCTTGTTTTGGCAATCAGGCCGGTATCTCCGGCTTTGAGGATCTCGAGCATGATCATCCGACTAAGCTTCTCTCGTAGGAATACAATCCAGCTGACGTCTGGAGCGTGGAATGTATAGATATGCTTTAACATGCAGCATGAGAATGTCTGCGCGCCAATGCTAAAAGTCTTGAGTCCCGTAACGGCATGTTGTGATTCTTGTGTTCCGAAGTCCGGGAAGATATGGAATGAGCAGCTCTCAATCATAGAGTCTGGACATTCAGGTCTGCGTATCTTATACAGATTGAGCGGTATCACCCAGGTGGATGAATCACCAACTCTCCTGAACTTCTCACGAATGCCGAGTTTGTTACATCCTCTGGTCTGATCATAATCCACCCAGTTTGACGTACGCCACCCATGAGCTGAGTATTTGCTCAAGACTTGTCCCATAGCTTCGTCTGGGTGGTGCAAGAAATACATCCGACGGTCCATAAACGTGACATTTGGGAACATGCAGTATGCCTTGTTCCATGTAATGACATTGACGTGAGCAGTCGAAAAGGCACAATCAGTCAAGATACTGTGCAATGGTGATGTTCGAGTGAGATGAAATCGTATCTGCGGCGAGCCGGGTGGAACGATTCTTCGGAAGATAAGGACCTTTNNTAATGGTGAGCCATGTAAGACTTATAACGGCAGAATTCAACTCACTTTTGTGAGAGTACGGTGCTGATCATCATCTGACCAACCATAGCTTTGTTCGAATCTGTAACTTTTGTCTGCACCGATGTATCGAATCAAGTTGTCTGCTTTTGATCCTTGCCGAACGTAGATGTCCATTCCAGAATCCAACCAATAGAGTTGAGCAAAGAACAGTAGGGCAAAGGTGCCAGAAATTAGAGCATCTGCTTGTCCCAGCCTTGATCTAAATTCTTTCGGGTCATCCACAAATCGTGCAAGTCTTCGATTGATGTTCCATCGACAAGGCAACATGTTCCTGTAGAAGGAAGACAGTCTTTTGCATGTTCGACTGATGGCAACAACGTCTTCAATGTCGAGGCGCTGGTATATGTTGTCAAAGACAAGGTGATGCCGGTCATATTGCGTGAAGATATCCAGGAGAGGTGAGTGTGATGATTGTCTTGTTGAGCTATCGAGCCATCCAGTAACCTTGCTGAGCGTGGCAGATGGTGAACCGGCCTTTGATGAGTTGTGGATGTCGGGTTTCTGCCTTTGTAGGTCCCCTTGATTTGAACGCTTGCGAGCAGAGGAGAGCTGGGATCGTAACAGTTCCTTCTCTGCCTCCACTTCCGCAAGGCGCTTCAGAAGGGTTTCGGTTGAAGTCATATTAAAGATTCAAGAACACCAGACTCCAGAGGTTCGGATCCCGGAGCTGAACCGCTGAGAAGAAACTTTGATAGAAGACACCAAGTGTAAGGTGGACGACCTTCGAGGGAGATGGGTTCTAGGAGCCGACCAGCTTGCACCATGATGATTTTTGGTTGCCCTGTCATCAGGAAACTGTTGCTGTACAGATATCCGTTTGATGCAGTCCATGTTTTGTAGTCCCCTGACTCTGAGTACCTTCCTTGGACAAGAAGTCTATCTAGCTGCCAAGCCGGGGAGTCGTTTGGTAGAATCGTTCGACCGGCGAGTGGGTAGTAACTCCCTCAAACGCCTTGTTGCTGCGACTGCGATTCGGTGATCATCTTTCCTAGAACGTCAGACAAGTAAATTCCTTGTTAAGCTTATGCCAGCTGGATATGGGCCATGAAGGCAGCGCAGCAGTCGATGGAGTGCGCGCGCCATTATGAAGTTAATGACTTGGCTCTATAGATCGTTTGTCGAGCAAGTGCATGTATGTGCCAGTAGCAATGGTCGTTCATACCATCGCCAAACCTTCGGATTCTAGACTCCGTGCGAAGATGCAGCATAGGTTTTGGGACTAGCTGTATAACCATGACTTGTTTATCGAAGCGTTGCATCAACGTTGTCAGGGTCGAGCTGAGAAGATTTGACCTCGCAACCACCGGCAGTCGGCCGTAGCGGTTTGAGACGGCCAAGAGCGGACGAGACTCCTGCATGTCAAACCCGTCTGTTGGTCACAGAAAGATGTGTTGCAGTGAGGAGAGTTAGGACAGTAAGATGCGATACGTCGCAATGTGGTGTACGAAAGAAGCGGCTGCTGCCAAGAACTCGAATGTAGAGTGAATAGACATCTTGCAGCAAGCATGCTGGGCACAGGGAGAAGAAATATCACAGGAAGGGTCGAACTGTTTNTTCCTGATTTGTTGTGGTATTTTGAAGCAGCANGTCGAAAAGTACTTTGCTTTTCCCGCCATATCGTGACTCCATGGTTCATGGCCGTGAACCGATGCATCCCAGCTCAGTAAAAATGTAAAACAGTTGTTCATTCCCATTCCATTGACCAGCGCCCTCCTTTTTGAAAAAACAATCAAGTCAAGTCCAGCAACCCGTGGCGATGCGCTTATGCGTCCTCGACAACGGTGGTCTGGAGACCCTTAGGGTCCTTGACGTTGACGGCCTGGACGTAGGAGTAGAGCTTCTCCTTGGCGCCCTCCTCGTCGTTACGCTTGCGCGAGATGCGGACACGGAGGCGGAAGGGAACACCCTTAACACCACACTCCCAGACCTTCTTGTTCAACTGGGGGTCGAGGCGGACATCGCGAGTGCCCTAGAGGTGAAAGAGAACCAGTCAGCGTCTGAGGTTACAGAATGGTGTCGCATGTGTTTTGCGCTGGCGCATTGCAGCAGAAAAGTCTGCGCACGCGCAAGACACACACTGGACAGGAGAAAAGAGGTCAGAACTCACCATGGCGTTCTCGGCGAAGGCCTTGATCTCCTTGATGGCGCGGGGAGCGCGCTTCTTGAAGGAAACACCGTGAACCTATATTAGAGAAAAATCCGGAATCAGTCTTCCGCCCGATACCAGCTCATGTTGGAGAGCGGCCATTGATGGACTTCATCAAACTGAACGTACACGCTTGTGCAGGTGGATGGTGTACTCGCGAGCGACAACATCGGCAATGGCGGAACGGCCAGCCTTGGGCTTCTGGGTCTTCTGGGTGGTGGACATTTTTACGTCGTCGTTGGGCGAGAGGGCGGTTGCTTGTCGAGATGCTCTTCGGGGTCGTCGCAGAGGTGGAGTTTCGCAAGATTTTCCCACGAAGCTGGCGAAATCACAAGCGAGCCTTGGCGTTTTCGGCCGGTCACGTGCGCCTTGCGCATCAGACACCAACGCGACTATCGAAGGGCGGCAACCATATAATCAAATCATATTGTGGAGATGGTGTTGCCGTCTGCGGGTTTCGCATCGTTATTCGCAAGAAGCAGGACAACCACAAAATGGAGTTGTGGATCATCAAGGCGGTATCTCTCAAGCTCGCCTCAGCATGACCCTCTGCGTGTGCTCTTCTGTGGCGCGGATGAGTTCAGCATATATTCGCTGAGGGCATTGAACAAGATCAGAAAAGAGAATCCCGACAAAGTAGCCTCCATCGATGTGGTCTGTAGAAAGGACAAGCGCGTTGGTCGAGGATTGAAGCAGATTCGTGAAGGTAAACATTGTTCACATTCATACTCAGTCTGTCGTTTTTGTTGCTAAGCATGCACAGTTCCAATCAAAAGTGTGGCAGGCACTGAGCTGGATCTCAATGTACACCAAATTGACACATTCACCGGCTGGACCCCGCCTCAGCCTTTCAACATGGTGGTCGCAGTTTCCTTTGGCTTGCTTGTCCCACCGCGCATTCTCAATGCTGCAAAGTATGGTGGTCTCAATGTGCACCCTTCAATGCTTCCTGAGTAATATTCTGATCGACATGTTATGCACTCGTCTCCAGCTAACACTGTATTCATCCAGCNNTTGCCTGGTCCGGCACCACTGCATCACACATTACTGCGACGACTTAGTAAAACTGGCGTCACTCTACAAACACTACATCCCAAGCATTTCGACCAGGGCAGGATAATCGATCAGACTTCTTCTTCCGGACTCTCTATCCCAGAAGAAAAATCAGCCACTCTAGACTCACTACTGGCGTGGATTGGACCGATCGGTGCTGATATGCTCTACAAAAATGTCATGAACGGCAGCTTCGCCACAGACACCGAAATTAAGCCTGCAACCAGCCGAAGCCTCAAGAATACAAAGAGCGATTTGTTCGGTCAACTGGATGGATCGGCTGAGTATCCTCGCCATGCCAGAAAGGTCATACCCGAAGACCGACACGTCAACTTCCGCTGGCCGTCTTCTGAAATACTTCTCAGAGATCGTGTGCTTGGCCGCCTGTTCGCACCAGATACAAGTCTTGCGCCCTCGAAACGAATCACTTTCCATAGATTCCAGGACACAACCGATGCTTGCTGGGAACAAGTTCAAGTCAAGGGACCGATCCTCCGAATGGGCAACCATCCTCTTGATCCTGGTGCTATCTCAATTTTCAGACACGATAGGGAGAAGCGCATATTCTTCCGCACCAAGGATGGCTGGGTCAGCCCGACAGAAGTCACCATCGAAGGCAATCCCAAACAGAAGGCGACGGTCATCTACGACAAATTGAGGCAGACGATGCCAGTGACTTGCTGCTAGTCATCGAGTCAGCCACGCAACTTCAGCCAGATGCTGGATATGCACGAAAGCTCCCCGCTCGCAAGGTCTTATCGAGCGTAGCTGTAAGAATGTACATGACTTTTCGAAACATGACAGCTGCCACTGAAGACTTCGCTATCGTCAATCCTCCCATCAGCTTTCCCTGGGCACAGTTCTAATTCAGAATCTAACGTGCGTTGGCATAGCTTGGACGTCGCCCTGCATAACCAACGAGAAAGATGGACGCGACATCACACCGAGATATTTGTACCAGGTATTCGCTGCCTGGAGCATCTCTGAAATCTCTCAGGCCGTGCCCATGACGAGCACTTGTCTCTGTCACCTTTGTAAGCTCGGGTTCCATGGACAAGATCGTGATGGAACGACCCTTCGGTGTGGTTGGCCTATATACAGGTCTTCTGGTCATGGAAGCTTTAACGCTTCTACCCGTAAACTCCCTCATCTACCCGCACCACCCATCCTTCCATGCCAACCTTTATGTTTTACAAAACTCCTGTCCCCTACAAGCAAGAAAGCCGTGGTGGTGCAGTGGCAAGCACATCCGATCCGGTAACCTAAGTCCCTAAACTCGCTTACCTAAGTCCCTAATACCCTCTCTCGAGGATCGGAAGATCGCAGGTTCGACTCTTGTCCACGGTGCTTACTATATTTTTGGTCTACCTTCGTTAATTTCTCAATGTGAGCACGCTCCAGGGCGTCACATTCGATTTTTCTTTCTTTCTTTCTTTCTTTCTCTCATCCCAATACACGTAAAACATCATTCTTTATCGCAAAGTCCGTTCGGCCTCTTCTCTTTTCGATTACTACCCCATGTTATTATGGTTTGCTATCATGGTCCGAGGGAGAGTACCCCTTTAGAGACACTTGGACGGAAAAAGCGAGATTGAGCATCGATATCTAAAGATGAGACCTCAGACCAAGAGAAACTTGTCAAAGTGATAACATAAAACAGAACTTTCTCTCGCACATATGAACGTATCTTGTATAGAAGAGGCTTGACATTGAGCTCTCCCAAACATTGGGACAGCAAAGAAGAGCAAGAGAGAATGTCAAAATTGCCCCGTCTATCTCAATGTGTTGACAAACAAGTCGGGTACACCCAACCAACGACATCGCTCCCACGAACACACTGGCCAGCCTTCCGGTCTCCAAGGACGAGTTGTTCCGCGAAACCCTCTCGTGTCAGAATGCAAAAGGTTTACCAGAGCTCTTTGCTAGCAATGGAGGACCCTCGTCTCGAAGTGCGGGTCGTGGACGACATTGCTTTTTGCTCGCTCTGTCGGTTCTGACCCGACATCTTCAGAGTAGCCCAAATTACCATTCGAACCCACAGATGCTCATGCTGCGGCACTTCAGGTCGAGTTTGTTCTAGCTCTGGTGTCCGGCTCCTGTACCTCCACGGGCACCGATACCAACCTTTCGCGTTCCTCGAGCAGTCGGAATCTTTCCAAAAACTCTTGCTCTTCCATCTCCTTTCTCTTCCCTGCTGCGTAGTGCTTCAGCCTGCGTTCCGTGCAAGCCTTTTTCAACTTGGCGGCCTCAGTTATTCCCATCATCTTTGGCTTCTTGTCGACTGGTGCGTTCCTGGGTCCCAGCACTACGGCGTGGTTTTTCCGGGGTTGACGCTTCTTCATCTCGCCCATGATGGTGGTGTAGAGGTAGGGGTCGGGAGCCATGTGGTGCTGTGTGATGTGTGCATTGCATTGATCGCGCATGTCGGCGATGAAGGTCTCGAGCCAGTGCACAGAGCAGAGGGTGGGTTGCTGCGTCCAGCGAGTCAGGATGGGATGTAGTGGTGGAAGAGGACTGTGCCAGAGATGGGCAGCGATGGTAGGTGCCTGATTGTGCTGAAAGCGGATCGTGAGGCCAGCCCACGCATCCAGGTCAGTTTGATGTACACCGAGTCCACCAGTGGAAGCATCTCTGAGCACCGAAGCAGCTCGCGGAACTTGCTCCAACGCACGACAGAGCCCTTGATGCAAGGATAACCAGGAGAGCGAAGGTAACCCCCCTTACGTGCGAGGAGCGATACATCGATGTCGTCCAAAAGTGGTGCGAAGTACTGTGACGGCATTTCAATCTGCAATGTGCAGTTCCGGGTGAGGATACTGGCCGCATGCTCCCCAAATGCCTCTGAAATGTGCATTAGTGGGCTAGGCAAGAACTGTTGGTCATCTGCCTGCATAACGAGCTTTAGTATCTCACGCAGGACCTCGGGTGGCATGGCGGAATGATGGTCTTGTCCAGTTTCAAGGGGAGAATGTGTTTGCTTGTTCATGATGGCGAGTGTGGTTTGTTTGGCTGCAAATGTCAATGACCTGGTGATTGCGTGATTAATGACCTAGAGGGGAAGAGCGGAGTTTTCTTATGTGTGTTTCTCGCGCTCAGTGCTCGTGTTTGATTCAAGACACGACATCATCTGGACGGGCAGAACCGCATGGAAGCAGCATTGTGCTGAACGATGAGCCCTTGTACGCAAAAATAATAACAGCAACAAGGAGATATGCTTCTGGCGGTCTTTATGAGTACGTCTATCTCGTTTTCTAGTCCCTGACGAGCTAGGTTCGTAAACAGGTTAGAGCTTAGCTGCGTCCTAGACGTCTCGATCTGGGTGAGGACCGTCAAGCAAATACATCACACTAGAGAAGTTTGCTGTCTCCTTCCGAATCCAAGAAACCTGATCAAACAGGTAAAGAAACACTCCAGGGTGAGTTCAGCATCAAGGGAATTCTAGTATATTTGGGCTCATGGTTGAAGCATCTCTTTGTCTGAGCAATGCTATCTCTTCGAGTACCGTCCATGCTAATACTGTTCATCAAGACATGACCTCTACTTTTGCCTAGTAGCTCAATACTTCTGCAGAACACTCTTCACAGTGGCAGGCAGCTCAACATGACCCTTGATAGTGATCTCGCCGATACCGGTGCTACCGCCACTTCCAGAGTGCAGCCACTTCTTCAACAAGTCATTGCTCTCCTTGGGCTTCACATCAGGGCTGACAGTGCCGACTGTAATGTGTGCAGTTCCGTTGACGCTGCGCCATTGCATACCGCTCTGGTCCATTTCATCAGGAATCATGCGAACGACAAAACACATCAGTCTTCCGTCCCAGACAAGACGTTCGAGTAACACTTTGCAGCTGCCGAGAACTGGTTCCGGTGCAGCGTTGGGCTTGCTTGCGGCGGCTGTGTGAGCTTCAGTCAGCTGCTCCCAGTAATCCTTGTTCTGAGAAGCAGATGCGCGATGCATCAATGTGACATGAAACTCGGACTGGACCCGCTTCTGTGACTGCAATACGCGATATGTGTTTGCAGTGACGTGGTCTGCATCGCGGAAGACTGCGTCAAGAATGCTTACAACACGCTCGGGATCCAGTGTTGCACTGAAATACTCAAGCTTGGCGGCTTTCTGTGTCGGCTGTCCATTAGTTCCATTGGGACCGCGCTGGAGGGCCTTGTTCTTGAACTTGTTGCTTCCACTGATTTCGTGCTTGATATCAGGCTTGTAGTCGTTGAGTGCCGCTTCGATTGCTTTGTCAAGATTCTCACCGGAAGGCATCGAGCCAAAGAGCTTGGGGAACTCTGCGTTGAGCTGTGAGACAACAGTCTCCAGGTTTTCGCGTGAAGAAGCCGCCACATCAAGATCGATGACATGCTCGAAGGAGTTATCAGGCTCACGCTCAATTCTCACTGGCTCGAAACGTTGCATGAAGCCGTCCATGATACCAATGATCTCGTGTTGTCCCTTTGAGCCAGCCTGGATGGTCTGGTGGTTGTCTCCTCTGCTCAGCACACGCTCCCGTGTAGCCTGCTTGATTTGATCGTAGTTGGCGCGGTCGTGAACGTAATTAAGAGCAACGAAGTGTGCCTGAGGGACAGTTTTTGACACATCATCGAAGATCTGTTTTCTCTCACGGCGCTGGTGGTTGTTTCTGTCGGCAATCATGACTGGATAATCCACAAGACCGTCACAGATCGCTTGAGCAAATCTCTGAGGCTTGGGCTTCTGAGTGATGTTGTCGTTTTGTATGTGACCCCATCCGAAGAGCTTACACAGTGCAAGAGCGACAGTAGTCTTGCCACAACCGATAGTGGCAACAGGAACAAGTACAACATTGCGATCGATGCCCATACCGTGCTGATCGCCCTTCTCAAGCTCCTGACGTATTATGTCAGAGCCTTTCAGGCCACGTTCCGCCAAAAAGTCGTCTCTAAGCTTAATGATCCCATGGTTCTGGTTATACTCCTTTCCGAGATTGGGGTCTTCCTTTAGTCGTTTGCGAGCGTAATGAAGGTATTCTTCGGTAATGTCCTTGTGCTTCTTAAATCTGGGCTGTCGTTTGGCGATGATGGCTTTCGTACATTCTCTCCACTGTCTGTACATCAGGTAGGGTTCCTCGAATTTGTACTTGAAGAACCAGTCCTCAAATGGTGTGTCGGGAGTCTCGCGGGCCTGGCATCTGACAACAAAGCCCTCGGTCTCTCTGCCGTGGTAACTTCCAGTCTCTGCAACCTTGTCCAAGAAGGACTTGACCTTAGTGATGTCGGTCTCTGTGATGAACATAGTTTGCTTGAAACCCCACTCGGATGCGAACCTGTCGACAAGGTGATGGGGATATGTGACGAACTCGGGAAGATTGAGATTGATTCCATGGAGGTAGAGACCAGCAGTTTCAGGGTTGTATGCCAGGACGTGCTCTTCGAATTCATCGTCACACAATTCGGCAACAGCAGTTGCATTCATGGCGCGAAGCTTGGCAGCCAGGTCCTTCTTCGACTTTCCGACAGAAGCAAGGTGTCTGTCAACCCACTTCTCGCCGGCCATTGCATGACTGATACCTGTGTCATCGCGGGCACCAGTCGAATGCTTGCTGCAGACCAAAAGAGAGCCATCCTCGAGACCAGACAGGAAGATGATACAACCGTTTTCCTTGACACTGAGCTCGTAAGGACCTCTTGTGTTTTGCTCGACATTTCTCCACTCAGTCTTCCTGACCTCGCCGTGGTTGAAGAACTTGTCGTATCCTCTGGTAACAATCTCAGGCTGACCCTTTGAGTTTGTGGTTGTGAAAAGACCTCTGGCGTAAGTGGGAAGATTGGGCTTCTTGTAATCCCAGTCTTGCATTTTCCAGGAATCGACCTTGATGTTTGAGTGCGCTACGTCAAAGGTAGCCTTTTTGCATGAGAAACCGCCTTTTCCACCATTGCCTTTGATATGGCTGGTCAGGCCGCGGATCATCTCAGACACCTCATGGGTATCCTGAGGACGGTAAGGNGCCTCATCGCGGCAAGCCATGATTGATGAATTGGTTCAAGGCTGCAATGAGAAGAGAAGTCAACGGAATTTATGTGCGACGAAGTGTTGATGGATGGCAAGAAAGTGCTCGAGGCCCGACTGAAATTTCGAGTCATTAGCTTTGTCCAGGTGGGATGCGACTGCAGTGCGCCTTCCTCTTTCCCTCACCACTTCATCTACCACCTTGATTTCGATTCCACTTCGAAGTTAGATATGATAGAGAAGTAACGAGATGACTCACTCCGTCTATTGAAACAGAACAAAATCTCCCTTTCGTATCTAGTGTCACTCAAGAGAAAGTAGACACCGAATGCATGACTCGAGCGGTGTCACAAAACGGCAACTTTCCTCGACCGAGGGCATCAAGCTGACATCAGAAAAGAAGAAGCTCTAGACGCCTGCAACTGTTGACCTTGTTCAGTTCACCTTGTTCATCCACCACATTCAAAGAACCAAACCCCAAGTCCACCATGGCGCAAACAATCGACAAACTCCTCAACCTCGTCGTCGACAAACCTGACCAAGTGCTCCAACACCTCCAAACCAACCCCCACCTCGCCTCACAACAAGACCGCCACGGCTACTCTCTCCTTCACGCCGCCGCCTCCTACAACCACCCCGAAGTGCTCCAAGCCTTACTCAGCACCTACTCCGTAACCCCCAACCTCGTAGACGAAGATGGCGAAACCTGTCTCTTTAGTGTCGAAACCCTAGACATGGCAAAGTTCCTCGTCGAGCAATGCAACATCGACACCACCCACAAGAACGAAGAAGGCCAGACTGCTGCAGAAAAGTTCGAGCAAGAGGGCGATTACCCAGAAGTGGCTGCGTATCTGTCTTCGTTGGTGCCTGGCGGTGCTGCTGCCTCCATCCTTGCGCAAACGGGGAATCCGTCGGCGCAACAGGCTGGCGCGGGTACAGTTGGCGCTGGCGAAAACACAAATGGTGCAGTTCCTCCGCCGCCGCTCCCTCATGGCGTAAAGATTGATTTGGGCACAATGGCAGAGGACGAGGTGGGCGAGGCGCCGGACCCAGAGTTCAGGAGGAGGATTGACGAGTTGGCTGCTCGACCTGATTTCCAGAGCGAGGAGACGCAGAGGGAGTTGCGGGAATTGGTGCAAGATGCGTTGGGTGGCTTGAGAGGCGAGGAAAGAGAAGTGAGGCAGAGAACTTCGTAGCAAGAAGAGACGATTGACAAATGAATATTGCACATAGAGTGATTACGAACACTGCTTTGTATCACTACCAATGCCTAACCACATACAACACCCCCTCGGTCTCCAACTTCTGCAGCAAGCCCTGCACTTTACTCCTCTTCAGGCCCTCCCTAGCCGCAATCTCTTCCATCGCCCTCTTGCCATCAAAATGCTTGACCAACACACCCCAATACTCCCTCACTTCCTCATCCGCAAGGTGCTCGCCAATATACACTAACCAGCGACTTTCCTCTGTACTCGCTTTATGCGGACTCAACACCAGAGTTTGCTGATACGTGCTCGCATCCGTCGATGGCAGTGCCGCAGAAGCAATCGTCGAGGCATCGTCTTCATGGCCAGAGACACTACGATCGGAAAGTATGGAGGGAGGTGATGGTGCCAAGTCTCTACTCGCGTGGAGATTGGGAGATGTGTCTGCGCGTTGGGGTCCAGCTGGNGGAGGTGGAATGGCAGTTCTGCCGCTGCCATTGCTTCCCGCGTCACTGGCTGATCTGCTGATTGTGGGTGAGAGCAATTGTGCAGAACTCGCGATACTCAATCTGCTGCTCGCGACCTCGGAGACGGCGTCGAAAGGGTCTTCAGAGATGCGTCTGGTGTCCGCACTTGTGCTGCTGACTCTTGAGTTTACCGCCGTGGAAGCTTTGTTGGCAATAAAAGAAGGCGGTCGCTTGAGCATTCTATCTTCGAACTCCTGTCTGAGTTTCACTGCCACAGCGGCTTTGACCGCAGGCGACACCTTGACCCAAGCAAAAGTTCTCAGCTGCGTTACCCAACCCCCTCTCAGCAGCCAAGCCAAGATGTCCATATAAGCGGGTTTGTGGTCCTTGCTCGGGATCAGAAAGCCATACTGTATAGGCTTGCCACTCAGATTCTGCAGCATCTTGGGCAGGGAGGGGAGAGCAGAAAATCTTTGGGCGTATAGCGGCATGGCTTTGGCAAGTTGACGCATATCGCAGTTGGGAGACACAATATAGGTATCGCGGATGTGAAGGGGAGGGATTGCTCTAGCGCGGCGCCAGTATATGAGATGGCGGGCGAGGAATTGTACGTCGGATAGCGGTAATGACAGTGCGGCAGAGAGCTTGGTCAACGACTTTGTGGGCGTGAGTTCGCGGATGAAAATGGCGAGGGGNGAGCCCAATTCTTTGCCATCACCTTCGATATCTTTGAGCATGATATCTTTGTCTTCGAGCAAGAGAAGAGCTGCATGTGGACTCAGACTCTGCCCGTCATCAGATAGACTGTTGGCAGTGGTGAGCCATAAGCCGGGTAACTGTGGCTCTGTAGGCGTGGGCACATAGGGCGTTGATATAGCCTGTGGAATCTGTATGCTCGCTTCAACTCCCTCACCAATACTGATATGCGCAATCTTGTTGCTCGCAATACTGGTATACAGAATCGCGACCGCCTTTGCCAACGAGCAGCTAGAGATCAAGTTCGGCCATAGCACAGACATGGGTGTTTTACTTTCCTTTGCTTGTGCCTTTAGAGACTGCATCTTCTTGGCATCCTGGTAGACGGCATTCGAGCGCGCTTGTTCGTATCGAAGGGCTTTTGCAAACTTCTTGACGACATTGTCGTACATTTCTTGCAGACGGATGTGATATTCTAGAGCGGGNGGATTCATGACAAAGACGACGTGGAACATGGTCATGTCATCCTGATTACTGTTGGCACTGCCAGTCTCGGAGGCGTTTTCGGACATGGTGGCTTCAGACTTGTAGCTGTGAGGCAGCTCTCCATTCTGAGGTGGTCGACGAGGTGTTAAAGGCGAAAGAGGCGGACTGAACATGTCATCACCAGCAGTGCCTTCTCCCTCCTCCTCGTCGTTCTCATTGTCGCTGCCGCTGTCATTTGCATCATTGTCGTCTTCGGCTTCGTCGCCTCCCTCGCTGCTTTTTCCGTCCTGTGTTGTGGCCCTCCTCTTGGTCTTCTTTTTCTTCCAGGTGCCGTCATCGCGCACAAAAACGGGGTATCCAAGGAAGACCAGGTCGTCCAGCATGACCTCGAAACGCTTCTTGTGCATGCTCGACGGAGGCGACAGCATCATCTCCAGCCCTTCAACAGGGTATCCCAACAGCTTCTCCCACTCGCAAGCATTCCGCTTATCGTTCGTGATATTCTCGTGTCGCGTGGCACTGGTCGTTCGGTCGTGAGAGGCATTATTAGTCAATATGGCGGGCGCGGGCTTGTCGGCAGGAGAAGAGTTCAAATCCAGCACATCGACGTCCAAGTTGTCGATATCGTCGTCGTCTTCATCGTTGTCTGGGGCGTCTGAGTGCAGTGTGCGAGTAGTCCTTCTGGAAGAGATGGTCTCGGCAGCACGGCTCTGCGATGCGATGCTAGGTCTTGCCGTCTGTCGCGAAGATGTCGTGCTCTCGTCATCCGAAGCTACTGTCTGGTCGTCTTCCGACGAGCTGCCTCCATCCTCCGAATCGCTGTTGGCAGATCCAAAATGCCATGATGTGTTGCGCTGGATAGCTTCAGGGATACCGGGATAGTGAAAGACGAGTCGCGGACCAGATCGCGTTCGGATGATGACTACGACGGCCACCAGCGATGGGTTTGGCGGGAGACTGAATGGTCGAATGGGCATTGCTGATGTTTGTGTTTATGTTGATGTCCAGACGGTGCGTCTGTGGTTCAAGTCCTGTCGCGTGCCATACTAGATCGCAAGCCAGCCTACTACCTACATCAATAGGAATTAGTAGACAAGCTCGAGATCGTTATCTCTCATGGCATCGCATTCGACTGCCAGCGCTCTCGCTGCATTGAAGCTGTATCGTTGCCCACTCCTAGATCCCCACACTCCCGATCTCGGACAAAGACTCCTCCGATGACCGCCCAAAAGATACCTACTCAAGTACACATCCACCTGTTTCTCCATACCCAAACCAAAAGCCACCACGTGGAAACACATCAGTGACCACACTATGCACCCGAGTAAGAGATCGCATACTCCGGCTCTGCACTACCGAATCCCAGCGCCATGAAACACTTACAGCTACCAAACAGCCACTGCAGCTGAGAGTCTTTAGGAGCCAGCTCTAGCTCACAATCCTTCCCTCCCTTGACTCGAGCATCAGTGGTATACACCAAGCATCGTATATCGTACATGCTGTTTTTAGCTTTTGCAAGCCACTAATCCACGCGTCTAGTTTCCTTTGTTGCTGAAACGACAGCCGGCTGCTACTCCTAGTTTCCACGCTTTTGGCTGTGTCACGGCTGGAGTTTGCTGGCTGAACTATCTAGTTCACAAAGAAGTAAGAGATGAGGTCGGTGTTTTGACCTATCTGGGTATACAGTCTGCGGCTCCAATTTCCTCCGCCATGTGCATAGATAGAAATATAGTCGTCTTTGAATCGTGATGCAGGAAGAGCCGAAAGGTTTGAGGTTTCGTATAGTCATTTGCTCTATTCTCGCAACTGTAGTCTGCAGCCTTATGGTCCATACATTGCTCTACTCCCATGGCTGTGTAGAAGAATGACGTGACAGAAGCGAGCAACAACCTTGTGCAGCAATCAAACCCGCCCTACCTTCTAAAAGTCTTCCTTCTCTTACCGCAACACCCACGCACGTACGTAATCTACTATGATCCTAAACTGAGACCCAAAGTGCAATACAATCGTTTGCCGTTTTTCCTTCTTCGTTGTTGGATAGACTCGGAAAAGGCGTTTTTGGCTCGACTGACTCGCGGCACATCTCAACCGTCAAGACCTGCCTGGTTGCGTTTGTAACGATAGGGCCTGCAAGCCATGTTCGAGACCCTTCACCTCGACATACTGTAATTGTTGGTGGGTCGTGGAGTCTTGTTGAGTCATGGGTGATAGCTGGAAAGAACAGGTATTTGAGCTGGGTACTCTGTACAGTCTCGGCAGCGGCAAGGATCAATAGTTTACATAGTTGCAGGCAAAGTGGACATTTTCATGACTTGGAGAAGGAGTGCAAGATGATTGAACTCAAAGGTTTGAGGAGATTTGACTGGGGGTTATTAGGTAGCTAGGTTGTTGAGTTATTGGGTATCTAGTCTGTACTGTCGATGCCAATGCTAGAGTTGCAAAGAGAAGATGCTTTTTGGTCGCTGGAATATGCAGAGAAATACAGGAAGCCACCTGGGCTTCTTGCTGTGATTAGACACGCTCGTAGACGTAAGTTGTGTCGTCTGATGCGTAGTCTTTGCTGCTCTCAATGGATGCACTCGATCTTGATGCGTGTCTCTCTTCGGTCGTCGTGACTTGCACACTCTTGCTGATACCGTGGTCCCAAGTCTTGAGTGGCACCATGTCCCTGTCTTCATTTCCGCCTGCGAAGATGTTTTCTTGGCTTCCGTTGTCGTGGCTTCCGGAGACGGGTCTCGCGCCGGTGACTGTAGTGATCATGGTGCCCTTGTTTCGTGTACCGGCCTCGGCGCTGTCCATGGGATCGCCCTTTCTGCGTGCTCTTCTGCCTTGCTTGGTGGACCATTTGAGGTTCGAGTTTGTGGGTGCACTGGGAGAGTCGGGAAGCAGAGTAGGGAAGAACTTCTGAACCAAAGGGCGCAGTGTGGCCAAACTCGCGGCCGAAATGCCAATACCAACCTCGACGGTACTCCACAGAGCAATGTATGTGGAAGTATAGAGGAATTCTGGAGGAAGAAATCAGCTTTTGCACGTTGTTACAGAGTCTAGATTGTTCTTACCTCCTTTGTAGGTTCCAAGCTGCTTGACGTAAGGAAGGCGAACCAGAGTAGAAAGAGATCCGATAGCGGCAAATCCAAGAATAGCAGCAACCACGATTTTGGTATTTCTCCTCATGTTGAGGTCCTTGACGATGAAGATAGGCAGGATTCCGAAGAAGAAATCGGCGGCTCCGTTGAGAACGGATGCAACATAAGAAATGACGACCAGGACCATTGGGCTAATGCAGTGCCCTTTGGCGTTCGGTGAGAAGTCCCAGTAGAATGAGATTGGGGTGCATTGGAAAAGAGCGACCNNTGCTCGGGTTAGCACGTCTTGTGTGGAGAATGGTACATGACCACATACGAAGAAATAAATTGAACCAATCAACATGGTAGCCGCCATCATGATTCGGATGATCAGAATGTGCACTTTGTTTTGCGTGATACGCTCTAGGAAAAGGCCGACAGCGACCTTCAAAACAGACGCTGATGCAGTGTAGAAGACTTCGGCGAACATCCAGGCAGCAAAACCGATCGGTAGGTCTTCCTTGGGGATATCCTTGCGGTGTCTACCAATACCATGTGTTACTGCTGCAGCCTGACATGACAGGTATCCTGTGAACAGGAGGAGTGTGGCGATCATGGCAACATCATCCTTGCCGAACGACTTGATCATGACAGTGCTGTTAAAGTCAGTGACCTATAACAGATTGAGTCATGCCGAGACAGATATAGGTACATACCGAACATAGATTCTGAGACTGACGATTGTCCATGAGAGGATCCAGAAGGTGATCATAACACCCATGACCTGAGGTCTCAGGTCGTCGGCGTTGGCCATGTTGTGGAATGGATTGTCACACCGCGGTATAGAGAGACGTCAAGTTTTTGTTTCTGATCACACAGCAGACAAGAAGGAAGGACGAAAGGCTGAAATTCAGATGGTCAGAAGACCGTGCGAGGAACAACCCCAAACCAAAGGAACTTGAGTAAGGGATCCAAAGCAGGAGTTGACACCTAGATGTCTAACGCGCGGGAGGCGTATGATACATATATCATGAAAAAGCAAGGACCTTTTGAGATGCGGGTAACTTAGGCTCGTCATGTCTCTGTTCATGGCGCATCCCAAGGTACCAGTCGTCGGTGGAAGGGCTCAATTCGCCATGGACGCAGAAAATCCAACCGCCATGGTGCTATCGAAATAGAGTGCGCTTGGTCGGAGGCCATCCGCGGCTTGGGGTAGCCGAGCTGCGACCACGTTGTAGTCATGGTCCAACGGACGTGGTCAAAGTACTCGAGGCACGGTACCTGGGGATCTTGGCCACGGGAACGACTAGACCACCCTTGGGCATTTGCACCTGGAGAAGAGGTCCCAGAAGAAGGGTTGGCGAATCTCGAACAAGCCCTTGAGCGTCTCAGAATTCGATCAGTGGGTCGGGAATCTCGCAAAGCCAAACTCTAACAAAGGCGCGAGTCACCAACCCAGACTCGTAGCAACGGCCAACGGCCTTTTCGCCAGACCCGCCGAGAAAATAATGATTTGATACTCGAGCAGCAGGAGTTGGATTCCGGAAGCAATAAGTTGCTAATTAACGGTGAACTGCCAATGACTGTCGATGATCATGGAGAGTCATGGAACCAACTCTCGAGGTCGGGACTTGATATTCACTAAACATCGTGCATGCCCAGAGATTTGGCTCGAGGGCTTTGCCAGCATTATTTGGATTTTCTCGGCTTCAACCGGACTTGGAAGTGAGGGCTTCTCTCCAAAAGCCCCCAAAAGATAGCACCAGAGGCGCTTTGCCTCATGATTTGGCAATTGATTATTTCCACCAAAGACATCCCAGCGGCATGGAAAGAGTGGTAGACTCCAAGATGCCGCCTCCTGTGGATCTGTCCTTGCAGTGATGACTGATCGCAGGACATCAACGATGTAGCCGAGAGTCGTTGATCTGATATCTCTCCTGCTTCTTGCATTGCGAGTACTCGTGTATCTCCACGCAAAAGGTACAAGTGACAAAGGACTGGCACGCCAAAGCTGCTATGCACGACATTCCAAGAGGTTTGACAAAATCGCAAAACCAGTCACCTCTTGATGTGGGAGACCCTTTTGACGCGAACAGCATTCCGCAACTCTACACAGCATACACTTCTAGGTTCTGGACTCGTTGTCGCAGCACGCGAGGACGATGAAGATAGACGCGCGAGGCTTAAACTCTGAATGAAGCGGGCTGATCAGTTTATGGACGGGAAGAAAAGGGGTTCACAAGCACAGCAAGGAACCAGAGTAAAAGCACAAGTCTCTTTGTCACCGTCTCGTGTCCGAACATGTCCAGCAGGAGTCAAGACAGTGTTAGGGCTTTGCTATGGTCACGATCGAGAAGCAAAAGGCAGCTCTCCGCCGCTTCGAGCCTAATTGCAGCAATCAGGAATTGCGACTCACGATACTTTGCCTAATCGCTTGGCTTTACTATTCAAATATCCCCAAGCTGGCTCTTGTCGATGACAATGTCGGTATGAGTACAGCATGATTACGTCTTCTGGGTTGGACTCTTGGAGGCTTGGAAGCTGGAAGATTGTGCCAATCTTGTGCGATCTAGAGAGGCGCATGAGTCGTACTGTTCATCGTTGATACAAAGGTGCTGTATATCCTGGCATTTCGAAGACTTTTGTGAAGAAATGCTCCTGGCATTCTAGACCTCTGCCTTCATCTTTCTGAAGAAATCCATCACACCGGTGAAGACGACAAGCAGAATACCACCTCCAGGACCCAGTCTCAAGACCTTGGGCAAGAAACCCTTGTACAGCGCGCTGAATCCTTCTTCCTTGTACACCGTGCCGAGAGCAGGCCAGGCCCAGTTGTACTTGGGCACACCTCCAGGGACTCTGGGNGAGTTCTGAATTCTGCTCTTGACGACATCCATGGGTGTGTTCACGATTGTACCGACAGTACCACCAACAGCACCCGAAGTTAAATCATTCAAGATCTGAGACTTCTTGTTGTCGGCCTTGGGAAGAAGTTCGCGAACCTGGAAGATGCAGCCAAAGTAACCGGCGTTCCACAAGATGTGTCTCCACATGGTGCTCTCCAGACCTTGGTACAGGGTGAGAACACCTTCTTGCTGAACGACCTTGCGCACGCAGTCTACCAAACCGTTGTACTTGTGTGATTGTGCCTTGTCTTGCAGACGGATCTTGACCAACTCGAAGGGAACGACGACGAAAGACTCAGTGGCACCAGCGGTAGCGCCGGTCAGGACGGAGAGACCTTGGGTCATTTGGGGTACGCCGAAGAGATTGCGGTAGAACTTGCCCCACTCGTCGTTTGCAGCGAACTTGGTTGCTCTNAGGTAAGGTCAGCTGAAGTGCCTTAGGCACGTGCAAGTGAGTGGAACCAACCTCTTGGGGGCTTCCATGAGGATGGGAGCCTCAATACCTCTGTACAGCCTCGAGAAACCTTCATTGCGGACAATCTTGCGGAAGCAATCGACCATGCTGTTGTAGGCCTCTTCACCAGTAGCGGTCGAGCTCTGAAGCTGGATTCGTGTCTTTACGACATCCAATGGGTACCTAAAAGATGGTTAGATGAGCGCTTTCGCGGATTGCATGAGTGGTTGTATGTACATGACAAGAATCNNTAGATATATGTCAGTGACATTCGGGTGAGAGCTGTATTGTTGAGATGGATGCACCTCGGAGACACCAGCGACGGCACCAGCGATGAACTGGTAGACAAAAGGGAGAGGCTTGGGCTGTTCCGACATGATGGGCGACTTTCAGGAATCGAGTGGTGTGTACAGGTCTACAATTCAAACACAATGGGGAGTCGAACAGACGCGACGAATGATGGAAGTCGCGACGGCTGATATCTGCGGGCCGGCATCGCTCGCTGTTGCCGAAGCGGAGTCCTCGGTTGATAACGAGTCTGTTCGAGCATTTGGGGACTTTCAATGTCATTCTAGCTCGCATGTGTCTCCTGGCTATTAGACAGCTGTATAGCTTCTCTCAGTATATATCCTTCCACGGTCGAGTGGCTTGAGACAACAATGACCATTGTCGATGGTTGGCAATTCCCCGGGCCCGAGCGGTGTCGGCGATTCGTGGTCAGCAACTGATGAACTCGTGTCCTTCAAACACAGCTGGCACAATGATAATAGATGGTGGTTGGACAATGCATCATGAAGCTATCATAGATGCAATCCAGCATCAATGTATCCCAAGAGGAACAGGGAAGTGATGATGATGATGGTAATGTTCGGAGTCCGGCAGGAGTCAGACCCCATCATGTTTGGTCCCTGCGCGTGCTCGTTGGAATTTGCGGGGCGGCCTTTCACAGACCCCCTTCTTGGCCGAATCAAATTACAAGCGACGGGCTGCTCTGGCCAGTGTGTGCGAAGCATAAGACGGACGACTGCGCTGCACGAACAGGAACATGGCAGCTGCAGACGTAGCAGGTACCACAGCGCCCACGGTATTGCTCACCCAGCGCTGACCGAATGCCGACAGAGCGTGCCGCTCACAAGAGGCCGTTTGCTGCCTGGGTCAAGCGTCTGACCAATCTGCACCCCAGCAGCAAGAAGTCCAAGAAGGCCACCCAGCTCAAGAACAACCCGTACCCTCAGTCTGGCCGTCTCCAGCAGTGCCGTCACGAGTCTCACGCCTCCCAATCCGCCTCGGACAATTACAGCTCCCAGTCCGCCTCGGACAATGCCAGCCTCAACGTCCACCACGCTCCCGACTCGACCGCCAGCAGGAACTCATCCCTCTCGGCTCCTCCTGTAAACAGCAACCGCTCCCAAGCCAACACTGTCGCCACCATCCCAGAGACCATCGCCTCAGATCGAGGCTACTTCAAGTCGTCGACAAACGGCCAAGGCGGTGCACTGAGCTCCGTCGACGGCGCTGGTCCCAACAGCACCTTCTCCTCGCCAAACCAGTCTCAGNCAGTCGCTCACCACCACTCTGACCACCATCCAATCCACCAACAACCACCTTAATACCGCTGCCCCTCACACCCACTTCTCACAGCAACCACCCTCGGCCATTCCTCCTCACCTCGCCAACAATACCAACAATAACCCCACAACGACAATGCGAGCATCTTGACTCTGGCCTCTTCCTCCAAGCGCCGTCGCCGCTCCATGGATACCGACGCATCTGTCCGCGCTATTGCACCCAAGAGCATGTGGGGAGACAGCAGGGAATCCCTGCCTCTGAGTGTCCTAAGTGCCAACATCGATCACACTTCCTCTCGCCCTGCCGTCGGCGGTCTCATCAGTGCCGAGCGCGCAAGCGTCTACTCCTCTCGGGACGTGTCGGCCCCTGCCATTGCCTCCGACCGCAACAGCTACTATGCTGCGAGTCATAGACAAGTCAGAGACAGAGAGCGAGACAAAGAAGCTCACCGTGATCGCGAATTTGGCGCAGATGGCCGAAGCATCAATTTTGACGCCAAATCGCTCAACTTTGACGGCAGAAGCTTAGCTGGCGACCATGCCAGTTTGAGGGGCTACGAGGGCAGTGTACGCAGTGGCGCTTTGGGTCATGGCCATGCCCGCAATGATAGTATCCCCAGCGGTGCACCAAGTCCCATGGTCGGCGGGTCTCCTCTGCTCAGAAGACCTTCGGGTGCTCTGACCTTTAGCTCCGATGTTCGTGACAAGGAAGACCATGAGCCTGCGGACCACAAGAATCATGCTTAATACTCTATTCTTTTCATCACGACTGGGATGGGACATCTGGGGATGCTGTGTTTTCTCTTCAATGGAGTATCAGGGACTGGGTCTGGCCTCTTTTTCCTATTCATTTTGTTATATACCCCCTTTTTGTGTTTTTCAGACTCTCGAATGGTCAGCCATAAAGCTTCAAAGTCGGTGCAGGTCCAGATTTCACTCGGAAGATTAATGTTATGTGGTACTCTATATGTCCGCCAACCATGAGACAATTGTACGCACGTAAGTGGATGTTATAGTGGGGAGATTGAATCCTTCGCGCGTCATGTCAGTCACATTCGCATATCTCTTGCTCGCAGTCAACAGCTTCTGACCATCCACTACTTGCACCCGTTTTTTTCTTGTTCAACCATCACCATCTATCCCACTCGGTCATGACGGACGCATGGTTCGAAAATGCCATCGAATCTGACGGTATAGATGGAGAAGGCTGCCGCCGCTCAGAAGCAATGACACTAAAATCCTATCTCCGCGACGAGATCGCTGTCAACCAAGCATCACAGCAACTAGCACAACCCACCGAAAACTGCGCCTTCCCAGGCGATCCACTCATCTATCTCTGGGGTGTATTACAAGACGCCATGGTCGAGCTCCCAGGGTCTGCAGCCAAAATTGTGCCACTGCTGCTTGAGATGCAAAAACGATCTGATATGCAGTTGCGAGAAAATCAAAGGGAAGGCGCATTAAGCGATAGACAGTGGGCGCTTTGGAGAGATTTGCCTGGGTTTGCGAATCTGTGGTATGATATGCATTGGTGGTACTATTCCTCGCACTGGCGCGTTGAACTCGAGCGATTTGACAAGCAAGAAACAGTGGCCAATATATCGCGAATCGCTACTGCTGATGCATTGCTAGCGGTCTATGGTATCCTTGGAGAAAGAGCAAAAGCAGAAGGGTTGGCGAGACTGGCAGATTCACTTGAAGATGAATCTGCTGTTTTGCGTCTAGAGATGCCTATAGTCAAGGAATGGCTGCTCAATGCTGGAGACATGCTTTTTGAGATGTGTAAAGCTGAGTCTCGACATTGTTTACTGGGCAACAGTGCAGAGCTCAAGCAGAAATCTATAGGGAGAACAAGACGAGAGTTGTGGAAGGGCGAGAGTGGACCAAGTCTTGCCCGATGTCAGTTTTGGGAACAAAGGTTGGGGCATATAGAGCAGGATATCGGGGTTGAGGAGAAAACCAGAGATGCTGCGAGGGTTTCTCTGAGGGTTATGGAACAGCGTTGAGTGTTATCTTGATGATACAGATCTTTGGTACAAGTATGACAGTGCAAAAAGTCGTGTTTCTGGTAGCACCCTGACCTTTGGTTATAGATGTGGTATCGATCGGTTTGTGTATACATGACACGACTTCAATCAACTCTCTCGATGGCTAATACTGTGTCTCTCTATATTACTGTGCATTTCCATAGCTTATCCATCATGTGTACTTCTGTGCGCGGAGGAACAATAGCAACCAGACTTCTTAGCAATACAGGTCTTTGATCTCACCCCTAATGATACTTTCACCTTCTGATTTTCTCTTCTGGCCATCATAACTTTGTTTGATATACTTACCACACCCTTCTTCTCTTAGATGTGTGCTTAGTGTGTTGAGATAGATGTGCTTATGTACTCGATGAAAAGAAGTCCCTTGCTTGTGCTAGATAGAGGTGTGCCTTGCTTGGGAAATGAGATGTGGTAAGTGAGATCTTGTCAGTTCGATTATACAGCAGTCAGACTTTGCAGCAATACAAGTTGCAAGTCGTCGTCGTCGTCGTCGTCGTCGTCGTCGGCTAGTATAACTCTCAGTCAGTTACCTACCACCGGATAAATGCACGCTTGCGGGATGTGCTCAATAGAGCTTCCTCCGCAAAACTCTATTCTGGCAACAACATTCCATCTCCCCTTCCAGAAGTTATCTTTATTCCTTTTTTCTGCAGTCGTCTTTGTATTCTCTTGATTCGAGGATTATACTTGAGTATTTGGATTCTTGAAAACATCGCCATTACGGGCTTCTGACAACAGATTCCCCAAGGCCATCCGGAGACTCTACTACAGTCAGAGACCGCAAAAGAAACTCATTCTTCTGGAGACGACAATGGCCAACACCACTTTGCGACCGCGAGGTGACTTGACCTCAGAAATCACGCCCATAGTAATGGGCGGCGCAGCATGGTCACACCAACTCAACGCCGACGCCTATACCCGGCCCGTCATCCCAGTAATTTTGTCTGCCTTCTCTGCCGGCATCCGCACAATCGACACGTCACCCTACTACGAGCCTTCTGAAAAGATCCTCGGCAAAGCTCTATCCTCACCAGAGATTTCTGACATCTACAAACGCGAAGACTACTTTTTGATGACCAAGGTTGGCCGTATTGCCAGTGAGGAGTTTAACTATAACCCACAGTGGGTGAGGGAGAGCGTAAACAGGAGCTTGGAGAGATTTCAGACTGGATATCTGGATGTGGTGTTTTGCCATGATGTGGAGTTTGTTTCTGACGATGCTGTTGTTGCTGCAGTGGCTACACTTTGGGAGTTTGTGGACCAAGGCAAAGTCAGGTATGTAGGTGTTTCTGGATACCCGATTGAAAAGTTGGTCAGGGTGGCTAGATTGTGTAAGGAAAAGTTGGGACGACCATTGGATATTGTACAGAATTGGGGGCAATTGACGCTGCAGAATACGAAATTGAGGTCGCTGGGGTTGGAGGCTTTGGCGCAGGCTGGAGTTGCTATGGTGTGCAGTAGCTCGCCGCTGAACATTGGGTTGCTGAGAGCACAGGGTGTGCCCATTGGGTGAGTTTTCTTGATCCTTTCCCCTCCTTTCCATGACCACAAATTATACGACATCTGTTGTTATGGTTTACAACACTGACGCAAACTCCAGCACCNNCTCGGAGACTGGCACCCTGCACCCCCAGGTCTGCGCCTCGCAGCCGCAAACGCAGCAACCTACGCCGCCTCCCATGGCACCGACCTCGCTAGCCTCTCTCTCCGCTTCGCCTGCCGCGAAACCGCTCGCAAGCAACCTCATCTCCCTGCCATGGCACTAATCATGGGACCCGGCAGTGTCTCCGAAGTCGAATCTTGCGCTGCTGCAGCCAACAGTGTCAAAGACACCTCTGCACCAACAAAGTCTGGAGATTTACGTGATGGGATTGTAGTTGATGAGGAGGCAGAGAAGAGAGATGCCGAGTTGGTGGATGGTGTGAGGGGGATTTTGNGGGAGTGGATTGATTATTCGTTTGTTAGTCCGCCTGAGGGGTGGGATGTTGAGGCTGGGAGGATGTGTGGGGTGTAGTAGTTAAGGGAGATGGTTGTTTGCGTATGTTTTAAAGTACGAGAGTGGAATTTGTGAAAAGGAATGAGCTTACACTGTACAGACACGCAAAGTCTTCAAGTTCAATGGTAAATGCGTAATCATGTCAGAATTTTGAAACCATAGGGCCTCGTAGGCAACCATGCATCCATCGAGTACTAGAGAACACCCAGTCACAGTTTTTCAAAGTTTGCTTTGTACACTTTTTCTGCTTTTTTTGTACCGGGTTTGCGATTTGCAAAGTTCTACATTTTGAGCAGGGTTCACAGAATCGGGGGTGTAGACCAAGAAATTTGCGTGATGATAATTGGTCTGTCAATCGTTTCGTGTACTATCAGAGCATCATCTTCTATTGAGCTGCTCAAAGCAATCTATAACAATGTGACACAAAGTTTAGATATCGTACAGTCGCTTATGTATTGCAACCAGGAATCGCATGTTGTAGGCATCAACTAAGGTCTTGCAACTGAACCATTGAACTTGGGTCTGTGTCCAAGATGACTGCAGTATTATGCCCCAGAGCGATATCAGAATAGTGATTGAGACTTGAAATCGCACAGGCTGAAGCTTCCGGGCGAAAGTCCAATCGAACAAGGACGAGGTCACAGTGTCGACGATCAACGCCCTCCCGGGCATGTTTATGATCTTTTTGATACCATGTGTGCCGTGGAGCCGTTCGACATCTGTGTTCGAGATGCAAAACTGCATGGGTCCTTGTGGCATCGGATGGTTAGAGTAATCCATGAAGACCTATGGTTCTTGATGTATTCATGGAGAAACTGCTGTGTAGCGACCTGGTAACTGGACTTATAGCAGTATTTGTATAGACGACGAAGAGCAGCTGCATGTCAACCACAGGTTTGAGTTGGAAAGCGTGCTTATCGCTACTTCACAGCCAGTGAGGTGAACAAGTCGCAAGAGTTGGATTGGTGTGCAGATTTTGGGGATGGATCTGGACTTGTTTTCCAGGGTCACTCTTCACCTCTTCCAGATTATGTCACGCTGGTGAGGAGGCATATGTGACATACAGCTGACCTGTCCCTGTCCTCCATCCAAATGATGGCTGCGGATGGACTCGAAGCTCACTGCATGGTAGTGGTTGCCAAACAGATAGACGGATCTAGTTGGACTCAAGAGTGGTGAAAACAAGATTTCTCGTTTGGGCTTCTCCTATCCTCTACTAGAGGCGTTGGTTTGCCATCTCGATTTGTTGATTATTGTTTGTGTTACGATTGAGTGGAAAAAGTCAATGTTGTATATACTGCATAGAATAAGTGCTTTTGTCTAGAGTGTGAATCTCTACATGGTGCACCTACGGCTTTGCGGTGGATGTGACATGCAGAGGTTCACTCTCGAGGTTCTTTTTGTTCTGGTTTTGATAGTCGGTTCAAGTCGTCCGCTCGCAGGATTATTTCGCTTTACGTGTCTGCCTTGGTATTCAAGGCCAAGGAAGTAGATGGCCTGCACCAAACCCTTTGAGTTATTCTTAATGGTTCCGTTCTTCTCGAAGTTTGATGACAGATGATGGTATTGCTTTGCTTGGAAATCAAGGTGACACAAGCACCAGGATTATCAGACACCAGTATTATCAACCAGGCTTGTTGTTTGACACCAGCCGACGGATATCGACCACTTCCGTCGAGCAGAAACGGATGTTGGACGTTCCTTCGGAGGAGAGGATTCCGGATATCTTTGTAAGCTGCTTGTCGTGTCGCATATCGTACCCCACACTGATCCCTGAATTGATAGGGTGCCCTAGTATCGGATAGCGATCATGAAAACAGGGTTGTCCATAAAGTAAGGCATCCGACGCAAGCCCTGGTAGGCAGAAAGTCTGTGAAGCCAATGAAATCAATTGTGGGCTCGAGACCAAGACTGCATCTGTTTGTGGATCTGCTGCTTTGCTTCAGGCGTTGAACATAACGCTGCGAAGGAACAGGAGTTCGTCATTAGCTGGCCCCTGTCGCCGAGACTAGGAGAGCAAACGGTCAGGACTGGTTGAGATGGGACCTGATCTCGATGCTAGGATACCAGGCAAAGAGCGGGCGTGTTTGACAGGCAGATGCGTGCTTATACGAGTACGAAGCTGTCAAAATCAATACAGCTTCATGCATGCGGTGCAAACGTGCTCAAGAGCCGCATGTTGTGAAGGTTGCTTGTTCGCCGCCATGTCACTGTATCTGCAACGAGCTTCTACGCGTCGATATTGCGGCGAGATGATCGAAAATGATATGCGACTTCCAGATGCAATCTCCCCTTTTCTCGAGCCATGTGGTAAAGCGATGGAAACACAGTGCTGCAATATCTCTGCAATTGTTTGGGCGGGGCACGTAAACACTCGCATGAAACATGAGGAAGCGAGCGCGGATTCCGCGGATTCCAGACAATAGGCGGCGCAATGGGAGGCTCGTATTCGTACAGCAGACGAGACGCGATTCAGTTGCAAGAACAAAGAGCCAAGGAAGGCAAGCCACACGCATGGTTACGGCGATCCCGCGCGGATAGCTGGTATCCGAGGACATTTCCAATCACGTTGAGAGATTGCCAGAGATGCAGTAGCCTTGGATGCACCTAAAAATCCCTTTTCGAACACCGGCGGGAAGGCCTTGATTCGGGGTTTAGGAATTCCGGAGAGGCTCCAAGGTTAGCGAGAAAATGCTGGGCTTTCGTCTGTGGTAGAAGCGTTTGCAGGCAATGTAGAAGACAGTTTGGACGTCATACTATGCTGCCAAGTCGTCTTCACCGGGCAATCCAAGGCTCTGTAGGATCTGTAGTCGTACGATTGGGACACCGCCATGCAGTGAGCTCAGATCTGACAGCCTGAATTGTCTGAATAACTTCCTTCACCGGGAGGATGGGAATGGGACGATGTTTCGACAGCGATTCTCCAGGCCGGAAGCTGGCCTTCCCGAGCTGGGGGATGGAAGTGGACCTTCCCGCGCACGGAATGCCTTTTACAGGACGACGTTTGCCCGACTCGGTTTGAATTGCTCCTAGCGCATCTCGTAGCAGCCGTCATCTACGCTTTTGTTGTCACTGCTTCGGCCTAACACCTCAGCACCTTTGACAATATTAAGGGAAGCCGTTCGCCATCTCGGAGGCCTCTTTTGCTTCTTCGGACATTCAGTTGCGTACCACGACACATACCTCGGCCAGCAGCAAACAATTGCTTGCAACAAGGGCTTGTCCCTTTGAGTTTAACCCCACCATTCAGCTATATCGACATTGAATAATTTAGTCAACATGTCGCTTGTGGGCAACTTCACCTTCAACAACTACGATGGTCAGAACCAGCGTAGTGGTATCAGTGCTCTCGGAGGCACTGCCTTCCAGCACGATGAACACCACGAGCAAGCCGACAACTCGACACGGGACACACATTTGAACCCCGAGCGCCACGCCGAGCATTCTCGCATTCCTGCTTCTCGCCAGACCTCGAGAACCTTTACCACAGAACAACCCGACCTTTCACACTCCGGAATCCATGATGGCACATATTACCCCGATGGAATCCCTCCATCAGACGAGAAGGTCGGACTCGAGCCGGCAGAATCACCATCGTCCTCCCAGAGCGAAGCTGCCTACGAAAGAGATGAGAAGGTTCAGGACCTTGCAAGATCGCTGAGTCGTACCATGTCACAAGCACCCGATGACCCGTTCACATACGAGGACGACTCGCCGCTCAACCCCAATGGACCCAACTTCGTCGCAAGAGAGTGGGTCAAGTCCATGTACAAGATGAACCAAAGAGAAGGCGTGCAGCAACGTACCGCCGGTGTCGCTTTCAAGAACCTGAACGTTCACGGTTTCGGTGCCGATTCGGATTACCAGAAGACTGTGTCCAACATCGCACTCGAGGCGGTTGGCGGAGTCAAGAAGTTGATGGGTCTTGCCAAGCAGAGAAGAATCGACATTCTTCGCGATTTTGAGGGTGTCGTCAACCCTGGCGAGATGCTCGTCGTTCTCGGTCCTCCTGGTTCTGGATGTTCGACTTTCCTCAAGACTTTGACTGGAGAGACACATGGCTTCAATGTCGATGACAAGTCATATCTCAACTACCAGGGTATCGAAGCCAAAGACATGAACACCAAGTATCGTGGCGAAGCCATCTACACCGCTGAGGTGGATGTTCATTTCCCCAACATGACAGTGGGCGACACTTTGTACTTTGCAGCCCGCGCTCGCGCGCCTCACACTGTCCCTGGCGGCCTTTCCAAGGTCAGATGGGCCGAGGCCAACAGAGACATGATCATGGCCACTTTCGGTATTTCTCACACAATCAACACTCAGGTCGGAAACGACTTCATCCGCGGTGTCTCTGGTGGTGAGAGAAAGCGTGTCTCGATTGCTGAAGCCGCATTGAGCGGTGCCCCTCTACAAGCCTGGGACAACTCGACTCGTGGTCTCGACAGTGCCAACGCCGTTGAATTCTGCAAGACGCTCCGTCTCTCTTCAGAATTCTTTGGTACTACTCCCATGGTTGCCATCTACCAAGCGCCTGGTGCTGCTTACGACCTCTTCGACAAAGTCATCGTTCTCTACGAGGGTCGTCAAATCTTCTTTGGTAACACCACCGAAGCCAAGGCATACTTCGAGAATCTCGGTTTCCAATGCCCCGACCGTCAGACCGATGCTGATTTCCTCACCTCCATGACTTCGGCTCAGGAGCGTGTTGTCCGCAAAGGCTGGGAGAGCAGAGTACCGAGATCGCCTGATGAGTTTGCTGCTTGCTGGAAGGCCAGTCCCCAACGCCAACGCCTCCTGGAGCAGATTGACGAATTTGACAGAAAGTACCCCTTCGGTGGAGAGTCGACCGAGGTGTTCGCCGCATCGCGTAAGGCTCAGAAGGCAAAGGGCCAGCGCGTTGGTTCTCCTTACACTCTGTCCTATGTCCAGCAAGTCAAGCTGTGTCTTTGGCGTGGTTTCCGACGCCTGATAGGAGATCCCAGTCTGACCTTCACTCAACTCTTCGGTAACTTCATCATGTCTCTGGTCATTGGCTCTCTTTTCTTTAATCTCGACAACGGCACGGATTCCTTCTACAGCAGAGGTGCTCTTATCTTCTTTGCCATTCTGATGAATGCTTTCGGTTCAGCTCTCGAAATCTTGACGCTGTACGCTCAAAGACCTATCGTCGAGAAGCACTCTCGCTATGCCCTGTACCATCCGTCTGCTGAAGCTTTCGCTTCTATGTTGACGGATATGCCATACAAAATTCTGAACGCCATCATCTTCAACTTGACACTCTACTTCATGACCAACCTTCGTCGCGAACCCGGAGCATTCTTCTTCTTCCTGCTCATCTCCTTCTTCCTGACGTTGACCATGAGTATGTTGTTTAGAACAATCGCCTCGGTCTCCCGTACTCTTTCGCAAGCCATGGCTCCCGCCGCTATATTGATATTGGCTATCGTCATCTTCACTGGTTTCACTATTCCTACTCGCTACATGCTCGGATGGAGTCGCTGGATCAACTACCTTGACCCTGTTGCTTACGGTTTCGAAGCTCTTATGATCAACGAGTTCCACGGCAGAGATTACCCTTGCTCCGCACCCGTGCCTTTGTATGGAACATACGACCAAGGAACCCAGGTCTGCAGCACTGTCGGTGCTATCGCTGGCCAGAACTTCGTCAATGGAGATGCTTACATCAACTCGTCGTTTCAATACTACCACAGCCACAAGTGGCGCAACTTCGGTATTGTGATTGCCTTCATGCTTGGTCTGATGTGCTTCTACCTGGGAGCTACCGAACTGATCTCTGCCAAGAAGTCCAAGGGTGAAGTCCTTGTGTTCCGCAGAGGCCACGCCCCTGCCGTTCTTACGAAGAACACCCCCGACGATCTCGAAGCTGCTGGTGCTGCTCAAGCTGTTGCTGAGAAGCAGCACAATGCCGTGGATCCCACCGACATGATCCAGAAGCAGACAGCTGTTTTCCATTGGGAGGACGTTTGCTACGATATCAAGATCAAGAAAGAAGACCGCAGAATTCTGGACCACGTCGATGGCTGGGTCAAGCCTGGTACTCTCACCGCTCTCATGGGTGTCTCTGGTGCAGGAAAGACTACTCTGCTGGACGTCCTTGCTACTCGTGTTACTATGGGTGTCATTTCTGGAGACATGTTCGTTGATGGACGTTCGCGTGACGAATCCTTCCAGAGAAAGACCGGTTACGTTCAACAACAGGATCTCCACCTTCAAACTTCGACCGTCCGCGAGGCTCTCAACTTCAGTGCCCTCCTCCGTCAACCTGCACATGTTTCACGTCAAGAAAAGCTTGACTATGTCGATGAGGTCATCAAGCTCCTCGATATGGATCAGTACGCTGACGCTGTCGTCGGTGTTCCTGGCGAAGGTCTCAACGTCGAGCAGCGTAAGCGTTTGACCATTGGTGTCGAACTCGCTGCTAAGCCTGAACTATTGGTCAGTAATCATTCACACGTTTCGTATCCACGTCGCTAACCTTTAAAAGNNCTCTTCTTGGATGAACCTACGTCTGGTCTCGATTCGCAGACTTCATGGGCTATTTGCGATCTCATGGAGAAGCTTACCAAGTCCGGCCAGGCCATTCTCTGTACTATCCATCAGCCTTCCGCCATGTTGTTCCAGCGCTTCGATCGTCTCCTCTTCCTTGCCAGAGGTGGCAGAACTGTCTACTTTGGTGAAGTCGGCAAGAACTCGAACGTCTTGACCGCTTACTTCGAGCGCAATGGTGCCCACAAGTGTCCCCCAGATGCTAACCCTGCTGAATGGATGCTCGAGGTCATCGGTGCTGCTCCCGGTTCCCACACTGATATCGACTGGCACCAGACATGGCGCGACAGCAACGAGTACCGCCAAACCAAGGCCGAGCTCGAGAGACTACGTACCCAGCGCCCTCAGGAGACTCAGCCCTCGACCGATCCCAACGACCAGACCAGCTATCGTGAATTTGCCGCTCCTTTCGGTGTGCAATTCATGGAGGTTACCAAGCGTGTGTTCATCCAATACTGGAGAACTCCCAGTTACATCTTCTCAAAGCTCGCTTTGTGTACTTTCTCCGCTCTTTTCATCGGATTTGTGTTTTTCAAGGCCCCGAACTCCCAACAAGGGCTTCAGAACCAGATGTTCTCCGTATGTGGAATTTCGTCCATCTCAAATGTTGTTGCTAACAAATCTCTTAGANTCTTCATGTTGTTCACCATTTTCGGTCAGCTTGTCCAACAGATCATGCCCCACTTCGTCACCCAGCGTGCTCTGTACGAGGTTCGCGAGCGCCCTTCCAAGACCTACTCCTGGAAGGCATTCATGTTGAGCAACATCATAGTCGAGCTGCCCTGGAACTCGCTGGGAGCAGTGATCATCTTCTTCTGCTTCTACTACCCTATCGGCCTGTACCGCAACGCTGTTCCTACCAACGCAGTCACCGAGCGTGGTGGCCTCTTCTTCTTGTTCGTCTGGCAATTCCTCCTCTTCACCTCGACATTCACCAATATGGTCATTGCCGGTATCGACCTTGCCGAGACCGGTGGTAACATTGCCAACTTGATGTTCTCCTTGACCCTGATTTTCTGTGGTGTCCTTGTCGGACCTACCGTCATGCCTGGTTTCTGGATCTTCATGTACCGCGTGTCGCCCTTCTCCTACCTGGTCGACGGTATGCTGTCTGTTGCAGTCGCCAACACCGACGTCATTTGTGCCAGCAACGAATACCTTCGTTTCAGCTCACCTGCAGGCCAGACTTGTGGCGAGTTTATGGATCCTTGGATCGCGAGCTACGGTGGCTACCTCCAGAACAACCAGACCTCAGAGTGCGATTTCTGCCAGATCGCCGACACCAACGCTTTCCTTTCTGCAGTCAGCTCTTCATACAGCCACCGCTGGAGAAACTTTGGCATTTTGTGGGTCTTCATCATCTTCAACGCCGTTGCTGCAGTCGGAATTTACTGGCTCGCCCGTGTGCCCAAGAAGCCTAAGAAGGCAAAGAGCGAGTAAGCAGTTGTCTGCTTGAATTTTCTGTTTAGACTACAGTTTCTACCTCTCCACTTTGGATGGAGGTGCCTTTGCTTTTGGCGATTCTTGTATGATTCGTTTACTTTGACTTGTTTATACCCTGTCCTTTCCCTAGAGGAACGAATATTGCAAAATTCATTTTATTACCATTTCAATTACTTCGATACCACCCTTTGATGTATCCTGTCTCATCTCAGATTATCAAGACCTGTCAAAAACTTCCTGCATGATCCACATGCAAGTATCTCGCGTATAGAGCGGCTACCGACCTATCAATCAGTCTCCAAGCACGTGGGCTGCGGTGTCTTTCCCGTTCACACCTTTGTTTGCCCCGCATCAGGCACTTTTCAGACCTTTACCTTGTTCATTTCACCAGCCAACACCGAGCAATGCGACAACTGATTGGTGCCTAATCACTAGAGTCTACAATTTTGAGACAATAGTGCATACTGAGCCAACTACGCGCATGCATAATGCTTTGACATGATGCAAGTGAACGACAATCCAAGATTGCCGCCTAAAAATGACTGCAGAAGCGCCGATGTCTGGATCGTGACAAGTCATCTACTTGAGAGCTGTATATTGTACATAAGGTGAGCTTTCGCTGTTGTTCACTTTGCCGTGTATCCCATCTCGACACAGACCTACTGTGAGGACGTTTGCTACAGATCGCGGTGTTTGACCGCTTCGACGGCCTACCTTGGACACCGCCGCAGAACAACAGTATGAAAACCCTCTTCAACCTGTTGTGCACTCAATTCGACTTTGAGTCGTACGGCATGGACTTGCTCTACCTGGGTCGTCAGCTTATCACGGCTCTGCCCTCTGGAAACGGTACCAATGTCAGCGATTTACCTATCAAACTCCTCGAAGCCGTTGTTCCGGGCTACAGTCTCTTTGCCAATGCTGCGCAACAATGGCTCGGCTTTGACGTGAGTCTCGCCATGACTTGCATTGCCTTCTTCCTCATCGCCAAACGTGCAGTCGACTTCATCTGGATTCGGGTCTACAACACGTTCCTCAACCATTTCACGAGCTCTGTACACATTGATGGCAGTGATGATTTGTACAGCACAGTGCTCGAGTGGATCGCAGCAACCAGGCCCGATCTCTCCAAACGATCTCTCACTGCTCGTACACAGTACGGAAACTTGTACGACTCTGACGATGAAGATGAATCTGAGGATGCGGATATGCTTGCAAAAGTCGCTGTTGGTGAGCATGGCTACTTCAACTTCTCCAAAACTGCCGCCCGCGCCCCACCTCTCTACGAGCCTGACCATGGTCAATTCTGGTTCTCTTCTCCACGCGGCACTTTTCAATTCAGGAAAAGCGAGTACACCACTCGAGGCAGCGACGGCATTGAGCGCACAGAGAATTATGTCAATATCTGCTGTATCGGTCTCGATACCAACCCTATCAAACTGTTGCTCACCGACATCAAGGCTTGGACTGTGCGCAAAGAAGGTTCCAAGACTGTCATTCGTATACCTGCGGAAGAGCGCTGGAATGGGTGGATGAGAAGCTCTGAGCGCCCATCCCGCCCCCTCGACACTGTTATTCTGGATCCAGAGCAGAAGTCACGCATCTTGCAAGACATGAATGAATACTTGCATCCATTGAGCTCCAAGTGGTATGCTTCCCGTGGCATTCCCTATCGTCGTGGCTATCTGTTCTCTGGCCCTCCTGGGACCGGCAAGACAAGTCTGAGCTTCTCACTTGCTGGTATCTTTGGTCTTGATATTCACATCATCAACCTTATGGACCCGACTATGACTGAGAGTATGCTGTCAAGATTGTTCAACAACTTGCCAAAGCGTTGTATTGTCTTGTTTGAAGACATTGATGCTGCTGGTATCAAGAACCGCAAGGATGAATCTGAATCAGACTCGGACTCTGACTCTGATTCAGAGACTGAGAGTGTTGATGTATATTCGGTGAAGACGAAGGCTGGCAAGGCCAAGAGCAAGAGTAGAGGGCGTGTCATGGTCAAAGATCACATCAACGGTTCGACAAGGCCACCTAGTTCACACACTGGTGCAGACAACGACCATGTCAACGGTGACACAAATCAAGACATCTTGGTCTTGCCTACTGGGGCCGTCACCAAAGTTCTCGCCCTCNACCAACGGTCACAGCACATCACAGGACTCGATCTCGCACAATGACACAGGGCCTCATTCTGTCTCTAGAGCCTCTTCATCGCCATCTTCCCAGCGCCGCGGCTCCAGCCCGCTNCACTATCGACTCTCTTGCCCGCGCCCTCATCGCAGCAAGCCGTCGAGCCCGCTCTTCATTCCCATCCCCTCCCCCTCGCAAACGCCGCCGCAGCCGCAAAGCCAAACCTGCACCCTCCTCCAACANCTCCCGAGGAGCCCGCATCCAAGATTTCACTATCTGGTCTACTCAATGTGATTGACGGTGTCGCAACACACGAAGGCCGCATCCTCATCATGACAACCAACCATCCTGAAAGGCTCGATCCAGCATTGATACGTGCAGGCAGAGTGGACATGCAAATCTCGTTCTCCTACGCCACTAGCTCACAAATCAAGAGCTTGTTTTTGAGAATGTATGCTGGAGATAACGTCCCCAGTACTGTCACACAAACACTGTTGGCGAAAATCGGTGTGGTGAAAGATGTGGACAGTACTTCTGGAACTGGAGATGCAGAGATGATGCTTACGAAAGATGACCTGGAGGGTTTGAGTATAAGGTTTGCTGACGAGTTGCCAGAGGGAAGGTTTGCTCCTTCCGATGTGCAGGGCTATCTACTTTTGTACAGANAAAAGCCTAGGGTGGCTGTTGACATGGTTGGGGCTTGGAGGGATACAAAGCTCCTTGAGATGGCTGAGAAGGAGAAGAACAAGTCTGTTGGCAAGAAAACCAAGAAGACTTGATGTGGTATTCATAGATATTCCTTGAGCACTAGAGAGGATGAACAGGAGGTTTGTTCCATGTCGATGGCAACAGAAGCGTCACCTACAAGACTAGCTCGTTGGCATCAATCAACAACATCACGATCAATCATTTTGCTTCCTCCTTCGGCGCGTCCTAGGTAGATGCGGAATAACACATCTCAGCTATTTACCTCTGTAGTCAAGACTGGTCAACCTGATGAGTCGCGTGAATCGCCTACCCAGTCTCTAGTGCGAGACTGCCGCACCCTGCTGACAAAACTCATCAGTCGAGGCCACTTGAAAGAGAGCTGAAGAACATGTTGATGGACGGAAGAAACGTGGACGGAATCACGGCGCGAGGTTCCGAAAAGATCTCCAAACCCAAGTGTGTGGAGGTGACTCTTTGGGCTCACCGAGCGCGATCTGTTCCCGGACCGACAAGTTCCCTCACAAGTGTTGATGCCATTTTGCAGGTATCTTGCCCAGTTCATGCGATCGGACATCGACTATGTCGCTCGTATTCTCTTCAGTAAAGATAAACACACAAACGTGTCCCTCTGATGTGGGCCACGAACTTAGGGCTTCCATGAAGCCAAGCTTACTTCCTGCCAAACGCTTGGAAAAGGCGCTTGGAAATACCCCAACAGTACATCGTGGACACATACCTTGCAACGTGGCGGCAGCAATTCGTAGAATGACATATAAAAGTTGTTTCTCAGACCTTAGAGTATGAACCCTGGCCTGCTCGACTTGCTAGACATCTCTTTGCCTCTGTTGAACTGGTCATCCTGCCTTCAACATGGCTACAGCTACCGAGACCATAGAACTCCAACAGAGAGAGACACTAGATGTGTTTAAAAACGGTCAACCAGAGACAGCCAACATCGAATCGCAACAAACATGGAAAGTCCCATCAATCAACAAATATCGAGTGCCAGTCACTTTCTGGTCCCTGGCCGTGACAGGCATGAATGATGCATCATACGGACCACTTCTTCCATACCTGGAAACACACTATCATCTCAACTACACAGTCGTTTCTCTAATCTTTCTATCGCCTNTTGTTGGATATACGTTATCGGCTCTCATCAACAACTCAATCCACATGAAATTTGGACAGCGAGGGNTGGCTGTTATTGCTCCCACGGCTCATTTGATCGCATACTTAGTGATTTGTCTGCATCCTCCTNATCCAGTTCTCGTGGTTGCATTTGTCCTTGCAGGCTTTGGCAATGGTATGGTTGACTCGGCTTGGAATGCTTGGGTTGGCGCAATGCAAAATGCAAACGAGATATTGGGACTTCTTCATGGTGCTTACGGTGCGGGCGCAACTGTCGCGCCTTTGATTGCAACATCTATGATCTCCAGAGCTGGGCTTCCATGGTACTCTTGGTACTATGTTATGGTATGAATATTCTTGTCTCGAGAGTGCAGACAACTTACTGACCGTTCCTTCAGANTCGGTGCTGCGGCCATCGAGTTGGCGACATCTGTCCATGCCTTCTGGGAAGCGAATGGCACTGTCTATCGATCTGCGACATCTGGAGAAGAGCACAGCAAGGGATCGCTTGCTCAGGTAACTCTGAAAATGCCTGCAGCTCGCATCACATGGCTTTGTGCAGCTTTCCTCCTCTGCTACGTAGGCAGTGAAGTTGCCTTGGGTGGTTGGATCGTGCAATTTATGCTCAAAGTCAGAAACGGTAACGAATTTGCCAGTGGAATGGTCTCCGTCGGTTTCTGGCTGGGTATCACCATGGGTCGAATTGTGCTTGGTTTCATTACTCCCCGTATAGGTGAAAAACTGGCAGTATCGGTGAGTCTTTGCATCTCAGTATTCATAACCTCTTGCTGAGGTGATTCAGNNATTTATCTTCCCATTGCAATGGGTCTGGAGCTCCTCTTCTGGCTAGTACCCTCATTCTACGTCTCGGCCATTGCAGTCAGCTTCCAAGGCTTCTTCCTAGGCCCTATGTTCCCTGCCATANTCGTTGTTACAACAAAATTGCTGCCAAAGTATCTATATGTACCTGCAGTTGGGTTTGCAGCTGCCTTTGGTGGTTCTGGTGGAGCTATTTTTCCATTTGCAATCGGTAAGTTACTGAAACTCAGAACAAGACAAGACAAGACAGTACAAAAAGCTAACCATGATTCAACACAGNGTGCATTGGCGCAAGCTAAAGGTGTTCAAGTGCTGCAGCCTATTATCCTGTCACTATTTGCTATGCAGTTGGTACTTTGGTTATGCCTTCCGAGAATTGGGCGCAAGAAGGACTGAGGATTGATCTAATTTGAAAATAGCTGGCATGATATTGAGTGTTTGAAGGGAAACCAAGTCGTCGTTTGTAACCGTCGTTCCATTTTACCAGCAAAACAAAGGTGGGCACCGTCACGCAGAGATGATAGTTCTGAAACATGACGCACGTAAAGCTGACACTGGCGGCCTTCATAGATTCTGAGGACGATTCAGGGCACAATCTATTACAAGAAGATTTTCACCCTAGACGCATGTCTCGATGTATATATGCCCGTTTGTACTGTTGCTGAAGTTCTGGAGTTTGCACATGCTTGACGAGATTGAGGTTGGTAGCTATACCTCTTGTACTTCTCCGTTTATCTCTCTTCCCTACATCCGGTAAGATGGCCTACTTGTCAGGTCTGCTGTATGTGCTGCTCGCTGCACCACGGTTCAACTCTATTTTGCGCCTGGTCGATTCGCACTTTTAGACTCAAAGCTCTAACGATATCTCACTGCTCCTTACGTATAGAAGTCTCTCACGCATGCGTCAATTGAAACACAAGCACTGGCAAAAGGGCGTAGGTGTGCGGAGATCACAATTTGTCTTGATAGCTCTCAATGTCGATTTCTGTGTGGAATTTCTCCATCGTCTACTCTTGATGCAGCTCTACATTCGAAGACTTGGGTTGAGGTACCAACAGCCAGCTTATGGCAGTCGATGAGATCAAGCCCACTAGAATTGGCTGGAGTACCCAAACGCCCTTGCTGGAGCTGACAAGTCCTGTGATGACTGGAAACAAGGAACCACCAATCTGCGCAAACACGAAAACCAGTGAAAGCGCCGTTGATCGAATCTCTGCCGGGAAGAGTCGAGAGCCAACAGATATACCCNNTGTTTTGATTAGCATGTCTTGTACCGGGCACGACTTCATTATGCTTACCGTAGCAAAGAGAGGGCCGGAGAAGAAACCGACTAGACTGATCGCAACAGCAGCTGCAATGGTATTTGGGACANNCTTATTGCATGTTAGCTTGAAGATAGGCTCTTCTTGTTTGCACAGGACTCACAGCCAGAACATGATTTGTAGACCGATGCATATGAGGCAGTAGATCGTGACCATCAGTCTCTCTCCGAAGCGACGGGTGGGTTCTGGTAGAAGCAGCCTTCCCAACAAAGCACCACCGCTGAAACCAGCAGGAACATATCCCATCGCGGCTATATTACCTTTGCGGACGTTCACGAGGTATTCGACGACCCATCCGCTTGCCGTTATGGTGGCTCCAAGATAGAAAAAATAGAAGAGGCTCAGATTCCAGAAACTCTTCTCCATGAAAGTTTTCTTGATGAGTCTAACCGCGCTTGGCTCATTTGGTGCGTGCTCTGTAGACTCAACTGGGTCCATGCTAGCTTCATTATGCCTAGGCGTTGAGGCTATGGTTTTAGACTTCAGACGCAGAGTGTCACTGAAAGCAATCAAGCAAAACGTGATGTTCAGGATACCAAGTCCCAGTGGGATTGTGTAGAAGAAGTACCAGGGAGAAGACAAGCTGTTAGATCCTCGAGATGATGCAATGGATGACGCAGCAAAAGGTCCGACTAAACAGCCGGCCATGTACATAGCATGGATGAATCCTAGCCACCGATGCGCTCCCTCGGCTGCAACGGCGGTATACGCGTTTGCGAGAGTGTCTTGGTATGCTTGACCGACGCAGGTGAGCCAAAAAGTAGTAACATAGAGACCGAACGGTGTTGGCCAAGCACGCAAAGCCTGAGCGACCACTTGCAAGACAGCTCCAAGGACAAGTATCGCGCCGAGATCGAAGTACTGGCTTAGGTGTGCGTTTGTCAATGCGGCAGTGAACCATCCGAAGAAGCTGGCTCCATACCTACAAGANACTTTAGTACGCTCCTTAGGCATTGCAAGCTGATGGTTTGTTGCTTACACACTAGAGAGGATTGCTGTGTTGATACCATAGTCTCGAATCACNCCTTTTGTGCCCTCAGTCAGCTGTGTTGTCAATCAATTCGTTCTAGTTCCCTACCATGGTATAAGAGCACCAAGACTGCCATCGTTTACGCCAGCAACGAAGAAAGAAAAGCCAGCGCTGATTAGCCGCAGGAGGGTTTGTTTATCGAGAGAGGACTTAGAAGAGACCTGCTGAACTCTGGATTCTGTTCTGCCTTCCGAGAGGATCTCTGCGAGTTCGATTGAGTCTTGGTCAAGATTTCGAGGCATGTCGTTTGGCAATTGGGCCTGGCCTAATACTGCATCACGCATTGTTGACGGCAATACGTAGGTTAGATGGAATGGGACGTGGATCGACTTCTCCACCACAGGTTACTCGAAGTAAATTTGACACACAGGCAGAAGGCATCGTCAAGATACATATACGAAACATGTTGAAGTCATACGACAAAGGAGGGGCAGTCTGGGCAGGAACCAGAGGAGGCAGTCGCGGAGCGTCGGGTCGCCGGGCCGTCCTGCCGTTCGACTCCATTTTGAGCAACAGCATTGAAAGTCAAGAGAGTATGTGGCATTTTTATTGACATTGTACCCGATACACCATATCCGACACATCAACAGTTGGACTGGATCCATTCGTGGACGACACCAGCAATCTGAGGGCTGTTCTTCTCGAGATAGCCAAAGTGACCGTTACCAACGATGCCCTTGTCAGCAAGCTTGATCCATTCGGTGGCAACACCAGCTTGTTCCAGGAAATCGATGACACAGTGCTCGTATGTGATGTGAGGACTAGCACTGCCTGTCAGAGCGACGTACTTGACCTTGGCAATCTCAGTAAGCTTGTGGATTGTGCCAGTCTGCATGTAACAGCTGCGCTTGGCAGGTGTATCGTCTCCAACGAGCTCGTAAGTAAGCTCGGAAGAGTCACTGATGGCAGGCTCATATGTGACATGGGTATTGGTCATGCCCCACGGACGAGCGGACGTACGGCCGACAGAGGAGGTGGTATTTCCAACATACGATTGAAAGGGGATGTTTCCAGGCTCCAGATTGATGTTTCCAGCGACCAAGGCAGGACAGTCGTTGGACAGAAGCAGAGGGTGCAAAGCTCCGATCGAGTGAGAGATCAAGAAAGAGGGACCGATGAGAGAAAGTAATTGGCAACCTGAGGATCTCATAGAGAGCTCCTGGATAGTCAAGTTGCTGGTTAAGGGAATAAACGTCGATTCGAACGCGTCGAAGACAGAATCACCCTTCACTCCTGAGCCAGGCCATTGAGTGTGCTGCTGAGATTGCGGGTAGGCGTTGGTGAGTTCAGGAGCAGTGAATCCCTTTTCGGTGATCTCAGCAGTGGAGCCAATGCGCATAACGTAATCGTCGAGGTCTTCCGCGCTACCTCTCCCGACGCTGGTCTGATCGATAATATAGACTTGATAACCATAGTCTAAGAAGTGGGATGCGAAGCCCTTGCGGTTATCTGGTGTATTAAGCCATGTCNNTTTTAGTCAGCCACACATGTTCTAAGAAGTGTATGTTCAGACACGACTCACCACTCCAGAGGTGCCACCTCCGTGAGATAGCACGACGGGTTTGCTCTGGTTTACACCGGCCGCAGGAGTCAATTTCTCCACATAGAGCTGATCATAAGTGAGATTGCCAGCAGCTCCAGCCACGTAACGTCCTCCGATATAGAAGAAATCACGATAATGCAATGCTTCTTGCGAAACACATTGGGGAGCAACAGCATTGATGCCCGTACAGTCAGCCGCGGCGAAAGCGACACTCGCGACAGAGGCAAGATTGAACAAGGCTGAGAAGATCATCGCTGCGGAGTATCACAGGATACGGTACTTGAAACAAGCCAAGAGGAAAGGGTCGTCGGGAGGGTTGCGGGAGTTGGTCGCTTTTGTATTTCTCACATAAATCGCTGTCCGGAGATCCGCCTATCCAAAGTAATTCAGACATGTCCCTCATCTCGCGAAGATCCACCTTGGAGACCAATGGGAGCTCGACCCTTTTGATCCGAGAACGAATCCAATAAAGATCATGAGGACAATGTGCTGCGGTATGGACCGCCTGATGTTGATTGATAGTTCTGATATGACAGCGCGACTTGTCGACTCATCTCACTTTCCACAGAGCGACTCTAGCTCTCCAGCGATTTATCAAATTGAGCGGTGTATGTAAGGGTCAAAGTTGGAAAAGCTCGAAGGCCTTTTTAACCGACGCGTGATGAACGCCAGGCTTGGCAAAAAGCAACAGCTTTGGGGCTTCCGTTCTTTCGCACCCTCGTCACTTCCTTGTGATGCCGTTCTCTGGTGACAATGTTCGGCTTCAACACTCAAAAACAGGTATCTATGTGGTCAATACTCTAAAGACATGTGATGTCGTGAAATTGCGTCAAGGTGAAGCCACCCCTGTCAACGAACGGACCATCGTTTGACAGTCTTCGCTTCCAACCTGCATCCCATGGGTCACTTGAAGGCTTAAGCGTATGCTCCAGACCACAATAACATCACGCTATACATGTGCGCCCAGAAGAGCTTGCGAGATGCTACACTCTCGAAACATCCTATGTTAGACGATGCTCTGCTATTGGCGAATTCGGCCGCATCGATAACCTCCATCTTGTACCGGTTACAAAACTAATGCCCTAGAGGCGATCCTAGCCCTCAATTAAGATCTGTCTACAAAGTTTTTGGCCCTAGAACCAAGGTAGGACATTTCCGCCGATGCTTCAACCATACGAGTCCGACAATTCGGCAAAAGTCAGGATCCGTTGACGATCTTCAAAGCGCAAGGCCCAGGTTCTCTCAACCTGGTGAGACATTCTGATTTCCAGATCCCTTCCATATTCTGTTTGCGTGTTGCTGCATAGTGGACCTAAGCAGAGATGTCAAGCTCGGCCTTTCTGGGGCAACCGCCAGCCAACCAAGACGACTTCTACATCATCAAGGGCATGTACAGAGCAGCCTACGCCTTCAACAAAGACCCAAGCAAAGGCTACCTATTCGTTCCGAGGAAACCCGAGAACTATGAGTACAACGACAAGCAAGCCAGCATTATTGTTGGCATGGCTTTGGCCATAGTCATCATGATGTCGACCACGGCTCTACGACTCACTCTCCGGCAATTTAAGACGGGTGTAAGGTGGGGAGCAGACGACTGGATTTTGATACCAGCAGCGGTATGGCCGCCGTCTTGCCACCTCAGCATATCCCCGAACGCTAACGCGGGCGCAGNNATCATGGCCATGTTGTACCCAATACTGCAGATAGCAATGGTCGTGCGTGGAGGCGGTGGTAAACACACATGGGACATTACCTATGCCGAATACTATACGTTCAACAAGGTACATGGATCTCCTCGTCAGCACTTGGCCCATCGCTGACTTTTTTGACGCAGCNTTGCTATTGTCTGCAAAATTATATTCTTTACAACGGTCGGCATCATCAAAATATCCATATGTCTATTCCTCCGCCGCATCTCGGAAGCCACATCGAAGTATCCTCGAATCGCCAACGACATCTTCCTCTTCCTGCTCATAAGTTATACTCTGCTCGCATTGTTCTGGTCCTGCTTTCAATGCTCGCCCGCCCTAGCGATGTGGGACAAGATATACTCTGGCAGACTCGTGCAGCCTGCCAAATGCTGGTCCACGTTGGTGGTCGCAAACACACTTAGCGTCATTCATGTTGTCATGGACTTTGTCCTGCTTCTCACGCCCATTGTTGTGCTCTGGAAAGTGCAGCTGAATAAGAAAACAAAGATCAGACTGTTCATTGTGTTCTCTATGGGTTCGCTGTCATGCGTGGCTAGCGTCTTGCGAGAGCTTGCACAGAAGACTATAAGCAAGGATATCACCTNNGTAAGTCTGTAACTTCAAGCACTAATACATATCTGCTAACGACTTTCAGATGGTTACACAAGCCTGTTGGCATGGACTGTAGTCGACTTGACACTTGCGGTAGTCGTAGCATCGCTGCCTGTCATCAGTGCACTCATCCCCAAAGCCTGGAGCGACATCACCCACTCGTCGCATATCCACAGAACAACACTTGGGCAAGCAACATCCAAGGGAACACAGGGACAATCCGTCATTGGAAGAGCTCGGCGCAACACTATTGACTCGGAAGAAGACGGTATTCTGCGCGAGGACCGGATCGAGCTATCCTATGCTCGCAATTCTAAGCGCTTCCAACCACGAGAGAATTCTCAGACCTCGTTATATGGAAGTTCTCACACGGAACAAGCACTTTGATTCTTGCCACGGAGACATGCTTTGTCTTTGGGTCAAGTCATGTTTTTGTCAGCACTATGTTCACAGTTCAGTCACCATCACCCGAGTGTGTGCGGATATCTTGATTATTTGGAAGTTTCTGGACGTTGCCAATTGAAGGATAGACACAGTGTCACGCAGTAGTGGTACCACTGTGTCAACCGTGTTATCAAAAGAAAGCTCTGACTGTCTATCACGTCCCATGCACCAACCGTCCGCCACTCTGTTGCAAGAGATCGTCCGAAGTCCACCAACGATACCGCCCACTCCTACAACACGTTGGCTTTTTGTCAGCAACGACGCACGCAGTAGACCAAACGAAGCAACTGCGTCCTTGACCATCTCACGACTCTTGATGTCTGTCTCCTCCACACATGATCTCGCGGGCAGAGGTAAAATGCTGCATAACATTACCTGGAGAAACAGGCTCGACACCGAGAAAGGAGAGAATAGTTCTCTCAATAGATAATGCCTGGTATTCTGTTGGCAGTAACCTGCGTAAAGCAAGCCAAGCAACAATTCGCTTGTTCGAAAGCTTTTGGCCTTTTTACTACAGTTGCGATAGCCACCTTTCCAGACCTCGGTGTTATCGCTTTGGGAAAGAGTTTCAAACCGGCGCTGCCATACCCATCTCCCACCAGCCACGCAAAGAACGAATAGGCAAGCATTAATTATTACGCCGTTCTGATAGCAACACTTTAGTGGTTGAGCGCACGAATAAATGACTTGTTTCTATGGTTCTCTTTTTGTGTTTTGCTTTTCCTATCACCCACAGTCCCAAGTTTCGACTCAGGGGCCGAGAGGTTTCTCGTTTTGCTTTGTTTCTATGGTGTCGGAGATGTTTATGGGAGGTATAAGATGCATACTAATTCCCCTTGTTTTCAATGGACCAAACCATAGTCGCCGCTTTTGATAGCTATATCACTCTTTGGTTGTGGAGGCCAAGCGCACGATGAGTGGTTGGTCTTATCTTCTTATTTTGGAGTCTTGTGTTCGACTTGGGGGTTGAGTGACTTGTTTTTTTTTTTGCACACTCTGGTATATTCAAAGTAAAGTATTGCTTGAAACTTTTGTAATTGTTATGGTACATAGCTCAAAAATGCAAGCCATGGTCTCATGCATACATGTCCTCATCATCGCCAGCCGCATCTCCAAATTGCGCGCTGTTTGGAGACTCGACTCGTGCTTTGCCTTTGCCTTTGCCAGACCCGTTTATAGACAGATGGTCTGTCCTAATGACAAAGTCCTCATCGACGACGCCGGGGACTTCTTGGTCGACTACTTTGCCTTTGCCTTTGATGCTGCCGTTGCCAGAGTCCGAATTTGCTCTCTGCATCTGCATGCGCAGCATTTGCGCAATCTGGCTGCGTGCGACTGTATTGGCAACTGTGCCATTTGTCTGTTGAGATGGGGTCTCTTCTTTCTCCTTGCCGCCTTCGAATTCACGACGCACGCGCTCGTAGTGGCCTAGTTCATCGGCGCTAACACTAGGAACAAGCTCACGTTCTGCTGCCATAAAGTCTTCCTCGGCCACGACGACGCTTGTGTCGGCTTCGGTGGCATAGTGGTCAAAGAAGTAAGCAACGGAGATTGGAGGTTGNGGNGGAGAATGTGTGGCTCGCTCGCCATTGATCTCAGCCACTCTGTCATCCACGATACGAGCAGATCGAGTAATGGCTTTGAGCATGGCATCAGAACAGAGAGCGTACAGATCGGCACCGGTGTACGTAAAAGGAAGCTTTTCAGCCACGCGACCGAGATCTAGTTCTGGATCGAGGGTGAATNNCTATTGCAATCATAGTCAGTAAAAATACTCGAGTCTTTACCCCACACAGTTCTATGCTTACTTTCTGGAAAGGGCCTCCAAGATCCTTTGCTGCTTCTCATGGGTATCGCTGATACCGAGGTACAACATCTTGTCGAAACGGCCAGGACGCAGCAGTGCTTGATCAAGTAAATCTGGTCTGTTAGTCGCGCCGATGACAAATACACCACCACCACCTTCGTCTCCATCGCTCATGCCATCGAGCTCGGCTAGCAATTGACTGACGATACGATCCATGACACCACCACTGTCACCTTGGTTACCACGTTTTGGTGCGACCGAGTCAAGTTCGTCGAAGAATACGCAACAAGGTCTTGCGTCTCTAGCCCTTTGAAAGACTCGTCTCACATTGGCTTCAGACTCGCCGATATACATGTTGAGTAGTTCTGGCCCTTTGACAGAGAAGAAGTTAAGGCTGAACTCTGTTGCAATGGCCTTTGCCAGCAACGTCTTTCCGGTTCCCGGGGGTCCATAGAACAGGATACCGCTCCGCTTCTTCAGGCCCTTTGCGAAGAGCTCTGGACGCGAAAGCGGCAGTTGAATGGTCTCAATGACAGCCTCCTTGACATTGGCCAGACCTCCGACATCTGACCATTGCACATTGGGAATCTTAGGTGCGCCAATTGAGTCTGCAAAGTTCTTTCTGGCATCATCGACAGCCTTCTCAAAGTCTGCAGAAATAAGCGATATAGCCGAGTCGCCACCAGCTATCTGAATGTCCCTGACAGAGATGGTTTTCTCGCGTGATATAGAAGATGCGACCGCTAGAGACTCGAGGCGGACTGCCTGGTTGAGCACGGCTCTTTCTGCGACATCGACAAGATCGCCAGCAACCAGAGCAGCGGTCTTGACTGCCACAGAACTCAAATCAACCGAAGGCGAAACAACAAGTCCCGAGTTCGCAATGATTGATCGCAGAATGCCCTCTCTTTCTGCTTCGTCGGGAGCTGTCATCTCGAGTTCATGCGTAAAGATGCCACGGATGGCATCAGGTATCTTGTCTACTTCTGTCGAGGTAGCAATCAACACACGACAACCAGCTAGGATGTCTTTCAGAGCTCCAGCCATACGATCTGAGCTGAGAGCCTCAAGGTGACGAATCAAGAGCGATGTGTGCTGCGCACCACAATGCAATCCTCGTTCAGCTCTAGCTTTGAGAAAGCCCTCAGTCTTGGTGTCTCCTCCTCCGGTAGCTCCTTCTGAGACCAATTCATACGCATCAATAGAGAAGACGTGGGCACCTAGATCATGGCAAGCACGAGAAACTGTGTACGCTTTGCCGATATTCCGCTGGGTCGATGTCAAAAGGATGGCAAGAGGTGGAAGCCCAAGGTGAACAGCACGAGGACTCATAGCAGCTGCCATAAGCTCACGCATGCGCCGCTGCAATACCGGCACATGTTCTTTGGGTGGCGTACGAAGATGGGAGCTTCCGCTCACAAGCGATTTGGGCATTTTTCTGATGCCGTGATAAAACTCCCACGAGTTTTGCGTTGTAGAGGGCAGCTTCCTCTGCAGTGCTCCCGATTGACTCATTCTAGTTTCCGTGGGATCAATGGTTACAACTCCTCCCCAGAGCCCAGCCTCTTCAGCATCCTGAGCATCGGTCAAAGGCGAACTCACATCACCAACTTGAAACCATGCAACTGCTAAGCCATACGATCGGACCTTTGTAGAGTTGTTGCCCGACGAAGACTCAAGGTGGGTCAGTATGTCATTCGTGTCGTCTGCAGCACCTCCTTCGAATACTGCTTTTCCTAACGCTTCATCGATTGGAATGGCGATAAGATCGCCAGACTTTACAATACGTTGCTTCTGCTTGAAGTAGTCTTGCAGTCGGGCAAACAAACTTGGCTGTGTCGATTTTTCTTCAGAAAGAGGTGTTGATAGCCTAGATAGAGTCACTTCCTTAGCTGTAGGTGGAAGAGACGAGCCTTGAAGTCTTGACTTTGTTTGTCCAGGACGCAAAAAGCTAGAGGCATCGGCAATTCGCAGACTCGATACCCGCACATGACTGGGACTCCCGAGATTGGCCAGTAGAACAGGTGACAGGTAGAGGGTAGCAGGAGCGACAGGAATAGGGTGTGATGAGGAGATGCTATCGCGCCGACCAGATCTGTTATGCAGTGGGTACTTTTGTGGCCTGGTTGAAAAGCCTTCGGGTAATCCAAATATTTTGAGTGGCCTCCATGTACCATCTTCGTCTATGTCCTGGTCACGGAAAAATGCCATTAAAGAGTTTGCACCAGCAGGGTCCTCTGCTACTTGCAATTGAATCCAGTCACCGGAAAAGCAACCGAGCTTTGCCAAAGCACTGGTGTCGACATAGACTCGAGCTTCCTCGTCCTGCTGGGAGCCTGGTTTTGGAAAGAGAAAGTCATCAGGGATACGTTCCAGAAGCCCTTGGGTCTTGAAAGTTTTCGTCCGTCCTCCCTGGGCCCCTCTCATAGTTGTGGAAGTCATAGACGAGAATACGGATCCGGGGGTATTGATACCTCGCGCATTGCCAAAAAGTTTAGGAGTCGCATTTGATCTAGCAGAGAGTATGCCTGAAGGCTGAGATGCGATGGACGGCGAGCTCAGAGAGATCATATCATCTGGGTCATCTGAAAGATCACCTAATTCGGAGAAAGCATCATCAGAGGTTAGGTCGGAGTCCAGCACAGTATCAACAGATGAATGTGCGCCATCTTCAGCGGCAGTATAGAATGCCTCGTTGGTGGTATCCTCGTCCGGTTGCGAGAAAGTCACAGAGCGACTTGGTTTCGTACGACGTTCGTTCTGTGAAACGACGACTATCTGGGTTGTCGAGGTTACCAGTCCTTGGGAGACAGGTTCACAGGCCGTGACCAGAGCAGGAGAGGCAGAGGCTTGTGTCTGAGGCCGTGCCAATATGAGAGGTAACATATCACCAGCTCTTACGACGCGTGCAGCATCCAAGGCCTCCCGTACAACGCGAGTGACTTGGTCAGAGTCGACTGAGGCTGGGGATTTCAATTGCTTCTCTTTCCCACCCTTCAAAACTCGCAGTGAGGTGTTCCCGTTGTCTTTCTGGATCCCGTTGGTGTTTCCCAAAGTTGCCAAGTCGAGCGAAACGTAGACTACGTCGAGGGGTAGTGCGACGACGTGGGTGAGACAGATTTCGAGGGTCGAGGCGGGACGCAAGGAGCGATTGGGCGATTGAGTATGTAACACTCGCTGGAGGGCCTGAGCTACGTGCGAAAAGATTGAAATCCTTATCGAAGAGTGCGGTAGATCGGGGTGACCGCGAGGCAGTCGTCTGCATGGTAGGATGATCCACTGGGTAGCTGCATCGGCGGCGAGGGTAGACGGAGCCCAGGGAGTGATGGCGACATGGTAGACTTCGGCAGAGTCTGGGGACGAGGAAGGGAACAGGTCGTCGACCAGGTCATGGGAAAGCAGGGCAATCTCTCCTTTGAGCTTGCTGTCGAGATGGGCATGACCAGAGATGGGCGCTTTGTCTGCTCTTCTAGCGGCGCCTCTCTTGCGCTTCAAGGAGCCCGAGGTTGCTTCCTTGAGAGCCATAGCCATGCGACAATGCGACAAGCAGCTGGACGAGCTAGAAGCGAACTACGTGTGTTGATGTGTCTTGTACATTGGCGACTGGCCAGGTGCACACGTTCGTGGGGTTGGCTAAGCTCCGACCCGACCTCGGTTGTTCGGCCTGGCAAGATAGGCACATGGCTTATCGCCGTTCCGCCCTCTTCTCTACAGGATTTGGACGGTAGAGACAGGCCGAGGCGATGCCATCGACTGCTTGCACCTACCTGTCGTCTTGACAAGAGGCCCGAGGTCGTGTACCTGAAGATCAAACGATGAGTAGCGAACCTCGACGTCCGCTCAACCTAACCACACATGCCAGTTGAAAACAGCCGGCACCGCCTTCCCAAAGAGGACATGTAATTAGAATCGTCTGTGGAGACGGCAGACGCGGACATGACCATCAGCATGGTCGTTGAGATTTGAAGCATCCACTGCATGCATGGTTGCGATCACCACGCTCTGTTGTTGTACTCTGATGGAGAATGCCTGCCACTGTGTCCAGAGTCTATGACAAGGTGCAGGGTCATTGTGTCTCTGTGAGACAAGCGCAGTACTGTTGATCGGCGCCAATGTGAGTGGCTGTCAAAAGCACATGCGTCATTCATCGAAAAAGTGCATGCGGCTGAGCCATGTTTTGATTCCAACCCGCCATGTACAAGCACTGTTGCTGCTCTGCACGCGCGAACCATGGCCTTCTGCTTTTTCCCGCCCACCTAGACTCTCCAGTCTCTCCTCTCCTTTAATCGCTGTCTTCTGACTCGTATATACCCCACTCGACCTCCCATCCTTCAACCGATGTTGATCTCTCCTATACCACTGTCTGGCTGCACTCCCTCTCCCTGACCGACATGCCACATGTCTCGTCGCACTCACACGACTCGAAGCAAGAGGCTGATGTCGAATCCAAGGCAAACATAGCCATCGAATTCGCCCACCAAGCCGAGCGGCTCGCCCAGTACACGCCTGAGCAGGAACGGAAGCGTCATTCCGACTCTACCCAGGCTGTCGAGGCCAAATTCGTGACAGCTCAGGATCCTGTCATTGTCACCGCTAACGGCAGTCGTCTGCCCGCTGTACCCATAGATGAAGCATTGAAACTCAATCGCTTGAAAGACCAACTTGAAGATCGCCAGTCAGATGGCCGCATCCCCGTCAAATACACATCTCGCAAGGCCAGAGATGGCACGACGCATGGTATCCTTGAGAAGGATGGTGTGTGTCAGAGCAGCGAACCGAGTGCTCCTCTAAGAGAAGCTGTCGCACCTTCACGGACAAACCCCATGTTTCCACCGCTTCCTACCTATGGTCCGCCGAGTCTTCTAAGGACGCTGCACTGCTGCTTCTTTAGGACAACGAGCTCTGTCTTGTCTTTCCTATTCCTTCTGGTTATCGTTCTAGGAGCCGCATTCACCAGCATCCCCCTCGCTTACGAACACATTCGATTACGACTTCAGTTCAAGAACCCCGACAAAAGGAGGCCGTTTTTTGAGGAGGAACAACGACGCAAACAGGCTCGCGCAGAAGAAAATCGCAGCTGGGCAAAAGCCAGGCCTCCTACAACTCCTGCTGAAGTAGAAACTTCTCCTCCACAAGATGGTGAATTTGTACCTACGGAGGGCGGTCCAGATCCTCTGGTCTGCGATCCTGGATACTATGCTCGCCGTGTAGGCTTGGACGTCGAGATCTTCGATGTGGAAACTGAAGACGGCTTCATTATTGAGTTGTGGCATGTGTACAATCCACGCGAGTATCGTCCAGTATCGGAGGCTGCCCTTGGGCCTCGTGGACCAGACGTCTTTGGAACTACCACATCGGATCCGGCCTTTGGCGAGGCTGAACGTGCGTTCCCCGCAGGAAACAAAAAGTATCCCGTATTGATGATTCATGGTCTTTTGCAATCGGCTGGTGCATACTGTTGCACTGACGACGACAGTCTCGCGTTTTACCTCGCTAAGAGCGGTTACGATGTCTGGCTCGGCAACAACAGATGTGGCTTCAAGCCTCGACACACTCTGCTCGAATACGCTGATCCGCGCATGTGGTCTTGGAACATTCGTCAGATGGGTGTTTTGGATCTCCCGGCTCTCATCTCGCGCGTCCTATCAGAGACTGGGTTTGAAAAGCTGGGTTTGGTCTGCCACAGTCAAGGCACCACGCAGACTCTAGTTGCCCTTGCCAAAGAACAACGCCCGGATATTGGCGAGAAGATTTCGGTCTTCTGTGCGTTAGCACCGGCAGCTTATGCTGGGCCATTGATCGGCAAGGCATACTTCAAATTCATGCGTATGATCAATCCCGACTTCTTCCGCTGTATATTTGGTATCCATGCTTTCATTCCGTTTATGATGCGGATGCACAAGCTTCTTCCAGCCAAATTGTACGGCGCAATGGGTTACCGCGTGTTCAGCTTCCTCTTCAATTGGACCGACACTAGGTGGGAGATCAATCTGCGCGATCGGTTGTTCCAATTTGCGCCCGTTTATGTCAGCGCTGAGAGTATGCGCTGGTGGCTCGGAAGAGAGTGCTTTGCAAAGCAAAAATGCATCCTTGCCACAAGAGAAGAAGGCCGCATGGAAGACGAAGAAGACGAAGAAGAGGATGAAGTCATTCGTCGTTACTACGATGGCGAACACACCGACACGGAAAAGTCTCCTGATCGGGCTGGCGAAGAACGACATGGCAGAGATCAACTTGGTCTACATCATCAAGACCGTGATAAGAGTGAAGAGCGAGGCCAGTATGCCTGGTTCAACGAACAATTTCCCCCACTGGCCATGTGGGTAGCCGGCAATGATGATCTGGTCGATGGACGACGCCTCCTTAGACGCTTTGATCGTGGCCGCGAACCCCATGTCAATGTCGTGCACAAAAAGATCATTGAAGGATACGAGCATCTCGATGTCATTTGGGCCATGGATGTCATCGAAAAGGTTGGCAAAGAAGTCAAGGATGTCATCTGGTCCACTGCGTCGGAGGAAGCTCGCATGCAGTGTCGAACACCGGTTGGCTGCGAAGACAAGCCTGATCTCCAGGAGAAGACGAATGGTGATCTGGCCGATAGCTTCCACGATGAGAGGAGCCCACGCGGAATGGATGTGGATGTCAGCAAAGCAAATGCCGAACCAAAGAACCATGGCCCCGTCAGTCCTACTCAAGTCGATACCACAGCAGGAGAGTGGAGCAATGACTTGAGACATGATCGCGAGGAGGCCAAGCACAATGCACATGAACAAGATTAAGATTGTTCACCCTTTCTTCTTCTTTTTTTACATTTTTGCACTTTTCTACTCTGAAGATGGATTATACGAGTATATGCATTGGAGGATGTTTCGAGTTGTTTTGCATTAATCATGTCTTCTTGCGTTTTGTTTGCTTTAGAGATATCCTTATCGTTTCACTATACCAACCACTAGCTAAAATGATCATATAATGCTTCTGTCCTTGAAGAAACCCTCGTCTTTGGTCGTTCTTCTGTACAAAGCTCGGATTGTGAGATGCCCTAGCCTGGCGAGTGTCCTGCACCAAGTCTCCGCAGTCTGGGTGTAGGTCCCGTTGTGCAGAGCTCAACTGCCTCAGGCATTCTTCTGTGTGGTAACTGGCTCGTGGTCTCATGCATTCAAGCCTGTCGTGACGACCAATGCGTAGTGGGGCGGGACACCCTTCACAAAGGTACGTACGCGGTGGTGTGCGGTGCTTTGATGACCATGGTACTTTTTGCACCATCACTCGAGTCGTTAAAGTAAGAACCCGATACTCACGACTTTCACTTCGTCGGCGAACTATACTTGTCCTTCCAGATCCAACTGTTTCCCACACTCTTACGACCAGCGCCTTCGGCCAATCGCAGATACTGCGCTGCTTTAAACNNTGTGGAAAACTTATAAGCACACCATGCACATCATCGAAAAACACAGCAAAAGAATAAATTTACCTTGTCTTTAGGCCCGCCAAAGCCTTCCATGTAGCACCAAGCTGCTTCTTCCAGAGCGTCAGGGTCGCCCAGGTTGGCAGCAACCTCGTAGTAATTTCTTGCGGCCACCTTGTCTACTTTGATACCCCAACCGTAGCGGAAACAATTGGCGAGCTCGAAAATGGCAAGGACTAGCTCGCCTTTTGCTTCGCCGCCTGTTTTTGAGCCTGAGGACAGGGCTGCTGACTCGATGGCTGCGCTGTTGGACGCGGCTAGACTCAAGTAGTGTATCGCAGCATCTGCAGATGGAGTGATGCCCCACCCATGCCGTAGAGCAAGTCCATAGAGTACCTGACAGAGTGGATTGTTCGCGCCATGTGGATCCGCCAATGTGCCGAATATCTGTGTTGAACGCTCTAGATCACCTGCCTCATGCAAACGAATGGCTTCTTGGATATCGGCTTCGCCTTCCTCGAGCGAGGTACTCCGTCGATGGCCTTTCTTCTCGCTTGACTCTGATCTCTCTCCTTCGAGGATGGGGTTCTTTAGAGCCATCATGGTAGCTCTCTTTTCCCATTGTGCTTCTCGCTGCATCTTGTTTTCTTTGGATTCTGTCTCTTTGACTCTGCCCTTGGCGTCGGGTGGATCCAGAGGCGCTGGTGTGTTTTGAGGCGCATCTCCTAGATCGGTAGGCAGATGCGAGCTACTGTCGCTCTTGGAAAGGCCTCTTGACCTGCCAAAGTGCAGTCTCTCTGAGAGTTTGCGCTCATTCTTGGGTCGCACAAGAGTCGCAGTCGGAGTCTCCTTTTCCTCAGAGTGGGACGGGAGAGAATTATTGCTGCCGGCGACAGTAGAGACAAAGTTCGCACTGCTTTTGCGAAAGATACTGCGGCGTTTCTTCTCGGGCACTTGTCCAGAGGCCAGTGGGACTTCGTCGCCAGGATATGAAGGTGGGACAATGACTTCCTGCTCGTGGGTCGTGGTACGCATAAACGTGAACTCTGGGATCGGATTGGGCAGGCTTGGCAGCGAGTTGGAACTGGTGCTGCGTGTACTCGTGGCATCGCCTTGGATGTTGGAGCGCTTCTTGAGCACGTCTCGCAGCGGCATTGTGGGGATGGGGGTGGTAGTTGGTATTTATGTGGTGTGTGTTCGACACTTGTGTCAGCGTATCCTCAGGAAGTGTCGATACAATCGGCGGATGGGGGTTTCGTCGTCGTCTGTACGGAAGCCATGGACAAGTCAGACGGGCAATGCTGGACATGGTGGTGACTTGGTCGGAGGCAGCGCTTGCGGCTGTGCTGATCCGGCCAAGCCCTCCTTCATGTACGCTGTCGTTTCATGAATCCTCTGACCCAATGGCCGCTCGTCATGGCCAATTGAATGCCCAAAAATACACTGCCCTTTCCTCTCACACCAACATGCAGACACATGAATCCCTGCTACTGGCTCTGTTGCAAACATAGCTCTGGGAGCTCGACATTCCTCACTGCTGTACCGCGACCCGTGGAGATGCACCAAATTCAATTTCTTTCAACTAACATTTGCTTTTCTTTCTTGCTATTATTATTTTGCTCTACTCGAGTATCGTTTCTTTCTGTCTTTCTCTCGTCGTTCTCTGGATCTTTCTTGCAACTCCAAGGGTATCTTCGAAGAATGCCAACCGGCTCAATGCTCAACCACACTTCGTATGCAATCCACCAAAATCAAAGGCAGTGTGCCGCTTGATCTGACGTGCCCATTGAGTGGCGAACGTGTTCAAGAGAACCCAACATAATCTTGCTGCTGAGAAAGCTCATGATCGCGCTCATCGGTGCCACCCATGACTTCATTGTCACTGAAGTTGTCAGAATCTACGTCGTCGTAGTCGATCTCGTCGTAGCTTTCCTCATCACTCGACAGATCTGACGTCTCTGCCTCGTCCATCTTAGCTTCTGCCGATTTGGCCTTACGCATGTTGCCCGCAGTGTCGACGTGGGGAAGTCGGCACCGCTTGTTACGGCATATACCTGTGTTAGCATAATCCGGACACTCAAACACATGGCGCTCAGTGCAATCGGCACCCTTCTCGCAGTAGCCAATGGTTCCAAAGGCCCGACAAGCGGGTGCAGCAGGGTTAACAGCGACATGGGCATAGCGACAATCTGGGTTCGTGCAATTCCCGCGAAGGAAATGGGTGCAAGCGGGGACACGATGAGGGGTAGATTCATGGGAAAGGTTGCAAGCATCACCAGCGGCGCAACGGCCAGATCGAAGGAAGTCCTTGCAAACGGCGATCTTGTTCGGGTCGTGTGTGTAGCGGCAGCGGTTACCGTGGGCGCACATACCTNNATAGGATAGAGTCAGTAAGGATACAAAAGGCCTACCAACGGAAATGCTGAGATAATCGCTCTCGTTCAGATCCGTCGCGCAAGGACCGGCTTGANNATGGCGGTTGGAGTATTCGGTACCCGTAGCTGTAAATCTTGGACATAATTCCGAGCTCTTTTTGATATTGTTTTCCNNTGTTGTCACCCAATCAATCAACAATTGTTCTTCCCAAAGCTCTTGACTCTTTGTCCAGTACCTCATCGATTTCTTCACAAGACCAGCACGATAGAGGTTGCCGTGCTTGCTCCTATGGAATGTGACGCCGGCCACTTTCGTCATCTTGGGTGTAGCTCCAGGATCCGTGTTCGAGTCGTCTATGCAGATGAGATGCTGTGCGAGAGGTTCGGCATGGGTGTACTCACCAAACATGCGGATGAGTTTGCTTCCGTCAGCGGCTACGCGGAACCGAAGGTTGTTGATTTGAATATCGCGCACAGGGACAGTTCCTGCAGATGGCGCAGCGCCGTAAGTAGTTGAGACAGTCTGCTGAGGCTGGAAGGCCTCAATGACCCTAGCCTTCTCTTTCGCATCGCGAAGGCGCTGTTTCTCTTGCAGTGTGGCCTCAATTTCTAGCTGGCGTTGTTGTGTCTTTTGGTCGTAGACGGAAGTGTTGATCAGCTGCATATGACGGTCGCGCTTGGAGACAAATTTGTCACCAGAAGTAAAAGCAGGTGTTGCGGGAGAGGCTTGTTGACTGGCAGGCGTTCCAACGGAGCTGTTAACGACGAGAGAACGGTTGCGGTACGAAGGGGCATATGCGGGTTTGTGCGAGAAGCCGCGAGGGTGGTGATATGGCGCATAGCGATCAGGCGCGTACTGGCCAGCCCATCCAGCTCCACGACCTCTCGGGTAGTAGCCTGAGCCACGCCCTGCTAATGGAGCATAATTCGGCGTGGAAGGTGCGCTTTCCGATTGTCGTTGTTGGTTAATACGCCCTGCGGCGAGGTCAGAGCCATCTTGTGGTGCGATACGTCTGTTCATACCTGAGAGCGCCGCAATCTTGGCGCGGAGCTCTGCCTCTTCACTCATTTTGGTTCACTAAAGGTTAGAAACACGGTAACTTTTGAATGCTTTACGATTGGGGTCGCGATGTGATTAAGAATCCGAAGTTGGTTGTGAAGTCGGTGAAGAAAGCAGGAATGTGGAACAGAAGGCACGACCAAGGATGACGCCGACGCCAAACTTCCGCTTCTGGAAGGATCCACTTCGCTGTGACACGATCACGTGCCTAAAGCATCTTGCTGTCGCGAAACCTTTCCCTCCTCAATCTTGAGTGATAAAGCTATAGAAGTGTTAATCGCATACCTGCTTGTGACGGCGCAGTCATCTCGTCGAGGACAGGCTCATCTTCGTACAGAGCGAGCTGCTCTCATACTGCTCTGCAGCGACTTATGCTTTTGTACGACGGCTAAAATCTCGATTACCTCATCGTGTCGAGGGGTAGGTAGTGTATTTTCTTCGAATGCTCGAGCAACTTGCAATTGAAACCTACCACTGCAAATATTGAGAGACGACACCTGCATACACAACAACCCTGCAACTGAATCATCACCACTCATGAAACAGGCTCACTGGCTTGATCAATACGCCACAAACTATCACGAATGGCTCGAGTCACATAATGATGGCAGACATTGCTTCTACCGACCATTGGGAACAGTAGAGACGGCTTTCGACTCTGATGGCATCTACTATGAAGGCCGTGCCGATATGAATGCCTTGCTTGAACTTGCGGTCAAACATCATCTGTCACAAATGCAGCTTCGCCAAAGAATCACTCTGGCATGGACAGTCCTTCGCTTGTCTCATGTCCTCCTGCTAGCAAGAGCTGTGGATCGGAAACCGTTCATGGCTGCTGGTAACGCGGCTCAGAGACGCTTCTTCCTGGTCTACTCTCCCAAAGGCCCTCAAGACGCAATCGCAGATGCCACCAGATCGTTGTCTTTTGTTGAACAGCCTCTGGACGAAAGTGGACTTGCAAAGTTCTATCGCCATGCACAGAACACAGGTCGTGTGGTAAATGCTGACGACTTTCTTGCCAAGCTGTTCATCTTCCCAGCAGGTGATATCGCAGGATCGAAGACCAGCTTGAAGTTTTTGTTCGTGAAAGGCCATCAGATTACTGATGGATTGACTAATTTCACTTGGTTGAGCCATTTCGTCAAACTCCTAAATACACCTTTAGCAATTCTCGAAGACGCCGTCAGCGACCTCTCATCTCAGGCATCAATTGGAAATCGACTTCCACTGCCCCAAGAGGATCTATACCCTCGTATATTGGGTTCGATAGCGAAGAGGCGCTGGTTCTGGCTCTTGACGCTTGTACTCCGACATGTGAAGAAGCCGATGCCGGCAGCATTTCCCAACCCGCTACGCCGTAACAGTCCTCTCAAGGAAGCCATTGCGATGTCCCCGACCTATAATTCGTACCTGGACTACAAGATCAAACCCNCGTTGAACACGTTCACGTGCATGGCCAAAGTTTCGCAGTCTGCGACCAAAAGGCTTCATCGATGGTGTCGTGAAGCGGGCACGAGCATTGGTGCAGGTGCTTTTGTGCTTGTCGCCATGGTTATGATGTCTCTACACGAGGATCTTCACCCGGAAGAAATCAATCGTCGCCCATTCATTGGTAGCTTTCCAATCAACCCACGGCCATTCTTCAAACACCATGAAGCACCCAACTCCATGATGCTAGCATTTTCAGATGGTGTGGTACTTCCATTCTTACCATCATCACTCGATCTTGAGACTCGCTTCAAAGTTTTGGTTAGACAGGCGCATCGCCAGCTTGCATTGTACCAAAAGAGGGCAAAATCAGGAGAGCACGACTCACTTGCCTCTATGGGGAGCAGAGGCGCTGGAAGAGTCATTGCCATGAACTATGTCGGCGCAATGGAAAGACTTCGGTCAAAACTTCCAGAAGAACTTCGAGACAGCCTGGGAAACCACAGCCCTCAAGGTGACCTAACTGCAGCACAGAATGGAAGCATGGCTACATGTGGTGTAAGCTCGGTTGGTCGATCTGGATGGCGCCAAGGAGAGTTCGATGTCGATGGAGAGCTTGAAGAGGGTGAAGATGCTTTTGTGGCAGACTATCGTTCTAGTAAACAGAACGTTCGCGCACGCGACGGCGAATTTCTCGTCGGCGTCTGGGGCGACGACGACGGTATTGCTGCAAACGTCTCTTACGATGGTAACGCTATTGACGAAGACATGGTTCGGGAATGGCAACATAGAATGGAGAATCTGCTGGTGGAAAGGAACGTAACAGCCAAGTTGTGAGGCTAATTACCAGAAAATGAACAATGCAGCATGCTCCTTTCCAGACTGTCAACTAGCGGCCGGGAGTTTCGGATCACTTACAACCGTGAGAACAAGATCAGTGGTCACGATTGTGGTGTCTTTGACGCTGGGGCGGAGTCTCGCCCATCCCCACAGTTCCCCACAACGAGACTGGGAGGGGGAGCAACCTTAATGTTGACCGGAACGGCATCTTTCCACTCCGATCTCCATCTCGTTCCCAGGCAAGCTAGGGCACGGTGAAGTTGAACAACAGAAGTACATGTATAAAAGCACGAGGTTAGTACCGAAGAGACAACGCGATGGACGTTGTTTCCAAACTTCTCGAGCATGTCATTCATCACTTCTCTGCCTATTACCGTCCAAGCCGGTCTCATTTTTCTAGGTGTGATTGGATCTTTACTTCTCGTCAGGAGGCTACAAAAGCACAAACATGAAAGGGATCTACTACCGCTACCGCCACAGCCAACTGGCTCGCTTCTGGTCGGCAATATGGCCGAGGTGATTGCTGCATCCAAAGTCGGCCAGCAACATTTGCTCTTCCAGGGTTGGGCACGGGAACATGGAGAGATATTTCGTGTTCGCGTTGGTCCCTTTACGGAATATTTTATCAACTCTGACGCTGCGGTCAAGGAGATTTTCGACAAGTCGTCTGCTCAAACAGCCGAGCGACCTCGCTGGATTGTGTCCAATGAGCAGATATGCAACAGACTCAACGTGCTGCTACTCAACGCTAGCGATCCTCGCTGGAAGCATCAACGCAAGGTGATCCATTCCGGCTTGACCAGTATACCAAGAGCAGATGCTGGGTTACCCTTTCTCCATTACGAGACTGCAAAGTTCATGCAAGAGCTTGCCAATAATCCGACCATCGGCCGCGAAAGCAAAGAGCTTTTCAATGCAATCGGACGCTACACTTATAGCACTTTTGCTTCACAGACTTTCGGCTTGGATATTCCCAATACGAATGATCCCACAATCGACTATATATTCGAGACTGGTCTGGCGCAGATTCAAGGTACATTACCTGGCAACCACATTGTTGATATCTTGCCTTGGCTGGATAACCTTCCCTTGTTCCTCAAACCATGGGAGCGCGATGCTCGGAAGAGATTCAAGCGAGACATGGACTGGTGCATTGAACGTCTCATGCGAATCAAANAAGGAAGATCTCGCAACGTGATGCAAGATGCCTTCCTGCCGCGTGTCTTGGAGGATGATAAGAATCTAGGCTTTGCGAGCGTGGAAGAAGCAGCTTACCTATCCCTCCAACTCATCATTGGCGCCGCAGACACCAGCAAAATGTCCACATGGTCTTTCCTGGAAGCCATGATGACCTACCCCGAAGTTCAGGAAAAAGGACATCAAGAAATTGTCAAGATTGTTGGAAACCGTTTACCGGTGTTCGAAGATCTTGAGCAGATACCCTACGTGCGTTGCTTGATGAAGGAAACATGGAGATGGCGCCCTCCCGTGAGTCTCGGTCACCCTCACACCACGACTCGCGATCTCGAGTATAAGGGTATGCGTATTCCCAAGGGCTCACGACTACATCTCAATGCGTGGGCGATACAGCACGATCCCGATCGTCACGAAGACCCCGATCGTTTCTGGCCCGAGAGATACTCTGATGACCACACAAACACCATGCAAAGCATCAATACCAGCGATGTGCGCAATAGAGACCACTTCGCTTTTGGTTCAGGTCGTCGAGTGTGTCCTGGCTATCATGTGGCAGAGCGCTCTCTTGCTGTGGCAATTATGCGTTTGCTGTGGGGTTTCAAGATCGCACCCGGTCCCGATGCAAAATTGCCTCTGGACCCGCGCGACTTTGCTGGAGAGATGCCCGGTAATCCGGGAGAACAAATGCCGGTCACTGTTACAGTCCGCGATGAGAAGACTCGCAGTATCATCAACCAGGCATTTAAAGAAGCAGCTGCTACTCGTGTCCAGCTAGTAAGAATCCTCTTGGCCTCAACAATATGTAATTTACTAACTATTTGTAACAGGAACCGCTTGCTTGAGATCCAACTCGGTGACCGTCAATTGACAAGGGCATAGTATAGCGTCTGATCCTGGTGGATCCATGTATCAGCAAACCCGGTGGTAGATTTGAATGTTTCGAATACTTCTGATGAGACAACATTCCTTCAGATCTATTATATTTTGGATTCAAGATAATGTACTGTCATACTGCAAAAGTGAAACGCGAGAACAGTAGTAAGTTGAGATAGGCGCCATTGCGCTCATATGCTTCATTCTTGAGGACCTTGACCTCTCGGCTGCAAAGAACGTTCCCCATCAATATACCTGATTAGAAGTATGTAGGCGGGAAGGTTCATTCCTGTGTACAGCCAATTGTCTGATCGAGTAACTAACCTGACCCCTGTACCTTGAACCAATGGGGCTTTTCTTCTTTTTGATAGATTGCCAGCATATACCTAAGAGGGAGCTCTAACCGACGAGGCGAACATCAAATCAGCGCATGGTATTGTTCAGATCTCCCACGGACCATCTTCATGCATCAATGAGCTGCGCCATTGGCAGTACCGCTGGACTGAACCTTGCCATTGGAAGTCTTTGAAGCCTTGAACTTGGCAACCTCCTTAGCAACCGATTGGTCAAGTCTAGCCTTGAGCTCGGGACGGTATCCAAGGAAGAAGAGGACCTCGAGCCAGACAAAGAAAGGAGCCAAGAACAGAGCCTGGACGAGATTGTCAAGTAGAGCAGGAGCACGGCCTTCGAAGATGCCGTGTCCGACGAACTGAGCAAGCCAAGCGAAGACGTGCAAGCCGAGAGCATAGTAGTTGGCCGTCATACCATAGGTTGAGGTGAGGTGATTGGCGTAAGCAGTGGCAGAGAGCAAGAGAGGAGCCAACATTCCTCCAGCAACGGGTTCCATCAGGATGTAGAGAGTAGCGTAGAGCGAAGCCACAATGGTGCCTAGGTTGGCTGGCAAGTTGGGGATGGTGATGGCATCCGGAAGCGGAATCGCAGGAGTGTTGGTGCANCTGAGATCGTTAGCAAAAAGTCTCGAGTTTTGTCAGGTCAGACAACTAACGAAGAGGAAGGCGGTCAAAAGAATCAGAGGAACGCAGGTGATGTGGATAGCAACATTGATCTTGGTTTGGAGTTAATAATTGATAATTTTTCCAGTGAACGGTTGAGATCGTACGGGGTTGTGATGGTAAGAACCATACTGGCAAGGATCGTTAGCAAGAATACTCGATGGAGAGCCAAGCGCAGAACATACGAAGAGAAGCTGCTTTTCGAGGTTGAGAGACATGATGTCGTTACGATGCGTTGAGACGTATGATATTTGAGTAAGGTTGTTGGTTGACGAAGGAAGTTGGAGAGGTCTCGGCGATGTCACAAGATCGTCACACGCCGTGAGTGTGCTGATTCAGTCAATTGTCCGGTCTAAACAGACGCAGTGAAGCAAAGGTGACTGAGTGACAACAGAAGATGCGAGAAGCGGGTTCACACGGAAGCAATTCCAGTTTTAATAAATTGTCGCCAGCCGGACAAGCAGCATGGCAGACACTGCTTGGTCAAAATATTTGCAGGACTGCCAGAACAGATAGTATTCATACGATGATGGTATGGACGACAGTTGAAATAGCAAGTCGGCTTCAGAACAGGATACTCATGCCTCCAGTAATGCTGGTGATGGTTGGCATGTGCTATACCGAGGTAAAAGCAAGCCAAGACAGCATGCCACAATCGCGCCAACATGATCCATGCACCCTCACATGGCCATGATTCCCATTGTTGATTCAACAAGACATTTGTCCGTCTTGTGTTATTCCTCTTTCTTCCTGAGTATGGCCTCCGCAAGCGTGGGACATTGCAAGTGAACAGAGGGCCGCAAAGGGTGCTGAATGGGAAGGATGCCAAGGCTGACGCGACAATGGACCATGGTGGCTGCCGTTACGCGCCATGGCGATAGGAGTCTCGAGGCAACAAGGTGCTCCTCTTGTGCTTGATCTCGTCCTATAGACCGATTCTTTTATATTTCAGAACCAGCAGCCTACGCATCTAAGGGGTATTTTATGTAAGAAAAGGCAGGCGACCATGGCCTTCCGAGACGACGAAGAAGCGCTACCTTTGACTAGGCACGATGCCAACCAGACTGACGACCATGACCAACCACGGCCATCCGCATCATCCATATCCACCACTTCACTTGTATTAGAACATCTGTCAGGCCATCCGAATTCTATCGAGGCCAAAGAAGCCCTGTACTCGCAGCCGCATTCCGAACAGTTCGACTTTGATGATAGAGCAGCCTGGAAGCACAAGAGCCATGGCATCGACTCCAAGGCCCGTCGTATCCTGTACATTGTCGCTTCGATTGCCGCTGTAGGCTGGCTTGCAGCGCTAGCCCTCTTCCTCAGCTCTGGCTCACACAAGTCGCTCGCGAGTCGCCCTCACGATCCTCATGCCACCAAGACGGCTGGCCACGGCCGGAAGATAACCCTGGAACAAGTCTTGCAAGGTCAATTTTACCCTAAGAGCCATGGAATATCGTGGATTGAAGGTGCTCAAGGAGAAGACGGCCTATTGCTACGGTGGGGAGAAGGGGGCAGAGACTACCTGGTTGTCGAGGAAGTCAGACACATGCAGGACGCCCAACCCTCCCAACAACACAGTAAGACTTTGATGAAGAATGGCGGCTTCTACTACAACGACGAGGCTATCAGTCCGAGTAATGTCTGGCCCAGCGCCGACCACAAACACGTTCTTATTCAGTCCCACATCCAGAAGAATTGGAGACATTCAAACACTGGCAGATACTGGATCTTCCATGTCGATAGCCAGACCGCCGAGCCTCTTGACCCTGCCGAACCCAACAAGAGGATTCAATTCGCTTCATGGTCTCCCAATAGCGATGCTGTTGTCTTCACCAGGGATAACAACATGTACCTCCGAACCCTTGCAGAAAATAAAGTAAAGTCTATCACGACTGATGGTGGTGCTCAACTCTTCTACGGTGTCCCGGATTGGGTTTACGAAGAGGAAGTCTTCTCCAGTAACAAGGCTACCTGGTGGTCCGGCGATGGCAAATATCTTGCTTTCCTCCGCACCGACGAGGCCGCCGTACCCGAATATCCTGTTCAGTACTTCTTCTCGAGACCCAGCGGCAAACAACCGAAGCCAGGAGAGGAGAACTACCCGGAGGTGCGCAAGATCAAGTATCCCAAGGCAGGCGCTCCAATGTCCGTTGTCACCGTGCAGCTGTACGACATTGCCAAAAGCCAGGTCTTTACTGTTCCCATCCAAGGCGACTTCAAGGACAAAGATCGTCTGATTACCGAAGTCACTTGGGCTGGTCGTAGTGGTAAGGTCATCATTCGCGAGACCAATCGTGAGAGTGATGTGCTGAAGGTTGTTTTGATCGATGCCGAACGAAGAGAAGGCAAAACCATTAGAGAGGTGGATGTGAATGCCCTCGATGGAGGTTGGTTCGAAGTTTCTCAAACAACGACGTACGTCCCTTCCGACCCTGCCAATGGTCGAGAACATGAGGGCTATATCGATACTGTCATCCACGATGGCTACGACCACCTTGCCTACTTCACACCACTGGACAACCCAGAGCCAATCATGCTCACCAAGGGCAAATGGGAAGTTGTCGACGCTCCGTCCGCACTGGATCTCAAGTACAACCTCGTGTACTTTGTAGCCACCAAGAAGTCGTCTATCGAGCGCCACATCTACAGTGTCAAACTTGATGCATCAGACCTCAAGTCTATCACTGATGATAGTCAGATCGGATACTACTCTGGGTCTTTCTCGAAAGGTGGAGGTTACCTACTCCTGACGAACAAAGGCCCTGGTATTCCGTGGCAGAAGGTGATGAATACTCCTAGCAACGGTGACAAGCTGGAAATCACTGTGGAAGAGAACAAGCCTCTGAGAGAACTTGTTACCAAAACAGAACTGCCCATCGAGGTCTACCAAACCATCAACGTAGACGGTTTCGACTTGAATCTCGTTGAGCGTCGCCCACCTCACTTTGACGAAAGGAAGAAGTATCCGGTTCTTTTCTTCCTCTACAACGGTCCTGCCTCTCAGCAAGTCGATCGCCAATTCCATCTCGACTTCCAATCCTACGTCGCATCGTCTCTCGGCTACATAGTGGTCACTCTCGATGGACGCGGTACCGGCCACCTCGGCCGCGCCACCCGCTGCATTGTCCGTGGAAACCTTGGACACTACGAAGCCCACGACCAAATCGCCGCAGCCAAGATGTGGGCCGCGAAGAAATACGTTGACGCCGAACGCATAGCCATATGGGGCTGGAGTTACGGCGGCTTCATGACCCTCAAGACGCTCGAGCAAGACGCCGGTCGCACCTTCAAATACGGCATGGCTGTCGCTCCCGTGACCGACTGGAGATACTACGACAGCATATACACTGAACGTTACATGCACACACCCCAGCACAACCCCGCCGGCTACGAAAACTCGACCATCACGGATGTGGATGCTCTCTCTAAAAACGTCAGGTTCATGGTCATGCACGGTGTTGCGGACGACAATGTGCACTTCCAGAATACATTGAGTCTGCTGGATAAACTGGACCTGGCAAACGTGCAAAACTACGATGTGCACTTTTTCCCCGACTCGGATCACAGTATCTATTTCCACAATGCTAACAGAGTGGTGTATGAAAGTAAGTTGAACACTGTCCTCCCTGAAAAATTGGCATCATGTACTAACGAGTATTGCAGAGNNCTGAGCAACTGGCTCATCAATGCTTTCAATGGCGAGTGGTTAAGGACGCCCAATCCTACGCCATTAGCACAGATTGAAAAGTAGAGTCTGCAAAGAAAGTAGTACAGTTGCATTCTGTTATTGTTCGGCATGGTCAGGGGCGTTTTATTCGATCACTTTACATATACAAATAGAAAGGAACATGTCCATCGCAACTTCCCGGCTCTATGCCATGTTTTCGTCACTGAGCATGAGTCACTCCATCCACAGCACATTGCAAGTTAACAAGTTTCTAGATTTGCTCGAAATACATTCGGTGAAATATGTAATTGCATCATCTACATCGCTCATCTACTATGCCCAAGAACGAAAAAAAGGAAAAACGAACGTTCGAAATAAACACATGCAAAACTACCAATCCTTTTGTAATATCCCTGCTTGAGAAAAATCATAAACCCTCCCCATATGCCTTCCTTTGCCAGTTCGTAAGATATACATAATGTTGTGGTGTTTGCGTTTCTTTAATCGTGTCCCATCTTCTCAATCTCAAATCCTGGTCCATCGCGCGGGCGCTGCTGCTTCGCCTGGCCATGGTTGAACACACAAGTAAACTTCAGCAAGTTTGCTTTGGTGTGTCCTTGGCAGACGGTAACCTGGTCGCCAGTGTAGACTCTTCCGTAGAGCTGCTTGCCTTTTGCGTCTTTTGCGCTGAGCTTGACGTCGTTGATGAAGATGCCGTTACTGCTGTCTGTGGCAATCAAGCAGTGCAGGTCAGGCAGTTTTGTCCAATCGCCGCCAGTTTGCTCCAATCGGTCGATGCCTTTGGCATGGAAGTATATCATGATGCCGCGTTTAGGCACACGAGTGTCTAGCGGATCTGGAAAGACCACGGTGTTCAAAGGACTTCTGCCCCATGTCGTGATGCGAGAGGCGAGGTCGAGTGTCACAGCACAGAAAGAGTCGGAGGTTGTTGTCAGACGACCCAGACGAGGTGCGGGTCGAATGAACTCGGGCTGTGTTTGTGCAACAGTATGCAACGGTCGGTCGAATTCAAAGTCGACTCCGGAATTGGCAGTCGTTGGTGGTAGTGAATGAAAGCTTGCTCCAGGCAGAAGATTGTGACTAGTAAAGTCGTGGCCGCTAACGGAGGAGGCATATTCGAGAGAATGCGTGCTAGGGTCGGCAGGGTCGTAGAAGGACGATGCAGAAAGTGGAAGACTGATTTGTCGATTGAAAGAGATCTTTCTTTCAATCGGTTGAGCTGCACGAGGCGTTTCTTCCATACTCCCACCAGTCTGGCCTACAGAGGCCTGGGGTGGATCATTTGGTGTGGTTGGTGTGGTTGGCTCGCTCTCATCAGCAGTCGCCGAGAATGCTGATTGCGAAGAATCCATGTTAAGGTCCCGCATGTCTGATTCTGCCCCCACAAGACTCGCGAAATCGTGAGAGGCATGTAAATCGCTCTCAGATGGGGCTCTCCTCCTAACACCTTCTAGTTGGTCTTCTGGTTGGTGACTGGCGGCAGACGTGAACAACTCATTCTGCACGTTTGGAACCTTCGACGGGTCCATGCTCGAGTATCCTGGGGGTGACGCGAACATAGGTTTCTGAAGCTGAGTGCCGAACACACCTGAACTTTTNACCAATGAAGGCTGGACCTCGCCGAAGAGACGTGGAGGTTGTGAGTTCACCGCAAGTTCCCGGATGCCAGGATCCTCAGCAGCGTTCGTTGGGCGCAAGAGATGGATTGGCTGTTGCGACGGCGCAGGTACTTGAGAGATCATCTGCCCACTCTTGAAGCGTTTTGACTGTCGGGGGTCCAGAATGTCCGAGTCGCCAGAATCAACACCAACACCTTTGGTCGTGCTCCAATTCCCATGGATGCTCAGCTGAGACAAGTCATGTGCTGGACCTGCCTCTGTGTCCTCTTCTTCGATCGTCAAAAGGCCTGATGGAGGCTCCTCCTCGATCTGACTCGCTTCTCCGCCTAGCCAAGGATATGACAGGCATTGTAATGCAGAAGGTCTAACGGCGGGGTCGGTGTTGAGCATGTCTTCTAACAAATCTATGGCGTCATCGGAAATGTGGTGCTTTTCGAGGACGGTGGTGTCTAGGCTGGTACTGACAATACGTTCGAACATGGCTTTGCCAGTGTTGTCTGCAATGCCTTCGAAGGGTGGTTTCGAACTCATGGCATACCATAGCACTCCACCGAACGACCATATGTCGACAGATGAGCTGTAAGAATGGTATTTCCCTCGTTGCTGCGAAGCACCTTTGCGATCGCGCTTGCGACCCTTTACATTGAAATGGGCGTCGTAGTGAGGGAAGACTTCGGGAGCACAATAAAGTAATGTGCCACAGAAAGTCTTGAGAAAGGTCTCATTATCGGAGATGACCTTTGAGAGTCCAAAGTCAGAGAGTTTGACTGAAAANGATTGTGGGTTGGTGTCGGCGATGAGGATGTTGTCAGGCTTTATGTCTCGATGCGTAATCATGTTGCGATGCAAATATGCCAGCGCATCGAAGACTTGGATGGCCATCGGTTTGGCAAGAGCTTCGGGGAGAGGGCCGTTCGTTCCAAGCCACTGCTGTAGATCGCCGAAAGGAACCAATTCCATGATGATGTATAGATGGTTCTTGACGTCGTGGCAGTCGATATATTGCACAACATGTGGATGGCTGATGCCCTTCATGATGCGCAATTCGTTGTCGAGCTTTTTGTCGATGACACCATTCTTCATGAATCTCCTTTTCTCCAGCTCTTTTGCTGCAAACATCTGGCCGTTACTTTTGCTGTTGAGCCGGTATACGGTAGCGAAAGCGCCCTTTCCGAGATGGCCGGTGACGTTGTACTTATCACCACCGCTCCAATGCATACCGAAAGGGTTGCCTTGCAACAGTATAGGCTTCACGCTGGGTGGAATCTTAGATTGTGGTCTCGCACCAGGTCGCGCTCCCTGAGTCTGGCCGTTCTGTGCTTGTTTTTCTTTCTCAAGGTTGACACGATGCAGGTAGGCGGCAAACCTTTTACCGTACTCTTCGTAGTGGTTGTCTCGCGAAGGAATGCGGAAAATGAACTTCAAACTCTCGTCTCTTTTGGTCGACAGAATCTGAATGACAGAGCCTGCGGTAAGCATCATGGTAGCGGCATTGTTACTACCTCTACCTCTCAGAAGCTTGCCATCGACTATTGTACCATTGGTGGACATGTCGTGAAGCATGCAGACGCCGGCGTCAGTCATGTAAATCCTAAAATGCATGTTACTGACTCTTTTGACCGTGTCAGTGTCGATGACAACGTCGCAAGCGTTGGGGTTCCGACCAAAGACGAACCCCATGGCGGGATTGTAGACCTTGGCAGACATGCGCAGGGCGAGGTCTAGGGGGTGTCTCTGGTCTTCTCCAGGGGCGGGAAATGTCTCCTCTTTCTCAAGATCTGCCATGCTCAGACCATCACTGTAGGTGCTGGGGGTCACATTTTGCAGTACGTGCTGAGGAGCTCTCAGTGCTGTGTTGACGACAACCTGATAGGCAGCAAGCGAGCACGGATGTAGGATGCAGACAACATCGGCAACCTCGACCTCATCGAGTTCTGGTTCATCTTGTTGTGTGGCCTGCTGGGTAGCTTGTTGTGTGGCTTGCTGGGTGGACTGTGTCTCTTGTTGGCCAGGTTGATGCTGAGTTGGCGTACGATCCGGATGCGCAGCTCCTCTTGTGGTGACCATGGTGGCTGGCGGAGTGAGGTGTACGGGAACAGGAAAGGTATCGAGTGATTAAACAACCCCAGCCGTAGCCCACTGGCGGCCAGGGCCGGGGCTTGCGATGAGAGGACTCGAAAGTATAGTGACGAAGCGAACGACACGCCCCTGTATCTGATTGTCCCGGCTCTTGCTAATGTTTCTATGGCGACTACAATGGTATGCTTTTTCGGGATGGTCTTGGTATGGTTCGAATGTCTCGGTACGCCCCAGATTCTGGCGAGGCTTGTCTGTCGCAGACACTGTGAAAGTCCAGGCTAACAGGCGATGGGCAACGACTCTAGCGACTGTATCGTCCGGGACGTATTCCGTATGAAAGGCTTCGACTCAATTGGTTGCGACTGTGTAACAGACAGACAGAGCGAAAGCAGTCGCGAATCGCGAAACAGCTGCGGTGCAACCGACGGGACGCGAACGATCGACAGGCAATTACCTCTTCGAGTTTACCTCTGCCAAGGAGGCCTCATAGCGGCTGCCTGCCTCGTGCTTTCGTCTGACGTCTGTCAACCAGCTGACCATCTCACATCTTGTTCTCAGAAACACAGTGAGGCTTCTACAGCCTCGAGATTGCAGGGACTTTGCTCCTCCCAAAGGCGTAGCTCCCTTACCTGTGCAGAAAAAGTACATGGACTCGCATTTGAGCTACATAAAGTGCTTCCTGGTAAATATCAAAATGCACATTTGATGCTTGAGCAACCTGCCCGTCCCATGGGAGCCCTGTCGCCATCTCCTGTTGGCCCTACTTCGAATTTTTGCGATTGTGTATTGTGACAGCCTATCTTTCCTGAAAGCCATCGAGAGGCCAGGTTCCATGATCGGTGCCTGCCGTAGCTCACGTATCTTGTTTTCACCACAATCCCGCCTTCGCTCTTCAGACTTATTTCGTCGACCGGATCAACATGGACGAACCAGTCCCTGGATTACCTCTCGCGCCCTCTTCTGAAAATCATGACACGAACATACCAGAATCAAACACGACACCAACGCAGCTCCTTCCACAACCATCACCCCAAGCCAACGTGACCCTTGCTAGCCTCATGGCCAACTTGACCGCCCACTCACAGCCCGATATCACCCAGCCACCGTCCAAGCGTGTCAGACTGGAAGAAAACAACATCGATGCTGCTGTTCAAGATGAACCCCTTACCCCTTCGCTGCACGACAGCCCAGGAGATCCCACACGTCCGGAAACCTTCTTTGACTGTCAAGCCGACAAGAAACTTGCAGGCTACCTCGGCTTCATCTCAACATCTGAACTGCATATCTGCGCAATCTCATGGCCCCTTCTGCGCGCCACCGTCGCCATCCACCCAATCCTTCACAAGCTCAACAAAGAACTGGCGCTTGCTCTAATCCGCGATGCTGAGCGCATTGGAGAGACGGCAGCAATTGACAAAGGCTGGTCTCTACTCACTTCTGATGGCAAGGGTATCTCAAACGCAAGGAAGGCTGAGCACCTCACCATTGTGCTGATCAATTTAAAATCTGATCTGGCCACCATGTCCGCCGCGTCAGACAAGCAAAATCAGCTGCAACACCAACACGATTGTCAGAAGTTCAACGCACAATACCCTACTCACAACTGTCCACAGATCAGTTACCCTGTCAGACCTCACTTTCTATCACCATTGGGAGGTGAGGACTTCCTCGAGTCTTATAATCGATGTTTTCTGCTTCTTCGACACATGCGAAACATTCTGAAGACGAACGTTTTCGATACCAGATACAAGAACGACAGCTTCAAGTCCGGTCATCCTATCAACGATGAACAAAAACCAGCATGGATGCGTTTAGCTGGTCCATCCATGGTTACCACCACGGCAAGGCGAGCAAGCCTCGTCACTACCGCTCAAAGCGCAAATCTCACTACACATCGCCAACCAACCACTCCATTCAGCTACTCCACTATATCCAGCATCGAGACAAAACCTCACCACGTTCTCACTGTCAAACCCACTCTACCAACCGATTCTACCCACCCAGACAAATCACCAACCAACACCACCCCTCCCCCAAAATCCTTCACCGTAATCTGGGACCACACCCTAGAANCCCCCTCTACAAAAGCATCCCTCAAACACGCTCTATCCCTCGCTCAAAATAAAGGCATCGATCCCNCCTCCGAACTCCAAAAACTAANNAAAAAAGACCCTAGACAAATGGACCAAGAGCCATTGCTGTACGAGCAAATCCGCATCCAATTCAGATGTCAGTTTCTCGGTATCGACCTGTGTAAGCTTTTGTTGCAGTACACGACATCGGCGTTTGGGGATAGCGTGACGGTGAAGCAGAATCTTCAAGATGAGTGTTGGAGTGATACGCAAGCTGCTCTTGAGGATCCTGACAATGGGAATTTTGTTTTTCGTGTTGGGTTTTTTGCTGTGGAGGATTAGGGTGGTGTGGAGTGAGATATTCGGCTGGTGGTTGTTAAGGAAGAGGTGGCTCACATGCAAGATATCGAAGTAGCTCGTAACAACAGTACATATAGTTCACTCATATTCCCCTCGACAAGTCGTCAGCTTATTCCTGTGCAATTATGTCTTCAGTATCTCACTCTAGGGATATGATATAGGCAAAGTCGTTTGCTGAGGGTATGACCCTGTCTCGGACCTAGATTATCTATATCTTCTGCCATAAGCCGGGTACCTATGTTTTCTCATGTACATGTGCTCCATTACCACTCTCTAGTTGCACGTGTAGTGTTCTTCTATCTGTAGTTCATGGTGTTGATGGTTAAGGCTATCGACATAGCAGCGTTAAATCTGCAGCCCTCGACCCACCCAGACGGCTCCAAGCACTTCACAATACTTGATCCATAATCGTTGCTTCGCAGTTAGAAAACAAACACAGATGTAATTTAAAGCTCTGAATTTCATACTATCTGCATGTTGAGTAATTCTGACCAGGTACATCAAATCCTCCTTAGCCCATTCGCCATCAACAAAGTGGTATTATGCCCTCCATGAAAAAGAAACGCCTTCATACTGTACTCCCTTGTTCCCTTTCATGCGCATTCAGATTCGTTCATCCTTCCGTAAATCACATAACAGCAGTATCTCATCATGACCAGATCTTCGCCTTTACTTCCTACCCGTACTTGACTCAAGCACCGACACCAACGCTCGACGCAATGCTGAACAGTCTGGATTTTCTAAATCCTAGACCGCTCTTGCCGGCTTCTCGTGCGCAAGCCGTAGCTCCCTCGCCAGTGGCAGCCTCAAATCTGCCAGCTTCCTTACCCATGGAGTAACCAGCAGAAAAACTGATGGCACTGAACACGACCACCACGCCCACACTGACGACCCAGGTAAAGAGCGTAGGGCTGACAGTCATGTCGTCGGCACCATAGACAACGCCAGAGTTGCGGCGTTTCTTGATTAGTCTACGTTCTTTGGATGAGCCGCGACCAGAGGCGCCTTTCCGCTTGGCTTCCGATTTCGTGGAATGAACTTCGGCAGAGGCGGAAGTGGAGGTAGATGCACGGCGGATGGTTGGCTTGAATGTCGGTTCGGCGACTGGAGCTAGCAGGGGTGAGTTGTTATCGAGGGCAGAGGCAGGTACCATTCGCAGCGTATTTGGCTGAATCCTGTTTGGGGCTGGGGGAGCGGCGTCAGCTGTACTGCGAGAGTTTGACTTGGGCAGTCCACGAGCAGCGGCAGCAAAGGATTGCAGAGTAGAAAGACTGGCACGGAGAGCAGCTTCGTGGTCAGCGGCTGCGTTGTGGTTCGGCGAGAGCATATTGAAGGGTGAGTGTTGAACTCTGGCTCCTGCACGAGAAGGGTACGAGTGCCTGGCTGAATGACGACGTTCTGGTTGAGCAGGAAAGTACGAGCCTGGGACAGGTTGACTGGCATGTCTGGCAGAATGGCTGGACGGATGAGAGAAAGCGTTCGGCTGGGGCGTGAAAACATTGTCGTTGTTGATGGGGTAATTGACGGCTGTTCTGTTCTCGTCATCGTCCGAAGACTCGACCATGGCATCTCTGGCATGGTTGGCAGACAGTGTGAGTCCTTCACCCGACGAGGTTATGACCTGATCGTCGTCGCTCTCGCTCTCTTCATATTCTTCTTGACTGCTGGCAGCGCCGGCACTTCCAGCACGACTGGCGATGTTGAGTCGCGAGGGTCGACCAGGTCTTTGGCGTCTCCGACGATATGAGGCTGGCATTTGGTGGACACGAAGACCCGTGGTTACGATCTCGTCGGCGGCCGAGGAGAGCGACGATGACGAAGGTTGAGAGGAGATCTCGATCCACGAATCTGGACGACCGGCGTCAGCGTTGTCTTCATGGTCTTCGTTCATGCCAGCCATGATGAGAGAGGAGGAAGCAGGTCAAGACAGATAAGCACAGCAAGCATACGCAGAGACAAGAGGCAAGTACACAGACGCAGTCGAGTCACACGCTTGCTTCTTACCTTCTGACCGAGTCCGGCCTGCGTCGGCCGACAATCCATGACCTCTGTTTCCAGGATTCAAGTGGTTTGACATGGTGAATGATGGCGCGTATGGGGTTTGATATGATGTGTTTGCGATCAGAGTGCTATGTGGTTTGCGAAGCCAGAGGACGGCGGGTGGTACGAGGAGAGGAGTGAGTGGCTGGACCTGGAAACCCTTGAGGAGGGAGAGATAGGTAGGGTAGAGTAGTGCAGCCTAATGGTTCTAAGCAGACAGGCACCAACGAATCATGCGGCAGATGCTCCAGTCCGTCAAGATCGAAGAAGTGACGGTGCAGTGCAAGTCGTTGGCAGGAGACGAACTGGTCGTTGTCGATGATGCGATTCAGTCGGTGAATGAAGATACCCCACCTCCAGGTCACGCAACGGTCCGATCAAGTGGTCCTTTAGGCTTCGCTCCTCTTTGTCTTCGTTTCAAACATTTGCTCCTTCAACACGCCTGCAACTCGATAAAGGAGCACCATGTTCCTTGTCGTGATTGGTCTCGCCCTCGTGGCTGCATAACAATCTTCACATGTATCTCTCCAAGGGCTGATCGATGCCCAACCACCTGCATGCTACCATCACCTGCAGGACCCTGAATCGAATACCCACTATAGACACTGCACATGTGACACTGAGCGATCCTTCTGACTTGGGGGTATATTTTTTGATCATAACATGCTATCAAAACTACTACGGTATCGAATAAGCTACAACTCACCTAGCGCCGTGATTGTACAGACCCCATCCCCAGCAATCATGTCCTTCGCTGCCGTATAAATGACCGAATGATCATGCTATCCCAGGTATCCGTGAACGCCGAACTTTTGTGATATAATGGACAAGAACCGATTAGTTGTTGAACGAGGCGCTTAGTCGAAAGACATGCGGTTGCCCTGGAAGTCGCCAAATCCACCACGGTTGGTCGATCCACCACGACCGCCACCACGGCCACCGCGACCACCACGATCGCCAAAGCCTCCACGGCCACGGCCACCGCCACGGCCACCACGGTCGTTGAAGCCGCCACGACCACCGCGACCACCGCCGCCACGGCCGCCGCCGAAGCCACCACCACCACCGCCGTTGTTGTCACGGGGAGCAGCAAAGTCCAGGCGGATGTTGCGGCCATCGACGTCAGCGCCGTTAAGACCCTCGAGGGCAGCCTTGGCCTCATCGACGGAGCCGAACTCGACGTAACCGAAGCCCTTGGGGGCGCCAGTCTCGCGGTCGGTGGGGAGACGGATGCTGTTGATGCTTCCGAACTCGGAGAAGTAACCAGTAAGGCTGTCGGTGGTGGTGTTGAATGAGACGTTGCCGACGAAGAGGGTGGTGGAAGGAGCGCCTTGCTGCTTGTCACCGAAGGTGTTGGCGCGGGCACCGACCTGGTTCTTGTCGTAGCTGCGGTTGCTGTTGTCTCTGGGAGTGCTGAAGTCGCACTTGAGGGTACGGCCATCAAGGTCGGTACCGTGCTTGGCGTTGAGAGCCTCGGTGGCGGCATCGACGTCAGTGAACTCGACGTATGAGAAACCCTTGGAGCGGCCGGAGTCGGCGTGGGTGATGACTCTGACGGAGACGGGAGAGAACTCCTCGAACTCCTTGGAGAGCCAGTCCTCGTCGACGTTCCATGAGAGACCACCAACGAAGAGAACCTTGCTGGGCTCACCGAACTGGCCCTCGGCGGTGACCTTGACCTTCTTGGAGGAAGCGGCAGGGGCCTCCTCGGCCTTGCGCTTCTTGCTGGGCTCCTCGGTCTTCTTAACCTCCTCCTCAGAGTCAGAGTCGGATGAGTCGGAGTCGGAGTCAGAAGCGTCCTGATTGTGATGTCAGTATATGCAATGATGAGTAGAATAGTGTGATCTGAACGTACCTTGGCGGCGGGCTTCTCGTCCTCAGACTCGGAGTCAGAGCTGTCAGAGTCGGCCTTCTTTGCGGCGGGCTTGGCGTCAGACTCGTCGTCGCTGCTGTCAGAGTCGGAGTCAGATGACTCGGCCTCGACGGCCTTAGCGGCGGGCTTCTCGTCCTCGGAGTCGGAGCTGTCAGAGTCAGAAGAGTCGGAGGACTCCTCCTTCTTAGCAGCCTTCTTAGAGACGGGCTTGGCCTCGGCCTCAGACTCGGAGTCGGAAGAGCTGGAGCTGTCGGAGTCCATCTCCTCGTCGGAGTCGCTGGAAGGCTCGGGAGTGGGCTCCTTCTTGCTCTTCTTGGACTTCTTGGTGGCATCGACGACCTTCTTTGCGACGTCCTTGCTCTTCTTGGGGTCCTCAGCCTTGGTAACGCGACCAGACTTGACCTTGGTGGCCTCGACCTTGGGGGCGGCGGCCTTCTTGGTGCTCTTGTCCTTTGCCATTGTGATGTGTTGGTATTCTGGAGGTCGAGGTCAGTAAGGATCGAAACCTTGGTGAGGTGGCAGGTAAGGCGGTTCGCGTGTGGTGGCGTGTCATGGTCGATCGGTCAAGCTGTCGCGGATTGCAACAGCGACAGCAGATATGACAGGCATGAATGGTGTGAGCGACCGGTGATGGTCGCAGTGTGCGGCAAAGCCCTCAGTAACCCATGATCACACAAAGTGATGGAAGCCAACAAGCCCTCAAGCCCACTGCTCTCGCACGCATGTCAAGGCAATGTGTTCCCACAAGGAGCCATGAGTCTGCGCGCGAGATGGTCTGATGAAAAGCCGTCCTGATTGTGCATGTGCCCACTACCCACGTTACAGAGATTGTGACATCTCAGTCTGCTTCACGCAAAACCAACAACGCGAAGAGAAGACTTGAACCCACTGATGAGAGGAGCGACGAACCCACTTGTTGTGATAAAAAGTCGAATATAAAGAGTTGAGATGAAAATTCCACGAAAGATGCCGAGGAAAGTTCTGGTGATGGAGGATGCAAAAGAAAAAACCCAGGCAGTACAGCGTGCTAGTTATACCAAGCGCAGCAGCCGCTAGGACTTTTTTCTGCCATTTTTCTCGCGACTTTTTGTCGCGCACGGCTTCGAACGCCCCCGGGCCCGACTCACCGCCCGCACATCAGCCAAGGCCCAAGGGTTCTGTCCCGCATCCGACAGGTCTCGGACTTGCCAGCGTGGACAGTCGAGAACCAAGATGGTTCCCTGAAAGGTAAACATGGCTCCCGCATCACATCGCCCTCGCAAGAAGAGAAGAGAAGACCAGGTCTCCGGTCCTCGCAGCAATGCCCTGATCATCACAGATGGCGAGACGAAACAACAGAAGCCAGCTNTTCCCCTAGTATCTTTCTTACTGCCTGCAAAGGGGACAGTGTCGCAATGGGTTGTGATGCCGCTCATCCTCATGGCTGTAGGGCTTCTCAGGTGGGCTACTGGCTTCTGGGGATATTCTGGTAAGACCTCAATCTGTGACATTCTGTCGATACCTAAAAACTTATTTTGATGTATCTAGNGTCTCGATAAACCTCCTATGCATGGCGACTTCGAGGCACAGCGTCACTGGATGGAGCTGACCAACCATTTGCCTGTCTCACACTGGTATTTCCATGACCTGCAATGGTGGGGTCTGGACTATCCTCCATTGACAGCGTACCATAGCTGGGCACTTGGTAAAGTGTGAGTTTACGATGCGACTTTCCCACCTGTTCTATTGCTGACTTGGATAGGGNGCAACTTTATCAATCCATCATGGTTTGCTCTGAAGAGCTCTCGAGGTCTCGACGATCCCGATTTGAAGATATTCATGCGTGCTACAGTCATTATCTCAGAATACCTCATCTTGGTGCCTGCGGCAGTCATCTTCATCCGTCACATGAGCAAACTCTGCGGAATCACGACATGGGAGTCTTCAGTTGCCCTCACGGCTGTACTAATGCAGCCAGCAACAATGCTCATCGACCATGGACACTTTCAGTACAACACTGTCATGCTTGGCTTGATGCTTGCATCCATGTCAAGTATGCTCGCAGGCCGCCATTTGTGGAGTTGTGTCTACTTTGTCGCTGCGCTCGGCTTCAAGCAAATGGCACTGTTCTATGCGCCGGCCGTGTTCGCTTACCTACTGGGTATCTGTGTGTTCCCGCGTATCAACATTGGTAGGCTGCTGAGCATAGCTGTCATTACCATTGTCTCCTTTGCAGCTCTTTTCTTGCCATTCCTTCTCGGCGTGGCTTACGATTCGTGGAAGGGAGTGTTTTTGCCATTCGATGCACAAGCTCCGCCACTACTCGAGAACCTTCCGGTTCAGATCTCGACCAAGGCATGGTACTATCCGCTTGTCTTCCAGCTTGCACAATCTATTCATCGTATCTTCCCCTTCTCACGCGGACTCTTCGAGGACAAGGTGGCAAACATCTGGTGTGCTGTACATGCATCTGGAGTGCACAAGCTTCACAAGTACGACTCGAGTCTTCTGTCTAGGGCAGCACTTGGGCTGACCAGCCTGTCAATTCTCCCACCATGCATGGTTATCTTCTTCAAGCCGAAGAAGGAGCTCGTACCATGGGCATTGGCAACTACAGCGTGGNGGTTCTTCCTTTGCAGCTATCAAGTGCACGAGAAGAATGTTCTGCTGCCTTTGTTGCCAATGACTATGCTCATGGCTGGACATGGCGGTCTGAGACCCGATCTGCGGGCATGGATTGGATTTGCCAACACGTTGGCTTGCTGGACTATGTTCCCTCTGCTCAAGAGGGACGAACTCAGGATCCCTTATTTCGTCTTGACTCTTCTTTGGGCATACCTCATGGGTCTTCCGCCTGCATCGCTGTCGGCCTACTTTGGGGAGCAAGGTGTCTGGCTGTCGCTTCCTGTCAAAGCGGTGCATCTTCTGTTCTACTTAGCAATGATGGGCTGGCATGTTGCTGAGACATTCGTGCAGGCACCTGCCAACATGCCTGATCTATGGGTCGTCGGCAATGTCTGTGTCGGTGCTGCAGGATTTGGCTTGTGCTATCTTTGGTGTCTGTGGCACCTGGTAGCAGAAAGCGGATTCTTGCAGCTTGGCAAGTCAACAGATGACAAGCAGAAGATGTTGTGATTGGCGGCCAAAGAGTGGAGAGAAGTGGTGTTATTGTACACTAGTTATACATAGATCTAAAAGTCTAGAAAGTCTGTCCGTTTTCCTGTAACGCCGGTCGCAATGCTGGATAGAGAAGATGAAAGTCGAGTGTTTATGGGAGGCTGAAGCCGTAGCCCTGCATGCATGTTCTGTACTTTTGAATCATGCTCTGGCAATCGGCTTGGGGATCGGCGGCGGTAGAGAAGAGCATGCATTCGTCGCGAGCGGCCTTTTCATCCTTGCAGACACAGCATGGCTGTAGTGGAGTGTCAGGTTGTGTATTCGATGCTGTTGTTGGGTGTTGTAGTACCTTTGCCTTCGCAGCGGCTTCGCCCTTGGGCTTGAGGTCGGCAGCAAGGTTGTTGGTGGTTGCGGAGGTGGATGATGCTGGAATTGGGTTAGAAAGTGGCAGGCGCGGGTCGCATGACGCAGAGGGACATACGCAGAGACATGTTGACGAGTTTCAAGTCAAGGAAGGAGCACTGGTTGAGTTGCGACAATTCAAGTGCAAATATTCCAGCCATCCAAGTATGAGGCAATCGCGGACAATATGTCAGCAGCAGCGGCGAGGCCAAAGCGAGTCATTGTTCTTGGCACTAACGAAGTTCTGGAAGGTCGAGCCTCGACCAACATAAACACATGAAACATCAATTTCCTCTCTAGCAACACCCTGTCTGCTCGATACCACGTCCTCTGCCTACACTCCTTCTTTTCTGTTCATTCTTGTTAGACATTGCCATGGCAAACACTTTCTCGCTCGAGGGCAGAGCCCTGAAACTCGACTCGGCCGCCGACATGGACAAACACATTGCCGATCTCAAGTCCAACAACGACGTCGAGGAGGTCATTTTCGTGGGAAATACCCTGGGTGTCGAGGCTTGTCAAGCCCTGGCGAAAGTGCTCGAGACCAAGAAGAAGCTCAGGGTACGCAGGCATATCGTAATTTGCAACGGTCAAATCTGACGCCCTCCAGNNGTCGCCAACTTCGCCGACATTTTCACAGGACGCCTCTTGTCCGAGATCCCTGATGCTCTGACCCACCTGCTCACCTCCCTGCTCGCCCTCCCCGAACTCCACACTGTCAATCTCTCCGACAATGCCTTCGGCCTCAACACCGTCGCTCCCTTGCAGCCTTTCCTCTCGCAGCACGTGCCTCTGCAGCACCTGATTTTGAACAATAATGGCCTCGGTCCTTCTGCCGGAACCCTTGTCGCAGAAGCTCTTACCACCCTCGCCCAAAAGAAAGACCAAGCTCGCAAGGATGGCAAGACAGTGCCTGATCTTGAGACCGTCATCTGCGGTCGCAACAGACTGGAGAATGGCTCCATGAACGCTTGGGTCCAAGCATACTCGGCCAACAGCAAGATCAAGACTATCCGCATGGTTCAGAACGGTATCCGTCAAGAAGGCATTTCGGCCCTGTTGCAGAACGGTCTGAGCAAGTGCAGTGCTCTCGAGGTCCTGGATCTGCAAGACAACACCTTCACCGCCATGGGTGGTCGTGCCCTCGCCGATGTCATTGCAAACTGGTCCGTTATCAAGGAGCTCGGTGTCGGGGACTGCCTGCTCAGCGCTCGTGGTGCAGTCATGCTCGCAGAAGCCCTCAAGCCTGGCAAGAACAAGACTCTTCACACACTTCGCCTGCAGTACAACGAGATTGACGCAAAGGGCGTGGAAGCTCTTTGCAAGGTTGCACAGACTGACGCTCTTCCTGCTTTGCAGCGTGTTGAGCTGAATGGCAACAAGTTCTCTGAGGAAGACTCCAACGTTGAGGCTGTGAAGACTATGCTCGATGAGCGTAGAGAAGAGAACGCCCCAGATGCTGACGAGGACGACGAAACCTGGGGTATCGACGAGCTCGACGACCTGGAAGAGGATAGTGATGACGAAGATGAGGATCAAGACGACGATGAAGACGCCGAGGAAGAGCGCGTGATTAAGCAGGCCGACCAAGCCGAGTCAGAAAACGTCGCTCAAGAGAAGGACAACTCAGTTGACGAGCTCGCGGATCTTATGGGTAAGACGGAGCTCAAGTAGAGCTTTTCCTTTCTCTACACATGCATTGGGTCTCTGGATTAGCGATTTCCTTTTTCCCTCTTTTTTTCACTTCAACGTTGGATCTGTCATCATTCCCCCATTCTCTGTCTTACTACCAAAATACATGATACCACACGCAAGCACATTGCACATTACTACAAGTCAAACCTTTTGTCCCGTCGTCCAACAAACATGTGAACACAACAAACCTGCCAGAACTACCCCCTACATTCCAATCTTTGGAGTACCAAAGTCGATGGTTTTGCAGCGCACCGGTCTACCTTGCTTGCACTAACACCACGAACAGATCATAAACCAAACAAGATCTCATGCCCAACGATGTATCCGCTACCCTACTGTACTCCCCTCAAAAAGATTCCAAAGGGAATCCCTTCTTTTGCCAATATCGAACCCAACAACATCTAATTGGAACCATCAGACACAAAACCAAACAACCATTACCCGCTGAACATTACTCATCATCCCTCCTCTATCCCTCACCCATACTCCCAATCCCACCCATCATCAAACCCTTCCTCCCTTCCGTTCTCCAAACCAACACTTCTCCACTTCCAGGTCCCATGACTGACTTTCCATCAGACTCAATCAGCATCTATCATCGCCTGGGCTCGGTAGATGCGATATGGTATTATGTGCTTTGGTTAGGTGTGTATGCAATGATGGTTACGAGGAATTGGGTCTTAGGAGTGGAGGTTCTGGTTGTTTTGGTTGGGGTGGGGGTTTCTAGGGGTGGTTGTGGTTGTGAGTGGGTGATGATATGGCGGGCCCGTTCGTTTATGGACCATTAGCAGCGAGTCTGCTGGTTAGCTTCTGTGGATGAATTGCTGAAATGAGGATATGCTGAACGGGATCATGGTCCGGGAAGACTTGGATCGAGGTCAGATGTGAATCCGTTGAATTACATTCCCTCGTGTTGCTGGTGAACTCTCGTGCTGAGCAAACGACCTGTATCATTGTTCAGGTATGACCTGTTGCTCTAAAAACTACATGACAATAACTGGTCGAAGTCGGACAGCAACATCCAACTTTCGTTCTTCGTGTATGATCCCGTTCTCGAGATCCAGATGGCATCGACTCAAACAACTTAATCTATTATACGTGTGACTGTAGTGATAAGAGGCACATCAGACTCTCCAGAGTCCTCTTGCGATTGATACTATCAAAACACAGTACTTGCTGGAACTAGAGCTGTTTTAGTGGCAGAGGACGATCAAGTTGCTCTTAGTGGACTGTGTCGAGAGCAGCAAAGTATCGTATTCTTCGATAGCTATACTTGAGGTCATCATGAGGCTGGGAGCACAATCCAGTATGACTATCGTGTGCGCATTAGTAAGTAGCACCATCCTTGGTTGTCAGTGTGTGCCAAATCTAGATTGAGACATAACCAAGGACCAGACTAGCGATTTGGCAAGAGCATCCAAGACAGACCCGGTCACATGTGTTTGAAGAACGAAGATTATACACTTTGTCATTGAAAGATTTGGAAGAAAAACTCAATGAGACGCTACTTTCGCTCTACTATACACACGGCTTCTTTGGCCATCCCCGCAATTTTCCCCGTTATAAATTTTTAATGAGAAATTTACGAGAAGCTGGAGGTGAAGCTCTTGATGACATCCTTGAGCTTGGCCTCGAGGTCCTTGCTGAGAGCACCCTCCTTGTCAATCTGGTCAAGGATGGTCTTCTCGTTGGTGCGGAGGTGGTTGAGGAAGTCAGCCTCCCACTGGAGGATCTTGGCGACGGGGACGTTGTCGAGGTGACCGTTGATACCAGCGTAGATGAGGGAACCATCTCGTTGACGGCCATGGGGCTGTACTGCTTCTGCTTGAGGAGCTCGGTAAGACGCTCACCACGGGACAGGGTCTGCTTGGTGGCGGCATCAAGATCGGAACCGAACTGGGCGAAGGCGGCGACCTCACGGTACTGGGCCAAGAAGAGCTTGAGCGAACCGGCGACTTGCTTCATGGCCTTGAGCTGAGCGGCGGAACCGACACGCGAGACGGAAAGACCGACGTTAATGGCGGGACGGATACCCTTGTAGAAGAGCTCAGCCTCCAAGAAGATTTGACCGTCAGTGATGGAAATGACGTTGGTGGGAATGTAAGCGGAGACATCACCACCCTGGGTCTCAATGATGGGCAGGGCAGTGAGCGAACCACCACCGAGCTTGTCGTTCATCTTGGCAGCACGCTCGAGGAGACGAGAGTGGAGGTAGAAAACGTCACCGGGGTAAGCCTCACGACCGGGAGGACGACGGAGGAGGAGCGACATTTGACGGTAAGCAACGGCCTGCTTGGACAGATCGTCGTAGATGATGACGGCGTGCTTGCCGTTGTCACGGAAGTACTCTCCCATCTGTTTCCAGTCAGTATCAAGTTACAAATGCAGGCGTGGCCTCCCCATGTGCACGCATGCAACTCAGGTAGCTATAAAAATGCACAATAGTTTTCAGAACCAGGGTAGTATCCACTGAGAGGCGACATGTTGTTGGCTCTCGCTGGTTTCACCTCAAGTCTGAAAGCTTTTGTGCCTTTTTATAGCCCCCGAGTTTTGCGCATGAAGAGAGGAGAGATAGACTTACGGTGCAACCAGTGAAGGGGGCGATGTATTGAACTGATTCCTAAGGTCAGCAGAGTTCAGAAGATGCTGAGAGCTTCAACCTACGGGGAGCGGCCTCGGAGGCGGTGGCGGCAACGATGATAGAGTACTTCATGGCGTCGTTCTCCTCAAGAGTCTGGACGAGCTGAGCGACGGTGGAACGCTTCTGACCGACGGCGACGTAGACGCAGTAAAGCTTCTTAGACTCGTCGGAGGTGTTGTTCCAACGCTTCTGGTTGAGCATGGCGTCAAGAGCGACGGCAGTCTTACCAGTCTGACGGTCACCAATGATCAACTCACGCTGACCACGGCCGATGGGAACCATGGCGTCGACGGACTTGAGACCAGTCTGGACGGGCTGCGAGACGGACTGGCGGGGAAGAATACCGGGAGCCTTGAGCTGAGCACGGCGTCTCTCGGTGGACTTGATGGGGCCCTTGCCATCGATGGGGTTACCGAGAGCGTCGACGACACGGCCGAGAAGCTCCATACCGACGGGAATGTCGACAATCTCTCCGGTACGCTTGACGGTCTCACCCTCCTTGACGAGACGGTCAGAACCGAAAAGAACGACACCAACCTGGCCGGCCTCGAGGTTCATGCACATGCCCTTGACACCGGAGGCGAACTCGACGAGCTCCTCGGCCTGGACGTTGGCCATACCGTGAACACGGGCGATACCATCACTGTTGGTTGTATGTCAGTTTCCATGCGTCTTGTTTGCAGATGCGATGGCGGTCGTAGACGTACCCGACGGAAAGGACACGGCCGGTCTCGGCGAGACCAGACTCCTCCTGGACACCGCGGATTCTCTGCTCGAGGATGGAAGAGACCTCAGTGGGGAGGCCTTGTCGGCGTAGCCACGGAAAGAGTTGGCGACGGGAGCGACAGCGCGGGCCTGGAGGTGGGAAACATGTCAGCGAGGTGTTGCAAGACTTGGCAAAGGCGAGCAAGCTTCGACGTCGCCAGCGACAGCTCCAGCGCGCAACCGGCCAACACGGGCGCGCAGACAGCACCCATTGGAGGTGGCGACAGGTCCAATGATGGTTGTCGGACCCAATGTTGGTCAGGTATAGCGTGGTTCTCGAGCTTGTAGTCGCAGGCGAGGTGACGGCGAGTGGTTGGAGCTTGTTGAAACGTACAGCTGAAATTCTCGACGAAGCAGCGGCGACGGTGGCCACGCGGGCGCTCTGGCGAAGGGCGCTTCTGAACATGATGACAGAAATTTCTCAGAAGCCCGATGGGTGTGACGGGTCCCAATGAAATGGAGGATGGAGTGGAGATAGAGGGTGATGAGAGGTCGGTTCTAGGAGGAGGGTGAGGTTGAACGAGATTTGCCGCAACGAAGCACTCGGATTGAGTGGTCAGAGCGCCCGACTGGCCACGCCTTTTGGCAGCTTTTTGAATTTCGTAGCTCTGCGAGCCCTGCTTATATCACCTATCTACACCTCTTTCCGTCTCTAGCACAGTGAAGAAAAACAGCCTGTCCTGTTCCTGCCTGTTCTTTGCAGCTTGTCCAGCTCACAATGTTGTTCAGCTCAGCTCTGCTCCTTCCTGCCGAGTCGTAGCGTGCCAGCTGTTTTGTCACCCCAGACAGAAGTTACGACCGAGTCCTCGTCCCGACCGATTCCGGGGCCCAGCGGCTCCTCTCCACGATTTGCATATCCACTCCATCATCACTTGATAAATTCTTCATGCCAAACGAATTGTTGCTTTGTATCTGGCAGACGTCGAATCCGTGTGTATATCTGAACCAATGCTCACCAGACGATCAAATCACTCCTCGTCACTCCAATGCACGCTATCTTCATCGCTAAAATGGTCTAAGAGGTCATCTCCCGCTGACTGTGTAGCCTCTTCCACCTTTGCTCTCTCTTCAGCTGCCTTCGATTCTCGACGGATGTTGGCAGCGTCGAGGTGATCCATGTTATTCTTCACCCAATCATCCAGGAATCGGCTAATCTCAAATCTGACTGCTCGTAAGGGATCTGACCAAGAAGCTTCTTGTGCTAGTTTCGCGGCAAGCTCGTCCGCGCATAGGCAATCACCTACATCCCTCAGTGATGTCCTGACTCCAGCCCATAGCAAGCCTTTGACAGTGTCAATGTTTCCGGCCGTGACAGCCAGATGTAGTGATGTCCTGTGCATTGCGTCTGTGAGGTCGATCGTAGCTCCTTTTCTGCAAAACAGGTCAATCAAGTCACCGTTACCATATATCGCAGCCCAATGGAGCATGCTTTTGCCGCCGTCCCATTCCCGTCGATCGATGTTAAACTTGGTAGTAGAGTCCTCTAAGAACAACAGAGTGTCTCGCAAAAACTTTTCCTTTGCTGCCATCTCGAAGATGGAAATGCCTTGTCGGTTCACCCATGGATCTGCGCCGTTCTCGATAAGCAGACGAATGATGGGTATGTCCCGTGAGCGAATAGCCATTGATAAAGCACAGTCGCGTAACGCCTCGGGACCGAACGGACAACCGAGTTCCTCATACTGTTCCTCTTTTAGCGTTTGTGTTTTTCTGTCGAAGCCGTAGAAGCTCAAGAGTCTTTTGCTCGGCCTGTATGAGCACCATTCGTTGACGTCAGTCTCGTCACGACTAATGAGTGTCCTACACCAATGCTCATTCTGGGATTTTGCTGCCAGAATGAGTGGGCTGGGGATTGGGTTGTAGACTTTCGACTCCCATGCTTGGGTGTTATCGGCGATCGATTGTACGCTGCTCAGCTCTGTCGACTCCGCTGGCTCAGGGCTACGTGCTACAGGGAAGCCGAGTAAAAGGTTCACCATGTCGTCTTGTTGGTGAAATATCGCGAGACTGATCAGGTATTCGTCGGGTAGCGTATCGACCGTGGTAAACTTGGCGCTGTCATGTAGTAGCTCGACGCCATACTGGTTCTGAGTAAGAATCATCATCTCCAGAAGCCGACAGTAGTACAGCTCCGACAGTCGGCCACCGGCTTCAAGAAGCACATCCACGATACGTCTCCGAGATTCTTCCCTGCTTTGTAGAACTTCTGGTATTGTTGGTTCAGCCATCTCGCTGCTTGTGCTTCTTGAGGAAAGACTGGAAGTCCTCGAGAGATAACATTTGTGCGTCTGTACAGGTCGTAACCAGATGAACATTGCCTTCTCCAGCGATCTTGAAAGTTCTGCCTGGCTCGGTGAAAGACATCGGATCAAGAGCCCTGTTGCTGCGAGATGACTTCTCTGGACTGCGTGTATCAGTGCTCCAGAGCCATGAGCACCCTTGTGGGCACCTCTGTGAATAAGCTGTTCCATAATGGCCGTGTCGCCTACACGAGCGGCCGCCGCAAGCGCTGTCGATAGCTTGTCTTTTGTGTATCTGAAGATGCCGAGAAAGTGCTGTACTACTTCGGCGTGTGAGAACTTCGCAGCTCTAGCCAGTGCAGCGCCTAGTTCATCTTCTGCTCCTTGTTCGATGAGTAGGAGGATCGATGGCATATGGCCACCACCAGCTGCCGATGTCAACGGATCGACAAGCTCATCAGGCTCGAAGTCATGATTTTCCAAGAAGTATTCCAGTGGTTCGAACTGATGATACTCGGCTGCAGTGCATATAGCTTCGACTTTGTTTTCTGCACCCATGTCGATGAAGTATTTGACAGAGCGCATGTCGCCTGCAGCGCATGCCGCAAGGAGCCCGGCATCGACAGCCTTGTCGAATTCTTGAACTCTCGAACGGAATACTTTGAGGACTTCGGCGGTCTCACTGCGACCTCTCCTCGTCGTGCCGACCAAGATTGATGCAAGATCTCCTCGCCATTTCCTTGACATGCCCGAAGTCGTCAACTGGGCTTTGATGGGTTCGAGAAGAAGCTGCAACATCGGTTGATCTCCTTCGAAGGCAGCGATTCGTAGTGCTGCGGCGTTGATAGCGGCACCGCCATGATCAAGCAAAAAGCGCACCAGCGGGACCGAACCAGTTTTAGTCGCATGATTTAAAGAGTAATCCAGCTGACCAGGGGGACCGATAATCTTGTTTACTTGTGCGTTTTGCTCCAGGACCAGAAGTTTGACCTGTGGCAAGTCTGCTGTGATGCAAGCTCGATATAGCGCGTCGTCGAGTTGTGCAGTGTCCTCCATGGTCGCAAGGGACGAGATGGACTATGTTGATGGAAGAGGAACAAAATCGATGCGACATGTGCGTATTGACAACAATAATTGCTTGCTTACCTTTGTCGTGCAGACCCTGCCCAAGAGTTGTTCTGGTCCTCTCCCTTGGTCTGCCGATTTGGAGTCTGGCCAGATCCGCGGCAGCGAACATTGCTACCCCGGTCTGCATGAATCGAGAGATGGAGCAAGTCTAGCCTACGGTAAAACGGGTGTTGCACCACTGTCTCTCAGTTGAGGAATACGAGGGAATACTATCACGATTGGGAACAAATTGCACCTGTGTCTATGTGAATTCATGTGGTCTAGAGTTGGCAAAAGAAAGGGAAAGAGTCAAAGACTGAGATGGTTCGAACTCGATGGCCGGCAGTTGGTCGGCATGATTTTCGTTGCCCTGTGCGTTCCGTGGCCGAGCCCAGGACCTTGACCTCTACTTGTACTCTGCTTCTGAAGCAGCAATCTATCCTGGTCATAGAACGCTTGTAGACCTCAAACCATCACTACAACCAACTTAGCCTCCCCTAGATGTCTGGTTCTTCGTGTCTGCTACAGATAACAAACCCCTCCTCGTCCACCTTCGTTGGAACGGAATATTTGAAAGATACACAGACACCAGATGTGCGATGGTTGGATACACATCGTTCATGAGCTTTGAACACCTCTCTGGCACACCAAGCAATCTTTCCCAGCGGCTTTTCATCCGTAATCAGTCTGTGATTCCAAAGTGTGGTGGCAGCAGCAGCAGCAGGGGTGTAGGCACCACGATCGCCATGCAAATCTTGTTCGACATATCGACACTCGCAATCGACCCAGACCTCTCAAGTCAAGGATGATGGCATATCGGGAAGCTTCATGTCTGCCCAACTGCCTACAATGTCAAAGTCGTGTGGATCATGGCCTTCACGTCGAATGTGTATGTCGACAAAGATGCGATGTTTCGGTTGCTTGTGGATGTTCTCATTCGCTCCCTGCTTCGATGGCAGCACGACATCCTTGGTGATGATCATAAGGCGTTCAAGGCCGTATGGAAATGGAATGCAGCAAGTATCGCGGTCGGAGAGTCCGTCTGCAGGCTCGAAAGGGAGGGTCGCGAGACGTGATTGAGCAGCCGAAGATGATCGCACTGCATGGCGCAGTGAACGAGAGACTTCCAAGCATTTCGTGAGATCATTACGCCTGGGATTGTCAAAGATAGCATTCCCTAGTTCGCTGATATTGAAGACAAGGTCGAGTGGCATAATCGCAGGTCGCTCCCAAGTGTGAGGAGGATACCAGTAGGTTGCCAATAGCTCCAAGAAAGTTGTCTTCTGAGCCGGAGGTTGATATATAGGCTTGACTCGATCTCATATGGACATGGGATGATGGCGCTTGTGCCGTGTTTCAACGAGTTGGTTCCTCATGGCGCGATCAGAGCATTCCTATTTCAGAGTCCAAATCGTCACGACCGTCTTGTTAGCTGCTGTCTTGAAGCAGAGATCCACAGGAGGATGGCCGAACGATACAAGGCCTGAGAGGTTCTTCAGGTCGGAGGCTGATTGGATGTTGGCCATCGTGATGACGAAAGAGAAGCGAGGATCTTTTGGAACAAAACTGTTACTGGCGAGTCAGAAGAATATGGTCAATTTATACGTTTTATGATGGATAGGAGATTGAAAGATGGCTGTTCGTGTGAAAGTCGGCCTTTCAACACAAAGGCTGGCTGTATATGAGACAGTCGTTACCAAAGACAATGCGTCTACCCACAAGGACCTGTTTCATCCAGGAGAGACAATGCATCATGAGTTCGATGAATGACAAGAACGAAAATATATTTTGTACAATAATTTTGGTATACAAGGCTGAACGCCTGCCCTGACCGGTCTTCCTTTCCACATATCAGCCCAGCTCAAATTGTCATGGCTCATAACCGGGCAGCTTCACTAAGAGAGTATCAAGCATCGAGACCGCTCTCGATCTCGTCCAAGCCTTTTATCCTCAGTTCCTTGATCTTGAGCACAGTGAAACGGTGCTTGCTCTTGACTGTCTTGACCTTCCTTTGTCTACGCTTTGTCTTCTCCTTGATGCGCATGGGTTCAGCCTCGGTACCCATGACAGTGGCTCTGCAGACAAATAGTCTGTCGTCGACATAGATGTGCTTGCCCTTGGCCAGATGTGGCACAAAGTGGCCTCCGTCAGGCATCCTTCTGCTTTCGGTGGTCAAGACGCTGCCAGGTGTGGGATCAACGACCGAGATGGTGGATGCGGTGGGTGAACGAGAGTTGGCAGGTTGGGCGCCGGCCTTGAGGGTGAGGTCTCGCGAACCGAGTGATGAGGCGTGTGTCAGGCGCAGAATGTCGCCGGGCTGAACACCGTGCATGAGGAATGGCACACGCAGAGTATCGCCCTCGGTAAGGAGGTAAGGACGATCATAGATGTGTGCAGTGATGTAGTGGGGACCTTGGGCGCGGAGTACGGGCAATAGTTCGCGGACAGAATCACTCAGGGCCGGAGGCGATTGAGAGGGTGTCGGTAGCTTAGGTGCGGATACCGGGGCATGACTGGCCGAAGGAGGAGCGGATGTGGTAGTTGTCGACTTAGGAGGAGTGTCGACTTTTGCGGCGGAGGAATTGAGGAGGACTTCGGGAGTGTTTGATGAGTCGGTCGTGTGTGAGACGCTGCTCAATTGCGCCGTGAAAGGGAGCAGGAAGGTCGGAGGCAGGAGACGCGAGTCGAGGCAGCACGCCCGCTTGGCTGCACGAGAGAGAAACATGTTGTGTGGTCTGGCTGCCAAATCGACTCTCGGTCGCTGATTGAGTCGACGCTCAGAAGATTATCGAGCGACGCCAAGCCACGGAACTCGCAGACGCAGGCAGGGACTGACTTTGCCTCTCGCAGACTCGCTCCTTCCCCGCAACGAGAAGAACGTCCTTCTTTTTTGGCCCTCAATTCTTTACACCAACCCACGCCAACTCACGACACATAACCCACTGCCACCATGCCTCAGAATGAGTATATGGAACGCTTTGCCAAGCAGCATGGCAAGCGTCTCGATCACGATGAGCGCAAGCGCAAGAGACAGGCCAGAGAGGGCCACGCCGGCTCCGAGAAGGCGCAAAACTACCGCGGTCTGCGCGCAAAGCTGTACCAGGAGAAGCGCCGTAAGGAGAAGATCCAGATGAAGAAGCAGATCAGGGCCCACGAGGAGCGCAACGTCAAGTCCAACGAAGCCGCAGAGCCTTCCAACACTCCTCTGCCCGCCTACCTGCTCGACCGCAGCAACGAGCAGAATGCAAAGGCTCTGTCCTCGGCCATCAAGAACAAGAGAGCCGAGAAGGCTGCCAAGTTCAGTGTGCCCCTGCCCAAGGTCAGAGGTATTGCCGAGGAGGAGATGTTCAAGGTCGTCAAGACCGGAAAGAAGACGGCAAAGAAGAGCTGGAAGAGAATGATCACCAAGCCCACTTTCGTCGGCCCCGACTTTACTCGTCGTCCTGTCAAATACGAGAGGTTTGTTTCCGCCATCTCCAATCACTTCAACACAATCATACTCACACGTTCTCCANGATTCATCCGTCCCATGGGTCTCCGTTACAAGAAGGCAAACGTCACCCACCCCGAACTTGGTGTAACTGTTCAGCTCCCCATCATCTCCGTCAAGAAGAACCCTCAAAACCCCATGTACACCCAACTCGGTGTCTTGACCAAGGGTACCATTATCGAAGTCAACGTCTCGGAACTCGGTCTGGTCACTGCTGGTGGAAAGGTCGTCTGGGGTCGTTGGGCCCAGGTTACCAACAACCCCGAGAACGACGGCTGCTTGAACGCTGTCTTGCTCGTTTAAGCGCACGTCCTGTTCTCAGACGAGCTTTTTCTTTGTTTCTTTGTGCATGGCGCTGGTGTTGGCGGAGTTGGATTGACCTGACTGGGAGAGGTGGGAGGGATCTATTTGTGTTTTAATCACTTCATTTTGAGAGCTGGAGAAGAGCAATAAAATCGCGATACGGATTATCTCGCAGAGGACCAAGAATACCCCTGGGATTATGAGAAGTCGAGAGAACCCGGAAAATAGAATAGTATAGCATTCAAACAAATGATGAAAAACTTCACAACAACGACATTCAAATCTCGCAAGATATTAAAAGCTATCACCCAACGCCCTGCCTTATCCCAGAAACATACAAATTTCAAAATCTACAGTGCCTGAACAGCAGTTTGTAGCAGACCACCCAGATCGTTGAGACCACCCTCCTCGGCCGTGATGATTCTCTTTGGAATCTCAAACTCGACGACTGGCGTCTTCTTCATCTCCTTGCCCAACTCGGCATCGATCAAGCCTTGGTAGTTGTGATCCAAGAAGTCCTCCATGTTGTAGTTCTTCTTTGTAAACTGCTCCTGGATGATTCTTGCCAGTGTTGCGACGTTGGGGTGGTAGTGCGAGGCCAGAGTCTCTAGCTCCCAGAGCGACGAGTCAATGGCACCGGTCTCCATAGGGTCCATCTCGTCCATCGAGAACGAGTCGTCCATGCCCTCTGCCTCGAGCTTTTTGAGTTGCGATGCACCGCGAATCTCGCGATGGATCATGAATGTGCAGGTACGGTGACGCAGCAGCATGTTGTAGACCCAAGGCACGACCACGACGATGGCAGCAGGAGGTGCGTGCAGCGCTAGTCTTGACAATCTCTTGACGAAACTAGCGACCAGAGCTGAGGGCAAATGGGTGGAGCTCATAAAGGTGTCGAGGAGGCGGAAGAAGCGACTGCGGTGTTTCGAGTGCAGTAATGTGTCGTCGAGCAGAGAGTAGAGTTTTGTGTAGAAGGCAGGATAGTCGAGGTTCTTCTCGGCAATGAGGTAGAAAAGACCAGAGAGAGCGAGCAGAGAGGTGGCACCACCAGCATCGTAGCTGTCTGTCAAGAAATCCATGAGCGACTCAGGCTTGGTGAACCAGGGTACGATACGGTTGGTCAGATGGTGAAGAATGGACTTGCGCTCGTCCTTGGTGAGAGCCGAACGGAAGATGGCGAGCCATGCTTCTTGTGCTGTCTTGCGATGCGAGGATAGAGACAGGAGAGCATGCTTGCGGCCTTCAGGAGTCTGTCCATACCAGTCTTCGAGTTGAGAGTCCGAGTCGGGAGCATTCTCGATCAGGAGAAGTAGTGAGAGAGCGTTTGATACTAGTGTCTGGCGATCGTAGCCTTCGGGCGAGCGAGCCAGGATGTTTGCGACAGCATAGAAGGTGAAGTAGCGGACATCGTCGTGCTCCTCGACAAACTTCTCCATGAACTCCTCGCGCGCACCAGCAGCATCAGGCGATGCCACGAGACCCAAGACCAAGTCTGCAAAGATGCCAGTTCTCCAAGCTTGCTCAGCGCGACGACCATCCTGAGAAGTCTCTTCCTTAACCAGGCGCATGAACAGAGTCAAGGCGGTGCTCTGAAGCTCCTCGCTCGCCAACAGACGACCCAGCTGTCGCCCATACTCCTTGTACTGTGTCTTGAGCCAGTCCACCTGTTCAATCTCTTCCTCGTCCATGGTCTTCTGTCTGACCATCCTCTCGGCAGCCATCAAGCGGCAGAAGGTACGGCAGAGGGCGACTGCAGCCGTGACCTTTTGGGTTGCATCCTTTGACTTGAAGAACTTGAGCAGGCTGGTGATATTCGGGTAGTTTGAGGGCGACTCGAGGATTTGTTGTTCTAGTAGCAGCATCTGTGCTTGAGGGTCGTCGCCGCCGTCGTTGCTGGCGGCCTTTACTTTCTTCGACTTGGTAGGTTTTGCGACGGCGGCGGCATCGGTGCGCTTGCGCTTCTTCTCGACGAGTCCAGGCATTTTGGGGTATTGCAGCTGTTCGAAACTTGCTTGAACAGATTCCGAAATGTCGTCAACAAAAAGTGGTGGTTTCCTTCCGGTATAAAATAAATTCTTTGGCAGTTGCCCGATTGGGAAGTTTCAGGGCTCGACGGGAATCGCCGTGCTCAGAGCTTGCCAACGACCGACGATTGAGCGCGCTGCCGCTGCGCAGCCAACGAGTCCAGTGAATTGCTATCCGCACACCTCTCCGCTCTCTCCACACTCACAATCAACACAATGGCCTCTCGTGTCGCTCGCTCCGTCATGGGCGCCGCCCGCGCGCGTCCCACCGCCGCCGTCTCCTCCCTGCACAAGGCCGCCGTGCCCGCCGTCCAAGCCCGCCTGCAAAGCAACCAACCCACTTCGCCCGAGCAGAAGGCCAAGAGCATCCTCGACTCTCTGCCCGGCAGCAACCTGCTGAGCAAGACCGCCATTCTCTCCGCCGGCGCCGGTGTCTCCATTGCCGCCATCAGCAACGAGCTCTACGTCGTCAACGAGGAGTCCATCGTCATGCTGTGTCTGCTTTCCGTCTACACCGGTATCGCCGTCTACGGTGGCCCCGCCTACAAGGAGTGGGCCGAGAACCAGACCAACAAGATCAAGAACATCCTCAACGCCGCCCGCAAGGACCACACCGATGCCGTCCAGAAGCGCATTGCTAGCGTCCAGGACCTCGGCGGTGTTGTTGACATTACCAAGTCGCTCTTTGCCGTTTCCAAGGTAATTTCTCTTTGCATGCAGAAACATACATGTCACAGATACTGACATGTCCAATTAGNNGAAACCGCCCAGCTCGAGGCCCAGGCCTACGAGCTCGAGCAAAAGGTCAACCTCGCCCACGAGGCCAAGTCCGTCCTCGACTCCTGGGTCCGCTACGAGGGTGCCGTCAAGGCCCGCCAGCAAAAGGAGCTCGCCGACTCCATCATCGCCAAGATCGACAAGGAGCTCGAGAACCCCAAGACCCTCAAGCAGATCCTCGACCAGGCTGTTGCCGACGTCGACCGCATCGTCTCCAAGGCTTAGATGCAAATCTCTCTCACTCATTAAATTGAGGTCGAGGTGTTTTTGTAAGCTGAGTTGAACGAGGATGCAAAGTGGATTTGGAGAAGTGGGAAACGGGGAATAAAAGACAAAAGCACACGAGACTCTTTTTTCGTTTCTTGCAAAGAGTCTCGAGCCGTGTAAATAGATCTATCTGTGCTATAGCGGAAACACCATTTTCTTTTCTTTCTCCTGCTTCGTGTTCTTGTCGTACATCGTAATGTCAAAGCTGTGTGCACCACAGTCGTCTCTAGATCTTGTACTTGTGCAACCACAAAGTCCGACAATCAAGCCCATCTACGCATTTCAACTACATGTACACCTGCAGGAATATCAGAAACAAAGCGCTCAACCCAGTAAACACGACAGATAGTAAAAATGAGAACGAATAACGAAAGAAGACTATATACACTCTGGGCCCAATACTCAAGCCTATTAAGGGTGTTTTACCAATGATAAAAGACAACGAACCGCCTTCCCCTGATTCACACATGCCTCCAGACACAACATCATCCATTCTTCAATGTCCACGTATCGGATCTCCGGCGCTCCTAAAAGCCAAAGGGATTCTGTGGCGTTGCCTTTGACAGGTTGGCCCTACCCGTCGGCTGCGGCGTGAGTCTGGCAGCAGGCTGGACTCCAAAGCGGACTGGTGGGGAGGGNCCGGTCTTTTGCGGCACAAGAGGTTGCAGGCCGGTGGGTTGGGCAGGCATGGGAGGCATGGGCGGGGCCTGCTGCTGTCCATATCCGCCGAATCCATTTTGCTGCTGCTGAGCGTAGTTCTGACCGAATTGGCTTTGAGGGGTGAAGCCTGTGCGTTGGGGCTGAAGAGCTGGTGGAAGGCCGGTCTGTTGAGGCTGCATGGGTGGAGGCATTCCGAAGCCTGTTTGCTGAGGTTGCATGGTGTAAGATTGAGCCATACCGGTAGGCTGGGACTGGAAAATAGGTCGAGGAGTAGGGTCGGCGAAGGGTGAGCCTGTCGCTTGGCCGTTAAGGTAGGGTTGTTGCTGGCCATAACCTGTGGGCTGCGGCATCTGGTACTGTGCTGGGAAGCCGCCCTGCTGAGGCGGCTGCATGAAACCAGTCGCCTGAGGCATAAGACCTTGGTAACCAGGTTGCTGAGGGAATCCAGTCATCTGTTGTTGCTGGAACTGCTGCTGTTGTTGCATACTCTGTAAGCTCTGGCCAGGAGGTGCCTGGTAGCCAGTCATTTGAGGTTGCAGGGCGGGTGGAGCAAAACCTTGCTGAGGCAGACCAGGAGCCGAAGCTGCACGTTGGGGAGGTGGTGCAATCATCGAGTTTCCTGTCTGCATTTGGTTAGGAGCTGCAGGACGCTGTCTCATGCCTGTCACTTGTGACTGCAGAGGAGATGGAGCGGCGAGCTTGTCAAAGAATGAAGGATCAGCGCCGGTCCTTGCTGGCTGCTGTGGAGGCGCAGGAGGAGCTTGAGGCGTAGGCTGAGGCGCGGGTGTTGGCTGCAATGCAGGAGAGAGCAAAGAAAGGTCTGACATGTTCTGAGTGAGCTTTGGGGGTTCGGAAGCAGCAGGAGCTGGTGGCGGCGATGGAGCCTTTGCAGGCGCTGGTGCGGGAGCCGGAGTTCCAGCAGCTGGTGCAGTCTTCGACGGCTTGACATCCCACGCATCGTCATCGAAACCAGCAGAAGCAGCAGGTCTCGCAGGGGCGGAAGCAAGAGGAGTCTGGACCTTGGTTATCTCGTCTTTCTGCTTGAATGCATCGGCATCAACGACATCGTTTGTCTGAACGGCAGGAGCAGGTCGTCCCTTGCGCGTGTTGTTCCTCAAAGCGCCGCCAGGCCCAGAGAAAAGACCGCCCTCACCGTTGGCTGCACCATCAGTATCGTCTTCACCGAAGCTTACGTTCTTCTTCTGTCCTGTGCGGCCAAATTTGTTGTCCAGATACTTCATCACACGAAGAATATCACCTTCCTTCAGGCCGAGTGTACGCAGCAATTGGGTATCGACATCAGGTAGAATCTCTTCGCCCATCTGATCACGACTGAAAGCAGCAGCATAACGCTCGCAAATTTGTGGGTTGACGCCAGCACCAAGGAAGAAGTCGAACCAATCGTAATCGGGTTTCTGTTCGACAACAGCACCTGCGGTGCCGGATTGCTGTAGTCGTTCTGGGCGTTCCTTTCTCTTTTCAGTGCTTCTGCGTTTGATTTCAGAGAGTGGCTTGTCTTCATCGAGAGAGACACCAGTCGCTCCCTCCACATATTCCAGGTCTTCGATGGCCATCTTGTTGACAGGGACGGCGATCTTGACACCGTTTTGTTTGTGAAGGTGAATCTTGCCATCCTTCAAGCCGATAAACTCGGCTTCGACCTTGAAAGAGCCAGTTCTGTCTGTCCAGGTGCGTACTCTTGCTGCATTTGGCNNTCTGTATGATGTCAGATTTGAATGCATATCGGCAAACTCAAAAGACTTACTCGGCTTATCGCTCTTGTCGCTCTTACTATGCCTGCTCTTGCGGTGGTCCTCTTTGGCCAGACTGCTGTGACGCTCAGGTCTGCTTCCGTCATCGGTGTCACGTATTGTTGAAGATCTAGCTACTTCCCTCGTAAGGCGCTGTTCTTCAAGTCTGTTCTGTTCGACAGTAGAACGAGCAGCGTTGAGACCAGTATATGCCGAGGACGGTTCGGGCAAAGTCCCAGTAATCTCAACATAGCTGCTGGGAACAACTCCTTCCTTTCCATTCTTGAGGCGTTTGACCATCCACCATTCTTCGCTCTTGGTGTCATCCAAGATGACCACCTCGTCGCCAATGGCCACAGTGACCTCGTCCTCTCCTTGGGCCATGAAGTCATAAAGCATTGTGCCCTTCTTTTTNCCGCCAGCGCCAGTGCCAGAGCTAGCTGCCCAAACCTCACGGAGGCCTTCGGCCTTTGAGGCACCAGCCAGTTCGCTCAGAATGCCAATAATCTCCTGAGCAGTGTCCTTTGCGCCAGCATGAAGATCAACGCTCTTGCTAGGGCGGACCAGATCTATAAAGACATGCTTGCCTTCAATTGAGTAGTTGGACAGTCGATCGGCCGACCACTCTTGAGACGGACCATCCCGTGCCTTAGCAGGGNNGGAGAGCGATACCAACCCCTTTGCGAGGTTGATGCCCAGAGTGATAGGCATCTTCTTGTTTTTTCCCATATGTGAAACGACTTCAGAGATGTTGTATAGACGGAAGCCGCCAGGTGATCTGAGAGCAGCCTCCTCATCCTCGATAGCCATCGCTCTGTTGTATGGAAGTGATGTATTGACACCCTGGGGCTCGCGCTCGACCGGGGAGTACATGGGCGAGCGAACGGGTTCGCGCGAGACGGCCGAGATTGGTCGTGGAGGCATGCTAGGAGCTGGTTCATCTTCGGATTCGTCGGGGGTGTACTGAGGTCGCGAAGGTAGGGGCGGAGAAGCCAGACCACGATCCATGGGTGCTTGGTATGAACGTGCCTGGGTTTGTGATTGACCAGTCTTTTGCGCAATTATGCCTGCGAGAGCAGCCGCAGGGTTCTGCACCGGGCTCTCTGGCGGGGACTCGTTCCATTCGGCCTCTTCAGGCTCAGGCTCGGCAACTTGTGGTCGCGCAGGCATAACGGGCGCAGCGGGAGCGACAGACGAGGCAGTAGCGGCTGAAGCCTTCTCGATGTAAATAGCAGGAGCGAAGCCGTATTGACCGTCCAGGCCGACGAGCGTCCAGTCGTCATCCGAAGTGTCGTAGACATCCAAACGAGCTTCCTCGGGGAACGAAAGTTCTTCGTCCGTCTGCTTGGTGTAGTCGTACAGGGCTTTCGCTTGGTATAGAGGATGCGCCTGNGAGAATGGTCAGTGAGAGCTAGCAAGAGAGACTCAACGGTGACAGACTTGTTCGATGTAGTTGCTCGGGATCAAGCCCTCTGGCTCGTCCTCTTCGTCAGACATGGCCTTCTTCTTCGCTTTCCACCAGTCATCGTCGGAATCGTTGTCTAAAACAAANAGCAAGTCTCCCTCAGTCAGGGTCAATTCGCCCTCGGCCTGGGGCGCATAATCGTAGATGGCGCGGTACACGCCGAGGAACGCCATGGTTGCTGGTAGGCTGCCGTGTTGGAAGAATTGGAGGAAGTGTTTACAGCAAGTCGCAGGAGCGTGAAAGGCGCAACGACTTGACGGCGTGTCAAGGAGCGATCAAAGGAGGAGGGCAAGTCCGAGGAGCAGGACCAGAAGTGGATGATGCGGATGGGTGATTGTTTGCACGTCTAGAAAGGTCGAGGGCGTCTGCAGAGAGTCGACGGCCACGCTGAGACGGCGTTTCTGCGTGAGAAACAGAGATGGACGTACTTGGTAGTATTCAACGTCTAGCCAAATGCCATATGACGCTGTCCCGCGGCCGCTCGATCGACTTGATATCTACCGCACAGCCTTTCTTGTTCGACACACGCCAAGCTCGATTATCTTATGCATTGACGACGGCATATGGTTTGGAGCTATTAAGTGGACAATCGAATCAGAGTGTTACGGAGAGCGCTCTGCTCTATGTCTTGATTCATTTCATTCAACCTAGGAATTCTACATCTGCAGATATTCCGACCATCTATGAGAGACGAAGCGTCCATGTGCTCAGTAGGAAAGCGTCAACGTTCGCTATCATATCAATCCGTCAGCCGTCCATAGCCGGCAACTCCAGCCATCTCGCTTGGTTCCCCTCTTTCCTTCCATCAATAATCTTGGCTTTAGGATGCCATCTGTGTCACACTGCATTGGCATGCATGTTAAAGCCTTATATGACAACTCTCCAAACACTCTCCTCAATAACATGTTCCTGTCCCCTGCTTCCAATGTGAGCTTGCCATGTCGACATACCGCCGTTCCGAGCGGGTCATGCCAGATGCCCAACCGAGACTCACTCCTCGCAACCAACTCCTTGCCGAGAACATACTGAAGACGACAAGGTTGTATGTCAGGCGTCGTATTCAATTATCTTTGCAACAGTCAAAAAAGAAGTCCATATCCTACTGGCATGATCAGAGTCGATCTCGGTCGAAAGGCTCATCAATTCCTTGTGCCAGTTCTGCCTGCGATCGACTGTTTGCTGTGCAGGAACTGGCTGATGCCATCTTCGCTCACCTCGATGACTTTCATGATATCTCATGTTGCTTGGTCGTCAATCGCTCTATTCGACATGCTGTCCAGCAATCGTTTGCATCTGTGAAAATGGACCTGCCTTTCCAAGAGTGCGAAGACCCACATCTGCTTTATATGGAGAAACAGCTCGATCTCGCTACCTCAGCACCACATTGGCTGAGGCACTCACAGCAATTCTCTATGAACACTGGGAGGATCATGTTTCCAAAGAATGCTCCTATGCCACTATTAGTCTCTACCTATCACGTTGTCAACACTATCGGTGAACTTCGTCGACGTCGGGTTACTGTCGACATGTGGTTCTCGGCTACTAAACATACCCCCAAGGATTTTACGCTCGATGGTAGCTGGCTAAATATGTCATTACCGATGCCAGACACTGCTACCTGGCACATCAGCATAACTTGCGACTGTCATAGGACCATCTCCTTCCTCAATCGCTTGGATTTCAGCGAAGAAGTAGACCACGGTACATATAAAGATGGCACGCCGCTTGTTTTCCCATACAAGCTCGTAACTGAGAATGGTGATCATCTCAGGCAGATTGCTGAATACGCAAAAGAGGCATACCGACTTCATCGCCATTGTCGCAACGACTTTGGTGGGCCCCCATCTGGATTGTCCTCGATCACGTTCCATTCATGGCCTCGAAGACATCGAGGGTTTGACTTGATAGACCTGTCGACATATTCAACTCGACCTTCACCAAAGTTTCGAACAAAGACATCAAGATCAGCGTTTTCGACAAATGTTTCACAAGAGAAGTCTAAAAGAGAAATACTGCATGACATTCTGGTAGAGCTCACGGCCCCTCCGCTGAACAGTCACAGCTGGGAAAGAATAGTGGCGAGAGTATCTTCAGACGATGAACTTCTTGGGACCGTCCTGCATAGAACAGAACATATACCTTCTGAGGAGTTCGTGTATACTTTGAAGAACCTCGGTCAACTCTCAGCTTGGGACAAGTTGATGGGGCGGACCGAGGTTAAATTAGGCTATTGATCATCAACACGAATGCGTCACTCTATGTTGGAGATCAATTTCCGGCCAATACATTCCTTTACTGACTCCAAGACCACTACACCTTCTCATAAGTAGTTGTTCTAGTCAGTTCACGGTCAAGTACCATTAGAGACTCCAGAGCTTCTTCACAACTTTTAACACTCTGCTACATGTACACACATCGCGATCCTATCATGTCTAGGTGGTTTAGACGTCCCACAGCTCCCCAGAAGTTTGATGGTAACAACGGGTTCTGGCGAGCTTCCAATCACCACACCAGAGGCGTCTCTTTTGTGCAGTGAACGGGATGCCGCTGGTCGATCCTTAGGGATTTCTGAATACAAAGCTTGACAGCTACAACATGATCACTTTACAACCGTGATTCTGGTTCAAGTTGGATCTCGAGATTTGGACGCACGCATTTCTTCAACAACATTCTCTTATCAAGAACATATTGGCCCATGAAGCTACAGAAAGTGACTAGAACTACATCAAGATTGTGCGAGATCGCCTCGAAAATATAGAGCGTTATAGCCCTTCTATTGCGTGACTTCCTCCTCTCCCTCCTGGGGTTTGGGCTCGTCTTCTACACCCTTCCAACCTGTCGCCGCCTGCACAAGCACCATGATAAGTGCAAGCCCAGCAGCAGCCAAGAACAACCCTCTCAACGCATCCTCGTAACTAGCAACGGCTTTGGCTTTCTTCGCTCCCTTCAACAAACTGACCATAGCTGGACTGCCCAGAAGACGGCGAACGAGATCTGCGTCGCTGTCATCGAACTTGTCCTCCAACGACTTTCGTAGCAGACGAGTAAACAGTCCTCCTCCGATAGCCGAGCCAAAGGATCCAGCGAAACCTCTGAAGGTGGCGATGAGCGAGGTAGCGATGTAATGTGTCGAAGCCGGCGTCAGATGCAGAAGATGAGCAAGTGTGTAGTTCATCGCCGCACCAACAGTGAGACCGTTCAGGAACAGCAGCAGAATGTACAGCGACGAAGAAGCCTTAGCGGTCGAGAGCAGTGCAATGCCGACGAGGGTGAAGGGAAACAAGAGGTACACTATCACACAAGGAATGTAGAAACTGCCCTGACGACGGATGTGGAAGACACCGACAAGAATGCCTCCAAGCGCAAAGCCTCCGTTTGTGGCGATCAGGATACTGCCTGCTGCGGCGGGAGCCCAGCCACGAACTGCTAGGGTGTAGGTAGGGGTGAAGAAGAGCACACTCCAGCGGGCCATCATGAAGCCAACCGTGCCCAAGCAAGTGAAGGCCATGCCTCGAGACTTGAGTAGCGTTACTGGAATGATTGGATCGGTAGACAGATACATCTCGTTGAGAACGAATGTCGCCAGTGCGATGATGCTGAAGATGATTGGCAAGATAGGAATGCGGCGAGGGTTCGAGAGTGCTGAAAGAAGCAGCACAATTCCGACAGTCAGGGTGAGAGCACCAAGATAATCCAATGTTCCTAGCTTTTTCCAGATACTCTCCTTACTGTTGCCTCTAGCAGCAGAGAATTGAGTCGGAATTGCCAAGTAGAGTGCTGCACCAGCAACAACAGCAAGCGGTGTTTGCATCCAGAAAAGTGCTCTCCAGCCAACTTTGTTCACCAATGCACCTGCCACGGTGGCTCCGACCGCGACACCAACGGTAAATCCAGAATTGAGAAGGCCGATAACAGCTCCACGTTTGGTAGGTCCACTGAGCTCGAGCACAACAATGATGGATACAGTAAAAACGCCAGCAGCTCCAATACCGGTAATGATGCGTCCAACGATGAAGCTGGCGAATGTTTGGGCAAAACTAGTGAGAAGAGCACCCAGTCCAAGGATCATCGCACTGGCAGCGATGCAGTTTCTTGGGCTGAAGAGTTGACTCAGCTTTCCAGTCAATGGTGATGTAGATGATACTGCGATGAGATATGCTGATGTGAACCAGCTGGTCTTTTCGAAAGCATCTAGATCGGCTGCAATGGTAGATTGTGTCGTAGTCAGGAGGGAGATGTTAGTTGCNTGAAACGTGTTAGTGTTCTTTCTTCTCTTAGTCTCAAATTATCAATTGTGGTATATACCTTGCAAGAAGATCAGTGATCCCAAAGCAACGACACATATCGCCGCTCTGGCTACAGAGATACGACCCGAGTCATCCTCGATTTCGCTTTCGGGTAGGTACTCGTTGCTTGCGTCTACCGTACTCGGTTGTGGACCAAGTAGCGGTGCCCGCTCGTCCACTGGCTTTGTAGCAACAGTCATCCAGAACTGACCCTCCTAAGGTTCTTTTTGATAAACAATTGACTCGAGAGTTTGGCGGATATCGATGACGCAAGGAAACGTGGGAATTTAGCCGTGAACAATAAGTCGTGAAATAGTTTGGATTGCTCTTGAAAATAACCCAATGTTTCTGTAGTACAAACCCTTGACCTTGCCGCAAGGAAAACGACTTGCATCAAGTTCCTAAGAAGCAGATATGTCAAGGTATATGACGTCCGAGTTGATTTGTCAGATTAGGAAGGAGACGGGCACGGAGGATTCTTCGGACCGACGCTGCGGAAGCAGGACTCCCTGACTTCACCTCGTCCCTTCTGTTTTCTATACCATCGCAATAGCTTGAACGTTGTTCAGCACAAAGAAGCGCTTGTGCAAAGAACGAGGAGGGGCTGACTGAGCTCAAGAACAGAACATGTCCAAACAAAGTCTCCTCGGAGATTACCTTGATCACATCGCAATACACATTGACTCAATGAGAACATAGGTATTTATAGTTTGATAAATGATGTTGTATAAGCTCATTCCTCCAGCGACAGTATGGAGTGGAGTATCGTATCTTTTTCGGCGTTCGAACGCTCATCTCTGACGCATCAACCTGCTTGCATTTGAAGGAGCAGAGCAGACTTGCTTTGTTCTGAGCGCCAGGGGCTGCGACAAGGGCAGAGAGTTGGTTCAGGTCTAGGCTTGAGAACCTCTTTCAGAACGCGAAAAGCCAGCTCTGGGATCTCTTGGAATAATTTGTCGTGCATCTCAGACTCCTTGACTTTCTCCAACTTCTCTGCCAACGACTTTGCCACAATGGTCTTCAAGCCCTTTTCGCCAGCTGGCTCCACGGTCTTCTTGTAGATGATGTGGCAAGCTTCGATGAGTTCTGGGTGCTTCGGCTCGCGACACAGACTATTATCAAAGCCTTCCATGACTTTTGTCTTCAATCCTTCAATGAAGTACTTCTCGGCCAGCACGTAGATTCTGGCGGGATAGACAAGGGACGGTTCGACGTGGACAACCTCGCACATCCAAGGCGAGATTACTCTAGCTTTGGGCGACAGCTCAAGGTGATAGAAGTAGTGGATCATCTCTTGAACGATCTCTGGGTCATAACCATCACCAAGGTTGTCGATCTTGCCTTGGTAAGGGTGTACTTTGAGGACAAGGACTCCAGAGAGCGCCTCNCTATCCCTGAGTTAGATGACTGATATAATAGCACCGCAAGATGAGAAGGATACATTGAAAGAGCGGCTATCGCATATCTTGGCGAGGACTTCAGAATGAGAACAAAGGATAGCCTTGTGAACCTTGAAGACTTCCGCAGCGCAATGGATTTCGAAATCGGCATTGTCGCAATCATCCCAGAACCTAGATTCAATTAGCAGCAAACAGAAATGGTCGTGATCAGTCAACTACTCTTGAAGAATCGATTTGCCGACATGGGCCTTGGACGTATCGTCGCTCCAAGTCAACATACCATGAGCGGTCTTGTCAGAATGAAACCAATCAAACGATGAGATAGACGTGCTGCGCGAGCGAGGTGGTGACGCGGGTGCCATAGTGTTAGTATCGATGGTAGATGTATGTTACGTAAAAGAAGCGTTGAGGGAAGGGTGGAGCGGGAGTTGGGAAGTGTCTGTAAGGTCGTATTAAAGTAGACCATTACAAGATGAGGAGTGAGAGTGTGAGTTATGAGTGGTTTGAAAGATGAGTACACGATGAGAGGTGAATGGAGAGTTGAAGGTTGAAAGATGAATGGAAGTCGTAAGATATATTGAGGTTGGAAGACGAGGACTGGAGTGACACAAGACGACAAAGTAAGTGATGTCAAAAACTAACGATGATCTGTCAACGTCGGACTAACCCAGCGACATCAACCTGCTCAAGTGAGTGTGCAATCTATCCGGATAATCATTGCTCTCAACTGAGGTCCAACATCCTTTCTGACGCATCGTCCTCCCGATACATGGTGTAACTTCAGACAACAGTGAAGCGCTAGTTAGGAACAGACTCGGAGACTGGGTCTTCACTTTTCATGGGAACAGACTCGGAGACTGTGCCCTCACCGTTCAGACCACTGAAGATGCAGTCACGCAGCATCTCGCACATCTCCTTTGACTGAAGCAAGAAGGCGACGTTCTCCTTCAGATACTTGATAAGGCACAGTTTCAACTGCCAGACAAGACCAGGGAAGTCTGTCTGATCGAAGACCCAGCGACAGATCTTTGCGAAGTCGGTCAGAGTGGGACCGCTGATCTGCTGCTGAGTGCCATTGAACTGAGGAAGGCAATCTCCCATTATGGCAGTCAGCGCCTTCACCACATCAGGAGCGCGGAACTGGGTAGCAGTGCGGTGAACTTTGGCGAGGAAGAAGAGGCGCTCGCAGGCGGGCATCTCCTGGACGCGACGAGTGATGGTGAACCTGTAGAAGAAGTGGAGGACTTCTTCAATGTACTTGGGGTTGTAGCGATCGATGCGGCCTGCATCGTCCTCATCATCGCAGCGCTCGAGTTCGATCATGGTGAGATAAGTGCCNCTGTACTTGTCAACGCCTTGTTTGTGTGGAAGCACCATATCGCGTACTTTGGGCTGAGGAGCAGAGAAAAGCTCGGCGAAGTACTCGCTGTTGGCGGCCAAGATACCGCGGTGTACCTTCCAGACACATCCGTTACACTTGATACGGAAGTCGACGTCACCGAGCTCGCGGCTCTCCCACATCNNCTGACAAACATATCAGTCAGCTATGTTGAGTGTTTGCGTGTGGATGGATGTGATCGGCACTTACTTGTCAAGCAAAACCATGCTTGCGGCTTGTTTGTAATCTCTGCTTAGGGCAAGAGTGTTGAAGGACATCATCCAGGTCTGTCCGTGAGACATAGGGCGAGGGGACCACTCGAATCCGTAAGGCATAGAGGCGTGGTGAGGCGCAGGACTGCTAGAAGTGTTGGTGGGAGAGGGGAGAAGCTGCGCAGTGTCGTCGGTCGGCCGGCTAGAGGAAGGCCTGCGAGCGATCTTGTCGCTTAGTCGGTTGAGGTATTTCATGTTGTCGCGTCGATAGGGCTGTTTGCGAGTAAATGAAAACAGACCGACGTCGTGGTGGATGTCGCGGGGGTAGACGCGTGAAGCTCGACGAAGGGCGACGCCTGGCGTACTGAAGCGACAATTCACCTATGAGTGACTCTGCTTAAGTGAACGAAGAAGCATCTTTGAAGCTTACGTTCTCACTCCAATCTGGTCCATCTTTCTGTCTTTCTGCAAGCGATACAAGGAGAAACTACCTCACCGTGACCTGCATATACCACATGTATGGTATCCTGTACTCTAAGTCCATCTTTATAAACTGTTCGTCCAGCGTGATATCTAGCCTAGTTCTAATGTGGCTGCTATCCAAGACAGCATACCTTTACGTGTAGTTTGGTCAAAGTAGGAGACCTCTAGCTGTAGTCTAGAGAAAGGGTTGAAGAAAATCAGATCTAGCATCCATATCTCACATGTATGCCTACCATTCCGGCTTTGTGGCCTTTTCTTGTTTCGCTAGCTGTACAGATGATTGTCGACAGATGTCTCAAATTTCGCGATGTTTGTTCAGGAATGGAGAGAAGTGAAGAGTAGAGCGCAAGCTGAAGTGACGATTCAATGACGGTTGAACTTCGGATCCACGGATAAGCTTATTTTGCTCTTCTCCATCACAAGTGACTAGCCTTTTTGAACTTGATGTTGTTGGGATTATTCTTGTGTTAGTAGATGTTAATGGCTTGTTATGGCAGAGTCAGTGCTGTTTCTTCCTTACGTACAGTAGACGCTCAGGTCATAAAAGCCCTTTCTGATTACGAAGGTCCGTTCTTTGTTTGGGAAGCAACATTACTTTGTATTGCATTTGATCGAGCTATACATCGGCATTGTCTGACGACATTTGCCATCTGGGTACTCTTTCTGATGCTCATGTTAGGTTCTCGGCCTTTCGAAAGCTCTTCCCATCCGGAAAATGCACAACGATAGAGCGAAAATGTCATCTTGGCAAACATATCTTGTATCGCAATTGCTGACATGCAGGCAATCAGAGTGCCGTTGAGGCAAGATTGTTGTAAAAGAACAGAGCAAACCTGTCAATCTAGACAAGTCACCTATCGAACATCGTCGAACGTCGTACTGTCCTCCGCTCCTTCCGCAGCAATATCATGGTCCCAGCAAACCCCCTGTCTCTCCGATACAGCTTGTGTGCTCTGTATATGGTGTAAAAATGCACGGTTTCTTCCTGAATATCAGGACTTCCACCGAAGCTGATCGAGCATGACAACGTTCGCTTCTCTCGTCTCTCGCTCTTCGTCTTCTTCGTCCGATTGCTCATCTTCAGCATCTGGAACATGAGTCTCTTCTTCGCCTGGAGTTGCTGTGATGTCAACCCCTGCAGCATCTCTTGAGGTCCCTGTACCCAAGTGATAGTCGTAGAGCCATGCAGGTTCCAGCACCTCCAGCTCCGGGAGGTCTGCAGCCAAGCCAGAAGAGCCACCCTTGGTGTCTTCGATCATGGCCTCTCTCGATCTCATCATCTCGGGATCGTGCTCTTTGAGCACCTCCAACCACGCTGAGTACTGGGTCACCCTGTACTTCTCTTCTGGTAACTTCTCGGCTACCCACTTGCAGAAGGAAGGGTTTGCGAAGCATTTCGGGCTCCAGAGACCTGATCGGACCTCTGAATACCATCCATATGCCGCTCTCTGGAGCTTAGGGCACCTCATCGCGAGACCGAGATCGAAAAGTGTGGCTGCAGCATATAGCTGCCCACGGTCTGGAAACAGCTTGGCGACTCTCTTGAATCTTTCGCCAACATCCCATTTTTGGTTGATTGAATACGTGGCCATGCTGGGCTCCTTGCCGTTGCGCAGAAACAGCCAAGCTGTGTGTAGAGTGGCTTCGGTGAATCTGTGTGTGTTCAGGTAAGCTGTTAGCATCTTTGCATCCTCGACTTTCCAGATTCCTTCATCTTCCGGATCAAGCTCGGTGTTGCTGTTCACGAGTAACTTCAAGGTAAACGATTCGTCAAGATCTTTCTGCTCGAAGACGGCAGAGTATGTGCCGACTCTTAAGCAGCCGACCTTCTCACCACGCTGACGCTTCCTGGTCCTTTCTTTCGTTGTCGATGGACCTGCACTATCGGTCCGTTTGCGCTTCAGAACCGGGACTGTGATCTCGACGTCGGACACAGTGGTATGGCTGTCGCTGTTCTTGGCGACGGGAGTTTCTTTGCCGGAACTCTTAATATCGGGCATCTCTTGTGGCAGCAGTGTGCTCTTCTCGGCGTTGTTGGTCGACATCTTGGTGATATTCCTGCTGTGAAATAGCTCCCAATCAAGGGGAGGTCGATAAAGGAGTAAAACGGGCTGTAGCTCGAACTTCGGATAGGCGTCACGACAGAGATAAGGAAAGCGACAGTCTCGGGCGAGCATTTTTCAACTTTCTAGGCACTCCCGACAAGCACATGGTTGTTCCACTGCGTATCTGCTGATCAGAAGTATAGCATGTGCGCGTACAACTTCTTGGAACGTCACTGACAGCGCTTCTGGACAAACAGCACCGGATATCAGGCCTTTTTGTAAGCATCTACAGTGCTCGTGTTGCTGAACTCCTGAAAGCACTTTCACAACGGCCGCCGATATCAAGGCCCCACTGATTGAGTAGAAGGAAAGCCGAGTATGCATATCGCGTATTGAGATCTACAGTAGTCAACGTACCTGATGATCATATCCCGAAGCCCCGGAAAAACCCTCTCCCCTAGATCTTGTACCGAGAGCAATGAATATATCCCGTAACCTAGTGGCTGTGCTCAGACCTGGGGATGTGCACATTCGAGCTTCAAATCAAGCAGTCTCGAACAATCAAATAGCTGTATAATTGTATCAACACAGTTCTGAGAGAGCTGTACGGCTTCAGTTCAGATTCGTATATGTCATACACTTGCATATCAGATTCTTTCGTATTTCACTGTAATTCCTACAGTACACTACAGTCATTGTGCTGGGCGTACAACTTTCCATAGGTAAAGGACAGTAAACAGGCGCAAGATCTACATGCATGGCTTCTCGTTATTTGCATTACTTTGAACCCGACTGATATAACTACATGGCTGCCAGCAACTCTTTGAGCGACACTGGTTTCCTGACCGCGTTTGAAAAGCCTTCGTGGAAGGTCACCCATACCCTCTCTTTATCTCCCGCATCCTCCATNCTTTTGCTTTTTCTTCTTGGCCGCAAGTTCGTTATCTTCCTCTGTATCTCCTTCTTGTTGCTGTCTTCCCTCTTCCTCAGCAACNNAACTCTGCCAAAGAAATCTCGCTTGAGCTTTTTGCTGTGGTCGTTGGGGAGGGAAGGCACAGAAGCACCGGCCACTGCCTCGCCCAGAGACGTCAAAATGCCGCCTCTGTTTACTCTGGCCGCTTCCTGCTGTTTCTTGGATGCAACGTTGAATTCCTGATCAAGAACCTGTCTCACCGCAAAGCGCGTGCGGTCAACCGCCGCCATACCTGCTGCCTTGAAATCCAGAGTTTCATAGACGGACAAGTCGTCAATGGCGGGTTCCATACGATACACCCATGTCTGAGGTCCCGAATGCGATTGCCCTTCAGAGTCCAAACGGATGCGATCGAAGCGCACGCCAGAAGCCGCCATTGCATTGACGGACCTCTGCACGAGCAATTTCTCGCTAGCTTTGCGGACGCTGGCGGTGGAAATGCCCGAGTTTTGCACCACTACTGGCGACACGTTGGGGTTCAGCATGCGCATCAAGAAAGGGATAAATTCGGTAGACATGGCGATGGGCGAGGGAAACATGCGCAGTAGCGGTAATGACAAAGATGCCTGCAATGTTTGCAAGATCTCGAGGTTGGACTTTTGAGCTTCATGGGCTTGGAAAGAGGCTTGAGGGCCAGAGAAGGGGGTGGGAGGTTCGGCGTCTTCGGTGGTGTCTTGTTCGTTCCACTTGTTGGTATTGGTGTGAGAGCGATTTGGCGTGGCAAACAGATGGTGAAAAGCGAGGACTGGCTGGGCGAGGTAGGTGGCTAGTTCCCACTCGCTATGGCTGAACACGGCGGAAGAGAGTTGGTCGTGGAAGTTGAGCCACTCATATGCTTCATCCGGTTTAGTGAGATAGTTGTCATCTTGGTATGGTTGGTCTGGGTACGCGGAAAAGCAGTCGGTCATGATGCGATCGATGTCCCCGGATGTGTTGACCATTTCGCGTAGACGATCCATCGCTTGCCGTTTTCCTGCTTCTGCTACACCTTTCATGCCGGTAATTGAAGCGGTGGTGGTAGGGGCCGCCAGCATGCTGGGTTTGGAGAAACCAGCACCTTCTTTGAAGACACGCTCAACCACTTCTTTTGGTCCGCCGCGGCCCACGCCTCTTGCTGAGCCTCCACCGTGGGAGAGATCTGCTAGAATGTTGGCCTCAATCCATCGGCGAGTCAGCCTTTGGATTGAGTTTGCGATTGGATCGTGGGTGGCTCTGAGTCTGCCTGCGATCCATTCGCCGACAACCAAGATGCCACGAATATCACCTTCGCCAGTACTGCTGCCTGAGCCACCCTCTTTGCGGTTTGTCATGCCCCAAGATGCCTCGCACAGCTTTCGGACACCATCGCCATCATAAGGAATATTCTCCTTTTCGAAGATAGATTGCATCCTCGAGACGACAGAGTTGATGGCCGGCTTGCGAACATGAATGACCTCAGCAGCCGTGCTTTGTCGAAGCGGTCGGAGAGAAGGATGATAAACATCATTGCAGATCAGGATAAGCGGTCGCAGCAAGCGGAAATTGTCACCCTTTTTCTTTCCAGAAGGCTGTTGTGAGCGAGTCTTGTTCGAGTTTCGCGAGTCAAGAGCGACCAGATCAAGCAAGGCCTTGATAAAGCCTCCTTCACCAGCACCTCCACTGCCACCAACGACACCGTCGACCTCGTCAACGATGACACATACAGGACGACCGGCTTTACGTATCCTGCCCGCAGCAGTCTTTTGATCGACACCTCTGACGTTCTCAGTGCCGACCATATCCCTGATACGACCCTTGACCACATCTCTACTTCTCTCATCACTAGCGTTGATCTCTTGTACTTCGTAGCCGGCCTGTTTAGCGCACACATGAGCCAGAGTCGTTTTTCCGAGACCAGGGGGNCCAGTAAGAAGCAATACTTTGCGATGTGGTCTTTCTTGCTCGGCATTCTCAGCATTCTTGCGATGCTTGGGTTTTCTGTTCGAGCCCGGAAAGACGATCTCGTCCCAGCGCTTAAGCCAGTGCATAACGGAACGATGTGTACGATCATCTCCCACGAGCTCGGTGAACTTGCGCGCTCTGTATTTTTCCGTCCACATCAATGTTCGTTGATTCTTTTGTGCACTGTCGACAGGCAAAGCGGGCTCTATCGAGGGCATGGCGGCTTTTCGTTCTGCTTCTGCTTGGTCGATGACCTGCTGGGCCTTGACTTCCTTGACCAAGTTGTGGATGTCGATGCCATAGTAGCTTCTTTGAGCTTTTCCTTCAGCAATTTCGGAACGTGATGCTGCTAATCTTTCTGTCGACAGAGCTTCGGCCTTCTGCTTCTTCTTCACGGAGAACGATTTACCAGAGGAAGTGCGTATGGCGACTCTTGTCGTCGTGGGGGTATTGGTGGATGAAATCAAGGGATTGTGTATGGTACGTTTGGCGAAGAGTGACAGACCCAAGTCTTGAGACTGGGTCTGACTTAGCGGTTGCTGGCTGCTTTGTGGTTGTGTAGGTGGTGGGACTGCACGAGGTTGTTGGGTGTCTGGGAGTGGCTGCTCTCGAGCCTGGACCGGTCTTGAATCCGTCTGTGGCTGCGGTAGCGGCATGTCGTCCTCACTATCCGAGTCTTCCATGAAGACATTGTTAACAGTCTCTTTTCCCAGAGTTTGCGAAATTGGTGCTGGCGGGGTTGCGACGGCCGAGGACATGAAGGGCGTAGCGGGTGGACTCGACGGAGGATCGTGGTTTCGTTTGTGTAGAGGCTGGCTCGAAGGTATGTCTGTATACTGGTAAGACAAGAGCTATCAAGGTGCTCAGCTAGGTCATACAAGTAGAGCGGTCGTCTTCGCTGCGAAAAGTGTCTGCCAAAGGCCAGCTTCGGTGCTGGATGACGATTCCTCGTCGTTTGTTGTCTGCTCGAGTTTCTGCTTCTTGTTCGTGGAGTGCTGCTATGTCGTCTGAAAAGGTCGGCTCTTCAACAGCAATGTTCATTGGTTCATATGCTCATGTCTTCTTTTGATTGTTCTCAACAAACAGCGGTCTGTTCAAGCGTTTCTTGGAGAAGGACGACGCGACGTGAATTGCACGCGTTTGATTGACATTTGATAAACTTGCATAACTTTGTACATGCTTGCACCAGAGTATGGAGACCAATTCTCCATCCTCTCCATGTACTAAAGCATGTGACGCGTATAGCTATAGAGATGCACAATAGTCTTGAGAAGCAGGGCAGCACCCACTGAGAGACAAACTTCTATCAGCTCTCTGTGGCTATACCTCTAACATTGAAAAACACTGTGTCTTTCTGCAGGCCAAAAGTGCCTTTATGTTGCAGTGGGAGCAAGCAATATTACAGACTTTTGTATCCAGGGAGGATACATCTGACTACTCTGCCCAACCAAGATCTATCTTCAAGTTGCAAGACGAATTTTCAAACGCCATCCTGACGTCGTGTTTTACAACTTCTTCAATATCTTCGAGTCGGTGCTCGATGAATTCCTCCAGCTTGACTTGTAGGTCTAATGCTTTCGCCTCGAGACCATCCGTGAACTCTTGTCGAAGATCACCTTGAAAGTCGTTTTCAAGGTCGTCCATTCGAGATCCGAGTATCTCGACTGCACACTCTAGACCGTAGCACTCAGTTTCAAGCTCTTTTCTGATCTGTTGGGGTAAACTCAGCGCTGCTAACACTCGCGTAAAGACCAACTCTCCATGGATACCACTAGCTTTCTGCATGNNACACTCTGCAATGCGATGGATAGAGGCCCGTCAGGCAACAGAGTGAGAGAGGCATAAGCATCATCTAGTAGCTATGGACCTGGAGTAATTGTGCACACATACCTGTTTGTCGTTGCGATCAAATTCCTCCGCTAATAATGCCCGTTGTTTCTGTTCATCCACGATACTGTCCTCCACTATCAGGAGACGGTCCTCGGTGGTGTTTTCAACCGTGCTGGCTTGACTGGGAGATACATAGTATGCTTCCGAGACTGGAGTAGACGCGGGTCTGTGTTCGACAGGGGGTTCAGTCTGTGTCCCAGCATTGATTACAGGGGCACGACGGTACTGCTGCATGTCTTCACGTAGGCTTGAAAGCTCTGCACGGAGAGCCGCTATCTGAGCACTTTGAACAGCGATTGCCAACTCCCAGGGCTCAGGGGTGGCTCTCTCCATCAACATTTGTCGCTTGGAAGATGTTTGATGTAATGCAGGAGATGCTACCCGTCTCTTCCTATGGGCTCTGGAGTCACTTGACGTTCTAAAGTTTGGTGGACCTGTCGATTCATCGTTGCTGGCCCCTGGAGCCGCTGAGGGGTCATAGGGAGGTGGATTGTCAAGCGGGTTTCGAATCCATAGTTCGTCGAGGTGCGTGACAATCTTGCTGTTGCTCGTCGTGTAGAGGCTGTTGATCACGCCCACTGGGGATGGCTTCAAAATCCCTCCGGCCAGCGCATTGCAAAGCCGCGAAAGATGTTCTCTTTTGATTGCGCTCGACGGTACGTAGACAGTGAATGTCTCGAAGTGACCTATTCGCAGCAGGGCTTCAATGTTTTCGCACGCAGACGGTCTTTTNTGTAGCATCGAGTCAGGGGTGACAAGAGGTGCGTGGCCTTTCAGAACAAAACGAAGCCCTAGAATGCTGTCTGATGAAGTGCAGAATGCTCGCTTGACGAAGGCACTCTTGACACAGGACGGAACAGCTTCTTCGTCGTTATCACAGACCTCCAAGCTTTGAACATGGCTTGCATCGAGAAAGAGATAGACAAAGGCCTTCTTGACATTGTTGGCAGTGTTGATCAATCGTGCAGTTGTGCTAAGCTTGCAATGGAATGTGTTTCCTTCGAAGATCAAGTCCATGGCGTACTGGTACGATTTCGAGCCATCTTGCTTCGGAATACAGATCTGAACGAACGCTTTGGACGCGACAACAATTGATTCCATTTCATTGAGTATAGCTATATAGGAGCACCCGTCAGTCAGATACAAACAACGAAAGCAATAATCAAAGTTAGTAAGAATGAGAACCCCGCGCACGAAGCGCAGAACCCTCCCACCCGGGCTTTAAGAGCAGCCCTAACTCGCCAGAGATACAAAGGCAAGGCGGACTAGCAAGGACAATCGCTTCGACAGCCGGTTTCCAGCCCCTACAGATCAGGCCAGCTGATCTGCTCGTTGATACTTGGCTGATGGCCCCGCTCAACGACCGGTGACTGGACCCTACAGACCCCAGAAGCACTCGGAGAGTGCGACTGGACTTGAAATGGTGGCCTGCCTTCAAAAACCACCATCCTGCTAGTCGACGCGCGAGCGACTCTGAAGCTGACCTCAACCTACCCCAGCCACCCGACCGGGCTTTGTAAAGCAGCCCTGACTCAAAGGATAAAAAGAAAGGGAACGTCACCTAGAGAATATGCGTGTAAGCGATAGAAATCGATGGAAGTAAGACAGATGGATAGCACACCCACTCAGGTCACAGGTGGAGGAGGTTATAAGTTTTGGCGTCGCGAGGCAGCAGGCTTTGAGGTCGGCGCGTAGATGCCAAGATCACGCGTCATTTTTGATTATTGGCCGCAATGGCCGGCATGCGACGAAGACCAACCACGGTCTGCATCATGGGATGTGTGCTTGGACAAGCTAAAGTAGTATCACAGAATGGGACGGTGTTTGCGTATCGAGAGATGTGCGGTGGAAACCCACTTCCGGGAGGGGCATCGCAGTGGCGCAAGTTGACAGGAGGTCGAGCAGAATGTACCGAAAGCTTGTCACCCCTCGATGGACGATGACGGAGCCCACCTTTCCCAAGTTCCAACTCCTTCGTGCCCCCTGTCCAATCCGATCGCATCGTCCGTGGAATGCCATGATTCGCTTCCTTACCTCTCACATACCCTACTTAACACTCGCTCCACCGCATGGGTTCATGGCCTGAAAAAGCGCTTCAGCAAGTTTATCGATACCTACCACCAATCTACGCGCGCGACTTTGCGTATGCCAACAACGCGCCCGTAGTCCTTCGCATGGCCAGAGCTAACGTCAGCGACATTACTGCAAAGACCTTTGCCGAGTACGTTCCACCACGCTGCACTGCTTCCACTTGAGCTCTGTCCGCTTTCTTTTTGTTGGCGCAAATGCCTGACGAAGCTAAGACCTTGTGGAAAAGGCTCCTCTCTGGCCCGACAATCGACTTTTACGTCGGTCAAGAGCGTCGGCATTGGTCGCTGCATCGCAATCTGCTATGTCACCACTCGCCTTACTTCGAGTCCGAGTTCCTTGCCGACAAGACATCCAAATCTTCCCAGAGATCTGAGCTCGAACTGCCTGATCAAGACCCTACCGGCTTTGAGTTGCTTGTGAAATGGCTGTACCAAGGGACATTGGACGACACGTCCGACATGACGGATGAGAAGAAATACGACTACTCGGTAGCCTGCCACAAGCTATACCTGCTCTGCAACAAGTTCGATCTCCCAGTCCTGAGGAACGAGTCTATCGACCTATACAGACAGGGATTACTCGAAGCACAACTCGTGCCCGATGCCGAAGAAATCAACGACATCTATCGCAGCTCTCCAGTAGGCTCGCCCTTCCGAAAGCTCATGGCCCAAATCGCCGCGCGACAGATCATGGATCCAGACAGCGAAAAGAACGCTGAGAGCTACCGGAACTGCTTCAAAGACAACCCTGATTTCGCAGTCGACATGGTCAACGCCATCAAAGCTGGCACCGGAGGTATGCTTNTTGACGACCCAACAGACGGGGATCAGGCCGCATACCACGAAGACCCGGCTCCTCGTCAGCATGGCAAAGGTANNAAGGTACTTAACCCCGTGTCTTTCCTTGCCCGACTCTTAACTCCTGCCTCTGTCGTTCCACACGTCTCAGAACTCGGATAATAATGAGTTCAAGGTCCTGCATCCAAGTTGACGCCATCCCCTTCCAGACGACGACGATCGCTCTCTGCAGACGCGGGCGCGGAGCGACTCCCCGATGGAGAACGAAGACGTGACTCCGGACAGTCCTCAGAACAAGAGTCTGAGCTACCCACACCACCAGACTCCACTCGACGAGAGAACGGATACGGAGTCCGACGATTCAACGGAACCAGCAGAACCATTGCCAAGAGTCCGATCACAGGAGAAAGAGTCGAGCCAAACAACGTCAACGGAGACGCAGAAAGCCCCTCGCGAAAGAAGCCAAAGAAGCTTGTCATACGTGGAGGCCCTCCGTCGCCGCAAAGATAGAGGGCAGCCTGACTCACGCGGCCTCTGGGACTATTGGAACAACATGGCGGCCATGGGCGTCAAATGATGATTTACGAATTACGGTCTTGACGGTGCCTTTTCACTGCCTGTTCTTTTTTCCTTTATTGCTGCGAGATACCCTGATCCAAAAACATCTAATGGTTCTATTTAATGATGCATAATTTACTGCCTTTTATCTCAGCTTGACTACCATAAATTACCCCGCAAACCCTTTTGTCATCAGCCCCACCAGGATCTTGTACCTGGTAGGATCAGATGCAACCATCATTATGATTTTTGTGCCTGCAGCCGTCATTCCTCCTGTATGTTTCTCTCCGCTTGTTTGTCAGACTCGCACAATGATCCCAAGCGGTCTAACAAGTCTGCTGACAGCTATGAAGCGTCTAAGAGGAATAAATATGTGTTTCTAAGCAGCATGCCAGTTAACACCGAGACCCGAAACTTTACTCCAGGAGCGACATCATGGAAGCTTCGATAAACGGTGAGTGGGGCAAGAGCCAACGTATCCCTTAGCCTGAAAGGTCTAGAAGGCATATATAAAGTGCTTTGAGGTTGCCGAGTCTTGACTTCGATTGTTTCAATTGACTTTCTTCCTCTAACACTCTCTCACGATCACCACTTTTACAACCATGTCTGTCAAGCCCATCCTTATCCACGGCCATGCTGGTGGCCCCAACCCCTGGAAGGTTGTCCTGCTCATGAAGGAGCTTAACCTTCCTTACGAGCACAAGCTCTGGGACTTCCCTGATCTCAAGAAGCCCGAGTACGAGAAGCTCTGTGTTAACGGAAGAACACCCACCATCGAGGACCCCAACACCGGCATCACTCTCTGGGAGTCTGGTGCCATTGTCGAGTACCTGATCGAGCAGTACGACAAGGAGAACAAGTTCACATACACTTCCACTCCCGAGAAGTACTTGTTGAAGCAATGGTAAGCTGGCATCAATACACGATTGAGGAATCTCGACTAACAATCTGCACAGGNNCTTCACTTCCAAGTCTCAGGACAGGGCCCTTACTTCGGCCAGCGCGTCTGGTTCAACATCTACCACGACACCAAGATCGACTCCGCAATCGAAAGATACAGCAAGGAGATCAAGCGTGTGCTCACAGTCCTGGATAAGCACCTTGAAGAGTCGGGTACCGAATACCTTGTCGGTGACAAGTACACCTACGCCGATTTGTCTTTCATTCCCTGGCAAATGCTCCTGCCTTTCATCTTCGGAGACCAGAGCGATGCTTTCCACGCCGAGGTCGAGAAGGAGCTTCCTCACTACTGGGCATGGTGGCAGAAGATCTCCAACCGTCCTGCAACACAGGAGATGAAGAAGGAGAGAGAGGCCAACTTCAAGTAGATGTTCAACCACGAGACTTGATGGTTTCCCTCGAGACATGACGATAAATGTATACCCTGTTCAGCTTCATCTTCATCTTGATCTCGGTTACCGTGACATTGTCGTTCAATACCCCGTCGTGACCCCGCGGCCATAGATATTACCACTCGAAGCGCTCGACGCGCTCGACGCGCCGGCTTCGGGCATAGTTCCTCTCGGCGGCAGTGTTTCCCCAGCTTCTTGATGTGCCGTAGGATTGTCGCGGCCATTCCGAAGACTGCACTGCCACTTCAGCCCTGCATACCATCTCAGTGGTAATGTGTACGCATTTCCAAATGCATCTGATCGGATGAAGGCTAGCCATCATTAGGTTTGCTAGTGCTATGCTTGATTCAACAACATTGCAAACGGCTCCGAGGATGTTGGGAAAAAGGGCTTGGCTTTTTTTCCTCCCAGGTCATGACATCCTCGGCCGCCCCGACGTCTTCGACGTGAAGTCGCGTTCTTCCTCTATTCCCGGAGGCTCGTTCCAAGTAGCTCGCTCTCAGATTATTCCCACCAAGAAGCAGGTTTCGAAACACGAAGATCTGCCAACTTCCCCAACCCATCCCACAAGAACGCGCAATAGCGTGGGGTCAAGGAAACAACACACGATTATTCCCACCCGCTGAACACTGCAGGAACCCGAGTGGATAAGAATGTCGGGGTTACCCATCTCTGAATCATCGGTCTTTCCACCACATCAACCACCTCACCTGCCGCCAGTACAACAGTTCGCCACACAGTCGCCATACCATGCTTCGACTTACGGATCTGTACCTGTGACGCCTGTCAATGCATTTGCGCCACTGCGTCCACCACTCACAACCAGTGCCAGCCAGTCACCAGCTCAGGATTCAAGGCCGTACACACCTGATGGTGAACGCACGAAACCAAAGCAAAAGCGTAACAAGCCTACGCTGAGCTGTGAAGAATGTGTTGAGCGCAAAACCAAGGTTGGTGCTCTTCCATCTCTCTTTGTACCACAGCTGCTTCTGTCTCATAAACCTGGAAAGAGACACATCTGCATGACTTGCGAAACTTGGCTATGACTAGCATATATTGATGAACCACTCACAGNNTGCGACCGAGGACGTCCGGGATGCTTGGCTTGCATCAAACGGCAATCGACTTGTAGATACACTCACGTCGCCAATCTGATCGCTGATGCAAGGCATGTGACATATCGCGACTCTAACGGAAAGTGTATATGCTAACATCAGCCGANNAGCCAAAAAGACAACGGAGCTGATAAGCAAAGGCATATGGTGAAGCCACCACCAGCCAAGATCAGGAAACTCAACGGCTCATTCGATGGCTCCTCGTCCTCTCCAACGAGTGCTTCCGGCATGAAGCAAGTAAGGACTGATCTGTTCTCAAAGTTCCATCATCGCTCACCTCGTGAAACTTCTGTCGGTTTCGGGTCACCTTTCCTGCAATCACAGGTTCCCTTCTCTAAACAGACACCATCCAACATCTTTGGTATCGGATCTTCTCACCCGTTCACGAACTACTGGACATGTCAAGGCGGTCTACCTGAGGTCCTCGCAGTGTTACCAAGCAAGCAGCAGGCTGATATTCTGATCGCTAAATATTTTGAGTGTGTGGCTCCTGTATACCCTTTCCTGCATCGACGAACCTTTTACGTGGCATATGAGCGATTCTGGGCCTTGCCGGAAGGAGAACGCGAAAATGCTGATGCTGATTTGATTGCTTTGCACTTCGCATTATATGCTATGGGCACTCAATTCATGGACCTCGCAAGTTATGATGCGAAGAGTTCGAGTGCTGAATTCTTGGGCAAGTCTGACCACTGATAAGAAGATTAAACAAGTCACTAACCGAGTAACANNGCCTCTGCTGCCAATCAGGCACTTCGCATCTACTCCTATCTGAACAGATCATCGCTCAGAGCTCTTGGTGCTCAGATTCTGCTGTGTTACTTTTTGATGAATGACAACCATGCATCAGATGCGTATGCTTGGTCCGGAATCATTGTGCGACAGGCCTACGCATTGCGACTCCATCGCGACCCTGACATAATCCTCCCAAACATCTCACCTGTGGAAAAACACACGCGAAGAAGATTCTGGCAGGCCATCCTTCATCAAGACACGTTCCTCACTGTGCTACTTAAGCTGCCACCAACAGCCACTCACAGCGATGTGTCAATCGACTCTTTGACTAACGAGACAGAGGTTGAAGCTCAAGACTCGACGAGGTACACAGGCAGCAGTGCTCGCATCGAGAACCTCATGAGCATCAGCGTGATTGCACCCNCCNAAGACCTGCCCAAGCAGCCCGAACCGCCCATACTACCACATCAAAGAATTACCGAAGACGTCGATAAAGCAGATGTCTTGTACGTCAAATCATTGTGGCGATTGGCACTCAAAGTCCAGGAGAACCTCTGCTCTCCAGTCTCTCTGTCCATCCCGATAGCCAAAAACGCTCGAGCAAAGACAACCCTGGTCAACTCTTTCCGTGAGATTTGGAAGTCTGCGCCTTCTTTCCTCACAACTTCAGACTACGAGACTCTGCGCCAGATGGCTCAGAACAGCGGTCGTGCGGTTCGCCAAAATCTGTTCTTTACAAGCAACTACTACCACTGTCTGATGATCATTCAAGCCTTCGAAGACGCAGAGGTTGGTGTAGAACTCAACTTCCGCGGTGCATTGGAAGCAGCCCATGAGGCAATTTGGGCCTACTTCAAGCTCAATGACTTTTTCGAAGGCGATGCTGGGGTATGGTGGGTTTTCCAACACCGAGCTTTTGAAGAAGCTGTAAGTTTTGTATATCAATCATTATGATGTGGGACCAAACTAATGTTGGACTGTAGCNTCACTATGACTGATCTGCTGGCCACTCTACCAGCAAATGAAGCAAATTCTAAAGATCAGCTTTACACCAAGTGCAAGGAAGCTGTGCGTCGCATGATCGATCTCCTGCAGCGACACGGAGGATCTCAAGAGATGAACAAGCACAGACATGGAGCATTGCTTACCGCTTACGAGCATGTTGCCATCTGAACAACATGTATCAACCTTTCTTTTCTTTTGCGTTTCCTGTACAAGCTCCCCCTCGCACATATATGTACATAACTTTCCAAGGCGAACTACTGTAGCCACTGTTGTTTTCTTCTGTCGTTGATAGATTCTTACTGCATTTTCCTCCTGTATATCTTGTTTGTCTTTCCTATGGTTCTCTTCAAGGCTCTGTCAACACACATGACGAGATTCGCTCTCTATTCTGCTTCTCGATTTCTGTTGCCAGCCTTTTGAGTTGATCTCATTCTTGTACATGGGCTTGAGGTTTTCTAAGACATACCTCCTGCTAACCTGTGACAAAGACTCTAACACCCGAGAAGAGAAGAACGAGAGGCCAAACCCTTCTCCACTTTCCAAGTTCAACTCCTTCCCTCAAAGTCTCTCCTCTCATCTTTTCTCCCATCTCCACTCTCTCCACTTCCTGTCCTGGGTCTTCACAAAGAATGGCGACAAGGAAAAAGGGTTGCGGGTAGCGGCCCGCTGGCGCACCACATCCGCAGCAGTCTTTTATGTCTTCCAGAACCCGTCAGCAGCCTATCGCACCATGTTAGACCCGAGACCAGTCTTTGGGTTCGGGCCTTAACTTCGTGCTTACTTGCATTGCCGTGCCGTGGGTCCCACATGCCTCAATGTTGACTACATGTCACGTCTTTTGCGGCCCGTGGTCTTCGCCAAAAGAGCTATGTCTGTCATTCTTGGAAAGTCTTGAGGGCATTCAAATGCTAACAGCCTCACATTTCGCACAGAGGAAAAAACGATAATGCTCGAGATATTGGAAAAAACGAGGACCGACCAACTTGCGGCTCTCTTGGAATTAGGTGACTATCTAGGCAAAAACGAGAAAAGAATCAAAAGCGAGAGTTATGGTATAGCTGATAGCAAAAATAAATAAAAAGGGGGTATCTCAAGCATGCTTCTTCTTGGAAGCGCAAAAGCCGAAAACCGAAAGAGAAGTAAAGAAAAAACGCCCAGATGCACCGTCCCAGTCAAAGCCTGTTTGTCTTGTGTGTGTTGGTTTTTCCGATTAAGTGTAAGTGTAGTGTTGATGTGGATTAAGAATGATAGTGTAGATGTGGTGGTGTTAGTTGACGGTGAACAAAAAAGACAAAGTGGTATCAAACGCCCGCCAGTCTCGCGAGAGACATGCCTTTGAAATCTAATCGCAAAGGTGTATTTCCAGAGGCCGGAAGAAAACGGAAACTCCAAGAGACGCGATGAGTGGATGGGATGTGACGAGATGGACAGGACCAGAGTGCGCCGCCGATGATGCTATCTATTCGTCGCAAAGAGCAAGGCAACAAAAAGATATCGATGATGTCGTCAAGGCGGGTGGTTCGCAGAAAAGGGCAGTCACAAGCCCGACGATCATCTGCGTGACAGGACGCCAAACGCCAAGAAAAAGAGGGAGTAGCAAATAGGGTGTAAAGGAATCCGAAATTGTCGAACCACATGACTGAGCCTCATGCACGCAAGACTTGAAACTCTGCATCATGCATTGGCAAAAAGCTGCTCAGGTCAAGAGGCGAATGTGCCTAGGCTTGCGTAGTGCGGTAATCTTTCCAGTCCTGCTGCGGCCACAAATGAGGCAACGACTGACTGATCGATGGAATACGCTGCTGTTGGTGGCCTTGAGGTACTTGCGGGTTGGTCGTCTCCCACAAAGTAGCGAAATCTATGCTGTTCGTACGGTTTGGCACAATGGGCTCAGTTGTGTAGTGAGTCGATGGCTGATGCCAGCCGACACCGGGTTGAGGCCCTTGAGCATGAGATTGTTGTAGTGGCGGCTGTTGACTTTGATGTTGATAATGATGCTGCGGCTGGTATTGATGTTGCTGGTGTTGTTGTTGTTGTTGTTGTTGTTGTTGCTGCTGCTGCGCCTGCGGCTGCTGTTGCTGCATCATGAGGCGTGAGTCGCCAAGTCCAGCTGACATGGCACCCATACCTGCTGATATGTTTGATTGATGCATGGGCATGCTCGTCGCGGTCATGCTGGTAGGGAATGACATGGAAGTGTTGCTTGTGACTGAAGGAGGGGACGAGCTGTGCAGCTGATGTCTGGGTGGTGCGACCGAGCTTGGAGAGGGCAAGGCGCCAGCAGTCGAGGAGTAACTTGCAGACTGTGTTGACGTTAGTACAGAGGAAGCAGACGCAGATAACAGGATTGTAGAACTCACGTATTTGCCAATGATCTTCTTGAGGGCGCCTGCAAGGATTCTCCAGGGGAAGACCTTGACGTCCTTCTCAATGTTGCGTGGCTTGGGACTTGGGAATCCCATGATAATCTTGAAGAACTCTTCGCACTTGGTCTTAGTCTTTGACACTGTCTGAGGTCTGAAGCCTTCGAGGTTGCGACGGATGCGATTCTTCTCTTCGACAGTGAAGCGAACGGCAACCAAGGACTCCAAGAGTTGAATGGTATCGACACTGGTGATGTAGCAGCCGTTCTCCTCCTCCCACCAGATGCAGTTGACGTAGATGCAACCAGGCGCTTGCGCATGTTCCTCGGGTGTAACGGGTTGGAAGGAAGCAGAAATGACACTACCATTCTGACTGCGGCGGAAGCGTACAATGCGACGTCTTGCAGAAACCTCGTCGGCGTTCCAGTCGTTGGCCATGCCGTTAAGATCACCCTCCAGCTTGAGAACAGCTTTGATGTTGGAAGGGTACATGGCGTATGGGTTGAATGGTTGGCTCGGTGACATGCCAGTAGGCGACGGCTGCAGAGCAGTCGTGCGAATGAGAGGNGGATTCGCACCGCTCGAGGAGACGTTGGTGACTTGAGCAGTAGGTGCTGCCCGGTCACTGGTCATATATGCCGAAGGGTACGAGTTGAAGGGCTGTGGTTGAGGCATACCAATGGGGGTAGGAGCCAGCCTGTACGTCGGTGCTTGTTGCAGAGTCTGCGAGTACTGGGTAGGTGCCGGGGCGTTGAAAGAACGAGCGTACGAGATTGCGCTGGAAGCCGTCTGAGGACGAGAGGAATATGGGTCGACCATGTTGGACGAGGGTGGGGAAAATTTGACTTCACCAGGGTTGTGAAGAGGAGAGTCGCGGAGGTTCTGCGACGAAGGACGCTTGTTCGGTGACTGGGCGTCTTCTGACATCTTCCTCTTGCGCGTGCTGCCTTGCGATGGACTCGAGATGGCATAAGGTGTCGCGTCCGTGTATGTGTACTGACCAACCTCGACAGGCACGTTCAAGGCTTGCTTGTTACTGTCTACCATCTCCAGGTAGATGGTGACTGCAGTGCTCGATGATGCAGTAGCCTCGAATGCGGGAACGTCAACGAGAATGGCAAAGTTTGGTTGCTGGCCAGAACCGGGCAAGGTGGTGAGACGACCTTCGCAGCGCTTGTTACCGAAAGACACGATGAAAGAGACTCCGTTGCTTTCCAAGTCCTCAGTGGCGTTCATGTAGATGATGAATCGACCTCCTGCAGGACCTCGTTGTGGCGTAAGCGAGACGATTTCAGGCAAGGTACGGGACCCGGCAGCCATGTAAGAAGGATAGGATGGTGCATTTTGTTGAGCATAAGACGAGTCATGGGATTGGTATGACTCTTCAGTTAGCAAAGGGATTTGAGCAGCATCTGGGAGACCAGATGGAACCTGCGCGTGGGAATTTGAGTAGGAGAGGTTGAACTGTGATTGGTTGTATGCGGGATAGCCAGGTGCCTGATCAGGTCGTGTGGCAATGCCGTAGCCTAGTTCGGTACTGGTCAGTCATCTGCCATGATAAAGCCTCGCACCCTCGGGTAGATTCGTTAAGCGGCCGAGAGTCTCTTTTGGAAGCACCAATGACGTTGATAACATACCGTAGCCATAGGATTGGGGTTTCTCGTAACCCGACATTGATGCGAGTAGATTTCCGTAGTTGGAAGAAGCCAGGAGGCCACCCTTTTGGGCCTCCTGACAGGCAATAATGACTGACTCTGGGATGGCGGATTCGTCGTCGACAATGACAGGCGCACTTTTCAGTTGCGGAGGAGTCTGTGAAGAAGGGAATGATAGTCAGGATAAGATGCTCAGACAAAGAATAATTGAGAAAGAAGAGATGGTCGACGAACCTGAAGGCGCATAAGAGTGCTGACCGCCAGGTTTGCAAAGTAGCGGAGAAGAGAGTCAAAACGAGGCACGGAGCGACCTCAAGAATGCACACCGCGACGAAGGTCGACTTGCGTCAGGTGGGCTGGGAATCAGAAACCTGACGAACGCTTTTGCTGGAGTAATAGAGCAAGAACCCGTCGATGGCTTGCACGCGCGGAATTCGATGCTTGATAATTGATGGATATACGAGCCAGAAACAAGATGCAGTCCGTAGATCCAGCCAGGTCTTACTATGGAATTATTAAAAGAGACAGTCCAGCTGAAGTTGGAAGGATTGTCGATGATAATACTCGGCGAGGGCGTTCGCAGGAGATTGCAGGTGTCTTCCGAAGATGGACCCAAGGTTCTGGATACACGGCTAAGGTAAGTACCCGTTCCGACTTTGACGATGTTGGGCAATGCTTTCAAGACAACATGTGTGATGAAGCAGAGGTTAAGCCCGTGATAGAAAAGGGAATACTGACTATCGTTTCGCGTGGACAAAGAATTGGTCGAGCTGGAGTGAACCGGATGGCGCGATGAATATTAAAGTCTAGGCTGGCCTGCGATTAGCTTTTTGCACGATTGACCAAGTCTGTCGGCGCCGTTGCAAGCATGCAAGGAGGTTGAAGAAGCATGTCCCGACGTCCAGGATAGCACTCACATTATTTCAAGTAGAAGCTGAGTGGATCCGGTCCTTTGGTATTATGTGCGACAGTAGATGCGCAAGATGAAGACAGTGGTGTGTGGGGGTGTGTGTATTAGTTTGATGTCTTGGGGTTGATAGATTATTGGCTAAAAGTTGGCCATCCAAGTATATGCAAGGTCGAATAGGAAGTAGCTGAAAGTATGGATGATTGGGTCGCTATGCACGCAGCCGTGATCCGGATCTGAGTCAAGGTGTTTCAACAGGTCTCGCAAGAGGCAGGTGCGATTTGGATAAATGTTGGTTGACAGCGTGGGGCGTGACTCTCTTGAGATATGTGGAGAGCGAGGTTGCTGCGGTGTTAGTGAGAGTGTGCCTCCCTTTGCCGGGTCTTGGGATGCTGCACACAAGAGGGGGATGGCCAGCAAGTCGGGTAGAGAGAGGAGGGTTTAGGCGGAGAGGAGGGATAGTGATGTGTTAAAAAGAAGGGCACCGAACGGTATCAGTGCATTTTGTGGAAGCCATTTGAAGCGCATCATCGGCCGCTGAGTGGATGACGGGGAGCTTGGAGCAGCTCCCGCAAATCGTTCTAACCGGTGACAGATGGAGCACTAGAGCCAGGAGAGGAGAAGCAGCACGGGTTCCTGTGGGCGCCGCCTATTCCGGGTCTTGGGCTTGCGCGCGCGCCGGTGCGCCGGTCTGCCCTTGCATTCCAACAGAAACCTTAAGCAACTTTATCACGACGGTTTCGACCTGTCAACGGCCACCTCAAAAGCTGCAACTGCTTTTCGCAATACAGAAAGGACCACCACCGTGTTGGCTGTCGACTCCAACCCTCGGCCATTCTCGGGCGCGAGCGTTAACGGCTGCGCGCTCTGGTCATCAGCTATATCAGATGTGGTTCGTCGGCGGACAAACGGCATTGGTCGGGCCCAAAGTAAAGGCCTCTTCTTGGCCGAAGAAGCATCTTAGCCTTGAGAAGCAGCGGAGCGCAATGGACGATTCGAGTGGACCTTGCTTGACGCGCCCGCTGAGGCATCTATCCCATACCTCGATCAGCGGCGATGACAGAAACTGGGAAACAGATGCTGTAGATGTGCTGGTTCCTGCATTACAGTGATCTGCACGGTTCGTCCGCCGCAGAGAACCCTGAGTGCTTTTTCTTTGACCCTTGCCTCTGACACTGGCCAAGCACCAGCAAGGAGAATTGTCGATGGAAGGGGTTTGGTGCCAGAGGCTGTGTAGCGGTAGCTTTGCCGCTTCGGCGTCGATCTACTCTATAGCGTCCCAAACGGGACGAGATCGACCGCTTCGTCCTACCGGTTCTTTCTAGCTGGTATCTCCACAAATTCAAATTTCAACCGTCGACTGCAACCAAATCTGCCTGCGACGTAAGCAAGATGCGCGCACTGGGCTTCTGTCATCTTGGCCGATCGCAACTTTACACGACCTTCTCCTTTTTTATTTCCCTTCTCATTTCCCAAGCAAAAGAAGTCGCAAACAGGCACCNGAATGGACCAAGTCATGAAGAGTGCCTCGCAAACGCNNTCGAATTGAAGCCACCCTTCCATGAATCGCGCGCACTTGTTTCGCAATTACAACGGTCATTGTATGCGCCAAACGGCCTTCGATAGCACCAAGAGTGCCCGTTGCAATCCTTCTATCGATATTGGTGATAGGTTCGCCGGTCCTTCTGCAGCTTCTTCTGCTTCTTCTACTCGAGAGCCAATATCGATACCACCGTTGCTGCATTATCGCAACGTCTGACATGGAAACGGTGCCGGCNGCCCTACCGTCGGGATCATTGACGTCCTGCACGACATCTTCCACTGCACACGTTTGCTTCCAATACCTATACCGCAACTATTCGACAGCTACTATGGATTCTAATCAACTCTTTTCAGGAAATGGCTCTCTTTCTCAGCACGTGTGTGGTGCTTTGGCTCATACTTTTCTGAGTAACGCGAAGAGAATTTCTGGCCAGCCACGCGTGGACTCAACTAGACTACTGACTTCTGGCCAACGGAGTCTGTTGCTGCTCCACTATACATATAACGACTTTCACCTTGAACAGACCTTTCCGGATCAGGATGGCGACTCTAGGTACACAAGGACTTTGGCCATGTACTCATCATTCGGAGAAGCCGCAACAGCACTATCCGACCAGCTGGATTCGATCCTGCTCGTGGAGTCTCTGTCTCAGCAATCTGGTTACTAGCTATCACCCTAACGGCATATTGGCAAAAGTAATGCTACCAGCGACTGCATCGGTCTGGTTTCTTGGTAAAGAGCACATCAAATATTGGCAGAGGTAGGAGTAATCTGCTTCCAAAAGGTAACTGGATGCCTGTCGTATTCGGGTAAGTCATGTAGAAGCGATGAATTTCCTGGACCAACTCAGAGTTGGTACCATCGCGAGCCTCATGCTTCTTCTCTTTGCTTCCAGAACTCTATCTCTCTTGTTTCCCCTCCTCGCACCCCGTTTACGCGTCGGTTGACCCGACGGCACATCCGGATATCTACCATACTTTTCTTTGAGCGACCGTTTTAGCCAATACTCACTCGTGACCATCGCGAGGAATTCTCAAAGAGATCGCCAACGGTCGCAATTCGCTACGACGAGCCAAGGGCAGCATATCAGGCAACGCTTTGTCTCAGACGAGCGGGGACACACACAACGAAAAGGTCCGCCTGTACGTGCGAAGCAGAATCTGCGAGGAGGTTGGTATTCACTCCTGTTGTCCGTTTCCGGCTTGAATCACCAAGGGCTACAATCTCAAGCAGTTACAACCAGTGGTTTTTCTGTCTTAGATGCGAAGGTATGTCTTGGTCTCACGGGCAGCTCGCCCGCACGCGGTCTCTGAGACTCGGGAGCAACCCTCGGAGTATGACTTGTCTTCTCTTGTACACGGATATGAACTCTGTCTGGCATGTTTCTCCCTGCTTGAGCCTGTCTATCCTTACCCGCTCAGAAACACGTCCATCTCCCACGACGACAGCCATCAACTTTCACGTTGTCGCATCTGAGTAACATGTTCTAGACATGCTGGAGAAGGTTAACCTGCCTCGTGTCTCGGTAGGCCAGTCAGATTCGTTGTTTATAACCCTCATCTTCCTGCCTCAGGACATCAGAACAGTCTGCCGTTGGACTAGCCGTCGCCTGTCCACCTCGACCAGGTGACCAACCGGCCTTCAAATAAAAACAAACCAGCCCCTCATCCATGTACATTGATCCTTCGCTCAGCCTTTGGATTTGCAATCTGGCAAGTTCGAGTGTCTCACTACATCATGATGTGATATCCACTTGATAACATCACCACTGTTGCGCGTCAGGTCGGTCTAGGCAAGCAGATGAGTAAGATTAGGGGTGGATACTCTACCGACGTTCTTCCTGCGCGATTTCTCAAGCGATCTCTCCTGACCATTTTCGAGCAGCCCACTATTCCCGTACGCTCATGTTGCTTGGTGTCTTCCTCCAAGACTGTGCCACGTATAGTCACCTACGGAAAGCTGCGAGTGCTGGTCGCGGCAAAGCCTGTATGGATATCTGATTGAAGCATCGCTTTCACTACTGGTGTTGCCTTCCTTTAGTCCGTTGAAGTTGTACACTGCCAGCTGATTGTGATGCAGGGCAGTTTATCTTGACTGATGCTGCGCAGTGCATTCCTGGTTTTACCTGTTTTCCATTCCTGATAACTCAAGCATATCAAGCACCTTCTACCTCAACCTCAACACACAAAACTTCCTCGAACCTCAGTCCCACACCTGAAACACAACGACCTCTCAAATCGATTTCCGAAACCCGCAACCTCGAATCGTGACTGCAACAAACTTTTACAATCTACAGTTCGGCTTCTTCCTTCTACCTTCTCAGGATCTACTCTCAAGTCTCCATCCCTTTTCTCCACACCTAAGCACACGAAACACAAGGGTCCCATCTACAAAAGCACGCACCAATGTTTTGCCATCTACAACAAAACTCTATTGAGATTTTCTTGCCGCCCGGCACTTTGCGGTTTGATTGTTTGCAACACGAGTCGCACTCACGGCAGCAGAGATGGTGGTTGCTCGCAGCGACTCATGGCAGCCAACGCTCGTCTACACTCACCCGAGCTGGCGCCTGTCAAAAGAAGATGCGAGCAAATTTGACCCAACCACAACACGTGAGGTGAGGAGATTCGTGTTGTTAATATATGATTTGGCAATACGATCAGCGAGTCGGCAATCCGAGAGAGTATATATGTTCTGTCCAGGTATGTTGGTTGTGTGCAAAACACGAAAGGGAAAGGGAAAGAAGATATGTCGTTGACCTTGCTCGGCGACACCCGTGTCCTGCATATTTTCCATCTCTTGGCTTTTTTTCTCCATTTCCTCCTTTGAATTCTTCTTCTCGCAGCATCTACGTTTTCTGACAGCAAGTGGTGGCAACCTTGTCCCATTCGGCCGGCGGGCGTCGCGGCGCAAAAGAGGCAAGCACAAGAAGGCAAGTGCCGAATTTCCCAAAAGGCAGTGGTGACGGAGGTGTGGCCGTCCATCAAGGTATAATAGATTAACAATATAAATAATTAATGCTCTTGCGACCAACAACGGCAAGTATCTACGGGATCTTCAGTTTTTCATATATTCACCTCTCTCTTTCTGGTCGTCACATCTCTCCGATATTCGGCTATAAAATTGCACAGTGGCATTCATAAAGTTGGTTATATCCATTGAGAGCGAGCAGACCATGGTTCTCTCTGGACATCTCTGCTATTGTGAAATACATCGTGCATTTTTATAGTCATCTTTTCTACAGTCATGTCCACTGAGAGCAAGCAAACTTGAAAGCATGTTATCGCATCTCCATGTTACTATACACCTAGAAACACGACTATAAAAATGCACAAAGTCTTTCAGCTTTCTACTCATGTCCATTGAGACCTAGCAAACCGCAAAACCCTCACTGGGCAAGCTCTCATCTGCAAAAACTACTGTGTATCTCTACAGCCACTATTCTACGTATCGTTCACCATTGGAAGCAATGAGTATTCCCTACTCTCCCACTGAACCATCGCCTCGAAACACACCTATAAAAATGCACAATTCTTTCCAGAAACCCACTCATCTCCACAGAAAGCCATCAACTTTTTACATTTCTCTGGACACGCCCTCTTTTCTAGATACGATCCTGCATTTCTACAGATGCATATCAATCGCAGTGTTATCAAGGAGACAAGGAGAACACCACAGCATCCCCGATAACAACAATGCACAAAAGTTGCCTATAAAAATGCACAGAGAAATATGGAGATAAAGCAATGTCCAGAGAAACACAAGAATAGTACCTTCTTTCACTGGACAAGCTTCGTACTCTGAAAAACATTGTGCATTTATATAGACGTCTACGGTTGTGGTTCTGGTATGTGGGAGTGGCATATTACTGGAAAATCCACTATCATCAACTCAAAAGTACAAACCAGTATCGACGCCGCCGAACGGCGCAGCGCGAGATACATTCGTCTTGTTTGAGAGAGAAGTATGAAGAGAGATGGCAGACTCGCAGGCCTGTTCATTATGATCTGCTATAGAGACTACCAAAACTCACGCGCCGCTCGGCGCAGCCCGAGATTCGATTCTTGGATTTCCAAAGAGACTATCCAGCCAATACGCGGGCCCCTTCGATCGAGCGCGACGTACCTCGCCGTTTTACTTAGTAGGCGAGCAAATCTCCACCCTCATCCTCATCGTCGTCAACGTCTATGCGAGCGGGCTCGCGTGAATCGCGGCGATTGTGCTGGAGGTATGAAATATCCTCGGAGTCCTCCTGCTCGCCTCCTCCCAGAGCGTCATCCTCTTCATCTTCGTCGCCGGTCCAGGTAATCTGTGGCTGCTTGCGGGTGAGCTCTGAAGACTCGCCCTCATCTTCTTCGTCATTGTCGTCAGCGTTGATGTTGAAGTCGACGTCTTTCTTGGCCAGGCCTTCTTCAACAGCGAAACCGCTCTTCTCCATGAGCTGCTTGAAACGACGTCTCAAGTCATCAGGGTCGTACTTGGCACCACCATCCTTGGTGATTTCGTTGGCGATCAAGGCCCACTTTCTCTTGTTGAAGTTGTCTTCGAGTTTGGCCTTGATGTTGAAGAGGCGAAGGTTGTCTTCAGGAACCATGTTGACGAAGGCAGTCTTGAGGCGTTCGTAGCGGTTGGGGATAGTGCTGCTACCGTGTTTAATTCCCTCGAGTTCAGCGTAGCGGGCCTTGCAATCAGCCCATGAATGACCAGCCNNTATAGAAATGATCAGAGATGAGCTTGATCAAAGAAGAGCACAAACACTCACATCGCGCATGGTGATCAGGGTCTGGTCGGCGATGTCGCATTCCTCAAAGGAACTAGGGATGGGCTTGAATTGGGCAATGCCATTCTTGGGTGCCTTGNNGTTATGGGTTAGTACACGTTCTGCGACCAATTTGTGGAAGTAGCTTACCTTGCGAACGCGCTGATGACCCATAGTGTTCAGGACATTGGCTGTAGCCTTCTTGGTCGACTTTCTGGTAGCAGTNGCCTGCCTTTGACTTCCTAGAGGGTGTGCTGGGTTTAGGAGTGGGAGGGGTAACTGCTCTCTTGCGGCCCTTGGCCTTGGTCGATGAGCCTGTAGCAGGGGCCTCTCCGTCATCGTCAACTTCCTCTTCTTCGTCACCAACCACAGCTGCCTTCGCCTTGCCTTTGCCCTTGCCCTTTCCACGAGTGGAGAGTAGCGAGCGGTCTTCGTCAGTGTCTTCTGCGTCGCCAGCAATAGCTGCCTTTGCCTTAGTCTTAGCCTTGCGGGGAGTAGGCGTCTTCTNTGGCAGGGCCTGGCTCTGGGNATGGGTGTGGAAGGTCTCGAAAGGGGGAAGGCTGCTTCCATGGGGCTGGGACCGGGGAAGAAGTCCTCAGATGGCTGAGCGACATTTTCATTCAAGTCGAGGTCAGGAATTCCTCCAGCATAGCCAGTAGATGAGTGGTGAGGTGACGAGGTATAAGGGTTGGGAGCGACGTAAGGAGTCTTGGCATCGTAGGTGTTGACAGAAGGGTCGAAGGGAGTCTGCATGCCGTAAAATTGGTGGGTGTGGTCGTTCTGGGCAGGAGAAGAGCTGTGAATGGCAGACGAGTGGTAATCAGCAGTGTCGGTATCGAAGCCGTGGTAGCCGGGTGTCTTTGCGTTCGTGGTCTCCTCGAAATCACCATTGAAGTGATTATTGTGAACCATATCACCACCGTTCATGTTGGCCATGTTGCTGTAGTCATAGCCAGCCAATCCACCTTCGAGCATGGAGTGTTCAGGCAAGGATCCAAAGTGTTGGGTAGTCACGCCGAACTCGAAGTCCATGGGTATGGCGCCAAACTGCTGGCCGTTGTTAGGCATCATGTCGGCTGAGTGTTGCATAGACCATCCTGTGCTGGTATCACCGGCCATGTCTGTCTTGTCGACCAGGGGAGCGGGGGACTTTGAGGAGTCCATATTGCGTATAATGTGGACTGTGTGTGTGATAGTCAAGGCTTTCGAGTCGTCTCTGAACAAAGAAGAAAGCTGTCGGAAGAGAGGTTGTTATAGAAGCAGAGTGTCGAAAACACGAAGCACACACTGGTCGACGAGAGGTCAAAGTCTTGTGAGCGCTCGACGTGGTATCTGGGTGTGAAAGTGTACGTGACTGTCGTTCAACAAAGGTCAACCTGTCGGAAGAGAGGATATTATAGAGATGGAGTGTCGAAGGCACGGATCGATTGAGCAAGTGGCGCGATCCGGAGATACGGTACCCGGGTGTGAAAGTGTGTATGCTTGTCGAGACTCTCAAGTTGTCACTGGAGAGAGGAAGAAACTGTCGGAAAATAAGAAGTTTTCCAAATAGGTGGTCAGATATACGAAGCACAAATGGATCGACGACGTGGCGCGACCCGGTGAACGCTCGTTGCAGTGCCCGTGAAACGACTCGATGGCTGTGAAAGGGGTAATCGACCCTCAAGTGAGCGAAGCGCTACTCCGTCTGTTTGTTGTTTTGTCCGATATGTCGGCTGACAAAGAACAATTTGGTTAGGAAAGAAGCACTTAATCGAGAGAGTAACCCCGTCGAAAGGCAGGATATTGTTCAAGTAGAGCGTCGGTTGTTGGAAGTGTCGAGTTGTCGACTCAAGATCGGCTACCTTGTGAGCGCTCGAGGCGGTACCCAGGCAACGACTCGGTGGATGTGAAAGTTGTCGAAGATACTCGAGCGAGGAAACCGCTCGTCCGTCCGATTAGTCCTCTCGATGTGTGCTTGTTTCTCCCTTGATTCTGTTGATTATGACAAACGCAACCTCCTTCGAATGTCGAAAGAGGACAAATAGGGAATGTTTGATTCTGAGAGACTGTGGATCCTTGTTGGTAGTTCGACAAAATGTTGTCGAGTCAACAAATTATCCCGCAGAAGTGGTTGGACCTTACAACTCGTTCGTGGTAATGCTGAGTGAAAGTGTTAATCGCGTCGACTAGATCAGATGTGGATCGACGGTCGCGAGTGAAAGCTCTCAGATACGAGTAGACGGGCGAGTGAAGAGGGGTAGACAGACTCAAGACTCCTTTCTACAAGTGAACTATGTCGTTCGTCTCTAGAGTAACTTCGAGACTCAAACAAGTAGTATCAACCACCAACTCGCAATGCGATTGCAGTCTTCACTTCACACAATGTGATCCAGTCTTCGTCGGTACAATCAGGGTACATCGGGGGCTCACTCCAACTGCCATCATAAGAGCCATCTTCGAACGGAGGCTTCCTCCAAAATCCGTCGTCCAGAACTCGATACCTTTGCGCCCAGAGTCCAGTACCAAGGTCCTTTGACTTCGGAAACGCTGTGTTGTCATACCAATCACCAAATCCACATCGTATTGATCGTAGCTTGATCAGTTCAGTCGCAAAGCGAGAGAAATAGTGGTGCCATCGAGCCGGGTACAAGAAGCTTGATGGTGCAAGGATTGATCCTGTGGTGCTCGAGTTAAACAATGGTTCAATGGGGTAATTGTTCGAGTCCAGCGTCGACGGTATGCGTACACCAATGACAATAGGACAATTGTCAAGAACAAGCTCTTCGAGAGTGCTGCTGTGTGCCAAAATCCAGTTCAGTTGTTCATCATGGCTGAAACTCATTCCTCCAAGCATCAGAGATCGCAGAACTGGAAAGGTGGGCAGATGACACTTTGGAAGGTATCCAAAATATATGTCTCGCGAATACAGCTTCAGATGTGTCAAGTTGTTGCGAATCGGTTCGAGCCACTCTTGCACGAGCCGTTGTCCAAAGAACGAATGAAGCTCTTTCTTACCGAGGTTCGCAGGCAAAGAGCCATCACCGTCAACATCTTCGGTGGCGATTTGAAACTCCAATCTTCGGATCCGCGACATGACCGCTCTAAAATCTCTAGATCGAGCCACTACCTCGTTCCCGCAGCCTTGCAAATTCTCGATACAGAGGTGATCTAGCTTCGGCGTCGCATAGTTGGAATTCAAGCCAGTAAACAGACTTTGCAGCACATCCGTCCTGAACTTGATACTCTCGGGTACATTTCGAGCCCACCAGTGGCGTCGCTGCTGTGGGCCAACACACTCACTGCTGCATTTCAGTGTCACGGAGCGTAAATTGGCAAGTCGCCCCAGCTTCTTCAAGACAGCCAGAAAGGATTGCAACAGCTCTTCGTCACGGTACTCCCAGTCATACGTATCCATGCAAGTATCCGTGTACTCCGCCGTATCGATCGTGAGTTGCGTCACAACAGAACACAGATCCGGTTTCTCAAGCAGGCTTCGTAGATTGCTGATGCTCTTCGGCCTTAGCAAGAGCGTCGGATTGCGGAAGACTAGTCCGGTACAAACGTCGGCACATCTCCTGGAAACACATCGTAATGATTTTGTAGCATTACAACCGCCATGTTCATCAAATTCTTGCGCGACGATCCTAAGAAGTTCCAATGGAAGTTGGTCAAAGTGGGAAACTGTTGATATCATGGGTGGTTGGTAGTAGCTGCCTGCAGCCGGTGGCTGGGAGATTGCGGGGTGATATTCCGGTGCCTTCTCTGATGGGCTGCTCTTCTCTGGCGGAGGAGTCGCTTGCTGCTGAACGATATTCATGTTCTGTGTTCTGAGTTGTATAGTATGCTCTTACTGTACAGGGAACTGGTATACGGGTGGAGAAGAGGTCAGGGATGTCAGATTGCGTGATGAATCATGTGGTCTCGATTCGCCGGCTCGGTCTCCAACTGCTTCATGGAGTTATACCCGTAATCCCCGATACCACTTCTTCCTCAGTACAAGGGATGCTCTCTTTCCGATGCAGTCTCGGACGACAGTTCTTCACCTCAAGCAATATTCTCAGCTCGGAAAATTGTCTTGTAGAACTTCTTGAATTCCAACTCTGACTTGCTGACGTGCTATTACAGACTCAAGACGATTTCTCAGAGGCATGAGAGCAGGGTCACCCCAATACAAGCCTCAAAGACTGATTTATCTTTCTTACTGTCAGCTTTTGTCGATATTGTACTTTTCTTGTATGGACAAGCTCTTTAGCATATCGAAATCTGTATTGTGGATATTGAAGGTGTGGAGCATAATACCAAATGAGATAATCGTATTTCTGTATTTCTGCAAGCTACTCTTCTCGGGCACACGCCGATCCAATCAACCTGAGCGAGTCATTGTTGGTACGGGTCACGATGGTAAGGTGGTCAAACTTAATCGTTACAGTCGCAGACAACAGGTAGATGGAATAAGAGAAGACAATTCATCAAGTATACCACGTCGTGATGACCCGATCAATGATGTTTGGTATGAGCTGTTTCGACTGCACAAAAAAGAAAAAAAGAAAAGAAAAAGAAAAAGAGTTACAGAGAAAAGAAGAAGAAGAAGGAAAGGAAAACAAGCCACAATGGTGCAATCGTGCCGGAACAAAATGTCAAGTGGAGAGAGAAGGCACAATAGTATCACGGTATGGTGGTCTGTAAGCAATGGTCTAGGTTCTGAAAAGTATTTGATTTTGGATTGGAGCAGTGAATTGATTGAGGAGGAGAAAAAAGCGTTGCTCAGCAACTTAATTTGGACATTGAAAAGCGGTTTTCCTTTCACTGGAGTCTTTTCTCCCCCTCCCAGTCGTGATCGTTCGTAATAAGCTTGTCGAGGAGGAGCGGTCGCGTATTTTATGCACTCGGTCGTGCTCGATATTGGTACGGCAGCGAGGGTGTTCGTATTCGGATTGGACGTCTTGCGTAAAAGGTAAGGTAATTGGTGTGTGGGCTCTTACTTGAAACGCAGTCTCAAAGGCCTAGAAAGTAAAGATTAGCGAAAGCATTGAAAGTTTACTCACCCGTCCGTCCAGCGACCAGGATCATGTTCTCTGTCGCCGCAGCGACGTTGTTGGAAGTTCATCGGTACGCTCATGCGTCGCATTCGGTGCTCTTGGGAGCGTCGCTGGTTACGGTGGTAGTCGACTGCTCGGTGGTCGTCGAAGTCACGGTTTTGGTGGTCGTAGTGGTCGTCATCGAGCTCTGCATGGTTGAAGAGGCGGGCTTTGTAGTTGTCTGGAGGGTCGAAGGAGCCTTCTTTGTGCTAGTGGTCATAGAGCTGGCTGCGGCGGCAGCGTTGCACTGTCCACCTACCACACCAGCAGCACAAGGCTTGCATTGCGGGGCAGGGTTGACAGTGGTGATGGGGTTGCAACCAGGCAGAGCAGAGAGAGGGCCGTTCAGATCTTCAGGGAATTGGTTAGTGGTGGTGCACTGAGCCCAGTTCATGCTGGAATCGAAGGTCACGCCAGAGCAGTCGCCGACATCGTGAGATGCACAAGCGCTGGAGCCAGTGAGCAGGTTAGGCAGAACACCTTCTTGCCAGCCGTTGTACNNTATACAACTGTTAGAATGCGCTTGGCTCAAACTTGGTGGTGTACTTACGAAGTCGGCGTGGAAGCCGTAGCCGGTGGGGTCTCCGTTAGAAAGCACGAACGAGTCGACCTCGAACTCTCCCTCGATGCTTGACAGATCGTAGTTGTTCTCCATGAAGAGATGAGGAAGCTTGATGGGATGGGTGTCGGGACAAGCTCCATTTCTGATGTCGCCAACGGGATAGGCCATGTGTGAGTAGGGAGAGTTCAGGTTGAAGTCCTTGCCGTTCCAGCAGTGAGGGAACTCGATGGCGCCATTGAAGTAGGGGTACTGTGAGCAAGATGTAACACCTTTGGGAAAGCCGCCTTGAGTACCTTCGTTCCACGAAGGAGTTTCGTGACAGATCCACTGAGTGATGTCGTCCATATTAGTAGGAGTGTGCTCTTGCGCGGCACGGATGTATGCGTTTCCAGCAGTCATGCGGAAGCCCCTGGGGAACTCGAAAGGCTCGCGCATCTGGCCAGTACCGGCGTTGATGTAGTAGATCTGGTGTCCGTTGGTCTACAGAACGTGTTAGTCGTGTTGATTTTGTATGAAATCAGTTAACTTACAGGGNACTCTGATGTATGTGCCATTGGTGGCCTTGACGTAGAGAGTCGGGTGCCAGTAGGCGCTCTTGTCCTCGACGATAGGATTACCATTGGCACGTCCGACGCTCGAGCAGGTCGACTTTTGGAGTGAATCGTAGTCTGAGTTCTGGTTGATGTTGCCGGCACCCATGAACTCGTGGGCATGCATGCCAATGCTTCCGGGAGAGACGATAGGATCGATGCGAGAGACAACAGTGTCTCTGCCATAGAGAACGAAAAACTGCGCGGAAGCACTTCCGGCGGTCAACGCGAGAAGTGCGATAGTAGTGTTCTTCATCATTTCAGCAAAGGCGAACTTGATGGAGATTATGATGAGAATTGGTATGGGAAAGAATTGCGCAGAGCAAGTTGAAGAAAGAAAGAGCGACGAGAGTGAGCGTGATGGTCGATATAAATTCAGGGAAGGGTCTGAGGGAGCGTTGCGTTGGCTGGCTGTTCGACGACGTTGACCGTTGAAAGCACTCCCGGACAACGACAGCCAAGCGAACAGCAAGTGATGCGTTGCACGACTTTTACCCTTTGGTCGTCATGTGAAATGTCATCATGTTGTAGGCAGTGTTGAATAAAGACGTTTCTGGATCTCATAACCCTGGTGATGGCTCTTAGTATCGATCCCAGTTGACGATTGCAGCGATGCCAGCACTTACTCTAGATTCTGGACTGCCGAGTACCCTGCATCCTCTTATCTATTCGATTAGTAGATATCGCTGGTTGAAGAGTCATCAGAAGGGAAGTAGTATGTGTCAATTACCTGAAGGCATATCAAATTTCTGGTCAAACGACACTAAAGACAATCAAAACATTTTATATGCTGAAGCGCCCACATATACCCAAGCTAACTAAAACCTAGTCCATTGTAAAGAACGGACTCAAACATGCAAGAGATGCAAAACGCCACCGAATGCAAATGCTACCCCAGCTCATCTTCTTACAACTGTCCACTAAGAATGGCTTCTGTGGCGGAGCCAATGTATGCTCTCTTAGCATCCAGCGGCACACCGAAACGTCTCTCCAGTTCGGACTTGACACTCTTCTTCGTAATAGTCATAAGATCAGTCTTGGCCAAGATATCGCGAATCTCAGCAAGGATAGCATCGTCGCTGGGAAGAGGCATATCTGTCATCTCTACCGAGTTGGGGCTGTAGCCACCAGCCATGAGACCCATCTCACTTGGCGCAAGACTGAGACGCGACTGGTTGCCGAAAGGACCTTGTGGCACGCCCAGTGTTGACATAGGGCGCGAAGGTGGGTAGTCATAGACGGAGCCGCCCATGCCTGGATAGGCTGACTTTGTCGCGTACGACACGCCGGTAACACCGGAAATTGCAGAACGGGCGTCGTCATCACGCGAAGTCTGCGCTTCCCAAAGCTCGGCCTGGTACTCTTCCCATCTCTTCTTCGGAATGCTGGCTGGGTCGAACTTGCCCTCGTCGGAAACAACAACTTGCTTGCCCTTTTCTCCGGTAACGACACGAGTGTTACCCCACGAGAAATCGTCCATGTGCCAGAAAGAGTAGAGAGGAAGCGCCATAGAGAAGACTGGTGTAGCGATCAGGTAGATGATCATCCACCCAACCATCTCCCACTTGCGACGGATGATGAAAACCAATGCTTGCATACCATAAACGGCAACCAACATGATAATGGCAATTGTCGAAACACCACCAGGGTCTTGTCCAATGCGAACGAAGATGTACACAAGGTAACCGACCAAGACAGGCTGGATGATAGTCGAGAGCAAGTCAAGGAAGACGACGAAACGCATACTGAAACAGCAGAAACCGCAAAGCTGAGACAATGAGGTAAGCTCGACGAGGTTGTGTACAGTGGAGTTAATCCAACGACGACGTTGCGACATGAAGACGGTCCAGCTGTCGGGTGCGATAGTCCAGGCATGAGCGCGCATGATGAACTTGGTCTTGTAAGAGGGATGCCACTTCATCAGAAGAGTCGTCAAGTATCTGTCTTCTCCCAGGTGCAGCAAGTTCTTGGTATGGAGCGTGTCGACACGAATCTCGGCGTACATCTCGACAACTTCCTGGGAAACGAAAAGAGGCTTGCCTGATGCTGCATCGCGAATGCGGTACATGGAGAAACAACCAGGCAAACAAGTGACCGAGCCGAAGAGCGATTCGAAGGCCTTGATCAAGTTGTGCGAGATGTAGTACTCGTAGACTTGCATCATAGTAACGATGGAGGACTTAGCGTTAGTAAGAGCCGTCTCACCACAAACACCGATGAGGCGTGTATCGTGGAGGAATGAAGCGACGAATCGTGTGGCTGAATCGGGAGCAACGACGGTATCCGCATCGATCTGCAACAAGAACTCGTAGAACGTCGGATTGACACCAATGATGTTTCGAATGTGGTGATACATCTCGAGTTCCATGGGAGCCATTGGCAGGTTGTAGTGAATTCTGTTCAGGAATCTCATCAAGACCATCTGGGAATCACGCTTACCACGGTTACCAGGTCTACCAACTTCGGCAGGTCTGCCAATCTTGACGATAACCATGAAGGGGACAATGTGACCTTGGACTTCGTAAAGACCAGAGTAGATCTTGCCCATGTTGTGCTGCTTCTGACCCTCGCCCAAACTCTCGAAACTCAATGGCTCCGGGTCGACGGTCTCGGGAACACCCAGAATATCGAGGACAATGCGAGGAGTAGGACGGTCGTTGCCTTGACCAATGATCATACCGTCACAGACAATGAGTAGAAGTTTGCGCTTGTCGTCGTACTTCATTCTGGCGGCTGAATCAATGGCACGCCGCAAAGAGTCTTCGTCTTCGGTGTAGGCTGGCACAGTACAGATGATGAACTTGTCGAGGTTCTCCGGAACGTTCTTACCACCGAACTGAAGGGCGGCAAGGAACTTCACACCAATAACCGCAATCAAGAACATCGAGATTCCGAGCAAGAGATAAGTGGCGAACTGACACTTGGTCGAGTTTCTGGTATCCACATCGGCCACGTAGAAAAGGTTGTCGAGACAGATCTGCATGCGGTTCCTCAGGTCAAGAGTCATTCCAAGGTTGTTCCAATCGTCAGTCACATCCTGACCAGCGTGTTGCTGCCAAAGATTGACCACACGCTGATCCATGAAGTTCGAGTTGGGTACAGTGTCAGGAACGTCGTATCCAGCAGGGTACTTGGGAGCACGACCACCGACGATGTAATCGGTGAAATCGTAGATTTTCCCGTTGAGAATGGCGATGGACTGTTGCTTCTTGCCCTGTTTCTTGACGTAACCGGACGTGTAACCCAGAGCACCCTTCCTGTAGTTTTGGTTTAAGAACTTCATCTGCTGCGCGAACCAGTCTGGACGGGAGTCGTTGGTAGCCCAGCGGAAGTCGTGGTACACGGCATGAGAATCAGTACCGCTGACGGCCGAAGCTTGACCAGTGTAGTTGGTGCTCTTGTAGTTGAGCTGGACAGCAGGATCGATACCATTCTCATCTGTACCGGGACAAAGAGCAGATACTTGGACGGGGAAGAGGTTGGTTGCGTCAGTACCGGCGTACTTCTCCAGAGCGGATGTCGGGATGATGTTAGGATAGTGAACTGACTCAAAGTTACCAAGGTCGAAGACAACACCGCGGATTGCGATGTAGGAAGACTGGCCGTCCTTGCCGTTGTGCGATTGCAACTCAGCAGCCGAGTAAACGTGCTGTGTCGGGCAAATGAGCGCGGGGAAACCAATCATGAGGAACAAGAAACTGCCACAAGCAAGCCAGATCATGAAGTTGATGGCCACCTTTTCTCTCCAAGCCATACGGATGTCGGGACGAGGCATGCGGCCGATGATGCGAACGAACACATCAGGGATCCACCAAGTAAAGAGGTAGACAAGGAACAGCCATCTCTTTCGGGCACCTGTAACGGGTACCTCGTCGATTGCTGCAACCTTGGCCTCGTTTCCTTTNTCTGCGAGCTGCGAGCGAGTCTCAAGATTTTGGAACATGTCACCTCCATGGAAGGCTGAAGCACCAGCTTCCGACTTGGCGTCGAGATCGCGGCTTCCAAAGTAGCCTGCTACCTTGTCGTCGTGGTAGAAGGCGCCAGGAGAAGGAGCAACACCTCCAGCACCGAGGAGGTTGAGGCTTGAGTCGTTGCGACCGTTGCGTGCATGATCTGGAGACAACATACCCTCTTGTTCTCCGTAAGGAGTCTGGTCGTGCATGCCAACAGGAGCTACATCGAGGTCACTGACTCGTGCGATTTGGCGCCAGCAACGTTCGCTGAGGAAGACACCAGTGCTGCCGACTCTTGCTTCGTTGCCAGGCCAGATCTTTTCATCTAGGATCATCTCTGCCTTCTCCTTATCGGTGCCCACGACCGAGACATCGCCCTCAGCGACGCCCAAGAATTCACTGAAAGGCATGAACACACTGAAATCGGCATTGCGCAGACGCTGACTGATCTCAGCGATACCAAGAGTTTGCATCTGAGTGCGAACACATTTGCTGTCGAATTGGTTGGCAATTCTGCGATCATTGGGTTTCAAACAGAACACAAAGTATGGGTTAGTGCGAGGGTCAGACAACGATTTGGTGATGTTGTCCAGAGAAGACAAGAACTGAGCAGCAGCGCCTTGTTGCTGTTCAGGCTCGCCCTTGCCTCCGCGAGAGAGACTCCTCTTGCCATTGCCATTGTCACTGTCTTGTCTCATGGCACCAAGTCTTGCAGGACGCTCGCCGGTGCGTTTAGCCATGCTAGGCATTCTTGAAGGCTTCGAGGCAACCGAGGCTTGCACGACAGCAGAGCGGTCTTTGGGGTGCACGACCTTGCTCAACGCTTCTTGGCCAAAGAGGTCACTAATGAATTGGTTCGAGGTCGTATTAATCAGGTTCATAAGGTCACCAGAGATGACCTCGCCGTTGGCTTCGAGAAGGTTCTCGACGGGGTAGTCGACCTCACCGGCGTAATGTCTGACAGTGAATGCAGCATTGGCGTTGCGGGTAGCAAAGTTGTTTCCAGGAAGAGTCTGAGTAGCAGCGCCAGCCTCGATAGCAGGATTCTTGCCTTCAAAACGTCTTCTGACGCTCTCGAGGAATTGCTGATCGGTCTTGCCACGACGCATCTGATCGTCCAGAATGCTGAGAAGGCCGTTGCCAGATTTAAGCAGGCCCTTAACAGCATCGGTGTTGTCGAAGTAGCTGGTTGCAGGCACACTGACTTCTTCAGTCTCGAGAAGATCGGCTTTGCGCTCAAAGAAGCTCTGCAGACAGAAGTTGTAAAGCGACTCAGATGCTGCGTTGTTCAACAGCTGGTCCAATACGGAGCCTGTGGCAGAAGATTGTGCGAAGCCTGGGAAGTCAACGATCGAGATGGTGTTAGCAATGGCATCCTCTGCCGAGCAAATCTTCTGGTTGATGCGCTCGATGATGTAAGCGACGAAGAGCGAGTACAAGGTGCGTGCAAGCTCATCAGCGTTGTCTCGAGCGCCCTTAGGGTCGAGCATGACGGTGACGCGCTCACGGTGAAGCTTCTTTGTGCGGTATCCCAAACTCTCTTCCAGATGTCTCTCGGAAACACCGAGGAAAGCTGCTACGATGTGGAGAGTTTCCCTGTTCTTGACCGAAGTGACATCCTCGCCGCCCTCGTGCGAGTAACCACCACTGTCATCGGCCGAGGGTGTAGTCGACTGGGTTGTGACGAATTCAAGCTGACCAATGTGCAGGATACAGGCAAGCATCTCGCACATGTGGGCGATCTCGTCACGAGGAAATTCGAGCTTGCGTAGAGCAGTCTTGAAGTGTTGGAAACCTTCGGCATCATTAATACCGACCTTGAGCTGACTGGGGTGGCCCAAGTATCTCCATCTCTTTGCGCCGCCATTGCCGAGCGAATGCCTGTGAGTGGCAGGACCTGCCTGGTCAAGACCAAGATGCTCCTTCTCTTGCGGGCTGGTACCAGCCAGGAGGTAGTAGAGGACGTGGAAGTTGCGCTCGCCAGGGGGAATAGTGGCGACTCTGCTGCGTTCGAGACGGTGGTCGAGCAGCTTACCACCGACGAGGGTTGGATGGAGGCTGGAGGATGTGTCGTATTGAAGTTCGAAGAAAAGACCAGCTTTCGAAGCGGTAGGGGTGGTCACGGACTTTGTGGTGGTCAAAGTGTCGAAGACAAAGGCAGCGTAGGACAGCTTGTTGGACAGTGGCGTCGATGTGTAGTTCAACAAGGCAGACAGGAGGTGCGAGCGGAGAGTGGTTTTGCCTGAGCCGGTTTCACCGCTGTGCACAGGTTAGAGAAGAACGTGGGCATTGGTGTCACAGGCACGGAAGGACACATACAGAAAGACGACGGCCTGGTTCTCCTGTCTAGCTCCAAGACGAGTCCACGCCCTTGAAGCCAGGTCCTCGGCGGCACCCATGGCGCTACCTTCTTTTGAGCCATCGGGACCCTTTGCCGACGATGTGTATGTGTTGAGGGCGATGATGGCGTGTGATGACAACTGGGCCGTGGACAGCGAGACGTGGAATCTGCTGGCCAGGTGTGCCGTCAAGTGGCTGTCATCCTGGAGATGCGCAGGGAGCGCAGGCAGCGAAGCCTGAGCGTGAGCAGGAACAGCCATGTTGGCCTGGTGCTGCTTCACCGGAGAGTGGTCGTCGAAATATCAATCGACCCCTTTGAACGAAAGACCAGCACTGGGAAGCGACCGTAGTGGAATTGTAGAACGATTGACGACGGGCTGTGGTAAGACAACAAAAACCCGAAACTAGAGTATGCCGTGGAAAAATCACACGAGACTGTGGCGGCTCGAGGAAGATGGAATATGGATGGCAGAGACTCTGTAAGAGAGAAGCCTACAAAGCTAACGCCAATCGGGTGCAGGTATTTTGGGAAACATCCCAGCACCAGCATTATCCGCCATCCGTCGCCGCTTTCTCGCGGTGCGTTTCAGCCCTGCCATTCCAAAAGAACAATCACAAGGACCACTAGATCTGCGTCGATGTTTGATTTTCAGTTTCTACTTTGCTCTGCACGACCTCCATGCACACTGCTGATACTCGACTTCATCCCTGACAATTCGTCGTAGAAACCAGGAGCCATCTCTGTGTGTTTGGCCAACATACAAAATACGAACCTACGGTCAGCACGCGGGGCAGAAGACACGCTAAAACTTTAAGCCAACCACTTAAACAAGGGGCGCGCCGGGCGGCGGTTTTGTTCCCTTTCCGTCCACCAGTCTCCTGCCGAGAACGCGTGTCAGACGAACATCCTTACTAACTCGAACACATCAAGCATCGTTCATCGACGACAATATCAACGAGAGGCGCCGCTGGCGACTGAAGACAAGCAGTGGATCTGGACCCTATTAACTCGACGCAAAGCATTTTGCCCGTGGGGTTTCCTTGGCAGATCCCTCTCCTGAATCTTGAGTCTCGCCGAAAGTGAAACATCGAAATAATCGTTTGATGCAGTAAGATGTTTCTTTCGTGTCCGATCAGCCAGTATCCCGCCAAAGTGACCTTTGTTCTCGAATGCTGGGCAAAACCTGCAGAATCAGATGACAGATGCTTGACTGGTACTCAACAGAAGGCAACTTGCACGAGTGAGCTCATAGATTTCTGTTGTGCTGCGCGCCAAGGTCACGAAGTCATGTCGCGATGGCCACCGTTCCCTTCCCAACCCCCCCAAAAATAGAAGCATTCATCGCTTTTCGTATAACGCGAAGATCACCTCGATAGGCATTTTATCTGCTTTATCATGTATCGAAGGGATGCAAGGACTGTCTGCAGAGGAAGAGCTGGGACAGCATTATCCAGTCCGGACCAAATACAGGAAACACAGGTGTCCCTGAGTATATGAAGGACCCGGTAACTCGTTGAAGGATATTGCTTGAACTTCCCAAACCTGGCCTTTTCTCAAACCTGCTTCCACCAACGGTTAGCATACTCTTTCAGCACGACTAAATGTGCATTTTGCACAGCTCTTCAATCTCAGCTGGAGTTCGACAGGCAACTTCAGACATTATGAACCAACAGGCAAACACTGCATGACATCAGTACCAGCAAGACTGCACCCAAATCAGCGGAATACGTCGATTGACTACCTGCGAAGAGCTTGGTTATAAGCCAAGCAAATACCGAAACATTCAATGAGAACACTCTTAGCAACAGGTGGCCTCAAGCATACTGGTAGAATCAACGTAAGTCGCTGAACCATTATACGGATTGCCCAACCTCACAAAGAGCCACTTTACGCCCAGATCCACCAGTCACATACTGAAGAAGCTGGGAACATATCAGAAGCCGGTGTACTATATTTCAGCTTGCGGTAAAAAACCTGCTCAAGAGCTGCATGTCTATCTCACTCTACCAAGGGATATCCTTGCCGTCATACTCCCACATCATCTCATCCGTCTTGGGCACCTTGATGTTCAGAAACCTTCCATTCTGTTCTTTGCCGCTTACCAAGATGAGTCTCTTGACCTCGGCGACACCTACCTCAACACTCAGGTCTGCATTAGCAGAGCCCATGTCGGTCTTCAACCACNNTGCAATGGACTGTCAGTAATGTTGTGTTATATATTTGGCCGAGATGCTACTTACGCCAGGGGAGACGGCAAAGATGGTGAATCCAGTATTCGAATACTGGTGCGCCCACCTCAGGGTAAGCATGTTAAGGGCAGTCTTGGAGATGATGTATGCATCGGTAGGCATTGATGCAGTGTGAGCAGCATAGGCGAAGGAGCCAAGTCCCGAAGATNNCTGAGTGTTCTTGTCAGCTTTCACATTTAGGTCTATCTGGTGAGATACACACATGTTGATGATCTTCTTCTGAGTGCCTTGCTCGAGCAAAGGCATGAAAGCAGCACTCATCCTCTGTACCGCAACCACATTGACATCGAGAACCTGAGTCAACTGGTCGAGTTCCATATCCTTGATTGAGCCAGAGCCAAAAGTCAAACCACTGATGCCGGCATTATTGACCAAAACGTCGAGACCTTGACCTGAAAGCTTGGCCTTGATGGTTTCGACTGCCTTTTGGACATTGGCGGTGTCATCGACAGAAGCAGAGACTGGATAGACGCGGTCGGGGTATTCCTGCACAAGTTGCTTGATGGCATCGCTCTCAGCGTTGCGAGCGACGGTGAAGATCTTGGAGACTTGGGAGGCCGGTAGTTCGAGCAATTGCTTGGTAAGCTCGAGTCCGATGCCTCTGGAAGCGCCAGTAATGAGGTATGTTGCCATTGTATGAAGCCGAAGTACTGTGAGGTAGAGCAAAAGTCTGCAAAATGGATGTATTTTTGGATGGAATTGTTGTTCTGTTTTTGCTATCGTTCCACAACTTCTTATATCCTCTTGGTCGACGGATATAGCTTGTAATCAGGTCCGGAGGAAGGAGCATGGAATCCATCCGCGCCCCGGACCTGATTTCTCATCCTCTCCACAGGCAGTTATTCAGCACATACTTGATCATGCGAGTGCTGCAGCTCAACGGCGAGAATGCGAGAACATAGATTGTTCATTGAGACTATGCTCTGCAAATAGCATTCACAGGCGATTGCGCAAGTTCAGTGGACCATCATCGCAAAGTTACTCTAACCGAGGTTCTTGCGCCTGGCACAAGGTTTAACGGGCCACAAAGTGCTCGCATCTGCCACTTTCGATCTCTGAGATAACACGCCCGACATTGGCTGATTGGTACAGCAAAACGAATATACGACTCTACAGTCATGAACCTCATGCGCACCTGACGTCTCAGGTATTCGCTCCTTCATCTTCAATACATGATGGGAGCCTGAACATCGATTGCATTTCCCTCCCGCGGGAAGCCATTGTTGAACAGTCAAAGCTTTCTTCCAAGAATCCCTCTTAGGAAAATACGAAGCTAAGACGGGAAATCGCATCTCTAGCCTTCACGATTCGTGCGGCCCTGCAATGGAGCGTCATAACAACAGACGAGGTGACACTATTTCGAGAAGTGGGTTTGCTGCGCAATGAAGATCATTCACTGCCGAGATATAAAGAGTATCCATCTGTAGGTTTCTATTCCTTCTTTTCTAATACCCGTCTCACCAACAATCAATCACATCATGAAGACTTTTACTCTGGCTGGCCTATTGGCCTCTCCTCTTGCTGTTGTGGCAGCGCCTGCCTGGACCATGTACGCTTACAATGAGAGCGTGCCTGAGATCCACGGCAAGCCCATCAATGCCGACAGTGGCTACTTCTGGATCAACAAGGATGCTGCAGCCGTCTGCCCCGACTACGACCCCGAGTGCCCGGCCGCAAACACCACAATCGTTTCAGGTCCTGTGAACGGAGATGGTTCCGCTGCCGAGAACTCATACTGGTTCATGGGTATTCTTCAGCAAGGTGGCCAACAGATGGATACTGCCGGTCTCGACGCCACTACCGGTGGTCTGCCGCTCAAGTACACAGCCGTGGGTGCTGCAGACAGAGGTGTCGGTGTCTGGGATACTGCCCGCAACTCGCATCCCAGCATTATCTTCGACAACAGCACTGTGGAGACTCTGGGTGCTCCCACCATCCGCTCGAAACCCAGTTCTGTGCACTACACATGGATGGCTTGTCCTTACCCTTTGACCTACCCTTACCCTGCTTCGCTTCAAGACGTCGATCTCAGCAAGCCTATGACTATCCACGACATCACCACCGAGGACGTCAACGACTCTCCTTGGTGCGTCCGTCTCGAGATCACGCTCAAGCCTACCACCCTGGCTGCTCCTCAATACTACTACTGCGAGGGTTGCCAGTGGAGATGCGACAACATCTACGGTGACAGCGTCTGCAATGCTGGCAAGAAGCCTGCCTGTCTCGAGCCGTACTGTGGCCCTTATACTGAGGAGACTAAGGGAAGCAAGGTCACTGGATAAACGATATGATAAAGTAGGCTAGGACAGACATGCTAGTAACGTCTACGTTCATGTAGACGAATAGGCTACGTATAGCCCCCATACTACCCAAAATAATGAAACTCTTTAATGTCCTGCACAAAACCTCAACCACGCTTCTCATGCTCAATCAAATAATCCCCAACCTCCTTCAAACTCTCCTTCATCCTCGTCCACCCCTTGCCAGCAACCCACCTCAACAACTCCTCTGCTTTGTCCTTTTCCTCGATCACCGCCAAATCCTCTCCCTCCTCTGGATCCTCGTCCGCGAACTCTCTGTTTGGATACAACTCTTTGAATATCTTCAAGATGCCATTTGCATTCTTGGGCTCTGCAAACCCAAACACACGTTGGCTTTGCACGGAAGGATGCAGTAAAGCGGCTATGTGAAGGAGCGCGGTATCCTGCACGGCAATGTAGTGTTGAGGAGGCAGCATTCTGCCTGTGCTGACGTCGCCATTGAAGAGAGCAACTGCAAAGCCTGCGCTACTGGGCCATCCTTGATGTTCTGGCGACACGGGAAGCCCGAGATTGAAGTCTGGGAGCACGGTGTTGATCGTCAAAGTAGAAGCTGTGTTTTGCTTGCTCCACTCCCAGATGGCTTGTTCCGCCAACGCTTTGGAAGCGCCGTAGGTAGACAACCCACGGTCTGGGGTGTATGGACCTGGTTGCTTGGCTTCGGCGATGTAGGTGTCAGACCATGAAATTGCGGTTACAGTGCGAGTGATATTGGCTGCATAGGCCGACGCCGCAACTGCCGAGGAAGTGAGGACAAATCTCTCGACGGAAGGGGTCCTGGCAGCGGCTTTTAAGGCAGTGGTTGCGAGGTTGACGGCAATGGGGATGACGATGTTTGGGTCGGGNGAGAAGCTGACATCGCTGGCTACGTGGATTACACCACTTACACCTNNGTCACATATCTATTAGTTTCCATTGCTCTGTCTCTTCTTGCGGAACCCAAAGAGAGGTATACCTTGCATAGCCTCCACCAAAGCCTCTTCATCGGTCAAATCAGCCACAAACCAAGTCTCAAACCCGTCTTTGCCATATCTCGACTCGAAGAGTTTGGTCAACCAATCTGCTGGCTTTCTAACCACACCACGGACTCTGTAGCCTCGGTGTAGGAGTTGGTCCGCTATGTGAGCACCAATATAGCCAGTCACTCCAGTAATGAGAACCAGAGAGCCGGGTTTGAGGACCGCAGAGGCAGGCACGGGGATGGTGGTTGCAGGCGACATTTGTATTGTAGGGTGCTGGTGTTGGGCACTGAGGAAGACAGAGAAGATGATCAAGGAAAGAAGATGCTTACCTTGTTATAGCTCTTACACTTTTACCTCGATGTCAAATCTGACTACGGAGTTTTTGAAATCAACAGAGCACGACATTGCTGATCTCCCAGCAGGATCAATGGTTGCGCCGACTGTCCTTGGACTCGGCCTCATAATCTTGGGTGATTATTCAGCTCGCGCATGATAGTTCCTCCTATGAACGCCGCGTCTCATGCGATTAACACATGCTGTGTAATCTCCTGGCTCGGCACCCGAACCGGTGAGTGGTAAGTGCTCCGAAAGAAACATCGAAGGATTGAGTTTCGGAGAATTGTGGAGATCTGCCAGAACAAAAACCACATCCAAAATAGAACAGAGAACTGGATGGACTGAACATCTCTGAACAAGTCACTCTTCATATAAAATGGGCACTTTTTGTCTATATGGCCATCATCAAAGCATATACGTACATGAAACTCTAGAACGTATAATGTCGCTCTACTCGTCAGCACCTTCCTCGTCCTCATCGTCATCATCATCATCATCAGTCACCTCGACAGCGCCAATGACATCCCATCTATCACCCTTGGCACTCTCGCTAACGTACTTGACAAACCTCAACACGCCGCGGTCTCTGAGCACAACAGATAGTGTATTCCAGTTTGCCGGGTTCGAGAAGAGGATGCCGTCGTCTTCTTCGTTGCCAGCTTGATAGATTGCAGGGTCTGCTGCTTTCTTCTTGTGCTTTGCGATGCGACGGTTGCCAGCACCTGTCGCAGAAGCAGCGTTGGGAGGAATATTGACGCCGTGGTCGGAGTGTGCATCATCGTCGTCGTCGTCTTCGTCTTCATCGTCGTCGTCGCCGGCCATGTAGAGTTCGTAACCACCCACATTGTCGTCTTCTTCCTCTTTTGTTGTGGCGGCCGTGGCTTTGCCCTTTTGTTTTGATCCGTTCTTCTCGGCTCCGGTGGCAGCCTCCTCTTCCTCTTCTTCTTCCTCGTCGGCGCCCCAGCCCTTTGACGGTGTAACGTTCAGACAGTACTCGAGTTGTGCTTCTGACTTGTTGTAGCCGGTTGCCAATGTATAGTCCAAGCTCTTGCGGAAGCGGCGGGCCAGGATACTGCTCTTCGCCAAGGTCAACCCGGTGGCCAGACTCAGCCATTTGCGGAAAGCGAGAGAGGGCAGGAACTTGTTGAGGAGTTCGTCGTATGCGGACGAGGTGTTGGTGGCAGAAGGGTCGGCGTGCTTGAAGCGGTAGCGGTGCTTGTGGGGAGGAGTCGCCGTGGCCCAGCCATCGGTCGCAGGCTCGGTCTTGCCGTCGTGGGCTTCAATGTCTTTGCGCAGACGGGCGCTGAACTTCTTGGAGAGGAAGTTGGCGAGCTGCAGACTCGACTCTTCGGCGAAGAGCTCGGACAGCTCCTCGACTGTGTCTGGTGTGAGATATTGCGGCGTCATGTACTGGATGAGGAAGTCCATGTCCTTTTCGTCAAATTCAACCTCCTCTTCTTCTGCATCCTCGGCCTTGTCTGCCGTGTCCTCGTGGTCGATCCATTGCTCCTGAGGCAAGTCAAACTCGTCATTCTTGCTCTGCAGCTGTTGCAGAGAACTGCGCTCGGCCAACTTCTCTTCGAGTCCAGGCTCGAAACCCTCTTCTCCCTCTTGCGGAATGTGGAACCAGCCAGAGATGGCCATACGAATACGACCACCATCATGCTCGCTCTCGCCCTCCTTGCGCTTAAAGACCTCCTCGACATCGTGGAAACTCTGGCCAGGCTGGACAGTGAAGAAGGACAACTGATTCCAGGCTGGCGGGATGACCTTTGTGAAGTCGTAGTGTGGCACTCTGACCTTCTTGCCATCGCTGTCCGTCTTTTCCTCGGTAGGATACAGACGCAATGCGCCACCCCAGTTGGCCTGCCACGGCGTGTCCGGGTCGGTCAAGTAGAGGATGTAGCTGACGCGTCTGGTGCCAATGACATCGTCGTGGCACAGCAAGTGACAACCAGGTGCATAGACATTGACAGCCATATCCGTCTTTGTTCCCGACAGAGAGCCAGCGCCCGAGACTTCCGACACCCATGCGCGGAACTCGGGCGAGTAGAGCGAGTCGCGCAGAGTGAGCAGCGAAGGCAACAGCTTGAGTGCAGAAAGATCGAGACCGGAGAGGTTGGCAAGGTCGCCAGACTGGTGAATTTTGTAGATGTCGGTTTCCTTGGGGGTGAAGTGGACATTGTCGATGATTTCGCGGCGGACGGAACGGAGGAGGGAGTCGTTGATCAAGCCAGACACGACGGTATGGAGGTAGNNCTGTATGCTGTCAGAGCGAGGTTATGAGTAAGCGGTTAATGCGACATACGGTCCGCTCTTCGCATAGTCGTCGCGGTACTTTGTAACGACATCGTGGTCAAACAGCTTCTCGCCAAAATTTGCGTGCACGTCGCTCTGCGACTTGGCCGTCTTCTTGACGGATCCGTTCGAACCGGCGCCGGTGCTTTCGTGCTTTCTCTTGACCATTGCGACGAGTGTAAGGTGAATAATTGAACGTAAACTCGAGGTCGAAAAAAAAGTTGATTCGAGGGCCCAGCAGCTTGACGGCTCGTCTCCACACTGTGCCATCATCACCTGAGTGGACACGCCATATTACCCGCGCCATTGCCGCATCACGTCTCTCGGCTAGAAGCTGATTTGCATAGAAGAAAGTAGACTTGATAGGAGCTGCGCAGGGAGAAAACAAGTGGTATAAAAGACGCCTCGACGCGTCAAGCGGTGGCTGTTACTAAACCAATTACTGGCGCTCGCCTAGACTAAGAAGCATAAGTTCGTCAAGGACAAAGGAAACCGACGAGGACCCTATTATGGGTCGCTGACTGTAGACGAAAACAAAAAGGGGGTTGCCTTCGGGATGGACAAGACGTGCGTATGTTGTGTCTCTTCCGACATGCTCTAGCTTGCATTGTGCACACTGCTCTTCCCTCTGGTGTAGGGGCTTAGGGGCCGGACTGTTCATGTCGCGACTTTCTGCCATGTTCAGCTGAATTGTTGATATGCTTTCAGCAGCAGTCTTCGGCGCATTCGCCTGTATCGTTGTTGTCAGTCGCATATTCTTTGTGTAGTGGCGGCTTGCTCAAAACTTACAGCAGTCGGCGCAGCACTCGCATCCCTCCTCGCAGACGAAACAACAGCACAGAACTGCCAAGCTGTAGTGTCGTGTTAGTCCGTGATGATTCCTCTTTTTGTCATGCTGGCACTCTTACCAGGAAGCCAAGCATCCGCGATCCTTCTTCTGAGGTGCTTGCTGCATGGGGGGAGGTCCTTGCTGGTAGCCCATCTGTACATCGCATCAGCATCATGTTGATTTGTTCCAGTGAAGCGATTCGTACTTGTTGTTGGGGAGGGTAGTACTGGCCCTGAGGAGCGCCATACTGTCCTTGAGGAGGACCGTATTGACCCTGGGGAGGGCCGTAGTAGCTGTGACTCGGTCAGCTGGCGTCCACACCGATGCGACGACTTGCTGCGACTTACGCCTGCTGGGGCTGCTGAGGGTAGTAGTTGGACATTTTGTGTGTGATTTGTGTGGGAACTGATTATTGACAGGAGTGCGATTGCAGATGGTAATGTCAAGAGCAAGAAGATCTGTGGCGCAAAGAAAGTCGAAACCCGTCAGCCCTCGGCGCCTGATTTTAGATGGGTTGGAGTACGCGTCCTGCCGCCGTCTCGTTGTACGTGCTGGGCCAATACGGTCTTGGAATGCCGCTACCCGACACGGCGACACTTCCTTGGCGCCACACCTGTTCGCGACTCACCTAGCAAGCTCTTTTCTCCGTTGGCCGTCAAGAAAGAGGTGAGAGAAGCCGATCGAGAGGAAGATGCGATTTCTGTATGGAGAACGATCGTCGACTTGTCTGCTGACTTGGACCTGTGCGGAGACGGGTTCCAACTGTGATTAAGCGCTAAGGGTCTGAGGATGACGCTTGTTCACAGCTGTGGCTTTTGTTCAAGAAAGCTTGGGTTTGCTTGTTGTTGTCTTTTGTGTACGGGTACGACTCGATGTTGGATTGTGAGAAGTGAGAGCTGCTCGAGATCTAAGGACTCCTCACCATATATACACAAGCTGACGAAAATGCCTCGCTGTCATCTGCCAGCCCGTTCGTCCTAACTTTCTTCACCAATGAAGGATACATCGTGTACGCGTTGAGCCACGCTGAGCCACGCTGAGCCACCAAGCCACATCGACGCTCCCAGACCTTTCCATAGCCAAACGTCAAACGAAGCATCAAACATGTGCTTCGAACCTGTCTGTCAGACACACTTGTCTTAACCTTCGAATTCCCAAGTCTCGCACTCGGCTCCCGCGGCCACCCCAGCAACACGCTCTCATATTGACCCATCATTTGCGGCCGTATTGTTCCCCTGGGCATAGAACTCAACTGGTAGCAACGTGTATATGTTGAAATATAGTTTGCGCGTTTATCGAGACATTATCGTAGCTAAAACGAACAAACAGCTGATCGATCCTCCCATCTTGATTTCGCATGTAAGACTGTCGTGAAACGCCGCCTGAAGTGTTGTCCACCGGAAAATGAAAAGAGAGAAAGTGATCGCCCACAACTCCCAGCGAGTCCATCAAACAAAAGATAGGAAACAGGAAAACAGAGAAAGAAAAGGTCTACCCCAGAGGCTTCGTGCCTGCTGATACCACCCGTATGTTATATAGGAATACACCCCAGTATGCGAAAAACTCCTTATGTTAATCCTTATTGTCGGCCCCAGATGCGTCCCATCCGAAAAAGCATTAGACTCCATCTTGCGCCCCATTACCATCGTCGTCTCCGTCGTGATATGCCCGAAACTAACTCACCCTTGAGGCTGAAGGTTGACCATCCTAATGGTGTCTGGGAGCGTTGCCGTACTCTACACCTTGCATTCCTTGGGCGGCCGTGGTGGACGCGTTGTAGTGCTGCGGAGGTGGAGGCACAGCATTCATCGATGGCAGAGAGAATTGACGAGGTTGACCGTTGGCCTGAGCTTGGGCGTGGGCTTGTGATATCTCCGAGGTGTATGCACCGTAGATGTGTGGGTTGCCAGGCTCCACCAATCTGAGACGTTCTTGCATGACAGCAATTTCTGTTTGAAGGTTCTTGATTGTCGATTGTGCGTCGCGAGCGTAGTCCGAAGCATCGCGAAGACGATTGCACTCATTCATCAGTCCCCTTTCTTGGTTCTGAGTGGTCTTGATGTATTCAATGGCTGCCATTATGTTAGCAACTCCTGTGCGAGGATATCCCAGCTGAACTCACCCTTTNGTCAAGATCTCCCATTTACTAGCCTTTGCGCCACCGTTGGTTGGAACAACTCTGTTGAGCTCCTCGAAGAGATCCTTCATCTCACTACGGCGCTTGCGCTCTGCAAGTTTGTGGCTGATACGCAATTCTGGCGTACGGCTGTAGTTTCCACCACCTGACATGTTGGCCTCGTTCTGAAGAGCAGACAATCTGTGTTGGCTCATGCTGTGGTGATGGTGGGTTGGTGCATCATCATCAAATCTTCTCTGGCCATAAGGGAGACCTTCGCCCTGAGAGAAGATGCTGCTTCTGATAGAAGATGCGGCATAGCTGTTGGTTCTGGAGATGCTGTGACGTTGAGAGTCCTCGCTGCTTGATTCGCGTCTTGATTCTTCAGCTATCGGGTCGTCAGGGAAGGCCCAGGCATGACCGGGGGTTGGCTTGGAAGCCATTGGGTCAGGACCGCCGGGAACTCGGGAAGCACCAACGATTGGAGGCGCAACTCTTGGACCCTGTCCGCGGATGCTGCCACGACCACTCATGGGTGACATAGTGTTTCCGTTGTTGGGTCGTCGAAGACTGGCAGCCAACGAGACTTGAGAGCCATTTTGGCTTTCGTAGGGAGACGTGGGGTTGTTGAGACCTAGGTTGGAGATACCATTGTGAACACGGCTGTCAATGCTACTTCTGCGCGAGTCGAACGATTGGTGGTAGTCCACACTTCCACGGTTTCCCACATCGAAGGTCTGGTTGATCGACGGCAAGATCGTGCTTGGTTGCTGTTGGTGCTGAGAGAGTCTGTTCGACGTTGGTGTGTTTGGTATCGAGCTTCTTGATTGAGAGTCATCTGGATTCAGCAGGGTCGATACTTGAAGTGCCTGGTTGTTCATGTGGGTCTCGACAGCTAAGAGAAGTCAGCGTTGCTCAAGCCGGTTTAAGGTTTATCGGGGAATCCGTAACAGCTATAGCTACAGCTCTGGCAGGTCTGTGTGGGTATATCGACAGTGGTCTTGATGGGTAGGAAGTAGATGTTCAGAGATGATAGGTGACTTACGCTTCATCTGAGGATGGCTTATCGGCGGCCAAGTCCCCGAGTCTCTCGAGGGCAGATGAGAAGGCTGACGGTTTGGAGGCGAGTACTGATTGGAGCTGGGTAGACCGTTTGTCAGAGTTGCAATGGAGGGCAGCATCTGAGATGGTGAAGGTTGCTGAGGTTGCTGGTTTTCGTTTTTCGGATCGGCCATGTTTATGCCAGGAGGAACTCGTATGGCAAGCTTGTGTTCAACGTCGAAGCGTGAGGAAGAGAGAATGGTATTCACGAGCAGCGTTAAGAAGGATGGTGCTCACGAGCGGGTGGACAACAGAAAACCGACGAAATCAAAATCTGCTTTTGTGCAGTGGAGCCTTGGGTCACCTGCTTGAGGTAGTTTGAGAGTGACTCTAGTAGCGAGGTCACGAAGCAAAGGCAGTTTGTGAAGCTGTCCAGTAGGAATCCTGGAGAACGTAAGTGGTCTGCTCAAATAAACGCTCACGTGCTCCACCCGCAAAACAGAAGAACAATTGAACAAGCATAGAACAGAAAATGCATACCTTTATGGAAAGTTCAAAGAATAAGAGGGTGAGGACAGGAGGATGAGGAAGAGTTGTGGAGGCGCCGACAACGTGGAGACGTCGATGAGGATCCTCAAAAGCGGATGTGGCTGCAGAGATGGCGTGTGCACACGCAAAGAGAAAAATGTATGCGGCGATTTTTAAACGGTGTTGCAATAGGCGTTCATGGACAGAATGCCAACGCTGGGTCAGAAACCGATTTGGTGGTGTTCAGCTAGCTGGATCGATGCCTTTTCGAATCCTTCGAGATTCCCTGGGGGAGCCGGAGAGAAAATAAAAAATGAAGAAATATAGGTCAGAGACCGCCTCGACGAAAGGTCTCGAGATTAGAGACAATCGAGAGGTGCAATTGATCCACACGGAGCGCTGATCGGAGCTTGAAAAGAAGATTGCAGCAGAGGTGGCAGCAAGAGCATCAGACTCCGGGTGCCGTTTGACAAGGAGAGGCGATTGGATACACGGGGTTCCGTCGTGCTGTCAAATGTTTGGCCAGGTGCTGGGATGACTAGAGCGTGGTGTGAGGGGTGCTGCCTTTGTCCGTCAGAACGTGCCTTGCATTCGACGCTGGCCCGACTTGCGCAACGCGCCAAAAGGAAGAGTCGAGTGTTGCGGGAGCTGAAACAATTGAGTCTCGAGATGTAGCGGCACCGTCTGAAGCTGCGGAGTCCGGTTAAATTGGTGGGGTGGAAGGGACAATGGGCAAGTCCTGGGAGTGGGAAGAGGGAGAAATGGTTCACAAGAGTTACGCCGGGAGAGGTGAGCAAGAGTTGTAACGTGTATTGCGTGAAAAGAGGAAACTATGCAGACCTCGGAATGGTCTCTGTCTGGGATCGGCAACGAAACTCACAGCACGTGGATTTTGCTCTAGCCCCGTCTGCCCTGCGCCCGCGAAAAATAGCGGGAACCAAAAGGGCCAAGATGTGGGTTTTCTTGGGCTCCTAAAACCATTCGGCCGTACACATATCGAGGCTCCGCTTTCATGTCTCATTGTCGCGGCGTGCACGGAATCTACATGACAGGAGCAAGACTGGCGATTTGGAAGCTGGCGTCTTTTCGTCTCTCTCAACATCGACTCTATAGCTACACATAAAAGTTCTCGACAGTACGCGATACCCCATATGGACCCGAGAATTTCGCGGAGTGTGCATGTTCTGTGTGCATCTAGGTTGGCGCTCGTTGCAGCCGACACGCGATGCAGCATGGCAACTCCTCCCGGCGTCAGCAAATGAGNAGTCTCGAGTGGTGCTGCAGCGGAGAATTTTGCTGCTGATGCTGGTTCTACTGCCTGGTGCCGATCAGACGGCTCTACCTATCCGAAGGCCAAGGAGGAACAGAGCATGGAGAACAGGGAGGAACGCAGCAGCTGCGGCACCTTCAGGCAATCCAGAAAGATCATTCGTCNCCTCAGTCGCAGAATGGATGCCTTCCCCAGCGTCGGAAACGGGGAACCAATCGGTAGGGTTGCGCAACAAGATCTACTTCCGCGTGAGCCGAGCAGATTGAATAACGGAAATCTGTTCATCAATCGTCTTGTTGTCCTGCTGCCCGTTGACAGCGCCTAGAAGCATGAGGATACAGCCCGGTTCTGGCCCAACGCACGCCAGGGGTTGCGGGTTGAGGATAGGGAGGACGACGGTCCACTCTTGTGCGCCTGTGTGGTCACGACAGGACGCATTGTAGAACATCCTTCATCATCCTGGTAGCCGGAAGAAAGACAGCGTGTCACAGGCAGAGCAAAGAGAGCAGCATCAACCGTGCGCTCTGCTGCTGAGCCATTGCAGGTGTTTTGGTGAGGCATCTCCACCTTACCTTGTGTTACAGATACATAGAGATATCTGCGGCGGGCTAATGCACGTCATCTGCAATCGGACTTGTGGTGTTGGATTCCTCGGCCAGTCACGGTAAAGCTTATGATTCAAGAGATCACGGGGTGGTTAAAGTTACCAAAGCAACTCGACTCTGTGAATGTCTGAGCGCTGAGCATTTTTCCGGCGGCGCCGCACAACAATCGCGTGGACCTTCAGATGGCACGCCTCAATACGGCCTCGGAGATGGACTCTGACTGACGTGCAACAGGACTCCTTGTGGGTTAGAAAATATGCATGAGAGAAAGCATATGCTTTTTGATCCTTTACCCTTGACGTGCTCGGGGCGGCAGAAACGGCTCGTGTTTCTGTCATGATACAAGCAGTCGCCTTTGGGCAAGAGATCAGCAAACACCATGAAAGTACGATCTAAGTGATGAACAACGTGGGCCGCACGCGGCGAAGGGGAGAACAGCCACATGCCCGAAAACAAGACCGGCGGGAACTCGAGATCGCCAACTCTCTTATTTCACACCTCTGCTCTTCCAACAGCTCGGCCAGGCAAACCCGGATCGGCTTTTCTCCCGCCACTAAAAGTTTGTAGCCTCACAGAATGGAGTCTCTCTTTTCCGCTTTCAGAAGGTGGTAAGTCTGTCTTGACTTTTAGAAGACAACAAAAGCCACAGCCGCAGCACATGGCTCAGGCTGGTCGAAGGTTATCGGTCAAGGCCGGACTCCACACCTGAGATCAGTCTAGCTCAAACTCATGCTCAAGCACCTTACCAAAGATCAGAGCTTCAACGGGCAGGCTGAAAAGTCAAAACGATGTGTTTATGTTTAGATGGAGAATACTTGATGACGTTTATACCGTTCGAATGAGCGAGTCACTAGCTCGAGGTGCAACTGGTCTAGTTTGCACATAATCTTGGTTGTGGCCACATGGGCAGGAGTAGATAAGCACGAACAAGGAGCTAGACCGCCGATACGGTTGTCTCTAATCACGAATGGTGACCTCAAGCTTAAGCAGAGCCGTTGAGTCAAGACACCAACGCTTCGGGCATGATCGGGCAGACTCATGATTCAGAACACGGACGTAAAGTGACAGGGGTCTCTTGTTGCCTTCAAACACGGGGTTGTTGGGTGGAGATTGGCCGACAGCAGAGACAGGCAGCCTTACGGCCAGGCCACCCACACATGTGTGCACATCTTTGCTGTCTTGTTGATAGTGATACACTGGTTGTTACACACATGGGTTCGTGACATGTTCTGACGTGCAGAAGAAGCATCACTGGCGGGACGGTCCGCGACATGAGGGTGGTTGATCTCGCATCGGGTTAAGCGAGCAGAAGGCGGTGGCAGGTCAGGGCCCATGTGGCTACCAAGCAGAGGACCGTGGTCATGAGGGTATGGTTGCATTATTAGGCGAGCTGCAGCCAAGACGATGGTGGTAGGCGCAGTGAAAACGTCGGCGAGGAGCAAGAAGGTCGTGCGCAGGTCGAGCATCAGGCGGTCAGGGGAGGTTCGCGGGTAGTGGTAGGTGGTCAAGGGCGGACGAGATAGGCGGCCAGAGCTCTGTCAAACTTGTCGACGCGAATGGGCATTTCGAGACTGTAGAAAGGGTTGGTCATGACGTAGTCCGCATAGATATCGTAGCATCTGCGAGCAATTTGATCCGTATTGGGTTGCTCGGGGCTGGTGAAGAGCAGGAACTTTGTGCCGGTGGGGGTTTGGAAACAGGTCAGACGGAAATGCGACGACTCGAGCGACTGGATGCCGGTGGCGTGGTTCGCGCGATTGCCTGGCGGTGCAGGAGGGGGTGCGACAGGGGACAGAGAGCGCGAGATGGCATGGATGCCGTGAAAGGTACCGGCCAGGATGAGATAGTCGTTGGAGTTGAGCTGCTGGAGACCGGGCGCAAAGTTGCGGTTGTAGATGAGTCCACCGGCCTTGTTGATGACGAGCAGAGCAAAGACGACCCTGCAGCAAGAGGTCAGCAACAGTGCATCAAGTGTTGGGAGTCCCTCCTGTACTTACATGGTGAATGCGCGACTAAAAGCAAGTCAAGCTCGAGCTGTCTGGACGCTGTCGACAACAACGAAGGCGGTGTGGAGAGCTTCAGCCAACGACCCCTTCGATACCGTTGCCCGTCGCTTCTCAATCGCAAAGCACGAATCACTTCACCAAAACAATTGTCTCTTTTCCTGTCGCAGCTCCGGCAAGAAATCAAGCGCCAACGTGTGCGTGCGAGACATATATACTCCATCTCACTCTCCATCCCAAACGCCTGTCTGAATGAGCAAGCGCCGTGCCTGCCCCGCGCGCGTCTGTCTTTCTGTCGGCTGTGACTGTGACTAGCTCGCAGCAGTAACCATCCCACCAACCAACACACACACTTTGCAGCATTACCACTGCAAGTCTGCAAAGAACTTCTCTTTGGCGCTTCAACCCTGCCATCTGACATGCCATCCCGCTAGCAACCCCGATCCCTAGGTATCTCTCATTCACTGAACTTGCTCGTTGTCCCGAACGCCCTCTTCGCTCAAAATGGCCAACAAATCGTCAACCATCCGCATTCTGAGAGCAAGTACAAATCTTCATCCGTGCCTGCCAGACGTCTAATCTTCCATCCAGGAGATAAAGGAACTCCAGACCGGCTCGGATCTGTGTACGTCTGCCCTGTATTCCTTCCAGCCGAGATATTTGGCCTGACTGTGCNTAGCACTTGCCGTCGCTCACCTTGAGAACGACGTTAGTAATGTGCGCTGTCTCATCGTCGGTCCTTCCGATACACCCTACGAATTCGGCTTCTTCGACTTCAAAGTGAAAATCGGTCCCGCCTATCCTGTGCAACCCCCGTCCGTGAGATGCTTGACCACTAACAATGGTCGCTGTCGCTTCAACCCTAACATCTACGCGTCTGGGAAAGTATGCCTCAGTATTCTTGGTACATATTATGATCGTCGCTTTCATTATGTCAGGGCTAACCAGATCAAGNGCACATGGCGCGGTGAGCGAGGCGAACAATGGAGCACTGCACAAGGGTTGGAGAGTGTGCTTATTAGTATACAATCGCTTATGTCTTGCAATCCTTATGAAAACGAGCCTGGCTTCGAGACCATCAAAATCACAAACAAGGAGGCTGAAGAGTATGCGCAANAAGGTTTGTTGCGTCTGGAGCAATCAGTAATCACGAGTGCTGACATTCGCTCGTAGATACGCCACGAGACTCTCAGAATAACGGTGCTCCAACGCCTCGAGCAGCTGCTCCAAATCTCTGATGATGATCACACAACGACTGCTATGGCTGTGAACACACCACCTACCGACTATGAAGATGACGGCGTGGAAGAGTATGACCCCTCGGCCGACGAAAAGGATGGAAGCACGGAATCCGACTTTTGTCCTTTCACCGATCTCTACAAGCGCCGCTTTCTCTGGTACTATGACGCCTATATCAAATCGATTGACGATGCCTCAACAAAGGTCAAAGACGGTAAGCAGTTCGAGCACACGCCATTCGAGTACAGTAGCAACGAGATGCGTGGCAAGTACGCTTATGCTTCGCTCAAAACACGCTTTCAGCGCGTCTGGCAGGCTCTCGAAGCTGAAAAGGACACTTGGGCCGAAAGTGGCAAGCAGGTACTCACCGATCAACATGGCACAGCCTTGAACCTCCAGCATCAGTTTGAATCGCTACGCTCCTACTACTCTCAAAGCAATGGGCCCTCTGTCGAAATCAGTCTCGTTGACGCAAACCCCTTCGTCTGGATCCTCACATTCTTCGGCCCAAATGAATCAGATCTGTACGGCGCAACGATCAACGTTCGCATACACTTCCCTTCGNAATTTCCGGAAGAGCAGCCACGAGTTACGGTCCTCACACCCCTCTTCCATCACCGTATCAGTGCCACTACTAAAGCACTCTGCTATTTCCCGACCAAACTCTACGACGTGGAGAACCACATTGAGAACATCATGGCGACCATTATCGAAGAAACTCCATCCTATGATCCTCGCGCGTTGGTAAATCCTGCTGCATCGGCTCTGCTCTGGGGTGATGAGAATGGCAAGAAGATGTATAGGTAAGTGAGACCTGAGGCATACTATGTCTTTGTAGTCTCTGGTAGTTGAGTACTGACAGAATTAAGGCGCAAGCTACGCAGGAGTGTGCAAGACGCTATGGAGTCATGCGATGAGTGGTAGCTGAAACTCAAACGAGATCTGAATATGGATCGTCGTCACGATTGATATACCCTTTTTCTTAGCGATGGCGTTTTGGGCAAAAGGTTTCCAGGTAAAAGGCATTTCGGGATGAGGTCTCTTGGGCCAGCGCTTACGTTCAACGAGCCTTACTATCAGATGAGGCAAGATGGGGCTTGACAGTAAGGAAAGTAGTCGTACATGGTTCACTTCTCGTCTCTCCCAATTAAAATTGATGACAGGATGCTTGTTGATACCATTTCTTGAGTGAGAACAGGTATTCTGACCCGATGAAAGCCCCTTTTTGGCCACTAGGAAGATTGTAGGGACCATTAGGGTTCGAACATGCACTCGAGACATCGATAGGGCCACAAAAGGCATAGTTCGCATTGCCTATACATCTTCATGTCTCACTTTCCTGGCGTGGGGAGTAACCCTGACCCAGTCGTGCCATGCATAAAGTCGCCCATGTCTTGCCATTGGCCATGACGGAAGACAGCTGGTCTGGTTGCAACCGCGTGCGTGAACGTCTCGACTTGCTGAATTGTGGTGGCGGGAGGGACGAGATATCCAGGCGCGTGGGTGGTCGTTGCACAAAGAGGTAGGCAGGCTTCTTCCTTGCGCGCGCGGGCACGGCGTGGTGCACGCTGCGCTTGGAGGGATGAGATGAAACAATGCTGTGACTTGGTTTCGGGATGTCTGTGTCTTTGCTGGTTGCCGAAAGAAAGACTTTTGGTGCTTTGGTAGGGTAGGACGGTGGAGAGTTCCACACTGACAGGTTTGCTGGATGAAGATAGGTAGGTTCTCAGAGTTGGCATGGTCTTGTGGAATCTTTGATGTTTCTGGTGGTCTTGCTGCTTTATGTTGTTGTTGGGGTTTCTTGCTTTTACGACTCCCAGATATTGTTGTGTGCTGCTCGTCTTCTTATACATTCGCCAGCTTTTTAATGCTATGGTCATCGAAAGCCAACAACATGAGACTCAAAGCATTATTCGTCATCTTCTCACTGAGATTGCCTATCTGCATGGCCACACCCGTTCCTCCCTGTAACATGGCTCCCCTCACGAGTGCAGATATCGCCATCATCGCCCCCGACAGCATATCATGCACAGAAGCAGCATACCCTGCCGAATGCGCGACAGCCACACACGCCGCACCATATATCAACCTCGCCTTTACCACCTTCTCCATTCACGATTTTGGCACACAAGCCTCCCTACTCGCACTCATACTCTACGAATCCGGCTCTTTCAAATACAACATTAATCATTATCCCGGTGTACCTGGCCAAGGCACCCGCAACATGCAAAACCCAGCCTTTAACCTCAAATACGCACAGTGGCTGGCTGCAAACATGACGGATTCGGGTATATCAGTGCAGCAGGTGGAAAAGGCGGAAGCAGAAGGTGTGGTGCAAGTATTGGCGCTTGTCAACAATGATCGCTGGGGCTTTGCATCAGCGGCGTGGTTTTTGGTGACGCAGTGTGATGGAGAGATTAGGAGAGGGCTTGCGGGTTTGACGGAGGAGGGTTGGAATGCATATCTGACTGATTGTGTGGGCACGACTGTGACGGATGAGCGGACTGCAATCTGGAAGGATGCTACTGCTTCGGGGAAGTGGTGAACATCAGTCATACTTTCACGGTGGTCCTTCAATACTTGATGCGCCGCATATTCGGATAGTACATTGTAGAAATCGGCATGCCATTGATTTGGTCCATTTTTGGCCGGAATGATCGTTTGTCCTAGTCTGAGAGGAAAGAGCGAACGAAGCCTGCAGAATACAGCTCTTCCAAATTTCCCATTTGCTAGAACCCATAAAAGACAAGAAGAACTTGCATGACAGGAGATGCTACCGCGGTCAGGTTCTCGACGCCCTCCGTGCTATATGATGCAAAGGCAGAAAGTGATTTAGGAAAGATAGTGGATTAGTAGTGGGTGCGAAGAGATGAGTCGCCCAACCTATCGTATAGCATCTTCTTTCTTACAGCCACATCTAGACGATCTTGTAAAGTCGTATAGAAAGACACGAGTATTCTCCTTTCGGAGATATGTTCATAAAAAGGCGTCGAAGAACACATCGCGGTGGATTTCGCCCTACTCAGCAAAAGCGTCATGCTCTCTTATAGCCATACGTTCGGTGCTTGTATTTTGCAAAGACGAGAGAGTGGCAACTTTGGCCAAAAACGAGTTGTGGTTTACAACAGCGCGAGAAGAAGAGGAGATACAAGACCGTAAAAGGACGAGAAAGCAAAACATATCGAGAGGAGAAGCGCCTTATCTTCGTTTAGAATGAGGGGAATTACAGATATAACGATGCAGCGCCTAGTTGTAATAATCTCACAGCCTAGTATGGAGCATGGGCAAAAAGTAAGCACCATGGGCAGGAATCGAATCTACGACCTCCCAACCCTCGAGAGAGAGTATCAGGGACTTAGGTAAGCGAGTTTAGGGACTTAGGTTACCGGATCGGGTGTGCTGACCACTGCACCACCACGGCTTTTTGGGTTGCGAGGGCAGGAAATTCTTGAAATATGAGGGTTGGTAGAGACAGAAGGAGTGACAGCAAGGTGAGTGGCAAGAAGGGGATTGAAAGAGCTGGTGGTGCGGGTAGATGAGAGAGTTATCAGGTCGGGACGTGGTCGGGTCGTCGAAAAGTCGGGTTAGCAGACATTCCGAGATTTGTGCACTTGCCAATATGTCAGTCGCAACAAGAGGTGCCAGTATCAAGAACGGAAGAGCAAAGAGGAAGGTTAACATTGTTTCATTTTGCGGCAGCGAGAGAAAACAAAGAACAGAAATCATGCAAGCCAGATCTTGCATGTCGAAGAAAACCCCTGAACGCCTTGCTGTGAACACCTAACCAGGGTTTAAATGCAAAGCAATGCCGTGATGGTCGATCTAGATAACTGAGACCGCTCCCCTGAAGCATTTGTGGTGGTTGAGTGCAAGCGAAAACTGTGAGCGTAGAGAATATTTCTATACATTTGGGCGTAGCTCGTGAATATGATGGAGAAGCATGAGTAAAAGACTTTGTCGCATGTAGAATGGTTCTAAAGGGTTCCGGGAAGGTGCTCGTCTTCATCCTCGGCTTGCATACGGACGATAACACTTTTGAGAGTTTCAAAGGTAAGCATGGTGGTCATGGCGGCAGGGACGGCTCGGATGAGATTGGTTCCCATGCCGCTGTAGAAGGCAGTCCAGCCCTCTTCGTATAGGATAAGTCTGCAGGTCTTGATGACACCTTGATAGCGGGGCTTATTGATCATGCCATCAGAGCTAGGGATGCCTCTTTGTTGTGTTTGTAGACGAGTGCGCAAGACTTCGTGAGGATATGTAGCAGTGGTAGCGCAAATCTTGCTGATGCAGGTCGCAGCGAGCACACCGACCGAGTTTGTGCCTTGGCTCGGAGGAGCTGCGCCCATCTCAACACCGGTAAATCTGAGTTTTAGGTACTCATATAGCGGGAATTGGATGGCGACATGTGTAAGACCCAATAATGCGGGAGCCAGACCGGAATAAAAGGCCTTGATGCCCTCGCCCTTGTACATTTGACGAGCAGCATCCCAAGTGTTGTTGTAGTGCCAAGGGGTGCGATGTCCTTCAACGGCTTTTGTAGATATCTGAGACATGAGACGAGTCTTGATGACCCAGATGGGATTTGTTGCAAGCGTCGAGCAGGCACCGGCCGTGACGGATGAGCACACGTGAGCAAACCATTGTGGTTCTGAGCGCAGGTCAGCATGCGATAGGCAGGTTTCAGATTGGGTCGACTTACCAATTCGTTCCGAGTAGTTCGTCTTTGCTATATCGTAGATGCTCATGTAGACAGCCCAGGTGGGGAGATAACCAAGCACCATGGGTCCGAGACCTCTATACATGCCCTTGAGGCCATCCTGACGCACGATTGTTTTTGCGGTTCCAATGAGGCCTCGGTAGACTTGGGAAGTTGAAGGAGAGGTCTGGTTATGCTGCTGGTGCCGGAAAGAGCCTTGGGCCTGCAGCTTGGTCTTGATGACATCGAGCGGGCATGTAACGATACCCGAAGCAACACCGGCGGCGGCACCACAGAGACTGTTGATGTATGGTTTGGGTAGTTTTTGAGCCAGAAGAGTCACGGTTGAAGGTGGTGACTTGAGATCGTGGGTGTTGGCTGCCGGGGCTGACATTGTTTTGGAGGGTACGCCTCAATAGCTGCGCATGTTCAGGCCAGAGGCAGATCGGACGGACTGAGAGCGGATGAATAGACAGATCGGGTGGACGAATTGTCTTTCGGACAGATAGACGGTGAGGTGAGGATGTGAGTGGTAGATACGGGAGTGGTGGGATGCGCGCGCGGCCCGGCACCGCTTTCAAGCAGCTTTGGTTAGCGATTGTGCGTCTCCATGAATCTGCACACAATGGCTGAGGGTGGAGGTGGTCTGATGGCTGGCTGTGTCGTGTGTCTGGTGGATGATTGTCTCTTGGGTGTCAACAATGCCGTCGCTGGCACCTCCAACCTTCTGCGACCATCGAAGGAAACAGCCGGCGGTCGCGGCCGGCTCAAAGCGGGGGCTCTGAGCGCGGCGCTGATTGGGCAATGCGTGTCCAAGGTAAGCAGCCAATCAGCGTCGACTTGTAAGTTGGACGACAAGAGATCAAGCCTGGTCCTTGAAGACGGCCGCCATTGAAGCTCTCGAGTCTCGACCCCGTCCACCACCACCTCACACATCGCAATCATGTCGCAGCCCTCGATCACCAACTTCATCGTCAAGCGCCCCTGGTTGAAGCGCTGGATGACCCCTCTCGCCAACTGGTACACCGACGCCGCCGGCTACAGAAAGTTGGGCCTGAGGTCCGTCGCCCCTGCCAGCAGCCCTGCAACTCTCTCCTAACAGCACTCTGCANGAGCCGACGACCTGATCCCTGAGGAGTCCGAGACCGTCCTCCTCGCCCTCAAGCGTCTCCCGCCCAAGGAGGCCTACGACCGTGTCTTCCGCATGCGCCGCGCTTTCCAGGTCCGCTCAACTCGACAATGCTGTCAACCTACACCACACAGCGCTAACACGCCCTTGCAGTGCTCCATCTCACACCAGCTTCTCCCCAAGAACGAGCAGACCAAGCCCGAGGAGGTGCGTCCCCAACAACACACCCGTCCTTTTTCTCGAAGCACACTTCTAGGAGAATTGAAGAGCCAATTGCTTACACACACTGCAGNNGATGTCCCATACTTGAGCCCCATCATCAAGGAGATCGAGTCCGAGAGAAGAGAGAGAATGGACCTCGATGCCATGGTCATCAAGAAATAATCGCCCTAAGTCTCCGAAACTCGCTGATCCCCCGAGTCACCGCCCGCTTTCATGTACTCTACACCTTTAGAATGTCCAAAATCGCCTTTTTCCTTTGACGAGCACAACTCCATCTATCATCTTGTTCAAGAAGGGCTTCGTTTCCCATACAATACGAGTACTGTCGCGCAGTTCTCGTCGGTCGTGGCATACACGGATGCACTACCAACACTCGATAGCCAAGGGTCATCTACAACCAAGTCACGCTGGGTCATATCGAGATGTTCAAGCCATAAATGCCCTACTTTGACTGTACTCATCGAACCATTTTGCCTCACGCGTTTCTATTCATGGTCTGTGCTTCTTGCACCACTTGACGTGACTTTCACTCATGCTCGAATGTCATTCATCTGCGACAACTCTTCTTTTCGCTCATGAATTGTAGTCAGCTCCTGTCTGAATAGTCAAAGAAACCTCGTGGTGGGGATCCTCTGAGTAAATTACCACGTCCCTCTGTGCTAATGATTGTCGTCACATGTAGCTACGTTCACCGCAATGGCTATTCAAATAGATATGTACCCCTAAAGATGCCCTATGATGGTCTTCTTTCTCTCGAAATACTGCTTCCTTCTTGAAAATGTACAACGTTTTCGCAGTTACATGCTAGTCTTCAGCACATTCAAAGGTTGTGGGTTGTCAACTTGGTGAAATCGCAACTACCACATGCGTCATTGCGTCACCTAGTCTGCCATCCCTCGACCACCCTTTTAGCGAGGCTATCTTAAACACCCATCACTCTGCTCGTCAACTTTTTCTCATAGGTAACGACTGTCGTAAACACTGGCTTCTGTAACTTCGATCGCAAATCGTATCTCCAGAATGTCCCCCAGGCGCTCAGCTCGCGTTCAGGCGCTGCCTAACGCTGCAGCCACGCTTACTTCTCAGCTCAAAGTAACCAAGAGAAAGGCAGCTGCTGCAGAATCAAACCCATCAAAATCCATCAGGGAATCACTTTCGACGTCAAACGGAGGACAAGGGGCTACATCAAGAGACGCTTCTTCTAGAAAAGAAGCGCCTCGCAAACGTCAGAAGGTCAATGATGCATCGCCAGCAGAGCCAACATCTGCAGCTATTAGCCTGCCAACGACAACAGCTTCTGTATTAAGCGACAAATTAAACGTAAATGGAGACGAACCATCGCAAGATCCAATCCCCAGGCCCGCAGAACCTCACATCACAAACGCACCCGTCAAATCACCAACCTCCAATAAAACAATGACCGCATACTCAAACTGGAGCAGTGATACCGTTGGTCCTGCTCTCAGCACAACAAACTCACTCCTAGATACTGCGCTCGCACACCTCAAAGCCAACGACTCCAACGGACGCCTAGCACCCTTCCTTGCCAAATTCCACTGCAAAGTCTTTGATGCAGAAGGCTTAGCTCAACCAATCAACCCTTTCCGCTCTTTGGCTTCCGGCATCATCGCACAACAAGTCTCCGGCGCCGCTGCCTCCAGCATCAAGAACAAATTCATCAAGCTGTTTGCCGCAGACGCTGCATACGAGTATCCAGGACCGCCTGAATTTCCTCCTCCGCAGATGGTCAAGGATATGCCTATACCAACGCTAAGGACGGCGGGATTGAGTCAGAGAAAGGCAGAGTATATCCAAGGACTTGCCGAGCAGTTTTCCAACGGCACATTGACCGCGGAAATGCTGACCACAGCCACCGATGCCCAAGTCATGGAAAAACTGATTGCAGTGCGAGGGCTGGGCAAATGGTCGGTGGAAATGTTTGCTTGCTTTGATCTGAAACGCATGGATGTGTTTTCTACGGGAGATTTGGGTGTTCAGTAAGCTTTTGATCTTATCCCTACACCCGACATCAATATCGCTTGACAAGTTGTCGAAATGCTAACAAGGTTGCAAAACCAGANNCGTGGGTTAGCAGTCTACACAGGCAAAGACGTCAACAAACTCAAAGCCAAAGGAGGAGGAAAGTGGAAGTACATGGGCAGCGAACAGGCCATGTTGGACGCTGCGGCAAAGTTTTCGCCGTATCGGTAAGCTCCCTTTCTTGCTATGCTGTTTTCTTCTCAATCTTGCAGGTTACTGACAACTCGCAACAGAAGTCTGTTTATGTGGTACATGTGGCGGCTCAGCGATGTGGATCTCTCTGCCTTGCAGGACGATAAAGTGATTGAGGAGACTTGATGATTAGAGAACGATATGTGAGAAGGAAGCAAGTGATGGATCTCCATGTGTTTTGGCAAGGACCATTCAAATCCCTGTTATATCAATGGCTGGACTCTCCCGATGACTGAGTTTGAAACCAAATTGAAGGGCAGAAGAAGTGACATTGCTGATGCATATATAACAGTGCGTGTTTCTACAGACTTTGCATAACACCCACTTTGGTTTATTATGTGTTTCCTCTGCGCAACTAGGGGATGTTACGTCTTTCCACAATAGAGCTGTTATTCGCGTTGCTCAAAGGAGTCATCTTCTGAGATGTTCTTGCACGCTCGGATGGTCAAGGGATATGACTACTAGCATTGCCGAGGTGAGAAGCATGTATGCCATTTGTCAATCATTGGTTGAACGGCATGTGGTAGTGAATGCACCTTTGACTAGTCCACAATGCTCATTGTGCCTCGCAAGTTCTCTTTTGAAAGTAAAAACGTTTTCATATATTGCTAGGTAATACATAACAAGGACATCATTTTCATAAAGATCTTGCGGAAGGCGGTCCTAGTGTGCAGGAAAAGCAGGGGTTCCTCCATCTAAAGCTTGCTCTTGAACTTGCCGCTATCGTTCGTCTTGAACAAAACCTCGCTGTTCGGGTACGGATCCACCGTGATAGCATTCAAAGGATTCAGCTCGCTCGCACGGTAAAACATGTCTTCATAGACCTTGCCATCGTAGCGTCCCAACGACGAATCCAACTGCCAGTCTGGGAAGTCCCACGCGTCGACTAGACGGACGGCGTGAGGACGAATCTCGGACAGCAACTTCATGACTGCGTTTGTGCGCGCAAGCTGGATCTGGCGCACAGTGACTGCGGCCGAAGTGTAGAACTCGGAAGCTTCGGACTCGAGGGTGTGGAGGGCGTAAAGGCGGAAGAGCTTGTGCATGAGGTCAATGGTGGGAGGATCCAAGTCGGAGTTTATGGATGATGAGTTGAGAGCTTCGTAGAAGTTCTTGACGACCATGTATTGCGAGTGTGCGCGAGAGAGACGGTAAAAGTCGACGAGCAAATCATTCCACGCCTTCTTGTTCTCGTCGCGGTGCTTGAGGGCTTCAAAGGTGAGGAAGGCGGAGCGCCAGGCGAAGGCGGCAACAAGATCCTCATCCTTGTCCATGATGTTGAAGGCGGCGCCCGTCTCGGACTTGGCGAGGAAGTTGGCGAGGATGGCGGTCGTGTCGTTGGTGGGCTCGTTGCCCTTGAGCACGCTGCGGGCAGACTTGAGCAGGTAGCGGGCGACCTGCTGGGTCAACATGTAGTTGTCGCCCTCCCAGGTGGCGGTGGGCAGGTAGTCGGCGTACCAGGGGCCGATGCCCGAGAAGTTGCTGTAGCCGTGGCCACCGCAGGCGCGGCGACAGACTTCGAGGCCGTCGACGGCAGTGGACGAGGCTAGCGACTTGAGACCGCACGAGGTGGCGTGCAGGTCGGCGAGCAGATCGCTGCCTGGGGTGACCTCTTCGGGGCCGGCTCCACGCTTTGCGCTGCTGGCCTTGCCTGCATCTTGGCTCATCTTCTTTTGATTGGCCTCGTAGAGCTGCATCATACCACGGCCGGTGAAGTGCAGGGCGTAACAGGTGGCCAACAGAGTCAAGAGTCTGATCTGCACAGTTGTGTAGTTGAGAACTTGGTTCTCGTCCGACTTGGGATCTTGCGCATCGCGGTCCTGGAACTGACGGCGGACGGCAGCGTAGCGAGTGGCGATGGTGACACCACGAGCCAAGACGCTGCCAGATTGCAAGACGATGGTGCTACGGACCCAGGTGAGGGTTCCGTAGATGAGCGAGGGAGAAGCAGGACGCAGGTACTTGCTCGTGTTAGGGTCGACGCTGGAGAAGCGGCCCAGCATGCTGATGTGCGGCACCTTGACCTTGTTGAACAGTAGGAAACCGTTGTCCATGGTGTTGTAGCCAAACTTGGGGCCAATATCGCCAATGTGGATGTTCTCGAGCGGCTGGTGTGTCTTGAGATCACGGATCTGCACAACGAAGGGGTGGGGGCCGTATGGCTTGTTGTTGATGTACAGCTGGGCCATGACGACGGCGTGGTTGGCGGTGCGGCCGAGAGAGCCAATCCACCACTTGCTGGCAGTCAGGGTGGGCGAGTTGATGATGAAGGTCTTGTCCTCGGCATTCCATGTTGCCGTCGTCTCGAGTCCTCGTACGTTTGAGCCGTGGCCGAGCTCTGTCTGGGCGTAACAGCCAATGTACTCGTAGTTTCGTGCTGGCTTGAGGAACTTTTCGTGTTGCTCGGGCGTGCCCTGGTCACGGAGGGTGATCTAGATGGCTAGTTAGCAGCTGGGTGGACCCTCTTTCCTCAGAACACAACACACCAAGAACATGCTCTCGTGCAGGCCGTACGGGCCAGGCTCGCTGATGAGCTCATTGGCAATCTGCTTGTCCTGGTCGGTCCAGTTGTGCTTGACCTGCAGCTGTCGCAGCCTCTTTGCTCTTGCCAACGCCGTCTCGAAGCGATCAATGCGGCCCGCAAAGTAGTTCTGCGACTTGTCAAACACCTTTTCCTGCGTGAGGATCTTCAGAATCCTGTGCTTGCGGTCAAGACCCTCTTGTGTAAACAAAAAGGTCGATAATGCTTGAACATTGACGTTGGACTTTGCTCGCTCTTGCGACAGCAGCTCAGTGCCTTGGACGCCTGCGGGCTTAAGATCTTTGACCCACGAAGGAGTGGGTGCCATGATTGTAATTGTATGTGTGAATCGAAAGAAGGAGGAAATAATCAAGGCGATGATCGCTGCATTGTAAGTTACTTATCACTGCGCCATCGGTTGTTGCAGTAGACACGGACCCTGTCTCCTGCCTCGGTGCCGAGGTTACCATTCACTTTCTGGGGCAACATCCGGATAGAGAACGCTGACGTCTTTGACACAACCGGACCTCGCCTTTGATGCCACATCTTGAGCTCCCAACCAACGGCCTCAATTCGAAGGTGTGTTGCCGAATCTCACATGTGCACGGCAAGAGAAGAGCATGTTCTTGCAATCTCTGTCTCGCGCGTCTTGCCGGATGCAGCTTTATACGTTCGCGAAATTCATCCCGTCGTTCGTTAGCTAGTCTCGGCGGCCCCATATTGTCATTGTGTGGAGATGCCAATCATGGTCCGGGGCAAACAGACCTCTCCTTTGCTGTGGTTCGTCTTCGCCCATTTTGCTTGTGAAAAACGTTTTGTTCGTTTGCTGAAGCTGAAGCCTCGCACATGAAGACGACGATGAGAAGGACGTGCTATTCACAATATCTCTCCATGGACCTGACTTTCTTCTAGAAATTACAAGTATCTTATGTTTTTACAAAAACATCGTGATAATGTTTAGCATACAGAGTTGACAATAAACCAGAGGTAGGATGAACGGAGAATTGGAGTTGATCACATATCCTCAAATGCCCCAGATGAGACTAGCTGTCTAGTAGACACTTGATTGGAAGTAATATCGCTCCAGTCCATTGACAAGGAGCACATGGCCTCTTGAAGCAAACGGGAATGCCATCTAGAGACACCCATTGACCTCCCAGTGAGGTAGATAGTAAAAATTAGACGTACACCGCTCAACTGACCAAACAGATAATAACACTTCTAGAGAAACCCCCTTACCCTACTAACACACCAGATTCACTTACTCAGCTAAGCTAAGACAGTCAACCGCAGCTTGAATCTGATCCCTCATACCCCCNAACGCCTCAAACGCAACAGAATAATTCTCCAATGCCTGCAATACACGCCTCAACCCCTCCTCACACCTCCCCAACAACTGCCCTGCTTTACTCTGTGCCTGCAGCTCGTTGTCCTGTTGCGCAAGCACNCACGTACGATGGTACACCATCAGCAATGCATAAGCACTCTGCATCGCACAACAAGCAAAACTCGGCATCATGCGAGGAGCAAGCGGCGAGGACGAATAAGGCAATGGCAAAGCCTCAAAGGCAGAAGCAATAGCGAGAGCAGAGGTTAAGCACAGTCGTGAGGATAGGTGGTTGCTGAAAGGGAATGGGTGGAAGTACTCTGCTGTGCTTGATGAGGAAGAGTCTGGTGAGACTGATGTTGTAAGACTGGGCATCTGGGTCGGTAGAGAAGAGGAGGAGCAACCACAGGATACTCCAGGCGAGGGCGTTAAAGACATTTGGTCCAAAGGACCGGTAGTCGGCCAAGGTTCAGATCTCTTAAGATCGCAGTGCTTTTCTGAAAATACGGGGATATCGAAAAAGGCGCAGTAGCGGTGGAGTTTTATCCTTGCACTATTNGTGTTTTTACCTTTGTCAGCAGATATCCCTCTTCTTCTTGTTCGAAGGTCGGCCTCTTACCTGTTCAACTTGATCTTGGACATTTGCTTCAACGAGTATGCCACGAGAGCTTCGGGGTCAGTGGTCGTCGGTTTCGTGTCTGTCCAGTTGACCGATTGGGCTATCAGTGGTTCGATGGTGTTGTGTAGATCTTGCATGCGGGAGGATATGTCTGTCCAGTCTTCTTGACCGTCTACTGCGCGGCCTACTGCAGAGACGAATTGGGTTGCTAGAAGAATGGTCTGTTGCGATTTTATAAAGAATGGCCATGCCNNTGGTGGGAGAATGTTAGATTCCACGACTTGCGCTCCTTCTAAAACTCTGGTGGTCCTTACCTCTGGGTCTGGTGCTTGAGGGAAGCTAGTTGTGAAGCGAGAGTCGAAAAGAGGTATTGCCGGTGGNCTGTTTTGAGAGTTGTCAGCAACTATTCAAGACACATCAGCCTGTTTCTTGACACCTACCGCAGAGCTGACAATTGAAGCCTGGCAGGCACAGATATACNNTGCAGTTCTCGGATTAGCACAATCTCGACAGCATCTGTCGCGTCTCAGGTCACCCACAGTCATCCACCAGATCCTACGTCGCGCCTCGGCAAAGGTATCAAGCTCTGTGCCCCGATCATGCAGTGAGAGATCCATTGCCCGCATCAATGCCTGACCAGCCCGATCCCTCATCTTGGTAATGTTTCCACGTTGAGCATACTCATACACACTCAATATACTCAACGCAACCACACTTTCAGCCTCAATCGGTACCTGTGAGTGAAAAGCAGACCGTGAGATATAAGAGTGTTCGTCTAGCAGTGCCTGTGCCGGAAAAATCGAAGAGTTTGGAATCTCAGAATCACTCTCTATGCTCTCTAACGTTCGTTTGGCGAAGTAGTGAGCACTTTCCCTACGGGCTTTGATGCTTTCTTCTTGGAAAGGTGCGCTTTCCTCTGGATGAGGAACCAAAGCCAAGACTGCCGAGATTGCAAGGGCAGCTGGCGAGAGAGACTCGAAGACGGATTCTGGATCCTTTGGATACCAGAGCTGCGGATTGTCCTTGGGTCGAGAAGATTTCGATGGGGGCAGAATTGGAAAGTATGGGTGTAGCCAGATATAATAAGCATCCAANTCTGGGCAAATCGTGTGAGCTTATTGGCAAAGTGTCTAAAGGGGACAAAATACTCACATATCGCCGTTTGATCTATACCTCCTTACCGAACCACTTCGTCGAGGTGTATGACTTTCTAGTTCAATGGTCTGAGGTACAGGTACTGCTGTGAAGATGCTGTCGAATAGGGTATCCGTATTGTCAAGCCCCAGGTCCAGTTGTGTCAATCCAGCACCAGGCTTAATCATCGTCGGTACCGCCTCATCAAAGNNCCTAGGAAAGTCCTCAGTCTGGATATTGAATCACATCCACAGAAGATGCTTACAATCCTGTGCAATCTTCACGTAATCTGCTTTTTCGTACTCCTCCTGCCTTCTGTTTCGTGGCACGCGAGCACCGCCCCTGCGACTCTGAACATATACACACTCCTTTCCTCTATAATTGCACTTATTCGCAAAAGTCAGATTGCGAGGTTACTGGGACAGACGCAGATGGGTCATATTACTTACGCCTGAACATGGCTCTTTTCCATCACATCGGATGCGCGAGGAGCGACTTTAATGACAACCATCAGCAAGCAGTATAAAACCCAAGTCAATGCTTGATACATACCAGGATAGACATGCTACTTTGACTGGAGGAACAGCAAACGGCTTTTTCCGAATGCCAGCGGTGGTGGTCTTTTGACGGATTTGCGTCTCTGTACTCATCGTATTCAATGTTCGATACTGTGATGTGATGATGTCCAGCAAGGGAGAAGTACATGAAAATAGTAATCATGGAAAGAACACGAGTGGTAGCGGCAATCAAATTCAATCCATTGGCGGCCGATTTCGAGAATGGAAGCTTCGGCCGTTTCGAAATCCAGACAGGGTTTGGCTACGCTCGCATATCTGACTCGTATCACGTGGTGGCCTGATTCCTGTCGTGTGCAGTCCTCATTCTCGTAGTCGCGATGTAGTTGTTGGAAAGAAAGCCATCTATCTGTAAGAAGTATCTACAGAAGCTACAATTCCTAGCGAGAATAAAAGAAACAATGGAGAGAAACAAAATTTTGGTGACCCCCAAATCATAAATCCTTCATAAACTATGCTTCAAGAAATGCCAACAATTCATTTAGTGCCAAGAAAACAAAGATTTTTGTGCAAGAGCAGACATTACCCAAGACCCAGGATCGTTAAAAATGTATTGGATAAGATAGTGCGGAAGGACATGAGTAAAAGAGCACTGTCAAACTGCTAATGCCTTTTGCTGCGCAGCGCCAGGCGGCAGCTTGGGTAGGGGAAGCGAGGGAGGCGGTGCTGGTGGCGCTAGACCGACGATGGGCATGCCCAGATCAAGAGGTGGTAGACCCAAGTTGAGCGGTGGTGGAGGTGATGAGGATGGCTTCTGTACCGAGGGGGCTCGAGGTAGGATACTTTCGTCCCTGAGGCATGGTACTGAGTCAGCCCTTGAGAGCTGAGGTTGGTTCACAGCTGTCTTGGGGCGAATTGAAGAGAGAAATGGAGCGTGGTTGGGACGGATTTGAATGCTGGCTGGTCGGCGAAGAGGACGATCTTGAGATCTCTTCATGTCATCAGCTGATGAGGGCGGAAGTGTCTTGTCAGAAGTAGGAGCAAAAGTCGATGTAGCCACAACGTCAGTGGTAGGGAAGAGCGACAGCTTGAACGAGGGTGTGCGCTGAGGCTTGCGAGAGAAATTCTCAACAGGTCTGGACGGCATTGCTGGTAGTGCCGGCAATGCTCTTGTAGGCGGAGGAGCTGGCTGGGGTGATTGTAAGGGTCTTTGTCGAGGTAGGGACATGCTGTTGGAGTACGGATTGACTTTCAATGGTAAGCGCTTTACTGGAGGCGAGGGCGTTTGCTGATCATTGGACTGTGTGACTCCTTCAGAAGGTTTGCGGGCTGGCCAAAGTAAAGGCATGTCTGCAACAAAAGAATCCGGACGAGGTCTACCAATGATGGGATTGGGCTTTGGCCGTTGAAGTTGACCGGTCGTCGCCGATCTTGGGAGAACAGGGCTGTCGGTATCGAACTCGTCACGCAATGAACCCATCGAGGACTTTTGCGATGCATTCTTGTCACGGATCATGCGCTTCCCTGCGCTCATGCCGAAACTGACGGCAGAGTCATGAGTAGTGACAGACAGAGGCGAGTCGTTCGTGTCGAAAGAAGCCATCTTCTTGAGTCTTTCAACATTGTCATGGTCTGGCAAAGACTTGCGCGAGATTGCCGCGTTCGAGTTTCGCCTCGAGTACGAGTGCAGTTCAGTCACTTCAGGCTGAGTAGTCGGTGCGACTGCAGTAGTCGAATCACGTCTCAGTCTGCCCATAGTGCCTCTCTCAGGACTGGTCGTTGGGAATGAGAAGTTGGTGAAAGCTGGCTGTTCTTGTTCGGAAAAGGATATGCGTTGCTTGACGCGTAACTTGGGGGCTGTAGTACTTAGCTTCTCGGGGCCTTCTGGCTTGAGACCATCCCCCATGACAGCACCTAGGACAAGGATTTGCTTTCTTACTGCATTCATCCAAGAAGTGAGCTCCTCAGCAGTGTCCAGAATGATGAGTATACTGTGTTCGCCCAAACGCGGGAGGTTGTCTTTGAGTCCAATTTTTGTGAGGAGTGATGTCTGAGAAGGGGCCATATGTTGTTCCGAGATGGCCGTCGACTTCTGGTCGACTTGAAGAACATAAGGTCTTCCGGGAACCAGATCGCAAGCAAAGGCGACAGACTCTGGACTTAGCTGGAGAGCGCGTTCTGGTAGTCTCTCACCACCACCCTTCTCGGGATACTGGAGAATGATACCATCGTTGGAAAGCGCAAAAATCTTTCTCTGAAACGGTCCTTGAGCGAGAGAGTTCCTGCCGCTCCTACTTGAGGATTTGTGTTCGCCTTTGATACTATCGACACTGCCTCTTCTCTCTTCGTGGATGTGTGCAGGAATGATGTGTGACGCGTTCGACTTTCGAGGCCTAGTCAGGCGGGATTGACCAGACTCGTCAATGGCTTGGGCGATGGTAACCTTGCTCGAGTCTGAATATATATCGAATAGCGCGGGCAAGGTGGGCGTCTCGTCCTGTTCTCTGACATAATCAGAAGAAGTTGTTGTACGGCTTCGGGCCAAGTTTCGACGATCCTCGTGAATGGACAATGAAGTGCTGGGTCGAGGATACAACGCGTGTGACCCATTCGTATAGGGAAGTGACGGTACGCGTTGAATCAGATCCGGACTTGGTGTAGTTCTTCCAGGCTCAATGATGGGAGTAACAGCATATCCAGACTCGTTGAATCCTTTCTGTCTCTCGACTCTTGGTCTGCTGAANAGATTGAACAGACTAGACTTTGGGTTCAGTCGTCGATATGCACGTCCCGTTCGATTCGAGGTAGGGGTGTCTCTCCCACTATCTTTGGGAGGCTCTTTTATGGCCGGCAGAGGTTTGTCCTTGAAAGAAGTCTGTATTGGAGGCAGATCCTTAAACTTGCTCTTGTTGATAGCATCAAGGGCATCATTCTGATCGACAGCCATTGAAGGCTTCAAGACATCTAAAGACTCGAGGTTAAATGAGTCAAAGTGGAGGAGTCGAAGAACAATGGAAGGAAAAAGAAAGATCAGCGGAAGGCTAAGAAAAGAAGCACGAGAGGCGTGTTTGCGGCATTTGGATGTGACGAGGGAGAGGTTGGGATAGAAAGAAAGAAAATGAAGGGACAACAGAATTAGATTAGCCATGTTGTATTGGGATGTCGAGGGCTTAGTCGGGCCAAAGTTCTATCTGAAGCAAACGAGACAGTGGAGGCGGACCATGCGGACCGCGCACGCAAGCGGATTTAGTNNCAAGAGTCATTAGCAGGTCGTGCTGGAGGTGGCGTGCAAGTTGGCAATGAAAGATCGAGTCGAGGTCTGTCCGAAGCACCCAAAAAGGGCCATGGGACACGCACTGCAGCACGAAAGAGGAAGTGAGTTTTGAAGCTGCAGACAGGACTGTGACGGGCAAGGGCAAGTGTACAGGCGGAATGATGGAATGGACACCGGGACAGTGGGTTGCAGATGAAACTCGGCTGAGGGCNNAGGGAACGAGCGTGGACGAGGGGCANNGTCGGGCATGCTGAAACGAAGGTAAATTGCATGGCCGGAGCCAACGCCCAGACGCCANGCGACGGAGCGGGTCAATAGCATGGAGCGGAAGGCGCGCCAGATCTCCCGTCTACGATTCNNGAGCATCAAGCATGGACTGTAGGGAGAGTCTTGGGTTGTAGTTNNTATCGGGAGTGTACCAGAGATGGTGCAGCGAGATATTGGCTTGAGGGGGAAAGGCGGAAAGTGGGTTGCTCGCAAGAGGGTCAAAGCATTATCGCATGCAAAAGTGGCCGTGTGCAGGAGAAGCGTTTGAAGACATGGTCAGCTACAGGAGTCTGGCTCCAACCTTGTCGTCAAGATTTTGAATTTACAGGCGAGCAAGCATATGGCTAGCCTGTAGTGAGCTGTTTTGCGAGATCGCAATGTGAAGGATGGAGGCTTCTGAGGTTGGCAGAAGCACGCCGAGGGCAGGGTCATGGTATGAGTAGAAGATGCACGAAGTCGTTTGGGGCCACGGAGAGGCCGTGGATGCACAGATGCAGTTGTCGCCACAGGACAGTGTCTCATGGGCACACAGATTCGGAGGACTGAAGAAGATGGAGGCTCTAACTGTCAGTCATGAGGTGTCCTGGTGACGATAACCGTGAAAGGACCAGGCGAGGGTCGGCAAAAGTCCGAAGCTCAGTGAGGCTTTGGCGGCCCCGAAAGGCCTGACGTTTGGTCGTTATTCCGAGTGACGCGACATGAACATGTTCGTTGAAGCAATACACGAATAGTGAGCGGCTTGCACATGTGGCTACTCGGGACAGAGAAGATGTGCTAGTACACAGGGTGCATCATGTAGGCGGAAGTGGAGTGACCTTGTCTTGACATCTGGTGAGGTGGGGCAGGCAGCTCTGGCAGCAAGCGGACAATGACCAGCACTTGTTGCTCAAAACATGCGATGGCTCCAGACCTCAACTCGCTCCCTCCATCACCAACCCTACGACGCACACCAGACGACATGACAGCCATGACTGACACGCACCCGTCGCCGCACTCGCACTCGCCCTCGCTCTCGTCCCTCCAGGCCGCTGCAGCCATCAATGCCGGCATGCGCAACTCGAATTCTCCACGCGCCAGCGCCACCCAACGCAGAAGATCCAGTCTAATGACCAACCTGCATCTCAATGATGCCCAAATGCCGGGTCCTGGAGAGATGCAAGAATCGACCCACCACCGAGCCCCTAGCCTGGGTCAGATGCATCAAGAGCTGGAGAACGAACAAGAACACCAAGTCAATAGACTGCTGCACATGATCCGCCTACAGCAGGACCAGATCGATGAGCTGCACGCAGATCAACCAGCCTCCGACTCCGACACCAGGCCGCGCACCCTATCGAGCTCAAGCAGGCAGCAACCACTGCCCCAACGTCCAGTCTCGTTATCGCGACACTCGTCCCAGGCCGTATCCGTCACCAGCGGTCCCCGAAGCAGCAGCAGATCTCCTGCCCTACGTCCCGTTGCTTCACCATACGACCCCCAGCGCGAAGACTGGCTGCTCGGCGCAAATCGTGACGAGAGCGCTTTCTACCAAGCCGAGACGCAGATGTTGACCCGAGAGAACCAAATGCTCAAGGCCCGCATCCGTGAACTCGGTAAGTCACATCTACGAGTAACATCAACATGTACTGATATGTAGCTGTGTANNGAGCGTCAACTGGCCCACCCTGAATCGTTACCTACTCACCACCAACCACCTACACCTCACAGTCCTGCCGTCATCTCCCCTTTGACAAGCCCACCCATCATCTCTGAGCCGGCTCGCCGACCTCAACAATAGCCATGATCAACATGGTCGTTTGACGCTTAACGATTTGCATTATATCTCTAGCAGAGCATTGGCATTATCAAGGAGTTATTGGCGTAGGTACAACATCGCCGGCTGTTACATTCGTATTTTTCACTCAATATTCTGTCGTCCAATATCTTGCTCGTACCTCTTGATTGTTACAGCTCTTTCACCTCTCTTACAAGACGACTTTAAGCCCAATGCGTCTCTACACTTAGGGTCGCAACATTTCCTTGACAACTCCCCATATATTTTCGTCAACCTAGTCGCTTAGGCATCGCAGGACCCACGCATGTTCAAACATCACAGCGACTGCTCCACAACCTGTCAATCAGGACGAAATGCTGTAACGAGTCATAACGTTTTGTTATAGGTAAATCTTGCTACTCCAGGACGTCAATATAGGGCTCCAGAAGCAACTACATACAAGCCCTACACGTGTTTGGCTGCCCGGCTATCACACACATTCAACGACTGGCGTTTGCATCTTGCCAAGAGCTAACCGTTTTCAATTTGCCCACGCCCAATTGCGTGGACTTTTGATATGGCCGTTTCGATACACAGCTGATAACAAAAACGTCTATAACGGTCGCGGTAGAATGCACTCTCTTACTGGCCAAATGCCATCTCGACAACAATTCGACCCTGGTTCTCCAATCTTGTATGAGGCGAACAACGTGCCTGGCCTTAGATTGATTCAGCTCGATCTAAACGTCTACCGGTGAGAAGCTCCTGGACACTCAACATGTCTTGTATCATTTCGTTATGCTTTATCTGTTGTGATCAATATATATAAGCATGAAGTCTCCTAACCATGGCATCTGTTCCTTCAGATTGTCCATTCGCTAACAGCCCATATTCATAGCTTCGCCTGGTGCGTTGCTGCCGTCCACACTTATACCTTCGTTCCATATCATATCTCATCTTAATTCTTAATTATGAAGCTTGCAACCTCTGTTGTTCTGGCATCTGCCTTTTTGCTGCAAGATGTATCTGGTCGTGGTATGTCTATACTTCTTTCCATTTTAGAGTGCACGAATACTAATACCACTCTAGTCATTGACATTGAAGAACGTGCCACCGCTACTCCTGTCAAGAACACCGGCAAGCGTGGTCTGTCCTTCAACAATCCCGCTTACACCATGCCATTCTCGCTGTCTGGTCAAAACTCCCAAGTCTCTTGGGCCTACAATTGGTACCAGACATCTGGCAGCGGCTTCAACCCTGCGCTCGACTATGTTCCCATGCTTTGGAGCAATGCATCCGACCTTACTGGACAATGGGCTAGCAATGCACAGGCTGCCATCGATGCTGGCAGTAAATATCTCCTCGGCTTCAACGAGCCCGATCTCTGTCTTTCTGGTGCTGGATCCTCTTGTATCGAAATGCCGTCGGCTGTAAAGGCCTGGAAGCAGTATATGGAGCCTTTTGCAGGTAAAGCTCTTCTCGGTTCGCCAGCCGTAACCAATGGCGGCTCGCCTCTGGGACTCACCTGGCTCCAAAACTTCATGGGCAACTGCACCGGCTGCCACATTGACTTCATCAATATCCACTGGTACTCGAACAAGTGGGCCGGAGCCAATTACTTCAAGCAGCAGGTTCAAGCTGCTTATGCCATGTCCGGTGGCCGTCCCGTCTGGATCACCGAGTTTGGCCTTGACAACAGCACGCCCTACACAGCCGCCGAACTCCAGTCTTTCCTTGAGGAAGTGATGGAGTGGATGGATGAGCAAGATTACGTGCACCGCTACGCCTACTTTATGGATACCACTGGCGCGCTTATGAACTCGAGCGGTACCGGCATGAGCGATNCTCGGCAACGTCTACAATTCTTACCCTGAGGTGAGTTCTGCATCTTCTTCTGCCTCTGCCTCCTCTGCGACAGCTGTGCTGTCTGTTTCTTCAACTGCATCGACGGCTGTGCCGTCTGCGGTTTTTCCTCGTCTGGATCTGCGATTTCTGCGACGACATCGACTTACACATCTTCTCCAAGGACTACGAGTGCGTCGACTAGTTCATTGACGAGCAGCAGCAGCAAAATTTCTGCCGTGTCGTCAACACTGAGTTCCTCCTCTTCCACCAAACCTGTCCCCGTGGCGACTCAGACAGCCTCTGAAGCAGCTGGCATCACAATCCTCAGCGCGTACTTTGCGGACAAAGACGTAACTACCGCTGCCACTGCTGCGTTTGTCCAAGACGGTAACTTGGTGATCAATACCTACACCTTGACCTCTGCACTTTCGCTGCAGCAAGATCCTTGGTGGGGAGTCGTCAAGACCCTCGCTATCCTCTACTCCGACGCTGCCAACAAGACCTACATCTTCTCGGAGGCAGAGCAAAGCGGCATGTATACCATTAACGCCTCTGCTATCCCTTCCTCGGCACAAACTCCTTCCATCGCTGCTAGCTATGGTGCTAGTGTTGGTGTAGTTGGTGTGGTGTGGGGCAAACAGCAAATCAAGACTGCGAGTGTGTTTGGTAGGATATACTATCAGCAAGCCACCAAATGGGGGTTTGAGATGAGTACGCAGCTGTTTGGCGTCGATGGGTTCTGGGGAAACNGAAAAGTTGGTATTGTCTGGTATAGAGATGCAAGCAAGGTGTTGAAGTCGTTGGTTGCGAGAGAGGGCCAGTGGGTGAAGTTCTAGAGTCTGCGGGCTTGATAATATCTAGTGTCTAGTCAAAGTACATTAGCAGAATAAAGAACAGATCGTCTTCATAGAGCTACATGTTTACCCTTTCTTGCCTGCCCCTTCCCAATCAGCCCCCAATGAATTTCTCAACTCCATTCCTCAATGTGCCTCAAGCTTTTGAGCATCGCGCCCTTGTCCACAATCTGTTGCTTCTGCTCTTTAATCACTGCATCCTTTTCTGTAATCAATATATCGGGTTTAATCAGCAGATGTTTCAAGCGTGAGATCCTTCGTCTACCACATGCCTCCCGCTCTTTTGAGTTGATGTATCGAGCGCAGGTTTTTGAGCAGTAGCAAGGCAAGTTGACATTGTGAATGCCTTGTTTCAGTTGTTTTTCCACAATGCTTGACTTGATGGCGGTAGCGAGCTTTTGACAAGATGAGGATGCTATATGGGAGCAAGACATTGTCTCGATGCGTGGACGACGCCGAGAGAGAATATGGTTGTTTGCTTGTACACTTTTCTTGTTGAGAGTTTGCTGGAAAACTTTGCAACTTCGGACGTTTCTGACAGATATGGAAGAAAAAAAGCCGAAATTCAGAAGTAGAGGCAGATATATCCCGCAATAGTGGTGTGGAAGTTGAGCAGATTGAGAAGATTGAGGTACTGTATCCAGTTCTCCTTCGTTATCCTGGTCTTGCTTGCTAGGCTATAGCAGCATAACTGACAAGAGCCCATGCGGTAAGGAAGTTGCTGGTCAGATACAATGATGAGCAGCTGCCATGGCATACCATCACTCCCCGCCATCGTTGTGCTGCAACCATACCCGATAACAAGGCAATCAATATTTAGAGTGGGAGTAGAATGATTACTCAATGCGCATACACACTTCCACTTCGCAGGAATATACAGCTACTGAGACGTATAGAAAAGTGCGCTTTCTCTTCTAGTCATATCGTGTCGGTGTTTTGTACTCCTCACCAGTTGACCAAGGCCGTAAGGAGTAGTATAATCAAGACCTAGTCCCAGGCCTGAAACGTTTTGTAAAAGATTCTCCATCTTCTGACGGTAGAGTTATCTTTGGGTATTGGGAGGGTTCCTTAATGCCTGGTCTCAAAATGAGTATGTTGAGCATTGTGACAGTTGTTTGCTTTGTGAAGGGATCAAACTCGATGGGTGCTCAAGATCTGCTCATGGCCGCATAACCAGGCCTTGAGACAGACCGTACGACAGGGGCCATGATGAAACAAACACCGTCAGATCGTTCTACAAGAATATCCGGGGGCAGAGTGTGTAACAATAGCGCCTGAAGATGATTGACGTCTACTGTACCCATTCTGGCCGCCTTGGAGGTTCAAAGTGGGTTCTTCGGTCTATTTTCTCACTTGATGGATGTCCGAAACCTCCGGCAATGGACGGTGAAGATGTCGCTAAACTCGTAAAGGTCATTAATAATCTTTGACTCGAAGCATTCACCGAAGCGGAGAAATCTCGCGCCAAGCCATCACCAGGCCTGTAGCATTCTTGCGCCTATGAGCCGGTAGAATGGGTATCAAGACAGAGTGAGATGGATGGCCGGTGGCAGCAGAAGATTAGGCTGAAGGAAGAATGGCTTGACGGAGAAAGTGCAACTGTCAACGAGCCCGTGTCTAGAGGCCAGCTAGGAAGATATCTAGCATCAGACACCTGCCGTTTGCGTCTTCGGGGGTGTCTCCAACGCGCATGTCATCAGCTCCTAGCTCTCAAGCCGCATGAGGTTAAAGCTGTCCAGTTACGGGCGGGGAATTCCTCCGTTCACTCTTTGTAGAAGCCCGTGATTCTTGAGCAGCTCATCGTACGAAGGGGTATTTCAGACGATGTGATGGTTGTGAGAACAACAGAAGTAGCCGTGGATGGAAAAGCACCACCGCTCGCTATCAAGTTTCCTCAGCTAGCGTTCTGGCGGCTTCGGCATCAGCGGAGATACTGACGCAGAGTACCGGGCTCGCTGTCGGACATTTCGAGAGGTGCATTGACCGAGTGATAGCTTGTCCGGAGTCGGACTCGAAGAAGAAAGGGATTGTCGAGTGGCATTCAAAACAAGTGAATCCTCCGACTGTTTGCGCGACCTCTGGAATTCGAATCCCTTTGTCTGTCTCTTGCATCTATACCATCTTGCTTGCACTGCTTTGTTTGCGCCGAAAGCAGCTGTGGAACGATATAAGTTTTGTGACGCGATTTCCATTTCAAAGCAAGTGCTACGTCAGGACTCGGTCCGTTCTCTCGATCGCTCCTGCCCCTCCAGAAGTTCGGCCGCCAAAGTTCCTCAACCGATAAACAGCTGCACTTATCCTTCGCTCTGTTCCACCTTCACCCACTACCTTGGACCTTACCACACATTCCACTCTCGACAAAATGGCTGACACTGTTATTACCCCGGAGGTCGAGTCGAACGCGTAAGTGTTGGATCCCGCCCGCTTTTGGCATTCCCCATCACTTTGCCGTCACTTGTGAGGCGGCCGCTCGCCATGAAACTCGGTCAAGCGTAGCTCTCATGTCGACGCGCGCTTCTCAACCCTTGGGGCCATCTATAGTGGCGATTGAATATAGCTAATTCGAGAACACAGCGGCACCATGGAGCTCAAGGAGAACACTGTCATCGTTGTTCTCGGTGCTTCAGGTGATCTTGCAAAGAAGAAGACTGTAAGCTCACCGGACCTCCAATTGACCCGCACGAGACCTTTGCTAACCGCACGCGCAGNNTTCCCTGCTCTCTTCGGCCTGGTAAGCTTGCATCAAGCGTGAGCTCCTGTCGAGCTTTGACTGATAGCAACGTATAGCNACAAGAACAACTTCCTCCCCAAGAACATCAAGATTGTCGGATATGCACGAAGCAAGATGGATCACGCCGAATTCATCAAGCGTGTCAAATCGAACATCAAGACTCCTACAAAGGACGTCGAGGACCAATTGGAGGAGTTCTGCAGCTTCTGCACATACCTCCAGGGCGACAAATACGAAGACGACAAATACTACCAGGGCCTCGAGAAGCACCTCAGTGAACTCGAGAAGAAGGACAACCAGAAAGAGACTAACCGCATCTTCTACATGGCCCTGCCCNCCAGCGTCTTCATCATCGTCTCGCAAATGCTCAAGAAGCACTGCTACCCCAAGACCGGCATTGCCCGCATCATTGTTAGTACCTGGTGCCTAGACGAGCCTGGGCTGCTGCTGACAACCATTTACAGANTTGAGAAGCCCTTCGGCAAGGACCTCGGCAGCTCCAGAGAACTCCAGCACGCCCTGGAGCCCAACTGGAAGGAAGAGGAGATCTTCCGTATTGACCACTACCTTGGTAAGGAGATGGTCAAGAACATCTTGATCCTCAGATTCGGCAACGAGTTCTTTGGCTCCAACTGGAACCGCAATCACATCGATAATGTTCAGGTTCGTGAATATCATCCCGTCGAGCTGTACAAGTAACTGACACCAGCAAGANTTACCTTCAAGGAGCCTTTCGGCACCGAGGGCAGAGGCGGTTACTTCGACGAGTTCGGTATCATCCGTGACGTTATGCAGAACCATCTCCTCCAGGTCCTGACCCTGCTCGCCATGGAGCGTCCCATCTCTTTCTCAGCCGAGGACATTCGTGACGAGAAGGTTCGTGTCCTTCGCGGCATGGCCCCCATCGAGCCCAAGAACGTTATCATTGGTCAATACGAGAAGTCGCTCGACGGCTCCAAGCCCTCCTACAAGGATGACGAATCCGTTCCCAAGGGATCCCGCTGCCCCACCTTCGCTTCGATGGTTGCATACATTAAGAACGAGAGATGGGACGGCGTTCCCTTCATCCTCAAGGCCGGCAAGGCTCTCAACGAGCAGAAGACCGAGGTCCGCATTCAGTTCAAGGATGTCACCTCTGGCATCTTCAAGGATATCNCCCGCAACGAGCTTGTCATTCGCATTCAGCCCAACGAGAGCGTGTACATCAAGATGAACTCGAAGCTCCCCGGCTTGAGCATGCAGACCGTGGTTACCGAGCTGGATCTCACCTACCGCCGCCGCTTCTCTGACCTAAAGATCCCCGAGGCCTACGAATCTCTTATTCTTGACGCCCTCAAGGGTGACCACTCCAACTTTGTCCGTGACGACGAGCTCGATGCCAGTTGGAGAATCTTCACCCCTCTTCTCCACTACCTCGACGACAACAAGGAGATCGTTCCCATGGGCTACCCTTACGGTAAGTTTTTCTACGTCCCAACCTCAACAACCAATACTGATTCAGATTACANNGGCTCTCGTGGTCCCTCCGTCCTCGACGACTTCACCTCCTCGTACGGCTACAAGTTCAGCGACGCTGCTGGTTACCAATGGAGCAACCTTCCCGAGAACAAGCTCTAAAAAGCAAAAATGATATATACCCGAGACGAAAGAAAATTGAATGCTGGTGTGCCGAGCAAGGGCAAAGGCATGTCTAGCAGGATAACAATGGTAGAGAGCTGACCTTCACGACATCTTCATGCAACGAAGGGCGGCTATGCATGAACGCATCTGAAAGAAACTTAATGACTCGTCTTCTTCGCTCCATAGCAATAAACTAAGAAACTATTTCACAACTTTTCAATTGTCTGACACAATCATATGTGATGTGCGCTACCTGTTGCTTGAGGCTCGAGGCTCAGTCTCATATTAGCCTGAATGCGGCTGGCCAGTGACTGTGAAGACCGTGCGCCCAAAGGAGAGACGAGACCCTGTGGCTTGGGCTTGCCGTTTCGCGTCGTGTGCTCTTGTCAGCTCATAGAGCAACTACTCGTTGAATAAAATATCAATACCCGAACACATTTGTGAGAATTCATGCCAACGTAGAGACTGGTGTGAAGAACAACTATGGCACAGGCGCAATGGCAGGGGACACCCTATGTCAAAGGCTCCAGCGAGTCTATGCGAATGCTGCTGCTGACATTCAGCTTGATTGGCTTGCAGTATGTTTACGTGTTTTGAAGAGGCTCGAGAGATGATTTTTGGTATTGACGATTCCGACAGANNTTCACCTGGGGCACTGAGATGACCTATTGTACTCCATATCTATTGCAACTCGGTCTTACCAAGAGCAAGCTCTCGCTTGTTTGGATAGCTGGACCCTTATCAGGACTGATCATGCAACCGATTGTAGGCATCATGGCCGATAAGAGCACCTCCAAATGGGGTCGACGACGACCAGTCATGGTCGGTGGTACTGTCATCGTGAGCATCTGTCTACTGATTCTGGGCTGGACCAAGGAGATTGTCGCTGCATTCGTCGAAGAAGGAGAGCTGGTTGGTCAATCCCGAGCGCCATATATGATTGCGAGAACCGTATTTTGACATCTATCAGNNAGGCGTGAAGCGACCATCTTTCTGGCCGTTCTGTCGATCTATGCTCTTGACTTTGCTATCAACGCTGTACAATCGTCATGTCGCAGTCTGATTGTAGACACTCTACCCATTCCAAAGCAGCAATTGGGCTCTGCCTGGGGTAAGTTTCCGCAACGAGGTCCGAGGGTGACGAATCTAATGTCCTGTANNGCAAGCAGAATGGTGGCCGTTGGACATCTCATTGGTTATGGCGCCGGAGCTCTGGATCTGGGTTCGATCTTTGGCACTCTCATTGGCGACACTCAGTTCAAACAGCTTACTGTCATTGCTGCTGTCGCTCTCATAGTGGCCATTGGAGTTACATGCTGGGCCGTTGAAGAGCGTATACTCCTCTTCAGAGNNGGTATGTATTGTGCTGTCTTCCATTAGGCTCAAAGCTGACTCGCTTGCAGAGAAGGCGAGAAGGACGACGGCTTGGTCGCAGTACTGATGCAGATCGTCAAGACCACCAGGAACTTGCCCAAGCGTATTCAGATGGTAGGGCCTGCAAAGTAATGACCAATGATTCCTCAACAGAAGCTGACAAGTGACAGANTCTGCTGGATTCAATTCTGGTCGTGGATTGGTACGTGACGAAAGAAGCATCTCTAGATACTAAACCTAACACTGCAAACAGGCTGGTTCCCATTCCTCTTCTACAGCACTACTTGGGTAGGAGAAATCTACCTCAGATACGATGCGCCCCCTGAGGTCAAACAATCCAAGGATCCGCTGTCTGACATCGGCCGAGTTGGAAGTATGTCATTGATTGTGTTCTCCATTGTCACGTTCATTGGCTCAATAACGCTTCCCTGGATGGTCAAGTCTCCTGAAGATGAGAAGCCCGACTTTACTCCCAGACCTCCTGCAAGTATCGCACCGATTGTAAAGACGGTCGTGGAGCGCAAGCCCAGCTTGTTGACCGCCTGGACGGTAGCACACCTCATATTCGCAGGATCTATGGTCTTCGCTCCGTTCGTAACATCATTGCGTTTTGCAACAATGCTGGTTGCAGTTTGTGGAATACCGTGGGCACTTGCCTGCTGGGCTCCCTTCACCTTCATGGGCGTCGAGATTAACAAGCTCGGTAGCAGCTTGCCTACCTCGAGACGTGGCAGCCATCATTACCAGCGAGTGTCTGATGGCTCAATCGAAATGAGCTCGGAGGCTAGGAACGCTGAGAAGCCTGATGATTCTGCTACTGGCGAGCTTGCTGGTATCTATCTCGGCATTCTTAACCTCTACACGACGCTACCTCAATTTATTGCTACGGGTATATCCATGGTAGTATTCACAGTGCTCGAGCCTGGCAAGAGCCCAGAGCTGGCAAAGGACGCCCACCCTGATGAGCATCACAGTACGGAGGGTTTCAACGGCATAGCAGTGTGTTTGTTCATCGGAGCCTTGTGCTCTGTCGCGGCAGCTGTCGCAACTCAAAGGTTCAAGATTACTATATAGTTAGACTTCAAATGTACAATACTCAGAATTTATCTCGAAATTGACGAGAGGCCGTAAGCACTCTGGCTAATTGCACAAAACTTGATATGCAAAAGTTTGATTTCACATGTCAAAATATCGGGCTTTAAAGTCAGCCCGAAAGCCGATGGAGCCACGATATCAATGACGTCGACTTCCCAATCGAGCTCAATGGGTTGATGGTGAGGTCCAAGCGTATTGTGGATGTTGCTGGGTCGTAGGAGCAACGTTACTGCTGCAGTTGCTCTCTGGTTCTGTCTGCAAACAATCGTTTCCTTGTCGTGATATACCGAACACGTGAACTATAGCCATGGACTACAGTGTGTTGAGCCTCGCGAAGCCTACAAGAGTGTGACCACAAGCTAACCAGAACAGACACTATGCTCGAGAAGCTGCTAGATGGCGGTTATTTGCCCACGACTGTCATTCGCGCCGGTATTCGCCAGCAGCTGCGCCAGAGACTGGCTTCTATCGCGTCGACGTCGAATGCAACTGCTTATGATACCAAGATGAAGTATGTTGAGCTGCTGCGCGAGAGACCGATCGCGATTGAGACATCGAAAGCAAACACGCAGCACTATGAAGTTGGTACTGGTGTGCTCAACAACATGCTTGGCCCGAACATGAAGTATTCGTGCTGTCTGTATGAGGGCCTCAAGCCGGGGCAAGGTCTCGGTGAGGCAGAGCTGCTTATGATGGAAGACTATGTCAAGAAGGCAGATTTGAAAGATGGCATGACCATGTTCGACCNNTTGGGTATGACTTTGAACTCCGTTGGTTAAATCAGAAGAGAGCTAACCGAAACCAGGTGTGGATGGGGATCGCTCAGTCTGTTCCTCGCAGAAAAGTTTCCCAACTCGAAGATCACTGGTTTCTCCAACTCGCGCACGCAAAAGGAGTATATTGATTCGCAAGCCAGCAAGCGTGGCTTGAGTAACCTGACGATTGTCACGGGAGACATTGCTACGTATGAGTTCCAAGCACCATTGACCGAGTCGTTCGATCGTGTCTTGTCGATCGAGCTGTTTGAGCACATGAAGAACTACCAGCTTCTGCTCCACAAGGTGTCGAGCCTGCTCAAATCGGGCGGCAAGCTGTTCGTACATATCTTTGCACACAAGGATAGCCCCTATGACTTTGAGGACGGATGGATGACTGAGCACTTCTTCACGGGCGGCACAATGCCTAGTGCAGACCTGTTGCTCTGGTTCCAGGATGATCTGAGATGCCAGCGCATGTGGTGGGTCAATGGCAAGAACTACGCGCAAACCTGTGAGGTAAGAGATATAGAAGCACATTCGACAGAGAAAGACAACAAGCTGACAAGGTGCAGGNACTGGCTGTCAACCATGAACAGAAACAGACAAGCGCTCTGGCCGCATCTGGAGGAGACATATGGAAAGGAAAAGGCTCTGACGTGGTTTCACCGATGGCAGATATTCTACCTCGCATGCGCCGAGTTGTTCGCGTACAATGGCGGAGAGGAGTGGGGCGTGTGCCACTATTTGTTTGAAAAGGCATAGACGAGGGAATTGGTATTGTGGTATAGACATGAGAGAATGTGAAAGCATTGAAGAAGCGAGATTCGAATGATCTAATGATCCCAGGGGTGCTTCCAGCCGAGGAGAGCAGGGCCGTCCTTTNNGGTCAAAGTCAATACGGGTGATTCTGTCGGGGCGCGCGAGTTGGGATTGGGTACCTTTCTGGCTCTGTACATCAACTGTAGAGGAGTCAGACTTGTTGAATGAACAGTAGGGAGGAGACGACATACGAAGAACCACATGCTGGCACCGAGGCCAGTGGCAGCGAATCTGTAGAGAGGACGGACGGGGTGGATGTGGATGGGGTGGCCGCCATGGGCACCAGCGGGACGTGAAGGACCAGCCATTGTGTCTGCGCGCAGTCAGAGAGGAGCACCAGACGGAGGAAGCGAGCGGTCGAGACGAGTGCGTACGTGATTGTTGGTGGTGGGTATACGACGTGCTCGACGTCGTTGTCGATGGGCGATGGGCTCTTTGGCGGTTCAGGATGCTTGGCAGCAGCAAGAGAGTAGGCCGACTTTCACTTTCATGTGTGGAGAATGACTTAGACATCGTCGACTTTCACTTCAAGCTTGTTTGTCCTTGTTGTGATCTGACCCACCAGGACTTACTCCTTCTCTCCTTCGTCCACGCTCCTTTCGCACCCGCCCCTCGTAGTCGCATCCCTCTCGACAGCGACGCACGCCCGACCATCGACGCTTCGCACTCGCGCTCCGCCCAAAAGCGATGACAACCAAGTGAATCGCAAAGAATCGCCATGACCGACTCGAGCCAGCGCCGGTTCCGCGGATGCGCTGCCATTGACGACTTCGACATTGTGCAGAAGCTGGGTGAGGGCACATTTGGTATCGTCTCCAAGGCCCGCTCAAAACGAACCGGAGCCATCGTTGCCCTCAAAAAGATCTTGATACACAACGAAAAGGATGGCTTTCCCATCACTGCTCTGCGCGAGATCAAGCTGCTCAAGATGCTGTCTCACGCAAACGTCTTGACCCTCCAGGAGATGGCTGTCGAGCGCCACAAGAGTACGCTATACCAATCCGACCCATGTCCACCTTCGCCTAACCCCGACTATAGAANNGACGTCAAGAAGCGCGCCACTCTCTACATGGTCTGTCCATACATGGACCATGATCTCTCGGGAATGACCACCAACCCCGACATTTCCTTCACCGAGGCTCAGATCAAATGCTACATGCTACAACTGCTCGAGGGCTTGCGCTATCTGCACGACAGCCACATCTTGCACCGCGATATGAAGGGTAACCTGCACCGCACCCTCTCCCTCTTGATCGAGTCTTTCTCTGACGCTCAACAGNCCGCAAACATTCTCATCAACAACCGCGGTCTACTCCAGATTGCCGACTTTGGTCTCGCTCGTCACTACGATGGCCCTGTGCCCCAGCCTGGCCGAGGCAACGGCGACGCAGTACGCGACTACACCACCCTTGTCGTAACACGATGGTACCGTCCTCCGGAGCTTCTCCTGCAGCTGAGACGATACACTCCGGCCATAGACATGTGGGGCGCTGNNGGTTTGTTGCTTCTTACTTTTCTGGAGTCTTCTTTTCTGACATTGGGCAGCTGCGTTTTCGCCGAAATGTTTGAGGGACGACCCATCCTCGAGGGCAAATCCGATCTCAACCAGGCCCAAATCATCTTCGAGTTGGTCGGTTCGCCCAACGAGGACAATATGCCTGGTTGGTCGCAACTTCCCGGATGTGATGGCGTCAAGGAATTTGAGCCCCAACGTGGTTCTCTGCGACAACGGTTCCGCAAGTGAGTTTTGTCCGCCTCATTGGCAACAAGCGATACTAACACGCATACACNNAGCTTGCATCCAGAAGCTCAGAATTTGCTTGCAGAACTGCTCAAGCTGGATTGGCGCAAACGTATCAATGCCTGGGATGCTCTGCAGCACCCATACTTCAAGACTCACCCGCTTCCTTCACGCCCTGAGGACCTACCACGCTTCGAAGAGTCGCACGAGCTCGACCGCAGAAAGCATCATGAGAAGCGTGCTGCCATGCCTCCTGCCCCAGCTGGTGGAACTGTTGGTATGGGCCCCGACGAGGCTTGGGGTGCAGGTGGTGGCCGCAACTACGGTCCTCCAAATGGTTATTCCGGCTACGACCGCAGAGCTCCACCTCGCGACCAAAGGGTCCCACCCCTCCGCCGAGAGCTTACGACTCGCGCCCTCCTTCACACGACACCCCTCNCACTAGCGAGGAGACCAGCATGGCAAAATGGTTCCGACTCGCGCAGACCTCCATTGCCACCACCGCATACGAATGGCTCCTCGCATCTACCACCACCTCCTCCAGACAATCGTCTTCCTCCTCGACCTCCGCTGCCGCCACTAGATGGTGGCCGTCTCCCACCTCGCCCTCCACCCGCGAATGCTAGAAGCGGTCCGAACATCGATACATACATTCCAAGCTATTCTGCTGCGCGCCGTGACGACGCTGCACCGCCCAATGGCAGGCGAAACTCCCGTGATCATGGATACTCTCGAGACCGCCCTCCACCGAATGGAAGAGATAGAGATCGCAGGACTCGTAGCAGGAGTCCGGATCGTGAGCGTCGCGAGAGATTGCAGGATAGAGAACGCGAGCTATACAACCGCCGTTGAGCTTGTTACTACTTTCGGCGCCAATTAAAGGGGCCAGCCATGTTCGCCAGATCGACTGACTGCTCGATCAATGATTGGCAGAAACCAGGAGCAAGGCTATCACTCAGAAGATCCACAGGAATATATTCTTATCACAACCACGAATGGAGCTCGGAGCCGGCATGGCATTCTTCTTACCCACGACATTGAGATTATATAGCGAGGCGTTGTCGGTTTCTGTTTTCCACGGCGCAGAGCATGAGCGTGACGGATTGAAAGGGATCGTTTGTTTTGAGTTAATGGAGAAGCATCAAGCACCTTCCACCAAAGATACCCCTCTATCATATGTTACAAAAACAATCACAAATTGTGCAATAACGGAGCCGTTCGTTGGAGTGTGTTCGATATAACCAGGCTGGTTGCTTCAGACCTGAGGCAAATTCTCACGACGCGAGATCCAAACTCGGACATCGTCGTTCGTACTATACACTCCAGTGGCAGGTTTGTACCCTGGCAGTTTCCAAGCACCACCTCCAACAGGCTCCATATCCCACATGCTGATGAAAGCGGCTGTAAAGACCAAAGCCTCTTTTTGGGCAAATGCTCGACCTTTGCACATTGAATGTCCACCACCTNNAATATTGTGGTTAGTAGTGTTTTAAGAAAGATTCGTATTCCGTGACTCACCATATGGTCGTATTGTTCCCATATTCACAGACACCTCTCCATCATCTTGCTCCCGCTTGACATGCCTATCCGCTCTCCACCTCTGTGGATCATCAAAATAAGCAGGGTCTGTATGATGGATCGCATGAGCGATATGAGCATAAGTCCCCTTCTTCAGCAGAAACTTCTCGGCATCCTTGTCCCTAGAAGCAGGAAGAACAAGATCATCCTGCATAACCCTGAAACTCCAAGGTGCTGTATCCAAGCGTAGAGACTCAACATAACAGCTTTTCAGCAACGGGCATTTATTTGCCAAAGCTTCGTGATCAAAGGTATCGACTCGAGGCGGTTCTGGCATGTTGAACAATTGTTTCGGTCGGACAGCGTGCACGAAAGGTGCAATTTCCTCGCGTAGCTGGGCGAGGACTGCCTTGTCTGCGTAGATGTGGTTGAGCATCCAGAACACCAGCATGTTTGCATTTGCATTCATCGCCCACAACAGAGAAAGATCCAAGGCTGCTCGTTCGTCCATTGTAAAGTCGAGTTGACGGTAAAGTTTCAGTCTCTCGGTGAGGACAGGACCGACGTTTTCGAGAAACTGCCATTCTTGACCTGGGTCATGTCCGTTTGCTGTTGTTTCCATAGCTTTCTCGAATGCAAGAACGGCATTAAAACAACGGCTGCGAGCCACCTTTGCTCTCCAGACTTGAGGAATAGGAAGCCAAGCGGGAAGTCCAGTGGCCAGCCATTTGAATCCCTTATCCATATCCCAAAGATCCAGGAAGAACTCAGGATTGTTGTCAACAAAGTCGGAGCCGATGAGGGATGGGTTGGCATTGGCGGCGATGAAGTCCCGGATCAGATGCATCATGCTAGCCTCGACAACTTGTTCTCCATTGGTTTTGGTAACTGTTTCGGCATTGCTCGTTCGCTCCCATCCTACCTGATCAACTCTGCTCTCAGAGAATGTGACTAGGTTTGCGATGTTGCGTTTTGTCACATCAATCGTGTTCTGGACCATTTCTTTCAAGGATGGATCGGAGAGCAGATGCTTGTAGCACGTATTTAACCCGTCCATGGCACTGTCGTATCTTTGCATGGATGCTTTGCAGTTTGGGAAACCAAACACGGCAGTCATGACATGCTTTCCGACCGAATCCATATTTGCAATCGAGTGTTTCTGGTTCATCAACGATCCGCCCATGGAAGGTGAAAAGACGATGTTGTGAGTCGTGCTGCCCAGGTTCAGTGCAAAAACACCACTTCTATACGTGTCGCGTGCTTTGTTCAACATCCTCTGCGGCGAGAAGCTGAATTGCGGTATATGTCCGAGGATGGGTATCCAGTAAGGGAGCATCGGTACACTTCTGGAGCCATTCTGAGCAGGCTTCGAGGTACCAAGGAAGCCACTGATGAATCGGGTCGTGATCGCTAGGAACAACAATGCTGCTACTGCAGTCGCCCATGTTGTATCCAGTCTCTGCGACGCTGTTGGCTGAATCTGTAGCCTGGCGATCGGCGTCACAGTGGCATTGGAATCCATCGGCTTTGTCTCGCGGTAAGAGCTTCCAAGGGTAAAACGTTGGCGGGCACCCTGTCACAAGCCGAGTCTGAGTTATACAATGGAGGGAGAGTTTTATTGCAGAGGTTCCAGCATCAACAGCTACCAAGACCAGCTTGAAAGAGAACTGGAAATCTATGAGCTCGACAAAAGTGAACGCCGAAGGAGATGACAGGACTGCCGACAGTCGGTGACTTGTTTGAGATGACGGTCGCTCTCAGTTTCTTGGCAAGGGAAAGATTTCTTGAAGACCAACCATCGTCGAAACAACCACCCGTCTGATGATAAGCTCAACATTTCGACCATTCAGATCGTTGTACCACCAAAGAAGTCACTTCTCAACACGTTTCGCAGTAATGGCACCCAAGCAGCTTAACTTCATCACCGGCAACAAGAACAAGCTAGCCGAAGTTCAAGCAATCCTCGCCCCCACTGGCGTAGACCTCTCAAACCAATCTGTAGACTTGCTTGAGATCCAGGGTACGATCGAGGAAATTTCAAAGGACAAATGCCGTAGAGCAGCAGACACGGTATGCACAGAAGCAATGGAAAGAATTTGGCAAAAGTTTCTTGAATCTGATTTGTTTTGTCAGGTCGGTGGACCTGTTTTAGTGGAAGACACATGCTTGTGCTTTGATGCTTTCGATGAACTCCCAGGCCCATATGTGTAAGACCCTCCGCAACTCGAGCCTTTGTTTCCGTCAGACTAAACATTCGCATATAGCAAGTGGTTCATGAAGTCGCTTGGCGTTAAGCAATTCCACAAGCTTCTCGCTGGTTTCGAAGACAAGGGTGCCCAGGCCGTGTGCACATTCGCATACTCTGAAGGTCCTGGCCATGAACCCATCATTTTCCAGGGAAGAACANAAGGTTCGTTGCCACATTCGGAGTCTCGCTTATAACAAGTATGCTGACTGGTACGACAGGGCAAGATTGTTGAGGCCCGTGGACCCACCGATTTTGGTAAGTTTGCTTTCTACTTGTTGGCGTGTGAAAGGAAACTGATTTGACTTGCAGGTTGGGACGCATGCTTTGAGTGCGAGGGCCAGACATATGCCGAGATGCCCAAGGTCGAGAAGAACAAGATCTCGCACCGTGGCAAGGCTTTGGCCAAGTTGACCGAGTGGCTTAACGCACACACCGAGTAAAAGATTCTTCGGGCAGGGCTGTACGTAGATCCAGTTTGCGTGTACAAAATGACACATTTAAGCCTCAGAGTGGTCCTTCTTCCAATTTTCGATCCATGTCTGAATGCGCTCAAGGTTCTCGTCAATCTGGTCGAGATCGTCACTCTGCAGCTCGACGACAATTTCTTCATCATAAGAATCGCGAGCTTCCTGTAAGAGTACTTCCATGATTTCAGCGTCCATGTTTTCGTCGAGCTTCTTATCACTGTAGCCACGGCCCTTCAGGCGATCGTAAAGGATAGTGCTGTTGCAACGAATGACAACAACAAGGTCGATCAGAGACTGAGGGAACATGTCGCAAGCATGCCAGTCAATGATTTGACCACCAGCTTCGAGATCAGGCTCAATTGCGTCTAGGAGCNNTGCCCGTGTGTCAGACAACCTTGACAGTAGCTTCCGACATCAGTGACTGCTTACCTTGTCCTCATCGACAATGACACTGTTGAGCTCATCATCAAAGCCATCCTCGCAATCGCGTTCTTTCACGACCTTGTTGACGTTGAGATGGGTAAGACCAGTGCTGGATGCAAGCTGCTCGCAGTGAGTTGTCTTCCCCACGCCAGGAGTGCCAGTGATGATGATGTTTGGTGAGGTACGCATTGTGCTGGTTGTTGTCGAATGTTTTTGGTTTGAGATGAACCTTTTTGCATGTGAACGAGGGTGAGAAACTCCCCGCCCTCGGACCATGGGCCACCGACGCACCGATCATCATCAATCAGCTTCACGGCTGTCAAATCAAACTCCACTCTTGATCTATACCACTTCTTGTTTCTGCACTAGATTCCAGAAATAGAAAATCAAAAGACAACAAGGACCAGACCAAGGTTCATCTCCAGGATCTAAATCGCCGTTCAAACCTTCGAGCTGATACATCACATCAATTTGATCCTTAAAAGTTGTCAATGCAGCAGCGGCCACAAACCATCTCAGCGCAGCGAGGCGTGGGCTATCGTCCCTTGTAGCTGCGAATCAGCAAAGTGTATGAACTTGTAGACCAACACCAAGCTTGTCAAAAAGGCGACTAAAGACAGAGGAGGCCCAGAACTAGGACCCTCGTCGAGGCTGGATCTCTCCAACTCGGAACAACACACGATGATCGTTCGGAATATATCGAACTATCTGCCGTTGAAGAAGAACAAGGACTGACAACAAGTCCTATCTCAACTTTCGATTGTATCGAGCCAGATATGTCTGCCAGCTCGCACCTAAGTTGGGCAAGAGCGAAATCCGATTGAACTTGCCGAGGACAGCACACCACGTTGTCGTGTACGTCGACTGGCCATCTAAATTGTGTGTTCATCGTGGAGCGACTCGAGAGATGGCAACTCGGCCTCTCGCTGCAACGAGAATCGGCGATGGGGCTTACCTGAATAGGCTAGTTCTCGACTGGTTCATGTCGTTGTGCTCACCCTGGCTTACGAATCTGGGATCAAAAAGACGACAGACAAACAGAACGACAGTCATATTGGTATCAGTCTTGAATGGTGTATAGAGAGACGTAACTTCATTGAGGCTCATCTATCTGAGTATGTATGATAAACGGAAATGGTGGCCATCTGATCAGATGACGGTCGTGAAATGCTTTGGACTTTTGACGCTCCATCCACCTGTTGTCTATATGCAACGGCAACGCTATGCTAAACGCTAAATCAATCGAGGAAAGTGAAAAGGTTGGTATGAACCACATTGAGAGCTCTGTTGGCCTCAGCCTCTTCGATAACGCAAGAAATGTTGATCTCGCTGGCACCTNNGTCGAGGATCGTTAGCAATTGCCCAAGTAGAAGGTGGACTTAACACATACCCTGAGAGATCATCTCAATATTGATGCCATTCTCACCGAGGACACTGAAGAAGCGACCGCTGATGCCGACCATGCTGCGCAGCTGGCGGCCGACAAGACTAATGACGGCCAGGCCAGGGACAAGGTCGATATCACCCCAGACACTGAGGTCGTCGACGGCACCCTTGAGAGCAGCAGACTCGATCTGAATCTCTTCAGAGTCAGGGCCAGCGCCGGACAACAGGGCCACCTCAGAGTGCAAAGCCATGGATACATGGACCTCGGATGAGGAGATGAGGTCGACGGACAAGTGCCACTTGTCGAGAACAGAGAAGATGGACATGAGGAAGCCGTGGGCACGCGTACGCTTCTTGGAGTGCACGTTGAGCACGGTAATACCGCGCTTGATGGTGACAGCGGTGGGACGCTTGGGACCGTCATGGGTGCTAAGACTGACCAGACTGCGGTTACGGAAGAGCGAAGGCTTCTTCTCCCCAAGATCGTCGGCTTGATCAGGCCAGATCATAGTTCCCTGGTTGCGGGGATTCTTAACGTTCTTGATACGAATAGGAATGCTGGCCTTGATGACCTGGTCCATGGTGAAAGGGTGAATGACTTCAGATCCATAGAAGGTCAATTCGGCTGCCTCGGAAGGAGTGACCGATGGCAATAGGCGAGCGGTGGGCACCTTGCGAGGGTCGGCAGTAAAGATGCCGTCAACTTCCTTCCAGATCTGCAACTCCGAGGCTCCAATGCCGACAGCAACCAGGGCGGCGCAGAGGTCAGTGTATCCACGTCCAATCTGGGTGAGGAGACCGCCAGGGACGTCGCCAAAGTAGCCAGTAATGACGGGAACGGCATCACCACAGGCATGAACAGCCTTTGCGAGAGAGGCAGCCAGGTCGCGGTAGAAGCTGTCGTCGATACGTTCGCCAACGTGGAAGTCAATGACATTGCTTAGATCGACGTATTGAGCATTGCATCCACGGTCTTGCAGGACGGCTGTCATGTACAGACAGGACAACTTCTCGCCCTTGGCGACAATCTTATCCTCTGTGCGCTTGCTGACCTCGGTCAAGTGCTGGGCAGACTCGAGAATCTTGACCAGGCTGTCACATTCAGCATTGACGCAGTCCGAGTACTTTTCCAGAATGTCGGCCGAGGAGATAGTGTCCTTTGCAACAACTATATGGTCGGCACGGATGACATCGACGATGTCGACATATTTGCGCGAGCCAATGCGTTCGGCCTCACGAGCGGCGCGCAGCAGGCGGTTGGTGGTGCCCTCGCTCTTGGTGTAGGTGCTACGTGCAGAGCACACGATCGCAGTGCGGTGTTCCTTGAGGCTGGCACTAGAGACGGCGTCAGTACGCGGTAACGTGTCAGAGCGGGCATGCGACNNCTACATGACAATGTCTTGGGCAATGTCGACGGCAAACTTGCCGACACTGGTACCGCCAAACTTTTGCACAACCCAATTGCCGCCGCCGGGCAGGTTCTTTTCCTGCTGGTGAGGTATTGACTGTTCGAATCCGTTGGTGTAGGCCATTGTGAAGGTGGTGGGGACTTTGAGCGGTTGGTGTCTTGTTCCTGATATGTTTGTGTCTTTAGAGGGGTGCTATTGTTTTACAGAGCGAAGAGTCACAAACCGCGTTGAACAGCCGTTCCGACCACCCCCGATTTCGGATGAGGGCTCAATGCCCCACTGTGTCTGACGTCTGAGTCTCTTCTCCATCTCACACTCCTCCATCATAATCAACCACTCTTCCAAAGTCATCCAGCACACGTTTGACTGCCCTGTATTCTAATCATCTACAGATACGCTCATCTCGAGACACCCGCCTGAGGAAACGTAGAATCACTTTCGTCTGACTATTGCGCTTTGTACTCATGGACTCCCCTCTAGGACGTACAGTTATCCCACCATCCAATGCGAGCAACATCTGTTGCTGAGGATCTGGCTTATCTCTTCCTACCACTTGAATATTGCTCTCCCAAGCTTTCAGCGAGGCCGACGCGCGTAGGACCTCTTGAAGAAAGGTAAGAAGAGAAGAAGAAACGATGCCACGAACTTCACTCGTGTGAGCATTATGCAGCGGTTTCCGGAAGTTTTCGATTTACTTACTCTCTTTGGACAGGTCTGTAGTTGAGATGTGACCTGCATCGTAGTGAGAGGGTGGCCAGAGGTTGGAGAGCATAGCACCTGGAGAGGTAGAATATCTTCTCTCTTGGAAAATGTTCGAGATGTGTCCAGGCTTTGCAGATGCATGTCGTGTAAGTTGTGATAGTATGCTCAGCAAGTTTTGCGGGCTTCACTCTCCAGCTCATGTATGGTAGCATCGTCTCGGAAACCTGTTCAGATTCGACTTGTTGTTCCCCTCCGTGTCAGATCTCGAAACCAAGACAGTCCTTTGAACGCACCTCTGCTGCTCTCTCCACCTCTTCTCCACTTCACTTTGTTTCAGGCACAAAGTGACATCCAAGATCTGCGCTGTTCAGTACTCTTCTCCAATTCACACCAACACTCCAACACCTTCTAGAAACCGCGCAGTATCTTTTGTTGCACATTTTCTCTAAGCTTGTCACCTTTCGTCTTCATCAGTCTCCCTTCAACCTTTCTTCCTCACAACACTTCGCCGGTCATGTCTTACTCATACGCCACAGCCAAGGCTATCCTTAGCGAGGTCGAAAAGGACCGTATCCTTGCCATGTATCTCAGCTCTGATGATATGAACGACGTGCGTTAACCAAATCCTTGACTGCCATCGCTTTCTCCAGCTACTGGTCTAACGTNNGTATCTCAGGTCGATTGGGACAAGGCAACTCAGGCTTACGGCGCCGCCAGTGTCGATAGCATGAAAGTCTCTTACCGCAACTCTCTCAAGAAGATCGAGAAGGCCGGCGGCAAGACTGGTGTCACTGCTCCGTTGGCTGGCGGTGACAGCTCTGTCCCTTCGACTCCCAAGACTCCCAAGACCCCCAAGGCCCCCAAAGGCAAAGGTGGCCGTCCCTCCAAGCGCAAGGCAGAGAACACCGGATCGGATGAGGACGACGACGACGACGACGACGACACCCCCAAGACTCTTCGCAAGAAGGCTGCCAAGAACATCGTCAAGGCACAGGACGAGGACGAGGACGAAGAGGAGACTACCAAGACTCCCAAGAAGGCCGGCCGTCCTCGCAAGACCCCAGTCAAGTCCACCACGAAGACCGCCATGATCAAGACTCTTGGCGGAGATGAAGATGCTGCTGCCAACATCAACGTCGCCTCTGACAACATCGAGCCTGATCAGGAGGACGAACAGACCTCGGAGATAATCAAGGAGGAAGACGAGTCTGAGTGTTAAGTGTCTTCAGTGCACTCACATTACCGTTGTGCTGTCAGCTACCGGCTGCATCAGATCATCATGTTGCGCCATGTCACTCTGGAGATTGTTGCAGAGGACAGGACAGCACCTGGTGGCCGCAGAAAGTCGTTGCGGTCTGAGGAAGAGCGTCTTCTTCCTCTGCCCAAGACTTTTACTGTCATGGAGGCAAACCAGTATGTTCATGCGAGAATAAACAAGTAATTCTTCTCAAAGTTTCTCCTCATTCGGTGTCTATTGCAAAGTGACGTCTACTATAAATGTGGGTAGACGGGTTTCTCGCCGCGGTGTCTCCTCGTCCGCTGAAGACTGTCACAGGGTAACTAGCTGTAGAAATGCAGATCTATTTCCAGACAGAGCCGATTAAACCACGACTTTCACTGGATGCTACTCCTTTTGGACAGTATCGTGTGTATCTATAGCTTACATTATTGTTCTATGTTATCGTGTGAGTCAGGTCGATCATGAGAATAACAGTCTATGGCACATGGGGGCTGGGGTATCGTGAAGCACACCAGGCACACCACTCCTCAGAGCTCAAACGCATCTCTCAAGTCGGAGTAGATGATCAGTCGTCACACACCAATATGCACCAACGAGACGACAGCCATAAATTCACAAGGGAAATGGCTGCAATTGAAATGGCAATGTTGTGCATGGAGCGAGTGAGGAAGACTTGCGTTGCGGCCTCGGTGCCAAGACGCTAGCCGGCTAAGTCCTCGGCGCACTTTGACGCCCACACGAAATCGGCCTGCTCGAATTCCCTTTCCACTGAACGGAGCGACTAACCGTGAGACGACCGACAACACCTACTCGACACTCGCCGGGACAATCAAAATCGACACAAAATGCCATCCGAGCAAGGTCACCGCCGTGAGTTTCCCTCAAGTCCGGAGTCTGGTCGTCCGAAGATGCCACCGGCCAGATGAATGTTGAATGTGTCGAAAGAAATGTCTGCTAACACATCCCAGTCTACGTCAAGTAAGTAAAGAGCCCGAATCGCTGCCACGCCTTCCTCTACGACTCCCTCGCTGTATTCGAACCGATCACGATCCGTACACATCGAACAATGTCCAAAAACACAACACTTTTGTCCAAGGCAAAGCAGGCGACGCACAGCGCAAAGAATCCATATTAACCTCTATNCGCACAGGGGACGTCACCTCAGCTACCAGAGAGGCAAGCGCAACACCAACCCCAACACCAGCTTGATCAAGATTGAGGGTGTCGACGACTCCAAGGCCGCCAGCTTCTACCTCGGAAAGAAGGTCGCCTTCGTCTACCGCGCCTCCAAGGAGGTTCGCGGCTCCAAGATCAGAGTCATGTGGGGCAAGGTCACCCGCGCTCACGGTACATATGCCCAGGACAGCAGAAAGAGTCAAGGAGCACATCTGACGCAAAACTCACAGNGCAACTCTGGTGTCGTCCGCGCTCAGTTCCGCAACAACCTCCCTCCCCGTTCGTTCGGTGCCACCGTCCGCGTCATGCTTTACCCCTCCTCGATATAAGTGCGGCAAGGACGGGTTCGATGGGATAACGAGCATGATCAAGTGTCGCAGCGGTGTTGGTTTGCAGTCAACCTGGTCTCTATGACAAAGCCAGTGGTTCAAAAGGAAGGCGTTTTCTCAGTCTGGGAAGGGAAGCTGCCGACTAGTTTCATGTCCACAAAAGAATCGCAAAAGCCTCCCGGCATGGCGCAATAGCCATGATGAGATAAACTGGTCCCCGTCGTCTCGAAAAATTTCACGTTCCAAATTCAACTGCAGCTTCAGCGTGAACTGGTTCAGATGGTGATTTGTACATACGAATAACGAATGCTAGAAACGGTCGAGAAAGCTACATGAATGGGCCGGGTCAACAGGGACAGGGTCGTGCTAAACATGGCACTTGTTCCATGCGTTCATAACTGATGCCATGAGGCTTGAGAGGGTGAATGTCGAATTGCGCACAGAGCCCGTCCTGTGGAGCCTTCGGCTCTGAACAAACGATGGCCCCAGATTGTTTCCCGAACAGGAAGGCCTATCGTCATTCAGCCCGCCGACCCGTCTGCCGCGCGACTTTGCTGGAAATGCTTTCTTTTTGCTCGTCGTGACTTTGTCTGCCTTCTTGCTTGCCCACGAGTAGTGATAATTGCTGTCGCTCCTCCACGACAAACAGCAGGCCTTATGGAGCGCAACGGTTCGCGAAGCCGCCGGCGTTCGTCCGTCACCGTCGACGACGACACGGCCAGCCGCCGCCATAACTTTTACCGGCGCGAGTCCAACATGAGCGAGTAAGTGTACCTCGTAGCCATATCGCCCTGCCGCTCGTACTAATAGAAGTAGGNNGTTAGTTTCCTCAGCAATGTCGGCATGGCCAACGACGAGATCTTCTCAGGTCCCATGTCCGAGAGCGTGCCTACTGCCAACAGCTCCTTTGCCCACCGTCGTTCGCGCGCAGACTCGACTACAAGCTTTACCTACTACGACGATGAGGACGAGGACCGCGATATCTCTGATGAGGAATGGCTCCAGGAAGAAGCCATTATCGATGAGGAAGCTGAGATTGAGGAAGGTCGTGCTGATGCCGAGGACGGCCATGCCTTTGCCGAGCCTGAGATGGACCTGGAATCCAACGATCGTCCCTCTCTACACAGTCGCAAATCATCAGGCTATTCTCGATCGTCGGCACGCAGTCCGCTTTTGCGACGTCGACGCTCCTCGGATACGGACCGAAGCGTTCGAAGTGGTTATGGCTCAGGCGGACGGATGAGCCAGAAGATTTACATCCAGAACGAGGATATGACTATTGTCGTTGCTGGTTTCAAGACCTCTGTCCTGGGTTACGCCATCTATCTCTGCATCTCCTTCTGCACTCTTGGACTTGGCTTTTTGTTGTTCCGCTGGTTGCCCCGATGGCGCGTACGATTGACTGGCTCTCCAACTCCTCTGCATAAGTGTGACTGGCTGGTTATTGAGAACCAATGGAACGAAATGGTTGTCCAGCAACTAAGCAAACAGAGTTTTGACATGCCTCTTTCTTCGGTCTTCGGCATGCCAGGTAAGGGCAAGATGCGCGAATTCGATGAATATAACGACCCGATTCTCGACGAGCTCCGCATCATGGACTACCGCTATATTCGTTTCTGCTTCCATCCATTCAAGGACAAGTTCATTCTTGGAAACACCTGGCAGGACCCTGCTTGGACAGATGTGGTTACAATCCGTGCCGGTATTGACGGTGAGGAGCAAGAAAACCGCGAGCGTATTTTCGGCAAGAACATGATCGACATCGAGCAGAAATCAGTCGGTCAGCTCCTTGTTGACGAAGCTCTGCATCCGTTTTACATCTTCCAGATTGCCAGTCTGGTGCTTTGGTCTGTGGATGAGTACTACTACTATGCCGCCTGTATCTTCATCATCTCGATCGTAAGTATCGCTTCGACTCTCATCGAAACTAGAGCAACTATGGCACGTCTTCGTGAGATCTCACGCTTCGAGTGCGATATCCGCGTTCTTAGAAGCGGTTTTTGGCGCTATGTCCAGTCCAGCGATCTGGTCCCCGGAGACGTCTACGAGATCACGGATCCTAACCTCACACAGTTCCCCTGTGACAGTCTTCTGCTTTCTGGTGACTGCATAGTCAACGAGAGTATGCTTACTGGAGAATCTGTTCCAGTCTCGAAAGTCCCAACCACCAATGAATCACTGGAACTCCTCGATCTCAGTGCTTCTTCCATCCACCCTGAGGTCGCAAGGAACTTCTTGTTCAGCGGCACCAAGATCATTCGTGCTCGCAGACCTCAAGAAGACAAAAGTGATGAAGCCGCTGCTCTGGCTCTAGTTGTTCGCACTGGCTTCAACACCACCAAAGGTGCATTGGTCCGCTCCATGCTTTTCCCCAAGCCTTCTGGATTCAAATTCTACCGAGACTCGTTCCGCTACATCGCAGTCATGGCCGGTATCGCCATGGTTGGCTTTGTGGCTTCATTCATCAATTTTGTTCGTCTCGGACTCGAGTGGCATCTCATTGTCGTCCGAGCTTTGGATTTGATAACCATCGTTGTTCCTCCTGCGCTACCCGCCACTCTGACGATCGGCACCAATTTTGCTTTATCCAGACTGAAGAAGAAGTTCATCTTCTGCATCAGTCCTCAAAGAGTAAACGTTGGTGGTAAGCTTGACGTGGTCTGTTTCGACAAGACCGGTACTTTGACTGAGGACGGCCTCGATGTATTGGGTACTCGTGTGGTACACCGACCTGCGAACAGATTCAGCGACATTCTCACCGATTCTACTTCACTCTTACCTGGCGCAACCTATGAGCGTGACCCTACTGTCGACTACAACGCAAACAAGGCAATCTTGTACACTATGGCTACGTGCCACTCTTTGCGGATCGTTGACGACGAGTTCGTTGGTGACCCTCTGGATCTCAAGATGTTCCAGTTCACTGGCTGGCAATACGAAGAGGGATCTGAACGACCTGGTGCGACTGACGAGGATGAGCAAAATTCCCTGTCGCCATCTGTAGCCCGTCCCCCACCTGGCATGGAACTTGATCTCGATGAAGATGAAAACTCTCCCAACAACAAGCGAGCAATCGAACTCGGAGTGCTGAAATCTTTCGAGTTTGTCTCTCAGCTGAGACGTGCAAGTGTTATTGTACGTCAGTTCGGAGACCCCAGCGGCAATGTTTACGTCAAGGGTGCTCCTGAGTGTATGAAGGAAATCTGCCGTCCTGACAGTTTCCCGCCAGACTACGAAGAGCTGCTTAGCTACTACACTCACCGTGGTTTCCGTGTCATTGCTTGCGCAACTAAACACATCTTTAAACTCAACTGGTTGAAGGTCCAAAAGATGAAGCGCGAAGAGGCCGAGTCTAATCTTGAGTTTGTCGGATTCATCATTTTCGAGAACAAGCTCAAGCCCACTACAACTGGTATCATCGAGGAGCTTCGCGATGCAAACATCCGTACCGTTATGTGCACAGGAGACAATATTTTGACTGCTATCAGTGTCGCTAGAGAGTGCAATTTGATCGATAGATCTGCTCATTGTTTCGTCCCTCACTTCGTTGAGGGTGATTCACGTACAGCGCTTTCCCGTCTGAGCTGGGAAAGCGTGGACAACCCAGCATATCAACTAGACGACAACACCCTCAAACCTTTGCCTCCGCCTGCCGAACACGACTCTTCTTTGCCATACGACGTCTCAAACTTGCGCAATTACTCCATCGCAGTCAGTGGTGATGTTTTCCGCTGGCTTGTTGACTTTGCATCACCAAAGGTTCTTCGTGAGATGCTAGTCTGTGGCCAAGTCTTTGCGCGTATGTCGCCCGACGAGAAGCACGAACTTGTGGAGAAACTCCAGAGCATTGATTACTGTTGCGGCTTCTGTGGCGATGGTGCCAATGACTGTGGCGCTCTCAAAGCTGCCGACGTGGGCATCTCGTTATCGGAGGCTGAAGCTTCGGTTGCTGCGCCGTTTACCAGCCGTATCTTCGACATCTCGTGTGTACCAGAGGTGATTCGCGAAGGAAGAGGAGCGCTTGTCACAAGTTTCAGCTGTTTCAAGTACATGTCCTTGTACTCGGCTATCCAGTTCACTTCTGTGAGCTTCCTCTATGCCTCTGCGTCTAACCTTGGAGATTTCCAGTTCCTGTTCATCGATTTGGCCCTCATTCTTCCCATCGCCATTTTCATGGGCTGGACCGGTCCCTACCCTGTCCTCTCCAAGAAGAGACCTACTGCTAGCTTGGTGTCGCGAAAAGTCCTCACCCCTCTACTTGGCCAAATTGTCATTTGTGTCTTGACTCAACTCGTTGGTTGGGAGATTGTGCAACGCCAACCTTGGTATCAGCCACCAGTCTTGGACAAGGAACACTCGAACTCGGAGAACTCGCAAAACACAACTCTCTTCCTGGTCTCTTGCTTCCAGTACATACTTTCCGCCATTGTGCTCAGTGTCGGCCCTCCTTTCAGACAGTCCATGACACAGAACCGTAAGTCCAAATTGCCAAGTGCAGACGAGGACATCCACTGATAGACCCATANNGTGCCTTTCGTTATCACCATGGTAGTAGCTGTTGGCATATCGGCCTATATGCTGTTCGACCCCGCTCCATGGCTTGTCAGCCTGATGGAGCTAACAGACATGTCATCAAGCTTCCGTATCTTCATTCTGGTGCTCGCGACTGGAGGATTTGCCTGTTCGTATCTTGCCGAAAGAGTTGTTTTCCCTCCTCTTGCCAAGTGGATCGGCAAGGCCAACGCCAGACTGCGACCTAGTCACCAAAAGAAGAGAAAGGAATACAAGCTCATTGCAGAGAGCATGCGCATTTGAGGCTGAGGAGACAGACGAATACTTGTCTGCTTTTATAGATAGGTGGTTGACCACAGTTTTACTGTATAGAATACATACATGCGCAAAGCATTACACACGACTCGATTGGGCCACACATGCTCAAGCTAAGGTATCTTTGTTTATTCCGCGCCTGGTGAGCGTCAAACAGTGTCTCCGAATATGTTCTCTGTCTACCTTCCAGATCCGGATGGCACTGGACTCTCAACAACAAAAGTCCTGCCAAACTTGAGCGGAGATAGTATTGTCTTCCCTCAACAGATTGCTCTCCACTTGTTACTGTAAGTATGTCTTGTCCACTGGAAACGCAACATGTTTATGTCAATCACATTTCGTATCATGAGTTGTATGTCAATCGTTAGCCAAGCACATATCCTGTCCTTACGAGCCACATTTAGTAGCCACAGATGCAGTGTCTATTTTGATGTCATCGGTTCCACGGGATTTGACGTGTTCCACGGGATTTGACGTGTTATAATTCAAATCACTAAGTATTTCGTGGTCCTCCAGAGGTATATACCATGGAGACAGGGTTACCCTCTTAACATGAGTAAATAACCAATATTATAGTACTCGTGATGTTGACCTCATGAAAACGATCGGCAATTGACTGACTGGTATACGACGGCGATGTTACAGCAGGTGCTCGGTATTAGAGAACAGGGGATATCTAATCTAAGAAAGAGAACGAATCAAGCCTTGACAGAAACCTCCAACCCAGTGATGGAAACTCTAGTGGTCATCACCAGTATCGCGGCACCTAAGAGAGTGGCACCTGAAAAGATCTGCATGCCCACCCAGTTGCCACTACCTACAAGTAGACCTGCGATTGGCGTACCAATGAGGATCCCAAAAGAAGCACAGAAAGTATTCATACCCATCCTTCCACCGACCGTACTAAGATCTGTGGTGATCGATGCCACAGTGGTGGGTTGCAAACTGACGAAGGCACCTGAAAGAGCACCATAGAGTAGAGCCCACACGATCAGACCGCCAGCAGTGTGGTGAATGGCAATCCAACAGAATCCGAGTATACTGGCGCATAGATTACAGCAACCGAGCACATTCAAAGCACCAACCCTATCAGCGACAAGGCCAGGAATAATTCGACCAGCGATCGACCCAGCGCTCATAATGGGAAGCATGTAGAATGAAAGCGTCTTTTCCAGGCCAGAAACATCCCTGGCATATGTGGAGATGTAGAAGAAAGGAACATACAGCCCAACAAAGCCGACAAAGCTGGCAAGACTGAACAGAGCATAGGCGGGTTCCTTGAATGCGGCAAAGTCCAATAGCTTCCTGCGTGTCTTTGGGAAAGCGCGAGCTTTGATACAGAGACAAGGGATAAGCAGAGTGGCCAACGAGATGAAACCAATGACCCGAGTAGCCCAACCAAATCCGATTTGAGGTTCGATGCGACGGAATATGATAGGGTAGATGACACCACCAAAACTTGAGCCTGATGCAGCAATGCCCATAGCAAAGGCCTTCTTGGTTGTAAAGTATGAAGGGATGATGGCGATTGAAGGCAGGAAAAGACATCCGGCTCCAAACCCAACGCAAAGGCCTTGGGCTAACATGAGTTGCCAGTACTCAGAGCAGAGACTTGTCATCATCGTTCCGAGAACAACGAGCGCAGAGCCGAACACAACGAGCAGGTGAGGATGTCCACGGTCATAGATGGGTCCGGCAAACACGGTCGCACTACAGAGCAAGAAGGCCTGTATCGACCCGATCCAAGAGATGTCCGAGTTGCTAACATTCGGTATGAGAGTACTGCTGTAAAAGTCCTGGAACACACCGAACCCGTTGACGAATCCCCAAGAGCTCATGAAGCACATGAAGCCTGACAGCACCTGTAACCATGCGGTAAATCCACCATTTGGTATATGGTCAGATATGGCATGGCTTCCGGAGGGTTGTTCCTTGGTTCGAGATTGCGCTTTCTGATCCAATGATGGTCCAAAGTGTTCCTGGTCCGAGGGCAGTCCTGAAGACTCAACATCAGATTTGGCTTCTGATTCGATAGAAGATGTGCTAGACCGCCGAGAGTTCGCCATCTTGTAAGGGATATTCGATTGGCAAAACTGTCCGATTGTCAACCAACGAAGGGTAAGGGTGCCTGACACACATTCTAGCAAAAGCCTTGTACTTACAGAGTGGCAGTCGGATATATCTTGTAGGCCGGACGCCTTGCACTTGCCATCAACAGCCGTGATTTTAGTATACAGAAGCCGGCATTGATGCCATATGAGCAGGACCGAAGTGCTTCCTTGTATCTCGATAGAAGTTGTCAGAGGCTTGGTCGGGATCCACTTTGTGTCGCATGGGTTTTGAATTCCGGTAATTCAGTGTAGGACACTTGCATACACGACTTGATATACTGTCGTAAAGCGCATGCCAGCTAAGCATACTGCACCACAACACCTAGTTGCTACATCAAAGTCTGATGCTGAAGTGTCCTTCCTTGGTGGAGGTTTTGCGAAAAAAGATTACAGTAATATCCGTATTCGGACTAGTTGCAGATCGTTTCGGGATGGCGTCGGGAGGAGCCTTAACTAAACAAGGCTAAAACATATGCCGGGACGAGAAGCAAGAAAAAGGTCATAGAGATCACGCCAGAGCTCTCGTGAGAGGTCGGGAAGTGCTTTTCGGCTCGAGAGGTCGGCAAGCATTCAGCATGATATCCACATATCTTGAGATTCAACGAAGAGAGTGCTCAGTTCTGCCTGTAGCCTCCTTTTTGTTCATAGCTTAAATCTGTCTACAATGATGGCATGAGCGGGCGGCAATACTTCTGAACGAGTCGGTGTTCCAGCAAATACACGCTACAGCTACACCATGTCTCATGCTGCACGCAGAGAGAAAGCCGTAGTGGATTGCTTGTTTGATTTGCTCAACACCACGCTGAGATGGGGTTCGTCGTTTTTCGTAGGGTATCTTCTTTATTTCTTGGTGCGGTCGGCCAGTTCTCCGGTAGCAGGAAGCTTAGGAGCAGCACCTCCCTTGGTCTTTGCCTCACCTTTGGCCTTCAAGCTGGTGGAGTCCTTGGGAAGCTCCTTGGTGAAGGGAAGGAACTCGGGCTGGCCGGGAATATACTTCTGCAAGACCTTGGGAACGTTGATGCCATCCTCGGTCTGGTAGTTCTCGAGGACACAGCACAAAGCTCTCTCGGTAGCACAGAGGGTAGAGTTAAGGGCGTGGACATAAGACTTTTGGTAGCTCGAGTCGGTCTGCTTCTTCTGGCCATAACGGATCTCGAGCTCGCGGGTCTGGTAGTCGAGACAGTTGGAGCATGAAACGAGCTCCTTGTACTCGCCCTGGAAGGGGAACCAAGCCTCGAGATCATACTTCTTCGAGGCGGCGTTGTTGAGAGCACCAGAAACAATGGCGACGACGCGGTAGGGAAGGCCGAGGGACTTGTAGAACTCTTCGGAGGTATCGATCATGCGGTCGAAGTGCTCCCATGATTCTTCGGGCTTGCAGAAAATGAATTGTTCGATCNNTAGAGGTAAAGTTAGTCTGAGCATGACAGCAGAGTTGCAGATGAATCCGATTACCTTCTCGAACTGGTGGACGCGGAAGATACCCCAGGCGTCCTTGCCGTGAGAACCGGCCTCCTTTCTGAAGCAAGTGCTGTAGCCAGCGTACTTGATGGGCAGGTCCTTGTCTTGTAGCCACTCGGCCTCGTGGAGAGCGGACAGGGGCTGCTCAGAGGTTGCGATCAGGTACTTGTCGGTATCCTTGGAGCCATCCTCGGTGACCTTGTACAATTCCTCGTCGAACTGCTCGAGCTGGGCAGTCTTTGCCATAGCCTCGCGGTTCATGAAGAAAGGAGGCATGTTGGGCTTGTAGCCCTTGTTGAACAGAAACTCGAGACCATAGTTGATGAGAGCAAGGTTGAGGAAGAGACCGTAGCCGGTCAAGCAGTAGCCTCTGTGGCCAGCGACCTTGACACCGCGCTCGGGGTCGTAGCCGTCCAGACGGGTGAGCACCTCGTGGTGGGACAGGCAGTCCTTCTTGGCGACCTCGACGCCCTCAGGGGTCCAGTCACGGATCAATTGGTTGTTGTCCTCGTTGTCGCTGATGGGCACAGAGTCGTGGACGTAGTTGCCAATTGACTTTGCCTTTTTCAGCAGAGCAGCGTGCATGTCCTTGGTCGTCTCCTCCTGCTGCTTGTGACGGGCCTGCAGCTCGTCCTTTTTCTTGAGCAAATCGTCGGCGTTGCCCTTGGCCTTCTTGATCTGTCCAATCTCTTTCTGCAGTGCGTTGATCTCGGTCTTGATCTGGTTGGCGGCATATTGGGCTGTACAGAGACGGTGTCAGCAGCATTCACTGGACACTCAGTGACACGAGATAACCCACATTTTNCTGTGGTCCTCAAACATGGCAATAACCTCGTCGACGACCTCTTCGGGAGCATGGCGTCTACGCTGACTCTCCTTGATCTTCTTCACGTCGCCGCCGCGCTCGGCGATAAAGTCGTTGATGTCCAACATGGTTGTGCGTATTGAGTGTCTGATCAAGTTTGGTGAACAGCTCAGCCTTCTCTTTCGTTTGCGCCTGGAGGGGTCCCAAAACTTGACTCATGCGTCGCCCTTATCCAAGTCAATGTTGTCAACGTTACCAACGTTAGCACGTTGCGAACAGACCATCCCATCTGGCATCGAGGACATCTTGGACGCGAAATTTGCAACATTCCTTTACTTCTATGCTGAGTACAGTAACTGCTTACATTATCCGATCCTCTCAAGCTCTGAAGTGACAACCCAGACCTTCCCACTCCTACTGCTTCGTTCGCCAGCAAATTGACACCGTCCATCTGCTTTTTTCCTGCCTTTAATCATCGTTCAGGCTTGATTTCTCAGATGACTTGTGCCATTGGTCGAGGCACTCCTAACTACGCCCTGAACCAGAAAGCTCACGCGAGCCATCACTTATCCGTGTACTCGCAATGGACTAGCCTTCCGGCCACTTTGGTTCTGTGATAGCCGAGGAGAAGCTGCTTTCACAACGCTTCTTGAGCAAGCCTCTTGGGAGTGGTTTGCAAGAGGCTGATATATGCCGTCCTGGTTGGACTCGCGGCGACGAAGGTTACTTCAATTGCCTCTTGAGGCATCGTAACAAATCATCCTTTCAACCATCTTGAGGGCCATCATGTCCAGATCTATGGTCGTGAGGCTCACACAAGCGGTCAAAATCTGGAAAGCTGACATAACCCTCTNNATTTTGCGTCAATATTATGCTGATTACTAGTTGTCGGAGTTGCTCACCATGACGGTTTTCGGATAGTCGACGGCTTAGCACATCCCACTGCACTTCTTGCACGTCCACGGGACACTGCTTCGGAGATGTTGGTGGACTACTTCTGGGAGAAGTCCTAAGAGAAGCAGATGCCACCTTGAATAACAGAGAGGTCGCTCCGCCCTGTGGCGATACACTGCATTCCTGACGGGCAGTATGCGAATTTTGCCTATTCAGAGATGGCGGGCTGGTGGTTGATCTTGTGAAAGGTCCGCGAATGAATATGCTGGATGCTGACGATGACGACGACGAGCGTTGAGATTCTCTAGCCATAATAGATGATTTAAGAGGTAGAGATGGTTGTGATAATGAATGTGAATGTTGGGTTGTTTCTGAAGGGCTCCGTGTTTGTTCAAAAAGGACTCGAGACTATATCAAATAGTAGTAATTTGTCCGAGGTCGCGTGAGAGATACAAGGAATTCAAGGTTTGGGCTGGCAAGTGAGGGGGACGTAGTTGGGTGGCGCTGCTTTGTATACGCTCCGGTAGAGAAGACCGAGGAGACAGTACCGCACAGTCATGGTGACGCCTCGCGTACCTGCGGGGCCTAGCTCTACACAGGGGCCTCTTCAGCACTGATTGCGTGAACCTTTTATGAGTCGATAGTCGCCTGCTAGTCAGTCTACGTGGATAATGGCTTTGACTTGAGCCCATGGAGCTCATTCGCGGAATGCCCTCTTGCTCATCGGCCAGACCGTTAAGTACCCGCGCGGCCACTGTACTTCGATCCCACCACAATTTGTGACATGCACTGACAGGCCACCACCAGAAATGGGGCTAACAACCCACAGCATAGTAACGGTGCCCAATCTTGACCCAGGAACCTGGCAGACTTGCAGGGACGGCCGATGTTCCGCCCAGCGCGCCCAGCGGTGTGGCTGTGACCGTTTCCTCTGCGTATGGGGCATTTCGGATCCGCTTACTAGCAAGTGTTCGCGCAACTCTAGGACACCTGGGTGAACATGGTTGAGGTCGTTGCTGTTGTTATGTGCTTTGTTTTATCGACCCCACAACCTCACCGACGTGTTCGAGTTTATGTGGTTGGCAATCAGGCAGATGACACCTCGGTGTAGCGGCCTGATGAGCCTCGCCTAAATCATGCAGAGCAGTATATCGTTGCCCGGTCGCATGGATAAATATGCGAACAGTCCCACGAGTCGAAGCAGTGAAGAGACCAAGACTCTGGCACGGTCGGAGGCTTGAAGGAAGCGCGCCAGCGCATTCCCTGCTGTATGTATTGGGTAAACATCGATCGGATGAGCACACATCTTGATTTCCCTGCACATGGCCGCCGTCCCATGCAACCTGCGACGTGCGTGGAGTCTGCTGGCGGGCCGTTCCTACGGCAAATCGCCTGCCCGAGTCGGTAATTCACGCAGCGATCTCATACTAAAGAAGGTAACCTCCCACATGCTGAAGATGCACAATCCTTTCCTAGCAAGCGGAGCTGCTCGCGAAGAGCACAGTGACTCGAGGAAGTCTCACTGATTGCAACTTTACTTCAACATAGATCCTTGCGTTTTCACAGCTCACGTGAACCATGTTGTGTCTGGACACTAGTGTAAGAGAAGAAGGAGTGAGCGGAATCAAAGGAGTAAGCCATATTGTACTTCTAAGGGATCAAGCCTATATTCCTTTTCTAGTGGGAAACCAGCAGTCGAAAGGTACCAATGCAGGAGAGATCCGGTCAGCCGAAGACGAACATACTCCGTCATGCATGCATATAATTCTATATTCATCCCGGGACGTGAATCAGCAAGATTGAAAAAGAAAAAGACACGCGTGGCTATGATCAGTGCTAGAGAAACGGTCAGCAAAGTGTCGTAACCAAAGCTGTACACGCTTACATCGACATCCTCCCAAGCGCGACCTTGAACGTTCGACAGCTCGTCCATCGTCATCACGCTGCCGTTGGTGAAATAGCCTGCAGCTATCTTGGCATCAATCTCTACTCTGCTGTCGGCGGGGATCATTTCGTCAGGCAGCTCGACTCGCTCGTGAATCGGAATGCCCTGTTCAACGATGGCATCGTGCTACAAGAGTCGTCAGCTATGAAATCATGGTTTCGGCGAAGGGCTGAGGATGTTCTTCTCATGAGAACAGGTACATGGCTCGAAGGAGCGGACGACTTACTTTCATACTACACCGTCAGTTAGCCACGCACATTCAATACAATCAGTAGATCTATGGGACAAAGTCAGGAAGGGGCCATCGACTTACTTTGACATGCTCAACCTAAAGCAAAACAGTGTTAGCAAGATGTCTGCTTGAGAACAGAAAAGAAAATGGATGGAGGAACACAAACATTCGATCAATTTTGGTGATTCCAAGCCAATGTAAGATATCTGGCATGAGCGCCTAGGTTTGATATATCAGTCTGTGTTGTCGTGGACGGACAATCGATGAATTTTGTCCCACCTGGAAGCGCATGTCCTTGACTCCGGCGATGTTTTCTGTACGTTTGAAGTATTCGCTTGCACGGTCGGCGCCACGTTTTCTTGCGTTGTATACAAGGTATTTTGTGACCTGTGGTTGTCAGCATCCTCTTCCAATGTAAAGATTTCATTGAGGCACCAACCTCTCCTAGAGCCCTGCCTTCCTTACGGAAATATATGACAACTCCTGAACCGCCCTTTTGAGCCTCTTTGACTGCTTCCTCGATACCAAACGTCAGATAAGGTCGGCATGTACAGATGTCTGAGCCGAATACGTCTGAGCCTAGAGGTTAAAGGTACAATTAGCATGTTTCTTGTGCGAACAACGGTATAATGCAACCATGCTCGCACTGCAGAGTACTATCCAGAAGGCTGGAGGCCTCTATTGAGAGCATGACTTACCATTGCATTCGTCGTGAATACGTAGAGCAAGCTTGACGTTGGGATCGGACATCTTTGCAGGATCACCGAAGCAGTACACAGTCAGTCCTCCAATTGGAGGCAAGAAGGTCTTGATGTCCCCTCGCGTGATGAGCTCAGGGTATGAACCCCCAGTGTGCTCGAACAGAGAACGTCTGAGAGTTCCTTCGTCAATACCAAATCGTTCTGCGACTCCAGGCAGGTACCAAACTGGCTCCACAGCAAACTTCGTCACTGCAAGTTCGCCTGATGCGTTGAGACATATCTTGCCATCTGGTACTAATCTACCCGCTTTAACACTCTCTTCAAGTTCGGGAACCTTCATATGTGCTTTTGTGATGGCGATGGTTGGTCTGACGTCGACGTCTTCGTTTTGGATGATATCCTTGAACAGCCAAGGGGAAAGATGCCCTGCCAAGGGAGTGTACAGTCAGCATGTTTTCTGCATAAGAACCAGTACGCGGCCAAAAAATCACGACAAGCATTAGGATCTATGCTATCACATTGCAAAGCGCCGTTCAACATTGAGTAACAGAGACAGATTCTCGATGCATGTCGCTAGCTGCTTGAATCGCACTCTGCAATGTGATAGCTGGATTTCGTTCTCGCCGCATCACTTACCTAGCGGATCCATAGCAACAATCTTCTTGGGATCGGACCACTGAGGGAAAGGTCCAATATTGGCTGCTGGCTCAGTGTTGGTGAAGTCCGGTCGGTGATCAGTATTGAGGTTCTTGCTCGCTACGGCGAGGGCATTATCTGCACGTAGAACAACGATTAGCACAAACTCAGGAGCATGTGATGAACTAGACCCCAGCGATTTGGGCTCATAAACAAAGATCCCGGACATGATGTTTCCATATCCTATAGCGCGCTTCGGACATCAGTGTTCAAGAGATCACGTCTCGGAACAGTCAACTATACGAAAGGGGAACGGCCATAACATTGACAGGACATGTAGGCCAGCGACAAAATTGATATGAGACAAAACGGAAAAGAGTTTTGTGTACGTACATATAGCGTAGGAACCGCCGTGTGCGCCAATAGCATTACGTCTTCGAATTGAGCTTGGGTTTCTTGAAACAACCACGGGACCTCGAAGGGATGGGTCCTTGTTGCCCCAATCCATAGGCAGAGGATCAACACCGGCCTGACCTGGGTACGAGGTAAGGATGATCTTGGAGGTCATACTCGATCTACGACCAGTATCTGGCACAGTCGGCAGATTGGGACTTGAAGGTGTACTCTCGGGATCAGTACGAACAACAGGGTCTGCCTGATGCTGCTTGTTGTGTTCAACAGCAGTAGGATCAACAGTCAAGTCTTTCACTTGCTTGACCCCAGCAAGAATATTGACTCGGCCGTTGATGGCATCAACAGCAGCAGCAAGATGAGTGTTCTCTTGCTGGATGGTTTTGAGACCGGCTAGGATCTCTTGCAGAACGGCAGCATCACCGCCGGTACCGTTCGTCTTTTCCATAGTTTATCAGAGGTCGTTGGTTGCTGATGGGTATCGGTAGTTAGATCCAGAGAGATAGAGATCAGAGAGTGGGTGTGTGTCTGTATCTTGGTATAAGAGAGGTCGTCGATATCAACAGCTGTCTCGGAGCATTGCTTACAATGATCATTCCCCGCTATCGAGGGGCATGTGATTACGATAAGGTAAGGTTACCTATCTAGGCACAGATATCGGGTACCTGCCTTCCTCATGTCCCATAGGCGATAATGCCCTCGGGCAAGGTCCACTACGTGTAGATACGGCCACCAAGGATAGTTCTTGTTACAAATCGAACAGACCGAGTAGATAACACACGTGTTCAAGCGACGAGAGAAAGCAGGACCAACGGCCAAAGGGAGCTCGACCGCTCAGCTCCGAAGGCAGGTCTTACCACCCCGCGGCTATGGGCGCCAGCCAACATTCACTGATTGACGATGCCTCCTTGGACCATGAGCAAGCTAATGTTCCCACAAGAAGGTTTGATCACACCCTAGATCAAAATCTTCCGATCTCTGTGCAACACACCCCTGTAGTCGTTCAAGCATCTCTTGAAGAGTGTGTTGTTTTGAGTACTCGTACATGCCGTGAAACCAAGAGGGGTGGCTGGTGTTGCCCCGCAGACCAGGCAGGCATGTGAAAATCACGGCGGCAACGAGCCTAAACGCCGATGTGTGAAGCGACGTCAGGGTGTCAGTTTCTCATTCATTTGAACCCTGCGAAACTTTGTCGGAACTTGCGACTCACTCACGCACATCAGACACATCTATCATGGTAATCACCCGGTTTATTCAAAGTAAAGCGACGCAAGCTCATACGAAATAGGGCAAACGCAAGTCAGCGAGCAAGCCAGAGGGCAAGAAGAAGGTGCGCATATCGCGTGAAGCACTTGAGGCCAACGAGCACACGACTAACACCGTGATAGNNCGCGAGGCCCTATCAACTACCTTCCAATGCCTGTTCTGCAACCACGAGAATTCAGTCTCGGTCAAGATCGACAAGAAGGCCAGCACAGGCGAACTGACCTGCAAGGTCTGCGGCCAAACATTCCAATGTGTCGTCAACTGTACGTCCCAAGGAAGAAAGAGAAGAGCTGCGATGTACGGAAAGTCTAACAACGTTTGCCCTACAGACCTCAGCGCACCTATCGATGTTTACTATGAGTGGGTGGATGCTTGTGATTCTGTAGCCAAGCAGTCCGGTCAGAGTCAGCCGAGAAGAGACACGTACAGTGGCACTGCATCACAATCACGCTCGCAGACCGCTCGAGGCACTGCCGCCGATACCGCAGCCGACGACGGCTTCATCGACGACGACGAGCTTGACGCAGAGGCAGAGTACGCCGAAGAGTAAAAACACAAACGGGACAAAGAGCACGAATATTCAGCACCGCGCGAGCACACAAGGCGAGCAGCAGGTTTACAGCCCGGGGGCCTCCGAGCTTTGATACGGAGAGGAGTTTACGGCATGATACACCAAGGCGCTTGGCGCAACACACGGATTGATACAGAAATGCATGGCATGGGATTCATCATATGGATTGAGCCTAAGGTGATAAGCGCGGATCCTTGTAACCTGTTCTATGAAGGGCAGACTTGGCCAATAACCAACTCTAAAGGGTGTAGAATCGATCTCCAAAGTCTCCGAGACCTGGGACGATGTAGCTANNGTCACACGATTAGCACCTTTCTCAAAACGAGGAACCGATCTTGACGTACTTCTTCTCATCCAAGCCTTCATCGATGAAGGCGGTAACAATTCTCACTTTAGGGAATTTCTCTGCAAAGTTGTCGGCACCTTCCGGGCTGGCAATGAGATTGAGGAAGAGGATGCGATCCTCCGGCACACCCTTTTGTCTCAAGACCTCGACGGCCATCAATGCAGACCCGCCTNNAGATGCAAGTCAGTGAGAGGACAAACGAGGACACAACAAGGCAAGTTGGTGCATACCGGTAGCGAGCATGGGGTCTAGTAAGAGGACCCATCTGTCCTTGATGTCTTCGGGCAGCTTCTCGTAGAAGAGACGAGGCTGGCTCGTCTCCTCGTCTCTCTGGATCAGGATCTTGCCGATGCGTACGCTTCTGCAGCAATCACGGAGACCCTGTTCCATGGATTCGCCGGCGCGCATGATGCTGACACCGCATATCTTTCCCTCAAACTTGACACCATTGTAATGACGGCCGACGGGGGTGGTGATTTCTTGCTGGATGACGGGCAGGTGGTTCAGGCCTTCTTCGACAAGCAAACGGATGATGCGGTTCGAGTAGAAGATGAAATCGGCACGATTGGTGCGGTGGTCGCGGATCATANNCTGCTCAAGGAGTTGGCGGGGAGTGGCTCGGGACGTCTTCAACAAGGGACACACCTACGTCAGCAGAGCGATGAGCTGGGGCGTCTGCGGTAGGACGTGGACGTTGTCATGGCGGACTTTCTTCGATACGGTCGCCGTGGGCTTTTCACCCTCGGCGCGGTAGTTTGGACCCAGGCATTGGGAAGGGGCGGCCTTGTCTGACATGGTGCTGCAGCAGCAAAAGAGGAGCAAAAGAAGAGGGGCAAGAAGGGAGCGAGAGGTAGGAGCAAGACAGGTATCGGTCGAGGGACAGATTGAGAGCTGATAAGTGAATAGGAACTTTCTTATCAGTTGCGGCGTCCGAGTGTCGTGTGCCCCGCAGAGCGGCCAAGTGAGCTCTTGCCCTGCCGCGAGAGGCTGCGAAGACCCTGTCGCCGACCGTCGTCTAAAGAAACGAAGCGCCCTCGTCACTCTGTCGTTCGGCTTGTCGTGGCGACCTGCAACTTTGTGGATGCCCGTTTGCGCCATCCTTTACCAACCATGCCTGCCTGATCGCTTCGAAACTCGCTTCACACGGTTCTTGTCGCATCACCAATCGCCTCCAACCACACTATGAAGCATCGTATCTAGCTCCTCCTACATTGCCATCACTGCCGTCAACAACTTCACTTCCGAGTCGAACGACCAGAGTCTCAGAAACGCCTTCCTCTTCTCCAATGTCATCTCAACAGCCACCTTGAACTTCTCTCAATCTAATGATACACTCTTTCTTCTTCTCAGTCGACTCTTCTATTTCAGTTCCAGCTCCTACCAGCCGCTCCTCGCTATGACGACACTCCCAGCGAGCTATGGCAATGGTGACCGTCGCAAGAGACCTGTTGTCACCTATGGGAGGCCTGCGCGCAACCCGACCTTCTCAGAAACCAGTGCGAGATCTTTTTACGACGAGTCCAAGAATACCACTTCGCCCTCCAAGCTGAAGCGACCGACTGCTGGTGCCATCAGAACGATTAAGGATGCAGACGATGAATTCGACGTACCAGTGTCTGACGATGAGGCAAAGCCCATACCCTCCAAGTCGAAGAAATCCCATAAATCTTTGGCCAAGACAAGTCCAGTCGTTGCTAGTGACGAGGCCAATGGCATCGGCAATGGCGATCTAGATTCGGCCTCACCGCGCAAGCGCAAAAGAACCATATCACAGGCCGTCCAGTCCTCAGTCGTCCGACCAGTTACGAAGGCCAACAAGATACAGCAGGTTGAACCAGAGTCTGAGAAGATCGTTGGTGACTCTGCCCACCTGCGCCGCTCTAGGAGGCAAGTTGCTGTCAAAACTTCTCCTACCTCAGCTCCGTCGTCGCACAGAACCGATCGTCAGGTGATGCAGGCAAGATACTCCGCGGGCTCATTCACAAAGTCTGCCTGTCCGTTATCTCCAGTGGTCGCTTCTCCAACCAGTCCGGCAGATTCGGTATCGAGCATATCCACGACACCAAAACAGAAGAAGCTATGGCACGAGCTGCTTCTCTCAGACCCTCTTGACGAAGGTGTCCAAAACTCGACTCTCAATTCTATACATTTCCGGTCAAACCGTAGTCTGACTCAACCAGACGTATCAACACCACAGGCTTACAATGCTCCAATTTCGGGCGCAATCAAGACTCGTATTGTCGATCGTCTGAAAGGGGAGGCTGTTTCTGCTCACAGTAGCGACGAGAGCTCCGAGGATGAAGAGACTGAGCCGCTGGAAGAAACTTCCAACCTAGAAGCATCAAGAACTTCCGCACAGTCTGGTCCCCATGAATTTACGCAGCATTCTCAGTCGCAAAGTCAACTACAACTACAGCTGTCATCAACCAGCCAAGGCATCNAAAAGGTGACCTACGCTCGGTCGCGAACATACTTGCAGGACAGTCTCGAAGACATGATCTTTGGTGATCTGCCCATTGACGCGACTGAACGTCCCATAGCAAGCGCCCGACGAACTGAAGTTTCTCCGAGAACGACATCAAAGTCCAAGGTTAGTGCCAACAACGAGTCGGATGAAGAGTCTTTACAAGGCATTCGAAGTATACACGACCTTAGGGCAGCCGGGCACAAGAGCAGATTTCTGGACGATGTCACACGTCTTCTCGACGATATTAAGAATCCAAAGCCATCAACTCGATCGCAAAGGCGCATGGCACTCATGGAGCTCTGTGGTACACTCACCGACAGTGACTTCGTTTCTCGCTTCATTGAAAACGGGTTTGATGCGAGCATAATTGCTCAATTCCAGTATGCCGGCATGGATGTGCTGGCTGATATGTTGCTGTGTGTCGTTCTTACCCGGATAGCACAGGCGTCCGCTACACTTCTCCAGNGGGGTGTTCTGGACTTCCTCACCTCGTATCTCGACGAAAACAAGGATATCAACCAGATCGCACGAGACAGGAAGAGCAACATGTCCAAGGTGGCACAGTCTGATTACCTTGACTTCATGGAAAAGGTTAGGTCTGCTGACATTTGGGAAGAGTGCTCACCGAAGTACCTGACTCCTAGTTCGATCGCTCTTCTGAGCATCAACTGCATAGTTGTGGCCCACAGGCGCAACAAGCACAGTGGCACCATCCTTTCTTCCCATACCGCATCCAAGCTTGTCAGCTTGGCCACCAGTCATGCATCAGGGTCTGAAGACGTCTCACAAGCAATCACCAACCGGGCATTGTCTGCTCTCGAGGCCGCCACTACTCTCGATGTGGACAGCGCATCATCGGACGTTTGGTCAGTCGAAACACTTACACAACTTGCAGTCGCTCTGCCCCAATTCCTTAGTATGCCAAGCCATTCACAGGAACTTGCCCTGCGGTTTTGCTGTTCTGTGACCAATGACAACAAAGACAACAGTAGTGTGTTCTGTGAACCTCATACTATACAACTGATTGTGTCGTTGATTATCGATGGCTTCAACTCGCGCAAGACGACGATCGAAGTGGAGCTGGGCTCTGACNTACGACCTTTGGTTCTCGCTCTCGGACTGATGATCAATCTGACCAGAGTGAGTGAGNCTNTACGCGAACGCGCTGCTTGCGTCAAAGATGAAGGACTTGCTGCACTAGTGGACATCTTCATCAAAGGTCAGAAGAAAGCAGCCGAGAGTCAGTCGGAAGAAGAGATGCAAGCCAACATTCCGTATGCTTGGCTATCAGTTCTCCTCGGATACATCTGCTTGGACAAAGCTATCAGGGCACGGATAAGTGACTGGCTTCCAGGCGGCAATGGAACCGTCCTTGTGGATGCTGTCGAAGGAATCGCACTCATGAGCCAACAAGTGGATAGCCAGATCGCAGAGGAGAAGGGAGAAATATCGTCAGGATTTACGCAGAAGCTCCAGGCTCTTGTCGCTCGTTTACGCGATGGTGTGTAATCAATAGAAGACGAGACATGGCAATAGCCAGCATGATACCCATTAGAACGTATTCCATTAGATAATCGAAACGTCGTATAAGCACGTTGAACAGTGTATTCTAGCTTGCTGTGCTCAACAACCAGGTGAAGTCGATCTAAAGTGAGCGACCATAGAAAGGTGAACCACAAGCGTAAGCATATAATAGTAAAAGAGATGGTACTTGTAGAATACAAATGATGTCGAGGGAGAGTGCAACTTCAATCGAGTTATGATGGAGTCCTGTCCTGACTACAAACAAGCGTTAGACTTCCGTCACCGCTGCCCCAGTAGCGCCGCCAATCGGCTGCGAGGCCCCGGACTTGTTTTGTTCATCCAAAAGAGCAGATCATCGCCGACTAGTTCGAAACCTAACGTATAACGAGAACGAGGTCTCTTCTGCCACCTGCAGCTCACAGCAGACGCTTGCCACTGCAACACGCTCCTGCGCCATCAAAGTCTTTGCCCTGGACACGAGACGACCAACAATACCACGAATCCTGCCTGCACTCCATCACAACGGTGACACGAATTAATCAGCTTGCCTCTCACTGAACCGACCACCTCACACTCGGATCGCAACGCACCGCCGCACTCGTCGCGTTGAAACAGAAAGAGCCTGGACACAATGCCTCCACAACAGAAGCAGCGAAAGATGGCCATTGTCGGCAGCAGATCCGTAGGTACGTCGTTGATAGCCATGCCACGACTGAAGCCAGAAACTGACACGTCTCAGNGCAAGAGCTCACTGACTGTACAGTTCGTCGACGGTCACTTCGTCGATTCATACTACCCCACCATTGAGAACACCTTCTCCAAGGTCATCAAGCACAAGAACCAAGACTTTGCTGTAGAAATCATCGACACTGCTGGACAGGTACGCTTCGACGAGATCATGGAGGCATCACGAGAGTCATGCTGATAGTCAAGCACCAAAGNNGACGAGTATACTATTCTGAACAGCAAGCATTTCATTGGCATCCATGGATACATGATTGTCTACAGCGTCGGTAGCAAGCAGAGCTTCGAGATGGTGAGAATCATCCGCGACAAGATTCTGAATCACATGGTATGTCCTGCTCAATCGTCTATCAATTGACACTTCTCTGACATGACACTTTAGGGTGCCGAATCGGTCCCACTGATCATTGTCGGTAACAAGTCCGATCTTCGACCGGAGCAACGTCAAGTCAAGGCTGAAGATGGCCGAAAGCTGGCCGAGGAGCTCAATTGCGGCTGGACAGAAGCAAGCGCCAGGTTCAATGAGAACGTCGGCAAGGCTTTTGAGGGTATGGTCGCCGAGATCGAGAAGGGTCAGGAAGCTGGTCAGCCCAAGGAAGGCAAGAACTGCATTGTCATGTAAGAGTGTCGTCACGGTCAAACCACTATCGGGAACACCTCTGGAACTCGACAATACCATACTCTCTGGATTGCGGCTGGGTTTGGCGCTTTTCCTGCGCTCAGTGAGGACATGAAGGGCAAGAACTGGAACTGGACTTGGGTCGAGGTTGGGCAATATACTCATTATGGGATTTCTGGCGTGTCGCTTTCTCGGCAATGATTTTTACTGGAGTTCATCATAGGCGCAGCTGTTGGTTAGGGATGGGGTCATGGGTATCAGGAGGCTACAAGGCTCACGTCGAAACTACAGTCCAACTCGACATACTTTAGGATGTGAAACGAACACGTCGACGTGACATTGCTTGACATGGCATGTTCTATAGACAATCAGGTAATCTCAGAGGTGCAGTGGACATGGTCAAACTTCAGTGCCTTGTTTCTCTACAGCACATAAATTCATTTTCTAGAGAAGCGTGACCACTGCAACAAGCACTGACAGTTGGGTTCTTGGAAAACGATGGAGTACTGTGCATTATACTGCAACAATGTTCGTTGGTGATCTGCTGTACAACCTCTGTACAACCTCCCAGTGCACAAAAGTCAGTAATCTTCTCTCTTTCCAAGGCCCCATGGATCGGCTTGTTGACTATGAAAAGGCGTGAAGGTCTCTGGATTGGAGATGTAGCCAAAGAGAGCCTTCAAAATTTCGCGTCTCGGTAGATACCAACTCGTTTCCGAAGACTATTGTATATTGTGATAACTATATGAGTTACATACTTTAGCACATAGGGAAGAGAGATCTCGATAAAAAGGTATCCAAGTAGTTGATGCTGGTCAGGGTCCAATTCTGCGGAGGCCAGGCAGAGCGATGCAGTAGCATTGTCCCCCACCTTTGTGAATTTCAAGAGACATCAGAGGATCGATTGATCGATGATAGTGTCGAACATGTGAACCTTCTCCCATATATTATCGGTACTAAAAGGTCGAATGACAACAGTGAAATAGCATGCTATTGAGGATGGCTGGAGAAGAGCACCGAAGGACCGAGCTTTTCGTCGGTCTTGGCGATCACGGGAAAACCCAGGGAAGCGACGCCGCACAACCAAATTCATTCAAGGAAGTTGCGCACTTTGGTTGGACCTTTCTTTTGAACGCGACGACCTTTTCCACACCATCTTTAATTGCCATACAGAGACGCAAACATGGCTGTCGGCAAGAACAAGAGATTGTCAAAGGGCAAGAAGGGCTTGAAGAAGCGCACCGACNCCGTGAGTGAAGACGATTCGCTGCACCATCCGACTCAAGGCCCACGGCTCCTATCAACACACACTACATCCGCGCGCATACCAACACACGAGGCTCTTGACTGACATGACTGCGCCTATAGCTTCGCCAAGAAGGACTGGTACAACCTCAAGGCCCCTTCCACCTTCGCCATCAGAGAGTACGTTCATACGCCAATCCGATCTGCGCTCGCCACTGGACGAAAAGAAAAATCTTTACTAACACACCCCAAGTNNGTTGGCAAGACCCTCGTCAACCGCACCACCGGTCTCAAGAACGCCAACGACGCTCTCAAGGGCCGTATCTTCGAGGTTTCGCTCGCCGATCTCCAGAAGGATGAGGACCACTCCTTCCGCAAGGTCCGCCTGAGAGTCGACGAGGTCCAGGGCAAGAACTGCCTGACCAACTTCCACGGTCTCGACTTCACTTCCGACAAGCTGCGCTCGCTCGTCCGCAAGTGGCAGTCCCTGATCGAGGCCAACGTCGTCGTCAAGACCACCGATGACTACCTCCTCCGTCTGTTCTGCATCGCCTTCACCAAGAGACGCCCCAACCAGATCAAGAAGACCACATACGCCCGCAGCTCGCAAATCAGACAAATCCGCAAGAAGATGACCGACATCATGCAGCGTGAGGCCAGCAGCTGCACCNTCGCCCAGCTTACCCAGAAGCTCATCCCCGAGGTCATCGGCCGCGAGATCGAGAAGTCCACCCAGGGCATCTACCCTCTCCAGAACGTCCACGTCCGCAAGGTCAAGCTCCTCAAGTCGCCCAAGTTCGACCTCGGTGCTCTCCTCAACCTCCACGGCGAGTCCAACACCGACGAGTCCGGCCAGAAGGTGTGTTCAGCCCCGACATTTCACTACACCCTCTGTCCAGTACTGACCCGTCACAGGNTTGAGCGCGAGTTCAAGGAGACCGTCCTCGAGAGCGTGTAAGCATTTGATGAATGGGACAAGATGGGTTGGGGTCTGCGTGACACGTTGCTGCCCGGCGTTCGACGTGGAAAAGGAATGCTCTAGGCATCTTCGTGTTAGCTACTTTTCATGGCAAAAAAAGAATCGTCAAAAGCCTTCCGAATTTTCCAATTTTATGATACCACGCACATTCACACCCTCCGCAATTCTCCTGCCTGCACGAATTCTCTAGTGATCTGGAACACAGTCTATTGTTCAAATGAAATTGATTGTCACATGCTAAATCTACTCTTTGTCCTGCAAAAACTCGACGACGGCTGAATACATGCATTAGCCCATGACGTACCCGTATACAGTGTTCCAACATACCGTTTCTGAACTCCTGAGGCTTCTCGCTGATGACCCAATGGCCGCTGTCGACATCTGCAATCTCGAATCTTGGGAAGAATCTTCCAATGATGGGTAGTGTCTCATCGGCCACATAATGGCTCTTGGTGCCTCTGACAAACAGAGTCGGGCCCTCCCATCGCGCCTCTTCTGGGTCGGTAAAGGGGAAGTCGGCCATGTTGTCGAGAGCGTTCGCCAGGTACTTGACAGGAATACGGAACCTCTGGATTCCATCCTTGCCGCGGGCGAGATTGGTGAGTAGAAACTGACGCACGCCGACATTGGACTCGAACTCGGCCAGAATAGCGTCGGCCTCGGACTGCTTCTGTACGTTTGCGTCGGCAATCTTGCGCATGCCCTGTACATACTTGCCAAAGTCGCTTTTCAAGGCTGCGTCGACAGGTGCGTTGTCGACGGGGATCAGACTGGCGATGGGCACTTTACCGCGCAAAGCAACTGCCATGACTGTTTTGGCGCCCNNCTTGTCCACAGTCAACATTGTTCCACGGCATCTGAGCGTGGTATAGTCGTGCAAGACGTACATGGAGTGGCCGATCAGAGCAGGACGCTCAATCTTGTGTTCTTGCAGGAAACCCTCGACATCCTCGGCGAGAGCGGTGTAGTCGTGCCTCGGGTCATGGGGTGATTCGCCGTGGTTGCGCAAGTCCNNTGATCAGGTGCTATCAGAGGTGGTGGTCGCAGACGTTTCGGGAGGGTGAGATACAATGGCGTAGACGGGGCGGTTCAGATCACGAGCAAACACTNNCTGGGCTAGGTTAGCTTTGGACAATATGGATCGTTTCAGATATGCCTACTTGCTCATGCTCCGGTTGTTCTTCTTGGATCCGAAGAGGCCATGGATAAAGACAATGGGATCCTTCTTGGTTTCGGGCTTCTCGGCTTCATAAAAGTCGTACGCGAGCTTCAACTTGGCATTGATCGGGCTTGATGAGAATGTGCGTAGACTAGGCGACTGGAAGGCTTGCCGCGACCGGGCGAATATTCTCGTTGCCAGCATCTTTGGATGCTCCGAGGTTACATGGTGATTGACCTTGAACAAATGTTGAACGGAAATTGTTTCGGATGCTAGGGCTTATCCGGCCCGGCCTTGTGCGGGCCGATCCGTCGCTAGGGCTTCATGATCCTCGTGCATGATCATGATCATGTTTCTTTTCACATGTCGATGCAACTTTTGTCGACTTCCATTTCCAACAAACCCATCCCAAAACATGAAACGCGCCTATCCAAACGACGAACATTCTGCTGCGAAGAGACCGAGGAGCTATGGACACGATGGTTACTCAGATCATCGGCCCCGAAATCTACATTCTCAGCCTCGACACCCCAAGAATTCACAACTAAACCAGCAAACGGCTCCACTACCTGATTCCACCAAACATCTGGAATCACTGCTCAAGGCACTGGTCAATCGTCGAGATAGCTCAAGAGAGCTTCTTGGCCATGAAGCATACGAGAGTGCCGTCAAGTTATCTAAATCTTTCTCTTCGGTCAACACAGCTACCGCTTCACTGGACTTATTTCAGCCTTCTACCATCAGAGGCGCTGAAGTGAACTCTCACAGCCCAGCCACATCCTTCTCATCCATGACCCAACAGTTCTCCCTGCCAGCACTACCCCAAGTTCCCGATGGTCCTTACTCGCGGGCACCTTTCGTCCACAAGTCCAGCAGCCAACACGATCGCACTTCTGCAGTCGGCGACATGACATATGAGCGTCTAGAGTTCCTGGGAGATGCTTATCTGGAGGTCATTGCCACTCGCCTAATCTTCTCGCGCTATCCTCATCTTGCCGCCGGTCGTCAAGCACAGATACGCGAGCGCCTGGTGAAAAACGACACTTTGACTCAATTCAGCATGGCCTACAACTTCCAAGGCCGTCTAAAAGCTGGAGATGGCGAACGCGAACTCGCAAAGGCTTCGGGAAAAATCCTAGCCGATGTTTTCGAAGCCTACATTGCTGCTATTATCCTCTCTGATCCTGTGGACGGGTTCAAGCGTGCAGAAGCTTGGCTCACAGAGCTCTGGGCACCCATTCTCCTCAGAGATTTTGGTCCGATAAGTGCTGAAGGCGGAGCGACATTCAACGAGTACAATCAGAACGCAAAGCAGGAACTCCAACAGAAGATTGTCGGCAAGGACGTCAAGCTCGAATATCTCGAGAACAGGCCAATGGAACAGACCAAGCACATGCAGCGGTATTTCATCAGCTTGTTCCTAACGGGCTGGNGGTACGAGAAACAACTGCTTGGCTCTGGTGAGGGCCAGAACAAGGTCGAGGCAGGCAATCGCGCTGCTATGGATGCTATGGTGATGAGTAAGGACATCATTGATGAAGCCGCTCGCAAACTGGGCGCTTTACGTGAGCAGAGGAGGCTGGAAGCTGCTGCCAAAAAGCCCAACGCAGGTACAGATCAGCGTTAGTCAGTGGGTGGAATGGGTCAAAAGGTGATGGCGTGCAAGACAATTTCTTTGAAATCGAGCCTTCTGTGAGCTCTTCTAGTTCCATTTAATCATCATCTTTGAAAACCCATGCTCGAATTGTTACAGCTCATCAACTGGCCCGAGACACAACGCTCTTGGTGATCGTTTCTCGCCACATGATTACTGTGTGTTGCATTGTGGATCTCCTCATATGTTCAACAGGTAAACATCGACCAGATATGAGGTCTCCTGCCCTCTCGTTTGTGGTAGTAGATACTATCTTCGATGGCTGAGTCCCTGTATCGTCCTTTGGCAAGCAGAGCGTGTCATCCTCTGCCGACTTCCTTTCTCAATCTGCCTGCTGCGCTGGTTGGTGGTGCTTCTGGCCAGCTGTCGACGGCTTCTTCAACCTCGTCCAGGAAGCTGGTGCTGTTGTGTATCGATGTGCCTCCCAAAACCACTCTAACACCAGGGCTACTAGCGTTGACCTGCGCAACCATCTTTGCCTCCTCGTAGGTTGCACCACCAATCATAAACACAATGATATCTTGCGGCTTGTCTCGTGTGGTGCCTCCACCTTCAACGAAAGGATATTGATTGTCTCGAAGACGGCCCTTGATCAAGTCCTGTATTGTTGTCTCTAACCGTGGCGAGTGCTGTGTATATACGTTCTCCACACCACCAAGTCCTCTGTTGAAGCGCTCTCGGGCTCCCTGGAATATGGAGGATGGTTGGAAGAGATCCGGAATGGCGCCAGTCTGCGGCAACGACTGCAAAGAATGTGCATAAGTAAGAAGTTTGGGTATCAGGTTGATGCGATGGCGAGAGAGACCGCCAGCTACCGCTAGGAGGTCCATGAGTGCTGGTGTCGAATTTGAAGGGTGAGAAGCATATCGAAGAGAGTAGATGGCTACCAAGCGAAGCTTGTTGTCTGGAGGTGTTTTTGGGTCCTGTATGAGACGCTGCAGGGTCTTCAAGTCGTTGGAGTGGTTCTCGTTGCAAGCAAGACTTTGTTCCAGCTCGCTGATATCCAACAAGTTCTCCTCTCCAACTCTGCGACTCAGTTCGGTGACTAAAGTGACGTGCTTGGTAACATTTCCTGATAGGCGTCGGAACTCTGGGTAGTCTTCTACAAAACGCTTCATGTCCTCGATAGACTCGAGCTTGTGGCTTGACTGTTGCTTCGAAGCAAACTGCTCGACATAATCTTTGGCGTTCTGACCAAGATCTCCGAAGTTGAGATACATGTTCTTTTTGAAGAATGGATCTTGATCTTGGCTAATGAAAATTTCCTAATTGGGGTCAGTAAGCTCAAGAGAGTGGTATAAAAGCGTATAGCGCACCTTGAACTCTGGACGAACGTCTGGTACATGGCTGAGATTGACTCTGCCATTCTTTATGCCCAGGAGTTCATGTACCATGGCTTGGTAGGTCCATTGGGTCAGCAATGGGGTCACGGGATCGTCTCTTCGATCGACAATGAGCAGTATGGGGGCAGTGTCGGTCTTTCGGAAGTCGAAGAGTTGTTCCTCCTGAGTCATCTGGTATCGGACTTCTGTTGCTAACTTCTTTGCGAGTAGACTGTTCTTCTGGAAGCGAATCATAGGACGCTTCTTCAGAGACAAAAGCAGAGCAATGACACCCTCAGTGGCCCTCGAGAGGGAGTCTTGATTCCACATGTCGGGGTTTGAGCTCCAGAGGCGGTGTTCGAGGGCGAGCGAGGTAAGGTCAGGGTTGACGACCAAGTAATCAGCGAAACATTCGTGGACGGCTTTGACGACCTCGTGATCATCGGCTTCTGCAAGGCGTTCAAGGGAGGATTTCTTGACTATGTTGCTAAAGTCTGACCTTGTATCAGTCAGAAGATCGTTCCATGGCGGTTGCTAGATAGGACATACANNGATGTGATATTCGCCGTATTTGGGGTCTCGGAACTCGTCTATGAGGAATTGAATGCTGTCAGGCGAGGGGCGTACGAAACAGAGGCAGCGAAGGTGGCGCATCTTCTCCCTGTTGTGGTTATCCAAGCGATCGGTCAGGTAGACTTGGTGGTTCAGGAGAGCGGATTGCGTTGTTGCCGATGACACGACCGAGACCNNTGCACCAAGCATTAGCTATAGGCTATCAGACATGGTTGTGCGACCCACAGTGTCGCTGTCCAACAGTAGTATCTTCATCTTAGCAGCGTTGGAGGCAGTAGCGCCATCTCCAGTCGACACCATCTTGCTAACGTAGCCCGAGACGGCTTGAAACGCGTCCATGGCTGCTATGAAGCCAGATCTGACTTTGAGGGTGACAAGGGACTGCAGGTGTGTGTTTGTAGGGCCTTTTGCGAAGCTCAGAACGTCGTCGGTCGTTCATGCAAAGTCGTGTGTTTGTTGTTGACCAAAGCAGCAACCAACTATGACGGTCGAAGCTTCCCCTGGTGGGGTCGGTAATGACACCCTGTCCTTGAACTGCCAGTATCACTACCTGGACAAGCTCGATCATGATTCCCTTCCAGCTTTGATATATTCTTACTGAATCTAGAACGAGAGCTGCGAGTCTGTTTTTCTGCTCTGACTGGAGCTCCACAGCTAAAGTGATTGCCTCGGAGATAATTCCAGTGATATCTGCGCCTAATCTCAATCCTGCAAGTAGCTTCGGCGAGGACTTCGGGCAACTTGAGGATCTTCCAGTTCAAATAGCCAGAGATTCAGGTGACCTTGTGCTCACCTCGCTCTGATTAATAGCTCATATCTCCACACTTTGCCTTGATCTCTTGTTCTCTACAATCACTATCGTGCTGCAATGTCACTGAGCTTGCGTGATCAGCTAGTCCGAGATGGCTTCGTTCGAATTTCTTCAGTCCTTTCGACAGATCAACTCGAAGCTCTGAGAGCTGCTTGTCAAGATGTCGCTCAATTAGCACGAACGGGTGCATGGCCTTATGTTAGAACTCTCCCGAAGTACGTAAGGCAAGAATCCAGGTCGACGGCCATCAGATATTGCTCTGCGACTGCTTTGTGTCACAGTCTCGCATACAAAACATGCTAATTGTATCTTTACCTGTAGANNCAATTCCCTCCTTGGGACTCAGATATCTCGAAAGGTATATGGGGTGTGCAGCACTTGATGCATCCGGATCTCCCTCACCACGACACATTTGCTGCCTCGTATTTTGCGTCTTACATCATCACCGCCGTGACCGAGATCTTACAATGTAGCCCTGCCGACCTAGTGCTCGAACTATACAACCTCTTAATCCGTCCTGATGCGGACTTTGCCCTTCGGTGGCATCGGGACGACATTGGCCCGGAAGCGTCGGCTCAAGAGGAGTTGTATCGTCTGCAGGAGCCTATGCTTCACGCCCAATGGAACTTGGCATTGTATCCTGATCAGTCTCTAGTCGTCGTACCAGGCTCCCACGTACGATCAAGAACGGAAGAAGAACGATGTGCGGATCCCTTCAAAGACAATATGCCAGGACAGATGGTCGTCGAGATGAATGCCGGCGATATCATCTTCTACAACAACAACATCCTACATAGAGGCGTCTACCGTACCGGAGCGGAGAGGATGACTTTGCATGGATCCATGGGTATCGTTGGTGCTGACCCCGCCAGAGCTAGAAACGTGCTGCAGCACGGCATCGGTGCTTGGGTTGGACGCTGTGACTTTAGCAAGTTGCAACAAGATCCAGTCAACGATCAGCAACTCTCTGCTTTGGCAGACGACATGCGGAGCAGGCTGGTTGCAATGGGCTCAGGCCAGGTTCTGAGCTTCTCCCAGCCATTTGACGAGTGAGGGGTTGACACGAAGTCATCCGTTCTCTGAAGCCTTTGTCACAACCTTCCTGGAATGTGGCTTGCGAACTATACACGCCAAGTTCGACTAGGTTCTGGGAGGAAAATGTACATAAGCAACATGTCGTATGATGCCGTGTCCGGTGTCGGTGAACCCGAAGCCATTTGCAACGTCCTCATGTGCTGAATTCTGCAACTCTACCCTCCTTCCACACAGCGAAGTATACACTGTAGAAAGACACAATTCCTTTCCAAAGCAAAGGAGTAGTCAAGGAGAAACGCTCAGACATTGCCTCTCAGTGGATGCTGTCTTGCTTATTGATAGCACTATGCATTTCTCTAGCTACACGCGTTACAGACTTTAGCACACGGGGAGGAAGTTGAAGGTTAGACTGCGCGGATTGCAGAGCCAACTCGGCATCGACACGGGAGTCTCTTCTCCACCCAATCTCTCCAGCTTTTTGTCCCGAAGGAGGGGCCAAGAACCATGACGTGCATCATGATCCCCCCGCAATAATATTGGCAATGCACCATTGGTGGAGGCATGCATCTTTATGCTATAAGAACGCCATGTCTCGAAACCTTTGAGCCGTTCCTGTATTCTTCTCTTCAAGATGGCTGGTATGCGAGCTTTGCTGCCTGGTTTACTGGCGGTTCTGCCTTACTGTTCGGCTCAGTATGCCGACTTCTCCATTCCTTCGACATTTACCAATTGGAACAATGAGGGCTGGGAATTGAGCACAGATAGCCTGATCCAGGGTCAATATCAGTCTCGTGCGCCAATGGGCAATGGGTATGTTGACTGCCCAGATATCGGTCACTCCAGAGTGAATTGATCTGACCAGTACGTAGATACATGGNGCTGCGCACTCGCTGCTGCCGGTCCCTTCTTCGAAGCAGATGTCAACTTGACCAATCCTGATGGTGGTAACCCTCCAATTAACGGCTGGCCTTTGGACAATCCCAGGCAAACCTTCTGTACCGTTTCAGGCTTCTTTAACTCTCAGAAAAACACCACAAGAACCAACTTCCCAGAACTACTTTTGAAGGGTGGAGAGAGTGTGATTGCTGGTATTCCCAACTGGCCTAACCTCATCCTCGAAGTCGAAGGTGCCGTGTTGAATGCATCAGTGGACAGTGCCACCATCTCCGACTTCAAGTCTACAAGATCGCTGAAAAATGGGCTCCAGACATGGAACTACACCTGGACTCCGAGCCCAAACACCAGTATGTCTGTCTCTTACGAGATGTTCATGGATCGCTCCCAGCCGAACGTAGCTGCAATCCGACTATCTGTGACATCTTCCTCATCAATCAATGCTACTATTACAGATCTGATTGATGGACGAGGTGCCGTTCGATCTGATCCCCATTCCACAGGTATGCTGGACAATTCTAGTACGATATATTCTGCAGTATCACCGCATTGGTTGGGAAACATCACTGCATGGATCTTCTCGACAACCGAAGGGCCAGCTCTCGATGTCGCATCTCGCGCAAACGCTTCTTCGAGCTTTTATCTTCCATCCAACGATAGCACCATTGGGCAATCCTGGAACGTGGCATTGAAAGCTGGTGCTGCTGTCACCATCTCGAAGTACGTCGGTATTGCTTCTTCTGATGGTTTCAGTGATCCGCAATCCGTTGCTCAAGACGCATCTTTGCAGGCTTCTCAGGCTGGCTTTGATGAGCTGTTCAGAGGTAGTTCGCAAGCATGGGCCGAGATTCTCACAGATGACATGGTCGACGATTACGCTCTCCCCGATGGTTCGCTTCCAGAAGATCAGAACGTCATCGACATGCAGATCATCTCAAAGGCCAATGCTCACTATCTACTTCAAAACCTTCTGCCCGAGGATGGAAGTGACTTAAATCACTGGTCCATCAGCGTAGGTGGGCTCGGCTCAGATTCTTATGCTGGCCTCATCTTCTGGGATGCCGATATCTTCATGTCGCCAGGAGTCTCTGTCTCGCATCCTAAGTATGCGGCTCAGATTCCCAAATATCGCGTTATGCTGTCACCACAAGCAGCAATCAACGCTCGGGAGAGCGACTTCTCAAGCGAGGCTATAATATATCCTTGGACAAGTGGCCGTTTTGGTAACTGTACTGGTACTGGGCCTTGTGTCGATTACCAATACCACCTAAACAGTGACATTTTCCTCAACAATCTGCTCTACTGGAGAGTCACTGGAGATGACAGCTGGTTTAAGAGTCAAGCCATCCCTGTCAACGATGCGATCGTGCAAATGTTCTCCGAGCTGGTTGAATACAACCAGACTGTCAACGGTTATTCGATTGCTAATCTGACTGATCCAGATGGTAAGTACGACTTGATATATACAGGTGGTACTGAGCTAAAACACACACACANNGAGTACGCAAATCAGGTTCCCGATGGTGCTTACACGCTCGCCTCGGTCGCCAAGATCATCGAGTGGACTCAGGGATACTCTGAAGAGTTCTCGTTGGAAGTTGAAGCCAACTGGTCGTCAATTGCAGGAAACGTCGCCTTGCCTTTTGCACCGTCTGGAATCTTGACAGAGTTCCGTGGCGCGAACAACACGGCAGTAATCAAGCAAGATGATGTTGATTTGATCAACTATCCTCTAGATTACAGCTCCGAGAACTATACCAGAGAAGACAAGCTCACCTCGTTGGACTACGTGAGTATCAGTTTATGTGCCGATCAAACATATGCTAACGATACGCAGTATGCTGTCAAGCAATCTCCCGATGGACCTGCAATGACTTACAGTCTCTACTCGATCTCCGCCAACGCACTCTCCCCATCCGGTTGTTCCTCATTTACCTATGCATTGAACGGATTCAAAGCATATACGCGAGCACCCTGGTATCAGTTCTCGGAACAGCAGGTCGACAACTTCACAATCAACGGTGGCACGAATCCGGCATTCCCTTTCATGACTGGCGCTGGTGGCTGGCATCAGGTCGGCCCAATGGGATGGCTCGGCGCTCGAGTTGTGGAGGATCAACTTATCCTTCAACCAGCTCTACCGCCTCAAATCCCTTATGTGAGCCTCCGCACCGTGATCTTTGGTGGAGCAGGAATCAAGGCTACCATGAACTACACTCACACCAATCTCACTCGGACGGACGTATCCACCTACTTACCACCAAACAGTAGTGACATTTACGCCAATCAATCCATGCCCATCGCCATCGGCTTTTCCATCGAAGAAGGTCGTAACATCAGCATAGCACTAGGACAGACGATCACGATCGAGAACCGTGTATACTTCGACAACATCACTACGGCAGGAAACCTCGTCCAATGCCTGCCTGTGACTTCGGAAGGAGAGTATCAACCAGGACAATTCCCTCTTGCAGCTGTCGATGGAGCGGCCAGTACCCGTTGGCAACCCAGAACCCGTCAGCCTGCATCTCTGACAGTCGATATGCAGAATGTAGACTACCAGCCATTGACCGGCGTGTCGTTCGACTGGGGTAGCCGTCCACCGACAGCAGCTCGCGTCCTCGTCTACAACTCTACTAGTGGATCGAATGGTAGTTCGACGGATATTCGAACGGCAGCCTTCTCTGACATCACAATCTCGATGCCATACAATGCCGCTACCAATGATATCGTCCAGGAGTATACGGGTAATACGTCTTACTTCAGGTTCTCGACTCCTATTTGGTCAGGCCAGTATGTCACACTCGAGATTAGCGGATGTCAAGCAACAGGCGACGAGTTGGGCGCTACAGTTGCCGAGTTCAACCTGTTAGGTGCCAATGGTACCAGTGTGGTTGGAAGCGGTGTTAGTACTAACGGAACATCGTCAAACGCGACAACGAGCATTGTGACTCCAAGCTCAACGAGAGGATCAGTAAGCTCGCTGGCAACTGCATCGATTACGGCTACGCGAACTCCGAGCTCCCCATCTCTTCTTGCGTCGAACACAGGCTTCAAGTCCGTCGGCAGGTCGGAACTCTGGTGGTTCATCACCGGCGTCGTGATGGTGGTGGCCTTGTTGTAATCTTAGGGAGTTGTTCCATGTGGTAAAGGATGCTCATATACCGAGAAATGGCTAGTAAAAAGAGAGAGGTGTTAGGCAGAATCGTGATAGCAAGACATCACAGTTTCCATGGCAAGTTTGTTTGAGCCGAGTCTGATAAGGAGCAAATGCGTGATATACCAAGCGATAGAAGTGCTTGGAAGAACGTAGAGTGGGCGGGCCAGGTGAAATTGGTAGGTTCCAGCCCCGCTAACAGTTCAAGCGTGAAGCGGCAGCAGCCGACGTGTTCATAAGGAATCCACGGTCGCTCTTTCTTCCCCAGCCCTTCCATCAATCACTCGATCCTTGCCTGTTCGTCAGATCGCAACACAGCAAGAAACGTCAAGATGGCTCTCAACCCTCAAGTGACCAACCTGGTCATCATCCTGTACGCACGCGACACATCTGGAGATGGGCTGGACGCGAAAATTGACTAGGCGGCAGGTNTCATGATGCAGGTTTCCAAGAAGGTGCCTTTCGAGGAGCCCAACGTTCTGATGGGTGTTCGCGCACTCTACATTGTGTCCAACCTCATCATTGCCGGCATCTACCTCTACGTGCAGGCGCAGATCAACAAGAAGAAGGGTAAGTAGCAACAGGGCAGCGCGACAGCAAGACAAAAGAAGCATCAAGCTAATTGCATTGGCANNGATCTCACCGTCATCAAGTACGTTGAGCCCGCACCCATGGGATCGACCGAGGAGCCCAAGCCCGTCACCACGACTGTGCACGCATACGACACTCAGCAGCTCCGCGGCTTGTTCAAGANNAACCAGGTCATGGGTGTTGGCATGATGGCCGTCATGCACCTCTACTTCCAGTACACCAACCCTCTCCTCATCCAGTCCATCATCNCCCTCAAGGGCGCCTTTGAGGGCAACCTGGTCAAGGTTCACCTGTTCGGACAGCCGGCAGTTGGCGAGCTCAAGAGACCCTGGAAGGCCTCTGGCGGTCTGATGGGTATGCAAGGTGCCGGTGATATCAAGACTGACAAGAAGAGCATCGAGGCTGCCGAGAAGGCCGGCCGTGGTGGTGCCAAGGAGGAGTAGAGAGCTAAGCACGAGCACGAGCGCGGCATAGTTGTGCGCGTGCATTGTACGTCTAGGTAGAAAAGATGGACGCGTGATTCTGTCATCGTACAGCGCAAACCACAAGCATGCTTGAAATGGCCAAAAGATTACTTTCCAAGGAGATGCTCAATGTCATTCGATAAGCCCGAAACAAATTAATAAATTAGGGGGGGGGGATTATTATGTTGCGGAGAGCTTGAAGTTTAGCCGATGTATGTGCTTTGTGGACGTGCGTGGGCGGAGCGGTGGTTTGGGAGCATGTGTTAAGTTAGCACAGTCGCTTCGTGCATGTCATTGCACCACCGCCGACGACGACTCTCCGAGCTGAGCCCAGACCGGCACGCGCCAGGCAGCACCAGCGACTCGCCAATGCTCCAGACATCCTGAAGCGCCGCACCCACGACAGAGCAGGAGAGAGCGACGACGAGAGCGCGCTCGAGGCAGAGGTAGCACGAGACCGGCCGTCATGGCATACCAACAAACGGGCGGCATGCTCAACAACGCCGCGAATGCCGCCCAAGCGAACGACCATCATGGGCCCCAGGGTGCCGAATACACGTTGCAGGGTATGTCTGACCTCTACGCCCATCTGCTTGCGCTTGGCTGACGCTAGCAACCCAACCCAGGCGTTATGCGCTTCCTCCAGATCGAATGGCACAACCACGAGCGAGCCCGGAACGCATGGGACATTGAGCGCGCCGAGATGAAGGCCAAGATCGCAAAGCACGAGGGCGAGTGCCGCCATGCGAAGAGGATCAACGAGCAGCTCGAACGACAAGTGCGCATGCTCGAAAGCGCCCTCAAGCAGGAACGAAGGAAGAAGGGCAGCGATCCCAGTGCGCCCTTGCAACCAGACAGTGCTGCCTCGCACTCTTCCAGGCGTTAGTCTACACCGACTCGAGTCGCAAAAGGCCGTCCAGCTGACCCGTCATGTCTAGCATCCCACGACGTCCACAATTCCTTCCTCGACACGACCCCCGACAAGCAGCAATACCGAGACAAATCAAAGAAGTTCCTGGACCGGTGCCTTCACGAAGTCCAGTACCTGCTTACTCCTCCACCACACCCTCCGCCGCCTCACTTGTCGCTGCAGAACCCTTCGGCTTCGTACACTGGACTACCTGATCCTCCAGTCTCTCTCGACGAGCTATACCTGCGTCGCGCTGGCAGATCGTACCCTCCTTCTGGTCATGTACAGCTGCAGCCTCCGGTCAATCTGTCCGCCGAGGACCAGAAGCGTCACCTTGCTCTGTCCATGCCCNCCGCACAACCTCCTACCCATACTCTACCCCAGCCTCCACAATCTCAATCTGTACCGCTGGACGAGCCTGTAGAGCAGGTCACACATTCGTACGACTCCTACGGCCGCCCTGTAGCCTCGGCTCCGGATGCCGCTCCACGCTCTATTGTTACTCAGGACTCCTCGGCCGATGGCTGGAACTTTGATGACCAGCAACCTCTGCCGGATCAACCTCCTGCCGAACTACCCCAACCTCCCCGTAGACCTGATACTGATCTGTTCCCAAGTGCTGCAAACCCTCCTTCCAGATCTCCTCCTCGTACCGGTTCAGGCCGTCGCAGATCGTCAGGCTCGCAAGGCATGGCCAGGAGAAGAAGCTCTGGTTCCCACGATCTTCATGATAGTGGCTCAGAGCTTTCTGCAAAGCCTGATCCTTCTCAGTTCAAGGTCAAGTTTGCTCTCCGTGGCCATCTTGATGTTGTCCGCTCGGTCATCTTCACGGGTGGTGGTAGCCCTTCTGAGCCCGAAATCTGCACAGCTGGCGATGACGGTACCATAAAACGCTGGATCATACCTGCTAGCTACAGCAACTTCCAGAATAATGCAAACAACGATCTGGACATTGCTTGCTACTTTACCCACCGTGGTCACGATGGTGTCGTTACATCTCTCGCGGCATGCCCTTCGACCAGCTTCTCTACCGGCGGTCGTGTATCAGGAGACGGATGGATCTTCTCCGGTGGCCAAGACGCTACAGTACGTGTTTGGGAACGTGGGCGAGTTGACCCGAAGGCTACTCTAGAAGGCCACACGGATGCTGTCTGGACCGTCTGTCTCCTACCTGGAACTGTCGCATCAGTGTTTGGTTCTCAGGGCTCGAATTACGGCGGACCTGACCGCATCTTGCTCGCCACAGGTTCCGCGGATGGCACTGTCAAGATTTGGTCTGTCAGTGCTCCTCCGCAGCTGGTTTCTCCGCAAGCAGGTTCGCGACGTGGTGGTAGCCGTCGTCATTCTGTCACATCTGGCAGCAACCATCCCAGTTCGCCTCAGCCTAATGTGGCTACAAGTACACCCTTCCATTATACGCTTGTTCACAGCATTCAACGCGATTCTGCTTCAGGTGCTGCGCCTACTTGCATTTCTCCTCTCAGCCCATCTGGCGAGAATTTTGTCGTCTCATATACCGACTCGAGTGTTCTTATCTTCGATACCCGGACTGGTGAGGAGATCATTGGAATGGCCAGTAACGAGACATATGACGGGACCATGGCTACAAGCATCAACGCCGTAGTTGCCACTAGCAGTGCATCACTTGGCCTGGAAACGGGATCTTCATACATGGACAGAGCGGACCAAGAGGAGTCCGTGGGTGCCGGACCGACAGGCTCAGCGCAGGGTGTCGAGGGCGTGATTGTCAGTGGCCACGAGGACCGATATATCAGATTCTTCGATGCAAACAGTGGTAAGTTGTGTTTTTGATGAAAGCGCTATGAAGTCGGGTTTGCTAATTTGCACCAGNGTCAATGCACATACACAATGCTCGCACATCCCTCGGCCATCTCATCGCTATCATTGTCCAAGGACGGTAGAGAGGCGGTTTCAGCTGGTCACGACGCATCGATCCGGTTCTGGTCGCTTGAGAAGAGACAGTGCACGCAAGACATCACGTCACACCGACCCATGAGAGGCGAAGGTGTTTGCAGTGTGGTGTGGAGTCAGGACGGTAGATACGTCGTTAGTGCAGGAGGCGACGGTGTGGTGAAGGTGTTTGCGCGATAGCGTCACCGCAAATCTACCTTGCGAATACTGGACATGGTCTAGCATTCGAGCGCGGAGCACATGTCAAGAACAAGAAGGAGGTCGACATCTTGCTAGACAGCATCCTTGTGTACATCAATGGGGCCACCAGTACCCTTTTTCCAATCAACATGTGCAGCAAACGTGAAGGTGAAGGATGTAAGATGATATTCGGTTTCATTAGTTATCTGTAAAGGAATACCTATGTACCTATCTGATATGGGGTGGAAAAGCAAGCCCATCAGCCGGATGAGCCAAAGCCGTACTTGGTGCTTGGATTGAGTGGTACAGCATCATAATGTCGTGTTCGCGTAACCTGCGTATTCTTCTCACAAAGACATGGCAGTTGGAGAAAGAGGAAGATGGAGAGAATCTAAAGGCGGATCATGCCTCGCCAAACAGCCTTGCGGTAATGTCGCCCATGTACTCCTCCTCGAGCTCGTAGTCTTCGCCGTCGTTCTTGTCAATACCAGTGAACTCGAAGGCGGCAACTACGGTTGGAACGTCGAAGCCCATGGCGGAGAAGCGGTCCACCAGAGACTTGTTGTATCCGTGATATNNCTGTAGCATATGTCAGTGATCTGTGTCGGTAACCAAGTGGTGGACGGTAGCGTACTGGGCAAGTTTTGCGGCTTCTGCCTTCTCCCGTTTCTGATCGTCCTTGTGCTTGAGTGTCTCTTCGGTGACACCTCCACTTCCCTCTGCGCCGGCGCTTTCCGAGCCGGGAGGACCTTGGGGAGCACCAGCGTATTTGATTGCCCACTCACGAGCGACGTGTTCAAACTCTTTGGGATTTGTGATGAGCATGCGAGCGACCTCTGCGTCCTGGGGNGATCTTTTTGGTTCGGGGGAGGATAGTAGTGACTGGAGAGATATGAGGGCGGACTTGAGGGTAAGGACCGGGGACCAGGCCGAGCCCAGAGTGTCGAGGCAGATGGCGCCNCTGAGCGCAAGGTTAGCAAAGAGGAAGTCGACAGATATAGCGGTCTAACGTACGGTAACACTCGAGATGTTTGGGTGCCAAATCTTTGTGGTGAACTTCATGACGGGTGGCTGGAAAGGATAGTCGTTGGGGATCTTGATGTCGACATGGTAGGTGGCACCGTGGTAGGGAGTGTCGGGCGGCCCACGGAAGACGCCCTTGAAATGTGTCAGGTCATCGAGAGTGTCAGAGCCGGTTTGGGCCTTGTTCAGCGGCTCGAGCGAGACGCCCGAGTGAGAGTCTTTTTGGACGTCCTGAATCTCCTTGACCAGGCGGCGGTTTCTGTTCGCCGCCATGACGGTGGGTCCTAGTGAGAGTCGGCTCAGGGAGAGAGTGGTTCGATCAGAGTCGGAAGTATATAGTTCGAGTCCGGAGCCGAGTGAAGGACGGAGTCGAGCGTGTATATAGACTGAGGTTTGGTCGGGGTAGTGAGGCCAAAGGGTATGGGAGAGCAGTTGTTGGATGTAATACAAGTATCTGTACCACAGATTCAAGGAAATCAAAAGAGTCTTGTCGAGTTGAGTTGTTCGGGTTGACAAGAGGCACATGTCATGAACGGCGTGGACTTGCAACACTGTGAGCTTTGACCCGGTTGCGTGCATCATCGCAGACACAATCAGCTCCCAGCACAGCACCCTCTACCCATCACTTCGCCATCCATCCACCCTCACCTTTCAACTCATCGACTCTGTTCTTGCGCCCGCTGTTGATTCGGCCTCTGGAATCTCGGTACAAGACACAACCCCATTCCGCCGCTCTTCAGCCACTGTAGCCAACCTCCGCATCAATCATGGTACGCCTCCGTCGCCTTGTCCGACCCTCTTTCCATCGTGCTGACCACTACACAGGGTGCGAACCAGTCTGGCCTCGGAGGCGGTCCTCCCGGTCAGGGAGGCGATAACAAGGACAAGAAGGATCCCAAGGTACCCTTGCCTCCACCCGTCTGAACGCCCAACTCCTGCTTACATTCTCGCAGAAGGACAAGCCCAAGTACGAGCCTCCGCCACAGCCCACCACTCGCATTGGCCGCAAGAAGAGAAAGCAGGCCGGTCCGAATGCCGCCGCCAAACTCCCCAACATCTACCCGACCGCCCGCTGCAAGCTCCGATACCTGCGCATGCAGCGCATCCACGACCATCTGTTGCTAGAGGAGGAATACGTCGAGAACCAGGAGAGACTGCGCAAGGCTAGAGCTGCAACCGCTCAACAGCCTTCGTCCGCCCCTGCTGACAGCGATGCTCTGGACCGCAACGCCGACGAGAGAAGCCGCGTTGACGATATGAGAGGCAGCCCCATGGGCGTCGGAAACCTCGAGGAGCTCATCGACGACGACCACGCCATCGTTTCGTCTGCCACTGGTCCTGAATACTACGTCAGCATCATGTCCTTTGTCGACAAGGACTTGCTTGAGCCTGGCGCCAGCGTTCTTCTGCATCACAAATCCGTCTCGGTCGTTGGTGTCTTGACAGACGATGCCGACCCTCTCGTCTCGGTCATGAAGCTCGACAAGGCCCCTACCGAATCATATGCCGACATTGGTGGTCTGGAACAGCAGATTCAAGAAGTTCGTGAAGCTGTCGAATTGCCCCTGCTTCATCCCGAGCTGTACGAGGAGATGGGCATCAAGCCGCCAAGGGTGTCATCCTGTACGGCGCTCCCGGAACAGGAAAAACACTACTCGCCAAGGCCGTTGCAAACCAAACCAGCGCTACCTTCTTGCGTATCGTCGGTAGTGAATTGATCCAGAAATACTTGGGTGATGGTCCTAGACTCGTCAGACAGCTCTTCCAGGTCGCCGCTGAGCATGCACCCAGCATCGTCTTCATCGACGAGATCGATGCCGTTGGTACCAAGCGTTACGAGTCCACTTCTGGTGGTGAGCGTGAGATTCAACGTACTATGCTTGAGCTTCTGAACCAGCTTGATGGTTTCGACGATCGTGGTGATGTCAAGGTCATCATGGCAACCAACAAGATCGACACTTTGGATCCTGCTCTTATCAGACCTGGTCGTATCGACCGCAAGATTCTGTTCGAGAATCCAGACCGTAAGTCTTTCTTTTATCCATCTGTGTATTTGCCTTGAAGCTAATTGTATTTCAGAAAACACCAAACGCAAGATCTTCACCCTCCATACATCCAAGATGTCTCTGGCCGAAGATGTTGACCTTGAAGAGTTTATCAACCAGAAGGATGATCTTTCAGGCGCTGATATCCGTGCCATGTGCAGTGAAGCCGGTCTCATGGCACTGAGAGAGCGCAGAATGAGAGTGAACATGGCCGACTTCAGACAGGCGCGAGAGAGCGTGCTCAAGACCAAGAGCGAGGGCGAGCCCGAGGGTCTTTACTTGTAGTTTTGGTCGTTAGAACGCTGGACCACGTGCACTATCGATCGTTGTAATACTATAGCATACAATGGGAGCCCAAACATGATGATACGATAGCTGTGCGTGCATATTTTGTGTATTTGTGTCTGTCTATCGGCTGGTAGGAAAGATCATCGCGGAACGGCAAGAAGCTTCCAACAGCGACTTTCAAAAGCCGACCTCGGCGTGGTCATCATCAATAATTGCTGTACCTACAAACCTACTTTCATCCTATCAATTCCCTTCCTGGACTCCTGGTTACCGCTGGAAATGCTTTGCTGAAGTCGACGATAACTGAAGGACTTGGAAAGGTGCATACGTGCAGAGATGCAGTCACACGAGCAGATTGCCTACCTGGGCCCGAAAGCCTCATATACACATCAGGTAAGACACATCACCTTTGCTTGCCTTCTTTAGCTAGGGGCGTGAGCATCCAACCATTGGTAAATGGACAATGTCGCATTGGACTTCGATCACGTTCCAGTAAGGCGGAGGTGCACTGTTTCGACATGGAGAGTCACAATTCATTCATACATGAGGCTCATGTTCAGACNNCAGGCAACATTAAGCGCTTTTGATTCAGACAACTACACCTTTTCACCGCAGACAACAATTGAAGATGTCTTTAGCCAGGTGCAATCTGGAAAGGCCGGGTTTGGTGTTGTTCCATTCGAAAACTCGACCAATGGGTCTGTAGTCTTCACATTGGATCTCTTTGCCGACCAGAGTGCAAAACACCCAGATATTGTGGTTTGCGGTGAGCGCTATGTTGAAGTACATCACTGCTTGCTTGGTCATCCCGCAGCTTCTGGTCAAGGACATGCAGCCGGACCAACCAAGGCACTCCAGNGGGGAACCAAAAGCCCAAGCAGTTCTGGCCATGCGACACCCATCCCGGGCAATCCCAATCCCTGCAACTCGCGTGCAGCTCCATTGACTTCTCTCTCGCATATCAAGAAGCTGTATTCGCATCCACAGGCTTGGGGACAGTGCAAGACTTTCTTGTCCTGTTATCTCAAGGGTGTTGAGCGACAGGACGTCTCGTCCACTTCCCGAGCAGCAGAACTCGTGGCAGCCGATGAGACAAACACGTCGGCCGCAATCAGCAGTGGAATCGCGGCGCAGATGACCGGCTTGGGTTTCCTGGCACGCGACGTTGAGGACGAAAAGGACAATGCTACACGTTTCTTCATCATTCGGAGAAGAAGTCTCGAGGACACGTCTCCTTCTTCCGACAAGGAGAACGGTCAATTGCACACTCAGGCATACAAATCGCTGCTCTCATTCACCGTTTCTCACACTGATGCAGGAGCACTGGCCGATGCCTTGGCCGTCTTCAAGACTTATGGCATCAACTTGACCAGCATCAACCCTCGCCCAAGCGGGGAGGCGCCCTGGCATTACATGTTCTTTGTCGAGTTTTCCGGCAAACGCGGCCAGGCCGCTGTTGACGACACACTGACCGGTCTGGACAAAGTCGTCAGGTCTTGGAGGTGGCTAGGCAGTTGGGAGAATGCTCTGCAACAGAAGCAATGAGGATTGTTGGAAAGAAATTAAGGGTATAGAAACAAAACAAGAATACTTCGGAATCATGCAACTAGTGCTACATCCACCCCATGGTTTGCAGGCCATCATGCCTGTATCCTGCCGGCGCCGAGATATAAAATGTGAGAAGAGAAGTCCGGCAAGACAAATCTTGCCGTTCGGTTGAGGCCTCACGGCATCTCGATGAGATGCAAGAAGGCGCAGGACCGAAGGAGGGAGGTGTGTAGAGAGAAGAAGCCAGAACAAACAGCAAAAAAATGAAACCCGTGAAAGCCAGTCATCAATTCCAAAGCCCCAAAAGCAAATAGCGCGACACACGGTACAGATACGTCTTGTCGTTATCAAGCCATGTTCAACATCTATGCGACATCCTTCTTTCCCTTCTTCTGTTCGACCTTGAGCAACAGAGCGCGGTTGATGGATGGGAGGACACCACCAAAGGCGATGGTGGCGCGGATGAGGGTGTCGAGCTCCTCGTCACCACGGATGGCGAGCTGAAGGTGGCGGGGAGTGATGCGCTTGACCTTGAGATCCTTTGCGGCGTTGCCGGCAAGCTCGAGGACTTCGGCCGTCAGGTATTCGAGGACGGCGGTGACGTAGACGGCGGCCTTTGCGGCGACGCGCATCTTGTTCTGCGAGTGCGACTTGAGGAAACGCTTGACACGACCGCAGGGGAACTGTNNTGGAAGCAAAAAGGTAAGACTCGGTTTGACGCGTCATGGGTTGCTTGCTAGCAGAGAGAGGCAGAAGGGACATACTTGCAAGCCGGCCTTTGCCGAGTGCGACTTTTGTGTCTTGCTGGAATCACCTGCCTTGCCACCAGTCTTGCCGCCAGTCTTTCCTGTAGGTTGCGAGCTCTCGTCAGCAAAAGAGACGGCTTGGGCTGGGACACGCGATGTGAAGACGATGTTTCCGTACCCTTTCCACCAGGCATGTCTGCTGTTTTGTTCTTTCGCGTGTCTTGTTGGGTTGTTCGAGGGGATGCGACCGATTGTACGCGTGTCTTGGCGTGTTATTCGATGGTTGTGGTCGAGTTGGCAAAAGTTGGGTCGTGGAATAGAAAGGCAAACGCGTCGAAGCTGAGAGGGTGGGGGCTGTTCAGCTTGGGATGATTCCATCAGCTCAGAGTTTTGTTGCCAACCGAAAGCCAACGGTTCCCTGATACGATCCAGTCCTTGGCGCTGGGCTTGGGTGCAGAGGCATGCTCGACAGCGAAGAATGTAGGAGGCCGGAGTCTGCCACTGTTTATGCCACATGTCTGCCTGTCCGAGTGTCCGGTGTCGATGTGGTTTTGTGATCTGTTCGCTGCAAGTCAAACGCTACGGGCATATGGCTGTTGGTAGCCATTACTAAGGCATCGTCCCGGTCCTTGTACCATATAGAGCATCAGTGCAAACCGAGTCCGCGTCACCTACCTGTGTGTATCAGTGTCCTCGAGGTTCTCCGTATCTGCCGCTTTGGTCCTTGTAAGCAGAGCTGAACATTCTTTGTTATCAAGGCTCTCCAGCGCCCGATGGTTGTGAATAGTGTCTCGTTGCGGACATGCTCCTCGCTAACACCCCAGAGGGATCTGCGTACTACCTTACCAGAAAATCCGCTCTTGACTGTCTTCAGCCTTCTGCGTCTTATATCTGACAGCAAGTTGTTTGTATTGCATTTCTTTCCAGGCCTGAACGCGGTAGCTGTTCGTTCAGAAGCGGATTCGCTCAGCTGCCGAAGTCTACCCGGCTAGATCTCTTCGTTTGATCATCGCTTTGATCATACTGCCAACTACAAACCAGGAACCGTGGAGATGTATATCTAACAAGGTAAAGATATATGCCCCTGTGTGCGGCTGATGCTAAGACCTATGTCGTTTCCCTTTTTCATAACACACGTGGTGTGGTAGAGTGCTTCCTTTTACACATTTGCAGTTGGTCCTGCTCATAAGTCTGTGTTTTGCTCGTTCATCCGACCACGAGTATACATACCAGCTCCATAGACGTCTTACAGGTCAAAAAGGCCTCAAAGATGTCTTGCATGTAGCCAAGGGGAGTTTGATTTGAACCAAGGTATGCCGAGGTAGATGAACAGTCACGAGCAGGGTCACACAATCAGCAAAAGGACGGCCTACATATGGACAAGCTCTCAATCGAATCGGTTCATCCACATGATGGCTCAACACTAGAGAGAACACATAGATGCTGTTGCATATGAACAGTGGGTTGATTAGCTACATTAAGCACTACTAATTCGGGATCTGCTCTGACAATGATGGAAGGGATATGTTTTGTGGCGACCAGAACGTATCAGTGTATAACATCCAATCATCAAAGTTCCAGTCCAGCATGTCGGAATAGCTGAAGTCTGTGACAAGGTCGTTGTTGGTGATAATTGTCTGCTGAGTACCATTGCTTTCCATGGGCGCAGCTGTCTTGCCATCCATTCGGTGCTTGATCTTTGTCGGAGTTGGTACAGAGTCTTTCAAGGCCGCGATCCTAACTGAGAAATCTGGATCTTGATGGTCCATAATCTTTTTGCAGATACTGTAGAGCCTACCACTGCCGGGCCGAGACGGTATGTTGCGACCGAGTGGACTAATCTTGCATAGAAGCTGGTCGTAAACAACAAAGGTATGAGTCCACTGGATACCACCGGTGCTTAAGATTTTCTCCTCGAACAGGTCAAGGACCTTTTCTGCAAGTTCAAGGAAGGGTTGGACTAAGCTACGCAGGTCTTGCGTAGATACGTCCTTGTCATCAGTGTTCCCTAGCGCCAGTGTGCTGGTGAAGACTCTTTGAATATCCGATCGCACCATCAATGGGAATTTGAAACCTTTGGTCGACAGCTCAGAAAGTTTTTCCACAATGGAGACAGCGGCAGACTTGAATGCCTGCTTGGAGAAATTGATATGCGTCTTGGTCACAGCCTGACGAGCTGCATGAGCATGTAGGATGACAAGAAACTGCTCCAACTGAATATGAAGAAGCGCAATGCTTTGATCATATGCTGTCAAGTCTCTGAGCCTGTCCCCAGCCCAGTCAGGTAAGGAGGCTAGACTCAGCTCGAGTTCCTGTGTAGATGCCAACACCTCTTCGAACGACACCTGATGCAAAGGTTGGTTGAACATAGTTATGATCTTCCTTCTGAGACCTCGACTTCGAGAAGACAGACACGTGAAGGTCATCTTTGTCATCTCAGTGAGAGGTCTGGATGTCCGCATAACGACGGTCGATTCATCGAAATCTGTGTCGTGCAAATTCGAGGGAGGACCAATGTCACTTGCCACGTCCAAGGAAGTTGTTGGCATACCCCTGTCGACAGATGTTTGCAAATCCCATTCGACAATGAAAGCCCATATTCTTCTTCTCATTTCATGCTCGAAGACTGAAGATAATGTTTTCTTCTGCAGCAGTTCTGGGTCTCTGTGCATACCAGCAGATATGGCGATCCGAAGCAGGTTTCCAGATTCGACCCACCGTCTCTTGACTTTCACCTGATGGGTCTGTTTGGCGATCAAAAGAAGGCACTGGACTTGAAACCACGCCAAGTCTGTGTGCTTTGGGCTTGATCGAGCGATCCAAGACTCGCATACGCGGATCAAAGTGATGGCTGTTTCGCGGGGAACTGGACTGTCGGCTATGTAGGTTTGTGGTTGACCCTGAACAAGACATTGGCAACATGCCATCATCAACAACACAGTAGCCACAAAACCAGATTTCGCATTGAGCGGGTCCCGCCACATTTCCTCATATTCTCGATGAAAACTAGGAAAGTGGAGTATTGCATAAGTGCAATCAACGTTGTCCAGATAAATCCTGACCAGCAGGTCAACTTTGACTCGTTCGGGAAGATAGGCGATCAGAGATTTATGCGGTGAAAGCACTTCTTGCTTGTCCAGCGTCTTCTTAACTTCACGTAGCTTCGCTACATCTCTTCTACAACGCACAAGCTCCGGGTTGCGGGAGACCTCTTCCCGAAAGAAGTTATGAGCATTCTGTAACAGATATCTAGTCAGTGCTGTATGCGAACAATTTCAAGCACAGAGTTAGTTACAGATGTCGTTCTTGTCACAGCATGAAGCTGAAAAAGAGTACTGGACGATGATATACGAAATAGCAGAAACAAAGAAAGACTTGGAATCAGCTTACAAGNNTGTCATCGCACTCCTGGGATCCGATGGACCATAGAACGTCGTCTTGAATCCTTTGCCTCTAAACAATATCCTTTCTTTTGCAGCCGAGTCGCTAGTGCCGCCAGGGGTCTCGACAGCTCCATGAACATGAGGTGTGGCGATTGATACTGTGGCAGGAGTGGCAGGACTTGCATAAGCAGTCTGCAAGCGCTCGATTACCCGCTCCTGGTGTAGGAGTCTGTTAAAAAGATCATCCCAAACATCCCTACTGACGGTCACGGATTGTTGTCGCGGAATGAAAGATGAACTCTGCCCGATAGAAGCATGCTGAGAGGGACTGTCATCTTCATACGAGCACGACTTGCCAGCCTTCTCGCACCTCCCACAAACCGGCAGAGCTCTGTCACATTGGACCTTCCTTCTGCGACAATCCATACAAGAAAGAACCTTGCGACGGCGCTTCCTGTCAGGACCCAGCTCTCCATCAGGCGAATGTTCGTGCTCCATGTCTTTTCTGTGTCGATGAAGTGTAGTAATACAAGGATGTATTGCTGGGATATACGACCATCAACGTAGCAATGTCGCGATAACCTGATCGCGTCCAGAGTGGGAACGTCTCCCTTGTTCTCGGCCGAAAGTTTCGGCCGAACGGAGTAACCTTCAACTCGAAAATCCATCAATTCGACGTTCTTATGTTTTTATTCTTGCACCTTGTCACTTTCGCAGGCTACAACAGAGCGATGATCAATTCCTGAGAAGTGCCATGAGAGTAGAAGATCGCACCGAAGTACCTTTTTGCGGCACATGGATACGTCGGGCAGTTACAATTAGTCGTTTCAATGTCTGTCCTTTGAACCATCAGAACCGTAATTTGAATCATCTCTACAGCTGCCTACCACCTAACCACCGTCATATAGTTGAATATATCCTCAGCAACTCCGATGGCTCTATCATAGCGGTTCGGCTACTATACTGAAGGTAGTTCAACCCGATATCACGCTTATCTCGCTTTCTTTAGGTAAATCTAGCCGTCTAAACCCTGGAATCTCCGTGCGCGGAGTCGCACGCTATACTCCTTGTAGGAACTCCATCCTTTTCTCTTATCGTGCGATGTGCGTGTACTTATCGCATGCTCATGGTGGGCTGCTAGACGTGGGGCAATGGTAGGCCTGCATAGCCCGTCTGAGCTGCAAGAGCTTCCAGGATATCTCGTGTGTATATAACAGAGCTCTCCAGTCTCAGCATTTGAATTCACCTCTTGTTTGTACCACACATTTTCGCACCTTTATACCTATCCCGCAAGCTCAACACAATGGTCCTGGAAAGACTCAAGCAAATGGCAGCTCAGCTGACTGGCCAGTTGCCAACACCCCATCCCTTAGATCCTCTCTCAAGCAGTGAAATCAGGGAGGCAGTTGAAATTGTTCGCAAAGAGCACAACGATGTCTTCTTCAACGCCGTTACTCTCTGGGAGCCTAGGAAGAAGCAGATGATGGCCTGGCTGGCTTCACCCGATACTGCCAAGAGGCCTCATCGTGTAGCAGACATCGTTGCCATTGGCAGGGGGAGCAAAGTCTTTGACGGCACTGTTGATCTCGAAGACAAGAAGATATTGACCTGGGAGCTTACAGAGGGTGTCCAGCCGTTGGTGAGTATGCTGCAACAAGAAATGTGGTGGCGGCACTAACTGAACACAGNNATCACCATGGAAGACCTGAACACTGTTGAGAAAGTCGTCCGCACAGATCCCCAGGTCATCGAACAGTGTGGCATCGTGGGTATTCCTCCAGAAGACATGCATAAAGTCTACTGCGATCCATGGACTATCGGCTACGACGAGCGATTCGGAAGCAACGTTCGTCTTCAGCAAGCTCTGATGTACTATCGCCCTCATCCCGATGACAGCCAATACACATATCCTCTGGATTTCTGTCCTATATTCAACGCAGATACGCAGGAAATCATACACATCGACATTCCCAAAGTCAGGAGACAGCTCAACCAAGCGCCACCTAGTAACTTCCATGGCGAGGCCATTCAAAAGGAGATTGGCCTTAGAACCGACGTCAAGCCAATCGAGATTTCGCAACCTCAAGGTGTATCTTTCAATCTAGACGGACGTACTCTCAAGTGGCAGAACTGGTCTGTTCATGTTGGATTCAACTACCGTGAAGGTATCGTCTTGAGCAATATCAGTTTCAATGACAGAGGCAACGTTAGACCCATCTTCTACAGAATGTCGCTGGCCGAGATGGTAGGTAAGTTTATCGCCCTCTAAACTACTAGACCGATCTGGCTATCCGTTACTAATACCCCTACCGTACCATACGGCAACCCTGAGCACCCCCACCAACGAAAACACGCTTTTGACCTTGGAGAGTATGGCGCTGGATATATGACCAACAGCTTGACGCTTGGTTGTGACTGCAAGGGTGCAATTCACTACATGGATGCCGATTTTGTCAACAGAGTGGGCGACGCGCAAACCATCAAGAACGCCATTTGCATCCACGAAGAAGATGCAGGTATCCTGTTCAAGCACACCGACTTCCGCGACGAATCATGCACAGTGACTCGCGGCCGCAAGCTCATCATTTCACAAATCTTCACTGCAGCCAACTACGAGTACTGCGTGTACTGGATGTTCATGCAAGACGGTACTATCCAGCTCGAGATCAAGCTGACTGGCATCTTGAATACCTACGCCCTCAACCCCGGAGAATCGGCCGCTCCTTGGGGCACAGAAGTATATCCAGGGGTCAACGCCCACAATCACCAACATTTGTTCTGTTTGCGTCTAGACCCCAACATCGATGGACCAAACAACACTATCTTCCAAGCCGATGCAGTCCGAGGTGATGGCGAAGTTGGCAGCGCAGAGAACTACTACGGTAACGCATTCTACGCCAAAAAAACGGCACTCAAGACCCCTGCCACCGCCATGAGTGACTACGACGGCAATACCAGCCGTACTTGGGATATGGCCAACACCAGTAAGATTAACCCATATTCGAAGAAGCCAGTCTCGTACAAGCTCGTCAGTCGAGAAGTCCCGCCTCTCTTGCCCAAGGAGGGCAGTCTTGTTTGGAAGAGAGCTGGGTTCGCCAGACATGCTGTTCATGTCACCAAGTACATGGACGACCAGATTCACCCGGCTGGACGCCATGTACCTCAGACTTCTGGTGAGCCTTCGCAAGGTATCCCTGCTTGGATCTCCGAGGAGCCGGAGGCGAACTTGGAGCAGGAGGATGTGGTAAGTTGGACCAGTTTGCGGACACGAGTATCGTACTAACCTGACGTCCTAGNNGTCCTGTGGCACTGCTTTGGCTTAACTCACATGCCAGCCCCTGAAGACTATCCTATCATGCCTGCTGAGCCCATGACTGTGTTGCTTCGACCTCGCAACTTCTTCACGCAAAATCCTTGTATGGATGTGCCTCCAAGCTACTCAACCACACCCACACAGATGGCAGCCGGCAAGGGCGGCATCAAGGGTGTTGTTGACAGTGTCAGTAGATTGGCATTTGACGACAAGACCAAGGGTGGGAGCAATGATTGTTGTGGCAAGTGATGGGACCACTAGCAAGAATGCGCACGTTGAAGCCAATCGGCAGTACCTATGATCTCACAGGCATGGGAAGGAGCGACTGATTAGATAGTACCATATGATAAACGATTGAAAATACAACCGAGGGAAACTTCAGATTAACATCATGAATTGAATGGTAGTAGCGTACAAAAGATGTACAATAGGTTACTTGTGATTCGATTGTACAGTAGCTACGTGTTGTCATGGAACGACGTATAAGAAAAAGGCATCAACATGAGAAACGAAAAAGAAGCTGGTGTTCAATGAAACCTTGCGGTTAGGATTCGTGAGACGTGTCATGCATTAAAGAAAGTGGCACCCAATGCCTCGAACCTTTGACCTCGAAACAAGCAAAACAGCAAAAGGCCTTCTCGATATGGCCACCCCTCCCAGGTACCGCTGTACGCCTAGACACCATGACAGCCGCTAAAGATCAAGCTCGCGCACCGAAATACTATTTGGCGTATTGGAAGTTGCCGAAAACACCGCCTGCAGGAGTTAGCGAGCCGTGCTGAGAATAATGGGAAGGTCCTGGGGTACCTGATATGGCAGCATGAGAGGTGGTTGGAGTACTCGGCGCTTGATGAGTGGTGGGGGTGTGTCCTGTGTGGAAGTTGAGAGCGCCGTTGGTCTGCGGAGTTTGGTGACCCTGGCTCTGAAGAAACTCGTCTCTGAAGGCAGCGCTTGCTGGCGGACCAACGCCATGAAGACCATAGATTTGGTCGGCCAGTTCAAGAGGTGCGTGACCGTCGAAGATTTTGTTGCGCATGGCCCAGAAAACCGAGCCAGTCAGCCACGCGTCTGAACCACCAGTGTGAGGTGCACCCTGGCGCACGCAACCGAGCTCTTCTGCAAGATCTTGTAAGCCAGACTTTTGGCCGAGAGTATTGATGACAGTCGAGGCGGTGGGGCTGAGACGATTTTGCGGAGCCAAGGTACGCTGAGCGTGTCGTAATAAGAATTTAATGTCCCAGAGCTTGGGGAAGTAGATGTTGACAAGATCGCGGAACTCTGTTTCGTTCTCAGGCAGCGGAGCGTTAGTCAGCAGCTTGATCAAGTATCCAAAGTCGTATCCCGAGTGGAATGAGAGCCAATTGACATCATCAACGAAAGTCAGGCCCGAGGTGGTCAGAGCAGCACCAAAAGCATTGAGGTCGATACCCTGTTCCTGGTGCTTGGCAAAATCAAGACCTGCCTTTTTCAGAAGCTCAATGGAACCTTCTGCGTACATGTCGTGGTCGAGAGAGAAACGGAAGTTGAAGGACCACGTGCAGGGACACACGACCAGATTATTTGGAAGTTTGGGGAAGAGCGATGGGTCAGGTTGTTGAGGCGGTAGCTCGCCGTCTGCAGTCCAGATAGTGATGCCCAGCTGGATGGGCTTGAGGAGATCGACGTTGCAACGGAGAGTTTGGTAGTGATACGAGGCCTTGTTCTCGAAGTTACCGATAGGTCGCGCGACAATTCCAGGAAACTCGGCATCCTGGGTGCCATCGTGTTAGCGACGGGCAAGCGAGTGGTAGACTCAGGGAGTGCAGCAACATACCATGCTCACATAGGGATATTTCGTGATGAGCTGGCGCAGCAGAACCATCTCATGCTCGAGGTTGTGGGCCCAGACTTCACGTATCCTTCCTGCTAGACCGGATTTGAGGCCTAGTTGGGCGGCCTCGGCCTGATGGGCTTGCTGTTGTTGAAGAGCAGCGCCGTGTGCAAAGCCCCGATACGCGGCCTCACTGCCCAGTCCTGTGCCTCCACCGACTCCTTGTGCAGCATTTGCTCCAGCTAGGGCACCAGCGCTGGCATAGGCGTTTTGTAGAGCGACATTGGAGGTCGGGGGAGCGAAGCCGTTCACGCCGGCGTAGTTCGAAGGCCGCGTCAGAGGCTGTGGTAGCGAGTGCTGTTGTTGCTGGTAATGCGACTGTGGGATGGAGTGGGCTGGATTGAGATGCACGAAGGGATTCGACATGTGGCTCGCATGCATGCGCCCAACTGCTGGCGGCATTGTGGACCGCGCACCGGTGTCTGGCGCTGTCGGCGAGTGCGGAGAGGAGTGAAGCAGGTCGAGGGTGTGAGAGCAGGGGAAGCTGTTGAGGATATCGGAGTCTTGTAGCTGTATGGCGGGCGGGTAGTGGCCGGTCTGGTGGTGCTGGGATGCATACCGAGACGCGGGCGCGGAAGTAGCCGCCCGTCGACTTGGACGTCGCGAGAGCTGCGTCGCATCCGCTACCCACATCCAGCAACCCATCGTCCGACCGCATATCATGGCTCCTCGTCCCAATCTCACTGGTTTCGACCCCCAAAAGTTCGCTGCCGCCTCGGGCCAGCCCAGAAACGACCCTTGGGCCAGATAGTATGTCTAGACCACCCACCATGACCCAACCCTCTCTCTGACGCAATCCGACAGCGAGGCCTGGAGATATACCGGTCCCTTCTCGCGCTGGAACAGATTCAAGGGCTCTTTCCCCGGTCTCGGTATCGCCACTGTCGCCTTCGCCGGTTACCTCGCCTACGAAGCCGTATTCCTTAGCGACGACCACGGCCACGGAGAGGCTGGCCACGGCAAGGACCACCACGGCATCGCCGCTTGATTTACGACTCGCTTTTCAGTTACTGTCATTCGGGCGTTAATGGGGGCTACAATCGACATTACCGGCATTCCGACCTGGCTCGCTGGATACTGAAACGAGGAAGACATTGGTTCGCTCTGCCATAATCATATCCACTCATACCAGCGATGCTGTGCCGCAAGATATCCACACATGCTCATCCATGTGAGCAACTGCCATCAGATTCTGAACACACGTTCATGGAAGCGTTTGCCTGTACATATAGAGCATCACCAGGCCTCATAAGGCATTGGTCAAAATGTCATGGAATCAATCATCAATTCCCTTTTCTTTGCGCTCTCCCAACATATCTCTGAAAATCGAAGCTGTATGCGGTGCTTCAAATGTTTTGCTGACTGTTACCTCGTCAATTATTGGTGCATGTCATGTGGAAGAACATACCCTCAGTCGATGCTTCTTTCGTCAAGCTCACTCACTGAGACACATGTCGTTGCTCAGTTTGCTCATCTTCTCACGCTGAGAAACGTCTCTACATCGAGGTATCTTTCATGAATTGCGTGCAAGACCTGAACCTCCATCATGATGATACACGAGTCGTTATCGCTAGATATTACTGCGATAGCTAGTCATTAGCGTCTCCCCACTCCAATGACGAGCCTCGGTGTTGATGGAGCGCGCAAAGCGCGTCTGCTGCATTGATGCAGAGTTGCATGTTACTCGGCAATGTCACCGCCCACCTCCTTCCCAGATGACCACCAAAGATTGCAGCAATCAACGATGCCTCGCGTCTACCCTCCGATCGAGGGAAGACAGGCTGGTGCTGGCTTGTCTCCTTCGCTTATAGAGACGGTCGCTGGCTTCAGCGCCGGAATCATTTCAACTCTGGTTGTTCATCCATTCGACGTTGTCAAAACACGCCTGCAGGGTGTGTCTTACTCTGAACACCTGGACATCTGGTCGCTTGCTAAACTAGGCCCCATGCAGNTGGATCCGAGCACCACCAGCCATCTGGGTGATTCAGTGCGCATAGTCAAGAACATTGTCAGAAATGAGGGTGGATACTCAGCGTTGTACCGCGGCCTTATGCCCAACATGGTCGGAAACTCCGTCAGTTGGGCCTTGTACTTCCTCTGGTGAGCCTGCCCAACCTCCGTCTAGTCGGCCTTCGCTTACAACGGTGATCTAGGTNACGGCAATATCAAAGATCTGATCAAGACTGCTCGAGGAAACCCAGACGTCCTTACCTCTTACGATTATTTCCTCGCCTCTGGTGCGTCTGGCATTTTGACTGCACTGTGTACCAATCCGATATGGGTCATCAAGACGCGCATGCTGTCCACCTCGCGTGATTCCCCAGGAGCATACAAGTCGATCCGTCAAGGAACAACACATCTCTGGAAAACAGAAGGTCTAAAGGGGTTCTATCGCGGGCTCATACCCTCACTCTTTGGTGTCAGCCACGGTGCCATCCAATTCATGGCATACGAACAACTCAAAAACCACTGGAGCACAAGTCGTGGTGGCAGGGAAAACCTCACCAATTTGGATTTCTTGTTACTCAGCGCCACCAGCAAAATGTTTGCTGGCAGTGTCACATACCCCTATCAGGTCGTAAGGGCACGTCTCCAGACTTACGATGCCGACTCCCGATACAAGGGTGTAAGAGACGTTGTTAGACAGGTCTTCCAAAAGGAGGGGCTGAAAGGCTTTTACANNAAGGGTACGTATTTCGACTCTATGGTTAAGAATCCATCTGCTAATCAAATGACTGCTAGTCTTGGGCCCAACATCGTACGCGTTCTTCCCTCGACTTGCGTAACCTTTTTGGTGTACGAAAACACCAAGTTCTACCTGCCTCGCTTCTACCAGTCGTACGAGGGAACGAAAGGCGCTGACTGAGATATGCATTTACCGCTGCGGTACAACACAGTACTCAGGTATCTACATACATACCGGTCAACACCGCTTACTTTCATGAGAGAGTTCGCCTCGGCAGAGGAGCCGAGGCACATCACTAACGTCAGGTGGACAGCGACGACTACAAGAGCTACCACAGTCTAGCTGATCGAGACATTCCTTCTCCCATCGCATCCGGATCGAGTCGGGCTAAGATGAATAGGTACTTTGCTACGCCGTGAAGAGCAGGGCCAGAATATGAACGTGAAACAGCGGACAAAGGAACAGTAGCTAGAACGAAGCAGATCTAGCAACAACTTTGAGAAATCACAAGAGCTTCGTACGACCAGATTGAACTAAAAGCACAAGATTGTTCTGGTGTTGATAGTGATGCGGGACGTGAATGGACGATACTTAGATAGTGGATACAATGGAGCTCTGCAGAAATTAGTGCTTTGGAAGTCCATATATTACGATTGCTCGGCAGAATTTTGCCAGTACCTGACAAGACAATGTTAACAGAATGTTGAAGAAATCAAAGGGACTCCTACCCGATCGTATCATATGCTCATCACCCAAGCCCGTGGATGGTTCGTGGGTGTAGATTGTTGGAGTTTTGGACGCGGGTGCAGCCGAACCGACCAGCAAGCAACCGTGTCCCCACCATCTCTCTAAGGGCCCTTCCACTTGTTCGCATTCACATACAGTCAATCGCACACACTACCCTGAACATACATCATGGAGGGACCAGACACATTCGTACAACTGCCGCTGGCCATCGACCCCAATACCAAGGCCATCTCCTCAAGCTCGTCATCAGGCGCACTTGAGGCCGAACTGAACGCCCTCAATGCGCTCCATCGTTCGTTCATCGCAGACCTGGAAGGACCTCTAGGCATTCCTCCACCGCCCGTTCCCGTCAATCCCAAGCGATCGGCACAAATCACCAAGCTCAAGGAAAGCGGCAACGCCTCGTTCAAGAAGGGCGCATACCCCGACGCCGTCCGCATGTACGGCCTCGCCATTGATATGGCTATCAAGCGTCCTGTCTGGGAACCTGCCGGTCTTGTGCGCGAGGAGCTTAGTCAACTGTACAACAACCGCGCTCAAGCATACATGGTTCAGCAAATGTGGCCCGATGCTGCCCTCGACGCTTTCTGTAGCACCGAATTGAAGAAGGTCGCCAACACCAAAGGATGGTGGAGACGCACTGTTGCTCTCAAGGAACAGGGCCGTCTTGATGAGGCTCTAGATGTTATCAAAGAGGCTGTTGACTTCGAATCTGCTGGTCCAGACAAGGAGGGTGTGGAGAAGCTTATCGGGCTCATGAAGGAAATCGAGACCGCTGTGGAGAAGAAGGCACTTGCTTGATTCCGTCTACACCAGAGGAGACGACTACCCACTACTACGATTGTTTGTTGGATCATGCATGGCGTTCGGGCGCAGGATAACAGAGGCTAGAAGGCCACCCTTGCATTTTGAGGTGTTGAGACGATATCAAGAGGCGGAAAGTCAACGGCAAGAGCATCACAACGAGCCTGGTCCTGACGCTGTACCCACCGACTTCTCCGACCCTGCGCATAACGACTGCTCCTCACCTTCATGAATGATACCCTGATTTTACCTCCTTGTATACTACTTTCTTCAAAATCGCCTCATGCGCTACGACATTGGTATCTGGTTTCGCAATGTATTACGGAAGGTGACTTTCGTATGATTAGATCTGGCAAAGAAATCATAAGCGACACATCAACTTGTTCTGCTCGAGGATAATGTCATGCCGGCTTTGGAAGGGGACAAAGCGCAACGATTGCCTGATTTGGAATGTGCTCGAGGATAGTCATCCCGATCTATAAGCTAGAGGGTTGCTGTGATTGGCGAATTGCCGTGTGAATCACAGATGCATCTTGCAAATGCGATTGGGAGATCCGCTTGCATGATGCAGCCTCCTCTGCCTTTGTACTGCTGAAACCGATGCTCAGAAAAGCATCCCACGCGAGACGATTTCTGAAACGCGTTTCGAACGAGCTGATGCGAGACATAATCGACATGCAGATCAATCTCGGACCGCTTCCCGTACACGACGGTACTGACTCTAAGAGCCTTTGAACACAATGATAATTCCCCTGGCTATTCTTGCATTCATGTTGGGTCCTGTTAATTTGCAGTGCTCCAACAAGTACGAGCGGCACAAAAAGACAACTCAATCGATCGCGCAGCTCGTGTGTTGGAGATGGCTGGCCAGCCAAGCCGGGTGCTCTTGCGTGGCGCTCGGAGTCCCTAGCCAACGGCCGCGTCGATCATCTAGCATGGCTCAGTAAACATGATTGCCATCCACTCAAGAGCCTCAGATCTGTGTTAATATAATGAGCTGAGACGTACTTACGGTGAGACTATAGTTTTGTTACGAGTCCCCTCTAAGATCTGCAGCTTGCTCGATGGTCCAGCCCTAAAAACTTGTTTTGCTGTCCACCTGTTGTATGAGAAAAGAACGCATCTCTCAAGTACTTCAACCTCCGTCCCCCTTCTTGCTTATCCGAAAGCTCTATACCGTGATTCAGGATACCCTTTCCCACTCGGGCGCCTATCCGCCATGTGGATTCCACAAAACCCTCTTCACAAGCTGAAGATTGCTGTTCATCTTCTCCAAGCAACCCTCACCTTCATCACAGGATGTATGACACTGGCAATTCTATCAGAAAAGGGAAATCATGACAGCCGGGTGCAATGGTGTTTTGCTCTGGTAAGACTCGAGTACACCTATCACACACCAAGACCTACAGACTGACGTCTCTCAGNNTGTTTTCTTACCATGCCTGCTTTAATGTACCAGTGCATAGTACCTTGCTGGACAAGGCTATGGCGTCTGGCTAATCCTTACATCTTCTTTACCATCGACTCGGTTTTCACGATTTTCTGGATCTCGGCGTTCGCCTCTACTTGTGCTTGGACGGCGAAGGGCATGCAGAAAGGTGCTGTTGACAAAAAGTTGAGCGCAAGCGATGCGTCTTGCTCAGCCTTTTCTTTTGGTTCAACGTCAACGTGTAACCTTGCAAAAGCCACGACAGGCCTCGGAGTTGCACTATGGTCAGTACAGCATCGATTGTTTTCGAACGCTTAATTGACGAGACTTAGCATTTTCTTTTTGTTTGCAGCAATCGTCTCCGGCATCGATGCCTACAAGTTCTGGAAGTCAGGAACTGTACGCACACAACCAGAGATCTATGGCCAGACGCCTTCTCGTGCTTCTTCACCGGAGGGCAAGGACGAATGGTCGCTCAGTACGGACGATCTGCACGGTGCAAAGAGCACCTATGCTTCGGATGCGTATCAAGGCTGGACACAAGACCCTGAACCTGAGTTCTTCGAGACGGACACATCAGAGGGACGCCACCCTGGACAACATATCCGTAACCCGAGTACGAAGACGATACCCTACGAGAGGGATCTCACGCCCAGTGCTATGAGTCCTGTAGTGGCAGAGATGCGCTATACAGGCATCTTTCCGCCAGCGACGGCGAACTACAGCTTCTCGAGAGAATGAAGTGCTATCATGAAGAACGAATCAGCGGCGAGTCATCAGCAACTCCATATAAAAGTCATCAGCAGAAGATACAGGATGCTGTTCAATGTGTTCACCTCCAGAACCAGTTAGATTATACAATCGAGTTATACTCATGATCCCATACTGCATTTTTCGGGCCAGAAAGACTCGCTGTCCGCCAGTTTATCACAGCAATATAGCTAGAATCAAAGGTTTGTGCTTGCAAGTGCAATGTCAGAAGGTAGGATGTGAAACGGACGGATTTGGTGATTGAAGCGGAGTGCGGGGTCGTCTGGAGAGCTTGCGAACTGACATCAGATTCGCTGCCTCCTTCTCGAGGAACAACCTTTGGACAGCATTCACGACTCGACGTCTCACTACAACACCATGTCGACCAAGATCCAGAAGACGCTTGCGCGACAGCAAGAGAAGTAAGTGTCCACTGTTGTCGTTCATAGAACGCCGCTGACAGCAGCTCCAGGGNTCAAAGAAGGCCAATTCTACGAAGCTCATCAACAGCTGCGCGTCATCGCATCGCGCTACACAAAGTCAAGCGACTGGGCCTCTGCAGTGGACCTCCTCGCGTCAGGTGCCTCTATGCTCCTGAACGCCGGACAGGGAGGATCTGGAGGCGACCTATGCATGTTCCTCATGGATGTCTACGGCAAGGCCGAACTGAAGCCCGACACGACAAACAAGGCACGCCTATTGAGTCTGCTGCGCGAGTTCCCTGAAGGAGAGCCTACGAGGAAGAGATTTGCTGGAGAGGTGATTGNNGGTACATATACCGGCTAGTGATCAAACACTTCACCAAGCTGACTAGGCTGTAGATGGTCGTCAAAGTTCGGCGAGTATCCTGCTGGAGACCCTGAACTCCACCACGTTATAGGCACACTCTATGCCGAGGGTACGTCTTGATATAAAGCCTGGCCTAGACTAGACGGCTAACAATCGANNGAAGATGGCGAGGCCCTCGAGGCAGAAAAACATCTCACGCTCGGAACCGCAGACTCAGCAGCAACCTTCGCCTCGCTCGAATATGACTGGTACGCATCGGACGAGCCTTCGACTGCTCCGCACTACGCCGCTCGGGTCGTGTTTCCCTACCTGCTGGTTGGCAATCTCCGTGCCGCAAACAAGGCCTTCCTGCTTTTCACATCCAAGTTGTCGTCGTCAAATCCTGGCCTTGGTGTGCAAGAAGTTGGTTCAGCCTCGTCTGATCTGCGTGTTTATCCTAGCCTTCCCTTGCTCAACTTCCTCGGCCTTCTCCTGCTGGCCATTGAGAAAGGATCCGCCGATGTTTTCAAACAGCTCAAAAGCCACTACGCTTCGTACATCAAGGATGCCGGAAACTGGAATGAGGCGCTCGCTCAGGTTGGAGAAATGTATTTCGGCATCAAGATTCCTAGCCAGAGCAACCCACTGTTCGATATGATGAGCTCGTTTATGGGAGGAGGCGGCTCAGGTGGTCAGAAACCGGCCAGCAGAAGAGTAGAAGCAGCACCAGCTCCAGCACCTGCACTGGATTGAGACAGTGGTCGCATGTTGATACACCGAACATAACTTTGTCGAGGTTGCAAATTGGTACTCCTCCCTTTCCTGACACTAGAGATGCTTCTTCTTGTCGTGACGCTCGTGCAATATGCACACCTAGAACATTCAATGCGCTATCGAGTTAGTTGAAAACGTTTGTTTCGTTGTTATCAACCAGTGGCATCGGATATAAACGGCGTTTCCGGATGTATCGCAGGGCCAAGCTTTTTAACGGTTCCTGAGTGGACCGAGTAATCGTCACTAGCAGAAGATCGATGGGATCTGACGGCAGTTGCAGCTGCCTTCTCTTCCTTCTTTCTGTCCATCGGTCGACGTGCCTCTGTATCGCCATCACACGACCTTCACCGAGCACCCATGCGCGACCCGGCCGCATACCAGACGGTGTTGCAGTCTCCAGTCGGCTTGCATTACCTCGGCGTTTCGAGCCATGCCGGCCAGCGTCAGCCACTATGCCGCAATGCTGAAGGATGGGGTCCTATCAGCCCTTTTCGCTATGACTTTACGCCCTGCTTCCTCGATGTCTGGATAGCCTCCGTCTCTGTCTTTGGCCTCGTCTTCGGACCCGGTGCAATCTACTACCTCTTGAAGAAATGCAGCCCCCAGCCCGTCAAGCAAGATTGGCACTTCTACACCAAACTGTCCGTCCTTGCCGCTCTTTGCGCCACTACCATCCTCCAAGGTGTTTTTCAGATTGTCAACTTTGGCAGCGTCTGGGCTGGCGACTTCCGTTTCTGGGCCACCGTCCTGAACCTCGCCTCCATCGTCCTCATCTTCTACGTCCAGTACATTGAACACTGGCGATCGCGTCAGGCCAACGGAGTTGTCCTGGTCTTCTGGCTGTTGCTCCTTATTGCATACGCCGTCAAGATGCGCTCTCTGGTCTCGCAACAGCTATACCACTCCGAACTTCCTTACTTTGTCACTTTTGCCGTTAGTGTCGCCTTGGCCGCTCTCGAATTCGGTCTTGAGTGGCTTGTGCCCAAACGCCTGAGCGACTACGACGCTCTTGGAGATGAAGACGAGTGCCCCATGGAGTATGCTAACGTCTTCTCTATTCTCACCTTCTCCTGGATGACCCCGATGATGAAGTATGGTTACAAGAACTTCTTGACCCAGGACGAGCTATGGAACCTTCGTAAANGAGATACAACCGCTGCAACCACCCAGGCCTTCAACGATGCATGGGAGCAAGAGCTGGAGAAGAAGAAGCCAAGCCTCTGGATTGCCCTGGCTCGTGGCTTTGGTGGTCCATATGTTCGTGGTGCAATGATCAAGACCATCTCGGATATTCTGGCCTTTGCTCAGCCTCAACTCTTGCGTCTCCTGATCTCGTTCGTCGATTCCTACCGTACCGAAAACCCCCAGCCTCCAATTCGAGGAGCTGCTATCGCTCTTTCCATGTTCGCTGTATCCGTCTCTCAGACGCTTGCCCTACACCAGTACTTCCAAAGAGCCTTTGAGACTGGCATGCGCATTCGTTCATCATTGACCGCTGCTATTTACCACAAGTCAATGCGTCTCTCTAACGAGGGCAGAGCATCAAAGTCCACCGGAGACATTGTCAATTACATGGCTGTTGATACTCAGCGTCTGCAAGATCTTGCGCAGTATGGCATGCAGCTGTGGTCTGCGCCTTTCCAGATTACGCTGTGTATGATCTCGCTCTACCAGCTTGTAGGACTGAGTATGTTCGCCGGTGTTGGCGCTATGATTGCGATGATTCCTATTAATGGCGTCATTGCACGCATCTCCAAGAATTTGCAAAAGAAGCAGATGAAGAACAAGGATTCAAGAACGCGTTTAATGACTGAAATCTTGAGCAACATGAAGTCTATCAAGCTCTACGCCTGGACTACTGCCTTCATGAACAAGCTGAACTATATTCGTAACGACTTGGAGCTGAACACTCTTCGAAAAATTGGTGCATCTATGGCCCTGGCCAACTTCACCTGGTCAACTACTCCTTTCTTCGTATCCTGCTCAACCTTTGCAGTTTTCGTTCTCACCGGCAACAAAGCGCTTACAACGGACATTGTGTTCCCGGCATTGACGCTCTTCAATCTCCTTACCTTCCCTCTGGCCATCCTGCCTATGGTGATCACCTCCATCATCGAGGCAAGCGTTGCTGTCAATCGTTTGACCGACTTCTTCGTTGCGCCCGAGTTGCAACGTGACGCCGTGCTCAAATATGACGCCGTAACCGAGCGTGGCGAGGAAGCAGTCCGTATCCGGGATGCGACCTTCACCTGGAACAGCAATGACACTCGTAATGCTCTTGAGAACATCTCCTTCTCTGCTCACAAGGGCGAGCTTTCTTGCGTTGTTGGCCGTGTTGGAGCCGGCAAGTCTTCCTTCCTACAAACCCTTTTGGGTGATCTTTACAAGATTAAGGGCGAGGTTGTCTTGCGTGGAAAGGTAGCCTATGTTGCTCAATCTCCATGGGTCATGAATGCTAGCGTTAGGGAGAACATTGTCTTCGGTTATCGTTGGGATCCTCAATTCTATGAAAAGACTGTTCATGCTTGCGCTCTGAAGGAAGATTTCGCATCCCTACCAGACGGCGACCAAACCGAAGTCGGTGAACGCGGTATTTCCTTGTCCGGCGGACAGAAAGCTCGTTTGACCCTTGCCCGAGCCGTCTATGCTAGAGCAGACGTTTACCTCCTTGATGATGTCCTATCGGCCGTTGACCAGCATGTTGGAAGACATCTCATTGACAACGTTCTGGGCCCTAATGGTCTTCTCAATGGAAGAACGAGAATCCTGGCTACAAATTCTCTCCCCGTTCTGATGGAGGCCAATTACATTGTTCTTTTGCGTGAAGGCCGCATCTTGGAACGTGGCACCTATGAGCAACTGATGGCTATGAAGGGCGAGATATCTCAGCTCATAAAGACAGCCAGCAACGAAGAGTCTCAGAGTGAGTCGCAAAGCGAGACCCCAGACAGCGACGATTCGGCCACTGTTTTCGAAACCGATCCGAGCTCCGCTCAGGGCGAACTGGAGATCACGCAAGCCGAAGAGGGCGAGACTCAACTCGCTCCTATCAATACCGGTGGTGGTCGCCCAGCACGCAGGGCGAGCGGGCTCTCCTTACGTCGTGCGAGTACTGCGAGTTTCGCTGGGCCCCGCGGTAAGCTCACAGATGAAGAAGGCACCGCCGGTCTCAAAAGCAAGCAAAACAAGGAATTTTCCGAACAGGGTAAGGTCAAATGGTCTGTCTACTCAGAATATGCCAAGACTAGCAACCTGGTCGCTGTCGCCATCTATCTCGTCACCTTGGTTGGGGCCCAGACCGCTCAGATCGGTTAGTGTTTTCCGGATCGTGATAATATGCCTATCTAGCTAACCATTTCGATAGGTGGCAGTGTCTGGCTCAAAAATTGGTCCGAAATTAACGGCAGATATGGCGGTAATCCTCACGTTGGAAAGTACATCGGCATCTATTTTGCCTTTGGTATTGGCTCCGCTGCCCTGGTTGTCGTGCAGACACTCATCCTGTGGATCTTCTGCTCAATAGAGGTGGGTGCATCAAATTTGCGTGCCGGGCCGCGACGCTAATATTTCATCTTGTGCAGGNCCTCGCGTAAGCTGCACGAACGAATGGCATATGCTATCTTCAGGTCACCTATGACCTTCTTCGAGACGACCCCCGCCGGACGTATTCTAAACCGCTTTTCAAGGTAAGTGGTTTTTCTTGTCCCTGCATATCTCCGATGTTGTGTTCCGCCAAGTGCCGATACGTCACAATTTCGCACGTGCACTGTTCCAATCACCGGGTTCAATACTGATCTCACCTCTTCGCNNAGTGACATTTACCGCATCGATGAAGTCTTGGCGTAAGTGTTTGGCATGTGTCAGAGTCTGCTGGATCGGTGAGCTGACCTGATTCGATAGTNNCGTACTTTCAACATGCTGTTTGTCAACTCGGCACGAGGTATGTGGTGTTCAAATACCAATGCAAGTAACATGCGTATATTGATTGACTATCCCANNGCTCTCTTCACTCTGGTCGTCATCTCAATGTCAACACCGGCCTTTATCGCGTTGATTGTGCCATTGGGTGGAGTCTACCTCTATATCCAAAGGTACTATCTCCGGACATCACGTGAACTCAAGCGTCTGGACAGTATCAGCCGCAGTCCCGTGTATGCTCACTTCCAGGAATCTCTGAGTGGTATCAGCACAATCCGCGCTTACCACCAAAGCAAGCGCTTTGCCATGGAGAACGAATGGCGCGTCGATGCGAACCTCAGGGCATACTTCCCTTCCATCAACGCAAACCGCTGGCTAGCAGTTCGTCTTGAGTTCATCGGTTCCGTCATCATCCTTGCTGCCGCTGGTTTCGCCATTATCTCGGTTTCAACAGGAAGTAAAATATCTGCCGGCATTGTTGGTCTATCGATGTCCTATGCCTTGCAGATCACTCAGTCGCTCAATTGGATTGTACGCCAGACGGTCGAGGTGGAAACCAACATTGTCTCGGTCGAGCGTGTCCTCGAGTACGCACGTCTCCCCAGCGAAGCACCTGAGATCATCTCAAAGCACAGACCGCCGGTCAGCTGGCCTTCCAAGGGTGCAGTTTCCTTCAACAACTACAGCACCAGATACCGTGAGGGACTGGATTTGGTCTTGAAGAATGTCAACCTCAGCATCAAGTCACACGAAAAGATTGGTGTCGTAGGTCGAACAGGTGCTGGAAAGAGTTCCTTGACTCTTGCTTTGTTCCGCATCATAGAGCCTACCGAAGGCGATATCACGATAGATGATTTGAGCACTAGCTCCATTGGTTTGTTGGATTTGAGAAGAAGACTTGCCATCATTCCACAAGATGCTGCCCTCTTCGAAGGCACCATTCGCGACAATCTGGATCCAGGTCATGTCCATGATGACACCGAGCTCTGGAGCGCTCTAGGTATGCTGAAACCTCTTGCCTTGCTTTGTAACCACTAACGAACTGGTCAGNATCATGCGCGCCTAAGAGATCACGTGTCGAGCATGTCCGGCGGACTTGATGCTCAGATCCACGAAGGTGGATCCAACCTGAGCCAAGGCCAGCGTCAATTAGTCTCACTGGCGCGTGCGTTGTTGACGCCGAGCAACATCTTGGTGCTTGATGAAGCAACCGTGAGTCTTGATTTATCTTTGTCGCCGTGTTTCAACCTGCTAATGTGTTTCATTCCAGNNGCCGCTGTTGATGTGGAGACGGATGCATTGTTGCAGACCACACTGAGAAGCAATATGTTCAAGGATCGGACGATCATTACGATTGCGCACCGCATCAACACGATCCTTGACAGTGACCGCATCGTGGTACTTGACCACGGACGTGTGGCCGAATTCGATACGCCTTCCGAATTGGTCAAANAGAAGGGCCTATTCTACGAGTTGGTGCGAGAGGCCGGTCTGCTTGGAAGTGTCGATATCAGCAGCGCAGCGGAATAGTTGGTAGATTTGCATAGAGATCCGTTGCACTAGACAACAATTCCCCCATGCAGGGGCACAATTGACAGCTGTTATGTGTCTGTCACGTTAATCGCCTGGTGACCGCCCATGCATAGTTCTTCGTATCTTTTCCTGAAAGCGCCTGTCCGTCGTTTTGTTATCACTGTTGGGGCGTTGTCTCTACAGACGCCTCTCTGCTGGAAGCCATATTGAATGCACCATGTCCGCTGCAAGGAAGTGTTAACCGGGGCGGCTCCCCAGATGCGGCTGAGATCTCGCAAAGTTTATGTACAGCACCAAGGGAGACGGCTGTGGCCCGAGCCGCAGAGCTTCAACCAGGACAAGCAAGAGTTAAGAATCATGAAACAAATGCTCTCAAAAGACCGAAGGACTGTTCAGACACTGGTCTCGTCGACAGATGCAGACGATAGATCCCTTATAAAGTGAACCGGGGTTCGAGCGCTAGTGCTTCCCGAAACAGCATGGCTCTAGTGGAGTGTGCATATCGGGGCGGCGCGGCTTATGGGGTCTGTTGTGCAGGACGCCAGGGTCTTTGATGGAATTCAACCGGCCATCTTCCTGTCGTGTAACAACACTGAGCAAACATTATCAAGCCCGGACCTTGCTGCTGTCTCTCAACGACAGATCGAGGCTTGCGCCAGATCCAGGCGGGGAAGTGTTCCCACCCGGAACTCGGTCTGCAGATCGGGACTGACGGCTGTGAAGACGGGGCCTGCAGGCATGCTCTTCGCATCGATCAAAAAGAGACCAAGCGTGATGAAAGGTCAAGCGATTCGCGAGGCGTTTGACCAATCTAGGAGCCGAGTTTGGCAGCAGAGATTATCGGGGGTCGATCCAGCAGGACAATGCATTTGCATCTTGCTGGTCTCGCGCGAAGAAGCGGAATCCAGGGTAATCTAGTATCTGGACGAAACCAAACTGATGGATTTGGGATCTGTCGTTATTGCCTTTTCGTGTTGAATCTATTAAGTCCTTCGGAGCCGGCCTTGAGAGGGACCTTGAATCCTGATTCCGTCTTTTCGTCGTCTTGTTTTCTTGTTCCTCTGTTTTTGCTTCCTTCTCGAATCATTCCTCCAGTCGGCAAACAAGGCAGGTGACAGCTGTTGTTGTAGCGCCGCGTGAAGACACCACCGAGGTCTGCCTTCAATTTGCCTGAACCCCGCACCAGATCGTGGCATTCTCAGCCTATCGTTCCGGTTAGTCGACACTTTTTCCTTGTGCTGCCGTTCATTTGCCTGTCACGCCTATCAATCCATCATTGCCTGGTGGCGTTGAGCGAGCCTCGGGGTGTCCGACTCCTCCCAAAAGGAGCTCCTTCTGTCTCACGTCCTCATTTTGCAAGTTTTCGTCACATTTTGGTCTCCTTGTCGTCGATTTGTTTTCGAACAGAAGCGCCCCATCTCCATCCCCCTCTGGCTGACCAGTTGCAGTCGAACAAAGCTCAGCTGCGACACGCGCTAGGAAAAGCCAAATACCTGGCAGTTTTGGCCGCACGAGGGTGAGCTTAATCCGTTCCCGAGATCGTCGTCCCGCTAACGTCCGTTTTGACTTTTTGTTAGTTGCGGAGAAAACTGATCAGTCCCTTGCATCTCTCTACAGGGGTGAAGCTCTATGCTATAAAGGTCTCTTGGTAATCCAAACATGGTCTCGAGCTCTCGGCCAGTGAATAGGTACGACAGACATGCTGGGGTTGGTAAGCAGCCGAGCAAAGCTCCAGCTTCTGGCGTTTCTGTAAGCAATTCTTTTATGTTTCATGTTTCAAACCACTGATAGTTCCAGTATCGCCCTATAACATCATCGCGGGATCAAGCTCTCTCGCTGAATCAGTCAAGGAACCCCACGCTGGAACGTGATGATCCTTCGGCGGTGAGTAAGAAAAAGTATGTTGCGAACAGGCTGGACAGCCTGCCCCCTCATGTCCTGGATAGCTTTTACCAGGTCTGTGTCAACAATGAGGGCCCTTCGCAGCCCACAGCCCCCGAAACGGTGGTAAACCCTCGAGCAGCGAGTGCGTCTTTTGTCTTGAATCTTGTAGAGCACTGGTATCTGATGAGAAGAATAGGAATCCTGCAAATCGAAGAAGAGCCAGCACAGCGACATGCTAATAATCAACAAAACACATCAAAGCGCAAGGCAGTCGCCTCTGCGGAATCTTCTGACGAAGAGAACGAGGAAGCCTGGTCAAACCATAGTAACATGCAGATTACGCTGCACATTGCCAATCAGGATGAGGTGGTTCACTTTTTGAAAATGCGTTTCACACAAATCCAACAACTTGCAACCAAAGTCATCGCCAAGGCTTGGATCAAAGCCATCTGTCCGAAGAAGCAAGCAAACTTCCCATATGTCGACAGTAACCCACGAGCAGACCAAAGTCAAAAGCGTCGTCGACCACGTCACAATGGTCCTCCAAGAATCCCGAAGTTCTGGCCCGACGTCAATTTATGCCGACACAAAGAACCCGATCATACAAGAAAGACTGGTGCGTTCCTCTACTGAGAACACAATACAGATCAGCTGACTCTTGGCANNGAACGAACTCACCTCCTAGTCCATCTTCTTAGGCTGCACTGGACTGAGCAAAATTGGCTCGACTCCAATGGCAAAGGCTCAGAAGTCCCTCAGAAAGTCAAGGACCGCAACTGGGTTGGATTCTTGAGAGATGCCTTTCCAGTCAACAAGCTGGAGGAAGTGCAAGGAAGTAACCCTGACAAGGCGGCTATGCGAAGAAGGTACTTGAACCAGATCTACAAGGTTGCTGAAGACGAGCAAATGATGCGCTACCGAGTGGGTACGTTAACACGCTCTTCCATCAGACTTCTCATATCTGACTATGCCACAGGTCCAGCGAATCAGAAAAGAAGTTACACCGCTGGTGCTGGTTGGGTCACAGCAGGCTCTCAAGCTGCGGTATCGGCGAGCCAGAGTGACCACGCCGACAGTGACGACGAAGAAGACTCGCCTGCTCTGGATTCAACCACGATGGCACGGACCAACTCTCATTCAGAGAATTATGCGATGTCACCAGAATCTGAGGAGCAAGCAGATGACTCTAGATCGGCATCCTCGTACTCTGTAGTCGAGCTCATCAAGGAGGCCAAGGTCGAGCAGGTGCCTTTCGACGGATTCTTTCCAACGGACGACGTCGTGATGGCCGGTGCTAGCCATGGTCCAGAGTTGAAATTCGATCCTGCAGATGAGCCTATAACGGTTCCGCTCGGATCAGTGCCGCCCAGTGAGGATATGGACTACTATGAGCCATCATGGGGTGACAACACAGCGATGGCTCAGAGAACACCAGATGTGTATCAGCAGCCCCAGTATGCTGGAACCCCAACTCCATGGTACGGAAGTACATATGTGGGGCAGAACCAAGGTCAGTTGCCCACAGTAGCCATCAGCAACCAACCTTGGAGCGACTATCGTCATGGATTCAGACCATTTCAACCAGCGACGCTTTCTGAANAAAGGATGACGGAAGCAGTATCTCACACCGCTGGTTTCGGAGACATGCATCAGATGGCCATGTCGGTGCCTTTTGTACAGCCGATAGTAACAGCGGCCAGTGATAATCAACACGCAATGTTCCAAGACTCCAGGATGCATTACGTCCATGATCCCTTTGAGCAGCACAGCCAGGCCGGATACACGGGTACTCAGCACCAGGAGATGTATACCGGGTGGCATTGAAAAGAGACGAGTTAGTTTTTGGATGAAGAGAAGAACGGCAACGATGATGACAAGCACGACAGCAACGAGACTGACGATATTGATGAAATTGCATGTGGCTCTGCGAACGAACCAGACACGCGGAGACCCCTGAGACGATGACTGCTTGCACAGCTAGTGGTGTTTGTTTAATGTTGATGTTCCTTCCTCTTCGGAGATGAGTTTCCTTTGATTATGGACATGGTTGAACATAGTTGACGATCAGTACGAAGGATAACGAGAAATGTCAAAGAATGGAGAATATCGGGCAACAGCAGATAGCGAATTAATACGACAAGGTTTTATCGAAGTCGGCTTGAGGCATGTGAAAAATAGTGATGGATATCAGAAGTGCTGATAGTAATGGAAGAAAGCACCTGTTTTGCGAAGGCTTGGCGTACGTACGGGTCGGTCCAAAGGTGCTCCCCGATGCGGACTCTGTTCACAGCAACATCTGAAAGCAGCGCGTCGGAACTGTAGCGCTGCCAACATCAAAGAGAAGCGGCAGTCGACAACACTCGATGCTCTGCCAAACATAGCGACACAGCGGCAGCCATGTCGTTCGTCAGTGGAGGTAGAGGAGGCAGCAGTCGCGGTCGCGGCTCGTCACCATTCGGAGCCCCAGCTGGTCCAAAGACAACGAGTCCGTCCTTCGCACCACGCGCCAGAGGAAACAACCAAGTCCGCTTCAATGCCCAGACCAGAGGCGCAAGTGGAAGAGGAGGCAGGGGCACGTTCCGCGGTAGCAATGCCCCACGAGGAGGAGGCAGAGGACGTGGAAAGACAACACCTGCGCCAACACCTTCGCCCTTCGCCGCGCCCGCCCAAGTACAAACGCCAGCACAATCGAGCCATGTCTCGTCCTCGTCTCCGTCCTCGTTCGCCGACCGCTTCCAGGCTGTACGCTCCCTCCCACCGTTCCATGGCTGATATTCTCTGACGCACGGTACAGCTCAAGAAGCGGCGCGAACAAGAACGCATCCACGCCATCGCCCAAGGCTTCCTGGCCGACCCCGACAAGCCGCGCACTCTGGCCGAGGCCATCACCCCCGTTGGAACCTGTCCGGACATGTGTCCAGAGTTTGAACGTCTTGAGCGCGTCGTGCAAAAGGACGTATGGGGCCCCGAGCTCGACGACCAAGGTGCTCCCGCCGAGCACCGCATGGTAAAGAAGTTCAGACGCGCCGCAGCTGGCATTGACGAGCAACTACCTTCAGACCTGCGCCCTCCCAGCACCCTCAAATTGACCGTCGACTATCTCTTCGACGAAATGGTTGCCAATGCCGAGTCATTGGGCAGCGTACACCACTTTGTCTGGGACCGGACTCGCGCCATTCGCAACGACTTTTCCATCCAACAGATCACAAAGCCTGCCGACGTCGAGATCGCTATCGAGTGCTACGAACGTATTGCCCGCTTCCACATTCTGTCACTGCATCAGCTCGCCGTCCCAGACAAGCCTTACGACAAGTACGACTGGTATCAAGAGCGAGAGCAGCTGGACCGTACACTCTTGTCGTTGATGCAATATTACGATGACTCGCGTGGCCGCGTCGAGTGCAAGAACGAAGCCGAGTTCCGCGCATACCTCATCATTTTCCAAGCTCAGGACCCAACGCCCGATCTGGAGGAAAGAGTCAATACCTGGCCCATCTCTGTCAAGTCTGATAGGCGCGTGAAGATTGCCCTCGATCTCAACTCTGCCGCTTCAAACATCGTGGACCCTCAGGGTCCACTGAAACCTCGGGCTGTTTACTCGGTCGCACGAGAAGACTGGGCTCACTTCTTCGACCTTGTTCGTTCTAACAAAGTTTCCTACCTCATGGCCTGTGTTTCGGAGATTTACTTCAAGCTTGTACGACGCACGGCTTTGAATGCTATCTGGCGTGGATTCAAAGGCCAGGTTTTCGAGTTCACTCTATCCCTGATGACCCGTATTCTCGGTTTCGATGACAACGAACAGACCGAGACTTTCTGTCAGCATTTCGGCTTCGTCTTCAAAGCGTCCAATTCTGGTGGAGAGGATTGCTTGGATCTGGATTCGGTCAAGGGCAAGACTTTCCCCGTAGAGACTCCTGGCTTAGACCATCAGACTTTCTCAGAAGACTTAGTCGAGGCGAAGCGAATGGGCCGTAATCTTTCTGCTGTAATAGACGGTTGTACTGTAGCAGAAGCGCAAAACTCCGGTCTGATCGATGTCAATTATGACAGTCAGATGGAAGACCATGCAGAAGATCAAGGGGAAGATAGCCAGACTGAAGAGGACCCCGATTCTCTCTTCATCCCACAAGGTCCATCTAAACCAGCTTTTGGAACAGCAGCCGTGTCGTCATCGCCTTTCGCAAGTCCCTTCAATTCGATCAAACCGCCAGAAGAAGCTCAACCGCCGTCTCTCTTTTCTCAACCAAAGCTAACGAGTTCTGGCTTCGGCCAGCCTTCAGCATCAACTGGCTTCAACTTCGGAAAGCCGTCCGTCAAGCCAACTCCCTCAGAGGCATCTACTCCCGCTTCTGCGTCTCCATTCGCCTCAATCTTTGGCCAGCAACCTAAGAGTGAAGGTCTGGGCCCATCTTCGAACCCCTTCACTTCCGCAAAACTCGCCGTCACTCCTGAGACTGTCACTAGTCCTGAACAACCGTCCGAGCCGTCAGCCAGTCTGTTCTCTTTCACAAACCCTACTGCTACTAATGACAAGGCCTCGCTGAAACCTCTACCCACACAAGCAAGGACATCTGAACTCACAAACTCTTCCAGCGGCCCACCGCTATGGGGTACTCCTGTCTCAACTGCCGGTCAGCAAACCGCATCTATTCCCGCTGTGTCATCATCCGTGTTCCAAGCTCCTTCAGTCCAGTCGCCATCAAACCCTTCATTCAGCTTCTCTTCTACCTCACAAACAACCGCACAGCCTTCACAGTCGCCACCAGTCTCTTCAAAGAGCCCTTTCGGCTTTTCTCCCGTGACAGGTGATGCCAGCAATTTACTAAAGCCAACACAACAATCGACCGAACCAACACAACCTCCTGCCTCTCTTTTCAGCAAACCCGCACCCTTCCCCAGTGAAGCGCCTACTTTCACTCAGGATGCATCGTCTCCAACTACAGTCAATGGCATCCCTGAAGTACCGGCGGTCAATGCATCTCCTCTCGAATCGAAGCTTCCACAATTCAACTTCAGCCAGCCTTCTCAACCTAAAAAGCCAAGTCCCTTATCACAGTCATTTTCTCTGGACAACAAAAGCGAAAGCACGACACCAAAGGCTCCGACTGCATCGCTATTCCAGTCTTCTGTTGAGCCAGTATCGCAGACTCCCGTCGCTCCGCTACCAAAGCCCACGAAATCCAAAGATGAGATACTTGAACAGCTCGCTCGAGAAGTTGTCATGGATGCCGATAGAGGGTTGATCAGACAGTTTGTTGAATACCATGCTCGTCAGACAGTTATGGGAGTCTATGATGAGTTATATATGGAGAGCATCCGGGAGCTTGCGGATACCTTCAGAAGAGAGACTCTTTCCTACAGATTTGGCAAAAGATGGCGCGAGATCTGTTGGCGAAGAAGACTGGCCCGACAGGGTAGAGAACGTCGCAAACGTGCCAAGAAGGACCAGAGTGCGCGCGAGCTAAAGAGGAAGCTCGCCGCCGAAAAAGATGCTGTGGATGATTTTCTCAAGTCTACAAGGTCAACTGCGCATTTGGGCGCAAGCCTTCGGGATTATCAGACCGAGCAAACGTCCCAATGCAACGCTCAAACCCCTCTTGAGGAAGACACGGACCAAGCGACAACCAACAGTATATATGGGAACAAGAGGTTGAAGAGTTTGGACGAGGTCGACCTCAAAACACCTAGGAGAAAACAGCCGACCGCGACTCCACGCTCCAACTTCCTGGGTTTCAGTATGCTTGGCTCTCAAAATTGCCCTGCTATATCCAGTACACCTTCTCGGTCAAACTATTTCCGCTTGAAAGCTTTGGGTATCGATCCTGCAGGAGATACGAGTTCTGCATCTCAAGCCAAGAAACGTTCAAGAGAGGACAGCGAGGAAGCTCAAACAGAAGCACAACCTCCCAGCAAGAAATCACAAACACCGCCATCGGTCGCAGAGACCCGTCCTCCAGGCTTTATACGTCCGCTCGCTCCTGCAAGTACGATTACCAAATCTCTCGGTGGTAGTTTAGCAGGGACTGTATCACTTTCCAAGGCCCGGCAAGAAGATGAAGAGCTTTTGCCCGTGCGCGAGCGGCCAGACAAGCCATGGCAGACTCAAGCACATGGTACAGGTCAGAGATTCGGAAAGACGACACTAGACGCAAAGAAGAAGCGGCCCGCTCCCTAACATCGCCCTCGATGGAGCGCGCTCGTGAACTCGCTCGTCTTCGCTCCACAAGATCTGGTGCAGCGTCACCCGATGTTCCCGCCTATCGATTGCGAGAAAGTCGTTTCGTGCCACGAGCGCAGTACAACCTAGCAATCGAGAAGGCGAGACAGAAGATTGAGTCTAGATCAAGGAGTCCGTCACAACAGTCAACACCCAGAGCATCTCAGTCTCCCAGCCGTTCGGCTGGAAAAAGCTTGATGGCTCTGTCTGCGATGAACACGCAGAGTTCTCCTCTTCCTGTTCAATCGGACGGACAAGACACCCAAGCGACTGACAGCATGGCCCAATTTGCTGCCCTACACAAAGCTCCTGAAGACTCCGCATGGCAGTACGAGCCAACCTTATTCACTGAGTCTGTTGACAAGGCAGATTCCGAACCAGAAACCAATGGGCATGGGAACAATCTTGAAACTCTGGCTCAGAGCGCCATCAACGAGTACGTTGATCTAGGATCGGATGATGAAACCGAGGACTTGCAACATGTCGAACGCTCCGACCAGAGTACATTCGAGGTCAATGACATGGTCAATACGGAAGCATTCGCCGACGATGATGATGACGACGACGAGGAGGAGGACGGCGAGGAAGCTGACGATGAGGCCGAGGATAATATAGGAGGATACGCTCAAAATCCTGAAGATTTCGAAGACGAAGAGGTCTATGACGAAGAAGACTTCGAAGAGGAAGAAGAGGGGCTCGATGACTACGACGAAGAAGACGATGAGGATGAAGAGAAATCGGACATGTCTGCCAACAATGTCAGCAATAACAATATCAAGGCAGGGACTGGCACAGCCGATGACGCATTTGAGCTCAGCGATTAATGATTGGACAAGAAAACTTGACATACTAGTTTGGTAAATGTAACCAATTGACTGGAATCACTTGAACATTGAAAGAAGCCATCGACTTGTCTATTCTTAGTTTGTGAGGTTCCTTCTCGATAGGATGTGCGTAAGAATAAAGACAAAAGTGATTATACGCGTCCATGGTTCTCGACTAACAATGCCTTCATGTAATCACTTGGCTCATACAGCCACTGCTCATTGATGAGCGTCTTGCCGACGGAGTCTCGTAGTCGTGTCATGACTTCTGCTTTAGGTCTTTCAAGTTCNTGGGAGAATTCGTTAGCTAGCAAAGGTAGAGACAAAGTAAGAGACGGACCATGCTCGTCCCATCTCTTGCTGTTCCTTCCACCAGCGGCAGTTCCAGATGCCCAATACTCTTGTATGAGAGCCGTCAAACGTTGTTCATCTTCGAGGTCTGTAGCTTGTCAGAATGAGGTCGGATCGAAGACAAAAATGCAGATCATACCTTCATCCTCTGCGCCATTGATGTGCTCCCCTAAAGCAGGAACCTCGTGCAAATAGTCGCCTCTTTCGTCTCTCACGACCATATCTCCAAGAGGCTCGGGCTGGTTTCCTTCATCGGGTTCAATGGTTGTCTCAGTGGCGGCTCTGGCTCGCCTGGTCCGGGTTGCCCTACCAGCAGCGGCAGCACGCCTGCTCATCCTGTCTCCAGCATCGTCCGAGTCTTCGAGGACCAACTCGTTCAGATGCGTCGAGGAAGGGCCAGTTGCAGTTGGACGTCGTGAGAGTGTTGGAGCAAAGAGGCTGCGTGCGGCCGAGTTAGCCCGCAGGGCATGGCCTCCAGAACTGTACGTGTCGTGCAAGTGACTTGTTGCGCGCGATGTGGGACGCCGCGGTGCATCATTGAAGGGATCATGTGGGCGAGGTGGCATGTTTCTGAGTACGTGCAAGTATGTGTGTAGGGGAGTGATGTTTCGAATGGGTTGGATGATTTGGTTGGTTGCTTGTTTGTTGTCGTCAAGACGGCCTGTCAGATTCTCAAAGTTGTTATACAGACGGAACTGGTTGCGGTCGCTGCCTCCTGGCTGGGACTTTTACGGCTAGCACGATTGACCAGACCGTAATCTGGATCAGCGTCACGAGATGGCCAAGTGATCAAGTTTCACAGTACTTCGTATTAATGCTGACACGGAGGAGCAAGGAAAAGAAGGGTTCACATATAGTTCAGGGTCCAGATGAAAGAGATGAGATTTTTGTGGTCTGTATAGCGCCGGGTTGGAGAGCCAACAGCGGGCAGATGATTGGAAAGAGAGCAAAGACGTTGAGCTGGCCAGGCTCGGGACATGGAGGAGGACCTGGATACCGAGTGTGTAGGGAAGGAGCGCTGGAGTGGTTCGTCGCACAGGCTCCGCCAAGGCGAACAATCTGGCAGGAAGCCCCCAAAGTACGAGTACCGACCAAAAGCTAAACGTAGCTGCAGCGAGAACAGGCAGCCCCTGGCACTCTTTTTGTTTGACCGTTGAGTGTGCTTTTATCTCCCGCCCGCTGCACCATCTGATCGATCATCCTCCTGCGACGCACCGTCCCAGCACCGTCAGTCCGGCGCCTTCTTTCTTTCTGGCCATCGTCCGCCATGCGCTAGCCCTGAACCCGACCACACACAGCCCGTCCACGTCCATACATCACTAGACCTCCCACCATGTCGCTCTCACGCTCTCCTTCACCCAAACGAGGCGGCGGCTGGGCCAGTCCTGGACTCAATGCCAACTTCGCCCAGAGCAGGAGCTCCACCNCCGTGACGTCCTACAGCCAGAACCACTCGGTCACCTGGGCCTCTGCTCAAGCAAGAAGCCATCAGGTCAACGGATACCCAGCATATCAAGACGCCGGCTCAAGCTTCTTTGGCAAACACATGCGCAAAATCTCGGCGAGCCTACCCTTCTTCAACAATGGCCCCAAGGACGAGCGTCGGGCCGAAAAGGAGAAGGCGGGCAGAGGCAGATGGGCTCCTGCACGAGGAGGCTATCTTGCCAGCATCAAGTCGATGCTCGGTCGCCATATGCTGAGATCAAAGTCTCGATTTGTCCTGGTGCTGGTCTTCTTGTTGCTTATTCTTTGTTTCTATACTACCCGTACGTCAGCCGAAAGGACAGGACTGCATCTCAGCTTGCTGACATGGTGAANNACAGCTTTACATTACTGGTATCGAAGAAGCTCGTGGCTGGGCGGCGGCAGCAAATTCGTCGTCATTCTGGCAGCCAACATGGGAGGAGGAGTCATGGAGTGGAAGGGGCCTCGCGAGTGGGCAATCGAGCGCGACAGTGTGCGCAACAAGAAAAACTACGTGCACCGCTGGGGTTATGAGTTGGAAATTGTCGATATGAGCACAAAGAAACGCTACGCGCACGAGTGGAGAGAGAGCTGGGAGAAGGTCGACACGATTCGCAACGCCATGCGCAAGTACCCACAGGCCGAGTGGTGAGTGCTGATGCGCATAATGAACAACAGTTTACTGATTGCTGCAGGTNTTTGGTGGTTGGATCTCAACACGTTCATCATGGAGCCGTCGTACTCGTTGCAACAGCACATCTTCAACAACTTGAACGACAACGTCTACCGTGACATCAACTTCTACAACNCCCTCAACATCTCACACCCTCCGACCGCAGCCCATCTCGATCCCGAAAGTCTGTCGCCCATCGGAGACGGCAAGCCGGATTCGATCAACCTTATCGTGCCCCAGGACTGCGGTGGCTTCAACCTTGGTTCCTTCTTTGTCAAGCGTTCGGCCTGGACAGATCGCCTCCTCGATATCTGGTGGGACCCCGTGGGCTACGAACAAAAGCATATGGAATGGGAACACAAGGAGCAAGACGCACTGGAGTACATGTACACCAATCAGCCGTGGGTGCGGCCTCACCTTGCTTTCATCCCTCAGCGCAAGGTCAACAGCTTCCCACCTGGCGCTTGCGGCGACAATGGAGAGGACATGAACATCCACTATCACGAACACGACCGTGACTTTGTCGTCAACATGGCAGGTTGCGAGTGGGGCAGAGACTGCTGGGGCGAGATGTACAATTACCGCCAATTGAGCAACAGGCTCAACCGCAATAACTGGGAGAAGTTCAAGGACGGCGTGTCGGGAGCCTTTTCGTTCCTAAAGTCGAAGAAAAAGGAAATCACGGGGACGGAAAAGGACAATGAGGAGAAGAAGGAGTCATGATGATATCGAAAGCGGACGATTGGGATACAGGGGGAATTTCGGAGTCATGTATACATTTGCAAACGTGTTGATTTCTTGTGCCTGCCTTTGACCTGTCCCTTTGGACGCGTGCATTTCCCCAGAAGTGTCAAGTGTACAGGTGCGAGCGAGTTACGTGGCTGCTCGGCGATAGAATGTGATGGTATGTTGTGCGCGCAAGAGAAAAAAAACGAGAAGGTGCCTGACACGGAGGGATGAGGAGGTAGTCGGCCGGTGGGTTGTAGAGAGACAGAGTGTGTTTGACGGGAGTCGGTCGGATGTGTGATGCTTATGAGCTGCTGGGGGTGGTGTTTTGCTGCTCGAAGAGGTAACCCTTGACCTTGGAGTGCTTCAATTGCTCAAGGTAGCGTTCTNNGTCGAGTGTCAGACTTGAATCTCGCTCGAATGGAATGGAACTTCGGAAGGAAGCACAGAGATACGAACCTCTGAGGTGGCCGCACTTCTCGAGGTGGTTGACGCCCTCGCGGTAGTAGCACTTGCCCATCTCCTCTCTCAGTAGGCGGGCCATCATGCTCTGGACCCATTGCTCGCGCAGGACAGCATCCTGGGCTGCCTTGAGCTGCAAGTTGTTGTCGTAGTCGACGCCCTCGAAGGTTGGCGGCACCTTGGGCTTTTGCATGCGGAACTGGATCGACTCGGGTGTTGGCATCTTGGGCGATTTGTGAATTGGTTGTAGGTGGATTGTTGCACGATTGCTCGTCGTCTTCCGTGGTCGTCGTCGTCGGTGTCGATGGCCGTCGCTGCACCAAGCGATGCGCGCGACGTCCGGCACAGCGGTACAGCCCGCATCCGACCAATCACACGTCGCGCCTTACTTCTTGTTGCTCTTCCTCCAGGACACCCTTCCCGACTTGCTCTTTTCCTTCTTTGCTGCTATCTTTTCTGCATGCTTTTCGACCTTTCTGTCGATTGCGTCCTTTTCGGCCAACATCGCTTGCGGTGCGCTGTAGCTGACCTTCCACTGCCACTCGTCGTATCGCACCACCTGCTGTTGCTCAAGCTGCCCCAGAAGCTCGCTTCGTCGACGCTGGCACGTCCAGCAGAGACTTTCGATCTTGTTGCATTGATATGGATGTGTCTTCAACTCGCAACCTGACGATTGTATCGATATCGGCGAGATGGATGCGTGTCTGCACATGATCAACGGCCGCTCGCTCATACACGAATGCCCGCATGTCGTGAAGATGTACAGTTTGTGATAGCACATTGTTTTCTTTTGCTGTCTGTAATACGCTGCCACTCTTCCCAATCCTCAGAGCTATCGTAGTTATACTTCTTTGCAAAGAGCCTTCCGTTTCCGGCCGTCGCTGCTTTCTCAGGAGGCATGTAAGTTCTTTGTTCGATTTCTTGCATCTTGCGCCGAAGCACCCACTTTTGCTCCTTCGCGTTATGCAGCAAAACAGTAAGCAGCTGCTCATAGCTTGCTGTCTCAGCCAACAGGTTTCGACACATGGTGCAATGAATCGTGTGATTCAAGGTCATGTCTGGAAAGATATATGGAACATGTGCCTCGAGGCGCCTATATCACAATTCTTTGTCCTCTTTGTATCAAGGACTTGGCGCTTCACAGGCTTTACTTTAATGCACTGTCCCACCTTCGAGCACTACTTGTCAAGTAGACGTTTACCGAGTACTTCGACGTGAACACAACTTAATTCCCCGGCATAACAGTGGACGACTCTGACCTGTACATACAAGCACCATCCAAGTCTACAGTTATGGCAACGCCAACCCAGACATTCAATCTCGGGACATCTTCAGAGCCCGTCCACGTCTCCAAGGCCGCTCTGGCCATCATCATCACATTCAGCGTGGTCAGCCTGGTCGCTCTCGCAATAGCCCTGTGGATTTTGTTCCGTTTCACCTGCTCGAGTAAGGGAAGAAGGGCAGGTTACGCGGTCAGAGACGGACGAAACGAGCACTCCTNNCAATGGTGGAAGCAGGCAAACCCACCGGCCGACTCTACCAAGTCCTCAGAGACGCCCTATGTGGGCATCGTACCCGCTCCCGAGCTGGCTCCCGAAGACGGAAACTTGAGAAGTCGATACATTGGAGAGAAAAGTGCTTAGCTCACGAATCGAAGTTCAGGATGGATGTGCTTGGAGGACAGAACAATGCTTGTACATGTCATGCTTGGTCAGGTATCTGTGCATATTTATATCATTTGATTTGCCATACACCAACTCGAGACGCTATGCAACATGCAGACTGGAAACACAACTCAATATGTGAACCAAAAGCATTAATCTTGAACACTTACTGATGCCTTTTCGGCAACAGCAGCCTCTTGATCTTGTGTCTTTGGCTGCTCTTCATCCTCGTTCTCGGCTTCAGGTATAGCAATGGATTTCTCGAGCTCTTTGATCTCCTCCGGATCCGCGATGCTGACACTGCTTCCTCTGTGCTTTTGCTGGATAGAGCCGGCAGGAGTCGCTGCGGCGGAGGTGTCGTTTGACTCGACGGCTGCTAGAGGTGCAGATGATGGTGCAGCCGATGGCTCTACTGTGTTCGAAGGTGCTGGCGCATTCGAGGCCTGGGCGGCCGTGTCTTCAGCCGTGTGAATGCTCTCAACTTTGGTATCAGATGACGAATTCATCGTCTCGGGCTTAGTAGCGGCATCTGCTTCGGCCAGGCTCGACTTGAGTGGAGCAACCTTGGTATCGTTGATACCGGGNGTAGGACCNTTGCGTGCAGCACCTATACTGGCGGCCTGGGTAGCAGCTTCCTTCATCGACAGATTGGCCATAGGCGACTGCAGGGGCTCGTTCTTGTCGTCGGCTGATTTGGTTGCGGCAGTCGCGGTAGGCTTGACTGGTAGTTGGGCAGGCGGTTGGGTGGTAGGATGCATGGTGGCTCGAGTGGTTACTGCTTCACCGCCTGGCGCAGGGGCGGAACTGGCAGGTGCTATGTCACCAATGTTTTCTTTGATCTCGCCAAACTCGTTCCATTCTTCGACTTCGTCGAGGTCCNNTAGATGCAGTAGCGTTAGTAGGGTATGGCTATTCTCAGGGCCAAGACGTACAGCTATCACGTAGCCTTCTTTGACCAGAGCAGGCAGCTTCTTGCCCCCAGATCGGCGGCCCCAAAGACGTTTGGCCAGTTCGTTCGTGGCCGTGTCAATGGCCATAAAGGGGATTCTGTTGGCATTAAGGATTGTCTCGATACGAGATGTTGCCGTGACGATGTGTGACGAGCCGGCCGTCAAGGATGTGAACAGGAACACTCTGCCATCCTTGTCCCATGCACTGAGGTCGTGTGCTGAAGCCATGTTGATGTCTGCGTAGAGTCTTGCTGTCTTGCTTCCTTGTCAACTGTCTTGAGAGGGCAGGAGTGTTTATTTCGAGGGGTCCTAGCTCCCCCTCTGTGACGCAGTTACGCGCAGCTTTCTGTGGGGTATCATGGTCTGTTTCAGCTCCAACAACGCGTATTTTTAGCAATAACATGTAGTACGTATTATGATTGCCAATTATTCCAAAATAACTACCAGGTATATAGACCGATCATAACGAATCGCTGAACGACAAATCTCGATTGCCTCCTTTTCTCTCAACCCAAACCTCGTTAACGCCATCCCCATAGCTGATCAATAGGCCTCGATCTGTTGAGGCATGGCGACCTGGCCAAGCGACATGTTCTCCTTTGCAATGAAGAGATTGCTGAGAGCGTCACGCACTTCGAACTCTTCCAGAACGGCTCCGAAACTGCCAAAAGTTTAGTAACGACTTCCCATCACCTTCACCATGGCTGGCCACTTACCCNNGTAGCATCTGACCTTTCCAGCAAGGTCAGCCTTGACAAGCTCAAAGTCTTGAGCTGTCATCTCAGAGACCCTGCTGTTCTGCAGAAGCAGCATCCACGCCATGACGGGCGTGAGCTCACCCTCAAGGGGCAGTTGGGCGCTGAGGTCCAGCAACTTCATGAGATCTGGAGCCTTCAGATCTGGCATCCTGTGGCCGTATGGGTCTCCAGGCTTGTTCATGATGTGTGACGCCGGAGGGCATGTGGCCATCAATGCGTGGCCGCACATGTGATCATACTCTGTATCATCGGGCCTCTCCATAGGATGGTGGAAGGGCTGTCCTTCGGGATTGTGTGAGCGGACCACGAGGTATTGCATGTGATCCATACAGGGCCGTTCGAGACTACGCAAGGGACGACGTCAGCCCAATCGCGAGACGATACAATAGCGGCAGTGGGGTAACGATTGGAATTATTGGTTCGGCGGGGGTGAGGGATAAGCTGCCCTGTTAAGAGGCTGGCCTTGGGAGTCGTACGTCAAAACAAAATCAATGCCAATCTGATCGTAATCCAGATGCTGCGTGGGCAATTGACCGGCGCTAGCCATGGGCTTGGAATCCTGAGAGCGAAGGGGAGGAGGACTGAAGCCGGCAGTGCTGGAATCTTGACGATAGCTGCCAGAAATGCTGCCGCTAGAGCTGCCGTTATACGAAGCAGGCATGCCGCGCATTGCCGGAAGTGATTGCAGGCTATCGAGTGGGATGCCGTGGGCCAGAAGGAGTTCCTTGAGACGCTTGTTCTCACTGACAACAGCGTCACGATCGGAGATACTAGATCCGTAGAGTTCCTTGAGACGGAGGACTTCGTGTTCGAGAGCCTTGATGTACATTTCCTTGCGTTCTCGGTGCGTTCTNTGAAATGGTTAGGCACGGGTTGACAAGAGTGAGACGAGCATCGACTAGGCATACCTTTGGGCTTGTCTGTTCAGTTCCTGTCTACGAGTCAAGGCAGGTTTGCTGTCAGGCTTGGGCCCGCGTCGTTTTGGGGCTGCTCCATCTGCATCTGCGTAAGAGACAAAAGGTTTGCTGCAGAATTTGTCAAGCGTCACATACCTTTTNGTTTGCTTCTTATCAAGACCGAGGTTCTTCAAGAAGCCAAAATTCGAGAGCGGACTTCTCTCAGAGGAATGCTGGCTCTCTGGGGAAGTATACATCAGCGCTGCATTGTTGTCTGCAAGTGGCTCATCCGGCGACATGGAATGCATCGAGACCTGAGCCATGGTGCACGCAAAATGGTTGTGACAAGACGCAAGGAGGGGCAGGAAGGGAACAAAACTGGGGTTGATGGGAGGGGAGGCTTGATGATATACATAAAACGTGGAAACGTACCCAGATCGTGAGCACTACTCGGTGCCTGGGGACCAGCGTTAGGCGCCGACATGTCTAGCGCAGGACTGTCGGTACAGAAGATTTGACTATCGAAGAGGCGCTGGCGAATCGCGGCGGTCTGGAACGCTGGCGGAGAAGTCAGTCGTTATGAACAGATCAATGACGATCTGAAAACTAGCACGGAGAGATCCGCGAGGCCCGGGTACATTTGTCATGCGAGACGAGGAAGCTTTTCCATGAACGCCAGAGGACAGATTGAGTGAAACTAGGGGACAGACGGCCGTGCAACTTACAGCAACTTTAGAACATTTGCAGAGGACAATATGGAACAAGGTGCTGTCTGGGGGATCAAAGATGGATATAAGTGCAAACTCCTCTTCTTGCGCGACGCGAACGCGATCACACCAAGGACTCGGCCGAATCCGTGGCAGGGCAGGTGATGTGCGCAGAGGGACAACGGAAGATGTCAACCGTTTCGTCCGCGCGAGCCAGGGAGAGACAAGACAGACGAGTCTCAGGACGACAGGACGCCTCAGACGTTGCGGTTGCTGTAGAAGCTGCTCAACCCACACCTGCTTCTACTGTGTTGTGTGTCAAAGAGTTGACGCGGTGTTGGCGCTCGCTCGAGGAAATGGTAGAAGGGGAAAGCGAGTGGTCATGGCAGAAGAGAGAGATGAGAGGATGGCCATGTTGCGCCAGAGTGGAGTCAAGGTCGGCGACCAGCGATCGTCCAACCAAAAACGATCTAGTGTTTGCCCTTTTCCATGCCTCCATGTCGCGCCCGCCGCCTGTGCGAGCCGTCCCGCCGGATCTCTCTATCCTTCTCTTCACATCTTGACCGAGGCCAGCGCGGTGACGCTCCAACAACGTAACCCTTCTGCTTACCGCGCACGCAGCCAGCCAGCACTTGTGTTTTGAAAGCTCCTTGGCAATCGATGGCATCCCTGAACAGGCAAATCGTTGCTTGCTTGTTCCTGGTTTTACGCTTTGTTTTTCTGACTTTTGGACCCTGGTTAGTCCACGTCGTGATCGCTGACGTCCTGCTGTCCTGTCTGCTGCCATTCGCGTTCCTCTTTCCCACCTACACCTACCATTTGGCCTCTACTATTGCCGAATCGGTATGGCGTAGTGTGCAGCGCATCTGCGAAGACTCGAATGGCGCAGACATCATCCTGGCTGGAGATGAGTTGCCGGCTGGCGAAAGTGCAATCGTCGTCGCAAATCACGTAGAATGGTCCGATTTCTACCTTATTCAAGCCTTGGCCATTCGTGCCGGCATGTTGGGCCGCTGTCGATGGTTCGCGAAGAACGCTCTCAAATGGGTCCCTGTACTCGGATGGGGCCTATTGGTCATGGGCATGCCGCTGGTCAGTCGCAAGTGGGCCGAGGATAAAGATGAGATGGAACGGCTGTTCAGTGGCATCAAGAAAGGAGGCTGGCCTATTTGTATGTCCTGTCTTCACAAACATACACAACTGTATCGAGATGGCTGACTTCTCACAGGGCTTGTCTCTTTCAGCGAAGGAACAAGGTATAGGCCAAAGAAACACGCGGAAACTGTCCGCTGGTGTGAAGCTAACGGCAAGTCATCCCCTCAACACACTTTGCATCCTCGTGTGAAGGGCTTTGTCGCTACTGTTCAGCAACTGCGCAAGACGCCTCATGTCAAAGCTGTGTATGACACTACAATCGCTTACGCCGAGGACGACAAGTTTATGTCGCCGCCGTCCTTCTTCAAAACCGTCTTCCAACCCAACCTGGCGCAGAGACATCGAATGTATGCTCATGTCCAACGTTTTGAGTTGAGCTCCCTGCCCGAGACGGATGGGGAGATTGCAGGGTGGCTCGAAGAGAGATGGGTGGATAAAGGTGAGAGACTGGCAAAGCTCAAGAAGTCGCTAGACTATGGAGAACCATGGAAAGGCAGAGCAAACAAAGTCTAGAAGGTCGAAACCATTTGTCGGTTTCTCTCTCTCTTCTTGGATGTTCTTCGATCTTGTCGTCGACCAATATGATTCTAATCTCGAAAGAGGCATAGTATAGCTTGCTGCCTCTCAAGCTAATGTAATTATTCTACAAACAGCATATTTTCACATCTTCACAGTTAGTCTTCAATGTGACTGGAAGTGTCTGGAAGAGTAGTGAAAAGACTGTATGGTCCTACTCGCTTCACCAAGATCCCGCTTCTTAAATCTTGTCACTTCTCTACCACAGTAGACCGCTCACTTCTTCGCTATCACAGTCGGTGGTTCTCATTTAAGCTTCTCTTTCCCTCGTTACAGTTGCGCTTCTCGACACACTTCTCTTGGACTCTATTACTTAGTCCATCGCCTTTGGTCTTGACACACGAACCAACCAGTCTTCGTCGAGGTAGGTGCTTGATCATTAACCTAACATTAACACGAGCGCTGGGCATTTTCGTTGACACACCCAAGGCCAAACATCACTCACCGCTTATTCTAGCAGTTGTTACTCAAATGAAGGTTGATCGTCGACATGGCACCCAAGGAAAAAGCCCCTCTAGCGAGTTACAAGTATGCTGGGGTCTCATATTATGTTACTTGCGACCAGATTCTAATAAAGATAGGTACCTCACTACAGAAGATCTCAACAACTTCCGTACCAACCTCATCAAAACTCGTGAGATGACTTCCATCGTCGATGCTGCCTTCCAGCAACTCAATACTCAGATTCACAACGTCAATGCCAGTGGCGCAGTATCAACTGCCATCGACCCGATCAAGAGAGAAATCCGCAGATGCAAGGAAGTTGTCGAGTCTGCTTTGGAATTTGCTCGTTCCCAGGAGGAGGTCTCAGCAGTTCTGATCGACCAAGGCCGCTCTGGTGATGCTCTCACTGCCATCAATGAGGGTCTGGTGGCCATTTCTGAACTGACCAAGCCTCTCGTCGGCATCCGCGATCGTCTCAACAACCTCAGTACCAAAGGCTGCACCGTGGTCACAGACGGCCTTCAGCAGTCAGGTTTCGACCAGGAAATTGAGACATGGGACACTACCGTGACCGAATGGACTGGACGTATGGCCATGCCTACTTGGAAAGTCTGATTGTCATCGCTGCAAGATGAAGTCGTCTCAATTTGACGAAGGAACGGGGCTATACTCAGAACCCACGACTATGTAGTCTTTTCCTGACAAATCTCAAAATGAACTCAAAGCTCTTCTCACAACAATGCTCAACAAGCAAGTGGAGAGGTCCTGGAATTCCACGTGGTTATTCACGATACTCGATCTAAATACGCTCCATGTATCCTGATTAGCTTGTCAACAAAGAACAGCACAATATCTATAGTTGCCCAAGGCACCATGACTTGAAATGCTCTTCTACTATTCGCAAAGATGGACCAGCTGCTTGTACTACTAAACAACTTCTCCAATGTGATAGGTGTTGTGGTCTGCAAGAGTAGTCGGTGCATCGATGTGGTCTTCAGAAGATGCAGGCTACGTCTCTTTCCAGCAATGAAAGTACTTCGATGTACTCGAGTATGCATTTGATCTCTCTATGGAAGAGGATCTCAGATGCGTCTGACAGCTACTCCAGATGCCACGGCACACCTAGACAAGCCTGGCAATACCCTTCTTTGCATGATCATTGTTAGTGTTCAAGAATTTCTGGCAGAAAGGTTCAGCCGGCCCGTTAAAGCATCGAGATGCATCGCTTGCTTCACGAAACGGACGATCCAGAGAAGAAAAGGCGAATAGTCCCACGTTAGGGGTTCAAGATGTCAACACGATAACAAGGTGTTAAATCGTAACTACCTTAGATAGGTGCATCCTTCTAGCGCAATGTCCGCGAACCTCGCTTCAATCTCATTCTCCAGGAAGCACAGCCTGAAAGCCAGCAGGTCGGGTGGCTTGCTGGTGCGGCGGCTTCAGCTGTAACAGCATCCATGTACTCTCCGATCCTTGTCAGATGGCCGGCGTGCTAGGATGTCAAAGATAAAGTACTCCCCCGGCTCGCAGTTTCTGTGCTACCTTCATAACGTCTATTCAAAGATCTGTCACAACTTCAAGTTCAACATCATGCCCAACAGCCACACCAAACCAAACCACTCAACAGTCCAGCACACTCTAACAGCGGAGGACGACAAAAGAAAAGGCGTTGGTCGTCTGCTAGGATCTCTTTTCCTCAAAGAACCATCCGGTACGGCTTTCGCAAAAGCCCAAGCACAGCAAAACTCTCAGCCAAACGCAGGCCAGCTGTCCCCAAAGTCCAGGACAAGCAAGATAAGCCTCTGCAGACATCACGCCCGTCCAGTACATCCAGACCGTCCATATCCTCAAGCTCTACCTGTTCAAAGAGCAGCAGACCATGAGAGCTTGTGCTGTCTATAAATTTAGTCCAGGTCATACGAGCAAACAGCTCACACTTGGCGAAGATGACACTTCCCGGCCACTGAGCCAAATGAGCAGGTTCTTCCGATTGAAGAGCACCCGATGTCTGTCTGCCTTGCAGATCTGTGGACGCGGACACAGCATCGATACAACACCATACACGATCTCGTCACTCCTCGAGCACATATCTGAGCGAGCATAACTCGTGCTCTCCTTCACCGAATGGCTTTCAAGATACTGGTCCTGGAAGGCTTTCATGGCAGAGGCGACTCTAGCCGCTCAATTGTTATGTGCCGATACCCAACTCAAGAACTACCATGTCCTCAGTGCGGACATTCTTGGCGACCATCGAAGTCGCCACAGGGGTTCCGGTGGAGTCTCTGTATTTCATGATGTTGGAATTCTCAAACGAGATTGACGAGAGACGACATTACTTCGCATCCCTCGATGGTTGGCAGAACAAGGACTTCTGCGAGAGCTCTGATAAGACAAAAGCAGTAAGCTTCTACTTTTCACGTGACTTGATGTGGCTCTGGTCACGTGCGATGGTCGCGAACCTTTTCCATCGAAAAGGTGAAACTGTCAAAGGTTGGCGCAGGCCCGGCAAGACTTGTTTTGTGTTTATGCTTGAGACGTGCGTGGAAGCAGGGGTGTTCCAAGACCGGAAGGGTCACATCGCTAGATGTCCAAGGACTACTTTTGTCTTTACATCTATCGTCATTTCAAGAAGACTAGCTGTTTGGACTTTACATCTAGAAGAAAAACCGGTAATGGTCTCATTGCGTAGTACATGTAAATCTCAAGCAAACAGGAACCAAATGTAGAGCCACAGTTTTGATTATCATAACGCACTCAGATCCAAATTGTACGACATGTGAACAATGCAGGCACGCAGTGGCTTCTCGATGAGTTGTATACACCTAGGGACTGGGCTGTCCTAAACTCGCTACACAACAGCATCACAGAAGAAGAGTTTGTGGTCTAGGACGAGTTATCCGTAAAGACGTGATATACGCAACGAGTAAAATGGCAATCCCTTCGATGGCACTGACAGAGTTTATTAGGCTACGACAGGAGATACAAAGCCACAGGCAAGTTCAAGGTCAAAATAATAATGGTAGAAGTTCAGTTTTGTTTGTGCATTGCTCTATTCAGTCTTGCAAGCCAAGGAAGAATCCTAAAGAGGATTAATGTAGTAAGAAGGGAGTCAGTGTTGCTCCTGTCAGCTTTCCACGTCGAAGAAAAGCCATTAGCCGTAAGTCCCAGTCCCTTGCAGTGTACGCCACGCCCCGATTAACCAGCAAAAAGTACAGCAAAAGCCTTCCTATTATCCTATGCCGATGCAGCGTTCGACAGTAAAAGACTCAGATGGATGAGTGGTTGACCGCTTAAAGAGCGAGGTAACCAATGGCACCAACGAAAAGAGCACCGATCATACCAGTGGTAGTCTGGTGGACGCTGGCAGCAGCGTTACCAGAGGCAGATGCGCTGGCGGTAGATCCAGCAGTTCCCGAGGCCTTGCCGCTCTTGGTGGAAGAAGCAAGAGTGGAAGATGCCTTCAAGCTCTGGGTAGAGACAGTGCCGTTGGTTGAGTTACCACCAGCGACGACAGTGCTCACGCCGGCCGAGGGGACGACAGCTGCAGTAGTGCTGACAGCGGAAACAGAAGTGTCTGTAGTGGCGTTGACAACGGGAACGGGCATGCGAGTAGAGAGGGCCGAAGATGTAGTGGCAGGGGCGACCTCAGCGCTCGATTCGACAGCCGAGGAGATGGAAGAGGCAACAGCACTTGATGCCACAGCGCTCGAGACTGACTCGACGATTGCGGAAGAGACAGACGCAACGACGCTGGGTGCCGAGGATGCAACCACAGAAGAAGCAGCTTCGGTAACGGGGGCCTAGATATGTTGTTAGTCCAAGGCTCTACTGTTTGGTTGTGACCACCATCAAGCAGAACAGAAGATGAAGAGCTTACCTGGATCTGACCATCTGAGATCTGGGTGACAACGCCGGCAAAGGCGGTGCTGGCCAAAGCGCTAACGAAGAAGGCGGTACGCATGTTGATGATTGTTGTTGTTGATGGAGGTTGAGATTAGAGTTTGATGTAGTTGAGAATGGTGAAAGAGTCTTGGTTGGATATTTAGCGAGAGTAATTTGCAAGAGGAATGCAAGAGCGGAAGACGGAGTTGGAGGAATGAGTGAGAGTACTTGATAGTCAGTGAGGGCCAGGGGTTTTATGGCGATGGAGAGACACGCAGTTGTCTGAGCCTAGACTGTAAATGGAAGGTTTACGTCCCCTTTGGCGTGTCCAAACAAGCTCCAAACAAGATTGTTAGTGTCCGGCGCTGCATATTGCGTGGCTGGCCGCCGAAGTTGCAAGGCCAACGGAGATGCAATTGGTGCATGTTCCCCATTCCCCAGAAGGCTCTAGCATCGTGGTGGCCCGCCTTGATGCAAGGAACCCTGTCGAAAGCTGCATCGCAGTTTCATGAGTGAGAGTAACAAATTTCGGCTACAACGCATACAATCTTTCACCTCTATTCTCATCCGTCTTGCTCTGAATGACCTCTGAGCTTGACTGCTGCGCACGCACAGAATACGCGTCTTTGTTGACGAATGTAGAAACTCGCCATGAGCACAACCAGGCGACGTCTTGGTCGTGACGCTAAGAGTGCGCGACAGGCGGGCTATCTCGCCTAGTTCAGGAACGCCTACGCGTACGTCCGTTGCTTGACCCTTGAATCCAACGCTTCGACGACCCATGTGAACAATGCTGGCCCAAGAGCATGTGCCTGCCCAGCCACGAGCTGCAGCATCTTGTAGACTGAACACCATTGTGTGACGGCAAATTATCCAGGCTGCTGATATATAGGATGCAGTCCTTGCTTTGCGGTAGTCATTACTGCGCCTCTGCTGGCGTTGTCCTGGTCCCCAACCACTGTCCTACTGCGATGCATTGGTGGCGCTCAGATTTGCAGTTAGTCATGCCGTCCCACAGCCTCCGTCGGTCGATTCATCACGCAACCAGTCGCTTGTGAGAATATTGGCTTCTGCACTTTGTGGTCTGGTCATATTGTTGGTGGCTGAATCGAAGCAAACCTTTCACCTCAACCGAACGAGATTGCTGCTCATTGAGAGGTTTTGACGGTCAATCTGCTTGAGAGAACTCCTTGCTTGGACTTTCGAGCAGACGCTACGAAAACAGCCGCATCGTGGCTTCTTGCTTCTTGCTTGTCGCAGTGGTGATCGTGGATCGTGAGAGGTAGGCCGTGTCAAATGATACTCTTGTATCAGATAAACAGAAAAGAGAGTGCCTCGTTCGCCTGTCTTCTATTCTTGTTGATTCGAGAGCAATCCCCTCATTCTCCCGTGGTCAAACTTACCATGCACTCGATGGCCCACTGTCTGTCGGATAATTTGTGAGAGACATGTTGCGGAGAATGGATTGGAAGTTTGTAGGACTGGAGATTTGGTCCAAGTCCCAACCAGATCCTACCAGAGCAAGACGATATCACGCCGCTCCCAAATCGACACGCGACCTGGTTCATGTTGTTGGATTCTGGATGAATTTCCACCATGTTCCACGGTTACTCTTCATGAACCGATTTTGCGGATGGAGAAAGTTGATGACTGATAATCAAGCAGGGTCGCAGTAACAGCAAGATAGGTGACGCCATCTTTGGCCCCACCAAAGATTGGGCTGGCCGGTCGCGCGACAAAAGCGACTGAGCAAGAAACCAAAGACAGCACAAGACCAACCAGACACAGCAGGACAACCAAGACGCTTCACACCACCCTCGAACACTACCTCACACCGCCTCACACATCGCACAATGGCCGCACCAAATCCCTGCTCGCTGACAGAGGTCGCGTCGGACGCCGACTTTGCCAACTACACCAACAACCTCCCAGAGTCGAGCACGCTGCTCATCTACTTCCACGCTCCATGGGCCGAGCCATGCAAGCAGATGTCGACCGTCCTGTCCACTCTCGCCTCGACCTACACGGCCACTTCGCCGCCCACCATCTCTTTCCTCGCGCTTGACGCCGAAGAACTCAACGATGTCAGCGAGCACTACGACGTCACCCAAGTCCCATACATTGTTATCCAGAAGGCCGGCAAAGTCCTCGAGACCATCTCTGGTGGAGACGCTTCTCGTGTGCGCGCTGCCGTCGAGAAGCATGTCGGTTCCGGCAGTGGCAACGCTGGCGGCGCAGGCCTGCCTCCGGCACAGCTCGTCAACAAGCCAGAAGGAGGCAGCGCAAAGAACCTGGCAGCCTACGCACCCTCAGCAAACGACCAAGCCACCGCTCCCGAGTACTCGGCTTCCGAGGCCAACCCCGAGACAAGCAAGGAGGAATTGAACAACAGACTCGGCGAGCTGGTCAAGGCCGCTCCCGTCATGCTCTTCATGAAGGGAACGCCTTCTGCTCCCCAGTGTGGTTTCTCGCGCCAGACAGTCAGCCTTCTTAGAGAAAAGGGCGTCCGTTATGGCTTCTTCAACATCCTGGCCGACGATGACGTGAGACAGGGTCTCAAGGAGTTCGCAGACTGGCCTACCTTCCCTCAAGTTTGGGTCGGTGGCGAGCTGGTCGGTGGTCTTGATATCGTAAGTCCATTCGCCATGTCTTCTATAGCCGGAGCGTGTCCACTGACGTTATTATTCTTCACAGNNCTCAAGGAGGAGTTCGAGAACGACCCAGACTTCTTGGGCGACTACTCAGTCAGCGGCAAGAAGGGCGGTCCCGCTGCTTAATTTGCTGGCAGCCCGTTCAATGCACCTGACGTCCAGTCACAAAAGACTCATATCATTTACTATTCCGAAATGTTTTTATGCCCAAACATAGACGATTATGCCTTCGATACCATCAATGCAACTGTCCTTCCATCACTTCACGATAATTGGCACTACAGGTTTACAGTATGCATACTGGTTTCATTTACAGTGCTCGTCTAGGCCTGGATTTTCTCCCAAGCAGCTTCCATATCGATTTCACCGGTCGGCTGAGGTCTAGGAAGCAAATTGTGGTGAGCAATAGAAACGTGCTTGCGCCACACTTCTTCAGTAGCGAACTCGAGCTCACAACCGGTATGCGCACATGGGAGAGAGTCCGGGTCATCGGTGTTCCGAATGTAGTCGGCACACATCTGGAATCTNCTGTTGTTCCTTTCAGCAACGTTCACGTAGTGTTCTATTTGGCGAAGACTTACGCTATTACAGTCAATCCATGGGCAATGAAACTCGACCATGGATTCCTCATTCTTNGACTGCTCTCCACCTTTGTTTGTCAGTGCTTGTTTCTGCTGTAGTAAAGCCTCCCTTGACGGCTCCAAACGTTGCAACATATGATTTTCATGGAGGCTGTCACCTATTGGTGCTTGCCTCCCTGTGATCATGGCCGAATCCTGTTCGTGATGCTGTCTTTGCAAGAGATCCTGTCCGAGGGCTTGCGTTTGACCACTGTAAGTACGAAACAACGACGCCTCGAACTCGGCCCACTCCTGCGCGTCTTCTCCTCCACAGAGTTGGTTATAAGATGACTCGAGTGAGTCTGCCTGCCTCTGCCCAGCAGTATTCTGGGGCTGTGTTACGGCAGGCATTTGCGAGAAGATAAGGTGTAGCCTACTGAGGGCCCTTTCTTTCCGCCGTTGCGATTCCGTATGGTAGGTATTTCTAATTGTGTTTGCGCTGATGTGTTGCCTTGTAGACAGCTCTTGGAAGTTGACCTCGTTCGCCTTGGAGAAGGACTGTTCAAGATGGCCGTCCCAATCTATCGAATGATGTTCCGAGTCTTCACGGTCGATACTCTGCTGCGATAGCTCGTCCGCCGAATACCGTAACTCTGCCGGTGACTTTTGTTTCGACCTGGATAGTTCAGGCTCAAAGCTGTCGTTTCTCCTAAGTTGATCTCTCTGCCACGGCTCGTTATCATCTCCATTAACCAGTGATAGGTTCAAGGTTGATCCAGATCGTGAGCTCGATGCACTCGCGTCTTTCATGTTGCATTCTTGCAACAAAAAACCAGAAAGTTCTGCGTCAACATCCGTAGCCGTATTGAGGCCAAAATGAAGGGGTGTGTCCCGCAAGGATCCATTTACAGTATGCTCTCGGTAACTCAATAGTCTAGGCAAATGTGTCGACGATGATGTTCCACGTGATGTAGTGGAAGAGAGTTTATGAGCACTTCTCAGCGTTGCGAGCTGGTTTGTCGTTTCCAAAGCGCCATGACCGCCGTTGTTCGAAAGTATATCTTTTGTTAGTCCTGCCGCCGATTCTCTGATCCTCGAAGACAACGTTGGTTGCTGCATTTCTGCAATATGTCGATTGAATTGTCGCAGTCTTCAGTACAAGGCAACTTTTCAAAGAGCTCATTGAAAGAATTGCGTCAAGATGGTGTTCGTAGTGTCAAGCCTTGACCATCCTAGCGCCCAGGGCAAGCGTCGGGCGCAGTAATAATGGCCTTCGAGAAGTGGACCATAGGACAACACAGCTGATGCTGTCGATGAGTATGTGAGTGCACCGGAGCAGAGCAAGAAGTGAGAAGATTAGAGAAGAAGAAGAAGAAGAAGAAACAGCTCCCGCCGCTGACAAGAGTCCATGGTCAAGACGCATGATGCACGCGATACTTCTCTACTTCAGGGCAAGAAACGAGCTTGCCCGACTCCACACTTTCTCGAATTGGCAGTCCCAGTCGAGTCATCTCTGCGTACGGAAGGTTATTGCGACGACGCGTCTACTTCGTATATCCGCTCCTGCAAGACGACTAAAACGATGTACAGTGTGTGGAAAAGGAAGAGAACAGGTTGGACTTCTGTTACAATGGAAAAGAATCAACAACTCAGTGGTATCATAAAATCTACAATGCAATGAATGAGCAAGCGAGAGAAATCCATCTCAGAGCTCGTCTTTGTACGTCTCTTCAGTGCCCTCTGGCACCTGGTCGTCATCAGAGGGCACATCGTCGCCGGGCTTGGACTCGACTTTCTTCACACCGGTCGTCTCGGCGTCTTCTTTCCGAACCGAGTCTGATTCCTCATCGCCCAGCAGAATACCTCTGTATTCGCGTCCGTCTGGCGTGTCAAAGACTTTGAGCTCCCAGCCTTGACCGCCTGCGATCTTTTCCAATTCCTTCTTTAACGCCTCGACACTCTTTGCATCACCAAGGCCGAGCCTCTTCAGGTCGTCTGCAGACATGGCCTTGCCGAAGCTGTCGGCGATGGTCTCGACAAACTTGTCCTTGGTGCCTCCCACAATGGACGACTTCTCAATCTTGCTGCCTTCAGGGACCCATTTGTGAGCACCAACGGTAATACCACCAATAACCACAGGGGCTTTGGACTGCGAACCAGCCAATGGATTGGGCATGTCGTTCGCGAGCATGTCGGAAGCAGCGGCAACAGCAGCTTCATATTCAGGGACTTGATCTTGGTCGAGAATGGGNGAGCATGCGATCTTGTTTGCGCGATCTTTCTGAGGAGGCTGGAAAGCGACGTCGTTGCAAAGACGCGGAGTCTGGATGACCATGAGATAGGCGCAGGTCGCGACCTCCTTGATGAGCGAGATGCGGTCTGCGGTGGCCGGGTTGCAATGGAATTGAACTTCGATGCGTCGCTCTCTGCCCGTCAGGTCGCAGGTGGTGCCGCCAGCGAGGCGCTGTACAAGATATCTGCTCTCGCCACGCGTCTCAAGCTTGCCTACAGCTTTTTCGTCGGCGAGGGGTCCTTGATCGTCGTGGCGTGGTTGGTCTGGGACAGCACCAAGCATGAAACCGGGTACAGCAGGGTCCTCGACAGGAGGGTAAGCAGGGACGCCTTGAGAGGGCGGTAGTTGATGGAACTGCTTGACACCCTGAGCGTAGCAATATCTATAGCTCCACCAGCCGCTCCAGTAGTAGATGCAATTGCCTTGCATTCCCTTGAGCAACTGCCAGCCCCTAGTGTTTGCGCGAGCCAGCTCTTTCTCGTGGTCCTGCTTGGATAGCGTCTCGTTGGGTTGTGGTGAGGGCGGTTGATCGAGTAGGCGTGGAATCTGACACAAGTAGTGTTGGTTTGCTAGCACGAGTTCCTCGTAGTCATATTGCGGCTTGTCGGGCTGAGGTGCATCCGTGTCCAAGTGGGAGAGGTCGGGGTCGTCGGAGATGGATTCGAGTTTCTCCTGAGCCTGCAGGGTCGAAACATGGCCTTCGGGGAAGTTGACCGAGAACTGCAGAGCAATCAGATGGTGTGTTTAGATGAATGGGCGGCGGCGTCTCCATACCTGAGGGAAGGCGAGAACGTCGTCTTGCACGCTGAACGACTTCTGCGCAGCGACCGCCACCTGCAGAAGAGCGGGCAAGGCCCAAAAGCTCCTCATGTTGGAGTGTGACGGACGAGAGTGTGCCGCTGCTGGTGCTGGTGCTGGTGCTGGTGGATGACGATGTAACAATCAGGGTGGACAGGTGGTCACTGCGCTCCATTATTCCTTTGCCGGCATCCGCGAACTCTCACCACCAACTACACACGACCCTCGACTCATACAGCGGCGCCCACCAGCGATCCTGAGCCCCACTCTCGACATCTTCACAGTCGTCTGATCCTGTTTCTTGCCTTGACCTTTCTGCTTTCTGTTGATCTCATCCAGACCGCGATCCCCTTTAACCTCCCAAGGAATGCCCAGACATGTCATTACCTCACCACGCCTCCCCCGTGTGCTAAAGTATGTAATGCGTTTGGCTATAGAAATGTACAATGGTAAGGAGAAACAAGGCAGTACCCACCGAGAGCCAGCATCTTGGCGGCTCTCTATGGCTCGCCCTCTGCTTTAGAAAAGAATTGTGTCTTTGTAAAGCATACACTTCGCTCTACGCTCTTATGAGAGAAGGGTGGAGTTACAGACTTTAGCACATGGAGAGGCTGTTGTTTCTGCCTACATCCTTCTGCTAAGGCCGTATTCCATTCATAGCTTTGAAGGATCATGTCCAATTACTTCACTTTTGCCTGACAAGGTAAATCAACAACGGCTGCCACCATCCCAAGATGCGTCCGCGGCCTTAACAATCCTACAAGCACCGTCGACCAAATCCTATCAGATGAGGTAGCTTGCTTGCTCCTCCTGAGGCTGTCAGTCCGGATGACTCGCCCGTCAACATATTCCTTTCTATCTCCTCTCCATTCCCTCTATCTCTGCTCTGCTCCTGTCTCGGTTGTTTCACTTCCTACTGTATTGCTCATAGCCGTCAAGCTTTCGAGCTTCTAAACATGCCTGACCATCCTGCAACGCCCTACAACACGACCATGTTTTCCCGCGCCTATACTGACTCAGCTATACTCAATGACATGACGTCGATAAAATTCAACAAATGGTCCTACTCACTCGAAGGATCCCAGACGGGTTGTTACAACCCAGGGTCGCTTCCCATCGCTTTGGCAAACGATGACACTTGTTTGTTGGGCTTTTACTGTATGCTGCTCAAACATTACCTCGAGCAAGTCATAGCTCACTGAACTAGGTCCGAATTCCAATGACGAGCATCCACCACAGATGTGTCCTCCGACCTGGCAATGTGCTATCCTACGTGCCAACCAAGGAACATGTCCTTTTGTTCAAGGCCTTCTAGAACCTCTGATATGTCCTGGAGGTATCTAGCCATGTCTCAGCCACCACAACATAGTCACTAACGTGCTCAAGGTTCATATTGCCCACTTGGCGGCAAAACACGTATACCATGCGACGCAGGCACTTTCTGTCCTCAAGGTAGTTTTGAGCCCATCAAATGTGACACAGGCGCATACTGCCCATGGGCGAGCGCTCATCAGATTCCCCTCTTACCTCTTTACGTTGTCATCGCTATCAATTGCGTCCTACTTTCTTTACTGGTCGCTGGGCTAGCTTACTCAAATTGGCGAAAGTGTAACAAGCCAAACTATTCTAGAGTTGACATGAAAGTCACAGAAGATGATCGAGAGGCACTGCGAAGTTTGAACATGTCACCTCGCTATTCGGTCACGATAGCCGAAGTTTCACCTCTAAACCTGGCACCAGCTTCCCCACTTCACAAGTACCCAAGACTCGAGGCAGATCTATATCGGATATCTCGGACACTACCGATACTGATGATCATTCCCAAGAACCCGCCATGCAGAAGTTTCTGATCTATGTCTCTCGCGCCATACATACAAAGGAGCTCGGCTTGTCTTTCGACTTTGAGGGCTTGGCTTTCAAGACTCGTCAAGACTTGGAAATCCTTCACAACATCACTGGCTCAATTCCTAGAGGTACCATGACCGGCATCATGGGTGGCTCAGGTGCAGGCAAATCGACGCTCGTAAGGGCACTGATACGAGGCAAATCGAGTGCAGGCACACTCAAGATTAACGGAGTCATCGAAGATATGAAGAAGTATAAGAAGCTGGTTGGTATGGTTCCCCAAGACGATATCGTCCTCCCAGAACTTACAGTTCGAGAAAACATCTTGCACTCGGCACGGATGAGACTGCCTTCATCGTGGAATGATAGGGCCATTCAAGATTATGTGGACTCGCTGATTGCTTGCGTTTCTCTTACACACGTCCAGAACTCGCTAGTTGGCGATGTCAGGAAGCCAATCATATCGGGAGGCCAGCGCAAGCGTGTGAGCGTAGGTATAGAACTCGCGGCCGCGCCGTAAGCCCTATATCTAGATGAACCCACCAGCGGACTAGATGCCACTTCAGCAGCTTCAATGATGCGATTGCTGAAGGCCATCTCGCGACTTGGTGTCACCGTAATCGCCATTATTCACCAGCCTCGCGAGGATATCTTTGTGGACTTCGACCAGCTGTTATTGCTTGCCAAAGGAAGTCAAATTTACGCCGGCGCGACCCAAGATGTGGTGCCCTACTTTGAAGACCTTCGCTACCAGTTTCTGTTACGCAGCAATCCGGCAGACATAATCATGGATATCATATCTGGCAATGGACGTCAATACTCGTCCGATTCTGAGAAGTTTGGTAGCAACACTGACCTTCTCATCAGATTCTGGCACCAGAGGGTCAATTCGGCGAGTTGAATAAGCGATTGTCGATTGCTGTAGGCGATCCAAGAAGCCCGAGGTTGTCGATAAATTCTATGCGATCGACCGCAGAGCACGATCAATCGCTACACGAGACCATGAAAGCCAGAGGAGCTTCGCGGCATGCTCAAGCGTATTATTGTGCCGAACGTGCTTTGCTGCAGCAAATCCGCAATCGCACGAGTTTCTCCTTCGAGATTTTTGTAGCTGCACTCGCCGGACTCGTCATTGGTCTGTCTGCTCACAGCTCGAACGGTCATTTGTTCAGTGGCATCTATCACCCACCTTTCACTCAAATAGCCAGCGCTGTTGATTACAAATCGGCACCACAGCTTGGTCTGCTATCTGCCATGGCTATTGGGTTGGCCTCATCCGCACCAGGCGTCTGGGTGTTCGGCGAAGAAGCACTCATCTTCCAACGCGAGTCTTCATCCGGCCACAGCAAAAGCGCCTACTATGTTGGAAAAGTGATAAGCACGTTCCCTCGCATCACCATTGCTGCACTGCACTATACAGTCATGATTGGCGTTTTGGCAACCCCACTGATGAATTTCCAAGACATGTACGCTGCGAACCTGGTATACTTTTATGCTATCTATGGCTTGAGCAATGTGGTCTCCATGTTGGTAAAAAGGGAAGACGGTCCTTTGTTGGCTGTACTACTCAGTTTGATTCTTGGTGTACTGGGCGGTGTCGCACCCCCGTTGTCAAAGGTCAAGGAGTGGCACATGGAATGGTTTTGGAGGTCGAGTCCTGGCGTGTGGTTTACTGAAGCATATTGGACTAAGATGGTGAGTCCGAGAGCGTTCTTACTGGACGTTGATCTTGCAACTCAAACCATCGGTTTCACCTTGGGTGTGTTTGGGAAGGATCTGGCTCTGGTTCTTGTCATTGGTACAGTGTACCGGTTGCTGGCTTATGTACTCTTGGTACTGTTCAGAAAGAGGCAGAGATGATGGGATACGTATATGACTGCTTGTATATGTATACTAGGTGCTTGAACATAGGAAGCGTAAAAGGATTGTGAGGTGCCCGAGCTAGCCCCCAAGTTGTCACAGTCAACGAAGATCACTCGGATTCTCAAGCTGCGTCTCAGACAAAAAGGTAACCCAGCCATCCAAAAGCAGAATACAGGGTCTTCAACAGTCCACTGGGCACATGGTACCAACGCCAATCCCCAAGGAGTGGCAACACTTCTGGCGCCTAGCAGAGAGTAACGGTGAGGTTGGCGTCAATAGCACATGTGTGGACTATGCCCCCATCATAAGCAGTCATGGGAGGACAGTTGGGATCAGAGAACGAGACGCGCCACAGCATGCCAGCAAAAGGATCACCATTAGCATTGATAACCGACCAGTAAAGGAGTCCGTCTTGAGGGGAATCGGTGAAGCCGAGAGTGAATTTGGGTGTGGAGGGAGAGAAGTAGGCCGATGTCTTGCTCAAGCCATAGGCATTGCCGATGCCGCTACGGCCTTGCAGGTAGGTTCCATTGATGGGGACGGCGTATTGGCTGGGCTGCTGGGTGGCGTTTGTGATGGTGATCCAGATAGGGATGGGGCAGTTGTTGTTGACCTGGGCAAAGGTTGCAGATGCAGAAGTGGCCAAAGCGAGAAGGCTGGCTGTAGCGTAGGCAATGAAGTGCATGATGGCGGTTGATGACACTTGCTTTGGTAGATTTGAGAACGAATAGGCTTGATGAAGATATTGGCAGATTAGGGTTGCAGTTGGATGATGTGCTGTAGCTGATGAAGTGGCCGATGGGCTGAACAAACAAGTAGAGATATGGGCAGGACCGACGCTTTTATGTCTCGAACGCTCCTACCTTGGCCCAACTTACAAAATTGTCAGGGCCTGCGGCGTCTTTCCAGACGTATCAAGGCACAAACAGGTGGAATGTTCGTGAGCAGCATGTACGCTGCAAGGAGCCGATTGGTGTAGCAAGGGAAGCAACAATGAAACCGTAGCCAAGCCCAGGATTTGCACTTGTGTGCAGTAGACCACTGTATGGAGTCGATCATTTGCACATGAGATCACATTACAGGCCCACTCTGGCGTAGTTTGTGTCGTCAAGCAGGTACCAGAGGACCAAATTAGATACAGGTCCTCTGCACAACCATACGTGGTTCAGCTGTTTGGATCTGTAACATGTAGTAGCACAAGAAGGTCGATTTGGAATCCATGGCAAGAGGCAAGATGGTCAGCAATCCTTTGAAATGCTTTGTGCACTTTTCAGAGAGTGGTCGGTCTTGTCGAATGGTAGTTCAAAACTGTCAAGAAAAGCACATCGATGGATGTTGATGTTCGACTTGAGTACAAGGCTTCAAATACTTCAGAAAGTGGTCAGATCTCACAGACTTCGTCCAGGGCACAACTGTCGAGGCAAGTTGACGCTTGGACAAGGGCAAGTAGTCAGACTGTGTTGAAGAAAAAGCTGCTCGAAGTCTGTGTGGTTGAAACAAAGGCAAGTGCTGTCGAGCAAGGACAAGGTGGAGCCTAGAGCTTGGCGGCATGTTTAGCCGTAGGACCTTCCTAATCAGCAAGACGACGAGGGAAGTCATGAGCAAGCAGAGAGAATAATGTGAGCAAGATAACGTACCCGGGCGACATGCCCTTGACCAGTCCCAGTATTCGACTCGCCGTCCGCTCTGCCAGTTCAGCGACGACACGTTCCGCCTTCCACAGCAGCTCACGAGCTCGTCTAGCTCTCAGTCAACGAAGAAGCATGGCAGCCGCCATCACACAAGAGGGTGTCGAGAAGGCCGCAAAGGACCTCAGCAATGGCCACACCAACGTCAACAACTGGTCGGCCCCTGGAGGTGCCGCCTTCGACTTTCGTTCAGATGTCATGACTCGCCCGACGACTCGCATGCTCGAAGCCATTGCCGCAACCACGCTCCAAGACGATGTCTTTATGGAAGACCCCACGTCCAATGACCTCGAGACTTTCATTGCCGACTTGACCGGCAAAGAGGCTGCTCTATTTGTCTTGTCGGGTACCATGGGCAACCAGGTTGCCTTGCGCACACAGCTCTTGGCCCCTCCTCATGCTGTCCTCACCGACCACCGATCCCACATTGTACAGTGGGAGGCTGGCGGTGTCGCCAGCATGTGCGGTGCTCTGATACAGGCCGTCGTACCCGCAAACAACAAGTACCTGACCTTGGAAGACATCAAGAAACATGCTGTTATAAGCAATGATATCCACGCTTGTCCGACAAAGGTCCTCAGTTTGGAAAACACGCTTAACGGCATTGTGACTCCTCTCCAAGAGTTCCAGCGCATCAGCGCCTGGGCCAAAGAGAACGATATACTCATGCATCTTGATGGTGCTAGGCTGTGGGAGGCTGTTGCCTCGGGTGCTGGCTCTCTCAAAGACTATTGTGCTTGTTTCGATTCCATCTCGCTCTGTTTCAGTAAAGGCCTAGGTGCGCCCATCGGCAGTATACTCGTGGGAACAAAGCAGTTCCGCGAGCGAGCCCGATGGATCAGAAAGAGCATTGGCGGTGGCTTGCGTCAAGCAGGCGTCGTCACCGCTGCTGCTCGTGTCGCTGTTGAGGACACTTATCTCGGAGGCAAGTTGTCCGCCAGCCATGACAGAGCACGCCAGATCGCTGCAATGTGGGAAAAGCTGGGCGGTAAGACATCGAATCCTGTTGAGACCAATATGTGCTGGCTGGATCTAGACGCTGCTGGAATCAGTGTCCCGGATTTTATTGCAGCTGGTGAAAAAGTTGGCCTGAGGCTCGGAGGTGGTCGCCTTGTTGTACACTACCAGATCGATCAAGAAGCCGTGACACGATTAGAGACTCTCATGAAGGCTGTGCTTCAGGGCAAGAAGCTGGAGGGCACAGTCGACATTGACCCAGAGGACATGAACATCAAGGTTGAGTAACCGTCGGGTTATGCTATGTAGTTATACACACACCTTGACTACCACCTTACCTCTCGCTCGTCCAGTATTCAACTTTGCGAAAGCCTCTCCTGCCTGATCAAACTCCCATGTGCTGTCAAGAACGATTTTGCTACGGTCGAGGCTCTCTGTCTCTTCTAGCCACTCTTTGCGGAACTCCAGGTTGACACAATCGTAGCTCTTCCCCAAGCCCATCCTTCCAAGCAGCGTTCTGATTACCATCTGGGGATTCCAGAGGTATACCGCTGCTCCACCCATACTGTCACGCCCAGTCTTGTCGCCCACGATGGTGACGTATCTCTTTGCTAGATCTATGCACGATGTGCCGCCAACGCAGTCGATGATAGCTGCTGGGCCATATTCTCGAATAGCTTGTGCCACGTCACTCGTGTTATAGTCGACAACAGATGTTGCACCCATCGACCTCACGAATTCCGTATTGCGGGAGGAGCATGTAGTGAGCACTTTCCAACCTCGCTGATTGGCAAGTTGGAGCACGTACATGCCCACAGCGGAACTTCCTCCCAATACAGCCAGTCGACCACTTTTCTGAATATGAGATTCGACATTGGCGGTTGTTGTGCGTGCTNNTTGTGTATTTAGCAAGAATGTCGGTCTTTAGGAGGAGCTGAGAGTACCTGTTAACCAGACTAATGGCAATGCAGCAGCCTGTTCCCAATTCATATCTCGAGGCCTTCTCACTACAACGCTGGACTTTGTGTCTATCGCAATAACATCTTGAAGTGTTCCACCTGTGAGTGTGAATGTGATCCCGTAGACCNNTACCAAGTACGTCAACATACGCTCTGTATTCACGCTCTAGCAATATATGCAGTAACTCATTTCATCGCCCACGTCAAACCCACTGTCCTTGCCAGCGGCTTCGACAACACCCGAAAAGTCCTCACAGACACCTTTGTCAGGACCAACAAAGAAAGCGGGAAGATATCTCCATACGGGAAGGTTCATCAACTGAATATTCACAGGATTGAGCGCTGCTGCTTTGACTCGGACATGAAGTTCCGTTGCCGCTGGTCTCGGGGGTGATGGCAAGGTCGATCTGTGTAGAGCTTTGGGATAGCCTTCGTGTGTGAATGTCCATGCCCTGATATTTTTGTCTGCCGAGGCCATTTTGGTCACTGCTTGCACCGAGACTCCTGGAAGGAAGTCTATTCAAGCAACAATGATCTACGAGATCAACAATATGGGCAGGGCGAATCGCAAAAGCGGGGAAGCATTTTCTCGCGTGCTCTCGTCCGCCTCAACTTAGTCCACATACCATATCTTAACATACCTACAGCTGTATTTATTGTGAAGTCGCTTGGGAAAGCCTACAGCGGAAGTACTACAATGGCAAAGTTGCAGGGTGACAATCAGTTGGTATAAGGTCTGGAAGTGTCAACCTGGGAGAGACGCCTCCCTAGTATGTTGGATTTATACGCAACATAGCCGTTCGTCTGATAAAGAGATGATTTGAAGTTGCACATCGTACACACGTATTCGCAAGTTGGACTTCTTGAAGATGTCATCACACGAAACCCCGAGATCCTCGGCACGTTCAACGGTCGCGAACAAGGTTTGGATGCAAGGGCTACCCCTCGATCAGACCCCTATGACCGACACATAGACGGCTGCCCGTTGCGGTCTGCATATCGAGACAAGAGTCTTATACCAGGACTTAAGTATCGTCTGCTAACCTCATCGTGTTTTTGATTATAGTGCACGTCTCGATTTCATTCCGGAACGATTCTCGCCACTTCTACACAGCAGCTTCGAAGAAGGGCTACCTCTACCATGGCTACCAAGAACGACAATCCAAACTTCTATGACTGCCTAATCATCGGAGCTGGTATATCGGGTATCAACGTGGCATATCGCTTGCAAGAGCAATCACCTAACCAGTCCTATGCGATTCTCGAGGCTCGAGACTCACTCGGTGGCACATGGGATCTCTTCAAATATCCTGGAATCCGAAGCGATTCTGACATGTACACGTTCGGCTTCGAGTTCTATCCATGGAAGCAATACCGTACGATGGCAGATGGAGCATCCATCAAGCAGTATTTGACCGACGCTGCAAACACTTTCGGGATTGACAAACACATCCGCTACCGCCACAAACTTGTCTCTGCGAACTGGTCCACAGATCAACAGAATTGGAGTTTCTCGATCCACACGCCAGAGGGGCAAAAGAACATGCGCTCTCGTTTTGTTGTTTTCTGTACAGGATACTACGACTACAATGAAGCCATGCCTGCTAATATCCCTGGAATTGAGAACTTTCAAGGGAAAGTTGTTCATCCACAGTTCTGGCCAGAAGATTTGGATTACGAGAACAAAGATGTTGTGATCGTAAGTGACAGCCTGTAACTACATACTGTAACCACACTGATAAAGGTTTGCTTCTAGGTTGGTAGCGGTGCTACTGCCGTGACTCTTCTTCCCAACATTGCTAAGAAGACAAACAAGGTCATTATGCTTCAAAGAAGTCCGACATACATCGCTACAGTCCCCCAAAGAGACAACCTCTCGTACTGGCCTGCCAGGTTCCTCCCTCTCAGCTGGACATCCAAGCTTAGACGCTTCCAGTTCTTGGTCTTGCCATTTCTCTTCTTCAAGTTCTGCAAAGCTTTTCCAGACCGCGCCCGGAAACTTTTGCAGAAAGGAGCTGCATCCCAGCTGCCAGAAGGCTATCCTATAAAGCCTAACTTTGACCCAAGCTACGGGCCATGGGACCAACGATTATGCGCCTCTCCAGATGGAGACTTCTACAAAGCAATCAAGGACGGACAGGCCGAGGTCGTCACGGCTCACATCAAGCAGGTCACAGAGAAGAGCATTCATCTGGAGGGCTCTGATCGTGTCTTGACTCCTGACATTATCGTCACTGCTACCGGCCTGAAGCTCATCATGGCAGGGGGAACCAAGTTGTCCGTCGACAACGAACCTGTCGAGATACAACACAAGCATCTTTGGAAAGGTGCTATGATTGAGGACGTTCCCAACGCTGCTGTTGTTCTTGGCTACACGAATGCGTCCTGGACCTTGGGCTCAGATGCTACCGCGCAATTCGTTACTCGCCTCTTGAACCACATGGACAAGAAAGGCTTGTCGCAAGCGGTACCTAGAGTGGACCAGAACTCTGATATGCAAGACCAGTCGGTTCTTAACCTCAGTTCCACATACATCGTCAAAGCAGAGGGCAATCTTCCAAAAGCTGGAAACAAGGCACCATGGCTTCCACGGTCCAATTACTTGAGAGATCTTTGGGAGATGAAGTTTGGCAGTATCACACACGACATGCAATTTTCGAGGATCTCCACATAGATCCTAGATCTGCGCGCGCATTTACCAAGTCGATTTGCTCCTTTTTGTTGTTTCTGTAAACATGTATAATTATGGTTAATAGATGACTGGATTCATCCAATCACAATCAAGAAGATCTGCTCCGCAACTTCGGGCCGATCGAACCCGTAAAGTCCGCTGTCACTTTCGAACTTCACCTTAGACTCGCCGCTTCTGTTTTGCTCATCGAACCTGTGTTTTTGCTGTGTTTTTAATTGCCTCATCTCAGAACCGTGTGGTCGCTCGCGTACCGTGCTGGATTGTCAAGGGTATTTTCAAGTCCAACCGATATCCTTAAGTCAGGGCGATCAAAGTGGGGGCGGGGTCCATCCACTTCTCAAGCCGTGCAAGACAACCCTGACTGTGGGCCGAGAAGTCTGAGAGCATAATCCCGGTCTATTCGAGTACGAGGTATGGTTCTGCGCAGATGCTCGATATGCGATCGAAACTTCACCAAGGTTCGAACATGAAGGTCATAGCTCTCTCATGTCTTTTACTGACATGATACAGNNGCGGAACATTACCTCCGACATCAGAGGTCCCGTGAGTCTCAAATGATAACACAAAATCATCGTGTTTGCACGTCTGACCGTCGGGACTAGATACGAAAGAGCGACCCTATGAGTGCGTGACATGTAAAAAGCGCTTCTCACGGAGGTAGGTGGTCAAGCTGTGGAGTCGCTACTGCCGTATTAACACTTCTACACAGTGATGTGCTTTTCCGCCATAGCAAGCTACACAACCAGCAAGCGTCCGATGAACGTGGAGATGCAGCCAACTCGCTAGTTGGCATTGCTAGAGCATCGCCTTCGAATGGATCCATGAGACCAATTCTAGAAGAAAGCATGAATTCGCATGCCTCTTTCAACCCTACGGAGAGACAAAACTTTGCTCAACAGCAGTCCTACGCTGATCCAAGTATGGCACACTCCCGTCACATGTCTATGCCTGACATATCTCTGGTACATCAACAATATAATATGAGCCCACAACAGCATGGTTCATTGACTCAACTGACGCCAACACATACCTATGCTGGACCTGAATTTACACCAGTAGAGTTTCCACCGAACGGATCAACACCCGCAATGACATCTCATGCATACGACCCACAACTGGTATCCATGGACCATGCTCACATAGACGGTTTGATGTCAGGCCCATTCGGAGTGNGGGGTCTACCTGTGAATTCACCAGGACAGTCTCAAGACATGCTGCAATTTTGGCTGGCACAAGCGGACAACGATCTGCGCTACGGTTCTATGGCATTGCCGGATATGAGCAGTACCTCATATACATCTGATCCCAAATATGAGCCAGCACACCCGCACGTGCATCGAGCCGCAACATCGGAGACCAGCGATACGGCATCAACAGGGAACATACCAAATGAGCGTTTTGCAAGAGTGGAAAACTGTTGGTTGGCCAAAAACAATGGTACCCACCATCTCAATCCATCACTCTGGTCCGATATCGTGCGCAGCCCCGGACCGAACCTGTTCTCCATTGGTGCCTCGCAGACTCGAGAAAAGTCGGATAGCCGCTGGGGCGTAAATTCAGCATTGCGCTCTCGATTGGAGGCTGAATTCGGCGCACATGTGTTACAGCCGGGAGGTTCTGCCGCGAAACGACCTGGTAATTTCCCTCCCGCGGAGGTATTGGAGATTTGTCTGGATCATTACTTTCGACGTTTCCATCCAATTGCTCCTTTCATTCACGTTCCGTCTTTCGATGCCTCCAACACTCCTCTTCCTTTACTTTATGCTATGTGCATGCTCGGACTCAGTGCGTTGGAATCGAGCAATGGTGGCAACTTCATTTCCAATGCGTTTACAGTAAGTGTTTACCATCTTGCGTTATCTTGCTTAGATATTGGTATATATCGGCATTGTGAGCATCAAGGGCATGTTGCTGACGTCGAGCAGAACCTGCTGCGAAAAGTACATAATGATCTAGCACTTAATGCGATGACCCCTGCGGCTCCACATGCGCGTTTGGCCATTTTCGCGGCTGGCTTTCTGACCTTGTGTCTAGCTGCTTTCTCAGGAGTGATTATATAAGTCTCCGTACATGGCTCAGGTGCTGACTATGCTTGTAGGNACAATGACCGGTTGGCACAATCACAGACTCTCTATGCGACACTGATGGCCGTAAGTGGCGAGAACAAGCATGAGGTACTCGACTGACCAAAGCTCAGANCAGCACAGAGGCAAGGGTTATTTTGTGTCGACGACATTGACGTTGAAGATACTATCACTAATATCGGCGACGAAAATTCGCGATGGCTAACCTGGGCTCGCATTGAGAGCGCCAAGAGGTAAGACAAAGCTCGTAGACCTTGTGCTTCTTATACTGATCATGATTGGAACAGGCTTGTTGTAGCATTATTGACTACCGATTGGTGGTTCTCTGCAAACTCTTCAGTGAGCCCAGCAATACGACCAGAGACACTACAGCTATGTCTTCCGTGCGACGACATGCTCTTTCGCGCAGAATCTGCACAGCGCTGGATTCAGCTGCAAGAGACGGGAAAAAGAATATCCATGCCTATGATCAAGCCTCGCACGTTCCATCTCGAGGGGGCTTTGGACCTGATTATATTACTGGATCCTCCTTTGGACGCCCCCGGACAATACTCTTTGCTTTCGGCCATAAAACTCTGTGTATGTGATGCCCAGCATCGGCACTTCCTGCCTACGGACGAGTGGGACAGACACGATCACCTGATACCATGGGAGACATATCAAGACGATCTCAGAGCGCGATCTCTAGTGCAGACCACACTGGCACTTGCACCTGTAATCACAGGCTCGGCCAAGACTGCCGACCTCAATTCTCTCCTGCTATGGCACAACCTATGCTTGACCCTGAACTCCAACATGCAGATCTTCGAACTTGCCGCAGGTCGAGCTGGGGCCGGTCCAGCTGGAAAAGCTCTCGCAGACGTGGAGGATTGGGCTCGCACGTCTTCTGCTCGCCGTGCTTGTATACATGCCGCACAATCTTTCAAACTGCTGAGTAACCGCAAGGTTTCCGAGAGCATTACGCTCAACTCCATGTCAGCCCTATTCTGCTCTGCTCTTGTTCTCGGCTTGTATCTCTTTACTGTCCCCAGTTCTGGAACCGAGTCCGCGCGCCCGCCTTACGAGTTGATGGATGATGTTGATTGGACTGTCGTCGGCAACGCAGGTATGGCGGAAAGCTCCNCTGGAAACAGCCCGGACATGATGTTTGAGTCTTCTCATGCTTCGAATGTGACTCGTGCCTTTATTGAGGCAGGAGGTCCTGTCTCGATCAATGGTGTTGTTGCTAGTAGCGGGTTCCAGACTGCGAGACGGACGCTACTGGACTTTGCGCATTTGATGGATGGGATCGGAACGTGGAAACCACGGACTCTGTCACGGATTCTGCACATCATGTCTGATGTGTTGGAAGAGTCCCTTTGAAAAGTGAATAGTCATGCAATTGCAGTATGGATTGTTGATCTGACTAAACAAGATATGTGTTCTAATTCTTCTTCCACTCTGCCTTGTCCCAGCCGGGATCGCTGCCAAATGACTCTGGGTTCTGGTGTATCCAGTCCGCGACGTCTTTGCACTGAGCTATCCAAGCGTCCTCCTTNTTGCTTACAATGTGTTGAAGTACTTCTTCCATGACCTTCAGTTTCTCGTCCTCAGTCTGAAGGAAAGGATGGAACAGCAAGGCTAGATGTCCGCCCTCTGCCACGATCTCATCTATCCTCTTGAACAGACGATCCTTCAAGACTTGTGGTGATAATGGCTCCTCGGTGTCGCCCTTGCCTTTTCTCAACGTAGCCGTGGAAGCCATGTAAAAGTATGCATCGATGCTCTCCCACTGAAAGGGCACCATCGCAACACCATCCACTAAAGCTGGACGCTCGGCTGCTGGCGAAAGATAGTTCATCCCCTTCTGCTTCATCAGATCCAATGTGCGATCAGTGACCAACCCGCCCGGTGGTCTGAATCCCTTGTAATGCACACCAATAGCTTCGGCACCCTCGACACTCTTGTTCAGATTTCCAACCTCGGTCTCCGCATCAAGATTCTTCCAGACCTCGTGCTGGTAGGCGTGAAACCCAATCTCATGGCCTCGTTTCTGGACATGTTGGATGGTTTCTGTGTAAACAGAACAGTTCCAGCCTTCGACAAAATAGGTGGCTGGGATGTGGTATTTGTCGAGCAAATCCAGCATCAAGGGAAGCTTTTCGGTCACGGAAAAGTGAGAGCCTATTGGCTTGTCCTTGGGCCAGAGACCACGGTGTAGATCGGCTGCTTCGCCCATGTTGTCCATTGTCAAGCTGATGCAGGCGCGTTTGCCATTTGGCCAGGGGTATTGTTGGGCTCTGCTCATGATGGATGGGTTGTTTGACTTGTGTGATGAACAAAAGGTTCCTCTTAGTTGATGGAGATGTGAAGATGTTTGGAATTTGCAACGTTTTGGCCAGCAAAACATACAGATCTTACGTGTGACAGGAAGGACAGTTTCAAGGCCGACTTCTTGAACGTCGCTGCCGTAAGAGGAGGTGGAGCAGTTGTGGTGGTGACGTCTCTGGAAGGAACTGCCGAATGTGGGGCCTTCCACTGGCCTTCCCGCTGTGTTGTTTGCACGACCCTGATTTGTTTGTTGACCTCTCTGATCGCTCATTGTTAAGCAGACAAGGATGGTCACATCAGCCATCGTGCTCTTCTTCTTCCAGCATCTCCAGCGCTCTGCTGAGTGATTGCAGTGCTCAGATTTGGACGTTATCCCACAGTACGACGCCGCTTGGGCTTGTGCAGACGACTTGCTGTTCTGCATGCTTGACGTCCATCCTCTCGTGACTTTCAGGTTGAAGAGACTCGTCTTCTTCTTCCAAGCTTTATAACACTTTGTAAGTCAACCTCCACGTCGTAAGGTAGGGTTGATCGTCGTGATGCACGTTCACACGTTATCTGCTCGGCTGCATCTTCCTCAAAGCGCCGCCAAGAATCTGCAGGAGCAATCTATCATCACAATTGTGACCCAAGCCAGCGGTATGCAGCTCGGTTCACGTCCAGCATTTCGCACTCGGTAGCTTAATTGTTCCCTTGCTTAGACCCCTCCTCAATCCACCTCTTCCTCTCTTCCTCGAACACTTCTCGACATCAGGACAGAAGCAAAGACAAGCAGAGGAACAAACATGTCTACCGGAAAATCTCACGTCAAAGGTGTCTTGCTTGTTGGCAGTGTGCCCGGCAAGGACACAGAAGACGTTTTGCGCAGGCTGGCTCCAGCACTTGGAAGCCGTCTCAAGTACATCCCCGATGGAGAGACTGGCCAACGCAACTATTTCATCGGCTGGCAAATGTACAAATTCGGCGCTTTTCCCGAAGTCGTCAGTCAGTTCGGCCAAAACGGAAAGTTCGAGGATACCNCCGTGCCGGAGGAAAAGATCAGAGAAGCAGCCGAAAAGCTAGAGGGCATGTCGACTGATTACGATACCGCGGCGCTCGAGTCTTATCCAATCTTCAAGAAGCTGAAGGAAGAGGGTTTGATTCCTAAGGAAGTCAAGTTTCAGGTCTGCTTGCCATCGCCATTGACGTTCGTATCGCCATTTATCGTGGGCGATTACAAGACCGCAATCGAACCTGTCTACGAGCGCGCCATCCTCAGAGCTGTCGATAACATCGCCAAAACCATTCCAGAGCAGGAATTGGCTATTCAATGGGATGTCCCTCTTGAATTTGCTTTGCTAGAGGGTGTCTGGGTACAACCTTGGTTTTCTCCTCTCAAGCAGGGGATTCTGGACCGCTGGCTCAAGTTGACTGCAGCAGTCAACCCGGCCATCGACATGGGTTTCCACTTCTGTTACGGCGATATCGGACACCAGCACTTTACTCAGCCCAAAGATATGAGCTTGATGGTCGATATGGCCAAAGCGCTTTNNTTGAGCAAGGTCGACAGACGTGTTGATTACATTCACATGCCTGTGCCCAAGGACAGAGATGATGCAGCGTACTTTGCTTCTCTGAAGAATTTGCAAACTGTCAGGNGCGACACTGACATTTATCTTGGTCTTGTGCACGCTGATGATCTGGAGGGTACGGAGCGTAGGATCAAGGCTGCTTCTGAGGTGCTTGATAGCTTTGGTGTTGCGACCGAGTGTGGATGGGGAAGAACTTCTCCCGAAGAAATTGACTCGATTGTGCAGATCTCAAATGCTGTCTCGAAGTAGAACTAGAATGTTTAGAGTATTTCATATGTTGGAGCGGTATCAGATCAGACATGAGATCTTAATGTTGGACAGAAACTTTGGAGCGACGATTTGGAAAGAATTATAGATTCTGGGAAATGTTTGCATTGTCGTTTCACCGAATAGAGAGCAATTTCGTCATAGAGCCATGTTCCTTAGTGCCCGTTTGTCTTGCCGTGCAGCAACTCCTTGAGCGCTGCATCATCGTAGTAAACCTTGCTCCTCTCCTCCATCAGCTTCTTATCCTCCTTGACCCTCTTCAGCAGCGCCTGAGCCTCAGGGTTGTTAGAAAAGCGATCAGGCAAGGTATCCCAAACCTTAGGATCCGTTCCACGCGTGTTGATAGTACCACACCCAATCCTCGCATACTCAGTCCAGAGGAAAGTCCTCGAACTCTCCACCATAATAGTCATCTGGCCCTCCAGAATCTTCCTCGGCTCGCTCTGCTGAATGCGCATCTCATCCACATAGGCATCCGAAAATCCACCATGTGGTGTGTGGCCGCCCTCGAAACTACCGCCGCCAGGTTGGAAATCGTCGCTTCTTCCGAGACCTTCGCCGTATAAACAGGCCAAGAATTCGGAAGCAGAGTTTCTGTGGAAGTAGGGCAGGCGGAAGGTATTGGATGCCACGTCCCATCTTGGACCGAACCAGAGGAAGTCGGCGAGAGGGGTGTTGGGGTCGCGAGATTTGGCGGTGAGCACGGTGTTGACGGAGGGATCGGTGTGGTCGATGCTGGTTGCGTTTTGGGAGGCAAACTTGGTAAGGTCATANCTGAAAATCGTATTAGCAAGCATGCTCCGATCCTGGAGATGTGATAGACTTGCCTTGTAGGGAACGACATTGCCATGCCATGCGACCAAGTCAAAGGGGCTGTGGTCCTGCTCCAGGCAGTTGTATTTTCCATTGTTCTTGTTGACAATCTCCCAGTCTCCACTCAGCTCTTCATCAATGTGAGCAACAGGGTACAAGAAATCTCTAGGGTTGGCAAGACCATGACCACCCAGAGGACCCAGATCAGGCAACTCCCACATACTACCCCACACCTCTGTGATATATCCTCTAGCCTTTTGCACTCCAGGGCCAAGAGCAATTCTGAACCTCACACCTCTCTGGATGACACAAATTTCTCCAGGCTGCAAGAAAATCATTCCAAACTCAGTCTGGATGTCCAGGTTTCCCTGTTGAGCGCAGATGAGGAAGTCACCGTCTGTGTTACAGAATGCTCTCTTCTCCATGGATGCATTGATGGCATAGACGTACAGAGCCATGCCCTCTCTCAAGTTGGGATCACCAGAGCCACCCAGAGTGTGTAGGCCATCGACAAAGTCTATCTTTTCCGAGTCCTCGGGCAGAGGGAAAGGTCCCCATTCTGCTTGTTCGGGTAGGGTCTCGACTTCGGGGTTGAGGGAGAGGAAGCAGTTCTGGATGTGTGCCTTGGATTCGATCTTCTTGTAGCCATCNTGGACAATGTCAGCTCGTACTCAGATGCACAGACTGGACGATGACATACTGTGAGCTGCTGCAGGTCGCGCGCGGTACATGTAGGTGCTGTAGTTATGGGCACGCGGCGCGGCGAATGCACTGTACGTGATGCCCTCGGTGTACAGGCCGAAGCGGACCTCCTGCGGATTGTTCTGAGCTACTGGCAAGGTACCAGGGATAACCTCAGACTGGTGTCTGTTGTTCCAGCCGTGCATGTACGTGTAAGGATCATTCTCTCGGGTAGGCTTCTTGCGCTGCAGGTCTGTGTAGTGGAAGACCTTGGTGGGGTCTGTAGCGGCCTTGCGTTCCTTCAATGGTGCGGGCATTGTGATGGCTATGGCGTATGAGTGTGCTATGTGTATCCGAGTTTGTATGTGGCCAAAGAGAAGACAAGGGCTCTGGGGGCATATAACTATTGTGCTCGCATCTGGAAACGGCAGTTGTATCGGTTGCAATCAGAACCACCACCTTGTGGGGGCTCTCAGATCATGGCGGCATGGGATCGTGGGGCTCCATGATACGAATGATCACAGGGCCTTGCGACCTTGACTGTCGTGCAACATTGATGGTGATGCTATCCGCGTGTTACAGCTCTGTGGGGCAATGGCCCCTCTCGTAACATCAAGTGGGGCATCGTCAGCGACCAGTGGGAGACCAGGAAAGTCTTTGTGAACATGTTCGCAGGAAAACCACACATTGCTGACTTTGTACAATCAATGAGACTGCATATAGACCAAGTATCCACAGTGAATCGTTCCGCAACGCAGCTTCCTTCAACAAAGAGCCGCTTCCAATTATTAAACGCCATGCGTGCAAAAGAACCAATCCTCGCCAACAAACGTCCATCCTCCAACAAGACCCACGCTATGCAATTGTATCAATAAAATGAGCAAACGACATGAACCCATCGTCGAGCTGTCCGTCTTACATGACGACGCACTCTCTGTCCGGTTTCTCTGTTTTCCGCTTGCGATGGAAATGTCCTTCTTTATCACCTCGATCCTTCCTGACCTTGCTCCTGCCAATGCGCTCTTTCTCCGCCTTCTCGGCCATCTTGGCATCGAGGTTCTTGAGGCTCTCGACAGACGCCTCGCTACCACTGACCGTCGGCGGCCCTTCAGTGTCTTTGCCATGGGCCAGATCCTCATCCTGTTCGGCTGCCGAAGCGAGGTTGGTGAGGTCTGTCCGGCTCACACGACTAGTGAGTTTGCTCATATTCAGACTGAACCGAGACCCGCCATCCGTAGAGCCTGGGCGGGATTTTGGTGTCTTCTTGGTGCTGACCTTGCTGCCTCTTCTAGACGGGATACCAAGGAAGCTACCTCGCGACTCGTCGATCGGCGTCGATGGTACCGAAGTAGTGGCTTGACTACCAGCGGCGCTACCGTCATCCGCCATGCTGCTACGACGTGCATCTAGACTTGTCCTTCCACGTATGTCTAGACTCGTTCTGTCAGAAGACACTGTCCAGTCAACCGTCTCGGTACCCGTCAGTCCGTTAGGCGATGTTGGTGAGGAAGACTCGACCAAAACCATATCATTTTCATCGCTGCCGATTTTCTTGAGTTTCTCAGGCGAATATTCGAGCGAATCTGAGGGATGACGCGACATAGCCTCATCGTAAGTTGGAGGTGCATCGGGTACGAGTTCTTCGTCGATGGGTTGCACCTGGTAGAACAGGAGATAGGGGCATTCTTCCTTCAGCTTTCGGTTGATGTCGACGTAGGTAACGCGTTCTCTGGCGAGATCATCAAACAACATCCAAGGGTCTTCATCTTCGGTGCTCTCAGCGGTGTCGGGACGATCAGAGCGCCCATCAACGCTTTGAGCATTGGTTTGAGCATTGGCAGCACGTCCTCGGACTAGTGAAACATAATGACCTGAGTTGACCGACACACCGCGATGACAGACGACGGATTGGAGAACAAGCTTGAAGTTTCCAACGAGCGGGCTGTGGTCTTCCATCTCGTCGTCAGATACAAAGCTAGGCACAGCAATCTCCAGAGGAATGTCAATAAAGGTGTCCAGACGACTCGCGACGCCCGTATTGGAGTATTGATATCTCTTGAGCGCGATGCCGAGCATTGGGCGCTTCCTGGAGAAATGGGCGGCGACCTGTGCGTCGCTGGTAGGGACGATGTTCTCGGTGTACCATGGAAGTAATTTGAAGAACTGCCAGGCAGGCATCAAAACCTCGGTGCGGACCGAGTTCTTACGCGGCCGTCCAGGAGTGTGTTTCGCATCGTCCGGTCCTTTCTTCTCATATGGTTTTGACTCTGCTACTCTTCGCTGACTGAAGATGCTATCGGCACGCTTCCTATTCATACCGGGTCTGATTTTATCAAGGGGAGACTTGATTGGCGTGCTAGGCGTGGAGGAAGGCGATTTGACTGGAGTACTAGGGTCGGGCTTGGGTATGACGGCCTGATCAAAGTACTCGACCGTCTCGACGTGCATATCTCCCCCTTTTTCACACGAGTTGGTTCGGCGTAGTGCTTCGTTGGACCTGACGGACTGCAGCGTATTGCGTCTGTCGAGATGGCGCTTGACTTCGATGCGATTGTTGAAGTAGTTTTCCAGGCAGTCTTCGAGCGTAACGACAGTGCTTCCCTCGGGCGGCTCTGTAACAACCGCAACCTCGAGCAGGCGTTCGTTGACAAACTTGTGGTCATCGGCTGGATCTTCCTTGCCGGTGTGGAACAGATCCATCTTGAGGGTGAGTAGTGGGAGCTCTAGCTGACCGGTAATGAATGTAAAAGCCTCTGAAGTGTCTTGCTGGCACAGCTCGGCTGCTGACTCCCAACCACATTCGGCGAGCGAGTCCTGTAGGTATTTTGTNCTGGGTGAAGAGGTCAGCGATTACGAGACAGCCGTCTTCGGACAGTCAATACGTACGATGTCTCGAGTGATGAGTCTGCCAGAGCGCAGCATGTTGACCCATAGACGCAATAGACCGGCCAGCTTCTTGCGAGGCAGATCATCAAAAGAGTTATATAGCATGGCTTCGAAGCTGTCAAGGCGCGCGAACATGGCAAAGAGGAGAGCATCGAGGTAGCAAGTCACGCCGTTGCGGTTCTCAGCTCCAAGCAATTTGGTCGAAGGGTCGTACATCTTGACCAGGCCTTCGTACGTATCCTCGAGGAGGAGCAGCAACCGCATGGCCTCGTCGCCATTGCCCGCCGAGTTTGTAGCTTGCAACGCGTAGTTGACATTCGCTTCGGTGAAGGTTGTGATTCCATATTTCTGCAGCCGAGCGAGAATTGCCTTGATCTGTGGGCGCGTCTAGTCTCAGCAAGCGTACACGGAATTGGCGAGTCGCAGAGGAAAGCTCACCCTCTTCTCATCCTCTTTCTCGAGCTTCTTCCTGTCTTCGGGTACGAAGAGGCCACCAAAAGCGCCTGCGTCGGGGAGATTCTGCAAAGCGAGAGAGAGGTCGCGGTCAGCAGGAGTCGCAATGTTGACAGAATCAGAGGAAAGGGTAGAAGTACTTTTGATCGGCGGTCCCGTCTGCCCAAGAAACGCTGGACGCTGCTGCTCATGGCGAGGTCGGCAGGAGCAGGTTCGGGTTCAGACTTGTTGCAGGACTGCTACGTCCATCAAGTGGTGCGAGAGTGCAACGACGAGAGGGTCGGTATGGTGAAACGGGCGGCGGGGTAGAGAGTATCTGCAGGGCTTCTCTGCGGAGGAAATCTTGTTGCGCGCGGCTGCTATTTCGCGGGGAAGGTTGAACCAAGTCAGAGGAAAGAGATGGCTAAATTAGGGTCCAGACGTCGGTTAAGGTTTGTTGAACCTCGAGAACTGCCGTTCCGTTCAGGGTGCACGTCGAGTCGAGCGAGGAGGAAAGAGCTGGAGGAAAAGATAGAAGACGGGAGCAGGTTGAGAGCGGAAGGAACATGTAATCCTTTGCGAGTCGGCGCACTCTAGTCTCTAGGCAGTAGTGACGCTGGGTGGGGTTGGGAACCAAGGGGCCACCTGCCATCGCCGACTAGTGCCTCCGTACTCCGTGTCCACTGCAAAGGGTGACCCTGTCTCATTCGATAAAGGACGATCTTGAGGGCCCGAAAGGCCTGTGCCGAGCGAGGGCGGCTGAAGTCAAGATCGATACTCGCTTGCAGTAAGATAAGAACCTTGTGAGATGGATATGTATGTTCATGACCGTCGTAAAGCGAACGTATTCTAGGCACACGGAATTAACATGTAGTTAAGACTCGATCGACAAGTTCACTGCCATCAGAGTCTCAACTTTTATGACATGGGCCAGTCCCAGCCGTCAGCCCAACCATGAGAAAAGATCATTGCCCTCGGACCGCTGAACACGACTAACGAATCCCTCCCATCCTTCTAGAACTCAAAATGCTGCCTCATATCCTCGAGGTTCATGCCGGGTCCAACAAGCTCTTGCAGGTCTCTGCGTTCCATCTGCGCAAACACCCTCCTCAGCGTGTCATAGAGATTTGTGCTCTGGTTTTGGGTGATCATGGCTTCCAGTTTCGCATCCGTCATGTTGTTATCGCCAACCACCTGTCGTGCCTTCTCCAAGCCCTCTTTCTCCGTGATGCGGTGCATCGCCAGAGCACCGAGGAGGTGCTGTGCCGCTTCTTCGTAACACCCAATGTTTATACACGATACACCTAGATTGTAGCGTGCTCTGACAAAGTTGGGTCGCATCTCCAGCGCACGGGAGTAGGCGTCGATGGCCTCTTCCGATCTGCCAGAGTTTGCGAGTGTGGCGCCGAGACGGTTCCAGAGAAGATGCAACTCTTCTTGTCGATTTGTGCTGCCTTCTTCGGTTGAGGCCAGGGCAGCACCAAAGCAATCGACCGCCTTGTCGTACTCTTCTGCGCCATAGAAGAGGACGCCCAAGCCAACCTGGACGTCAGGGTCCATCTGCTCGCCATGCGGAGATAGTTGTGCGGCTTGGATGAACAAGTCTGTCACTTTTTCATGCAGGGCATGACGGTCAGTAAAGCCGATCTCATCATCTTGAGAGGAAAGAGGGGCGTTGATAAGGGAGGGNTATTTTGTGGCGACCCAGCGTTCGAGTGTTCGGTAAGCTGTGCTATCGTAGCCCTCGTTTGTGTATGATACAGCCAAACCCATCAGAGCTTCCAGGTTGTTGGGATCGAGTTTCAGAGCGTGTTCCAGAGCGCGGATGGCCGGTGACTCCTTTTCATTCTGTGCTTGGGCTTGGCCGAGAGCTGTCCAAGCACCCATGTGGTCCGCATCTTTCTGTACAGCGGCCTCGAAGGCTAGGGCAGCGAGTGAGAGGTTGCCGCCTTCACGCATGATTTTGATGCCCTCGTCATAAGGGTTGGCTAATTCGGCAAAGGGATTGTCATCTTCGAACATGTAATCGCCCAGCGAGGGATCGCGATGTGTGTTGAGGCCGTCAAAGCCATCCCATTGGTCGAAACGGTCGGTTGCGTCGCCGAAGGCATCGGTTGTGACAAAGTCTCTGTTTTGGGTCGTCTCAGCTTGGATGCCCTGCCATACCGACTCGAAGTCGCCAAACAGCGTTTCACTCTGACCGGGATCAACTGACCTGTCCATGGCGTTCAGCTCTGCCTCCATGGCGGCATTAGCCTCTGCATCGAGCTGAGCGTCCTGTTGTTCTTGTGGGGCGTCCAGCTCGGCGAATTGAGCTTCCCAGTCCTTGTCGTCCAGCTCGACCATGCGTTCTTTGCCCTTGGATTGTTGTTGCTGGTCTTGCGGCGTTTGCATGCCATTCATGCCCATGCCGGTCATTCCCATACCCCCNATGCCCATTCTCATACCCATGCCGTTGCCGTACATGCCACCGTATTGCATGGGTGATTGATAGCGTGACATGGGTGTTTGTTGGACATTGCCGAGCGGACTGGCCGTCCTCGCGGCTGATGTTTGCTGGAAACGAGCAAAGTCCTGAGGGTTGAAGGCTCCGTTGTTCTGGTGGGCGAATGCAGGGCCAGCCTGGTCGGACATTTGAGGTTCGAACTCGGCGGCCCAGTGGGCGGGTGCGGGNGAAGCTGCCTGGTCGAGCTCGCGGCGCATCTGGTCCATGGCAAAGGGCGAGTCTTGGAAGGCAGGACCGAGGTGTGCGGGCTGTTGCATGAAGTCGTCCATCATNCTTCTCGTCTAGTCAGCAATCCGCTGTGGGTGTTCGTGGTCTCGTGTGCTTACAGCGTCTTGCGGGGCTCCCATCTGACTTCGCATGCTCTCCATGCCTCCGGGGCCCCTGCCTACGAGACGGTCCCTTTGTAGCGACTTGTCATCCTGTACGTGCTTGGTGAACTGGCTCAGTGGGTTGCCCGCCGTCGAGCACTCTGCCCCGCCAAGGAACGACATGATGTGGTGCGTATGGATGTGGCTGGTCGAAGCGAAGCTTGCTAGAGGTAAGATCTTGTTGATCTAGTGAAAGTAGTTGAAGAAGTCGACTAGTGAAAGGAAGAGGCGAGGACGACGAGGACCAAGTTGATTGTTCAGCAGCGTGACAGAACAATTCAAGGTCGACAATCTACAATGCCACTCGGCAAGCAAGCGGCCGAGGGCGGCGAAAGACTGTGGGGAAGTCGGCCTTGGCGGGGTATTCCAGATGCCGAGGTTGCGAATGTCGGTCGTTTCATCTTCACATGTCTGCATGGAATTGAGAGTAATGTAGCATAGAATAATACAATATATGTCCATCAACCCATCAACACCTCATCAACGCCTTGGCTATAGTACAATACTTTTGGGACTTTCGCATCTAGAGGTCTCTGTCGGTCGAGGGAGCGGCCGAGCGGCTGTAGTCGACACGAAGTTGTCTGCCGTAGATCTCCTTCTTCTCGAGCACCTCCTTGGCTGCTTGTGCGCTGGGGACGTCGATGAAGTCGGCGTGGCAGAAGCCTCGGGGCTGACCTGAGCGGCGGTCGACGGCGACTCTGACATCCAGGACGTTGGTGATGTTGCGGAACAGGTCGTTGAGGTCCTTGTCGGACATCTGGAAGGACATGTTTCCGATGAACAGAGTCTTGCTGGGCTTGTTGACCTGCACCTTTCTGTTGTCCGAGGAGTTACGGGTCTCGCGGCGGAGATGGAATTGCACTGCCATGTTGCGACCAGCCAGAGCCTTCTGGTTCAAGTTCTTCTGTGCGTTCTCTGCGTCCTGGAGCGTGTTGAACTCGACGAAACCAAANTCTGTCAACTGACGTTAGTCGTCGTCGTCTCCTCGGTCTTGCACTTCCATAACATACCCTCTGCTCAGACCGCGGGCATCCTCGGCCACACGTGCATTCACGACTTGACCGTAACTGGAGAACTCGCGCTCGAGGTCGGCGCTCTTGACTTCGAAGAAGAGGTTGCCAACATAGAGAATTCTGCTGGGCTTGGGGTCTTTATGTGTTCCAACAGCTGCGTCGCGAGCGCTCTTGCCGAGGAGACCTTCGGCTGCGTTGGTGACGGTTGATGCGGCATCCTGGACCTTCTCCTTGACCTGCTCGACCATCGAGGGCTGCTCAGAGGCATCGGCTACGTCGGGAACCGACTTCTCGACGACATTGGGCTCTTGCTCTGCTTGCGCTTCGGATGTGACAGCCTCCTCCTTCATGGCCTGTTCAGTCTCGGTGGGCTCGGTGGGAATGGTCTCGCCAGTGGTCTTCTCCTGGGCAGGGGATGCTTCCTCGCTGGCGAATCGCCTTTGGAAGACGGGCATCTGCCATTTGTGCGTTTGACGGAGTCCAGTGGGTGTCTGAGTGACGAATGTGCGAGCCTTGAGAGGCGACGAGACGAAGCTGCGAGCTGCGGCGCGGCGGAGAGCGAACCTGAGACTTTGTTAGACGTGCGCCACTTCTGAGTCCACCCGTCGCGTACTCACATATTTACGGTATATGAATCGAAATGTGGATCAAATGAAAGATTGTACGGAAGTGACTTCCAAAGTTGGCGCGGCGTGAGAAACACTGTCTGCTCGAGCTTGGCGCCCGGACTCTTTTTTCGAACTTCGAATACGCCTCGACTTTGGAGCCGCTAGTCTCGTGATCAGACACTACATTCGATTCTCTGTCTTCGAGAATCACTACTTCGGTCCACGAGCAAAGCATCTGCTTCAGTGAATGTACGCCTAGCAGTATGAATTTCTAATTTTCTTCTTGAATCTAGATATGGTGTCGCCTGGACAGAAGTGCGCGCTCACTCTAGTTTTTGATCGAAGTTTAGCGGCGAGAAATGAGATAGTGCCCTATCACGGCAGCCAGCACATTTTTCTCATGACGAGCAGTTGTCAACGACAATCTTTGATGCTAGGAGCAACACCAGTCCAAGTCTGAGTGAGACAGGCCTACAGATGAACTAAGGTCAGGATCGTGGCTTTCAGGACTCGCCGAACAGGGTCGCTCCGACAACACTTGATCTTGGTCACACAAAGCTGAAGCGGGTTTTCGGTGTCTACTCCTCGACTGCTCATTCGCTAATACCAAGCCAACCATTTGCTCAGCTCGAACTTCGACTGCCCACGTCTTTGCAGGTTGCATCGTGCAAGCAGTCATACCGCAGCGAGATGCATAGTTACATGCCGAGGCCGCCAGTCGCCATGCTTCTCAATGCAGGCTTATCAATCACTTGACGCGCCACTCATGTCCTGATGCGGATCAGAAAAGTGCAGAGACTAACCTCGCAGGAGATTGCCATCATGCGCCAGGACAGCCATTGATTGTAGGCTCGTAGCCCCGCACAGCCATCGACGCAATGTGCATGTACGTCTACCAACTCCCCGGCCAGTCCGCGAAACCTCTGCATGCCTACCGATTCTGAGCGTCACTCTGCCGAGTTTCTGAGACGTAGCGGTGAGATGAACGATCGCGAATGCCACGTGAAGATCTGTCGTGATGCGTCATGGCACCTCTGTTCTTCAAGATGGCTCGCGCGAAAAAGGGCTTGACGGATATGCTACCGATACAGCCGGCAGCTCGAACCGCTTTCGAGAAGCGTTTCGAGCTCGAAGCCACGAACCCAGCAGTGGAATCCCCTGCCCCCAGCACTCCATTTCATGCGTTCAAACTCCTGAAGGTATACCTACAATTTCGGGACCTCTTTCCGTCATAGACTTGAGATATCAGGCATCCACACTAAACCTCCGGAACACACCAAGGTACACTCCCGCAATGCATACACCCAATGGCCCAGAGGATATTCTGCTCTGTCTGCTGAGTCTGTATGCAACTGGGCAGGCGAGAGCCGCTGGCCGTGGGATACAACATCTCGCTTGCTGCAACTCATACACATCCATGCATCCGGGTGTCGTGTTGATTGGGTTCTCTCTTCTACGTACTCACGTGTACCTCTATACAGCACCTGTGCAGTGCACATGGCGACCGGTGAGATAATCATCGTCTCGTCATGGGATACAGTGTGCGTTTTGGGAACGATTCCGCGGGATGAGAGCGCGTCAATACGGTTAAGCGGCAGGCATAGGAATGCTGTATGGTGCTCGAGCCGAAGCGATATCTTCAGTGACCGATGGTACGAGATGTGCGTACACCTCGGATAAGTTGCTGATACATGCAGCCAAGCGCTTGTGGGATTAGATCCCACCGTCGCACTCACCGAAGCGATGTTCCGTCTCAGACTCGCTCGACCACATACATGTGATAATTAGGGTTTTGTCGACGACAATTGGCTGTGCTCCTGCTTCAGAGAGATGAATGTCAAGCAAGAAACGGATGCGAGGGATTTTGGGTTTGTATTGCTCGACTATCTACAGACACTCATCTTGCTTTTGTTCTCTCCATCCAAATCTCCTCCCCCTTGTTTGCTACTCTTGTTTTGCCTTGCATAACCGTACAGATGTACAATACTCTGAAAAAACCAGCTTTGTCCATTCAGATATGGTTCGAAAAATCTCATCTCGCTCCGCACCGCCGACTCGGCGCGACGAACCATAGTATGTCGGACAAGAGGCTCAACCGGGCCTCATGCCATCAGGGACATTAACATTTTGTTGTTTGCCATTCTGATGCTGTTGGTTGAATTCTCTGAGGTCTTTGAGCAGCTTCTGCTGCGAGGCCAGCAGGCCGTGGAGCTTGTCCTGAATAGACTGAAGCCTTGCAAAGTTGTATACGTCAAGGTCGCCGTCGCGCCCTGTGGAGGAATTCGACGACCGTATATTATGTGCGTCACTACCGCTGGGATCCATCGTTGATGCGTCTCGTGTGATTTGACGAAACCTCGATGGTTGCACGAGCAGAATTTGATGTATTGTAGTTTCAAGGGAGAGCTCGCCATGACTATCATTGATGGCTTTATACAAAAGTAGAAGGTATAATAGTTACAGCAGTAGGCAATGACCATAGCACGTGGGAGTGAGACAAGGTTGACCGGCCCGGCTTGCCGTTGCTGTGGAGATCAGCCCTGTGTAGAGACGGCCTTCGTCACTCCCACTTTCACTCCTCGACCATGTAACGCGAATTGCGCGCATGCTTCTAGCTTGATATCGGCCAAATCGCAAGTGGGCAACATCTCTCATCTATCGATATCTCATGGCCTCAATGTTCAAGAAGGTGCCCAAGACTGACGCACAAACGACATCTCCGGTGGCCAACAACAGCAACAGAGGAAGTGCTGGAGGTCGCCGCGGCACATTCACGCGCCGACCTGGTCGGCAGAAGCTGACAGGTCTGTTTGCAGATGGAATCTGGCACTGCGACTGTGACAGTAACCCTCGCCTTCCTGCTGAACGTTTCCAGGTGAAGAAAGAAAGTGCAAACAAAGGTGTCTACCCCAGTGCCGCTTCGTATGGTCATGAATGGCACAACTGACTTCTCACAGGCAGATGGTTCTACGCTTGCCAGAATGGAAACGGCCGGAAGTGCGGCTTCTTTCTTTGGCAGGATCCAGATGCAAAACTACGGGAGGAAGCTGCTCTCCTGGGCAACTCCAGGACCGAACCCAAAAGCACGGCGGATAAGTCCTTGTACCCCATACATCAATCGTCCCGGACAATGCAGTCATCTCCGAACAGCACGTCAACACTGAGCCATCCCAGCAGCACTCTGAAGCGACCATTCTCTGACGTTGGCCTTGGTGATGATGCTGATACTAACCACGATTCACTCCCTTGGTCTCTGTCAGGCCAAGAAGAAGTCGAGTTGCTTGATGCGCCAGAGACACCACGTAAGGCAGTCAAATTCGATGGTCTCGCTACACCAGCGACTAGCGTGCACAGAAAGTTGCCATGGCTAGATCCATCTGTCCAGGTACCATCCACAGTCTCTGTAAAAGCAACCCCTTCCAAGGAATCTGCTCAGCTGTCGCTTCCTACGTCGTCAACATACAAATTGGCTGTCACACAACACGCTGTCTTGACACCGCAGGTCACTCCAAGTCCCTCGCGCTTTCGCGACCCGTCAGCAGATACATCGTCTCCCCTATCCACACTCAATGAAGACGTCTTCGCCGCCCTGAAAGACTCCGGCGTCACACTACCATCTAGCTTGACATCGAAACTTCGAGAAGTCTTGACTCGTCACGAGCTACGTACGCATGGGGTCGTCAAGGGCAGAGAAATAACTCGTCTTGCTCTCAAGGCACGCGAAGCCAAGATAGTTGAGCTTCAAGCCACCATTACAAGCCTTGAGGCAGAAAGAAATGTCGACCATGCACGTATTACAAGACTTGAATGGGAGAAAGACATGTTGGTGAGCAACGAAGACTTTGACACAGAGTTGTAGTCAAGCATCGGTTCTGTCGGGTAGGGCTGCAGGTCGTGGCGTTTTCCTTATACACAGATCAATACATGATCCTCCTCTCGCGTGTAATACATGTCGTTCTTATTCACCCTTCCGTCTTCACACTCACTGGTAGTGACGTACGCTGAACAACAACCATGACAGGGCTTTCACATCGTATGCGGATGTCCACGCTTACAGATTTTGCGACGGGATCTCCATATAACATCCGATCGGTAGAGAATACAGATGCATTGACTGCAATAGCTTCCATGGTCCCGGGTTCGGGACAATATCACCACTAAACCTCCGCGTGAGCAAGCAGGGAAACACGCACTCTCAAACGCCGACAGACGGGGGCCATTTTCCACGCATGCGATCAGCTGGCGCATAATCGAGCAAATCAGCACTCACAGAAGCAGCCACTCGGATGATCGCTGCATGTTTAACTCTCGAGTCATCATTCGGCCGGGGAACAGGAATCGACCACGATACCTTCCTGACTCCTCTCCCTTTATGCTGTACGACGCTGAGACTCAAACGTTGCCGCTTCTCGCGACTTTTTGCGCAGCGACCCGATATCACTGTTCTTGCCAAGATCAGCCGCCAGCTTTTCTGTTTTCTTTACACCATCTTGGAGGGTAGCGCCTGCCGCCCACTCCCTGACGCCAGGTCCGGCTAAAACGTGTGCTGGCACTTTGACATTGTCCAGAACGTGCTTTCTGGAGGTATTCCGCGAGGGGTATCGTCTACGGACCACCTCGTGGTATAAATCTGGCTATCCGCCGTGCTATTCCTCATTGCCTCGTCCAATATATTTTGGATGTCTGCTATCTCGACTTGTCTTCTTCGATCTTTGTCTGGTCTCCGACTAACCAAGGGTCAGTATGAGTCAGGATCGTTCAAACCTTGGCTACTATAACACCTACAATGGTGGCATGATCTACAACAATTCTATGGACAACAACGACCCACAGAGTGGACAAGTTGTGTATACACAAGCTTGGTCTCAGATACCTGCCGGTGCGACAGTTCCTCTTGCTGGGGCACGGTGGTCTAAACAATACTACCGTCGTCACGAGGGATGGTACGAGCCCGACATGCTTTCCCCCAGCGATATGGCCTCGGAGACAAGCGGCTTCGACGATAGCGCTACGCCAAGTCTACATAGATCAGACTCTGGCGACTTTTCTGAAGTCTGGGATCAAGAGCCTCCCTCGATGCCTTTCTCGCCCTTTCAGCCCCCTGCGTCCAGCGGATTACTCAACAATATTGGAAGTGCCTTCATGCCTCTCCAGCTCCCTGCATGTGCTACGAGCAACTCGGACGAGACTGCGCAGCAGTTCGAGTACATGCTCGGCGACCTTGAAGTCAATGACTCTATATCATCGCCTACGGATTCTGATACAGTCTCTCACAGCCCTGTTCATCGTTCGCCTCTCTCGGACCCTGGAGTTTTAGTTCATCAGCCGTGTCATACACAGCCTCATGATCATTCCACCCCAGGCAGGCCAAGAAAGGTGCGACAAGCCAGAGAGACAGACACGGGCCAACCANAAAGGCCGGCTCGAACCAACAGTACTAGGACACGCCTCTTCTGCGAAGCTTGCCGCGATAGTAAGGACTACTCACGCGGATTCCGTGGAGAGCATGAGCTCGCTCGTCACTACGCGCAGAAGCACACCAAGCACAAGAAGGTGTGGAAGTGTTTTGACCTGAGCCCAGATCGCTTGATGCACAATTGTGAGAGGTGCAAGACTGGTCATCAGTACGGCACTAGTTATGGTGGTGCCGAGCACTTCAGAAGGAAGCATACTGGGATCTTCGGCAAAGACATGATGGAGTTGCTGCGAGGAAAGAACCAACGGTGGGCCTTGAGCAGCAACCGTCTGATCGAAGAGGGATGGCTTCGTCAAGTGTTTGTTCCAGGCGATGGTGAGCCATTACCTCAGCAGGAGGAGCAAGCCATGACTGCCATTCATGCGCCTATGCCTTTTGCTGGAGGCTCGCAGGAGGTGATTCCGAATGGTGGAATGCAGAGGACGCACCTGCAGCAGCCCTTCAATCAGCAGCATGTGCCGATGCAGGATGCCAATCTGGCTTGGACCCAGCACCAATATCCGCTTCAGCCTTATCACCAGCTGCATCATGGTCAGCAACAGGCTCAGCACCATCAGCAGCAATGGCACCCAGGTATGCATTGAGCACGTTGCTTCGCGCAAGACAGGAGGTTTCAGTTGTACTAGACACTAGGGACTTGGGAAGCCTTCGCTTTTGGGAGATTTTCCTATTCTGCATGGGACGGTTTGCGATGATACCCCTTTTTCTTCTGCTCTCTTCCTCATTTGCTCTTCCCTTTTCTTTTTCATACTTCTATTGTTTGCCCATGCTCCATCTGCATGTCTTTGTTGAATTCTCCCTTTGTTCTTCCTTCCTTCGATTCTCTCAACCCTTTTCAGTATTGTTTTCATTAGTTTCATAGAACTCAAGACAAAGACTCGGACTCCTCCAGACCACTACAGAGCCTGCCGTGACATCCAATACCGGCGTGCGTGAATATTCCCAAACAATGGGTGCCCAAATCCCCGGGACCCAGAGCATGATGTTGCACCGCAGAAAGGGCTCTCCGCACCAGCCCCGACCAATCGCCTACCACATCTTCTCACACCCGCATGGGAAGCATGGACAACCCTGCACTTATCCGTGAGACTGGGCATGCACCCGCCGCAACCAACAGTAAAAACAAGAAAGGTTACTTTCTGCTCTGTAAGGCTTTGCCTTTTGATCCAACTTTTTGCTGATTCCCTTCTTACATTGTTTCTGAACGTTGCTGCAGAGCTGACGATTTTGATTTCTTTCTGACGTCTACTGAGGTGTGATTAGGAATCCAGTGCTGCGGATGCAGATTCCGATGCTTCCCCCGCTTGTCATGGTCTTTTGTTTTTTCCTTGCGAACCCGTGGGTTTGGGTCAAAGCCTGCAGACACCTAGATCAGTGTCTCTAGAGGGCACTGATACGGTTGCCTGGTTTCTGGGAAGATTGAAGGGTGTGTTTTGGAGTTGAGAGTGCAGTGAAGAGAAGGGGAGATCCCAGATTGGCGGAAATAGTGTGATGGTGTTTGTGTAGAATGTTTAAGGTGTAGGCGAGGTGGTTGAATTGTGATGGCATTGTTTGTCCTGGAAGGGGCATGGTAGAAAGTTGGGAATTGCCGAGGTTTGTGCTGCATGATGTTTGTGGAGGAAGGAATTCGATGACTGCGCTTTCCTTGTTTGTCATGAACCAGCACACTCGTTCATATTAAGAAGTTGGCTCTCTTTGGAGCCTGCCCTCACAAGTTCAAGTCATTCGCACATGTCATTCACGGTGGTAGGATTTGATCTCAATTCTTCCTGGAAATAACACTAACTCGATACCTCAAAAGCTAGCAGTCCTCATCCCTCTTTCTGCCGCCAGCCCACGCGACCAGTTGATCTCAAGCCAAGTTTGCTGGGCGTCAGCAAGCTTCTTCTTGGCGATCTTTCCATGTTTTAGAATATCTTCCTAGAAATTCATCATCTCCTCGTCGTCTTCGTCAACATCAAACTCAGCATCAGCCATATACTCGTCGTCAGCACCGTACGTCTCCTCATCAACGTAGCCGCTGTACTCTTCTTCCTGCTCTTCGGTTTGGAGTTCACCTTCGGTATCGGACTCTTTAAGCATACCTTCGTCTTTCTCCGCGTCTACCATCGTACCTCCCTCACCGTAATCTTCTACTTTGGCGTAAGTTGCGCGTTCTTCTCTGGTGGCGAGACGAGGAGTTGGGCCACGAAGAAACAGGCGAGTGCCCTTCTTGATACATTGTCCAGAGTTCATGTCATCAGTACTGTTGACGAACACAGGCAAGCAAACGATCTGACCGCCACCTAAGTCAACGAGCTCAACATTTGCATCTTCAGGCTTTGTCGCCAATGGGACAAGATCACACAAAGGATGCAGTCGTCCGAACAAGTTATTTTCGTCCTTGTCTGTATGTCTCTTGTCTGAGTAAGGGTATGTCTGCTCGTGGTAACCATCCTCGTCATAAGTCTTGGTCCAAAANATTCTGTCGCTGGTGATCATATGGCGCTGAATGAGACAGATGATAGTGTTGATTATGCTACCATCGGAGTAGTCGGGGTTGGCGACCGACTTAGGGGCATCTCCACGTCCGTCCATGGCCTGGTACATCTGATAAGGACGCATGACGTTGTTGTGAAAAGACCACGGAATCGATGATTCGTCCTTCAAAGACGAATGGCGAGGAGATGCCATGAACAACTGGATAACAGGCTGGTCCAAAGGATCAGTTGATGTGGCGTATGCCCATCCAAGAATCCGGACAAGAAGTAGTAAAACAAGCTTCTGGGTGTCGACACTCGGAAGTCCTGAATCCTCTACTTGGATTATGGATTTGCGGAGATAGTCCTCAATGTGAGATCCACAAACACTGTCATGGTAAGTGGCTTTTGCTAATTCGTAGCAATCGACCGAGCAAAAGGAGAAGTTTTCACGTTGCTTCTCTTTACCATAACGGCAGATTTGAAGGTCTGAAGTTTCGAAGATCCCAGGTCTTGATGTCGTTCTGCCACGCAGTGGAGCGACAGGGGCTGTATGCTCCGAGCATGTGTCAGTCTTGTCGCTTGATGATTCAGAGTTCCAGTCGTCATCAGAATTGCCACCTCGGACTTCGTCGTAATATTTCCCCCTCTGCCTGAGGGACTTTCTGCTCGGACTTTGTGTCTCCGTCTTTGTCGACGAACCCTGAACGTGGTGGTGTTCCCAGTGGAGTATCAACTGCGACTGTGCAGCGATGGTGAACTGAAGAAGGTCTGGCCCGAGCTGCCCTNNTCTTGCTGCTCTCGCATTTCTCTTTGCGTCCAGCTCAGCTTCTGCCTGCTTCAATTCTTCCACCAGAACGCGCAGAACAAAAGGTGCCGGCATCTGCAGATCCGTCCCACAGGCGTCACAAACGGTTGCAAGCCTTGATTGATCTGGTGTGTTTGCTGTAGAGACGACAAACGGAAGGCTCTCGGTGAACAACACCATGCCTTCGAAGACATCCTGAGTAGCTGCTAGCGATGCTGGCATGCCAAACTTGTATTCGTAATGGACAATTGAGTCGGAATCAATCGTCAGTATACAGTTGTTGAGAATGTTGTAGTTGATCGGGCACTCAGCAAAGCCATAGTAGGCACTGCTCAAGAGACTGAATCCTGTCTGAGTTAATCGTAGATCTACTACGGATACCTTACCCTCGATAACGTCGTCAAGCAGCTTGTCTTGTACGCGTTTGGCAAGTGCCTCGAGTTCCTGACGGACAAAAGGCTGAAAGGTTTTCTTGTTCGCACCAACGGCGTTGGGCATGAGAATGTCACCGAGAAGATGTAGAGCATTGTACGCTGGACCCCGTCCACATCTGGAAAGAGCATCCACCAAGCGAAACAGAGCTTTGTATTTCAAATCAAAAGGAGATGGGGTAAAGACCTTCTTCTCAACATTTTGATCTTCGAGCTCTTCCTCGACAATGGTCATTCTTGCCAGCTTGAAGTTTTGGTGTTCAGGTTCGAAAATTGTTGATGGTACTGTGCACCATTCCTCTTCACGAGCCAACGCATCAGCGCAATCGTCTNNGAACAAAGCATTAGCTTCCTGCTTGTACATAGTTTCACATGATTTGAGTCAGAATCGAGTCGAGTAAGAACAATTCATTAGACACTGTCTCAGAGCCATCCAAGAGTACGATGATCATGGGGCTGCATCTCATTGGAACGTACCGGTGTAGGTGAGGATATGGGCGTCGATTCTGCGGATGTGATCATTGACGTCTCCTTTGCTACGAGTAGCATCGATAACAGACTGAGCCATTATGTACGCTCTGAGAGCATCGTTGACAGCAAGGTGAGGCTGACCCATCGCGATATAGCACAAGGCGCGGTTGAAATAATAGGCTGGATGGTTTCTTTCGTCGAGGAGTCTGTTGTACAGGCGTAATGCAGCCGGATAGTCACCTTTGTGGACGAGTCTGTTGGCGTCCATGATTGCGTGTTCGGCCTTGACCCGCTTAGGACGAAGCTCCAGTCTCGGTGATAAATGAGTCGGTGTGTACATCCTGACAGAATGTCCAGACCAGACATGAAGAATGAACAAAAGTGTTGTAAGCAGTAAGGTGTTGTGGTTGTGCGTCGAGTTGGTATACACTTGCCCTCGGAAGCTCGTTGAGTGAAAGCCGATGCTGAACCTCTACAGCCTTCTTGCCTTTCAAATCCTCAATCACTCCAAATCGCACCTTCCATAAATGAATGATTGTAGCTCTTACCAACCCTAATACCAACACTAACGCTCAGTCCACTCTCATCTCACAATCATCGATCACAGCTTCGCTCCTGCAAAGGCGTCACTTTCGAACCAAAGTTATCACACCCACCTTTCACAACCACCCAACCCACAGTAACCTCGCTTCATCTTCTCGAGCCATTAGCTACTTTATTACCATCCTCAACATCATCAAATCATCATACAATGTCTGATCGTCAGACCACCACCATCAGCGCTCTTGACATTTGCGACCTTCTCCAAAAGGAGCCCTTGTTCGACATGAAAAAGTGCAATGGCCCAATCATGCGCGCCTGGATCACTGCCATGGACACTGGCCTCAGTCAGGATGCTATCAAGAACAGGGCCGAAGCTGTTCTGCAGGAGTTGCGCGTCCAAAAGTAAGCAATCGATCCCACTTGTTATGTTCATCGCCTCATAACTCTGGATAAGGGTCTATCCGAGGCCGAGCACAGACGCCTCACAGATGGCCTTGCCGTCGAGCCCTCCTTCTTCCAGCAGTGGAAGGCTAAGAAGATCAAGGAAAAGGATCAGAAAGCTCGACTGAGTGAGGTGGTGACTCGCCTAGAAACGGTAATGGGTCAAGATGCACTCTTGGGAATGCTTCAAGTCAAGCTCGACGAAGCCGACTTCCAGGCTCTACAGAACTATTAAATGCACGCCTGCGGGGAAACGAACAAATACATGAACGAAATCGTAATATCCACTTACTGCCTCGAGCCACATCTTCTATTGCTTGTCGAATATCCAAAAGCGTCCAATCTTGATTGTGTATTCGAATTGATACCTTATCGGTACGTGAGGGCTTTGCATATCGACGTGGGTTGGAGTAAAGCATACCATACTTCCCGGTCTAGCCGAACTGTCGTGAGTCAAGACTGTTGGTCAACAGAGTTTTCTATAACCGGACAGGTGAGAGTCTCGAAATCAACCAGACCGGCATTATTTCCAGGATGTCGACTACACATTGTTGAGCAAAGAGGTCAACATAGAGTTACGGCGCAGGCTTGACCCCAGAAGCATGGCCGATGATCACGTGAACCTGGTCGCGTTTGCGAAAACGGATCAATGATATCCCGGCATATTGGTCAACCGAGGAACTCCGTTCGTGCTTGAACGTCCAACGTTCTTTGGTGTTCACCATCAAGCGTTGTGAGAAGAGGCTACTTCACAACCCTTAATCATGGAACAGTCAGGATACGTCACTGTGTGCTGCTCAAGACAATAGTGCAATGCTCTACAGGAAGTGTTCAGTATCAGTTGCTATCGACACCTACACCACCATCGACATCTACAGTTGCAACTTGCGGAGGACGGGCAACGGTCATCTACATGTCGATCTCGATCCCCAGGACTTTTGCGACCTATATAGTCTACGCTACTTTCCATTTACATCATCATGATACAAGTGGTTGCTGATGTTCATGGGAGCCTCAAACATCACTATAGGAGGATTCAAGACACAACTACCCTATACTGTGATAGACCCCAACTTTGGAAAGCACGCGTTGGAACGTTTTCTCGGCATGCAGATCCGGGTCAAATGTGGCCATAAACGGACCCGGCTCCATCTACAATGGTTCCTCTGGCTTGACACATGCCTTGCTTCACAATCCCTTTGACGATGGTGAAGTTGACAACAGCACCTTCTTTGAGTCAGCCACTTCACAGTTCAAGGAACATGCTCCCGCCTCATCATTAACACGCTATTGTTATACACATTATTCGCCAAGAACAACTCGATCCTGATCCGGACGTCAGAGAGCCAAGAAGGATCTATCAAGGAGCGTTGGTGGTTGTTCTGCCCCAAATCTACTGCCAGAACCGGTTCCCAATCTTACAGGGCAACCTTGACCCATAACGGGTTTGTCGCTCTGAGTGAGTGCATCCTCTTCGATGCTTTCTCGTGCAACCGGCGCTTCTAGCGATCAACGTCCTCCGCATCGATGACTTGAGCAGTAACGGCCGCAAGCTATAGGCATCCTCCGAGATGTCCCTACTTGCCTGTTTCGGTCTGCCAAGAACTAGATCAAGCTAGATATGCTTCGGATCAGAGAAGAAAACATGACACGCAATACCGTATACGACAGCCGGTACATCTGCTCAAGCACGTCTATGCGACCCAGCAGTCTATCCAGATGGCGCCACAGGGTCAGATGTGTGCGCCACCAGACCGTCTGATAGTACTGCCGTTGTAAACCTAAGCCGATTGTTAACCTTGCTTAGGAAGAAGAGCCTCCGGCTAATCTCGTATCAAGAGATCTATGATGGACTCTCGGTTGGATTGTCTAATGGGGCATGTCCAGCAGGAAGTATTTTCGAACAACGTACAAGACCACATCCATGGCTACGAATATCGTGTCATACTAACGTATTGACGACGGACGCAACTGCCCTCCATTTGCAGCCCGTCAATTGTCCCTGTTCAGACTCCCAGTTTTGGGACCATATTGCAAATCGCTTGCCCATGGTAAACCATATGCTTTCTTTTTCTGCTAATGTACGTGGAACCAGTGTTGTAAAGCAATCTTTCCAAGGACGCAAGATCATTCGACGTTGTTACTCCCATGATTTCTGACAGTCTACTGGCGATGATCGGCCGTGGAGGTAGTACTTCTTATATTTCTCCATCGCCAAGTCTGCGCTGTATCTCCTGATAGCAAGATGGAGTACTGTGGAGTTTTTAAACGGACGCCGGTTATCTACCAGTCTCATCCTTCTAACGATCAGTTTCTTGGCTATATCGTGATCATGATTGCAATTTCTTGCCCGAACATCACCAACCAGCAAGCAATATACAAATACCTTCAACTACATGCCTCTTCGAACAACCCAGCAACATTGATGAAGAGACTTTTTCCTTGCCTTGATTTTTCCTTGGTTTCTTCACCAAACTTCGCTATGCGGTTCCTCACCGTAAGCTCTTTGACTGCTTTGGCGGCGACCACCATCGCCGCTCCTGCGGGTCCATACAACCCACCGATTGAGGACCTTGATCAGGAGCATCTCGAGAAACGTGCCCTTATTGGTGGCAACGCTGGGACAACCCTCTTAGGTGGTCTCGGACTCGGTGTTGCGCAAAGCTCTGCTCTTCTGTCTATCGGACTTGGAGGTGCAGGTGCGTCAACTACAGCTTCGACCAGCCGTGCACCATCAGCTGCGACTTCCGCTAGCAGTGCATCGTCAGCTGCGCTCTCTACTAGCCGCTCGTCTTCTGCTACGCAGCCCCTGGCTTCGGTCAGCGTATCCGCTGGTGTGTCAGTCAGCATTGCCCCTACTGGACTCAACCCGGTTGCTGCCGTAATCGACGGTCATACTTCCAGTGCGATATCTCTGATTTCAAGTGTTCTGGCAAATCCAATCGCAACGAGCAATACCCAAGCAGTTTCTTCTCTGAACTCGGTCTTGTCTGAGGCGACTGCATTGCCTACCAGTCTTGGTGCCCAGATCTCGAATGCCCTCAGTGGCGTTACAGGCCCCAGCTCAAACACTGCCGCTATCTCGTCACTGCTTACCGCCTCGAGCATTCGTACGGATCCAGCCGCTGTGGCATCTCTGGCATCTCATGTATCAGTCATTGCCAATGACCCGAGTCAAACAGCTCAGACATCATTGTCATCTCTAGCTAGCGTTCTCTCTAACGCAGCTGCAATTCCTGGCAACATCGGCTCGATTGTCTCTACAATGGCCTCGGCGACGACTTCAGGTACTGCAAGTCTGTCAGGTCATGCAGATTCCATCGTGTCCTCCTTCGCCATAGCCGCGTCTACGAGTTCGGCTCCTGTGAATTCTGCAACCACAACATGCTCAGATCTTCTTTGCTTGAGCGCACAAGTTGGTGGTCTAGAACTAGGTGTCGGAGCTCTGCCTTCATCGAGCGGCGGCCTCGTAAGCCTGTCTCTTAGTCTTGGAGGTATACAAGCATCTAGCACGCTATCCAGACCTATCGTCGTATCTACGAGTGGAGTTCAGACGACTTGTACTGATTTGGCATGTTTGAACGTTGCTATAACAGGGTTGTTGAGTGCAAGTCTCAGCGCCATCCCCACTACCGCCATCATCCCGTCTGCCACTACACTAGCCACACCCGTAACAATCTCTGGCAGCAATGGAGGCCCGACTTCGACTTGTACTGATGTCGTTTGCCTTTCAGTTGCGGCATCGAACCTTCTCTCGGTTTCTGTTGGACTTATACCTACTTCAGTACTTGGTGGAAACAACTTGGAGACTCTTTCCTGGGTGTGACCGCCGCACCTACAGCGACCAGCCTCTTAGAGCACGTTACAATCATCGCCACAGACGGCAAAACGACTACGGTATGCACAGATGCCGTGTGCGTTCATGATGCGGCGTCGTCTCTCCTAGGCATCGATGCTGGGTTGATCCCTTCCTCGGTGCTTGGCAATGATCTGGGCACACTTCTTGTCCCTTCGCAGACTGGTCTTGCCGAGCCTGTAGTCATCACAGCCACGGATGGATCCGCCATAACTACATGCTCAGACGTCTTCTGCCTGCATACAGCTGCAACATCATACTCAGGCCTTAGTAGCGCTGGGGCTCTCCCTACTTCCCTGTTGGGTAACAACAACATAGGATCGCTAGCACTCGGTGCTAGTCTGGCGGGTGCTCCCACTGCAACGAGCCTTGCTCAGCCTATAACTATTACTGCTTCTGACGGTAGTGCCACCACAACATGCTCAGATGTTCTCTGCTTGAATGTTGCTGCGACCAGTTTGCTCGGAATCAACGTGGGCCTCCTTCCTTCGTCTGTAATCG